TTCCACGATTTGTTTCCTTGCCAGACAGATCTTCTAAAAAGTCCGACTACAGGTTTTAGATCGCACGAGCTCCAGTGCAGGGTTGTTTCTAGCACTGGTGCCGAGATCGCTACAAACCCGTGATCGTTTTGTTCTCCAGCACTATAGACCTCGCCAAAACTAGGTACAGTGCTCTTTGACAACACAGCTGTCTGATCTACGAAGCTATTGCTTAAAGTTAGAGGGAACGCTCGAGACTGAGCGCTCCGAATAAAGCATGCTATCCGTTGAGAATACAAAGATGCACTTGAGGGCTTTTGCGATCGCCCAGAAGCGCCTTCCGGAGATTCGATCCAGAGGGATGTGCGTCTCGATGACGAGTCCGCCTCGGGGCGTTTTTTCTTTTTGATGAAAAAACGTTTACATTGCCCATGGATCCCAGAATTCGGAACGGATAATGGCTTCCGGGGATATCACTGTCATAGTGCACCTGTCCTCAAGTCCCATTACCCATACTTCCTCTCTGATACACTGGTCGTTTCGTATGTTCTATCGAGCGCCGAGCCTGTTGTGAGCACCCGCTGTTGCGCTTATACCGCTCAAGCAGGTGCTGTACAGAGACAGAACGGCTTTGCCATACCAATAAGGGCGTCCTCTGGGAGGATGATTCACCTGAAACGGAATCAGGGCTATTTGTCATTCTGGAAACATGCAAAATGGGCAGACAGACCCACTACCTACGGCAGCGCGAAGCGCTATACTAGGGTTCCACTGCGACCAGGGCGAGGCCCAACGCAGCATCCTGTGCATAGTCTCAGGATAAAATGCGTTGTGAACGAGCTGCGCAGGTCTTGCAGCAGCAGCAGCAGCAGCGGCAGCAGCCACTTAAGAGGGATACCGAGCTCTAGCCCGGTAGACTCGACCGGCTCGCGGGACCTACCGCCTCGAACATAAGCTTCCGATAATACGGCGATCTGTTTCCCCTTAAACGCTTATCGTAGAGCGGGAAAAAATTTTATATCGTTTCTTGTAAATCGTAGGTCACTGTCCTTTTTCCTGTATGGCGCGCTTGATACGTGCATCTCCAAGTATGGCACTTACGAGACACGACGCATCTGTCGCCTTTGAAGAGAAACGCGACCGTGACGACACGTTTTCTTGATGTTCTAACGGGCAAGCTGTATTTGCGTGGAAGTCGTAACAAATCATAGTTTCCAGTTCGATTGTGTCTCAACCCTCAAGTAAACATATTCAATTGATTTCTCGCAGTATATAATAGAAGGGTTCAAGGAGCGTTCTTTTTCACACAAAAAAAATGAAAAGAAAAGCTATGAAAAAGCAAGTCGACGATTCCGTAGGTCCAGGGTCGCCTGCTGCCAGAAATAAAAACAAAAAACAGTGCCTAGTCCAGAAGAAACAGGAGAGAAGAAGGACCGACGGGGGAGGCCCTAGGTCGAAGGCGGCAAGAAAGACGACTGTACGACGAGATGATGGTGAAAGCCTGTCTTCTTAAACATATCAAGCATCCTTACAGGGAAAAGTTGCGAGACGCTATCGAAAAACGTTTCGATTCGTACTCCATGGGTATTTTCAAGGCGTCGTCAAGACTGATGCATTTGGCGAGGGAGATGTACGAAAACGTGACGTACATGGAAACGGTCGAGATTCTGGACGAGTTATTCGACGAGACCTTTATTCGATACCTGATGCTTGGAACAGTGGAAGCGCGGGAGGAAAACGAGCGGGTTCATGCCCTCCACGAAAAACATCCCTTTTACGGCTTCGAGGGTACTCGATACAAGGGGGACCGGAGTATTTACGACTATGGGGAGATGAAGAACCTCACGAACCTGACGAACCATTTGACAATGAAACTCGAACGTTTCATGATACGCGCCGTGTTTGCGCTGTACCCGGGTATCTCTCGCAAAGGAATATGGGAGATTATCAACGGCATCAAGAACGATCGCAAGCATGAAGGTGAAGTCGAATTCGTCGACACGAAGGCGTTTAACGACAGCACGAATGATACTTCTGTAATCCATTCGGTTATACAAGAGCACCGTGCAATCTTGGGGCCGGCGAATCCAACAGACAAGACATCAGAGTTGAAAAAAGATAAGGAAAGATACTATCGTCTTATTCTGCGCTATTTCATGTTTCTCGACCGAGAACTCGAGCGAAATGCGGAGATGAAGCTGAGTGAAGAAAAAAAGAAGATTGGGAGAGACGGAAGGCTGTCCTAATGGGTAAGCGCTTCAACGTGGTTCCAATGTGCAGCATCAAGTCACGTTTCGTGAATATCGATTCGGACGTGTTTTACGGCATCATGAAGGAGATCAGTCCAGTGTTCACTGTTAGCAGGGATGACTTCACCGGTGAAAACCGGGCGACGTACTTGAAGAACATCTTCAATTTCAAACGGCTCAAAGTGAGAAGCCAAAAGGTATTCACTGCGTTGATCGAGACCGATGGAGTAACCTTGTATGTACACTATCGGCGCTTGAAAGTGGACCGTCCGATTGTGCCTTTCGCTTCGCCCTCTGCGAAGCATTAAAAAATCAAAGAAGCGGATCCTGCGACACAGGAGGTGCAGGATGACGACTTTGTCGCTGACGCGGTGAAGGATGAAAAAGAGAAAGAGGCGGAACCTGTGATGCAGAAAGTGCAGGATAACGACCGTGTCGTTGGCGCGGTGAAGGATGAAGGTCAGAAGGAGGCGGATCCTGCCGAACAGAATGTGCAGGATAACGACTTTATGGTTGACGCGACGAAGCATCAAGGAAAGAAAGAGGCGGATCCTGCCACACAGGAAGTGCAGGATAAAGACATTGTGGTTGGCGCGGATCCTGGGAACACGAATATCATCACCATCGCAGCACCGAAGCGTGCGGAAGATGGCATGGACGGTAATTTACGCCAGAAAGACATGCGTCTGCTGAGGTTCTCGAGAGCGAGATACTATCGAGAATCCGTTGTAGTGAATGCAAGGATGATAATCGTTACGTGGAATGCAGGAATAAAGCATCACCTGGAAGCTTTGAGCGAGGCGACGAGCCGCGGAGCGGTCTTATGAAGCTTTTCGGAAATTCATGGAATTTCGTGTTGCCCATTGGGATGCGCTGTGGGAGGAGTATAGAAAGCCCCGGTGGGCTCGTCTGCGAATGAATCTATACGGTGTGAAGCAGCGGGCGTTTGCGAATTGTTTCAATCAGTTGAGCGCCCTCAAGGAGGATGACCGTCAGAAGCTCGTAGAAGCGTATGGAGCAGGGCGCTGGAAGAACAGAAAAGGAACTACGCCAGCTCCAGCGACGAAGCTGCACAAGGAGTGCGCCCGGCGTCTCGTTACGATACCTGTGTATGAGTTCCGGACGTCCTATACATACCAGGAACTGGGCTGCACGCTTCAGAGGGTGGAGATGGAAAAGTGCCAGAAGAGCGCTGAGGAAATTGCAAAAGTACGGACCGCTGGCGGAGGAGCAACTGGAAAGGAAGGCGAAAGTTCAAGGGTTACTCGTATTGGTGAGTACAGCTCCCAACGGCACGAAATGTATGGAGTTCGTGAACCGAGATTTTCATGCCGCTATCAATATACGGAGATGTGCGGTGCTGGAGAAACGACCTCCAGACTGGACACAAGAGGATTTTGTTGGACAACCTCTCAAAGTTGAACTATATGAGAAAAAATGGAAGCAGACGTTGGTGGCCGGTCCAAAAAAACGGGGAGGCGTCTGCACGTCAGTTGGAGACCCCTTGCCTAGGGCGCGTTCGCCACTACTGTACACGGCCGGGGGCAACGTTTGTCTTTTGAGAGGCGTTCGGTGCGGGCGCGTCACGTCGCTTATTCAGAACGTATTTGCGAAGAGTACCTAGAGTATATGTGGTAATAGTTGATGCTTTTCGTGAAGATATTGCTGCCATGGCTGTAACAGGACTGATGTGACAGAAAATGTGGAAAATGGGCAACTCGAGTTCTTCTGTATTCGATACATCATCCGCTGCCTTGTCGTTTATCTATCTTCCGAGGGCCCTGTGTCCATTTATTAGCAACGGATCCGTTTACCAATTTGTTTGCAATGATATAGAACAAGATCAATTGTTTAGAATCGATACTGGCCGCTTCTAGAATGCCTCCAGCTGTGCTCAAGGTGCTGTGGTAATGCTTACATAGCGTACAGCTCGTCTCAGGATGTGACTGCCTGGCATGATGTGCCTCTGGACCGAGTAACGGTAACTGCGCATCTACGTCTTCACGGCTTACCACCACTTCGTTCTCGTTTTTTTCTAGTGTACAAGACATAAACATAATCCGGAAATCAGCACAACACTTCAGACGGTTTTATGGACGTAGCCTACGAGCAACGGTAGGCAACAGTGGTGAATATATCGAGAGGATGCCTCGACCGACAGAACAAGCTATAAGCACTTTCAATGTTAGAGCTATAAGTGCGCTGTGAGGCTGGCGGCCCTGCTTCCATTCGTGCCAAGCGGAGCCGGAGCCCGTATGCAGGCGTCACGAATACCAGCTTTTCCTCAAGAGGAATCGTATTTTGGTGAAATTTGCGGTTGTACGGATCGAGTCAAACTTGCTCCAGAACCTCTCCTCAGGACTAGAATGTGCTCAAGTACAACGAAACTAAAAAAACAGTTCCAGACGCTCTACTGCAGACATACTCGCTACATGCAACTCGGAAACCGTATTCCGACTACAAAGAGAAGAAAGGGTACCAAGATACCGCCATTACCACCAAGGCTATCATCGGGGGCAAGCTCATAGGCATAGGTAATCATTCCTTTACGTTCCAAAAGCAAATTCTGGTCCATTCTTTCCGTTCATCAGATCTCTGAATGTAAGTTCCCGAAGAGGACCTCAGATGACACTCCGCGCACAAATATCCACATTAACGCATTCGTTCATTCGTACTCTCGGGTCTTGTGAACATGAGTGGAATATTGTCGCAACAGAGGATCAGCATAGACGTGATCTAGACTGTGGGCAAATTAACAGTTGAAACGTTCGCTCACGCAGTCGGTGGAGCTGAAGATGTCGCTGATTCCGAGGCGCTCGCAGACGTCGACACAGAGGCTGAAACTGAAGCACTCGCTGATGCACTCGTTGATGCACTCGCAGACACCGTCGCAGAAGCTGTCGCAGAGACTGTTGCAGACACCGTCGCAGAGGGTGTCGCTGTCACAGCCACGGGACTCGGAGTCGGTGTTGGACTAATCACCACACATTGGTTGTTGATGCACTCCTCGTCAGCGCGGCAGCAACGCACCTTGTTCACAAGGTTATCCGAAGGGATCAGGTACGTCCCGCACTGCTTCGTAGGGTCCTTGCACACACAGAATGACGGCAGCAGCACCTGTTGTTGCTGCAGTTGTTGCAATTGCTGCTGCTGCTGCTGCTGCTGGTTGTTGTTGTTGCTGAACGGGTTGTACGTGCAGTTCTGCGTCTCGGCGTTGCAGCACTCCGGGCCACACGGAATATAGCTCGAGTTCGATACGTTGCCGGTCGTGCCGCTCAGCGAGTTCGACACATACCCGTAGGTCTGGCACACGTACTCGGTCATCGGCTGGAAGCACTCGTTGCTGAGCCCCAGGCAGCAACCAGCCTCCAGACACTGCTGCGGCGAGTAGCTCGTGCGCTGCGTCCCGTGCTGCTCTCCGTACAGAAGCGTGTTCAGCAGACGCACAAACTGGTTGTTGTTGATGTTATTGTTCAGCTGCTGGTTCTGATTCACCGCGTTCGTGCACGGCTGGCGCTCAAACTCGCCCACCGCGCACGTCTTCTCGGGCTGGAAGCAGTACGGGTTCGACGCAAAGTCGCTCTGCTGCTTGCCGTTCTGCACCCACTGGTTCTGCGCCTGCGAGTCGTAGCAGCAGCCCTGGGCATAGCACGTAAACTGGTTGATGCCCGCGTTGCCGCACGGCTGGCGCTGCGCTCCCGGTGACGGGCAGAGGGGAACCGGTGCCTGCACCTCCTGCAGCGCTACAGAGGCCTGCGGTGCATGGTTGATGTCGTAGTAGCACCAGGGTGCCAGGATGCCGTTCGCCGTTGGCTGCCAGCAGCATCCCGGTATCGCAGTGCACTCGTCGGGGTAGATGTAGCTCCAGCCGCAGGGGACGCGCTGCGTCACTGGAACAGCGCTGCAGGCCGCTGAGACGCTCTTCAGGGTGCACGCGTTCGTCTGGGAGTTAAAGCAGCACCCGACTTGCTCGCAAGCGTCCCGGTTTGTGTACTGGCCCGGAGAACCGCAGATTTCACTCGTGCAAACTGGTGTTGGCGTTGCACTCGGTGTCGGGGTTATAATAGCAAGTGTCGCACCAGAGGGTAGAATTGTAGAAAGCTGGTCGGTGAAAGTTTGAAGCACACTTTGCGCATCACTGGCGAGGGATGTGTCTCCTGAGATCTTAATCACATAGGTCACAACACTGCCGCCCGACGTGCGCACCAATGCTCGTTCCAGACGAGGATTGCTCTTGTCTAATGTGGTGGCGAGGCGCCTTGATGTGCCCGAACCGAAGACCGTGTCGCAGTTATCAGTCACGCTGACATTCACTACCAGGCCCGTGAAGCGAGCCTCGAGATCGTTCTGCAAATCCGTCGCCACGGCCAAACAAAGAGAAAGATTCTGAACGGATATCGCAATCGAGGTGGCAATCGTCGTCGGCACGATTGTTGGTGACGTTGTTGCAGTTGGAGTCATCGTCGGTGTCATCGTCACTGTCGTTGGAGACGCTGTTACAGTAATCGTTGGCGATGATGTAATTGTCGGAGTCATCGTCGCAATCGGTGTCGGAGTTGCCGTAGAAGTCGCCGTCGCAGTCGCAGTCGCAGTCGCAGTCGCAGTCGCAGTCGGTGTCGCAGTCGGTGTCGGTGTCGGTGTCGCAGTCGGTGTCGCAGTCGGTGTCGCAGTCGGTGTCGCAGTCGGTGTCGCAGTCGGTGTCGCAGTCGGTGTCGCAGTCGGTGTCGCAGTCGGTGTCGCAGTCGGTGTCGCAGTCGGTGTAGGTGTCGGTGTCGCAGTCGGTGTCGCAGTCGGTGTCGCAGTCGGTGTCGCAGTCGGTGTCGCAGTCGGTGTCGCAGTCGGTGTCGCAGTCGGTGTCGTAGTCGTAGTCGTAGCCGATGGAGGTGTCGGTGTCGGTGTCGGTGTCGGTGTCGTAGTCGTAGTCGTAGCCGATGGAGGTGTCGGTGTCGGTGTCGGTGTCGGTGTCGGTGTCGTAGCCGATGGAGGTGTCGGTGTCGGTGTCGGTGTCGTAGCCGATGGAGGTGTCGGTGTAGGTGTAGGTGTAGGTGTCGGTGTCGCAGTCGGTGTCGCAGTCGCAGTCGGTGTAGGTGTCACAGTCGCTGCCCGTACGAGAGACGCGAACACACTGCAAAGTATGAAACAAATAATAAATAGCGAAGGCTTCATCCGAAAGCCTTGACCTCCTGGGCGGCCTCTACGTATATTGCTCTCCAAAAATACCATGAGCGTAGCAAATCCTGATATTATACTTTGGAAACCTTTGTATAAAACTTCTTTTGATGGAAAATATTTAGTGTCGTGAACGAGAAAGAGCCCGTTCCCAGCCGTCCGTTGAACAACACCAACTCTAAAAAAATATTTACGTCCAGCAGCGGCAACGACAGAGCCCACGAGCGATTCAAATTCCCCCGCACCATGCCTCGAATCCGCGGCAATCGATGATCACGGCGAAGGAGAAACGGTTCGAGACGATCCCTGCAGGCGCGGTTTCGATTTCGCGTTTCGCGCCAAAAGCGATAGCGCAGGCGTGCCCCCGAGCGAGCTCTGTTTCTTTGCACTATGGGCTTGAGGCACGTGTCCTTCATCGATCGGCGTGGTGTCTCGCGAGGCGCACGCATCGCGCTCGGTAATCGCATCTGGGAGATCGGGGAATCAACTGACACGATGCGTATGCCTTCGTTGAAGGGAAACGCGATTGGGATCAGTAGCGTGTTGTTCATCTGTAAAAAGTTGTATTTCCGTTCAGGTCGTAGCCAAGTACAGGCTTTAAGTTCGTTTCTGTTTGAAACTTCAAACAAGTCTAGTCAAGTGTTTTTCGCAGTATATAACAGAAGGGTTCACAGAGCGTTGTTTTTCAAGAAAAAACTAAAAAACGGAAAGCTATGAAAAAGCAAGTCGACGCTCCTGGAGGGCCGGGGTCGCCGGCCGCTAGAGACAAACAAAAAGCAGTGCCGAGTCCAGAAGAAACAGGAGAGAAGAAGAACTGAAAGCGAGAGGCCCTACGTCGAAGGCGGCGGGAAAGATGACTGTAGAATGAGATGGAGGTGAAAATCTTTCTTCTTGGACACATCAAGGATCCGTACAGGGAAAAGTTGCGAGACGCTATCGAAAAACGTTTCGATTCGTACTCCAAGAGTATTTTCAAGGCGTCGTCAAGACTGATGCATTTGGCGAGGGAGATGTACGAAGACGTCGCGAACATGGAAACGGTCGAGATTCTGGACGAGTTATTCGACGAGACCTTTATTCGATACCTGATGCTTGGAACAGCGGAAACGCGGAGGGAAAATGTGCTAGTGCATGGCCTTTACGAAAAACATCCCCTCTACAGCTTCAACAGTACTCCATACAGGGGTGATTCGAATGTTTACATATAAGGGGCGACGAAGTACATCACGAAACTGGAGAGTCACGTGATCGTGAAACTCGAACGTTTCATGATACGCGCCGTTTTTGCACTCTACCCAGGCAGCTCTCTCAAATGAATATAGGCGACTATCAATGGCATAACGAAAGATCGCAAGCATGAAGATGAGGTCGAATTTGTCGACAAGAAGACGTCACGCAGGAGCACGAATGAAGCATCTGTGATCCGTGCGGCTATACAAGAGCGCCGTGCAATCTTGGGGCTGGTGAATCCAACAGAAAAGATATCAGAGTTGAAAAAGGATCAGGGGAGATACTATCGCATCGTCGTACGGTATTCTGTGTTCTTGGACCCGGAGCTCGAACGCGAAGCGGAGATGAACCTGAGCGAAAAGACAAATGAAGAGTAGGAGAGACGGAAGGCTTTCCTAATGGGTAAGCGCTTCAACGTGGTTCCAATGTGCAGCATCAAGTCACGTTTCGTGAATATCGATTCGGACGTGTTTTACGGCATCATGAAGGAGATCAGTCCAGTGTTCACTGTTAGCAGGGATGACTTCACCGGTGAAAACCGGGCGACGTACTTGAAGAACATCTTCAATTTCAAACGGCTCAAAGTGAGAAGCCAAAAGGTATTCACTGCGTTGATCGAGACCGATGGAGTAACCTTGTATGTACACTATCGGCGCTTGAAAGTGGACCGTCCGATTGTGCCTTTCGCTTCGCCCTCTGCGAAGCATTAAAAAATCAAAGAAGCGGATCCTGCGACACAGGAGGTGCAGGATGACGACTTTGTCGCTGACGCGGTGAAGGATGAAAAAGAGAAAGAGGCGGAACCTGTGATGCAGAAAGTGCAGGATAACGACCGTGTCGTTGGCGCGGTGAAGGATGAAGGTCAGAAGGAGGCGGATCCTGCCGAACAGAATGTGCAGGATAACGACTTTATGGTTGACGCGACGAAGCATCAAGGAAAGAAAGAGGCGGATCCTGCCACACAGGAAGTGCAGGATAAAGACATTGTGGTTGGCGCGGATCCTGGGAACACGAATATCATCACCATCGCAGCACCGAAGCGTGCGGAAGATGGCATGGACGGTAATTTACGCCAGAAAGACATGCGTCTGCTGAGGTTCTCGAGAGCGAGATACTATCGAGAATCCGTTGTAGTGAATGCAAGGATGATAATCGTTACGTGGAATGCAGGAATAAAGCATCACCTGGAAGCTTTGAGCGAGGCGACGAGCCGCGGAGCGGTCTGTGAAGCTTTTCGGAAATTCATGGAATTTCGTGTTGCCCATTGGGATGCGCTGTGGGAGGAGTATAGAAAGCCCCGGTGGGCTCGTCTGCGAATGAATCTATACGGTGTGAAGCAGCGGGCGTTTGCGAATTGTTTCAATCAGTTGAGCGCCCTCAAGGAGGATGACCGTCAGAAGCTCGTAGAAGCGTATGGAGCAAGGCACTGGAAGAACAGAAAAGGAACTACGCCAGCTCCAGCGACGAAGCTGTACAAGGAGTGCGCCCGGCGTCTCGTTACGATACCTGTATATGAGTTCCGGACGTCCTATACATACCAGGAACTGGGCTGCACGCTTCAGAGGGTGGAGATGGAAAAGTGCCAGAAGAGCGCTGAGGAAATTGCAAAAGTACGGACCGCTGGCGGAGGAGCAACTGGAAAGGAAGGCGAAAGTTCAAGGGTTACTCGTATTGGTGAGTACAGCTCCCAACGGCACGAAATGTATGGAGTTCGTGAACCGAGATTTTCATGCCGCTATCAATATACGGAGATGTGCGGTGCTGGAGAAACGACCTCCAGACTGGACACAAGAGGATTTTATTGGACAACCTCTCAAAGTCGATCTATATGAGAAAAAATGGAAGCAGACGTTGGTGGCCGGTCCAAAAAAACGGGGAGGCGTCTGCACGTCAGTTGGAGACCCCTTGCCTAGGGCGCGTTCGCCACTACTGTACACGGCCGGGGGCAACGTTTGTCTTTGGAAAGATGTTTTGTGTTGGTGCGAGTGTCCACCCAGGGTACGTTTCAGAGGTTTGTACGGGTGAGCGCTTCGGTCATTGTCGCCTGGCACCGGTGCTGCTTCACTCGAAAAGTAACGAACGGCCGCGACGCTCGCTCTTGAGTGCTAGAAGGCGTCAGCTCCCTCGGCCTGGAGGCACTGGAGCCGTTATGGGTGTTAAGGCTGACGTAAATGAAGGAAACGGGCACTCGGTGAACAGCGCTCTGAGAGCAACGGGCCGTCGTGACTTCGACTCTACTTTGAGCGCTGACCCCACTACGAATGTAGGTGGTGTTTTCGAGGAATGTTTAAGGAGTGTTCAACCGCTCCTACCGTTGCCGCCAGGTTTTCGGCAAGAAGATTACTTGTTTGAAAGATTCCGTTGTACGTACTGGGCGAAACCTGCAGCTCCGCCGGCGTCACCGGCAAGGCCTGCTGTGATATGCATTCACGGTTTCGGTGCTGGGGCATTTCACTGGCAGAAGATGCTCAACATCATTTCGGAGGCGGGCTACGACGCGTATGCGCTGGATTTGCTGGGCTTTGGTGATGCTGATATGCCACCACCGCTGTTCACGACGCAAGGCGACGGCAAAGTTGGCTCTCCGACATTTTCGTACACGTTTGAAAGCTGGGCACAGCAGATCCTTCATTTCATCAATACTGTTGTGGTGACCGCGTCAGATACCGGGATTTCGCAACAGCGTGATGTTGTTCTCGTTGCAAATTCAATCGGTTGTGTTGCCGCACTTCAAGCTGCTTGCGACATGCTGCGCCAGTCAGTAGAGCATCCTGGTATGCAGGGCACGCGTATTCGGGCAGTTATGTGTCTGAATCCGTCTCTTCGCCAGCTGCACTATAAGAAACGACGGGGTCTGCGCGTCTGGACGACTCCATTAGCGTTGCGCGTATTGGGATTTCGTCCCGTGGCGAAGTTTTTCTTCTCTCTGGTATCTCGGCCAGCGACGCTCCGCAGGTTACTCTGCTCAGCCTACGCTGTTGATGGCCCTGAGGCGGACCAGATCATCAGTACCGAGCTCGTAGAGCGGATTCGGGCCCCAAGCAGGCGCCCCGGTGCTCTGGATGTATTTCTAGCGTTCACGTCGTATGATCGCGGCCCGCTGGCAGAGGAGCTCGTCGAAAGCATTGCACAGATGGCTGCAACTGCTCGAAAAGATCCGCCCGCAATCTGGGTCCTCTGGGGAGAGCGTGATCCGTGGGAACCTTTCGCCCTCGGACGAGAGCTGTTTGCACGCAATCCACATGTGGATCGATTTGTTGCTCTGAAAGCTGTCGGTCATTGCCCGCACGACCAGGATCCGAACACGGTGTGGCGATATGTGTCGGAAATGCTGGAATCAGTTGAGCGTGAGCGGTAGCCGCCGAAAATACGATTCAGAATGATGACGACTCAGCCGTGCACGAGCCGAATCTTAGCGGAAACGACAGTCTTTGAGCTTGCGAACACTTTGCGGAGGCTTTTCATGATCGCAAGCTGGAATTAGGGTTTGGAGTAGCCTTGAATGGAAATCGCCGCTCGATTCATGCACATGACGCATACGTTGCCTCAGATCGAGGATCACAAGAGACGCTTTCACGCGCGGCCTTGGACTGTAAAGCTGCCACAATGCACAGATACACCGCCAAAGTGATCTGAATATTACCGCTGTTGATGATGGTAGACTCGTCGTACAGCGCGCGCTCATATGTAGTCGTCGTTTCCAGCGGATGATCTGACGTCATAGCGCATCGATCGTGTCGGAGTGTTTTCGCTTGGTATAATCTCTCAGCTCAATTGCGTGATACCCCCAGGTGCGTGTAGTCAAATTCTCTCTCGCGAGTTGATAGCAGACGTGGTCGAATTGCGTTTATTTGAGGAAAAACACCGAGGGAGAGGTGTGAAGACGGAAGTCTGGGATTCTGGAGGGCCGCCATTGCCAGGTACCGGTGAAAATAGAAAAATTTCTCTTCTCGTCGACCATCGAGAGAAGACCAGCAATGAACCAAGCAGAAGAAGAAGGTGACAAGACTGTCGTGGAACAGAAGGCGCGAGTGCCAGGACTGCTCGCAATGATGAGTTTAGCAAGAGGCAGTGGACGTATGGAGTTCGTGAACCGAGACCTGAACGCAGCAATCAATATGAGGAGATGTGCGGTGCTGGAGAGAAGACCTCCAGAGTGGACAAGAGAGAATTTTAAGGGACAACCGCTCAAAGTGGAACTATATTAAAAAAAAAAGTTGGAATCAGTTGTGGGTGGCCGGTCCAAACCGGCGGGGAGGCGTCTGCACGTCAGTTGGGGACGTCTTGTCCATAGCGAGTTTCTCGCCACAACTGTCCACCGCTGACGGCGACAACGTTTTGCTTCAGAACGGCGTTTGGTGCGTGGCCGTCGTCCGGTTCTGTTACTCGTCGAGCAACGTATCACTTGCTTGACACCAACTCAATTCGATGCTCGAAGAAGCGCTGTATCGATTTCTTGCGAGCAAGGTCGGTACGTTTATTCGAGGTGGACTAGATCGGGAGCAAGTCCTAATCGCTTTAGGGCAGCGGGGCTACTTTGAGGTTCACGATCTCGAACTCGAAACCGGTGCGGTCGAGCGCTATTGGCGTCAAGATCTCGGAATCAAAGAACTTCAACTCCAACGGGCTGGCCTAGGCACGCTATCCATCCAAGCGCGGTGGAATGGAATCATCAGCATCAGCATCGCAGACGTGTACCTGGAGCTGTGCTGGTATCCGGGTGAAGCCCCCAGTAACAACGCTGACTCGTTTCAGACCACTCGAGCGGAACTTCTCCGCCTAGACGACGAGGAGCAGCGTCAGAGTCTCGAGTCTTGGGCTCGGACACTTGCGACACGAGAGCAGCAGCTCTCGCAAGAGACGCTGCCTGCGTCCAGCAAGCACAACGGTGCCTCGACAGGAGGCGCTCGAGACGGCGGCTGGCTGCAGACATTTGCTGGAAGAGCCACTGCATTTCTGCTTCGTCGTCTACAGTTGCAGATAGAACGGGTGCATATTCATGTCGACTTCATCGCTGTCGAACCGGAAACAAACCTGCTCGAAGGGAGGCGGTCTCAAGGCACACGAAAGAGCAGTTGCGGATTGATGCTCCGGCAACTCAGCCTGATCGATAGCAATGCCGCTGCTTCTGATAAGTCGACAGACCCCGATTATCGTCATGAATGGCGACCTCATCTGGATCATCCTACCCAGAATGAGGCCGCGACCTCACCCAGGATGCGCTTGATCCTCGATCGACAGTTACGGGTGCATGGTCTGGCCTGCTACCTGACACCAATGAGGAGCCAGCATCGCTCGCAGTCGACGCCAGCGGATGCCGCATTCACAGCCTTAGCGGGAGAATCTTTGTCGGAGCACTATGAGCGTTTCGCGAAGATCATGGAACCCTTTCTTTTGTGCAGGCCCAGCTATGGGTATGTCGGACTACGAATAGAGCGACCGTACCCAAGCACCTTGGCGACGGATACAGAAGCGCCCCACGATTCGTCTGGCCAGTCGACGAGCGACAGCACCACCAGAGTCTCACTCTGTCTCGGTGTTGAACGCTGGTGTTTGCAACTGCAACAGTCTCAGGTAGAGACGGTGACGGCACTGAAGAGCTACGCAACCTGGTTGGGATGGCGACGACGCTCAGACTTGTTGGTGCTCATGAACGCCCCCGAACCTTATCTGTGGATGTTTGGGAATCGCTATCGCTCACGATATCTGAACTGGATGCCTCCTCCGGAGGAGCGGCAATCCGCAGAGCTTCCGCGCGATATCCAGGCCCTAGAGGCGACAGAGCAGCAGCACCCGAGTAGGGCGCGAAACCGTTGGAAATTTGCGCTTCTTTGTGTTCGAGCATTTGTATCCAGTTTGTATCGTCCATTCGTGCTCGAGGATCTTGGTGCTTGGCATCGACGCAAAGAACGCTACATATCGCTCTACACGCGAGTGAAACTGGAAACTGATGACCGCACCCAAGCATCCACTGGTACACGGGAAGCTCTGGCACTCTCTCTTGCCAACGATCCAGCGGACTTGGAAGAGGCAGTCGCAGCTCTGGAGCAACAGTTAAGCATCGATGAAATCCGCTACTTTCGGAGTCTGGCAATACAACGATACCACAGGGCGCTTGAACGTGACCCCAGCAGACGAGCACCACTGCAGCCTAACGCCGAAAGGCCTCAGTATACACCAGGAGCGAACACCAAACGCAGCATCGTTGATCAAGGTCGAGCTGTTTCCGCAGTCGTTGGCTCCGCTGAAGACGCCAGCGGGACAGCAGAAACAGCTCGAACTGGGGCCACAGCGTCGACCGGCTGGCTGGGCTGGATCTCCACCACACTCGGCTGGAGCTCAGCGCCACCTGCGACAAAGGATTCAGCGTCTGGTGTGGACGTCACATCGGGAATACCGACGCCAACTGCTAGGTCGACTGCTGCTCCTGCTGCTCGCGAAGAGCGTCACACCGCAGTGGAGCGGATTTGGCCCGCAACTACTGACACTTTGTGTCAACCATCCGAGCACCAGCCTCAGGCTGATGCGCGCTCTGCTCGGCTAGACTCGGAGCAGCGCGAGGAATCCAAAATCGTCGTTGAGCCGGCTAGCTTGGCGCAGGAGCTCGGTGAACGTTTTCAAGGCTTTGTACAGGAGCACGTGGATGAGCAAGTCACCGATTTGGAGTCTACGCTCCAGCAGATTCAGTGGAAACCAGATGCTGCAGGTCTCCGCATCGAATTGCGGATCGACGATACCCAGATGAGCCTGCAGCTTTCAGATCGAAGGCCTTTCGCCGACATCCAACTCCGACATCTGCATCTGCTTTTGGAGAGGACACCCAATCGCACGTGCATCTCGCTACAAACGGGTGATGTTGTTGTGCAGGCGCGTGAGCACCTACACGACGACCTTTATCCAGTAGTCTTTGTCGACGCAAGCACCGACGCATCGTCAGGAGCACTGTTGCGCCTCGCCTATGAGCACCAGCATCCAATACGCAACACCAGTTGGTCTGGCGATGCGACAGCGTTGACGGCACCAGCGCGTTCACATGTTGAAACGCGACATCGGATGAGCGTACGCAGCAGGCCGCTGGTTCTGCTGCTATCGCCGGCACTCGTTCGACATGTACTTGCCTTTGGCAGACGACAGAACATACCCTGGCGCGTTTGGATGCAGGAAGCCAAGGCACAGTTCGCTGCGTATCGCACGTCGATCGCTGCAGCGTTGCCGGATAGTGAAACGCTGTTGGAGGCGGCGAGCACCCTGGACCTGGATATCATGGTGTCGGCGCCGCGCATCTACGTAGTTGCTAACTTAGCCAAGGGCTTGGGGCTTATACGTGAACGCGCTTCGCCCACCAGTAGCGAGGCAACGGCACCGGTGACATCACCGCGGCATCGTTGGATACATGTCATTGAGCGACTGCGTCGTGGCACCCGCTTGGATGCATTCGCTGTGCAGGTTCAGCTGGGGAGGCTTTCACTTCGGAGCGGCACTTGCTGCCAGCTGCGCGACCCGTTGCGCCTCTTCAGCGACCTCGATCGAGTTCAACAGCGGTTGGCATTAAAGCATCGCTCAGGTGGATGTGCTGCAGCGTCCAGCACGGGCACGAGCAGCCGGGCGATGCCCGAGAACCTGGCTGCTTCGCATCAGCCGCCTCTCCTGTACGACATTGCTGTTCAGCAGCTGAGCATGAGCCTTGAACTGGACGCGGATGCAGCGGCACTGTTCGGGTGTGCCAGCGTTCCTATTCTGCTTCCTTGTGGTGGCTCTGCGCATCTTGCGCTGGCGTATGCGGCACCAGCTGGAAGTGTTTGGGGCAGCGCAGCGGCAACAGCCGAGGCCTCCTCCTCCTACTCGACGCACTTCAGTTCGTCGACGACGGCATCCGTGCGACTGGGCTGCCTCATCGAGATATCCGATATCGAGCTGCATTTGACTGCGGCTTTATGGCAGTACGCAGCTTGCTGGCAGCGCTGGTGGAGCCTCCATCAGGCAGCACGTCGTGTAGGGCGCGGCGCAGTCGCGGTATCGCCCAAAGTATCCACGTTATCGACGGGAGCTGAGATGCCAACACGTTCCCGGGCGAGTCAACGAGATGAAAAAGTTCCCGGGCGTTCATCGCGCAAACCTATATGCCCCGGAAACAAGTCACCCGCTGCCGGTACCACTGATGCTACTGCTGCCACAGCTGCTGCTGATGCTGCTGATGATGCTGCTGATGCTGCTGCTGATGCTGCTGCTGATGATGCTGCTGATGATGCTGCTGCTGCTACGAGCACGCGGACGTGGCAAGAAACGTCGCCCGCAGACGCCCCTCGCTCTGTGTCGTGGACCAAGACAGAGACCTCGCTGCTGCTGGAGATGCACTGGAGAGGTGCCCATACCAAGGTGGTGCTGTGCTCGCCAACGGATCCGCCAGCTCAGCTTGTATTGGCGTCAGCTGGTCTCGATGCTGCACTGGGGTTGGCGTACGCAGGCACTGCACCGATTCAGTGGAGACTTTCGTTTGCTGCGGATGCTCCCGAGGCATTCGTCCGTCAACGCATTGCGGATCATAAGCCGCTTGTGCTCCTATCCCCGTGCTCTGTTGGCGTGCGCATCCATGGCCACTATACGGCAGTAGCAGCATCGCGAGGAGCGCCTCTGCTCTCGGTGCAGGTTGAGCTGCAGACTTCCGCATTTGACGCCATATTCTGCCGCCAAGACATGGACCTGTGGCGGAGTTGGCTGCACCGCTGGTCGACGAGGCTCAATGCACCAGCGTATCCAGAGTTAGGTGATGTTCTATGCGACGAGGCAGGTGCGGGTACCGGCAGCGCGTCCGCTCCCAAAGGTCATCGTGAGGCAACAGCGGTAACAAGTACAGCAGCAGCACCGGGGCATACACCTGCATCGCATACGCTGGTCCCAGATACGAATGCTGCTGAAGGTACTGGGACCGGCTCGTTCAGTGCAATGCCGGCAGGTTCGGGCGCCTTTCGCCTGCGGTCCAGTGCGCAAGCCGGGGTCAGCAGCGTGCCTTTGCTCTGGGACGCTCTTGCTGCAGTGCTGGGGGGTGCGCTGGGCGCTCCAGCACCCTCCGCACTGAGTCATCGGCGCCGCAGTGGCACCCAGCGTCACTTGTCCAGGGCAGTACCTGGCCAGCAGCAGCAGCAGCAGCAGCAGCGATCCAGCTTTGGTAACCAGCGGCCTGTGTTCTCGCCCAGAAAATGCCCAGCTCCTGGCATGAGTCCGCAGCCGGGTACGCTGATCACGCTCTGGGATAGCGCTACGCAGTTGCCGTGTGTCCTCCAGGCGGATGCCTCCATACCCATATACGTTTTGGCGCTGGCGAGCACCGATGCCCCGCCTTATTCGGCAGCTAGCACGGCGTACAGCACGTTCCTGGTCAAGCGCACTGATCCCGATGACGAGACGCTCTTTAGTCTCCTGGCCTGGTGCCCCGACGATAGCGAAGGTCCCTCAGGAGTGCTGCGACCCGTCTCTGTGCTCCCGTATCCAGCCACAGAGGCGAGTGCTCTTCAACGCCAGGCAAACCCGATCCCCGCAGGCGTGCCCGGGTCTTCAGCTGAACCTCCTGGGCGGCGTCGAAGCACCTCCTCTCTGAGACGCGCAGGGACCTCGGTGGAGTCAGCACGCGCTAGTGCTGGTGACTCTACGCCGCGCATCGGTTGCCTGGGGCGCTTTTCAGGGCACCCTGATAACACCGCTCCACCTACGAGCATGTCAGACGCCGGTGTTTCCGTTGGTGAACCGATTATCTGGCGAGCGTGCTTTGTCTCACCGGATGGATTTTGCCTCATGAATGCACATACCGGTAAGTTTCTGAGTTGGAACCTCCAAGGTCAAGCGATCGAAACCAGTCTACCAGAGACCGTCTTGCTGCTAGGCGCACCGTGGCAAGCGAATGCAAGTGCGCGGAAAGCGGAGATGACACCAGAAACAGCACCTGCTGCGTTTTCCCAGACCGGCATGGAGACGGCAGTTTCCTTGCAGGTGCGCGTGACGAGTGCTGGCGTGCTAGTGCGTCTGACGGATAGCCCGTTAACCGGCAACGGCAACGGCAACGGCAACGGCAACGGTAGCAGTAGCGGTGGGGTGCTCCCCCTGGTGGCGCTGACCATGAGCCAACTCGCCTTGGTTTATCAGGTCACTGACACATACCAGGAGCTGCAGACGCAGTGCACGTTCGCCGTCGACGCCTACGATGGTGGACAGGATCGGTATGAGCCACGGTTGCACCCGTTTCGACTGCAGTTGCGTCTGCATGAGCATCGACCCTCTGGCTTGCTTCGGATATGGTTGAGTCCGCTGCATCGGGAGCCTGTTCGGATTCAAGGCTCCGAGCAGGATGCACTCGAGCTCGCGCTGCTCTGGGAGTATCTCACCGGTCGACGAGCGCATCTGCCGACAGTGTACCAGCGAGCGTATCGATTCTCCAATGAGACGGATGCGGACCTTGAGATCATCATCCCTAGCAACAATGGTGCGCTTATGCCGGCATCCGGCAACCAGAAGAGCGGTGACAAAGCACACGGGCCAGATGCGGTGCACCAGATGCCTTCAGCGCCTGCAGCTGGCAAGAAAAGCGCTCCGGAGCGCCCAGCAACGAGCACAACGCCCGAGGAGCATCCAGCACGCCTTGGAGCTTCAGGATTCTGTGTCGCTGCGGGAACGGTGCATGCGGTGCTTCCGGTGCAATCCAGCTGGGCACCAAACGCGCTCCGGCGGATCCAGTCAAGAGCTCAGGGCTCGACCCAGGTCACGAGTTCGAGTGCCTCTATGAAGACGCTGCAACTGGGCGTTCGAGCGCTCTCCATCGAAGGCGATACGCCTACGTGGTTCTCTTGGACTCGAGCTGGCGACGCGCTCGTCGCGAGTGAGGCTTCAGCAACAGAAACTTCTGCAAGGTCGCTCATTGGGAATCGACCCAGCGTCGCTGCAGCTTTGCCAGGGACACGGTCAGCAGCAGCAGTGACGTCAACTGCAAGCAGCAGTACCAGCAGTAGCAAAAGCGGCGACGCTAGAACAGTCGCACAGCTGTCAGCGACATCTGCGCACCCACTTGATGCGCAACAGTGCACAACCGTACCTCCTTGCTCAGCACAGCTGCTGTGGGAGCGACTCCACTGGCGAGTGACGCGATGCCGAACGGGCTGGCACTTCTGCCTTCAGGCGCCTATAACCGTACACAATGCCTGTGCGCATACGACGCTGCGTCTGCGCTGTCTAGGGCAGACGAGCAGTCGTATGCCTCGTACCACTACCACTACTCGTAGTAGTAGTAGTAGTAGTGGTAGTAGTGTTGGTGGTAGAGGTAGCAGTGGACGGGATTTGTCGCTGGTGCTGGAGACTTTCCATCGGCTACCGCCACAGAAGAGTATCCGCATTGGCGCCCTTGCCGATATTAGAGCACTGGCAGTCGCTTTTGAGGAGACGCTGACTGACTCCGGTGCGAACCCTGCCAGCGCAGATGCTACGGTGTGGTGTGAGAGCTTCTCAGTGCAGGCAGCAGCGATGCGAGCACTGTACGGCGAGGCGGTAACGGTCGCTCACATGGTGCACTGGTGCGATAACCGCGTACTCCGGGTATCCCGACACATCCACGAAGACGGCAGCCTGGAGGTGTGGTTAGCACCGGTTCTGGAATTTCGAAACCTGCTTCCGGTTCCGGCCTTGATCACAATCAACGAACAGATCGTGTGCCTGGAGCCTCGCTCGCGCCAAGAGCTCTTTCGCTTCCCCGCGGATGGTCGTTGTGAACTTGCAGCAAGCATCGGGGAGGCGCTGCTGCTCGAACAACGTCAACCTGTAGCGCGCTTTCAGTTGAGTGATCGCGAACACGTCGAGCCGCTCCGCCAGACACCCACAGCATCCACAGTGGCACTCTTTTCGCAACTGCTCGATACCCGTTATGGCTACGTCGAAGCGTCCTGTTATCTTGGGCGTTTGACGCGGAATGCAACATTACTGATCACAGCGGTCTATACTGTGTTCAATATGGTACCTGGATTGACCGTTCAGATCCAGGAAAGTGGCCAGATGCCGGAGTTCGAGCGATACCAGCCGCATCCGGTGATGCTGGAACCCCAACAGGCGGGATTTCTGCGGACGCCCTGTTGCCGCCTGTTTGGGTGGCGCGAACCTGTTCGTCTGGAGCTGGTGACCGCACAGGGTTACTTTCTGCGGCTCCAAGGTATACCTCTGGTGCTCTCGTTTGCGTCCAGTTACGAAGCGGAACAACTGGAACGCGCCCGGTGGTATGAAGATGTGGAGGGGGTGCCCGTGAAAGCCCCGCGCAACCGCCGCAGCACTTTTGATAACACCAGTGGCATCGGTAGAGCCCGTGTGTTTGCACTTCGTCCCGAGCTGGTGCTGGTGAATGAGTTGACGGACACCAAGCTCCTGGTACGTCGGTCGCACTCGCCAGTCGATACCGACGACGCGGCATCCACGCTGGAGATAGCACCTGGCGGCCTGCAACCATTCCTGTTCCCGGTGTACGCAGGTCGCGATATCGAGGGTAACGCGATCACACGGGAGAAGGCACCTGCAGATAGTGCTGCATTGCAGATTCGTCTAGCTCGAAAGCCGCTCGAGCGACAACAGCAACAACGTTGCACAGATGCGGGCGTCTCGCCTGCAGGCAGCAAGTCGCTCGAGTCGTCACCGCGCGTTGAAACACCACTCGTTTGGTCTGGTGTCTTGCCGTTGGCGATTACGGGAAGCTTTGTGGTGGATGTCGCTGACGGCCTACCCGGATACCTAACCGTACAAGCTTTTCTAGAGCGGAATGGTTGTCAAGTGATACGGTTTCAGAAGACGCCGGCAAACGCTGTACCCTTCCGGCTGGTGAATGAGACTCCAGGCCTGCTCTGCTTTACACAGGCGAAGGATCGTGTTCAGGCGCTGCAGCTGTTAGCAGACCAGCGGCAGCGGTTGACCTGGGCACCACCACGAACATCCGTCGGATTCGCTTTCTGTGAGCCGCTTGCGGAGCATACGCTCTGTGTGATGCGCATAGACGCGGATCCTGTGCAATGTTTCTTCCTACCGAGTCTGGAGGCGGCCTTCTTGGATGCTTCCGAGGAGGATCCGGATACGATGGCGGTGCCGGTGCCGGTGCCGGTGCCGGATCCTGCTGCTGACGTTCACGATAACGCCAGCGACAACGAGGATGCCTGGATAGGCTCGCAACGATCCATGCTGCAGCCGGAGTTGCAGCAACAGGCCTGGCAGCGTCGTCTGGTTGCGGATACAACGGGCACTGGGGCACCTCCCGCGGTGCTTTGGGTGCAGATGCGCGCAACACCGACGCAGCGCGTGTTGGTGTTCCGGGCCGACTCGACAGCGGACGCTGCTGAGGTACCCATTTCCGAGGCATTCGGTGGTGAGGAGGCGCCGGTGCTGGCCCCGGTGGGCATCCAGCGCCTTCATCTGTTTGTGCTGGTGCCGGAACTAGCCATCCAGGTGCACGCTACTGCGGCTGCCGGTGGTGCCCGATGCCAAATTCTCCTGAACAACTTGCAGCTAGCGGCTGACGTGGATGTAGGGATGCACACACGCACCCATGTGCAGGTGTCGTTGCAACGAATCGAGTTGCGCAATGAGGAGCCCACAACGCCATTTCCGGTGGTGTTGCACAGCGGGGCCACTGCCGCCACTGGTGAAGACAAGAGCGCAGCGTCAGCAGAACTCATGGCTTTGGAGGCGGAACTCGTCCTTCGTCAGCGTTTTGGAGAGCGCGAGTGCGCGCCGCTGCGAGTTCTGGTCGCTGGGGTTCAGCTCCAACTGGATGCGGTACTGATGGCGCAGCTGGCTGCTTTGGCTACGGCCTGTGCACACGACTGGGCTGTGCACCATGACGCAGCGTCGGAATCGACATCTGGTGATACCGCAGATGCTGCAAGCGACCGCTCAGGCCGCTCACCGATCGACGACCTTGTCTGGATGCCCAAGGCCGGTGCTGGCTCGCCACCACGTGACGGAAGTCGAGGCATCAGTTGGTTGGTACTTGCGTACCTGCAGCTGACACCCGTGGAGGTGCTCTTATCGTTCCAACGCGGACGGCAAACACAGATCTCTGAAGCGCAGCTCGAGGCTGCATCGCTGTTGGCACGAGCCGCATACCTCTCTACGTTGGAACGCTTTGCGAGCATCCCGTCCATCGATCAGGCGAGTCTCCAGCTGGCAGGTTTGGAGCTGCGTCGGCACGCGCTCGCAAGTCCCGATGAGTTATCGGCAATGGTGTGGACGCGCTGGACGCGCAGTATCCTCAACCAATGGTACAAGCTGTTGGGCTCCCTCGACGTCATTGGTGCACCATTGACGGCTACAAGATCGCCGGTTACGCACCTCAAGGAGATGTACAGCAACCTTATGGCGGGACGCAGCACCGCTCGCCGGTTCTCCTACGGAGCCTACAGCGCGGTATCGGCGGCGGAACGGGTCAGTGTGGAGACAGGGAAGCGCGTTGTTGCGCAGCCAGCAGCAGGCGCCATGGCTCGCACCGCGGGAGCGCTTGGACTACGCCTTCTGGCGCGTGGCCTCAGGAGACTCGGCTCAGGTAAGACGGCATCACCACGAGCGCGGCATTTGGTGCGGACGCAGACGCATCCCGGCGGTATCGCCACAGAGCCGTCGAAAGCGAGCACCGAAACGACGCTGCTGGACGATGAGCCGGTAGCTGCGACCATTAGCGCCACGATCGATGCCACTGTGCCAGCGGCAGACTCGGATTCGCTTATTCAGTGGGATGACGACGAATCTGGAACAGAAGAAGCAGCGACGTTGGCCTTGCAGTCGTTCGCCCACAATGCCGTCGAAGCATTATCATCACCATCATGCGTAGATGCGGATCTACGAAAGCTGCTGCTGTATCCGGACTCGTGAACGTTGCCTGCGGCAGCACGCAACGCAGGTATGCCGGGTCATGAGACCTCCGTGGCGTATGTGACTCGCTGCCTGCAATACAGAGGCATCTGAAGGGTCCGCCTCCAATAGTCTCTGTCAGCCGGAGGCAGGTGAATGTGCCCCGGGCCTGTGTGCGAGCGTCATCCGGCTGCGTCGTGTAGAGTCAGTGTGGATGCTTCCGTTTCGTAGGTGCCGGCTCATGCCCCGCAACCTGCACACACGATAGGTATTCCGGGTACTCGTTGGCTTGCAGGTCTGCGGATGCGGTGCTCTTTTGCACCGCTGTAGCCCGGGACGCCACCTAGCGTGCATCGTCGAAGGTGCCTGGCCCTCATGTGTCGAACTTGGATCATTACCGGCAACCGGATATGATGGCTCGTCGTCAGTCTTGAGCTCTGGTGCTGGCTGCGAGTGCACCAGTACACCCAGAAGAGTGCCTCGGGGGCGATATGATTCACACCCCGAATGGAGCGTCGACGAAACCTCCCGATCGCAGTCGCTGTGGCAGTAGGGCTACCTCCGGGCCCAGCCAGCGGTGCGGAACGCTTCGGTGTGTGTGCTCGGGAAACGCGTGTGCACTGCTGTGTTTACACGTTCAACAACAAGTACAGGTAAACAATCGGCATGCGACGCGTTCTATGGAACGAGCGACGTTTTTCGGGCGACACGCGCCCTATCGACATGGCCCTGCAGAATGCGTATTCGGTGCAAGAGTCTGCTGCCTCGTGGCACGTGAAAAACGCTCTAAAAGGGACTGGAAGTGCTATCTTTGGTGCAGTGTGCAACATGCTAGACGCCTATCGTTCCAGGGTACTGAATGAGCTTGCACGTAGACAAGTGAAAAGCGTCGACGCTTTCCCCGGTAGCTGGGACTAGCCATTCACTGCTCATACAGCACATAAGCGGTTTACGGAAGCGCTCGGTGGGGTCCAGCAAAGCCAAAACTCGGACGTGGAAGAAACTGTTTACTTTGAAGGTAGCCTGCTGGTAGCTGGAGCGGAGTCCATGGTTGCACCGGTTTCTAGAGCGTTTCTCGCTCTGCGTACCAGACAAGCAGTGCACTGCGGTTTACTGACTCGCATTCATGAAGGCATGCGAATATACCCGCGAGTCCTCTGCAGTGTCAGGTGCCCGTGCAGGACACAGGCGCAACCCGTCAGCTGGATACTCGTAGATGTGCGTCTATTGCATGTTCTCACTACGATAAAGCACTGAACATTCTGGATTTCCCGGTGTCGGATGGGTATAAGCGACTAGCGCAGATGCGCATACGCTGCGCGTCTTCGTTGAAGGCACTTGCGTTGCTTCGCAGTAGCATTCATATTCCACGAGTGTAGCACGATGTTTTCCCAGGAACAGAAGCTTGGTCCATCTAGTGACCGCGCGTACACTGCACTGGCCGCGGGTGCTTGCGACGGTTCCTGTGGATGCACCACCATGATCAACGAATAGCTCCAGCGCCGTTGTACCAGACCGTTAAGAAGTCGTACGTAGATTAAGGATGTCGGATAAGGTATCGGTAAGCAGCGACTCGGGTAGATTGCGCTCAGTCGACGAATGTGCTTTGTTGAAGGTAGCTTTCTAGCTAGCCTGCTTGCCACCACATTGTCATTTCTCCCTAATGTTCAGTGTCGCCCCACAATCGTATAGGCCGTTACCTACCAAAGACCCATTTCTCCTGAATGATCAGCATCGCCCCACAATCGTATAGACCGTTACCTACCAAAGACCCATTTCTCCCTAATGTTCAGTGTCGCCCCACAATCGTATAGACCGTTACCTACCAAAGACCCATTTCTCCTGAATGATCAGCATCGCCCCACAATCGTATAGACCGGTACCTACCAAAGACCCATTTCTCCTTAATGATCAGTGTCGCCCCGGTTTACCCCATCAGGAGTTCCCTCGAGATACTCGTCTGCGTAGCCAGCGCCCCAGTCGCCAACTACAATACCGTTCAGAGGTCGTGTACCATGCTCCTCAGCCGCTTCCTACTTACCGATCCACAATATGCACTGTGCTTCTATCCATACGGCATCCGCGCGCGTTTCGGATCCCATCGCACTTCTCGGACACCAGGGAGCAGCCCCAGAGCATCGATCGCTGCCATGATCACCACAAGCATCATGTTGATCATGATCATCACAACCCTCTTTACCCTATTTACCCTCATGGTGATCCTCATCATCACGTCGACGGCGCCGTCGAAGTCGACGTCGCCACGAGACGCCGCCGCAATCTGCGCTCTGCGCATCGGCGACGGTGTCGATCCTGTACCGGGGTACCACGTGCAACAGCGTAGAGGTGTACGCTTCTTGTGCCCAGGGGTGTCGTGTGCCTGGTGCGCTTTTTCGGTCCACGGACGTTTGGTAAGCGATTATCCGGGCAGGCTGGGCCAGTTCTTTTCGAATTGTGAGGCAAGAGCGCGTGGGACCCGGTGTCAAAGCGGGGAACTACGGTTTTTAATACCTAGACGAGGTTTCGTTCACTGTGGCCGTCCACTTGTGTGTGTGTGTGTGTGTGTTTGCGTCTGTGTCCATGGTTGAGTCGGACGCAAGCGATGGTAGTGTGCACTCCGTTGAGCAGAGTTGCAGTCCGGGACGTGCTGTTTCTCTTGAAAGTTCTCTTCGAAGCATAGAGAGTCTACGTCAGCAGGGTAACACGTTCCTGAAGCGGGGCGCTAGCGGCAAGGCCGTGCGGTGCTATACCCGCGCGTTGGACAGCATCGAGCGTTTGCGTTCTACAGTGCACGGAGCGGATACTTCGAAACTGGAAGAGACAGAGGCGCTGCTTCTATCGAACCGGGCGGCAGCACTGTACAACTTGCTGCGTTTCCAGGAAGCGCTGGACGACGCCAATCGATGCGTTGCGCTGCGGCCGCAGTGGGCAAAAGCGCATCGTCGCCGCGGACAGTCGCTGCTTCATCTGGGCAACCTCGAGGCCGCCGCTGATGCCCTACAGACTGCACAACAGCTTGCGCAAGAGCAGTGGAAAAAGGAACTCCTCCGTGACGGCTGTGATGCGGATGCTATTATTGCCGCGTATGAGAAGCTGGAGAACAATGCGTCCGCACTTGCGAACTCGAAGCCACCAGTGCCCGAGTCGTTACCGCCCAAGCCTCCGGCACTGCAAGAGATCGAGACTGTGGCGGTGTTCGCTGCGTTACTCTGTGACCTGCAGGCGGCGATGTTCGTGCTTCCGCCGGAGCCAGCGCTGGGCCTTCTTCGTAACTGCCCGGTATTCACCATCACCGACGAGCTCGGGCAGCCGTTTTTCCTCACCGATGAGGACGGTGAGCAGGTATGCTCCTTCTATTTCGATGTGGACGACGTTAAGGAAACCCTTGAGTGGATACGGTCGGAGGATGAGCAGCTCGGCATGCGAGCCCAAATCGTATCCGTTGACCTTCCACGTGCCCTGCGCCTAGTGGCGGATACTCAGCGAGAGCGCTTCGAGCGGACGTTGCGTCGCGGGCTCAAGGACGGTGCCGCCGCAGGCATATCGGCATGCTATCGCTCGACGCATACGTTCCAGTTTCGTCCATCACTCGAGGCCGTCAAGACGGCGGTACATCTGTGGCGGGCACAAGAGAAAGCCTTACGGGAGAATCCCGAATCCGATGACCATACCGGAAACAATGAACTGGATGAAATTACAGTCGAGAATTTCAACGGGATTCCGATTTTCCAAGCCAAGGGTTTAACGGTACTCCAGAATTATCGCCAGCGCGTGCCGCTCTTCTTCGATAAGAATGATCTGGACTTTGCATGGCGTGAGCTCCGTCTAACTGCCGAAGAGGCAATGCAAAGCGGTCGACAAATCGAGCACCCGGACGTCGAGTTCAACGTTGGCGTGCCGGTGCCACCGGATGAAGTGCCCGAAGAATGCGAAGTCGATGTAGGTACGCTCGAGGATGTCTTGCATCGGATGGCGCAGGCTGCCAACGAGGGATCCGACGAATTCTCTGTCATTCTTTTCGTGCCGTCACGTCGCTCTACGGAGTACCTGGGGCTTCCGTATCCGCTCGATGAATTGCACAAGACTGACACGGATGCGGAGGACTCGCAGTTGTCGTCCACTGACGCTGAAGAAAACGAGTTGCAGTCGTCGTTCGCTGCGCTCGGTGCTCCCGGATCGACGCGTACTGAGCCGGAGGCGTGCGCACCAAAAGAGCGGAGCACGGAGGCTTCCTCGAGCCTCACACCAGCCCAGCGGAAGCTGCTGCTGCAGAGGCTCGCCACGCAAAGAATTGCCAAGTCTACCTTGCGCATGCGCAACCGGACGACTGGAACGCGTGCAGCAGCAAGTGGAGCATCGAAAACCAGCAGCACCATGAATGCCGCCAATACTTCTGCTGCTGCTGCTGCTGCTGCTGCTGCACCTGCAAGCGATGGCCAAAGCGCTTCGACGACGCTGGCGTCCGAACCTCTGACTGCCCGCGAAATCGTGCTACGAGGTGGTGATCGGGAGACAGTGCGGGCGTACTTAGAAGCTCGGTTTGCTCAAAGGAGAAAGCAGCATCAAGAGTCCAATTCGGCGTCACAGTGATCGCACAAAACACCACCAAATGCTGAATCGGGACGAGGACACTGGCGCTGGAACGACATGAGCGCACAACCGATATGCGTCTTCGGGAATGACGTATGTTTACTGACTAGGTAAAACTTTCGAGCGTTCGTGGGTGATATCGAGGCTCCTCGTGCGCATCAGCGCTGTTGCACTCTATGGACGGGTATGCTCAGCGCGATGCATTCTGGAATATTGGTCCAGTGTAGTCTAATTCGTGTATTCTTGTTGCAGATCTTCAGCGAACGCCGTGTATCCTATGGACTGGTGACAAGCCGCGGTGAGAGCATTGATGCAGGTGTCTGCTGGGCTGCGTAACAAACGGTTACCATTGTCCAAGTCAGGTGATCTATGACAAGCAGGTGCATCAGACATAATTCTTGTAATCGTTACCATGAGCAACATGCACCCGAAACAGAACACGTCAATCTACATGGATACGACTGCCTCCGCGAGAAGCCGTGCTACTCTACACGGTCTTCTAGAAATACATCCATAGAGGATACAAGCTGTTGAATTGAATGCCCTCAATACAACAGGCCATGAAAAGGTCCGCATAGATGCAGACAAACGAGGGCTTCTCTGGGAGAGCGACTCGCGCATTGAACCACCCACCATCGATTTTATACGACAGGGTGAAGGCTTGCTCCAGGATGGACGTGTATGCATCTCACTCGAAGAAACTTGATTTGGGAGGAATGGTAGTCCCGAATACGGGTACTCAAATAAGCGCACTTTTGTATGCGTTACCAAGTTGCAGGCGAGCTCTCCGACGACATCAGGCCCAGCGCTGATGCTGTCAAGTGCGGTCGCCTAGAAATTGCCGAAAGGACGGGGTCGTTCAATACCTCATGACTTGTCGAGGTATTTTGGAAATTCTCCCAGTCGTATTGCTCTGTCCTGCACAAGGTCAAAATCGCTGTACATCGCTCAGAAAAGGCCAGCAAGTACGCGACTGAGACTGGTATGGAGCTGCTCTTCAGGCGAGCGTCTTGTACCCGCTACAATACGGTCGAGGGGCGTCTTCTCGGTTGTCGAACGCGATGCTTACCAGTTCGGATCAATAGAGGAGCCCTTCGCATCCGCAAAGAATCGTTTTCTACGACATTCACCTGGCCTGAACCTGTCTGTTGGTTCTCTGCTCTTGCACGAGAGGGAGCTGAGAGGCTCGCTTCGGACTGTGGACCAGCTCGCGATGGAGACTGTAACGAGAAGGCCCTCGTGGAATGCTGTGCAAGTGCGTAGAGAAGGTGCGTAGCAGCTTCAGTATCCATACAGGCCGCGTGCATCCTTCGGGAGTAAACGGATACAGATTACATTGACCGCATGGATGCTAGCCCGCAAGATCATAGATAGGGAAGGAGAAGAATACATCAGACAAAGAGGACAAGAAGGAACAGAAAAGAGCAACGATCGGAATGTGGGTTTCAGTCTGAAACCATTGTCGACGCATCCCTAGCGAAACATGTCAAACGCGTGGATCTCCGCAAAAGCGAGCTCCCGGGCATCATGACAGTTCGCGTAGCTCTTGGCTCAAAGAAGCCTCGTCTAGCGTCTCGTTCCATCAGGCACCTCGTCAAGCTATCTTCCGTTGGCATTTCTAGACGCAGAACGCCCCGCTGTCCGCATGGCATTGGCATTGTTCGATCGAACATCTGTGCGGCAACAAAACTGAGGTACGGCACCGAAAATGCATGGAGTACTGATCGTAACATCAAAGACGAGCGCACACACGCCTCCCAGAATATTTTGACGAGTAGTCGTGCCACATGGATGACCTGAACATCAACAGCGCACACGTTGACAAGTTTCGAGGCAACCTTGCAAGCCAAAACTCGATGCCGGTCCGTATCGACCGATTCACAAACTGCATCCTGGAGCAGGTGTAACCTCACCTTATTGGCCTCGAAAGTAGGCACACGGGAAAAGGGACCCGTTCGGTCTTGATGGCTGCAAACGAGGACCTGGTGGTTGCGGAAGAGATTGGTGCACGTTCGGTGCAACCTGTGTGACGGGAGCAGCGGTCGCGTGGGATCGTCCGAACTTGGTGTGCCGAACTCGTCCTCGGACTGATGGACGTTGCATACAGGGGATTGCGAAGACGTAATACCTGCCGGTCGTGCACCTTGCGCTCATATAATTTCCTGAACAGCGTCCTCCACGCTGAAACAGACATCCAGAAAGGATCTGAGCGCCCTCGATTCTAGCAGCGCCTACTCGATATGGCTCCAATATGTCAGATCGAGGCCGATGTTATCCCTGCAGACTTTTCTATAATGTGCTGCATTGCCGCTTTTTTGAGCTACAAGTCATGGCTGGACGCAGGTATCAAGTACTCGAGCGCTGTTGCCAAGGGCATCTGCAGAGTTCGTTCGAGGACAGCCGTTTCCAATGAGGAAACGTAACGATATCCTCACGAACGATAAACACCGCCATGCTATCTACTTGCATGCACTATGCAAAACCTAGGTCTAGATTAACTCCGAGACTCTTTCTCAATGTCTCATGGGCGATAACGCGAGTGCGTTCATCGTGACCGTGGATCCCAGGCGATGTCCCTCGTGGGCATAAACGTACCTCCAGCTCAAAAGGCTGGAGCGCAGGACATGTGCGGATAGCAGATGAGGATGCTCAGCTATCCAGCGGGTAGGTTTCTTTGAGAGTCGGACATGATGCGCGCCATACGACATACAGAACGGTGGCGCAGCGGCAGCGTCAGGACCCCTTTCGAGGCTCCATGCATCGTACTGAGCAGCGTGAGATGCGTTGACTGCCTTGTTCAGAGAGTCCACAAGCGTCCAACTGGCGCATGCGAACGCTCTCCCGCAGACGTTCATGAGAACGCGCTGGCGTCGCCAACGGATACGGTTGAACGAACCGGTTACAAGCATGTACTCGCCGACTTGTTCCATGAAATGCCAAAGGCAACGACCGATCATTGAGGCGTTTGCCGGTGCAAGGTTAATGCGCTCTACATGCTGCTTTTCGAACTGACTGCACGCCTGCTCCTTCGAAGGCGACATACGACGAGTCCCGGAATCGTTTCTACACAATACCCGTGGACGATTTCATGACGAAGTTGCCGCGACATGAGCAAGGACGCATGTGGATACAGATCGAGAAGAAGCGCGTGAAACAGACCATTTTGCACATAAGATGGTGGGTGGTAAACGTACCGATTGCTGTACGGTACGAGCATTGTTGTTGGGAGGCTTGCAAGGGTGTGGTTGCACAACCCCCATCACCACCACCATTGCATGCAAGTGCTCATCGTATCGAGACTCGAATGCTTCGATCAACATATGGAAAGGTCTTGTGCAACTGCAGCGTCTACGGGCTATTTGTCGAGCGAATGTCCAAAGTGATCGGGTCACGTGCGCTTTTCGGCATTGTACCGCATCGCTGAGGACTTGCACGTCTAGAATCCGTGATCTGGTGAGGGCGCATTCAACGCTCGCCTTGAGCAGGGCTCTCCTTTCATACACCTGGGCATTCCGGAGAGTCTAGAGCACCACATGCATACCGCGGGCAATGCCCAGAGGTAACAAATCGACGATCATGGGGTTCCACGACTCGAGACAGCTTTGCGTATCCTCGATCGACAGCGTCGGCAAACGGATGCCTTTCTCGCATCGCGTGTAGCGCTGCAGAATCACCAGCACCATCGTTATCATCGCCGTTGTGCTTGTCCGAGCCGCACATCGCTGATGCGTCGGAGTCGACAAGTCGCACCGCCAAAGCGTACCGTCGGGGTAGGGGCGCGATGCGCTCATCTCAACGTTTCGAGTGAGGTCCCGTGCAGTGATTCTTGTGATGCTGTTGCAACAGCATCACGAGGAGGCGTTCGCGGTTCTCTGCGAGGTGCATCGGCATGCCTCCAGCTCAGAGGAAGCGTTGCGCGGTACCAGAGACGCTCCTTGGAACGGAAACGTGCCATATGCCCAGCACATGACGGACGCGGCACCATACCCGGAATGAGCACGCAACACGAATGATACCCGTTTATAATTCGTCCTTTTCTGTTTCTATCGAGTCCGCGCTGCTCGGGAGCGTGAACTTGTGCGTCGCATGTTTCTGGATGAACGAAAGCATGTCCGCAACGGAACGATCACCCTCATATCGAATGGATTTTTTTGTCGAACCTGCTGGGAAGAAGAGCAGCGTCGGGAAACCGCGAGCTTTGTACTCGCCAGGCGCATCGTTTTTCGTCGCATCCATCTTGGCGATGACCACGGTTTTCACTGGTGCTAGTTTGCGTGCAAGTTCTTCATATGCTGGTTCCAGATTGCGACAGTGTCCACACCAGGGAGCATACTGTTCCACAAAGACGTCTTTCTCCGGGTCCATGACGATTTGATCCCAGGTTTTGCCTACAACAACCTGTACGGGACCCGTGTTCTCTGCTGGAGGCTCCTCGGAGCGTAGCGTCGGCTGCAGCTTACCATCGAGATAATCCGAGATGAATTTTTCGATGGACGCCTCGTCGGTTGCACCGTCGTAAATGAAATTGCTATCCTCGCCAAGCACATGGATCGCAAAACGCCTGCCGTCCGTACACCCGATGTATTCGCGAAATCGTGCAAGTTTCTCCGCGTCCGCCAGCACGAAACTGATTCGCGAACGATACTTCTTCGCCATCTGCTTCATGATGGACACGCCCTTTTGCTCTGGTTTGTGTGGTGCATCGTCGAACATAATAAACAACGGGTTCCCGATATCCTGGTACAACTCTGCAGTTGCCTGGGAGATCTCGCCAACGAGTGGCACCGCATGCAGCCGAATGAACTGCTGCAGTGGCTCCGTCGTGTCCTCTGTTTTGTCCTGTCGAGTGCCTGCCGCACCTGGTGCATCCCATGCCTTAATATGCACGCGCTCCTGAACGGACTCGGACTCGGTATGCGGCCGCGCCACAACGATAGCAGCCGTATCCTTCGCGAGCGCTGGATGCGCGTCTGCACCGAGCGCGTGGGCAGCCTCCACGTCACTCGTTTGGTAAAACATCAGGTCTGGGAAGAGCTCGCGCAAAGTTCGGGCTGCCTGTTCGAGCTGTGTCAGCCGCGCTGCTCGTTCTGTTGCCGAGAGCGTCTCTGGCAGATAGGCAACCACCCGAGCCCGCTCTTTATCCACATTCAACGCGGAGACTTGTGCGGAACTGTTCACAACCACGACGGGAGGTGTCATTTGCCGACGAACAAAGTTGACCAGCGCGTCTTTGGTGCGTTCACCGTTATAGTCGGCAACCGGCTTGCCGTTCACGAATAGTTTAATGGTCGGAAACCCTCGAATCTCGAAACGATCACGTAACTTGGTTTCCACGGTTGCGTCGACCTCTGCAACCAAAAGATCCTTCTGTCCGCTCAAATCCACCGCAGCTGCGTCCCAGTCTTCCTTCATTCGCTTGCAGTGACCACACCATGGGGCAATAAACTTGACCAACGCTATGCGGTGCGCGTTGATCTGCTTATCGAACGTTTTCTCGTTCAGCGACACTGAAGCCGACGCTCCACTCTTCGCAGCCAAAACTGCAGCTGCGAATAACAGAGGAAGCAGGCAAAACGCCACCGCACGAGAGATCCTTGACAAACGCATAGCACCCCTGAACTGTTCCTAGACCGATCGAGGTCGCTAAGACTCGAAAACGCGGCACGTGTCTACAGACACGTTCGCGCTTCGCTGGGCAGCGCACCGCAGCGCAGTGCTGGCGCTCTTGATCGACAGCCGGACATTGACGACGGCAGCGGCAGCGGCGGCGGCGATGTGCGACATGAACGCGCAGCTTGAGTATGTCAATAAAATGGCCAAAAAATGCCGTTATATATAGGTTTTGACTATAATATACCACGGTGTCTTTTGGTGACCATGTATTCGATCGAACTGGATGCTGGCGCAGGGGCACGCGAATCCCATGCTTCGTGTTTGGTGCGTGCCCTGCGCTCAACGCCAGCAGAGGATATCTGATATATGATGCCTCGACCATAGTTGGGTGCTCAACGGGTCGTTGCTCTTCCCCGAGCCAGTGTCCTCGTGTGCTGCTCTATGACACGGTCGCCGGACAGGTGAGCGTCTTCAGACTGGCGCATATAGCGGACGGCGCACGACAGGCCGTGCCGTCGTGTCGGTGCGCGCACGGAACGCCATACGAAAGGACACGTTGCGTGCGCGGATGCGGACCATATGCGTCATATACTATCATTACTACACAAAAAGGAATAAACTTTACAAAGCAGCCCATTCATCGCACCGGCATCGAGCCTCGGCGTTACACGACGCCCATCGCGAACGGAATTTCGTGAGCGCGCTTTATGTGCCGTTGCATCCAGGGATGCTCGGCTCGCATGTACCCATACTAATCAAACGTCGTTGCCATCCTGCGCGACTGTGGCTGCCAACGCGCTCAGTCAGGTTTTGCAACCAGAGACGAACAGATCCAGGCACCGTGTTCGCCGCGAGCCAAAACGCCCGCTCAAGACGCGACGATCTCTGCACCGTACACGCGCTGGGATCGATTAGCTCACCAGCCCCAAATGGCCCGTTTTAGCGCTATGGTGTGGTTCCGCAGGGCCAATGCCAGCGGATGGCCTTTCGGCCCGGTGGCCTTCGTGTATCCCAGCCATTCTGTGAAAAACGAGACGAGATCATCATTGAAAAATATTTCGGGCTGCGTCTTCATGAAAGCCCAGGAAACATCGGCGCGACCTCGGATCCGTTTTTGTATCCACTCATTCACATTTTTGGAGTGGAAGTGAAAGAGTGCCGTGTTCTCGGCGCTGGGAGGCTCCTGGAACGGGCCCTCTACTACCTCGCCGGACACGCTGAGCGCTTTCATTCCAGGGTCATAACGCGCATGGTGAGGCGACCTAAAGAACCTCGTGCGGGGCGCGTAGACGATGGACTTGACGTGCTTGTTTGGGCTCCCGATGGAAAAAACCGCGCTCTCCGCAGGAAATGTTGTTGCATTCAAGAGCTTTGGATACCGCCCTGGGAATCGCCAGTTGACCGCAAGCGCAGCCATTGTCGCATTTTTCTCACGCTGCAGCTTCTCGAGTACGCTCGGTATGCAGGGCGCACGCGTCGAAATGAAAAACTCATCGGCATCGATAGCTCCGAGCCAGGACACGCCTGCACGTCGCGCCCTGCTGAGCGCATCGTCGTAGGCGCGCAGCTGCACTCCCTGGCCTGAAATATTGTAGAGGCTCACCAGACCGAGCTTTTGAAATGGTTCCAACGCGTTGGAGAGGTTATCGCTCGATTCGTTGTCGTACACGAGGAAATGCTCGACACCCTGCCCAAGATGATGCAGGATGTTTTGGACAAGCAGTCTCGCCTCGTCGCGAACGATGTACACAAACCAGAGGTACCGCGGCCGCACTGGGCAGTTCCGCGCGAGCCGCACCCGCTCTATCTGCTCTGCGGACAGCGGCATCAGACTGTTCGAGGTTAGGCAGTACGCCGGGTCAAGACGGCTGCCTCGCGGAAGCGGCGATACGGTTACAGGCCGCTCAAACACTGGGCGAAGGCGCCCTCGATACCACACTCTTCGACGCCGCGGTAGCAGCTTCGCGTAGCAGTCGTAGTCACCGTCGCAGCGCCCGTAGTAAAGATCTAAAAAGGTACAAAAGTTTCCCAGTTGTCGTTGAAGGCTCATCTGTATGTGATATCGTGGGTTCTTATCGGTTACCGGCGCGGTGTCCTCGGGGTAGCCCCCGTTGATCACGTATTGAAGAAGCGCGAAACGAAGCTCGCACCACGCAGTGACGCCCACAAACAGCAGACAAAAAGTCAGCGCAATCAAGTGCTTGGCACGCACCTTGGCCCGCCGCCGTGAACCCGCAAACTCCTCAGAAGCGTTGCCGGAAGCGACGCATGCTGTCCTAGAACTCGGCTTTCGCTGGCTTGCCCCGAGCTTAAGCAAGGATTGTCGTGTCCCGTCGTCTTCCATAAGGTTCACGTCCTAGAACGCGAATCTAGTGAGATTACACGCGGATATACCTTCCCCAAGGTACAAGCGACGCCAGTACCTCACTAGTAGAAGTAAACAGGAAGCAGCGGGCAACTTGATTGAAAGGTATGGCGAACAACAGCAAATGTCCCTTAGAGAGCGATTGGAGGAGAAAAAACGCATCCGTCAGAAGCGTTGGCGGCGCCAACAGTCTTTCGGCGAGGGCGCAACGTGCCGTTCAAAAGTGTATTGCGCTCGCTGGCCATATAACGCTATGCTTTTCTTTTCAAGAATGGAAGCAGACCTTGTATACAAGCAGTCGTGATGATATGTGTATTGCGCTCGCTGGCCGTGTAACGCTATGCTTTTCTTTTCCATAATGGAACATGACCTTTTCTACAAGCAGTCTTCATGATATGCGTATTGCGCTCACTGACTGCGTACCGCTAGGCTTTTCTTTTCAAGAATGAAAGCTATCCTTGTATACAAGCAGTCGTGATCATTTGTGTAAGAAGATTGCGTTCGCGAGATTCCAAGTACGTTTACGGGAGGTAAGCGCAATCGAAATCCGATCCAGACGATGCTGGCGCTGTCTAGCATCTGCAGTGTACCCGTCTACAATGCATTGGAGGCTTGGTTGATCCATGGCGTATACGAGCACCACTGAGAGAAGCAACAGCGCCATTGCCGTCGTTCACGTTTCCTCTTATGGTATCGATGACCCGAAGAGCATCGCTGATACGCGTTCGGGAGTAGTGCAGGTATCCCTTGCATCGAAGTGAGGTGGAAGTCAGCGCTCTTCGTGGTCGCATGAGCGTGGATACATGCACGCTATCGGACCAGCCGACATGAGTGCACCGCATGCCCTGCAGCAGGGTCGAAGGTGCAAACAGTGCGTCCCAGGAGTGCTGTGTGCTCACGTCGACGGGCGTCTCGAGGATGCCTTGTTGGATGCAGCGGAACGATACCACCAAATGAGTCGACCAGCGTGTCCATGAGAGGCACGTTGCGCAACATGCGGGTCCAGGGCAAGCTGAACGCATGTTTCAACAAGCATCCATGACGTTCATTGCTCTGATTGCTGAGAAAGCTTGCATTCGGTTCAACTCGGAGACCGCAAAATTCCATGATAATCGGAATCGAAGCACATCGAGGTTCCATGTGTCGCGGACAAGCGCCCTGCGGCAATACGCTGCATCCACGATGTCGAGGGATTCCGAGCGGAAGACATTGGACGATGCCCTGACGCTCTGGTGAGGCGTTTCCGGGCACTAGACACCACATGTGCGTCCACGACAGGTTCCTGGAACGTGTCGATGCCCAAGGCCGTGTCCACGGGACGTAAGGTGTCGCCATCAGCCTAAAAGATACCACACCAGCGACTGATTTTGCTTTTGGCGTGGGCCTCGGCTACGCTGCCCGGCGGCTGCCGAACGAATGCACGTCGTTCATCGCATGAATCGTGTCTGGTCGCCGTACATCTCGTCTCAATGGGAGGCGAAAGCACGACTGTGCCAGAACTCATGCGTTGGCATCCTATCCAGACCCGATGAATCGAGATCCGAAGTGGTGCTGGATACGGGAAGCTGGAGCGAGCCAGCAGAGAGCATGAGTGGCGTCTCGGCGCTGCACTTGTCTACGAGCTCATTTACTGGTGCTAGCATGGCAGGAATATTGCGTGACAGGTGTCTGTATCTCAAGAACAGAGGCTAAAGTTGTGCCTGGCGACGCTCGCAGGACGCCACTAGCGCCCCACACACCTCCTCTGCTGCGTACGCGACACGAACTGCATCGGGAGCATCAAGCATCCCGAAGGACTTGGAATGTCTGTGTTCATATATGCTCTGGGGCACAAAAAAGTTAGCGATCCAGGCAGCGTAGATGCGCAGAGCGAATAACGACGGCCGCTCTGATGCAAAATGCATTCCGTATCTTCGTTGCGAACGGATCTGTCAGAGAAACTGTCGGCTTCCAAAGGGTCACATCGCTGATAGATCAGCTTCTACTGGCGTGCCCAGAATCGTACAGAGTACCCAGGTCTACGGCCTTGCACCGCATGCCGGTGTGCCTTGGGCACAGGAACAGTGGAGCTCCAAATAACGCCAATCATCTTACCAACGCTGCACTATTCAGACGCGGGCGTGAGCGTCTGACGGTTCGGTTGGATCCAGCGAATCAACTGCTCATAGGCTGCTAGCGTAACTGCAGACGCAGGCGCTACCCAAACAATTCGCGGGAATACGCCTTTGAAGAGCGCTGCAGGCCCTTCCTCAGCGAGAATCGTGCGAAGACAATGGAGCACGCCTCGGTAAGCGCGATCCGCACCAATGTGTTGCGTTTGTAAGCGAGTCTTGACGACATCCAGAGGGGTTGTTGCCGCCCCGGCACCAGCGCCGGCCGTCAAACCGCACAACAACATGCCGCCCGAAGTCTGGGCAAAATCTCCCAACAGCGACTTCATCTGCTCGAAAATGGCAAACTGGAGCGCCGTAAACGGCACATCACGAAACATGGTGGCAGTTGCCCCAGCATACAGACCCTTGCGAATGCCTTCGGTTCGAGCGATCACTCGCAGAGCGTGAAATGGCGAGCTGTAGTCCCGAGCAGGCCCCATACCAGCAACTTGCAGACGTTTCGCCACAACCTCTGCAGGAACGTACGTTGACAGGGCTAACAAGTCGGCTGCAGACGCGGATACCACGTCGCTCCACCAGTTGGGGATGCCGTCTGCTCCGTAGCCGCCGCCAGGTGTCCAGGATTTAAGGTATTTGTACGAAGCGAAGGTAATCGCATGGGATGGTACGCTTCCGAGTAGTACAGCTGAAAGTCCTGCATACAGGCCGCCGCGCACGCCCTGCTCCCTAACGATGCGAACCGCACAGTCCAACATACCGCGATAGGGTCGCCCGTGAGCCAGCTCATCGCGACTCGACCAGCGCGACTCCCCGGATCGCTTGACTCGACTAGACTGCTGGACTTGGAGGCGAGCTTTTATGGTGTCCACGGGGTGCATCAGTAGGTCAGCGAGTGCTCCGGCGAGACCGCCAGCCAGGGTGTCGACCAACAAGTTGATGCCTCGCCCGCTGTCGCGGTTCACGAACTCCAGCATCGCTGCATGCGGCACCTCGTGCAGTGAGCACGCGAGTGCTCAAGTCCTAAGCCGCCTCAAGTGTCCCAGTGCTCGGACTCGAAACCGCGTGAGCGCGCTGATCCCTGTCGGCTGCTCCGCAGCCTCTGTAGAAGCCGTCCAAGCCCGCACCGAAGAGACTGGTATCTTGCGACCGATCAAGAAAGCAGCAACGCAAGAGCAGTCCTGGACACGAGTGCTCGATCTTAACCCCAGTGAAACAGGTGCAGTCGAAGACACGCTTCCTACTCCCCTGTTTTCCCGTACGACTACTTGATAGACGCCGGCAACTGCCCAGCGGTACAGGCGGATCGTTATCGCCTCGAGGCATTCAGGGGTATTCGGGGTGGAAACGTGAACGTTAGCAGGGCTTTGTTTGTTCGTGTTCGTGTTTGTGTGTATACTGGTATCGTACAAAACACGGAGCTTCCAGGAGATGCACTGAACATATGCAAAGCACTTTGGCTTCGTGACTGGTTCTACTACTGCACTGCTATCGTCGACTGGAGACCGAATGCAGTTGCGATACGCGTTCAAGCTTGGGCGTGGTTTTACCGGCCTGCATCCCTTCGCAGGATTCCAGGTAATAGAGCGCTGCCCGAGTGACCTGCAGCGGGCACTCAGTACTGCGCTAGGGTTCATCGCTCCCAAGCTCGGCGCTCGGCGCTTCTCGGTAAAGGCGCAAGACCTCGGTGCCACTGAGGAGTCGCACAGCAAACCGAAAGGCGTTGTTTGGTTTTGGGGTAACGCAGACGACGGCCGTCTCGGGGTACCGCTCTCACGAACGGAGCTGGATCGCGACTTTGGTGCTGGGCGACGCTGTACGAGGCCCGAGGCCCTCGACAATTTGCCGAGTTCCATCAAACGGGTTGCGCTTGGAGCTGCGCACTCCATCGTGCTGCTGGAGAACGGGGACGCGTATAGCTTCGGTCTCGGGTCCGAGGGTCAGCTCGGACTGCCTTCGGAAGCGCTGGTGCCGCGTGCACCACTCCAGTCGCTGCTCACTGCATGGTTGCACCAGCAGCAGCACCAGCAGCAGCAAGTTGGCTTCAGTCGTTGGCCATGGCGCTGGATGCGCTGGTCGCGTTGGACACCGCTCGCTGTTCGCTGGGCACCTCAGCAGCAGCCGCACCTTTCGGATGTAGCGGCTGGTGCTGCCCATTCGGTTTGGGTGTCCTCGGATGGACACGTGTATACGTGTGGACGTGGCACCCACGGGCAACTGGGGCATGTGTCTACTGGACGGAGCGCTCGGGGCATTGCATCCGTTCCGAAAACGATCGAACGCCCGCTGCTTGTCGAAGCATTGGCCCGATCAAACGTTCATGCCGTGCAGGCAGTCTGTGGGGATCAGTTCACACTCATACGCGCTGCTGATGGCAGTGTCTACGGCAGCGGCTCCATCGAGTACGGACAACTGGGTTTAGGACATCCTGCGACTGTGGACCAGACGCTCTCTGGTCCAGGCGGACAGCGCTTCGTGGGGACTTTTCGACGGCTGCGTGCACTGCACGGCGAACCGGTGGCAAAGCTCTTTGCTGGCTTCAACGCAGCCGGTGCAATCCTGAAGAAGAGCGGTGAGCTCGTTGTCTGGGGCAAGTTCTCCGACAGGATCTTCTGGGAACCGACTCCGCTGCCGTCGATTCGAGGGCGAGTCCAAAAGGTTGCGTTCGGATTCAACCACGTGCTGGTGCTCGTCGAGTTGGCGCCAGACGGGCTCCGTCGTCGGATGGTCTACAGCTGGGGCAGTAACGAAAACGGTTGCTTGGGTCTGGGTTACGGGACTCAAGCCTCCCATGCAGTGCAGTCACCGCAGCCTATAGAAGCTTTCATGGATGCCCAGTCTGACGCGAGCATCATCGACATTGCTGCTGGCTACCGGACGAGTTACGCGATTCGCGTAGGCATACAGAACAGTCACGTGGATCTCTACAGTTGGGGCAGCGGCCTCTGTGGAGCACTCGGACTAGGCGATCGTATGGTACCGGATGCTGGAGCGGGAACGATCGATTTCTGGGAACCTGTACATGTCTTTCGTGCAAGCCCTGCGGATGGAGCCGAGTTTGCGAATTCGACCTTCCATATTGTAAGCGGATTTCAGCACGCAGCATTGTACAGCACACGGGTCTCTGAGGTAGCGTAGGGTCGCACCGAGTGCGTCCACGCTGGCTCCTGATATCGACGTTGACTTGCATGAGAACGTGCATCCTGCATGGGATATGCGTATCGTTTATCATCGCGTGTAAAGGTTTCCATTTGTAGCATTCATGTGCCGACTTACCTGCAGCTTGTATGAATTTTTATTGCCGAGCACGGTACCGAGGTACGCTCTGGACAGTGCGTAACAGAAGTGTGGAGGATATTCGGGCTACAGCATCTTGATGTGTCGCAGGCAAGCATTCGATCGCTTGCTGTCCGTCAAAGTACCTGCTTTGCAGAGCGAATACCCCACTTTGGCGTCGCTGCGATATGTGCGGAAACTTTCACAACTCTGTAGCGCCTCAAAGGCACCAGGTCCGGAAACGCAATAGGTGCGCTTTCGACGGTGTCGGGTTTCCGATGGTGTTGCTTGTAGTCTCTGTGAACGCAACGTCGGGGACGGTACGTCCGAAACGTTGTGGACGCAAGACTCTGAACGATCCGCCAGGCGCCCGGGTATGCGCTCATCTACTACGTAAAATCCATCCATCGATCCGTTTGTGCACAAGTGCTGTTTATACTGTAGGCACGTTTATGTGCCGCGATGCGACGAAACTGGACAGGGGCTCTGGTGCACCTCGTCCGTTGCCGACACGAATAGAACATTTTTAACTGCTTGCACTGTTCTAGCGCTATGATTCTTTCCGTATTCTTTTCGGGTATACAGCCTGGGCATTCACCGTGCACCATCAGTTCCTACGGATTCACAAGTCGTGTCAGGATTCGCGGTCGTCGTATAGGAATGTTGCCTTCGATGCTTTGCTGCTGAAATTCGTCAACTCAACTGGATCAAGATGGTTCGCGAAGCCGTCGAACAAGCGTTCGTATCGTAGCCTATATCATAATCAAGTTTATTGGTAGAGGACTCCAAACTTCTTCTTTCCATCATTGGAGCTCGCATGAACAACGCAGAAGACAACAGGACGCTTGCTCTGTTGCCACGGAACTCGTATGTGCAGCAAGGCATGCCGCTGGATCGACGAGGAAAGTACCTTGATGTCGAGGTTGACGACTTGTTCACAGCTTATGCCGATAGCACACTGAACATCTCGCGATCCGTATGAGATTCGTTTCGAACGACAAACGGTTCGCTTTTCTTCTAGCGCTACTGTCGACGAATCAGCTTTCCGTAGCATCGTGGTACTTATCATGGGATGTGCCAACAGAGGCTCCCGTCTGTTCTATTTGCACGGAGAAGACTACTCGACACAGAATGCAGTCATCAGAGGGGTCGCTTCCAGTGGAGCGTATGGAAACGCTTCGCATGAGGTAAGCGTACACGGGAGGAGACCTCTCGACATGTCCTCCAGTCTGGATATCCCCGCTGTTGTACCTGTTTCATCTCGGACAATATCGTGCTCCAAGAACTCTCTATCGAATACGCCAGCGTCATCGTCGACGGAATCGCCCAGAAGGCGAACGTGATCGTAGGGTAGGTACCGAACGCGGAAACCGAGGCCGACAACAAGGTGATTCTCTCGTCCCCGACAAGAGCGTGTACCAAGCGATGAAGCAAATGTTCAAGTGCAACACAGCAGTTCTCCGAATATAAGGTTTTATGGTACAGCTGTGAGTAGAGCGGAGCAGCACATGGCGTCGCCGCTGCGCAAAGCGCACCGAGGCCGGTCACAAAGAGGACGAATGCGTCAAGCGATATCTTGATCGCTCATTTCGTCTGGGCATGGAATGCGTTGACAACCGCCGGAATCAGCGGCTATGGAACCTGGACGCTGCCGTGATCATCGTGAGCTTCAGCATCACCCTTCGACTATTGGCACCGGAGCTACAGGGATACGACAGACCGGCCTCTTTGAAGGACGGCGTGAGTGGACTGGCAAACGAAGCAGCTGCAGGGAAAACCCCTAAAAATGGTGTCCATGACATGAGGAAGGCATCCAAACCTCTCGTGCATGCACCCGTGTTCGTGTACCTGGTCTTTTCAAGTCTAGCGCGGGTGCATATGAGGATAGAAGAAGCGGTAGCGCTGAGGGCGTCTATGGGAACATGAGACAATCTTTGCATACAAGGACACGTGCGTAGCCCAGCAGGAATCCCGATGACGCGATACCGTTTCGAAGCGCGTACTTCTCCTCGAGCGTATCGTGCCCGGGAAACGACGAATTCACTATGTTTACCATACAGGTTAATCTTTGTGTTCCCAGATCCTGGACAGGAGCGCTCAGGCTGCGCAACGACCTGCGCCGTGGTGACGAGTGGTCTCGCTCGTTACCTGGTCGACCCAGGCAAGCTGGTCGGCGGGGTGCTCGGGGAGTCCGCAGCCTCGGACACGTGCGAACCTCGCGTCGTGGCTGGCACTCAAGCTGTGCGGGGGACAACTCCAGGAAAACGCCTTCATCACCGGGACCCGAGGAAAATGCTCCGAAAGACGTGGATACAGAGCCAATTGTGTTGCGCCTTGGGCGTTGTCGACGTTGTGGCGAGCTGTTCGAAGAGCGTCTCAACCACAAGCGAGCTTGTCGTTTCCACGGACACCCGCTTGGCGACCGCGGCTACTATCGATTGTTCATGGTGCCTCGCGAAGAAGCCGAAGCCTCACTCACCTGGCCCGAGTACGGAAGAGATACGGGCTCAGCGAGTCGGTGGGTCCTCCAGTATCGCTGGTCGTGCTGCGGGAGCACGCATCCGGACTCGCTTGGTTGTCGCCTTGATCGCCACCTTAGCTGGGATGCAGAGCTTAAGTCATATGAAGGCGTTTTGAACGATGCACAGTTGGCTGCGTGGAAGCTGCGATCGCAGTGGGGCTAACGCTGGCGCAGATGCATCCGCGCTGCTTCAATCGTGTCTGTGGTGGACAGGAGAGAGCGTCCACGCGATAGTGTGTCCATCGCTCCTTTCAGAAACGTATGCTGTTACCGAAAGAGCATGTTCACAAGCGAACACGGGCGGTCCCCTCACTGCAGGACGACAGGGCGGTGTAGCGCTTTCGTACGAGCCCGGATCCTGCTTTCGATGGATGCGTAAAATGCCACTGCGGACGCATACTTGCTTCGGTACCGCGGCACCAGAAAACACATGGCATAAGTTGAAGGGAATGCTTCAGGAAGCTGTGCCCGTACTGGTCACAACCAATCGCTGAAGCTGTGCACCTCGCTCAAACAATGATGGTGCCTGCCCGAAAGCATGCCGAGTGAGACGGCGATTACAAGCCGCATACGGATAGCGATGTCTTCAGAATCTCCTACGATGCAGCGGTGAGGAAGTAATACTTTGTAGCGGCCTGAGTGAGGCCCAGTGCCAATGATCCCACAAATCGATGCATTCGGCCGCGACGCATCCACGGCAAAAGCACACAGCGAACGATAACGTTGGAGTATACGGGTTCTCGTAACAGGTACAAGAGCAGCGGCGAAGGTGGTGGTATCCGGACCCCTTCTCGGTGTGAAATGTCGCCAGCAGGCGAGCCGTCACCGCCACCCTGCAACAACCAGCGCCTCGATATCACATCCAGCATGAACGAAATGAGCCAACTACTCCACGGTGCGACACGTGGCACAAAGGCAAGATAGATAACTGGTCGCCAAACGCGGATCCAAGTGGCGATCTTGGAACGGAGATCGTCACCGGGAACCCATACGAAGGGTGCAGCACCTGCAGCGCTTCGCCGGTTCCTCTGCGCATTTTGCTCGTGAATGCTCTGTAGGTAGCGTTCAGTCGCCGCCCAGAGTCGTTCAGCCATAACGAGCCCGCGCCGATCAGCAACAAACATGAAGATGTCCTCAATCGGTACTGAGGCGGCTGCAGTCGGATGCCTCTGATCCATGTTCGCGTATTTGGAACAGGTTTGCTCCGCACATGCCTGCTCATCAGCGACGGTTGCTTGACTGGGCCGCCTCAATGGAGGGGGTTCAGTTGGCGTTATGTCACCAAGAACCGTTGTTGTTGTTGTTGTTGTTGGACGTATTGAGGTGAAAAATGAACGTCCACTGCGCTCGCCGCGCCGAGGAACAATCCGGAGTTGCAGTGCTCCCTGTCGCTCCCAGTCGAGCAGCATCTTCTTGATCTGTGCACGTTCATTCTGCGCACAGTCATATGCACCTCTTGTTGAGGAGAGGTTGTTCGTCTGCTCGGGAACGGCGGTTCGCAGGACCGCCTTGAGCGTTTCAAGGACCAGTACCATGTTGTAGGAGCGTCGGAAGCCTCTGGAATAGTGGGTGCGCGCATGCGCCGACTCAAGCGCGTTTCCTAGGTTTGCAGCTCGCACTCGAGTACCAATCCAGGAATAAAACCAATGGTTTTGGCGGATGCGCATCCAGTCCATAGCAGAGTCGTTTGTGGCGCCGCTCGGGTCTGCGTCGTGTCGCCAGCGGTCCGTTCCGTCCAGACTTTCGGGTACGTCGCTCTGGCTCAACATTTCCAGGAGCAGCTCCGTATGCTCGATCACGCGGAGCATCGATACGAGCGTCTCGGCCCAGCGCAGGGAATTTAACGTGGCAGGAAGCGCAGCTGCTTCTCTCAGAGGCGTGCGACGTCTCCGACGGTACCATTCCAGAGCTCCAGCGAGAACGGAGACTGCCTCTGCGCGCAGCTCCACATTGCCTCCAGGTGCACCGAGCACCGCGACAAGGTGTAATGCTTCTTCGAGCAAATGGACCCAGCGAGCGTGTCTGTTCAGCAACGCTGCAAACTGCCAGTCTAGGCGCCGCAAGTGCTCCCGTGGGCCCCAGCGCCTATGGTCAGACCGCCGCTGTTCCATTCCTTCGGCAATCTTGCTGAGAAGATCTGCATGCCCTTGTCGGCAGTGAGGTATAGCCTGGTTCAATTCCAGACGCCAGAGCTATCCCCCAACTGAATCAATGCTTCTGCTCGCTCCTTGCGAGCAACAAAAACCGTGCTGCTTGTCTAGCGTCGGATCGGCACTGCGACTAGAGCGTGGATGCGATCGTCTTGCGCTTGACCAGCAGGTTGGCAGCATGGCACTCGGAGGGTATCCCATAGATGTTCATAGATATTTTAAACATTTTCTACAGTATGCACATGAACGATAGTACGAAGGAATGCCTCATATCCATTCAGAATGGCACTCGGAGGGTATCCCATGGATGTTCATAGATATTTTAAACATTCTTTAGTATATACATGAACGATAGTACGAAGGAATGCCTCATATCCATTCAGAATGGCACTCGGAGGGTATCCCATAGATGTTCATAGATATTTTAAACATTCTTTAGTATATACATGAACGATAGTACGAAGGAATGCCTCATATCCATTCAGAATCGCACTCGGAGGGTATCCCATAGATGTTCATAGATATTTTAAACATTTTCTACAGTATATACATGAACGATAGTACGAAGGAATGCCTCATATCCATTCAGAATGGCATTTGGAGGGTATCCCATGGATGTTCATAGATATTTTAAACATTCTTTAGTATATACATGAACGATAGTACGAAGGAATGCCTCATATCCATTCAGAATGGCACTCGGAAGGTATCCCATGGATGTTCATAGATATTTTAAACATTCTTTAGTATATACATGAACGATAGTACGAAGGAATGCCTCATATCCATTCAGAATGGCACTCGGAAGGTATCCCATGGATGTTCATAGATATTTTAAACATTCTTTAGTATATACATGAACGATAGTACGAAGGAATGCCTCAGATGCGTTTGCTCGCAATATATGGAGAGGTAGCGAGACTCTGGTGCATCGCCGGGTAGCCACAGCGCTCTGGATGCTCCGCACGTGCGCCGTCCATACATAGCACCGTGCGCTTCTCGTGGTGCATTGTGCTGCACACACGGCACTAGGAGCGCCTTGCGTCGAGACGCTCATGCTCCGTGCTTGAAACGACAGCGTGTGAGGTCGATTAGAGCTCTGTCTTCCGAATAGAGCGTCAAAGCATGTGCTGACACCACCATGGACGCAACGAAATTGTCATTTTCTACGTAGGACGCCAGCAAGAATGTCAAAGAGGTGCTTTGTTCAGTAAAGAGCGATACTCGGAATTACGGGGAACGTCGCTTTCGTAGAAGAGCTTCGACGTGTGCTGTATTCGAGCTCTCGCCAGTTCGCGAAATACGTGGGTGTCTGCATGGTACCGCCCAGAGCAGTCTACTGCCTATCTATCGAGAAGACTCGTTTGGCCTACGAGTTGCCCTGTATCGTGCGCTGTCGCGCAAGCAAGCTCCCGGACGTGTCGGCGTTGCACTCTAGAAACACCGTTTTTCTTATCGACGCAACGAGTATACAGACCAGGGATCCCGAACGGCGTGATTCCTGCCAGCATCAGATAAAGCGAACGTCGTGACGCAACATACCTCCTCAGTTCTACCAGCCACTGCACCTACTTGCCGTCGAAGTTCATGGCTCGGTCATACGACCGGTCACGTGTCCATCCTACCGCCAGCTTCCACAATACCGCCTACAGCACCACTTCGGATGCCGTATCGACCCAGAGCGGCTTTACCTTCCCGCTCTGTGCGAACGTCAACCGTGAGTGCTACGAACGCCACCGATGGACACCATGCAATCATCGCTGGAACGCCCGCAACAGGTCTGTTGGCTTCAACGAACTGGGCAACGACACGGGCGACGCAACGCTGGAGCTGCTCGGACTAGTGCATTAGCGCCCAGAGGCTTTTCTCGGGTAGGGGACGGGTCAACAGCTCATGTCACCGGGTGCTTTTCGTGCCAGTCGTCAATCAGACGGCGAGAAAGTTCACGGTGCCGACTGGTACCGGCGGTTCAAACAACTTGGCCTCAACGAGGAGCAAGACGTTCTGAAGCCCAATTCGCTGGAACACAGCGAGGAGCGCACACCAGTATCGGCAGTTGCTGCCACTGCTGCTGCGACTGCAGAAGAGACTGCACCAGAACCTGAGGCCGAAAGCGTAGCGAGCGCCCTTGCTGTTCCCTGTACAGCAGTAGTTCAGTCAGATAAGGCTGCTCGGTGCCCGCAACCCGGAGCCGCAAGGGAAAATGCTACGTCCCAGGGACCAGGTACTCCTCTAACTGTCGAAGACGTACTCGACGAGGAACGGACTGAGCATCGCAAAGAGCTGCGTCAGTGGTATGACGTTCTGTTCGAGGGCCCCTACGAGCTCAAGTATCCAGCACCGCCCACAGGTCCGGTGCGGGCTCCGGGGCGCACCCATCCGGATATGGCTCGCAGCAACCCACATACACGACACCTGCTGGCTGACCTCGACTCTGACCTTGGCATCGGTGGCTCGCTCCGCGGCACCTATTACCAAGCGAGCCGTCAACGTCGCAAGCAGCTGTACCAGGGGAGCAGTGCCGACTCTGAGGAGAACTCCGTCAGAGGAGGTCATGCTGGTTACGGCGGTAGAGCACAGGCTGCAGGCGCTGTCGGTACTAGCTCTCCTGCATACTCCGAACACTCGCATGCGCCGAGCTCAAGATGTAGCTTGGCTGAGGAGAACGAGGAGCGTGAGGGTATCTGCATATCTCCGACGCAAGGTTCAGTGGCGGGGTCCTTTCGTGCAAGTCTGTATCCGATCCGCAGCGAGCCGAGCCTCTTTCGACGGGAGCACTCGGACCCTCATCAGACGTCTCCATTGTGGCACGAGCTAGACAGTGTAGAGCAGGTTGCATCGGCAACAACAGCTGCTGATTCTGCTGCTGCGATGTCCTCAACGACCGCTTCACCGGCTTCACTGAACATGAGTAATCTTCAGCGGTGGCTTGCAGCTCGATCCATGGGATCGCACGAACCGATCAAGCATCGCCCTCACTGGGTCTTTGTCTACGGCACGCTGAAGCGGGGATATCCGAATCATCCGCTGCTCCATCACGCCATTTTTGAGGGATGCTACGTAACCATAGAGCGATATCCACTGATTATCGGAGGTCCGCATTTCACACCGTTTCTTTTGAACCGAACCGGAGTTGGCAAGCACGTCCGAGGCGAAGTCTATCGAGTCGATGATGAGGAGCTCGCCATGCTCGACGTCTTGGAAAATGTCGGCGAGAACTATCATCGGGAACGCACTTTGGTTCGCGCCCTCGCGGACCCGAATTTTATTCTGGAAGTTTTCGTGTACCTCAAATGCAACTATACAGAGGAGATGCTTCATGGCGAATTCCTGGAAGAGTATACGGACACTCGCTACGTGCCGCGTTTTCGTCGAAAAGTGGTGACGCCCAACTCAACCTGATGCTCTTGTGCTGCACTGCAAAAAGCACTCGAACTCGCGAAGAGAGGCAATCCTTCTCAGCTGCACAGAATCGCTCTACCCGCCCGGCAACGAGTGCAGAACGGTACTGGCTGTGAGCATTGCACTCGACCTCGCACGGTTCCTGTTGTGGCGATCGCTCGTTGTTGTTGTTGTTGTCGTCGTCGTCGTCGTCGTCGAGAGTGCTTTCCTTGTGTCGCTGCTTGAACTCGCAATGAATCCATCCAAACGCCAGCGCATTCATGATTGCTGTGGACTACCTCATGAAGCGTCGTTTTCCAGCTGGCGATGAGCCGTGCACGTGCGATCCCCATAGCCCGTAGATTGACGAAAGCATGGTCGTATGTATTGGAAACTTCCAGAATCCACCTGCGCAGCTGCCCAGCTCTGGAACCGGCCGAAACCTTTCCCCTTACCGCTTGATGCGAAAAACGCTTCAACTGATGTTGGAGCTGTCGAGGCGGTATCGCCTGCGTGGTTCAGGGCCGCTTATCATGGCTGCCTGGGATGTGTTCTCGCGCTCAGGATCCAAGTGAGACTGCCTAGAGGAGAGCAAGCCTCCCCAATGCCGCATGCGATATCCGTTGAATATGCATCAGGTGTAATGCCGCGACACTAATATGACGCATGCGGTCTAGTTAATCTGATCGTAACAGTAGCAATAGCAGTTGCAGTAAACGAAGCACTGTGCTCTTGGCAGATGAAAATTGAACTGTGCGCTGTTTGCACTGGACATGCCTTGGGATTTTTGTTGGAAGTTTTGCAGATGTGGAAGCCCAGCACTCAAATTTCAATAGTCGTGGGCAACGAATTCATAGCTAGTCTCGTGATGCTTGGTTGAGCTTTCGGCGTGGTTGCGATGATGCTTTGCTGCTACAATCCGTCACGCCATCGGGATAAAGATGATTCCCGACGCCGTCAAACAAGAATTCCTCTCGTAACCGATATCATTCACCAATTCCTACGTACGAGCCTCTACGCTTCTATCCGCTTTACGTGTAGCGTGCTTAAATCACATGCTCTTGAAGTCTTCTATGTTTCTGTTTCAATGGAGCTAGTCGCGCAGCAACACGCACAGCCGCACTGATCAGGAAGAAGACTCGACTTCACCCCGGACGACTTGTTTACAAGCTTATCCCGGAATTTCACTAAACTTGTCATGCTCAAAAATCGATTCCGTTCCAAACACGAATTCTGGTCTACTCGGTCCAATCAATTCAACAATATTCGATAGCAGCATGATCGCTTTCCCAGGGAATGCTGTCAGGGACTCCCCGTTTTTGTTTTGCTGGTACGGAAAGAGGCCTTGGATTCCGAGATCGACTTGCGTCGTCGCTGTGATCACTTCAAGTGGAGAATACGTCACCAGTTCAAACGAAAAACGGGTGGAAATCTCCCAACGGCTTCTCTGACCTGGATTACACTACCTATACTTTTTTCCATCCTGGACAACATCACGTGCCACAAATCCTACATCGACCGGTACTGCGTGCGCTTGCATGTCCAGCGGACAGAGCACTCGACGAAGGGATGGCCAATAGGAGGCACATACTCGAAAGGTACGGGCATCGGAAGCGCAAGTTTACGACGGTATTGAGAGGCGTCTTCTGTACTGGTCAAAAGCGTGTACTGAGCGATGAGGCGAGCCTTCAAGCATGACGAGAAGGCGCTCGCTAGAGAATGTGTGTTGGACACACGAGCACACCTGGTCATAATCTAGTTTCGCTGCTGCGAAATGCCCTCCGAAGCTGTCTACATTGAATGCGAACATCGCACGGGAAGCATAGATCGCAACTTCCGTCTGTGCATGAAAAGCGTCGACAGCGACCGAAAACTCGGAAATCGGAACTAAGACGCTCTCGTCAATATTCCTGGACCACTGACAACAGAACTGGATGGAAAGGAGAGACCGGCGTATTCAAAGCCAGAGAACACTGAGCAAAAAAAGAAGTAGTCGCATAAAAATCACACAAACGCTTCCATTGATGGCATTGGGAAGGCACCCACACTTTAGATTATACATCCAACTTGGAGAAGTAGTTCTATTCTGTTCTGACATCGCTGTCATCATAGCACCTATCATAGCAATTGCCATGCATGTTGCAGTAACAGCAGTAGCGGTAGAGGAATCGACGAGGCGTTGATCTCACTTGTTCTGCTGACGAACTTGTTATTTGCTTCGGCTTGCGTGAACGGCTTTATAAATGCGTCGCTTCGCCCAGATGCATAGAAACTTTGCAGCAGAGCGCTACGTGGGCGCAAAGCGGCTGCACCTGTGACGACCTCCCGCACCCGAGTCGCAGAACCTGGAGAGCTCGTGCCGACCCCTCACCTATACATCGTCTCCCATTCCTTGGGAAGCTGATGCCCATGACAAACTCGACACGAAACCCAACCGAAGCCTCGACAATGCCGACATCGCACTTCACGTCGCTCGATATGAAAGAGTCCGTATACAATCGTCCGCCAGTGACGCGCTTCTCCCGCCCGACGCATACGATCGTACTCTTGGCGACGAGAACTACCCCAAAAATACCGATGCCCAACGCCTTCGCAGTAACGACAAGTCTCGAATCCGAGCCCGTGACAGCCACGGCAGTCTAACTCGGGTGGCGCCGTCGTCGGATTTCGAGGTAGCTTCGCAAACTCGGACTTGCGATTACGAAGCATGTTGTACCAGGTCAACGGGAAGGCGACGATGTCTTCCACAAAGATCTGGAACCGCAGCTGAAACTGACGCAAGTCCAAACGCGTCCGATAGTCCAACATAGAAGCCCTGGGATGTTTGTCAGTTCGCGGGGCAGGTTGCTCACCGTTGGAGCGGCGCGACTGAGGCGAAACGGCACGTTTCTGAGCCGGCATCGCTGGCAGATGACCAGGACGTGCATTCTCGCCTGTTGCGCCTTGTTCCAGGCGCACTGGTCCTGCACCTTGTCCATTTTCTTCCTCAGACGTACGGAGAACTATGCAGGGAAGCCGCTCAAGCGTCAACTGCGCGGCTCTTCGCCGTTTCGAAGCTTTCAGAAGCGTTCCAGGTACGCGTGGCGGGCAGCGGTGTGCCGACAAGTCGCGCCTGGATTCACGATCCAGTCGACCTAGCTCCACAGCACCCTGAGCACTGAACATGAATCAGTTTCGTCGTCTTCACGAAGAGCGTCACCCAAGTACCTACACACCCAGGTCTGATGAGGATTATCACCAGACCAGAGACGTAGCAGGCGCGAAAGTGCCAGCGGCTCGCCAGTCCTCTGAAGCCAACCGCGACGCCGACGCCAACACCAGCGTCTCCAGGGTCAGTGTGAGAGTCTCATGAGTCGAGCGTTTTCGTTGCCGGATGCGGGGCAATAAGCACGATCAGAACTTTTGCAGGTACCGGATACGAATTAGCGAACAGATTGTCTCGCTTTTCATCCTGTTCCACTGAACGCACTGTCCATTCTGTTCAAGAAACGCAGGTCCGGGAGGCAGTGTTGCGAGCACAGCGCTCCAGCAGCGCACAGTCGATCGAGGAGGTGCAACTCGGGCACACTGACTGAACAATGGGTGGCTCAGGGCGTCATCGACGACGTACTCGAGTCGGACCCGGCGGTGCAGTGGTCTCGTCACTCTCCACACGAGCTGGTGGCGTTGTTCGAAGCACGGGCGATGTGGCGTCTAGTGCGGGCCCTGCAGCGGGCTTAGGAGCTGGCCTCACAACCACGGAAACCAACTTGGACCCCGTTCAGGCGTACAAGGAGCGAAAAGCTGCCGCACGGCGTTTACGTGCTCAGCGCCTGGACGCGGACTCGACCAGCACTGAAATGGGTGCGAGTGTCTGCCGGACACAGTCTAGCGCAGCGTTCTCGGCAGCGTCTCTGGGTCAAGGAAGGGCGCAGGGCTCGCCTGCTTCAACAAATGAAGAGCAAACGATCACGAAGCGGACCTGGGTTGGTGCGACGCCTCAACTGCTGCTGCAGGAGTGGATGCAGCGGGCGGGACTGCGAGGTCAACCGCGACTCGCCAAGCAACCTTCCAGCGGGTGGCTCATACGACTCGGAAAGGGCCATCATTCCCAGCAGCAGCAGCAGCAGCAGCAGCAGCAGCGGGGTTCATATCACCAAGTAGCATCTGTCTATAGTTGGAATGGGGAGGCCTTATCACCTGCAGACGCCCACATGGTGGATACAGACGAAAAAGCAGCGAAGCTGGCTGCCTTGTGGGTGCTGGCTTCAGTCGATCGTCAGCGCAACCATGCCTTGCGCTTAGAACCGTCCCTGCGGCCATTCTGGGCTCGCTTCGTGGCTGCTCACGAGGCTAAAGAAAAGCAGATTGCCGCACAAGCAGCAGAAGCCGCGAACGCTCGAGCAAGAGCACGAGCGGAAGCCAAAAAAGCGTATCGAGAGCAGCAGCTCCTAGTCCCACTGCGACTGGAAGATAGAACGCGGGCTGCTGTCGAGGAAGCGCTTGTTTGTCTCCTTGAACTCGATGCGTCGGCGTCTCTCGAGAGCATGTGGATGCAGGCATCACGGGCACTAGGCGCGGAGCAGCACTGGCTCTGGCAACAGCTCCGGGAGCTCGGGTTTGATGCTGAGGCAGCGGCGGAAGCAGCCGCACGATGTGTCGTGGAACCTGCAGGCTCTGGGATGCGCTCTGCTGAGCAGCAGCGATCCCAGGCGCTCGACTGGTTATGTCTTCATCTCGATGAGGATGAATTGCCGCCCTCGTTTAGACCAGAGCAGGCCACGGAGGTTGTCGCCTTTCGTGCTGAGCATGCAAAACAAGCACTGGAAGCTGCAAACAACCGTGCAAAGGCTGTAGATCCGAAAGCGTCCCTGGACCCGTCTCCGGCCTGCTCAACGGTGCGCACGCCTGGCGCAACTCAAAAAGGCGCTGGTATTGCGAAGAGCAACTCGGGTGCGTACAGCGAGAGCGAGCGTCTAAGGGCGCTCGAATGGCTCGTGAACACCATGGCGCTGATGAATCGTGCTCAAGGAGAGAGGCTTCTTCTTGCGAACAGGGATCGAGTGCTTGACGCTGCACACGACTGGATAAGAGAGCTCTTGATCTTCACACCGACCGAGTCCATCGCTTTTCTGCTGGAGCGGGTCCGGATGCCGTCGAAGATACGCACTGGCCGTCTCCAGCATCGAGAATTGAGTGGGGATAAGAATTCTCTTCGTCATTCGGAGGGTACCCTCTATAACGGGAACAGAGACAGCGGTGATTGTATGTTCAGGTATGCTTCATCGGCGAACGCGACAGCTACTGAGGATATGTTGGGAGATCCTCTTTCTGAAGAGACAGAGCTTTTCGAGGAAACGGAGCATGTACTTGATCCTCGCTCCAGGTCTCTTGCAGATACGCAGTCTTCAGTAGAGAAAGAGCAACGGCTGGATACCGTCGATTTCCGCCGTAGCTGCTGGGCACTCGAACGCCAGGAACTGGAGGCACGCTTCGGCCGTGCTTTCCGCTGGACTCGTGAGGTTCTCCCCTCGTCCAGTCTACCGCAACCGCTATCGTCGATCGATGATCACGTGGATGCCGAAGGCTTCGAAATCGACTTGCAGATGGATCTCAGCAGAACAGCGCCCAAGCTGGATACGCCCTCAGCACGAACCGGAGCGGGAGCACCAACGACACCAACGGCGACACGTTGGGGACTATCCCGTCTCTGTGGCCATCTCTATGGTTATCCAGAGACGCTTCCGATTCTCTGGTTTGAAGACTCGACGACAACGACGACAACTTTGGAGACGGTTCGAGCGACGCGGCGTCCGCCTCGACGCGTGCGGCGGGCCTGGCTTCGTTCTCTCCATGGAGCGGTGCTGTTGGCGATGGATCGTAGTCGCCAAGCACCTGAGTGTGTACCGGCCAGAGGAGCCGTACTTGCACCAACCATTTACGATTGGCTAACAGAATGGCAAAGCAAGCAAGGAGCGACACCTACGCTCCCATCATGCCGTGCATTTGACCCAGACTCGAGGCCGACGCATCTTCGCCCTGGCCCTGCTGGCGCTTCCAGGAGCTTGACTGCTCGAAAGAGCAGCTCTCGAAAGGCTGGGCCTTCGAGCAGCTTCTCCAGCGCAGGCATTGAACCGGATCCCGCTCTAGACCGCGAGTTGCAGCAGCGAGAACGTGAACGCTTAGAGCGTATAGAGCGCCGGCATTCGCCACCAGCACTGACCCGCTTACCCGCTCGTCAATACCAGCAGGCATTCTTGTCTTTGCTGGCTGCGGGAACAAATCCCGTTCTCATTCAAGCGGAGACGGGATCGGGAAAAACAACCCAATGCCCCGCAATGATCCTTGAGAATGCACTGTTGCAGGGCCGAGCCTCGCAAACACGCATTCTAGTGACCCAACCGAGGAGGATTGCGGCGATCACCGTTGCCAAACGAGTCGCTGATGAGCGCGGTGAACGCCTAACCGCCGACTCGGAAACACCGCAAAGACAGCGCACAAGAACTGACGACAACGCACACGAAGCTGGACTTGTCGGCTATCAAGTCCGTCTGCAGGGCCGAATCTCACCGCACACGCGTCTGGCGTTCTGCACGACCGGTATCGTGCTGCGGATGCTGCAGCAGGACCCCAGTTTAACGAATATTTCGCATTTAATTTTGGATGAGGTTCACGAACGTAGTGCGGAGATGGACATGCTGCTGTGCTGTGTTCGGAGGTTGCTGGCTTCACGATCTGATCTCCAAGTCGTATTCATGAGTGCAACTGCAAACGCTGCGTCTTTGGAGCGCTATCTGGGGGCTGCTGCTGCTGCTGCTGCTGCTGCTGGTGATGCGTCAACACCACGCACTCTTCGAGTCCTTCAGATACCTGGTCGCACGTTTCCGGTGATGATTCGTTGGCTTGAGGATCTACCCAGTTGGCGGAACGGTAGCGCGCATGGTACCGCTTCCGTAGAACGCTCCGCTACCACCATTGCTCATCCAATACTTCACGTCTGTGATGATGCGCAAGTCGTGTCGCTCTGTGAACAGGACGAGCACCATGAGCTCGACACGGGAGCGAAGGATGCCGCCTCCTGGCAAGCGTTCCAGCTGGCAAAGCGGTGCGCTCACCAGCACCCTACGGATGATGCTGATCATCGGGCAGGTCGTGCTGGTGCCGCTCATACCAAGCCATTGTCCATGAAGCAGCTAGCAGCGACCGATGCCCGCTCGCTGGAGCAGATACGATGTTTGGAAGCGACAGCAGCGAGCGCCCAGAGAACGCCAGAGATGGATCTTGCACTTGATGCCGGCGCTAATACGGAAACGAAGCTCTCGCCCATGCTCGATGCGCTTCAGCTCGAAGAAACTGCGAACGCTGCCAGTAACAACGCTGCGGACGTGTTTGGACGGCATCCAGAGCGTAGTGCGGAACGCCAAGCGTCGGGAAGCACTGCTGCTGGTACCTGGGGCGAAAACGTCGACCCCGCAGACGAGGAGTCCTGCGCTGCGTCCGACGCCCAACAATGGACACCGCTGGGGTTCAGCAGCGTCAAAGGAGCATCCCTGGCCCTAGTCGAGTTCGTAGTACGACGCTTAGACGAGGAGCTGAGCGCTCAGGAAGCACGCTGTGGATCCGGGAAACGCGGAGCTATTCTGGTGTTCTTGCCGGGCGTCGTGGAAACCGAACAGCTGTGTCGGCGACTGCATCGACTGGGAGGTCGTAGCAGCGCGCATCGCCCAGACGCTGAGCTGTCGAGCACTTTTCAAGCCCGAGGAGTAGCATCGTTTTGGGCGTTGCCGCTGCACGCCAATCAAACCGCCGTCGAACAGGAACGTGTCTTCGCGGAAGCACCGGATCCGCTACAGCAACGCAAAGTCATATGTGCAACCAATGTTGCCGAGTCGAGCATTACCGTTCCGGATGTTGTTGCAGTCATCGACACGTGTCGAGTGCGGAGTCTGCAGATGCAACCCGCTACCCGGGGTGCGCTCCAGTTGCGCGAGTCCTGGTGCTCCAAAGCGTCTGCGGCACAGCGGGCTGGACGAGCTGGCCGTGTAACCGCCGGTATCTGCTGGCGACTGATACCACGTGATCCCTTCTGGTTGAAGCATCTCCCAGAGGACACTGAACCTGAACTGGTACGCACGCCGCTGGAGCGCTGGATCCTCTGGCTGCTCGGCTGGTCGACTGCAGAGCGTGGAGCGCGTCACAGCCTCGAGCAGGTTGTGCAGCTGCTGCAACGCGAGATGATGACGGCACCACCGCAGGCACACACAGAGGCAGCAATCGTGCGACTGTGGCAAATGGGCGCTCTGCAGTTATCGTCAGGTGATATGCTTGCCGCATCTGGGCTTGCATGGACGGCGAACGGCATCAAGGTTGCTGCGCAAAAGACGAGGCGCGACGCAGTCGTCGTCCACGATGAGGCCTCGGGAGACGTCCCCGCGGGAGCATCGAGTGCAACGCAGCACTTGCCTCGAACGCTGAACGGGGAAACGGGTCCTAGCGCGGAACTCTGGTCGTTGTCGTCGTTGTCGTCGTCGCTGAAGGATCTGGAATGCACGCCCCTGGGGTGCATCCTCTCCGCACTGCCGTTGGATCCGACTGTGGGCAAGTTGCTCCTCTACGGAGCCATATTTGGCTGTTTGTCCTGGAGTCTCACTGCTGCAGCGGTTCTGATCGAAGGTTCACCTTTTGCGCGCATCACTGGCGGTGGCTCAAGTCTCATCCAGAGGCATCGCTTAGAGGCCTACAGCTCATTCGATAGCGATATAGCAAGTGCGGTTTACGTTTGGCAGCAGTGGCAGACGCTGTGCGCACAGGCGGCCTCTGCGGGGAAAGGGGCGTTGGCTGCGTTCCTCGCACAGAATGCACTCTCCGAACGCGTCATGGAACAAATTCAACAGACACGACTTTCTCTGGAGCGAACGCTCGACGACATTGGACTCGAGCCAGGGCCCATCGACTGGCACGAAAACGAACAGCATCAACGGATCCACCGAGCAGTCCTATACGCAGCACTGGTGCCGCAACTGTTGCGAGCGACCCCAGTGAGTGGAAAGCAGCAGAAGGATACATCTTCTGCGAAGCACGGGAATGGAGCGACACCGAATTCAACCACATGGCAACTCTTTGACGAAACCAATACCCCGGTGTGGCTGCACCCGTCATCGTTGGTACGTCTGGAACGTAGCGAGGAGCAGCGGCAGCAGCTGTCATCTCACGCAGTCCGGTGGTTTACCTACGCCCAGCGGGTCACTACGAGTCGTGCTTTTGTACAGCAGGTAAGCGCTGTACCTGTCTTTGCCGTGTTGCTTTTCAGCGGCCGCGATATCCGTATTGAACACGAAGCTCAGCGGGTTATCGTTGATGGTTGGATCCGCTTTCGTTGTGCTGCACGAACGGCTGTCTTGTTGCGGAGCTTTCGGCAGCAGACGGAGAAGGTGTTGTCGGCTTATTTTGCGTCCCTGATGGGCCCTGGAAGAGACACCAGCACCAGCACCAGCACCAGCACCAGCACCAGCACCAGCACCACTGCGGATCCTCACTGGCCAGTACGTTGTCGAACGCTGCGCAGCATATTGAAGAGGCTCGTCGCCTACGACTAGGACATCTGCGAAATGAGCTACATTCTCGACAAGAGGAGGTAAATTAGTCGACATGCTGTGGCGCTAGGTGCTTTTCGTGAAATCCTAACGCATTGTGGAGCGCTTTTCTCACATCGATGGGTAAAGGGAAGCGCATGAGATACGGTGGAAGATACCGGTGTCCAGCGACGTGGACTGGTGCAGCGCCTCTGCTACCGCAATGAGTGGAGACGTGTTCGAATGTTTCAGAACGCTCGAGATTGAATGATTCTTGAACATCGCGAGAAGCAAGCGAGTTCGCTGGAGTTGCTGCGCAAGCCGTTTTATCCCTTGTCCACTGACGCACGCGTGCAGGCTACTTGGAACACGGCTCGTGTATAACTGCCTCACGAGCTACTGTTTGTTCTAGCTTTCAGCTGTTACCTTTCCTAGGTTTGATCCATAACCGCACGACCCGGTACAGCTTCCTGTGATGCAGCGTGTAGAGAACGATGAGACTTTGAAGAAAGCCCCACTACCCCTTGAGTCGCGTAGCAGAAAAGTGACGAGGCTGTAAGTAAGCGCTTGACGCTCGTACCACTTGGATCGCAAGTCTTCCCATGACCTCCTATAGTTCCTTGTCTAGGGAGCGCATTAAGGACACCAGCACGCGTCGCAGCAGGTTCGGGAACTTGCTCCCTCGTCGTTACCCGCTAAAAGCACTCGTTTCCAGTACCTGACCGCACTCGTCCGTCGCGTATGTGAACTTGTGATCGTTCAGTGCCCCTCGAATTACAGACAAGCACCTCAATTTCTCAAAACTACACTATAAGATACTTCTCGTACGTAAACCAAGACGTTCACTTGACAACAATACATCGATGAACGAAGCTCCTGCTTGGAACGCCACCATTCGGACGAAGGTTCATCGTCCAGACTTGTGCCGCACTCCGTAACCGAACTTCGCTTTCAACTGTTTCCTAGGTGTTTTATTCTTGTTCTGACCTGGAGAAGTAGCCACCAAAGAGTTAAGTATTCTGTACAGTGCGCGAGCGACTCTAGGGTACTGCAGTGAGAGGAGAGCGATGGCTCCACGGCGGCAAGCCCGGAACCGAAAGGAGACCGACCAACGACGTCGACGGCATTCGGACAAAACAGAGACCATGACGCCTCCAAACGACACGAATGGCGAGGAAACACCACTGGACTGCTCAAGTGACTCCTGGAACGCCTCCTATTCGAGCAACGCCTCGGCGTCGTCTCTCAGGGGCACTGGCACCTCTGAAAACATGCTGGTAAGCATCCTCGACCGAGGCTGCGTGCTGACGAGCGAGTCTGAAGCCCTAGACGAGTGCATTGACAGTCTAACGGACAAACGGCGCTGGCTACGAGAAGCAGCGCTCCATAGGGCACGGCAGCTGACGGACCTGGGACTCCGTACCGACCTCTGGTCGGAGACACGCTGTGAGCAGCTCGTGGAGCAGGCCTTGCGAGGCCCGCTGCGACGAGGGTCGCTCTGGGAGAAACGCGAAGTCTGTCGACTCATTGGTACAAGCGTATTGACGCTTGTGGCAAGCACCACTGACACTGAAACAGTTGAGGCGCTCCTGCAGCGAACACGTTTCGAGCAGGTCTTGCTCGAAGCGAGTGAACGCAGTGCGCCTCGACCGGACCCCGAGTGGGTTCAGTGGCAAGTCTGTGTCATAGAGACGGTGAGTCTGTTGCGTTTTTTGGCTTCATCTGATTCAGTTGCATTGGTAGCGCTGATGCAGCGTTTAGAAAGCTGGTTCGGGCAGGATACGTCGCCGAGCGACCTGTCAACTGGTGAAACGAAACAGCGTCTTGGCGAGTCGAGCGCGTTCGACCAGGTTGTAGCGGCCGCTATTCGGGGATGGTCACTGTTAGCGAGTGCCTGTCCATCGGAGGTGATACGGACCCAGTTAAAAGCGCGTCCGTTACGCCAGTGGCTCGAGTTGCACGCCGTCCAAGGTGACTGGAAAAGCACATCCACACCGAAGGAGACCTGTTTAGCGGCAACAGAAGCCATAGCGTTGTTGTTGGAGCACTCTCAAGGAACCGATTCCGGGGTATTTGGATCCAATATACCTGCTCATCATATGGACAACGATCACACAGACGATGATGTTGATGCTGTGGCTGCATTCGCTGAGGCAGATCGAGAAGCGCGTCTCCATGTCGATGCAGCCGAGGGCTCTTTCCAGGCGGGCGAATCGTCAGCATCTTCGGAATGCCGGGATTCACCACCTTGTTCTTCGTCATCATCATCATCTTCTTCTTCTTCTTCTTCTTCTTCGTCGTCGTCGTCGACGATAACTTCCGCGGGTATCGACAAGCTTGACAGGGCTCTGGAACGCGTCGCATTCACGGTTGGTGCCCAGCGCTATCGGCTTGGGAAGCGCAACCGCTCACTGCTGCGTCTGGTTGAACGCGCTGCAACGCAACGTTCTGGAATAGAGACGCTTTCGCTTCGCCGCGGACGAGCGCAGGAACGTCTGCAAGCCAGGACTTGGGCGCAACGACGGCAGTTAGATGCTCTGCGTCGAGCATGTGGGCGAGCACTGACTGTCCAGCTTGAGGGCAACCCGTTCCTCCGGGATTTGTTTGGGTTAGCGTTTATGGGGAGCGCGCAGTCGACTAGCAGGGATGCTAGCCCGCTGGTGGCAAACAGTAATGAGCTGGCGCTTTCCTCGGGAACCAGCGTTTCGAGAAAGAGCCGGCGCCCGGGAATGCGATCTGAACAACTACGTCGCCAGGCTCGACAGGAAGCTCGTCGCCTGAAGCAGCAACGGCAGCTACAGCTGCAAAATGATCAAGATTCAATTCTTTAGAAGCATGCAGAGTGCCAGTATGCTTGCCATGTGGACAATAGTGTCGAAATCGTCACGGAATTTCCGTGTTTGAACCTTGCGAAAATCTACACAGCACACGGGCATTGGTACTTCTTGAACGCGTGTCGTTGATGAAACGCACGCTCGAATGTGAAGGCTGAGGGGCGTGTGCACGCGAACTGATGCCCTGTGCATCGAGTGAAGCGCAAAGCCCACTCAGTACTCCGCTGGATGCCACGAAGAAACTCCTCGTGAAGCCAGATTGCTGCGTTGCAGTATCGTCTCCGTCGCCGAGACAGCACATGCATACAAGTTCAAACACGAAGCTTCGTTTGAAGTGCGCGAGGCGGCGCCTGTACACGACCCGAGCTCGTGAATTCGCTGCGCTTGCCCCGCCAGAAGCGCCACGACGAAAGCACACTCCGCACAGGGATATACGTTGACACTAGAGGGGTTGCTTCCAGGCGTACCGAGTGTCGCGCAAGTGCCCCCGTGTCCGTGCACGCGAGCCGCCCTACTATAAAAGCGCGCAGCAACTGCCGGCATGGAAGAGCGCGCACAGCGCATGCTTCAAATGGCGTATCCGTTAGGTGCACGCGATCCGACTAGATCAAGTGGATGACTATCGGTTATGGGTGCTAATCTGCGCTGGAGCATCGATGCACTCATTTGCGACTCGCAAAAGAACGAGCACGTTTTCGAGCACATCCAAAAGACACGCGTCGATGGATTGCGTGTTTTCTCAGTTGTACAGATCGATCGAAATCTTTGCATGTCGAAGCAATGCCTCAGCGGGTAGCTGGCTTGCAACGACGCAACATAGGTGCTGCGTCGCTGAAGCGCAGCGCTTTTGCTTGGCGACCAGCGCGCATTGTGGTGCTCAGACGCCTCGATGTCATGCTCAGCAGCCTCTTGAAAGGCGCACGCTTTGAAGTACGTCGAGTCTGAGCTTCTTGATACCTGTCGGGCTCTGCTCGGGATCGTATGGTACGCGGAGCATTGAGTTCTGGAATTTCTGTACCAGTACGCGAAACGTGTAACTATTTGTTCCTCTCGTAGGTATCCAATAAAGGGGAATATACCCTGTAAATTGGTGAAAAGTCGCGAGCAGTCTTCTACTATCACAATTAGCTTGCTAGAAATCGTCTTGGATGTACAAGTCCATTGCTCGACGCCGAGCACCTGGACGAACCGTATATACCGTTGTCCGTATTCCGAATGTCGTGTATCCCCGAGAGAACTCTTGAGAATATAGCTAGACGATTGTCACAATCACGGAGTATCCGGTTTCTACATGATCGCGACGAAACACTGCCAATAAAGGCACAGAATATCAAGTTCACGTACTGTTGATACGAAAGGTGATGAAGAGATACGAGGCAAAGAAGAAGAGGGCACGCCACTACTCGAAACCGCTGCATCATGAACAGTGCACCATCGACCGAGGACTGATACGCGAGCGCTTTGAACGGGACGGATGAATCACCGTCTCATTCGATGTGATTTCATTTGGGACAAATGCTAGACTTGTACATGGATCATCAAAGAAGGGCCAGACTGCAGTTCGTAGACAAGAGGGCAGCGGGCATGTCGACAACATTTGCGCTGGCGGCGACACCATGAAGCATTCACCTGCAACTGCTGGATCGACAGGATCATTCAACGTCGTATCCTATGTCGAAGGACACTTCGATACGTGAAATCACCAGATTCTCTTCTCCGGCTCTTGCACAACGTCTTTTCGGACTCCTCTAAAACGTTCCAAGATGACACAACGGATATTGGTGTTGAGCTGCGACCCGTACCACCATGTGCTTCCTAGGTCATAATTGCCGGCGGCGTCTCCTTTGGTGTCAAACGCTATTTTGATGCGTACTGATCAATTGACGAGCCGCTCGCTTCGATGATAACCGAGGATGTCGAGCGCCATGAACGATCGCATGGAATCGTACTTGTGGATGTCTCGTTGAGCTGCTGCCGGCTGCACGCTTCTCGTCGGGCAAAAATGGTCGTAAGCATTCGGGACGCAGGGCTGCCAGCTATTCATATCCCTCGGGAATGTTTCGATCAAATATTCGCACCCAGAGAAAACGGATATTCGGGACAGAAGATGCAGCACGGCCTGGTTCTCGGATCAGACATATGGGTGCAGGTTCCCGGTGGTATCTTGGTGCATCGGTGCTCCGTTTCGTTGATTCGAATGTACGCGGGAGCGCGGCACCCGATAAGTACCAAATAAGTCTTAAACATCTCGTGCAGATCAGTCTCGACTGCTTCATGAATCGCGAACTGGAACCTGGTGCCCTAACCTCACTGGTCCAGAAAACTGGGAACAGATCCAACGGGTTCCTAATTGATATCCATGAAGACAACCGACGAGCTGGCAGCGACCGAGCTCGAGTTGCCAGCCAGTTCGGAAGAGATGCAGCAGCAAGAGCGCGAATGCAACCTTAGATCGTCCAGGCTCATCGTGCTGCTCTCTGACTCGGACCGATCGACGTCATGCCTGTATGATGGTTGAGACGTGATGCAACCAAGACTTAAATCTTGCGCCACAAGAATGTACTGAACAGGGCAGTCTGCAAAAGACCCTTCCTCCGAATCCAATCGTGCTCGCCTCTGCAAGCTTCTATTCGACGTGATCCCCATGCGTAACAGCAAAGCCCATTTCATCATGAAAGAGAAGTATGTCGTGCATGGCTTCCACAGAGAGCGCCGGTTGGTCTCTGCGATCAACTACGAAGCATTCGAGCAACTCGGCAGAAGAGCGTCGGCGGAGTTTGTGTAAGATTTATCGAGTACATGGAGGAAATGGAAAGATGCTTACATCGAAAATCGAAAGCGACCTCATATCCCTGTGCATGCCCTTTTTGAAACCTATGCCTACATCGAAACTCGAGAATCACGTTCCACCCTTCGAGGTAGTACTGGAGAAGGACTTTGGATGCCTACTTGTGTGGGCGTGTCGTGCCCGTCGCCATAGGTATTGATCAAAAGGACAGAGCCTTGCATCCTGGGTGAAAGCAGATGAAGCGGCTCGAGTTTCCCAGAGCGCACCGTCATCGAGAGTCGAGCGTCATAAACGCCATGCGGCATACCAGGAGATGCAGCAGAGGCGCCATAGCCCCTAGCCACCCATCCTGCAGCTCGACGCTCTGCGTACAGTCTCGCGCCGACACCAGTGCTTCGGATGCTTCACCTAGAGCATCCCGAGACGTCCAAAATGGCGCATACGGACGATCTCCGGCAAGAGTCAATGAGACAGCGCTGGGTCGCCACCGGTTCCAGTTCTACCCAGGCGACAAGCGTGCATTCACCAACACTTTTCATGCGACGGGAAAGGAAACCTTCGATCGTTCGTATCGTGTCGTTTCGTGATACCACAGAGCAATCGATGCGCTATAGCATGCCAAGGCTGCACTCCTGCTCCATCCACGAGAGCGTACAACTGTGGATGCACATGGATGCGGCACGATTCCCAGCGATGCGTCTGGGTCGACGTACGCGCTTCACGAGTCAGGGTGCCCGGTGAAGCGGACAGCGAAGCAGACGCGCGAGAAGCAGAGACCGAAGCACATCATGGTACAGCGGATGCTGACTGAACCTCAGATAACGGGGCAATCGACAATGACAGGCACGCTTTGGAATGATGCCACTGGCAGCCACAGGTGCGAGCACGTTCTGCACCGAAATATCGGAGTCTCTATGAATATCTGGAGATGTTTCGTGCGTGCGGAGCGACCAGCAGTTTTGTACAGAGCGAAACTCCTAACATATGATTTCGTGCTTAGTCTGCGAATCATGCTGAAACCCGTGAAAACTCCTGTCGTGAAAACATTCATCCGCCGGGGTAGCGTCGATTGATTGGATACTCCCCTTAAGAGTAGGTCATGGATATGGTAGGAGTCCGCATTTCAGAAACACTGGACCGCCAAATATACATACTGGGAACGGTGCTCGCGGGCAGGCGTTGAACGATAAAGATATTCCATGGTTCGAAATCGCCGCGTCTGTGGGGAAGCTCATGCCTTGCTCGCCTATGGCTTGTCCGGCGATATATGCCGGAAGCGACACCACTTACCGCGTCTGCAATAACCGCGCAAGTGGTACTTGCAAATAGGTGCGGAGTCGTTGTTCACCCCAGTCGCTTGAGCGTACGCAGCGGAGCTGGCGGTCTCTCTTCGCAGCGCTGGCGAAACGAATCCGTGATAGCCGATCGGGTCCGATGGCATGCCATTCAACACCGGGAACGGAGCCTGTTGAGGAGTCAGTGCAGGAAACGCTGCCGCTAGTGGTGCTGGTGCTGGTGCCGGTGCCGGTGCTGGATAACCGCTCCACTGGTTACCGGGTGCTGCGTTCGCATGGCGGTAGCCATGTGCGTGCTGCAAAGCCGCCTCTCGCTGTTTCTCTTCCGCGTACTTTTGGACTACTCGCAGGACATTTTCATCACAAAGTAATTGTAAACGGGTCTCTTCGTCTTTCACGAGCAGGAAATGCTGCAAGATAGCCTCATCTATCTGATTGCGCTGCAATAGGTCGGTATGCTGGCCTTGCGATGTAGCCGAAACAGGCGTGCCGCTCGTATTCGGTGGAATCGCTGACCAGAGGCTGGTCTCCAGGTGAGGCGGCTGTATCCGATCCGAGGGCTTCGTTTGCAATCGCGTTGGATCCAGCGTACTTGGGCCTCGTGTCCCGTGGAACGATGTCAATAGGTTTGCAGTCGTGGCAGCCGCTGGTGCAGATACGGTCGCTTCTGGTGTTCCCGCCGGTGCAAGCGCCCCTGCCGGTGTGTAGGAAAACGAGGTTGGAGCTGGATGCTCCACGCGATACTCTGGAATCACCCGCAGGCTCGGTGGTGGTGTCTGCCTGTCGAGCGAGCGCTCACGAGGTGGCGACGGCGGCATCGGTTCGTCGGGCACACCGGACGATAGCGACCCAGGCGAAACGACTCCAATGGTACCGCTTTGATGACTGTCCGCGTTGCGTGGAACGCATCCAACAGTAGAGCCGTTGGCGAGAACGTCGGACAGCTGCTCGCATTCGCCAGCTGCTCCCAGCGGACAGGAACTCTCGACATGTGGCGGCGGGTAGAATGTCGCATCCTCCCGCATTTCAGCAAGAACTTTCTGGCGATGTTGGCGTTTCTTTTGCATGAGACGACCCTCCTCTACGACCTCTGAGAATCCATTGCCTGGAGCGTGCGTCGATCGCTCTTTGGTCGCACTCGTCGCACCTGATTCCCCGTCCAATGCCGGTTCATCGGTATCAGACACGATGCCAGCGAGGTTCACAGGGGCATGCGTGCGCTCGTCGGGAATATATTCAAAGGCATAGACTTGCACAAGCACAGGCTCTGGGGCGAAATGAACACGCTTTGATGCAGGTTTTCGAGCAAGTTTCGTCGATGATGCGTCAGCGGATGTTCGGATCCGAAGGGCTGGACGCGGAGCCTCCATTTTCGCTCGCTTCGCAGATCGATTGGTTATCGCACAAGTTGCTGCTGCCTCTTCTGGTGCTACGAATGATGTTGATTCGGCTGATGATGCTTCCTTTTCGGCGATATCGCCGGTGTGACCTGCATCGCGCACGGTAGGTGTAGGTACATGATGCGTTGCTTCGTTCGCACATCGCTCGGGTATTGTTGCTCCAGGTGGTGACGTTGTCTCGAGGGCATCGGAGTGATGCATTCGCTCCGCTCGAGCTGCTGTTACGTGTGCTGAAGCTTGTTGTGGCAAGAGCGACGCATCTGCGTCACTAACGTCGACGGTCGGCTGCGTACCTACAGATTCCGTAGCTCGAGCAGAAACACTTTGGGAAGCTTCATCAGAGGAGCTTGTAAAAGCCGGCAAAGCTGTGTCACGTTCTGGTCGTGGACGCGGTCGCTTACGTCCCGTTTTCATCGACGCGTCTGCCGAGGCGAAACTCGAAAGCGCCCCGACCGCCAGAGGCGTTTCGTGTTCCCCAACAGTCGACTGTGCTGGCTCTGATGTATCATCCTGGGATGCAGCGGCCTTTGCAGAAGCGTTACTCGCATCTGCATTCGCGTGAATAGATGCTTCAGTGGTACCAGGGTGACTGGAATCGGTTGTTTGGACTGGTGCATGCACGGCTACCGGTAGCGAACGACTCTCACCTGCCTCTGGTGTTTCTTCGGGCGCTGATGGCGTCGAGGGTTTTTCTCGGCCAGCTACCTGTTCCATTTCAGCGATTATATTCGCAGCCTGCTCACGCAAGGTCGCAAGTCGCTCGCCCCAGGCTTTTTCGGATGCGTCAGCGACGAAATTCTCCGCAGAAACGCCTTTGCTGCGTCCTAATTTTCGAAGCGCTTTAAGGCCGTGAACGAGAGACTTGCTTTCCTCCAGAAAATCGACCACATCCTCTCTCTGCATCGACTTGACAAGGCACTTAATCACCTGCATCGTCAGGTCCAGTAGGTCGACGATGTGTGGCTGCGCTGCCCGCAAGGCCCTTTCGATTAGCTGGCCGAGCACCGAGCGAAGTTTCGTTTCCTGTAGGAAAAAAGTGACACTCTCGGTATCTCGAAGCTCAGAGACCAGCGTCTGCAGCAGAGCCCGCCGAGTATCCCAAGTCTCTGCTCGCGACAGGGCCCGAACAAGCCGCTGGCCCGCTTGTGCGTCGCACGGCATGGAAGCGTGCGACGCAGTCAGAGCCTCGTGTCGACGAAGAGACTTGTTTCCACGAACACGGTAGGCGATTTGGGCAGAGCGAAAGTCCGTTTCAGTCAATGTCGAATGGAAAAGGACTAGACAAACACCGCCACAGGTGCGTCGAGGCTGCGCAGCACAACAGGCGGCGTTTACCCAGGTGATCAGTGCAAGTAGCGTTGCGGGAGCAGTGTCTCCTCCTTGAAGCGCGTGACAGCTGTCCAACAACGAGGGCTTTGAGCTGAAAAATCCTGGATCAAAGTGCTCGCCCGATGCAGGGACCGGGGCGTACTGGATACACCTTCACCGCCAAGTTGGTACGATGCTGGAGTGTATGAAGAACGTAGTTCGAGTCAAGCGAGCTTCGCCCTGGGCGCTCCCACAAATGAACCTGGACGCTGTGGTTCCTATCTGTATCTTTATGTATTTTAATGAATATAAGGGACAGCTTGCCAAACGCTGTTGCCATTGCGGATGACGCAATGCGCATCCGCCCTCGCACGATTGGTGGTGTGTGGACTCGTTATAACAGGTACATTTACGTATTTTTATGGACACATATGTACGATAGGCCTCGCGTCGCGGACTGCTCAGCTGCGATCCCTTTATCAGCGCTTCTCGGTTGCTTGCATTTTCACCGACTCGGTACAGCATTGGTCTTTTTCCAAAGAGGTGCGTCTGGAATCTCGAATCGTGCTCTGAGAAGACGGCGATATGGCACCACATCGCCATAGCAAACGAGAAACGCTAAAGCACAAGTACAAAGTGCAGCGGAAAGTGGCGGAGCACAATCGACGAATGCGGCGCCTGGTTCGCAAGCAACGACAAGAAGGTATGATTAAAGGGCAGCGCAAGGCCCAGCGCGAGCTCGGTGTACCGAACCTCAACCCTAAAAGGAGCAGTTGCTGGAGCAGGCAGCGCGACGACTGGCCCTGCGATCGACGGTGACGGCAGAAGCGGGCTCCTTGGGCGAGTCGCCCGTGTCCGCTCCTGCGTTATCCGGTGCGAATGCACTCGAGAAGACTCCGGTGTTCCGCGAAGTTGCGCGCTCGAGGCGGTCTTTTGCTGCAGCGCTTCGTCGTGTCGTGGAGTTTTCGGATGTCGTTGTCGAGGTGCTCGACGCCCGGAACCCGCTGGAGAGCCGATCTTCAGCGCTCGAGCTGCTGGTACGTCACGAGGGTGCGCGAGCTGCTGGCGGGAAACGGCTGATATTGGTGCTCAGCAAAGCGGACCTGGTTCCACGTGAAGCTCTCCAGGCCTGGCTGTGTCGACTTCGGGCCGAGTACCCGACATTGGCGATGCATGAAGGCCTCGATCAGACTGGTCAGCACCGGGGCCCGCGGCAGCCAGGTAGCGCAGTACAACCAAAACAGCTCTCGCAGCTGGTGCAGCTGCTCAAGCTCTATGCGAAACGGCGTGCGGACAAGCAATCATCCAGCAGCACCATCACTGTAGGCATCGTCGGCAAACCGAATGTGGGCAAGTCAAGTCTACTGAACGCCCTCTGCCGTGAACAAGGTGCTGTGGCGACTGGCGCCCGTCCGGGTATCACCAAAACACTGCAGGAGGTTCGGCTTGATAGCAACATCCGGTTGCTGGACTCGCCTGGTGTTGTGCTGGACGATGTGCAGGAAATCGATCCAGCACCCGTGGTGGAGGTGGAGCAGACGAAAGCCGCGGGCTCACCCGAGCCAGTTGCCAATGCGACATCTGGCTCTCGAGACGAAAGTCGAATGGCGCTCGCTGGATTTCTCGCTGTTGAGGAGCTCAGCGATCCGGTGGCTGCGGCTCGCCTGGTACTCGAACGATGTCAGTATAACGCGGATGGAGCGCTCTCTCTACTCTACGAAATGCCTGCATTTTCGATGTGCGATATGGTTGCTGCAAACGAAGCTACTCGAGAGGAATCTTTTGCCACGCAGTTCTTGGCACTGCTTGCAAAAAGGCGTGGGTTGTTACGCAAAGCGGGAGTTCTTGATCTCGAAGCAGCAGCTCGAGTCCTGGTGCAAGATTGGGCAACTGGCAGAATCCCATACTATACGTGGCCGAAGCACGTTGGACTGCCTTCGTCGCAGCAGCTTGGAGCCCAGATCGTTTCAAACTGGGATAACGCTTTTGATCTTGATGTCTGCGAGCCTTCACCGAGCGCAGAAGAAGTTGTGATGGATGAGAATCCTGCTACCGACGCTGCCCCGCTATCGGTCGCTGATGTTGACGATGAAGTCGTGTTCCATGTCTGGAAGCATAAAACTCGGAGAGAAAGGCAAGCATTTGCTTTGCCGCTCTCTCCTGGTGCTGCGGTTGAGAACGTCGCAGCTGATGCGGATCTCGAAGACTTTGAATTTTCCACGTCATCGTGAACCCCGGAGATGAACAGGCGAGGCGCTCTTCACACACGAAGCCAGATCTGTGCGGTGCAGGTCGCTGGCTTGTGAGTGTATCGCATATCTGCGGCTCTTTATTTGTGTGTCTTGAGATCTGTGTGTCTATATGCTAGAGTATCAGCGGGTCGTCAGGCGCGTGTGTGGCTCCTCGAGCATGCGCTTCCCTGATCGCTCGACTCGGGGCCCTGCGGGCATTCAACATTCTCGACGCATCTGCGAGACGTGTGTCATGGATCCAACCGGCATTGCTCCTAGCAGCTGGCAAGGCGCCTCTGAATCACTGGACATACGTAAGCATCGTGCTCGAGCTGTTGAGCTCTTTTCGAAGGGAATCTACCGACAGCATGGCTTGCAAAGTCATCGGGGCGGGACCACACAACAGGGGCTTTGTTTGGACCCTCTTTTCAAAAACGCAACCAGAGACGGCACTTGGATGCATTCATTCAGCTTTCCGCACACGTAACAGGTTGCAGCTATGCACAAGCGCCTCGTACGCGACCTATCATTAGCGAGATACCTGCGTAGTATCGCGGTCTTCATAGAGAGCATGCGTTCCGTGCGACGCTCCAAAATGACAGCGTATTCCGTTCTCGATTCTGCCTCCTCATCATTTGGCTACAGACCGTCGGCTTTGTGAGCGCAAGCTGAAAGCGTTCACGCAATGCGCATGATGCGTCATCAATACAACCAGCCAAGCAAGACGGGATTCCTGACCATGGACTAGATTTCGCGTCAGGGGAGTCTGTCGAAGAAGCAATGCGTGCGAGGAGGACGTGAGCCAATCACGATCATCCTCCATCCGCCCGGTCTTTCTCTGGGGTATTGAGTGAATGCTCAATCATTCGGAATAAAAGCCATGACGAAAAGCACCAAGAGACAAACGTGGGGTCACTGCAGCGGCGTGCATACCAGCCCAAGCGCTTGCTGGGGCAACCAGTGCTTGCTGAGCGAACCCTGCGTATCGCTCTTAGCGACAGCAGTTTTAGACTCGCGATCGGCAGTGCCACACTCGGCAGGTCTTTTGGGCGAAGGATCAGGACGCATCCGGGATGCACTACTGCACACCTGCGGTACCAGAGAGGAACGAGGTTCCCAGACAGACCGTATTCCCGCTAGTGGAGGGTGCCGTACCCGCGCCTCGGCAATTTCTCACGAGGTTGCGGTTCAGAAGTTAAAAATCTTGAATGCTTCCTACCGATCACGAGACTTTTTACTCAGAGCAGCGCACTTGCAAGAACATGTATCAACACGCTAAACGTGTAATTGTTTGTTTTTCGCACAGGTATTCAAAACGTGGATTGTACATTGTAGATCGGTGAAAGGTCGCGAGATGACTTTATGCTGGCTGGCTGGCTGGCTGGCTTCGGAGCAAAACGCCTTTACTTGTCCAGACCAGACATAGTGCGGACAGCAGACGTATGAGGTACCCCTCTCGTAGTCCGTTCCTTGAACGACTTGCACCGACCACAGCAAGTTTCAAAAGCTCTCTACATGAGCGTCCCGTCTTTCATGTATTTCAGCCCGGATGATATCCATGACGTACCTCCAAAGAAGCCGCTGGATGAGAGGTTTTCGAACGGTTGATACAAATTGCGGTGAAGCGACACGAGTGAACGAAGAAGATGGCAGGCTACTACTTGTAGCTGCAGCACCTTGAACAGCGCACGATCGATTTCGCACTGCAACGAGAAAGTTTCTTCCACCAGGGGCATTTTGCCGTCTCAATTTATGAGACTTTATTCGGTAGACTTGGTAGATTTGTATATGGATAATTCAAAACGGGGGCAAACTGCTGTTCATAGAAAAAAAGCAGCGGGGCTGTCGGTACTATTAGCCCTGGCTACGACTCGGTTATGTAGTCACTTATACATCGCCGAGAATTGTCTAATCGTCCAACATCGCATGCTGCGGGGAATCACGTTTTGCGACCTATTCGTTGCACGTTCTTCTTCACTGGCCTTAGACGTTGCCGCTTTCCATCACTATAATGTGGTCACGGAGTATTCAGATGAGATCGGCAATGAGCAGTGCTACGTGTGAGCGATGGCTCCCGGCTCCAATCCAGTAGGGGGTATGTCTGTCGGTCTCTGTGCTACGCCCGATCCAGCGGTTTGGGCGCTGTTTCGAACGCTCACGGCAGTCGCAGGGCACAATGGAACGTCGGAAAAGCAGAATGTCGGAGATGAGGCACGCGATGTGACTGGTGGAAATCGCAGAGCTGGTGCGCAATGGCGGCAGATTTCCCGGGTGTCGGTACTCGTCGTGAATTCTCGGATCATTGAGCCGTAAGCACATTCCATCGATCAGAACGAATTTGCGGTGGGTTGCTCGACACTTGCTGGCCTGGCGCCGGATAGAAACACAATTCAAACCAGTTTCTCATTCCAGCGTCTGAGCGGAATGGACTGCAAGAAACGGGAATAAACGTATATCCGTAGTCGGGAAGACTACGGCACACAGTTTTTTCACGATCAATAAAACGAACGAAACTCCTATTCAGTAGGGTGATGCATACCTCACTCGCACAAGCGTAAGGTGCTACAGTGACTACGCCTTTGATAGAAGCATCGCGGGCAATCGTGCCAGGCCCCTGCATCTCCTTGTATGTCAGGTCCGTACTGCGATGTGCATCAGCGACATAGCCTATAGCAAGAGATCGTTCCACGTGAGTTTCCGATCTACGAGACTTTATTTCAGCTGCAGTGCGATGCGAACACGCATGTGCCACGGCGGGGTGTCGGACACGTGTCCTTCATCGATCGGTGAGGCGTCTCGCGCGGTGCACGCATCGCGCACAGCGAGCGCAGCTGGGAGATCAGACAGGCTTGAGACATGACGCATATCGCCGACGATGACTGGAAACGTGATCTTGATCTCTAGCGTGTCGCTCTGATGTAAAAGTTGTATTTTCGTTGAGTTCATAGCCAAGTACAGTTTTTCGGTTGCATTTGTGTTTCAAACTTCAAACAAGTCTACTCAAATTTTTTCGCAGTGTGTACCAGAAGCGTTCAAAGGGCTTTCTTCTTAAAAAAACTAAAAAAGCAAAGTTATGAAAAAGCAAGTACATAATCCTGGAGGCCCAGTGTCGCAGGCTGCCAGAAAAAAATAAAAAACAGTACCGAGTCCAGAAGAAAATGAAGAGAAGAAAAAGGACCGAAAGGGGAGGTCCAACGTCGAAGGCGGCGAAAAAGACACCTGTGCGACGAGATGGTGGTGAAAGCTGGTCTTCTTTGACATACCAAGGATCAGTACAAGCAAAATTTGCGAGACGCTATCAGAGACCATGTGTCGATTCGTACTCCAAAAGTATTATAAACGCATCGTCAGGGCTAATGCATTTGGTGAGGGCGATGCATCGCGATGTGACGCACATGGAAAGAGTCGAGGTTTCGGACGAGTTTTTCGACAAGACGTTTATTCGTCAACTGATGCTTGGTACAGGGGGTATGCGGAGGGAAAATGAGCTAGTGCATGCTCTCCACGAAATCTTCGTGGAATTCCCCTTCGAGGGTAATCGATACAGCGGTGACGGAAATATCTACATATACGGGGCGATGAAGTAAATCACGGACCTGAAACACCATTTGACAGTGAACCTCGAACGTTTCATGATACGCGCCGTGTTTGCACTCTACCCGGGTCTATCTCGCGATGGAAAATGTGCGATTTTCAAGGCATCACGAATGATCGTAAGCATGAAGATGAGGTCGAATTTGGTGACAAGAAGGCGCCACGCAGGAGCACGAATGAAGCTTCTGTAATCCGTGCGGCAATACAAGAGCACCATGCAGTTTTTGGGCTGGCGAATCCAGCAGAAAAGGTACCAGAGTTGAAAAAAGATATGGAAAGACACTATCGCCTCATTCTGCGGTATTTCGTGTTTCTGGACCGAAAACTCGAACGCAAGACGGAGATGAAGCTGAGTGAGGAAAAAATGAAGAGCGCGAGAGACCGAGGGCTTTCCTAATGGTGAAGCGCTTCTACGTCATCCCGTTATGGAACATACAGCCCCATTTTGTTTATATCGGCTCCAGAGTCGTCTACGGCATCATGAAGTAGATCAGTCCCGAGTTCAATGCCAGCAGGGAGGAATTCTCCGGTGAAAACCGGGAGACGTACTGGAAGAATATCTTCAGTTTCAAACGTCTCAAAATTAGCAAGCAGAGGGTATTCACGGGGATGATCGAAACCGATGGAGTATCCATTTGTGTAGACTGCAAGCGCTTGAGGGCGTATCGTCCTATCGAGCCTTCGGCTTCGCCCATGACGAAGCATGAAGAAAACAAAGAGACGGATCCTGCGACACAGGAAGTGCAGGATGACGACGTTGTCGTTGACGTGACGAGGTATGAAGATGAGAAGGAGGCGGATTGTGCCACACAGAAAAGGAAGTATAACGACTTTGTCGTGGGCGCGGACCCTGGGAATACGAATGTCACAGCCATCGCTGTACCCAGGCGTGCGGAAGATGGTCCAGACGGCAACTTCATTCAGAAAGACATGCGTCTTTTGAGGTTCTCGAGAGCGAGATACTATCGAGAATCCGGTATAAAGAATGCGTGGAAGGAAATCGAGACATGGAATGCAGGAATGAAAGAGCACCTGGAAGCTTTGGGCGAGGTGACGAGCCGCGGAGCCGACTTTCAAGCTTTTCGGGAGTTCATGAAAGTTCGCGTTGGTCATTGGGAGGCACTGTGGAAAGAGTATACAAAGCCCCGGTGGTCTCGATTGCGTATGAATCTATACGTTGGCAAGCAGTGTGCGTTCGCGAACTTTTTCAATCAGCTGAGTGCCTTCAAAGAGGATGAAAGTCAAAGGCTGGTAGTAGCATACGGAGCAGGGCGCTAGGCGTCTGAAAAAGAGTGTACACCAGCTCCAACGACAAGAACGTACAAGGGGTGTGCAGACCGGTTAGTTACAATACCTGTAGATGAGTTCCGAACATCGTATACACACCATGAACTGTGTTGTACACTTCAAAGGATCGAGATGGAAAAGTGCCAGAGGAGCCCCGACGAAATAGCAAAGTACGGACCGCTGACGGAGGAGCAAATGGAAAGGAGGGCGAACGTTCGTGGGCTACTTGTATTAGTAAGTACAACCAAAGATGGCAAGAAACGCATGGAGTTTGTGAACCGAGACTTTAATGTCGCTATCAATATCAGGAGATGTGCGGTGCTGGAGAAAAGACCTCCAGATTCGACACGAGAGAACCTGTGGGGCGACCTCTCAAAGTGGAATTATATGAGAAGAAAATGAAAGACGTAGTAGGTGGACGGTCGAAAAAGACTGGGATGCGTCTGCACCTCAGCTGGAGACGATTTGCTTACGGCGCGTTTCCCGTCACTACTGTACACCGTTGGCGGCAACGTTTTTCTTTTGAAAGACGTTTGTTTTCAGTGGCCGGCATGACGTGGCGAAAACCGTGCATCGCTTCAGGGGCTTTGACTTTTCTTATTTATGCTCTTATCGTAATATACCGCGCTACTAGTGTTCTCAACGGACGCTCTAGTGGTGTCCAGCGCGCGGATCTTCCCGCCGTGGATGACAGCTGCGTTCGCTCCGTGTCGAGGGCTCTTCGTCGTGGGAGCTCTTTGCGCAACGCGAAAACCCTGACGGAGATTTGGGACCGGACCCTACCAGTGACTTCGAAGGACACGCGAGCACTGAAAGAGTCGCTCGGCTTCTGGTGCGAGTCGGACGCGCTCTGGGCCCAACGGAGGATTCGGTCACAACGTCAGCGAAAGCGCCAGACCGTTACCCTCGAACCAAACCCGTCGGTTTTTTTCTACAATAACTGGGAACCGGATATCGGCTGTACCTTAGAGGAACGGATCGGTAACAACGGAGACGGTGGCAAATGGGTGTGCGACCCACCTGCTATCCTGAACCGGGGACGGCTGTTTCGTGAGCAGCTCAGGCTCCCGTATCGCTGCATTGTTTACAGTTTTGGTAGCAACGACGATTTCAGTTTCGAAACGAAGCTTCATGAACGCTTGCCGGACTGCGATTTTTTCGTCTTTGACCCAACATCATCGCCACCATCTGCGATGCACTCCGAGAGCTTTCTGGAACGCGTTCGTTTTTTTCGCCGGCCGCTTGGCCCGGCTGAGAGCAACAATTCGCTGGCGGAGATCATGTCTGGATTGGGTCACCTGGAGCTGCCAAACGTCGTCGAGGTGCTCAAGATCGATATCGAGGGTGGTGAGTTCACCTCTTTCTTGGGAGCGTTCCGGGCAGCCGACAAGCTCCTTCGCCAAGGACGGAGCCAACGTGAACTCAGCTCTGAAGAGCAATATGCCTTGAGAACCTGGCACGCGCTGCGGCACGTGAATCAAGTCCTTATCGAAGTGCACGCGGGTTTCGCCTCTATCCCAGAATTGGATGAGTTTTTCCGAGGTTTTATGCACGCCGGGTTCGCTATCTTTCACAAAGAACCTAATTTATACTGGTGTTGTGGGTCATGCGAGGAGTACTCTTTCATTCGCATGCATGACTCGTTCTTTGAATTCAAAGATACTATTCATCCATGAAACTGTTTCCATGAGCTTTCTGGAGACTACGCTGCGGCCTACCCGCATGATCTCGGTAGATAATCTAGAGCATGTGTACATGAACATTGCAATAGCAGTGGACTGCACTATAGGTCAATACAACGAAGAGCAAGTGCCTGTGCATAAATGGGCTGCATCGGCCCGACCTGTTTCCATAAGCGCCTTACCCAAATCGTATCGTAGGCGGCAATGGCTGGGATGTTGTTCGCCGTTGGAGTCACCCGACATCCTCGGATACATGCTTTCGCGCGACGTTTCTGTGCGCTTCAGCCGGAACGATTTGACGCTCCTCGATGGATGTAAATCTGCAGAAGAATGCAAGCAGCTGCACGGTCCGGGGCTGCTTGCAAAATAAAACGAATGCAGCTCTGCTCGCGTAAGAGTTCCGACTCTTCGCTGGCACTATGACAGGACGCTCCGCGAACGATAGGATGCCGCATCCACGCGTTTGTCGATAAACATCTCAATGACAGACTGTTTCAGGTTCACTGGTTTGAATAACATAGCCCTCTGCCAAACGCGATACACACCATCTGCATGCGTCTTTCGCGAATGCCATGCGATCAAACGGACCTAGTTCAGCACGAGGCACAGGATGCGGTGCGCACTCGCGATGCGTCACCGGTGTGAGCGGTGCACCAGGAACTGCCGAGGATCTGCAGTGCTGTGCTATGCTGTTTGCTAGCGAGTGCTCTATGACCAAATGTGCTTGCCAATGGACATCGAATAGGTGGATACGGCCACGGAAACGTCGGAAAGAGCGGCCAAGCTGATGAGCAAACGTATCTGGTAGCATCATCGACACGGATCTGCGTGAGAGCCTCGCACTGTTTTATGGCACTTACCATGGACGTCTAAAAGTGACCGCCTGGGGCCGCTGTCTCGGTGTCAGCTTGAATCACGAGTGCTCCCTGTTACGCCGTCCAGGAAAACGGCGAAACCCTCCAGGAACCGCCGCATGTCGGGCGTTACCATTATGTTGTCCGTCGACCCGCGTCGCCTCAAACCAAAGTTTGGGCGACTGCTCGACCAACCTGCAACGCTGTGCCGTCCCGAAGATATGACGGTACCTAGGAATTTCGTTTGCTTTTTATGTGACGCACCAGCTCGTAGGCGAAGGAGCATCGATTTGGTATGCAGCTGCAAATACAGCAGCTCCGGTGCCAGTGCATATCCGAGTCGTCCGTGAGAGACGCGTTCCGCGAGCCCGCGGGCGTGTACACGCAGGCTGATGCCTCGAGCTTTCTTCAATCATGGTATGGAAAAGCCGCTCCGTTGCCATGCGATAACCATATCGACGCTAGTGGCAACCTAGTGGGCGCACACGGCAGGCGCTCGGCACCAGGAAAATTGGACGAACAAACCCTAATTCCGAAAAGAAGTTATCGGCATTGGCTCCTGAAACGCAGCGGTCCCGTGCAGAATGATGAACGCTTTCGCGGATACCGATAACCATGGCGCAATCGGGAATCCCCCGGTTCGTCTACACGATCATGCAGCGCCCTACTCCGTACCCCAAAAATAACTGACGCAAGGTCGTGCTCGTCCGTGTATACGTCGACTTGGGTGCAAGCATGCCGCATGATAAATTTACGCTGACCAGATGAGTGCACATTCCGGCACACCAGCCGTGCACCCGCAAAAGGGCGCTATCGCTTCATGCGCATCTGTACCTCACGACAGGGGATCATAGCACTGACGTCATGAAGCAAGCATCCCATCTGCGCAACAAGGTGCGCACCGAGGCCGAACCTGTCCAAAGTGGTGCGAATTCAATCAAGTTGCACCATACAAGGGACATCATGCTGAAACGGTTGGTGAAACCTAGCGCACAGAATCGAGCACGAACAAACGCACGCGCCGTCGGTGCAACGAACCTGGGCGCAATGGGCTTTATATCTAGATTATCGCAAGCATTTCCCATCAGCGGCAGTAGCGCAGTTGGTTAAACTTTGTCCAGTTCAGTTTCAGTGCCACAGCGCGTAGGTCTCATAACACGAGCCCAAGAAAGCTATCCTAAGGTCGTGAGTTCGAGTCTCACCTGCCGCAGCTTTTGCCTCGCTGCACGAACCACGCATCCTTTCAGGCGATTGCCCACCAGCTGCTTACCACGGACCACAACCAGGCAGTTTTCGGGGTCAGCCACTGCTGTCCGATCAAACGGAACATCTTGGGTAGCTCCGGTGCGACGTGCTCGTCAAAAACCAGTTTCAGGTCCCGCCAGGCACTTGCGCTACCCGCGAAAGTGCAGCGCTGCGCCACGTTGCACGTACGTGTGCCCGAACGGCATCGCCGGCAACCTCGTCCTTGCCGTTGGTGAGTTCGCTGTAGGCGGCTTCGTCACCGTCCAAAGCGTACTCCAGACCAATAATGGCTCCCGCAAGACCGAGACAAGCCACCACAAACGTATCCACAATAACCTGAGAACCACCAGCTTTCATAAAATAAGAACGCAAGCCTCGCAACGCGCGCCAACGGCACCGAACGCAAACACGCTGCAGAAGCACATCCGCCATGCGCGCGGGTCCGGTAAAACGAGAAAACGGGACTGCTCGTTCTACACCTGCTTTTCGTTGATGTTCGGACCTTATTTTTATACACAGACAGCCTTGACAATCCAAGTGCGGCAGTTAGGATTTACGGATTCACGCCTAGTTCTACGATGCTAGACCGATTTTTCCGAGTGGCTCCTTAGACGCTGTGTCACTGGGAAACGTTACGTGATTGCTATCATGATGAAGATGAGCGATGCCCTCGTGCAAGGCTTCGTACAGTAATCAAAATGAAAACCCATTCATATGTACAGGCCCCGATTCTTGCGTTTCCCTTCCATGTCGCAAGCTCGAAGCAGACGTTCTTCAAGTTGCCAATTGTTCTATCGCGAGGCAACATGCGCACGCAATCACTCGCAGCGCTGGATAGGCAGGGGAAACACTTGATCTCGTCCGGTGATGAATTGCTCACAGACTCATGCCGAAAGCGCACTAAACTGGAATCAAGGTCAGCAGACGCGAGCCCGCGAATGTACATCTCCATTGACACAGGCTGGCGGAAAAGGCTGCCTCCGCTCTGGCATCGGGACTCGCGTACGATGCAACAAGTCGGCCGCTGATCAAAACGCTCAGTATCCATCAAGCAGAACACGTCTTTTGGAACGCGTTGCACACTAGGGCTGGGGAAACCCCCGGTCTGCATTGCATCAGACAACGCCCACACTCTCAATCACTCCAAAACGATGTAGGAAAAATGACGCGTATCCTCGCGAGATGTGATCGGCACGCGCGGCAAAAGCACGCGCGTCAGCTCAACTTGTCCAACGCCAATGCAGCGCAATCGTTCGTAAACAAGCGGCGCGAGTCGAAGATACCACTCTTGCAACGGGAACTGGATACCATGCGACTCGCTTGTCGCTGGTAACGGGTTCGCCAGGCTCCGGTGACGCCCCGTCAGACGCTGCGCCAGAAACGTAAAGGATAGACGCGTACGTCGGCTCCGACAGATCACTGAATGCACATCGTTTTGAATATCGTGAACGAAATAGCAGCGGCGTGACAGGCCGACATGCGGGCGATCCTCCCACGGCAAGAAGATCGCATTCAGCACATCCGAACGAACCGTGACGAACCCGTAATCTGCAGTCGCAGGGTTCGGCCCTATCGCTGCAACCATAGACCTTCGAATCGCTCGCTCATGAACCGATGTCGACGGCAACGAGGGATCCAGACGTCGAACGATGTCCACGAGTGCATCGACGGTAGCATCAAGGACGCCATTCGCGATACCAAGAGGTGATGCGGCAACCGCAGCTACAGCGATCACTGCCGGCTTTTGACGATTTTGCTCCTTACCAAAGCGCGGTTGCCGAGCTGCTATGAAAACTGCAATAGCAGGATCATCAGCGTTAGGATCAATGAGCACGCCAAGCGGCAGTTGGCGCTCCGCGGTCACCAGTGCCGGCACTTGCGGGGCGTTTCGGCGCCTTTTGAGGGTGCCGGCGTTACCGGCCTCCAACACGAGCCCGCTTCTTGTAAAAGTCCGCGGATATGGCTCAGTTGGTACACTGCCCTGGTACAGGGTAGCATGCACACTGGTCGAAGCCGTTGCTGCCAGGCGTGCCGCGTTGTCGATGTCGATGTCGTCGGCGGCACGCGCACGCAGCTCCACGAGAGCAGACCACGGTAGCGCGAAACAGTGCGTGCGAAGTACTTTAGAAAAGAGCGGTGCCCGATTGATGTAGTCGCTTTCAGCACTTGATGGTTTTGGTTGCGCAATCCATTGGCGAGCGGCTGGCGGTGGTGGCGGAATACCGCTGAGGTTCCAGCGTACTGGACGCTCCGAACTACCCGCGTCCTTATCCACAACAGCAACCAACTCGAAACGACGTTCGAGGCGAGCACTGTGCTGACGATCCGGATCAGACCACTTTCGGTAGCCTGGTCGCAACCCCACGGCCCAGCAGCAGCAGCAGCAGCACCGCGAGTCGTGGAACACCCTACGAGACCGCGTTCGACACGGCTGGCAACCGACACCCTCGAACTGGCTCTGTTTCCGTGAAGTGAGCCACCGGCAACAGCTTCGTGGTCTTCCCACTGACGCTGTCGCCGAATCCCAGCTCCAGATACGACCAGAGCAAAGAAACTCCGGCTCCACGAACATAGACACCGCACAGAAGAAGCAATCAACGTGCTCGGGCGTTGTCGAACGCTGATGGGCGAATATGCTGCCTGCCGGCCGGCGCTCCCTGCGCACCGTTATCGCTCAGCGCTCGCGCGTGTCTACGGTTACCCAAGGGAGCAGGCGGACACCATGACACGATCCTTGCGCTTCTTGAGACTCTATAAAAATATTGTCTAACTTCTTTCGTCCCGTGGACAGTTTGTGTGTCTTGTCTCTGGGGAACGCGCGCTGCGTCCTGTGCATGCGTCGAGCACCGGCGTTGTCGCGAGCGTCCCTTCGCAGCGCCAAAGAGTCACGCTTCCGACGGACTACTGAGCGACGACATTTGACCCAGTTCATAGGTAGTCTATGGGGAGTGATTGTCTGGTTTCTGCTCGTTGTACAAGTGCTGTGCTGGTATGACGGCACGTTTCCACGTCTTCGTATGGGAGACTGGGGCGCGCGCACGACGGCCTCCGGCAGCGATGCTCCCTGGCTAGATAACCAGAGCGGTGCGCTCTATGCACGCTGTGTTCCGCGCACAACACTCTTGACGACGAACAGGTCGTCGCGGCCGAACGTGCTGCTCGTCGTGCCGTACCCGCCCAAGCAGGCACCACAGGTACTGGAGACGCTGCGGCAGTGGCTTCGCCAAGCGAGCGCTTGCGCGGAAACCGCTTATGCGTCCGACCTGCTGCTGTTCTGTAGTCGAGCAGAGACTAATTGCCTCCAGCGGGAACAAGTGCAACTAGTCTTGGACTCTGTCCGAAACGAGACGTTTCGTTCAGAGCAAGTTTTCTCGCGGGTGCTGCTTCGGTTCGCGAACCTCAGCGACTACGCCGACGCCTACTATTTCAGTCGCTGGCGTAGGCGGCATATTTCTCGTGGGACAGCGAATCTATTCTATGCGCTTTTTGACCTATACCACGTACCCGGGAGCACGAGTCGCCACGAGGAGCACAGGATCCACCCGATGGGGCTCGCGCTTCAGTACGACTACTTTGTTTGGCTTGAACCCGACGTATACGCGCTTCGTCCGTGCTTTCTACCTATGCTTCATCGATCTGTGGCGAAGCGGCACCCTTTCTGGGTCATGGGGAGTGCGCCCCTCTACCAGCGACATCGTTGGTGCGTGACCTGGCCTCATGATCACCATCTGAACGGCAATGCTGTGTATCGACTGGGTGATCCGTGCTTCACCCATACTGTGCTGCGAGGGATGGCGACTCGCTTTCCTGATGAGCCCTTCGATAGTGCCATGCAGCGCTGGCGTATGGCGACGGCACACGATAGCTGGTGGCGCGTCTATGCGCATCTGTTCGTGTACACGGACTGGATACAGAACTATGGAAGTCGAGCGTGGTGCCCTGAACTGGTCTCCAAGACGAGCCCTTTCACTGCAATGGTGCACGGGGGTCAGCCCTATCGTAACGAGAACCAAGACGCTTGCGTAGCCGCCGTTACGTCAATACTCCGACGGAGTTAGCGTTCTCGTTTCACCGCAGCACCGAGCCTCTGTTTATGATGTCCATGGTTTCTCGGCAGCTGATGAGCGTGGTCTCTGGCAGATGCTCGCCATATCCAAGGCGTAGTGCTCAGAACGGCGGCTTCTCGACGAGACCTGCTCGGCTGGGCGGAAGCATGTCGATGGACGCATCTGCTGGCGGAAAATTCGTCATGGCTGGACACGCGTACATCCGAGCGCACTAGTCTTTGACCCGTTCATCGAGTGTGGTTCCTCATAAGCACGCTCAGCGTATGCCTTGAGGTGCGTGCTTTGGCGTACCTGCTAGCCTCTGTCTGATTTCTTTTGATGTAAAGCGGAAGCGTCAAACCTGCCGTTCGCTGGAGACGGTCCGAATGAGACCTGTTTCCTGAAACCACCTCGTCGCCGATGCAAAGTCAAAACTTCGATACCCGCAACGGCCCGTGGTAGAGCTGTATGACGACACGTCATAGAGAGACGAGTCTTTGAATGAGGTTGACCATAGAACGCCGACGCCAATAATGGAAACAGCACATTCCGATCGATTCCGACATGGAATGAGTCTCGTGTCCAGCGCTGTTTGTCTGTGTATGTGCGTATGTGTGTTCATTCTGCAGCAGGGAGTCTGATGGGTCACTGCACCTCTATCGTTTGCGACTTGGAGAGCGGAACACTGGATCGGATCCGCTATTGAGGCGATGTATTGCACGTGAATGATCTCTATCTTTGCTTACCTTTGGAGCGACCCTGGCGTTTTCAGGGACCAAAACACTGAATCCAGGTCACCGCCTAGGCACCCGGTTGCAATCGAATGAGAGCCGTCATCAGGCGCCTACGACAGAAACTTCCAGTTCGTTCAAGCAGTAGTTCGGAGCTCTGACCTCGAACCCAGATGTACGCTAGCGCCACGAGACGTTCGCTCTGGTTGGACAGCGTTCTTTAGCTTATTTGAATGAGAGTGATGGCTTTTACGATTTCCAGAAAAATACTGGCAGCGCTCAAGTTGCACCAGCGCAGCGTTTAGCTTCAGTTAGACGCTGACACCAAAGAACGTTGATTAAGAACCAGCTTTTGAACAGACGCCAGCAACCTGAGCGCGTCCCCAGTGCATGACGTACGCGTTTCTGCTGCCGTTATACTGCAAAGGCGCCCCGGAGATCCAAGCGCGGCACGAACACAGCAAAGCGTTAGTATTTCAGCGCAGCGGGGGCGCTCTGCGGATAGCGTCATGCTTGGTCCCGTGTTTTCGCCAGCGCTCACCATGATGCAGCTTCATGCGAATCTCTCTGCGTTCCCCCACGTCAGAATATAATGGAACGAGTCATCTAATACGGCACAAAGAATAACGTTTGGATCTCTTCGCACTGTCATCAATAATAGTCTTGGTGGGGTTTCTCTTGCGACTGCTTCTGCTTCCTCTTCCATACCGACTTTGAACAAGATGCTCAATGCTTTCCTGGGAGCTAACTTGTCAACAGGTGAAGGGTGTTTATGGCAGTGTGCAAATCCTGATTTTGCAGCTTCAACCTGTTGTCGACGCAGTCAATACGTAAGTAAAAATTGCGATCGACGTAGCTGTTCCATTGTTGAGCTTGTTTGTACAAAGGCGCTGTGCGACCTTTCCATCAGTCATATCGTGTTATGGTCAGGTGTGTCCCTCTATATCCACCTCATTTCCTCCGTGCGCCGCGCTGGGGCGTGGAAACGCTTGCTTCACGCCCCCGTACATGTCCATGACTGCTACTGAAGGGTACGCTCCATGCACGCCTCCTTTTTTTTGCAGCGTCAACTGTACCCCACGATCACGGGGCTTGTGCGTGGCAATCCCCTCGGCAAGTACACTATTCGATGCATACGAGAGTGAACGCAGTTCCGTTCGATAGCGGATTTGCGAAACGCAATGTTATTGACGATGGAACAATTACCAGAAACAAGATCCAAGCTGGAAAACGGGTCAAGAAATTTCGGTCTGTCTACGCTCCCTTCGTGCGAAACGGTGACGCACACCCTACTGGAATCGATCGCTCGGATGACTCCAGTTCTAGTACCGAATCCTTTCCCAAGCAAACAGAAGAGGCGGGAGCCCCGCAAGCAGCGCACCACATCATACGGTACCCTGCTGCTCTGGAATGCCGTCTCGCCGATGAGCGCGAAGAGACAAGCATTTGTCTTTCGAATGCAATGGACCATTCGAAGCGACAAGTGACGTGAGCAATGGTCATGAGTTTGTGAACGAGTCGTCCATGGACGACGTCAGGGTTCTGGTATTGCTCGATAATCTAGCGACACGAATCGCTTCGCCCCTAGGGTGCCGTGAGAGAGCAACACTGAAGCGTTGAAGAGTGCACGATTAACGCGTGCTTCACGTACGGAACTTTAAAGCGTGGGAGCTTGAACCAGTGACTCGGATCATTATATCGAATATTCTACGAATCTTTATTCGATTGCGTCGTGAATCCCCTCGATCCCTGTAACGTAACAAATTCCAGCGGTACAGCGTCAAAGGAGGCATTCCGCGAAAAAATGGCGACCGATCGACAGAAAACTACTCATGAATCTACACGCTCCTACCTGCTGCATTTCGCATCTCATCGCTGTACATCTGAACAAGTAAAGAAAAAAATTACAACACAAGAACAGAAAGACGAGCTCAGGCCTCAATTCTAATCTGATAAAGTTGGAGTTTCCCAATGCTTTCTCCGCAAGTTCCATGAACGTCCACGTTGACGCTCCGCGTACAGCGTTCGGCAGCGTCGAACTGTACCGCACGCGCTGGATGCCGCGTTGGAAAAACAACAGGTTACGTTTCGTGGTGACGGTTGGCGCCTCTTTTTGAAGCATCAAGCTGTGATTCTTTTTCGTGATACAGCGCTTGACGCGCACGTTGCGCTTCAGCAGTCGAGGTGCGGGACCTAGAAGCCATACAGCGCTCCTTAGCGCTCGTTCGTCAGCGCCTGCGCTATCCGCAGTTGGTTCGTCGCCTACGCGAGCTCGAAAACGCATGCCTCCAACCAGGCACCTGGAGTACAGCCCGCGCTGCGAAGCAGGGTGCTTTGCTGCTTCGCGAAAGAGCTGAGCTACAGCGCCTCGTTTCCGAAGTCGATACGCTTTCTGCAGAAGTTCAGGCCTGTTTGACGCTCTGCTCAGAGGAAGGGAGTGCGACAACGGACTCTGGTGCTCTCTTTCGTGATGAGATAGAGGCACTGCGTCTTAGATCGCAGCGAATTGAAGCAATGGCGCTTCTTCATGGGGCGAGTACGCGGAGCGAAAGCGCCGATGAACCCTCCGACCTCCACCGCTCTTGCCTGGTTGAGGTCCGGGCAGGTGCAGGTGGTACTGAGGCCATGGACTGGTGTAGTATGCTCGTTCGCATGTACCAGAGATGGGCAGAGTCTGCGGCGGCGAGTCGATCCCTGCGTTTCCAAGAAGTGAAGCTCACGGACTCGAGCCCGGGTGAAGTCGCCGGACTTCGCTATGCTGCCCTCTTTGTACGCAGCGGCACCGATGGACTCGCCTGGGCTACCGCTTGGCTCCGTGGCGAGGCCGGTATTCACCGCCTGGTTCGTCATTCGCCTTTTGACGCGTCCCAGAGGCGTCACACGAGCTTTGCAAGTGTGTCGATCATACCGCTACTGGATGAAGAAGAAGTCGCATCAGAAGCGTTACAAGCGCTCAACATTCATCCCGACGATTTGCTCATCGAGACGATGCGCTCCTCGGGCGCCGGTGGCCAACACGTGAATAAGACGGACTCTGCAGTGCGAATCACCCATCGACCGAGTGGCATCGTGGTAACCTGTCGGAGCGAGCGTTCGCAGCACCAGAACAAGGCTCGAGCGCTATATGTGCTCCGATCGAAACTCCGTGAGCGCTATCTGCAGGAAAGAAGGCAACGACAGGCGTCAATGACACATCACGGCGGTAGCGCCGGCTTTGGCAGTGCAGATCGCCTCGTTCGTTCCTATATTCTGAGTCCGTTTACCTTGGTGAAAGACTTGCGCACGGGCCTCACCTGCAGTGACGCAGAGAGTGTCCTTGACGGTGGAGATGCATTGCACGAGATGCTACGAGCCGCTCTGGCGCTCGACCAGACCGACTCCGCGGGGAATGGTGCACCCGCGCATGCGACCAAGCGCTGACTGAGTGAGACTCTCACTCGCAAGACTCCCGGTGCTTCGAGAGCCTGTGCACATGCGCGGCGTTTCGGTGCGTTGCTTCTTCATTGTGGAGGCGGCACCGCGCACGTTTTTGCGGGTGTCCACATCATCGCATGCGCAGCTGATACCAAGGAAAGCCTCGAGCCCCGAAACAGGACGGCTGTGACGCTACTGCAGCGTCGCGCTGTATGGCAAGCGGCAACACTACCTCATGAGGCGAACCAAGCCTGGAATGCGGCCCATTACAGAGCGTTGTGTTTGATTTTGGGGGCCGCTTCCATCGCGACGGTCTCAATTATCAGCCATCTAATGAAACGAGCATATCGTCACGGCATTTTGGGGAATAAGTGCCCGGCACTGCATTGATTGCAGCGATGACTTGACGCAGCTGCAAGCGACCAGCACCGGCACCTATAAAACCTGGAACCTCTGCATTCTAGTTGCCAGTAGAATGCGCATTTTGTTCATTCGAGCTGTCCCTGGACATGCTCGCTTCTGTTGCGAACGTATCGTTGCAACACGTGATCAAAAAACCTCGTATGACGTTCATATCATACTCGCGTTGCGTTAGCGCCTTCGTACGACTAGCATCGCTGCGGAGCGTGCCGACGCGAATGCCAGCGACATGTAGTTTGCGCATGAGCCGGTGCACCCAGGTGGCATTAACGCGAGCAAAAAACAAAGCGCAATGTACGCAAGCCTCACATGCGCGACTCTGGCGAGCAGAATCCGTCCAAAGCGTCTGGTCTTTGTCCTGCCCCGGAAAACTTGGACCGAGATTCGGTTCATCATACGCCCCGTGTAGATTCTATTTTTTGCTACAACACTTGGCGCCACGTAAAATAGAGCTTCTTCAACTGCTCGAGTAAGACGAATGCTCCAATGGTGTGCGGTGTTAAACGCAAAAAGTAGGGCATGAACCCCCTCCAAAGCGCAGGAATGCCCTCAGAACGTGAAGTCTTCAACAGCGCATCCAGCATTCCGGCGTACTCACGATCCCGCATATGCTGCAGCTTCGTCTTAGCGTTATCGAGAGGCAAGGAAATACACGTAGCTGCAAAGCCGCTACACGTCGATGCCAAGACATGGGTTCCGAGATGATCCCCAACGAGCCCAGTGCTCAAAATCATCTCCTTCGCCTGGGAATACGTACCGAGTTGCGCCATATTGAGCAGCGCTGCGCGCCCTACCGTCGGCAAAGCTCCCCGCCACAGTGTCATAATGCCTTCTTCGCGTACGATGCGAATCAGGGCATCGAAGACAGACCGATAGTTTCGTCGTCGCTCTGGGGGCAGTCGTCCGTCTGCCATCATCCGAATGAGCGCCACCTCCGCAGGCGTGCCGACCAATGCTCCAATAGTACCAGCGGTGAGTCCAGCGCCAGCTTTCCAGCTGAAGGGCAGTGCAACGCCCTGCCGCTGGGACTCGCCGTCGTGAGCCGAGCTCGCCTGCTGGGCTTTTCGAATACGGGTGAGTTCTTCGAGAAGAACACCGTATACCCCGAGACGCGTCGTCGTGTAAGTGATCTGGCGGAACAGCCCCGCTGATAAGCCCGCATAGAGTTTTGAGGCGCCCTCCTGGACAACAATCGCGCGGAGCACGTACAGCGGACCTGGAGCCTGAGCGCCTTGGACTGATTGCGTCAACTGCATGCGTGTTTTCACGACGTCGAACGGCTGCACCAGAAGCGTCGCACCCATGCCTGCCAGTCCGCCGAAAACGAACTGCAGATAGTTAGGAAGCGGTCGTTGCACCGCTTCTTGAGCGCTCATGATAAGCGTGAGTCACGTTGATCCAGCCAACAGTAAATGGGACTCCCAGTCGCGTCCTGTTCGCCAAGAACGCTCCGCAGGTTCAGCGTGCGGTGGCGTTGCAACCACGTTTTCGAGCTCCTGCACGACGCGCAGCCGGGTGCAATCGTGTCCCAAGTTTATCTGTTTGTGTATGGTATCCCAGACAAGTTTCTGCAAAAAGCTAGTACCAGAAGTCTCGAACTATAAGGTTGCACTGCGCAGCAGGCAATGCCTCAACGTAAGGCATCGGCCGTGCCGCGGCGCTGGGTATCCGGGCGTGCACCCGTTGCACCTTATAGTCTTTCAACTCAATTGTGTTGCACCCTTGCTGAATTTCTTGGAATGCGTTTTCGCGGTATGTAGCGGGAGGTCGGAATCACTAGGCATTTTTTGCATATATCGTAGACGAATTGAATGTAGGGTAGAGATTCTTTACTGAAAAGTGCGGGGAGCATTGCATGCGTCCTTCAGGTCAGTCATACGTTAGAACTCAGATGGTTCATACATATTGAAAGAAGGAAGCATATGCATTCCGTGCCAAAACCCGATATATTTAGAGATTGCTTATGGACTGTGGTAGAAAAAAGCGCGTTGATGACCCTATGGAAAGCAAACGCAATGATCCTAGCCACCAGAGGCGTCTCTGTTGCTTAATGGCTTGTTCGGGTTGTCCTGAAAACAGCGGTATACATTCGCAAAAATAGTTCCAGTTCATGCATAGCAATTTTCTACCGAAAAAGTAACGAATTCGTTCCTGGAACTCAGCGATTGGTATGATGCACAAGGATTTTGAATCCTTTTCTGAGTGCAAGGGACTTTTTTTTTTCAGACGAAATTGTCGGAGCTTTCACGCGTACTGGCATAGAGGGCGTCCGTGGAATTCAGGATCGAATTCGAAGAGAACGAGGACACCATCATCTGTTCCAGCTGCAGTGGATTCATTTGGCGGCTTCAGCTTGGGGTCGTAGAGAAGGCTCATACAAGAGCACCAACCACGTTATCGAATCACTGAAGAATCATCTGACGAATGGCGGCGTCCTTCTACCGGACAACGTTGCATCTCACCATTCCCCATGCGTCCAGGCTTTTGCCGAATCTATCGGGATAGAGCTGCTTTCCTTTCCTCCATACTATCCATGATTCATGACCATTGAAGAGAAGAAGAAGAAGGGGGATAGTCGAGAAAAGATGTTTCCCCGACAGGACGTCGACGAGACTCTAATAGCGCATAGCGTGCGACCACTAGGAATCCTTGCATTGCTGAAACCACCCAGCGGCAATAAACCTATGAAATTCTTGAACAGAGACTTAAACACCGCCATGAGTATCGGACGATGGGTGGTGCTGAAGAGCAGAGACCCGCGAAGCTGAGGCGAACCTACGTTGTGAGGCACCCTCTGATGCTCGAAGTGCACAACGAGAAGCTGCAGCCGATAGCACAAAGTCGGTCAAACAAGACCAAGAGGCGCCTGTCCATCGATAGATATATACACCTGTCAGGGTCGTAGCGCATTTATCGTGTCACTGATCACATAGAGCATTGGGTGCTCGCGGGGTAGACAACGACGGCGTATTCGCCATCGGCTGCATGCCGAACGGGCTACCCGGATCGGTGTCACACATCGCGTGGCACCGACAACGACGGCGGCGGCGGCAACGCGGCAACGCGGCAACATCGCGCACGCACGCATACACGCACGCATGCGTGCGTGCGTGCGCGTCACGGATCAATGCGTTGCACACATATCCGTGCGCGCCTCACAGGGCGCCATACGACGGCAACACGACGTCGTTGCATATCATTCCAGAGGCGGCTTTCGAGGGGAACGCTTCTAACGTTGACAGGGACTTTATTTAACAAGCGCCACAGGTCCGCGCTGTGTCGAAGAACTGTGGACGCCCAGCAGCTGGTGGTTGGTTGATTGGTTGGTAGTCGATAATAGTAGTTGCTGCTGCTGCTGCTGCTGTACGTCTTCTGGTGCGGTGCTTCGGTTCACCGGCCGAGCAGCAGCCTGTAGCGCGGTAGCGTTCTGATTGAGACGGTTGGGTGCTCTCGAAAGCAACCGTGAGCTGGGGCGGTGACTGCAAGAATCCGCATCATGTCCAGCGGCGTAGAGCGAGGACCAGAGTGCTGTGAGGGCACCTGTGCGCCTGTGCACGAGTTTGCTGGAAGCGCTCGCAAAGAGCAGGAGACCTCGCCTGACTTGCAGTTCGTGTTGCAGTACACGCTCGAGGGTCACCGAAAGGCCATCTCCTCTGTGAAGTTCTCTCCTGACGGTCGTCTGTTGGCGTCTTCTTCTGCAGACAAGACGGTTCGGCTATGGTCAGTCGCAGATGGCAGACTAGTGGGCGTTCTCGAGGGACACGCGCAAGGCATCAGCGACGTAGCCTGGGCTGGTGCAGCGTCCGCAGCAGCAGCAGCTGGCAGCGGGGCGAGTCGTTCGGCGAGCCTGTCGCGCTGGCTCGCCTCCGCGTCCGATGATCGCACGCTGCGGCTCTGGGATGTGGAGCGGGGCGTCGCCGTGCACCGTTTCGAAGGACACTCCAATTATGTCTTCTGCTGCAACTTTAATCCCCAGGGTAATGTTTTGGCCTCGGGATCGTTCGATGAAACCATTTGTTTTTGGGACGTGCGAATGCGTCGATGTCTACGGACGCTGCCGGCGCACTCGGAACCGGTGAGTGCGGTGCATTTCAATCGCGACGGAACCCTGTTGGTATCTTCGTCGTATGATGGGCTTTGTAGGATATGGGACGTGCCTGATGGCCGTTGTTTATATACGATCGTTGGAGAGGAAAGCTTGCCTGTGAGCTTTGTGAAATTCACCCCCAACGGGGGCTACATCCTGGCGAATACCCTAGATAGCACGATACGTTTATGGAGCTACCGCGATGGCCAAGGGCGGGTGCTCAAGACTTTGCGGGGACATTGCAATGCTCGCTACTGTGTATTCAGCACGTTTGTGGTGACACACCCCGAGCACAAGTATGTGCTGAGTGGTAGCGAAGACGGGTTTGTGTACCTGTGGAATCTGCACACACGGAAGATGGTCCAGCGCCTTGAGGCGCACACCGATGTTGTGCTGGCAGTGGACGCACATCCGACAGATCACGTCATCGCGAGTGGCGCCCTCGAACGCGATCGCTCCGTCAAGATCTGGTCAGCAGCATCTGCGGATGGACGTCTGGATACCAACGCTGCGTAGTGAAGTCGGCATCTGGGGGTTTCCAGGGAGTGTCAAGGCTTCCCGGGCGGGTCCAGCGATGCCTGCGCGAGCGCACACGACGCACGCGCACGTCAGAGAAAGCGAGCTGGTGTCCGCAGGATTGCCAGGACGGTGCCCTGGCCTTGCGTGCCGGGACCCGGCATTGCGACTGCCTTGGTCGAGCAAGCGACCGCAGCCTCATGGCGTCTGTCGCCAACGATACATCGCTGTGGGAGCTGTGGCGTCGCGATGCTGAGCGGCATTGGCACTGCGTCGCAGCGAGCGACCGCTCGTCGCCGTGCTGCTGATTACCGATGCGTTGCCGTCGCCTTCGTTGCCGAGACGTGCCCGGGATTACGTCACATGGGCCGGCGTTGAACATCGATCTCGGTGAACGACGCTGGCGCTCGTTGGCGGTTGACGGTGCACACGACTCGCATCCGGGACAGTTCCAGGCCAAGTTTGACGATGCTGACGCCGCGAGCTAGGATCGTGCGTCTGTATCGTGTCCAGCGTTTCCGCGCGCTGTGGCGCCTGCTCGCATGCAGTCGTCGCCGTTGTATTTGTCGACGTCTTGATTGCATCGATACTGGGATCGCAAGGCGTCCTATCGTGAGTGAATGTGGCATCCGAGGGCAATGTCGGCGCTTCGCCCTGATCTGAACCAGCATCCGGGGTGGGCAGCGTCGTCGTCGCGGCCTCTATGGTTGCTACTGCCCCATCACTGCGCGCGGGATGTACATCCAATCCGCGATACGCTGCAAGCAGTTCGTGCTCAGGAGCTGATCGGGTCAGTTTTCGGGGATAGCTCCAGTGGCGCCGCTTTGGCGTATCTCGTAACGCATCCGTCGATGGTTGCAGATGAGGCTCGCTAGCAAACACGCTCATATTTTCCTTGTCAGCGCCAGGTTCGTATGCGTCGTCCGCTTTGCACACCGGCACCGACGTCATTGAAGATGACAGGCACTGACTGAATCGATCCCGGATGAGATGATCGTGGGTTTCGATGCGTTCCTCCAGCTGGTGAATCTCGCTGCGAATTTGGTGCATTGTATCTGCGCATACCGTTTCCAGTTCACGCACGTGGCCGTAAAACGCCCTATGCGAGCGATCGCGCTCCTCTAGTTTCGCGTAGAGCGTGTCGAGATCCACCAGGCTCTGAGTGAGATTGTTCATGAGGCACAGGGCTTCGGAAGCGAGCTGTTCTTCCACTCGCTTTTGTTCGCGCAAGAGGAAGCGGCTTTCTTTCTGTTGAGCGTCCAGTCTGTGCAGATGCGCTTGTAGCTGGTGCATGGCCGCGTCTCGTGCTCGGAGCTCACCCTCGAGCACCTGCTGCCGCTCCTGTGATTGTGCCAGCTGGTCACGGGACTCGTCCAGCATTCGCTCGAGTACGTCACGCTCTTGGGCCTGATCCTGGATTCGTTGCTCCAGCGCTGCAATTCGATCACGGTGCGTTCGGCGGGCCTCGTCCATTTCGGCGTAGAGCTCGGGCGGCACGAAGATGCCGTTTTTGGCCCGTGTTGCCTCGAGCTCGAGACGCAGACGTGCGATCTCTTCCGCATACTCCCGAATCAGCGTCTTCTTCATCAGCATTTGATTCAGAGTGGGTCGATTGCGAATGTTCTTCGCCCTGAAAGCATAATCGAGTGTATTGAGTGTCTCCTCGAGATCTGCAGCCGCAGGGCTTATGGTGGCAACGATAGCAGTCTTGTTGCGGCCGCCCAGAGACTCCTGCAGTAGCCGTGTTAACTTGCTGTCGCGATACGGGATGTGGACCTGACCTTCGATAAGCGCATTAATGACGCGACCCAGTGTAAGCAGCGACTGGTTAATAGAGCCTGCTTCCCGTGCTCGTTCATGCGTTGCACCCGAGCGCCCAATGTTCTCGGAGCCAGCCAGGTCCACGAGATTCAACTTGCCAACTCGGAGAAGATCCTCACCGTCAGGCGTCATTTCTCGCACGTGAATCGTGATCGTGAAAATGGCGTGTGACCGGGAAGAGTATCGGTTGAGGCTTGTCTCCGCAGTGCGACGGCGCTGCGAACTCTTCTCCAAGAGCGCCATGATCTCCTGCTCGTTGCGAACGACGATTTCCTCCAGTCCGGAAACGAAAACACCGCCTTTTGAGGGATCCTGCAGGATGCGCATGGGATGAGCAGCACCCTCGACGGCGAGCAAGTCGCTAAGCTGCTCATTGTAGAGCTCCAGATGTGAGCAACGAACGGTGTATTCGATATCGTTGCTGCGATCCTTCAGTGTGGCAAATATTTGGTTTGCGGCTCGAAGAATGATTCCTGCTGTTGGCGGGAGTGAGCAGCCGCTTGCACCGGGCTCAGCGGTGTGTCCTGGCAGCACGCCCTCCATGGTGTACGTTTTGCCAGTGCCGGTTTGTCCGTACGCAAAAATCGTACAGTTGTAGCCGAGGATCGAGTCGCTCACGATTGGCTGCACGAGACTCTGGTACACATGTTCTTGCCCTGCATTCATGGGGAAAACCTTGTCAAAAGTAAAGGAACGCATCGCATACGGAGGCACCTGATCAAAGTCGGCCTCAGAGACGGGCAGCGGCACACCAGGCGCCGCTGCCGTCAACGCTGATGCGTTTGTTGACCGAGCCAAATGGGCACTCGCCAGATAGGTAGGCTGCAGAACGCGAACTTCACGCAATAACTCATTGACGCGAACAGCTTGGACGGGCGCATCACCGCCAGTCTGCAGCAGTTCGACAGACAAAGGGCGACAGCGCACCGCAACTTGTACCCGTTCTGCTGCCGAGTTTGTGGGTGTGTTTACGCCGCTGCTAGACGCAGTCGCATGCGTTCCCGCAGCACTTGCACTGGAGCGCACAGGCTCGGGGCGGCTAGGCTCTTGCCGTGTTTGCGAGATCCCGCTCCACGGCTGGTGCCGTGCACGTCGCTGCTCCACACAAGGCGCAATACGTTGCGCCGGCTCGCGCTCAGTTACGTTTTTCTCTATCTTTAAGCGTTCTCGTCGTTCGCCCGTAGCTGCTGATACTCGCTGCACAGCAGCTAGGCGAGCGTGACCTGTAGTGGGTACAGCTGCGCTGCGCGGCCCTGTGCGGATACGTTGACTCTGCTCGGGCATTTTGCTGTAGTGGGAGCCTCTTAGACTCCCTCCGGGACGATGCGTACGCCGATTGCCTGCCTGACTGAAGAGAAAGCGTTCGAATGGGCAATTATTCGGGTCTTGATGCAGCTTGAACGCTCGTCACGTCGTCTGGCGACCCGGTAGCCGCGAACATGGCCTGAACGGACGCGCTGTACGGCTCCATTGGTGGCGCGCGGCTGGCGCCGCCGCTGGACGGCTGCCGCGTCACATTTCACGTTTTGAATTCCCGTGGCCGTTGCGGCGTCTCGTGCGACGGATCACGCGAGAATCCGTCACAGGCTCAAGAGGATATGGGATATAATTGCATCTTTATATATATAAATGGACAATTACAACCTCGCGTTGTGAATGGAATCCGGGTGCTGTGCGCGTATGCCAAGTCCGCGGGATGGTGTGGCGGCGAGCGTTCGGATTTCAGAGGATGCGCTGAACACGATGATCCGTTCTGGATATAAAAGTTGCTTTTTGTTCGAAAAATAGATGATTGTACCATCACGTTGTCGTGCCAACCTGGATGCAGAGCCCCAATCGGACCGCCCCAGGTTCGCAACAACCACTGGACTTTCACGGAAAGCTCGCATAGCGCAGTGCAGCGATTGCACTGCCGCCGGCCACTGCGCCGAGCCGTCACCACACCGTACGCAGGGCGAGGCACGTCAGCGTGCCTGTCTCGTGTACCCGTTTTCGTGTGTAGATCGCATCCACGCGGAACGCTGCAGGATCGATCAAAGCGTCATCATCAGCCGGCGGCGTCGGTGCGCCACGACGCACTGACCGATCAAGGCGCATGCGTGCGCACCTGATGCCGCAGTAGAGCGCGCCACGTGGCGAGGCTAGCGCGCTGGCGATCCTAGCCTTGCGCACCGCCAGCGACGGCGCGAACGGAATTTGGCCCGCCGATTCGCCGCGTATGATGCCTGCAGCGCCCTGTACACTGCTGCGATTCCGTTACGTCGCGGGCCTAAAGCGAGGGCCTCTCTCCTCGGTCCTGGGCGTGGCGGTTGTAGACCCATTGGGTCCAGCCTCCGTGTACGGCCCGCCGCGTCGCTACCGATGCACACAGCACTACTCTGTTGTTTGTCGTTGTGGCATCTTCCTTCGAGCACGAACGTTGGACATAGGCATCTCACTCCCGTGTCCTTTGCTGAACATAAGCGTGTCAAGCGTTCGCATCGGTGTGTGTGTGTCATTGGCGCTCAGGAAGCAAAACGGGAGCGTTCATCGAACCATTATTCACAAAAGTGATACAATTTATAATTTTCTGAGTTTTCACGAGCGTTGGTATTTATTTTCAATTGCGAAAGATGCAACGCAGCCGCCTCTCATTTATTCTGTTGGTAACGTTACTCGCAGCAGCGGTGGCAGCCCTGTTTGCTGGTAGCGGAACCGTCACGACGGTAGTGGCCTTGCCGACGCTGGCGCGCACCTATGGTGAACAACTGCAGCCGCAGCAACAGCAGCAAGTCATCATTCAGCAGCAGCCGCAGCAACAGCAGCAGCAGCAGCAAATCTTCACACAACAGCAGCAGTACCAGAACCAGAACAACCAGCAACAGCAGTGTGATACGGTGGAAATCTGCGGTGTGAACCTCAACCAGGATCAGTGTCTTCAGTATGGTTGCTGCTGGAACGGCTACACCTGCTTGTTGCCGACGCCAGCTCCGAGCTGCGATGTGGCGCCTCAGAACCGCAGTGCTTGCGGTTGGCCTGGAATAACCCCACAAGAGTGTACATCGTACGGCTGCTGCTGGTTGCCGCCGCAAGCCGGCGAGTACGCGCCCTTCTGCTATTACAAACCCGGACAGGAGCCCGTCTATCAGCCGCAGTACCCGCAACCGAACTGTAACGTCACCATTCAACTGCCCTGCGCAGCTCTGGGCAACAGGCAGCAAGTCACTGAATCGGAATGCGTTGCCCATGGTTGCTGCTTCGACTCCAATTACTATTGGTCCTCGCAACTGCAACAGCAGCATCAGAATAACCAGAACGGTATATGCTACGAGCCGCTCGGAACGTGCTACGTGGATGCGAATGAGCGGCAGAACTGTGGCTTCCCGGGCATCTCGTCGCACGAGTGCTTCCAACGCGGCTGCTGCTTCGAGCCAATCTACCCGTACCAGGGTGCCGATTCACAGGCCCTGAGCCAGATCCCATGGTGCTACTACAAGCAGCCGATGCTCTCCTGCCCGAGCGCCAACCAGACTGTCTGTGGCCAGGAGTGCTGTGATCCGACCCAGACGTGCGTGTTGTCAATCCGCCAGGCTCAGCTGCAGGTACAACAGAACAAGAACAAGCAGTGGCAGAGCTGGGAAGCGACGCCGCTACCAACGACGCTTCCGAGCAACACGAACTGCGCCTGCCGTGCTGGCTACCAGAACTGCGGCAAGCTCTCGACCCCGCTCTGGTACGGCTTCGAGCGCCTGCTGTGCTGCCCGCCTGAGGCGACTTGTGGCACAGACACGTGCATCTGCCCTGAAGGAACGACCTTTACCGATGGAATATGTGCGTAGATGAACAGAGGAAGCCTGGTGCGTAACCGGAGTCGCTCGACGAGGACGACAGCGACGGTACAGGATTGTCACTGACAGGACCGCACGACACGTCACCGAGTCCGATTCTGAGAGCTTGTGATAAAGAGACGGGTGAGATTCACATACAGTGCTTTACTGCTTTCTATGTTCCTGTTTTTCCATTTATCCGAACTTGCAGTTCCGCAGTCTCGACATGCGAAATGCAGCAGGCAGGAGCGTGTAGATTCATGAGTAGTTTGCTGTCGATCGGTCGCCATTTTTTCGCGGAATGCCTCCTTTGACGCTGTACCGCTGGAATTTGTTACGTTACAGGGATCGGGGGGATTCACGACGCAATCGAATAAAGATTCGTAGAATATTCGATATAATGATCCGAGTCACTGGTTCAAGCTCCCACGCTTTAAAGCTCCGTACGTGAAGCACGCGTTAATCGTGCACTCTTCAACGCTTCAGTGTTGCTCTCTCACGGCACCCTAGGGGCGAAGCGATTTGTGTCCCTAGATTATCCAGCAATACCAGAACCTTGACGTCGTCCATGGACGACTCGTTCACAAACTCATGACCATTGCTCACGTCACTTGTCGCTTCGAATGGTCCATTGCATTCGAAAGACAAATGCTTGTCTCTTCGCGCTCATCGGCGAGACGGCATTCCAGAGCAGCAGGGTACCGTATGATGTGGTGCGCTGCTTGCGGGGCTCCCGCCTCTTCTGTTTGCTTGGGAAAGGATTCGGTACTAGAACTGGAGTCATCCGAGCGATCGATTCCAGTAGGGTGTGCGTCACCGTTTCGCACGAAGGGAGCGTAGAAAACGCCAATCCTAGAGGAGGACTCCTCGACCATTTCTGTAAGATAAAAAGTGGCGCTCTGTAAGAGCAGGAGCATAACACATGACAAGGACAAGACTCAAAGTGCGCTTCGACGAATGATAAGATGGTAAATCATCCTGTGCTTTTTTTCGTGATACTTCATGGACCGCGCGGCTGCATTACCATTTAGGGTCATGTTGTCACCATGATCACTCGTTGCTTGCCTTTGAAATATGGTTAACGCCGCTTTGAGCAGCCATGTACAGGTCTCTAAATTCATGTCGAATTAAGAATCATCAAATCAGACGATTACCTGTGCTTTCTGTCAAAAGTATTCGCGTTTCACTACGAAATCGATTGTGTATATTCAACGGTGGAAGGAAAGCGATCTCTTGTTCCGTCCATCCGAGTCGCTTCAGCACCGACCTTTTAAACCGCATGAACACTTGACATCCTGGAGCTTCTTTCCTCGTATTTCTGGGGGAACGTTTGGACTAAATTGGAGTGATCAAAAGAGTATTCGTGTTGATAGATTTCGACAAGTTCTATCATGGATGCACATCGACAAGTGCGGTTCATGCACCTTCTGGAGAAGTAGGAACTGACTTGCCTATGTACGACCGTTTTCCGCACACGACCATTGCCGTCACAAAACGCTTTTCCCGACCTTTCCCGAATGCATATCATACGCTATTTTCATTGAACAACTTTAAGGAAAGCAAACCAGTACAAAAAGGCAATCTTATTCCAGGTATACCGGAGTGCGAAACTCAGCGTGTATCCCTGTAAGGAAAGCAAACCATTACAAAAAGGCAATCTTATGGCAGGTATACCGGAGTGCGAAACTCAGCGTGTATCCCTGTAAGGAAAGCAAACCACTACAAAAAGGCAATCTTATTCCAGGTATACCGGAGTGCGAAACTCAGCGTGTATCCCTGTAAGGAAAGCAAACCACTACAAAAAGGCAATCTTATTGTAGGTATACCGGAGTGCGAAACTCAGCGTGTATCCCTGTAAGGAAAGCAAACCACTACAAAAAGGCAATCTTATTGCAGGTATACCGGAGTGCGAAACTCAGCGTGTATCCCTGTAAGGAAAGCAAACCACTACAAAAAGGCAATCTTATTGCAGGTATACCGGAGTGCGAAACTCAGCGTGTATCCCTGTAAGGAAAGCAAACCACTACAAAAAGGCAATCTTATTGCAGGTATACCGGAGTGCGAAACTCAGCGTGTAACCCTGTAAGAAAAGCAAACCACTACAAAAAGGCAATCTTATTTTAGGTATACCGGAGTGCGAAACTCAGCGTGTATCCCCATCGAGACGCAAACATGTCACGTGTGTTTATGCTGAAAAGCTGGACGGCGCGTTCATGGGAATTCGCGTGCCAAGGCGAACCGACGACTTTGGCGATAACATTCTGAAACGCTTCGGTACTGCGCGGTGTTCCGGTGCCAGGGCCACTGATTTTGGTGTTGTGAACAGAGAGGGCTCGAAACACAACTGTAGAAACGAATGACGACGACGTCGCGGCAATCTCGAGGCTCTCGTCTGGGGGCCCAGCGGCTGCGTGCTCCTGCTCCTGCGCAGGACAGAACCACTGATCGTGGCCCTGTTGTTGAGGAAAGAGCATCAGCGGTACTGACGGTAGCGACATCGGCAACTATGGGCGTTGACTCGGAGCTGGGGCACCGAAGCTCAGGCAGGGAAGCTCCAGAAGCGCGGACAGAGCGCGAGTCGCACGCGGTCGCTATTATGCGGCGTGCTGAGCAGATTGCAGCGGCTCGACGAGCTGCCTCATTGGAGCGTTTCGCTTCCAGTAGTAGTAGTAGTACGCTGACAGAGAGCCAAGTTGGGCGCTTGCCTGTGGAGTCGAGCGAGACGCTGGCAGCTCGAGGAGCCGCCATTCTCGAGCGAATACGCCAAAGGCGTGCAGAGGCTCAGCGGCTCATAGAGGAGCACGAACGGAGGCTCCGTTCCAAAGCTAACAGCCGTACCGCATCAGCTTCTACTCCGTATATGAGTCCATCATGGTCTGGTGAAGAGTCGCAGAATCTTTCAACAAGGATAGAGCAGGGTTTTCACGTAGAAGCGCTTTCCACTTCGGCGACGGAAGACAATACAACTATGGGGCGCAACGCACTGGCCGCTGGACAACTCGCGAGAGCGCAGCAGCATACAGATAGACCGCTAACTCCATCCTCTCATGTAGTTGAAAGGATTCATACGGTCATGGAGCGTCTGCAATGCGAATCGGGAACAAGAGGTGAGCGTTCTCCCGAGGACTCTAACGTGCAGCGCAGAGAGGACGATGCAGCAAGTGGCGGGCCGGTGGATCCACCTGCTACACGAGTTTTGAATCCGCCTCGAGACGGAGATCTCTTGCAAGACCCGACGAGGTATCCGAGAGCTCCGGATAGTCTTGAAAATCCGGTTCACACAATACAAGCAAGCGAGTCGATCCAGGCTGAACCAGGCCGCACGCGATCCGAGATCCAGAATGTCTCACGTTCATCAAGCTACCTAACGGGACCCGAAAAGCGTGCCTCATCACCGCAGTTGAGGCACATGGCATCCCACGAGACCGCGTGCGGACCCTTGCATCATTCAGGCTTGTCCATTGGAGACGAATGCGATGCCGCATGCGCACAAGCCTCGATGACGATGAAGTCTCCACCGCAACGAGCCCTAGCGGAACAAGAATCTCGAAGCTCAGCAGAGAAAAGCACGGGTACGTACAGCATGCCGCTTGTACATAAGGATGCTTGGAATTCGCCGGATTTGCCTCGCGTGCAAAGTGATCGCAGTACTATACAGGTGCAGTCAGCGGCACAAACGAGCCCCTGTATGGATTCGATGCGTGATCGTGAGTCGCGAGCGAGTCCTCGGCAAGGGGGGCACGAATATTCCGGGACTTTGTCACGCAACGAACTGGATGCCGAATCCGTTGCGAGTAACCGAGCACCGCTGGACGCTTCAGACTCCTTGCCGCATCCGCGAGAGCAGCAGAGCACCCTTACTGTGACGCTGCATCCTCATGACGCGGATCGGGGCTGGGATCAGGTCCAAGCATCGCACCATCGAGCGCATCCTGCTGCTGTTGCGCAAGCTACCATGCAAACGATAGACAGTTGGGATGCGATAGAGCTTGCGCAGCACTCGGAGAATGCCGACGACACTTGGCTAGCGGAAGATGCGACTGAGGCTCGGCAAACAATGGCGTCGGATGCATACAGAGCAAACGAGTTTGATCACGAAGAGATGGCGCCCTGGGAGCACCAGTCAACGGAGGCAGCTGAGACGATACTTCACGGGTATCCGACTGTGGCTCGACGCTCCGAGCTTCCACATGTAGGCCACTCGCGTGAGCAAGGCGATCACCTGCCGGTTTTGTCGTCGCTGGAACCCGTGCGCTCGAGAGGCGCTTCTCCGCACCAAAGACATGCTGATGATCCAGAACAACGGTATCCTTTCGATTCCAAAGACGGAGAATTGCGCGCCTGGACGATAGCGACACCGCTGCCGACAGTCCAGGAAACGGAAGTTGCACCGCGAATGTCGCTGACGGATGCGAACGTTTCTGTGGCGGACACGTTTATCGCACTGCGGACGTCTGCGGCTGGTGGTGATACTGAAACGCGTGCAACTACAGCGCCCGCAAACTTGTCGCAACCTCGACTGTACCAGAGTGCGATCGACTTTTCAGGTGCGCTCCCGGATAACGAGCCTGCAGACCCGACCCCTGACGTTGTGTCTCAGCATCACCAATTACAGTTCGAAGTCTCATATTTGCCACAGGCGAAGGCCCCGGATCGTCGATCCGGAGCAGATGAAGCAGTCGCAAAGCAGTCATTCGCCAGCACATCACCAGACGAGCATTCCGGAGCGAGTCGCTCTCCAAGATCACCCGAAACGTGCACTGATGCACCACGCAGTACCGATGATCCGTTGTATACGTCTTCTAATGCTGCAACACAGCTGCCGCTTTCATGGAGTTCAGATGGAGGCGCTGCAGCAATGAAAATGCACGCGACTTGCCCGCAAGCAGAAACGCCACCGCAACCGACATCGCAGCGTGAGGATTCGAGTCGCTCCTGGACGCCGTCCCAGCACAAGACACGAGCTTCTCCTTCGACAAGCGTACATAGTCCCGGCTATGGACGCGAGCTGCCTCTCGCTACTCCGGAACATGACGCCAGCGCTGAAGCAATGCATCGTTTGCGCCTCGCGGAGACGTATTCACCCGAGTTGGTGACCGATGACCCCGTGCACGTGGACCATAGGCAGCAGGTACAACGCCGTGAACGCTCCAATGCCGACAGCGACGTTGACGGCACTGCGGACGACGACGGCGAGTCGACTGCCGAGCATCCCTGGGGTCACGAGGCTCCCTGGGCGTCCACGAATGTTGCGGCAACGGCAACGCCGGGGACCAGGCAGGCCCTCTGGGGCACTATCACGGAGGGCGCGGCTTTCTTTTCAGCGCCGGACGCTGCGCAGCCACAGCAAATGCTTCAAGCGCTTGCCCCAAGCGACACCGCTGCTAACACAGATGCGCAGACTTGTGAGGAAGCATTCACAACATCCATGGTTGCCTTCGCTGAGCAACCCGACACCTCCACACAAGGCCTGCGCCTAGATACGGCATTCGAGACGGGTGTCTGGGCAGGGCCCCCGCTCAAGCATCATTCCGAGTTCGCAGCAGCGCCTGTGATGCGTCCAGGTGCCGATGCTCATAGTGCTGATGATCGTGAGCGGCTCATCGACGACGCGAACACGGAGGATGCACTTGCTGGCCGGTCGACACAAGCTTCCTGGGAGCAGCACAGGTCGCAGGCGAGCGCGGTAGCATCGTTGAAGGCGTCGCCAGCTTCAGTATCTCCAGGGAACGCTGCTGCACACTCTGCTGTGAACGATGGTGCTCGCTGGGACGCTCGGGAGGCAACCCGGACTCTGCACCACGTTCACACTCACGACGACGACAATGACGACAAGTTGGTGACCGCGATATCGTCTCTGCAGCGAACGTCAACATCGCCACCAGCTTCTGCTGCAAATGATGCTGGTGCGAGCGTGTTCTCGGGGGTATCGCCATTCGCAACGAATGCCATGATGGCTTCTCAAGCGGCGAACTGGAGTCCAGTTGGGAAACCGCTGTGCCCAACCGCGGCCTTCAGCTCCTTGGGCTATTTCGCATTGTCGGCGCCACGCGTACTCTGTAGCTTACCCAGCGCCAACGATGCCTTTTCAGCGACACCGATACCGATCTCGATACCAGGGACAGCTCCATGGACGAACGATAGCGATCGGGGCTCCTGCAGCGACCACGCAGATCCAGCTGAGCAACAGCTCAATACGGATGTTCATGTCTATCATACTTGGTCACTGGTGTCCGAACTCGACGGTATCGATGTGGACGTGACGGCACTCGTGCACTGGTTGCCGGAAACGGATGAGCCTCTGGAGCTGAGTCAAGTGCTGGAGCGTTTCGGTGATCGCCTGGAAGCGACCTGGGAACGACACGAGAACGACGATTCGGCAAGTCGGTTGCTTTGCCGACTCCTCTGTCAGGTGCTCCCCAACCTCGTGCACGTGTCGGAAATGTCGCATAGTCAATCTGTCGCTTCTTTTACATCTGGATCGGGTGAGCGCTCACTGATATCAAGTCGAGCGAATCGCGCATCGCGAAAGCATTCGATGTTGCCGCTATCGCCAGCGCTATGCCATATGTTGCAGGAGCATCGCGTAGACGCTGCTGCCGCATCTGTCGTTGTTCTTGGTGCTGATGAGGGCGTTGATGCGTCCCAGTCGCATGTCAAACAGATTGAACGAGCGCTTCTGTTCGGTCAGTACCGCACAGCGATCCGTCTTGCGCAACAGGCCAATGACTGGACACTGGCGCTACTTGTCAGCGAAGCGCAAGCCGGACTCTGGCCACCGGATGAACGCTCGACAGCGACAAGCGGGCATCTCCTTCATAGCATTCCCGACGACGACGTCAACGACGACGACGACGACGACGACGACGAAGAGGAACCTGCGCCCCAGCACTGGCGCGTACAGACCATTCGACAACTGCTCCTTTCGGGTTACGCACGCGATTCCTTGCTTGCCCTGTTACTGGCAGTGATGATCGCCGACGAAGACCTCATTCGGTCGGCAACAAGGCGCCTGGTTGCACCATCCGGGGGTGCATGGCCCTGGCAAGCGCTCTTGGACTGCCTCTGGATCCTTTCGCCCTGGCGTCAGCAGCAGCAGCAGCAGCAGCAGCAGCAGCAGCAGCAGCAATCGGGATCTGTTGTAGAGTCTGGGCATCAAGCGGCACTGTCGAGGGCATTTTCTATCGTCGCAGAAACACTGACTGCTGCTGATCACGACTGGGATATAGATCGTGAGATGCTCTGTCGAATGATCGCCGCAGAGTCGCCCTGGTCACCAGCTTTCTGTGACCTGCTTCTGAAGGGTATCGAACCGGGGGTACCAGCAACGAGACTTTCATCATTAACCTTAACGTCAACGTCAACGACACTGCACCAGCACTTGAACGAGGCCAGCACCAGCGACTTGTACCAAAAGGCAACTGGAACTTCACTGGCGGCCTGTGCCTCGGGTGCTGCGCGCATATCGATGCCAGCGCCTTGTCCGGTGTACCGGTTGATTTTCTGGGAGGTTTACCGGATGCTCTGGTCGAAGCGCTTCGATCCAGAAGCCCCCTCTGGTGCTGATGCAGTGCATCGAGAACGCTCGACGCGCTTCACTGCTTGGGTGCATGTGTCGCTTGCGGAGGCGTTGCAGGATGTTGGTCGTTGTGCGCTCGCGCAACGCTACCAGATACCGGTGATCGCTGGAAACGAAAGTGCTGAAGAGCGCACCCCGATACCAGGGAAGCACTGCATTGCACCCGAGGCAGCCGCGACGCAAACCCCTGGGATGCAATCGTGGCGTCGAGCGAAGAGCACCGCAGAGGCGACAGCTGCAAGCTTTTCACCTTGTAGGGAGCAAAGCGTTAGAGTGTCGTCGTCGTCGTCGCCGTCGTCGTCAGCCTGCGGCGTTGCGAGTCATGGACCTGCATCCACGCTGCAGCTCTCTCCAACTGCGCTGGATGCAGTCCACACATGGAATGGCGACTTGTCTCTGGGGCATCGCGGATCGATTGCCACAGGTGACGGGGATCTGCGCTGCTCGCCTAGGGCGGCAGAGGCAACGACGCAGCGTCTTGTCGTGGATGCAACACCGGCCTCTGCGAGGCTCACGAGCAGCGTCGACGAGGTTGTTGCTTCTCCGCAGCGTGCTGTACGTGCTGATTTCCAACAGCTGAGCATCGTATCGGCAGGGTTGCACGATGATCAGCAGCAAGAACAACAGCAAGAACGTTGGAAGCCCTGCCCCTATCCGGGGTCTTATCATTCCGCCGGTGCTAGCAACAGCAACTGCGGCGAGCCTGATGCAGAGATGCAGTTCTCGAGTAGTGCACGCGATACGCAGCGGGTACCGGTCGAAGCCGACGCTGAGACCTGCTCGCAGTCATGGGCATCGTCGCCAGCGTTGTCTGCTCCTAGACCGCCAGCAGCGGAGCATTCGTCGAACGCTGGTTACGGCGGCAACGAAAATGCCTCGTTCAGTGAAAATCGGTCAAGCACGACACACTCTGGTACCTCGCAGCGCGCACAAGTGCTTGCAAATGCACCTGCAGCGCGCGCTACCTCTACGTCACCAGACATTACGGATACCGCTGCTGCATCGTCACGATCCGATACCGAGTCAAGGGTGCTGCCTGCGTCAGCAATGCATCCTCACCAGGAACGCGTCGCAGTCCATGAAGTGCCACAGCGTGCTGCTTGTCCAGCAGCTACGGATACGAAGCCACCCGCCGCATCAGCATCAGCAGAGGCACCACAAGCGAAGGGTTTGTCGCGTCTGCTACCCCTGCGCATACTCGGGGGCCTGTTTGCCCGTAAGCAGGCCAATCTGGGTCTGGAGAACAAATTCTACTATGATGACAAACTAGGTCGCTGGGTATGTGCTGCCGATGATGTCGATGCCGCTGGAGGGGGTGCTGTGCTGGCGCCGCCGCCCAGCGACGCGGAACTGGCGCACAAGTCCGCTGGATGCAATGAAACATCAGCAGCAGCAACGAAGGAACAAGTGTCGGGTGCAGTAGCCTCCGAGTCAAGTACCCGTACGCTACCTGGAGCATTGCCGCCAGTTGCTGCATCGTGTCCAGGGACGACGACAATGTCGATGACGACTCGGAATCAGGTGTCAAGACCTCGTAGCATACGTCAGCGTTATGTGGATGTTCTCGGAGCAGCGAATGATACATCCAGTGCGTGTTTGCCGGCGCCAGTACCTCTCCTATCGACGAATGAGCTGCAGGAGCGTTCAGCAGACAAGTCGAAAGCGCATCGGGTGCCGCTAGTGCCGCCTGCTGCTACCAGCGCGAACACCGCCACTCGCGACAGAACGCCATCGTAGATGAGCGTATGCTCCTGGACGGAGAGCTCCATTCTCCTTACTGCTTGTGCGGACTCGTGTGCTGCTCTGGAGAGGGTTTGCAAGCCACTGGGTTCCTTGTTTCCGCCTCTCGAAGACCTGTGTGAATGCCCGGGCGTGATGGAAGCGTTGGCGGGATGGTGGAGAGCGCCCAGTTCGCTTGAACGGGTGCTGCGTAACCACTCAGGACATCGGTTTCGCTTGTACGAGTGACGCGACGTCAGTCTTTGATCATTAGAGCAGTGAACTCTGGAACAGTTGGATGAGCACGCTCTTTTACTGCTATTTGTTGTTCTCGCAGGTATTCATCGATAAAAATGAATGCTGTGGATTGGTAAAAAAGCGCGGAATCCTTGATGCTGGTGTGGATCGCTTGCGATAAATGGTCGACCCCGCACATGTCCGTCATTCTATTGGCAGCAGGTGGATGAACCATGCTTTCCCTCGACCGTATCATGAAGTTGGTCGGTCGCAAAACAGAACTGAACAAAGTCGACGTAGACGGCTCTGTCCACGTCAATCGATTCCGATCCCGCACCTGGTCTAACGAGTATGATCAATGTATCATTAAGGTGTCGAGCATTTGTGTCGTCGAAAAGAGTTTTCATAAAGGGACAGGCTCTGACAACAAGCAACGTGCGCTCCCCCGGGAGAGGGCACTGCACATAGAGCGACTTGAGTGATCGATTCCGGACGGATACGAGAGTGCATAGATTTCAAGGGCGAAGTTTCTGCTCACTCGATAAGGATTGAGTCGAAGAAATTGGTAAACCTGTATGACACCGGTTCTCAAAAAGAGTCGCAAACCGCAGTTCTTCAAGAGGAGACCAGCGAACACCCGATAGTAGCAGCGGTGCCGGCTATGCAGTCGCTTGGTCGCACACAGGTCGCCAAACAGATGGGCTCGTTCAACAAGTCATTCTTCGTGAAAGCATGCGTCTTCGATTCGCCTCCGTACATTCTCTTGTCCTGTTTTTCGAAAACGTCACTTTGCTTCACTCGAAAGCGGTGAAGGAGCACGCAGCTGAGACTGGCGTTGAGCTGCTGGCGGTGGAAGCGGGTGCTCTCCGCTTCTTTCCCGTAGGAAGCGCCTTGCGTTGCTGTCAATAGCCCCGTTTGAGCGAACGGATCCATAGACGGGACGTTCGGCTCTACGGCACTATTCAGCGACATGTCGTTTCGAGGTTCACCAGCCCTGTACTGCTGTGCTGTTTCAGTGTTCGTGTGCGAAGCGGGGTCGGCAAGGCGAGCTTCAGTCCGTGGACATGCTCGCGACGGAGAAGGTGACGAAGAGGTACTTGAGTAACCGTCTAGACATAGGTAGAAAAGGAGAGTTGTTGTCGTAGCCTTCATCCACGACGTGCGAAATCCCACGAAGGTCACGGACATGAAGTATAGCGACCACTGCCATGCCACCTTGCCGAGACAAGTCGGTGCCGAAGAAGCACCTGGTCTCTGCGATCAACTACGAAGCATTCGAGCAGCTCGGCAGAAGAGCGTCGGCGGAGTTTGTGTAAGATTTATCGAGTACATGGAGGAAATGGAAAGATGCTTACATCGAAAATCGAAAGCGACCTCATATCCCTGTGCATGCCCTTTTTGAAACCTATGCCTACCTCGAAACTCGAGAATCACGTTCCACCCTTCGAGGTAGTACTGGAGAAAGACTTTGGATGCCTACTTGTGTGGGCGTGTCGTGCCCGTCGCCATAGGTATTGATCAAAAGGACAGAGCCTTGCATCCTGGGTGAAAGCAGATGAAGCGGCTCGAGTTTCCCAGAGCGCACCGTCATCGAGAGTCGAGCGTCATAAACGCCATGCGGCATACCAGGAGATGCAGCAGAGGCGCCATAGCCCCTAGCCACCCATCCTGCAGCTCGACGCTCTGCGTACAGTCTCGCGCCGACACCAGTGCTTCGGATGCTTCACCTAGAGCATCCCGAGACGTCCAAAATGGCGCGTACGGACGATCTCCGGCAAGAGTCAATGAGACAGCGCTGGGTCGCCACCGGTTCCAGTGCTACCCAGGCGACAAGCGTGCATTCACCAACGCTTTTCATGCGACGGGGAAGGAAACCTTCGATCGTTCGTATCGTGTCGTTTCGTGATACCACAGAGCAATCGATGCGCTATAGCATGCCAAGGCTGCACTCCTGCTCCATCCACGAGAGCGTACAACTGTGGATGCACATGGATGCGGCACGATTCCCAGCGATGCGTCTGGGTCGACGTACGCGCTCCACGAGTCAGGGTGCCCGGTGAAGCGGACAGCGAAGCAGACGCGCGAAAAGCAGAGACCGAAGCACATCATGGTACAGCGGATGCTGACTGAACCTCAGATAACGGGGCAATCGACAATGACAGGCACGCTTTGGAATGATGCCACTGGCAGCCACAGGTGCGAGCACGTTCTGCACCGAAATATCGGAGTCTCTATGAATATCGGGAGATGTTTCGTGCTTGCGGAGCGACCAGCAGTTTTGTACAGAGCGAAACTCCTAAAATATGATTTCGTGCTTAGTCTGCGAATCATGCTGAAACCCGTGAAAACTCCTGTCGTGAAAACATTCATCCGCCGGGGTAGCGTCGATTGATTGGATACTCCCCTTAAGAGTAGGTCATGGATATGGTAGGAGTCCGCATTCCAGAACGACTAAAGAATCGCATCCATAACCACCGCAGACGATCGCTCTGTCCGAGGATTCAACCGTACTCGTAGTCTAACATTCGATCACATCGAATACACGCCCGCCGATTCACAGAAAGGGAACGTCGGTACCTCCACAGAACAAAGCCCCGTATATACACCACGACTATGGACCTATCCAGTTCTGTGAACCTCTGAAAGCATCAAGCAAGCGTAGACAAGGCCTGTGTCGTGCTCCCCGTCGCTGCAGCACCGCCGCCACCCCACCGTCGACGTGCAGCGCCGCCTGCGTCGCCCGTAGAAACGCACTGCAGCGGAGCGCTTGTCAGGCCTGTTGCTTCTCGGGTATGTCGCAGGTACGCTTGAACGCCTATGACTGGTGCGTTAAGCGTTCGCGTACTACGTAAGCTACTCTGGATCGAGCGCTGGGAAAGTATTTGCCGCCAGTCAACCTACTTTAGTGTGATTGCACTCACACAGAACAGTGCCTGGGGACGCACGAAGCAAAGGCTGCGCATCTTGCACGGTACCGGGGCGCTTGGCTCCTCAGTCGACGTGCGGTATGCTGTTCCCAAGTGGGTACGCATCGCGCTCGAACGTGCTAACCAGCGACCGCTTTTGCCGCTATTTCGAGGTGGTCCAGCTTTAGTCGTCTTTGGTGAGAACGCTGACGTCTGGCTCCGAGTCACCAAGTACACAGAGCAAGCGATTCCAGGTGCACTGCTGGTCGGGGCACGCATCGGTGCTGTACCCGTCGTGACACGCTCGGTACTGGAGCTGCTACGTCCTTCGCGTGAATATGTCGAACAGCTTGTAAGTCTGCTGGAACAACCTGTGGTGGTGCTGACGGAACCACTGGATGCAACTGTGCTTGCTTTAGAAGAAGCACTGAGTGCGAAACAGCCTCAGAGCGCAGTGCAGTGACTCGAATGAACATCGTCGAAGCAGTTAGCTTGAGCAGTCTTGGATCTTGGAAGATCTTCATGAGCGATCGCCCAGGCTCGCTCCAAACAATCCGCCCTGGCCTCTGTTTTTGGATTCATCGATAACATCTCAGACGGAGCCGGGCATCCGGAAACGTTGCCTAGTCTGCAAGCGGTTCACGTAGCTAGGGAACAGCGGACGTGCGAGAAGCGCTCCAGGAGCGCATTCTACACTCTTACGTACCGTAAGATGGCTCCGGTGCGAAGGATTGCTGTATCGTTCACTGCGAAATATGTCCCGGTGCAAGGATGAGCGAAGCAACAGAATCTGTCAATCAGCAGAGAAGCAATGGTATATCCACCAAGATGGACCTTCGAGGACGAGAACGTTATCCCGGAATCAGGAACACTGAGCACAGCCTACACATGTCGTGGTGATCCGGTGCTTCATCTACGGCTTTCGCTCCTGGTGTCGTATCGGTACCAGTTGTACGCACTGCTGCCGTATGTTTCGAGAATTGCACGTGCCTGGCGATGCCGCTGCCGTCTGCTCTCCTCCTGTGGCGACAAGTGCGGCACATGCATCGCGAAGAGATTCCAGTCTAGTGCCACCAAGGCTGCACAGAACAAGGAATGGTTGGGTGATCGACAACGCTCAGTTTTCACACTTGATGCACTTTTATTCCCAGGGGCCTCGTCTGGTATGCGCGGGTAAGACCAGATACTCGTTTTATCGAGAGAGCATTCCTTCTTGGCTATCGCCGAACCTGTTTCGTTTGCTTCATGGAATGGAACTTCGCTGTTCGCGAGTCGCTGGTACAAGCAGCTCGAATTCGACCTCGACGAGCGATACGAATCCAAATTCCAGCTCGTGGAACGGGAGATGGAAAACATAGGAATGTACGCATGCAGCGTTACAGCGACGGAATCGTCACCGGACCTGCGAACCCCAGTAGGAATAGGATATGTCTAGATATACCTAGACGTATAGTGACATAGATGCATACATGTGTCACTGCTTTGACCCTAATCCATGCATGCTTGCATGCGTAGATACAGAGGCGCATGCGGGTGTCGAATAGAGGGTTCCACGGCAATGGTGCTGTCGCACAAAACCAATGAAAACGCTTTGAGAATGCGTCTGTTGTGCGTCGCTGTTGAGAGCACTTGTTCGGGGTGAGTGGCAGGGCGCGGGTTCTTGTTTCGGTTTGACTGCAAATCGGAACGACCTGTTGGCCTCCGAGTCTGGGCAGGGCTCGCGGCGCTCCATTTGTACCGGTTTAGGGTGCAGTGCTTTACTGCTCTCTATGTTCCTGTTTTTCCATTTATCCGAACTTGCAGTTCCGCAGTCTCGACATGCGAAATGCAGCAGGTAGGAGCGTGTAGATTCATGAGTAGTTTGCTGTCGATCGGTCGCCATTTTTTCGCGGAATGCCTCCTTTGACGCTGTACCGCTGGAAATTGTTACGTTACAGGGATCGGGGGGATTCACGACGCAATCGAATAAAGATTCGTAGAATATTCGATATAATGATCCGAGTCACTGGTTCAAGCTCCCACGCTTTAAAGTTCCGTACGTGAAGCACGCGTTAATCGTGCACTCTTCAACGCTTCAGTGTTGCTCTCTCACGGCACCCTAGGGGCGAAGCGATTTGTGTCCCTAGATTATCCAGCGATACCAGAACCTTGACGTCGTCCATGGACGACTCGTTCACAAACTCATGACCATTGCTCACGTCACTTGTCGCTTGGAATGGTCCATTGCATTCGAAAGACAAATTCTTGTCTCTTCGCGCTCATCGGCGAGACGGCATTCCAGAGCAGCAGGGTACCGTATGATGTGGTGCGCTGCTTGCGGGGCTCCCGCCTCTTCTGTTTGCTTGGGAAAGGATTCGGTACTAGAACTGGAGTCATCCGAGCGATCGATTCCAGTAGGGTGTGCGTCACCGTTTCGCACGAAGGGAGCGTAGACAGACCGAAATTTCTTGACCCGTTTTCCAGCTTGGATCTTGTTTCTGGTAATTGTTCCATCGTCAATAACATTGCGTTTCGCAAATCCGCTATCGAACGGAACTGCGTGCACTCTCGTATGCATCGAATAGTGTACTTGCCGAGGGGATTGCCACGCACAAGCCCCGTGATCGTGGGGTACAGTTGACGCTGCAAAAAAAAGGAGGCGTGCATGGAGCGTACCCTTCAGTAGCAGTCATGGACATGTACGGGGGCGTGAAGCAAGCGTTTCCACGCCCCAGCGCGGCGCACGGAGGAAATGAGGTGGATATAGAGGGACACACCTGACCATAACACGATATGACTGATGGAAAGGTCGCACAGCGCCTTTGTACAAACAAGCTCAACAATGGAACAGCTACGTCGATCGCAATTTTTACTTACGTATTGACTGCGTCGACAACAGGTTGTAGCTGCAAAATCAGGATTTGCACACTGCCATAAACACCCTTCACCTGTTGACAAGTTAGCTCCCAGGAAAGCATTGAGCATCTTGTTCAAAGTCGGGTATGGAAGAGGGAGCAGAAGCAGTCGCAAGAAAAACCCCACAAAGACTATTATTGATGGCAGTGCGAAGAGATCCAAACGTCAGCGTTTACGCCCAGGTTCAGGGTCCGTCCCATTTTATTCGAACACGAATGTAGAAGATGCAATGCAGCGGAATGCTCGCGTACCACCGAACCTGAAAAGTACGCCGTCCAATGCTCCTCGCCTTCGACAAAGCGCGACACTGCAACTAAAAGGATGCTCCCCGCTTGGCGTAAGGCATCTCAGGCATAGGATCGTCTACTGCCGAAAAATCGCATCGTCCACTGGGAGCCACACGAAAGCATCCTCGTCGTATGGCAGTTCCATATCTGCTGCTGAGAGCCCAGGAATCGACGGCATCTCTATCTGTTCGCCGGCTTCGCGGTATACATGTCGCAGAATCTGTCGATGCTCGGGTGTGTGTAGCGCTTGCTGGAGCGTCTTTCGGATTTTTTGTATCTTCGAACGATCATACAAAATCCATCCAGCGGCGAAGGAGACCGGAACTCCGTACCGAAGAACACCCTCTACGAACAGACGCAGCACCTTCAAGTGAACGAGCGCGTCGATGCACTCCGCATACGCTTCTGTTATCCATTCCCGGAATGCATGACCAAGCTGCTGCCAGTGTATTCGTGCCTTTGCAAGCCGTTCCTCGAGGCTGCCCTGTGTGGAATCTGCCTCAGATTGGTACTCTCGTACTTGATAGCGACGTTCTCGCGCAGCTCGAACAAACTCCGTGAGGCCTTTTCGGAATACGACTACGCTATACAGCACTTCTTCATCGTCGCGGGCAAGCAGGGTTGCGCTGCGGGGCACCACATGCGGTGTTGAGCTTTCGTACGTGCGCAGAAACGTATCCTCGTCCCGGGCCTTGAGCAGGAGAAACACCGTCAGGAGGTGCTCTGTTTCGAGTATCTGCTCGGGTCTAACGATACTTGACAGCGGTCGATAGCTCAGTCCACCCGAGTAAGCTTGTTCCAGTGCTTGCCAGTTCTGTTTCGCTGCGGCGTACTGCTCGTGGCGGGTGCGAAAACCCTGTTCGAGCTCTTCTACCTGTCGCCAGACGAACTGAAATAGTTGCGCTAGTGGACACTGTTCGACTGAGCCGTATTTGGCTTGATTCCAGCGGAAGGGACAGTATGCACGCAGTGGTACCCTCAAGCCATCAGTGGATAACGAGAACTCGGCTGGGAACTCCTGCGCGATCTTCACGGCCAGTTGAGACGCTGCGCTGTCGTGGCGGCAAAGCGTCTCCGATAAAGCGAGCAGGGAGTCCAGGGTACCCACGCGGAACCCTGGCAGCTCGAATGGCTCTATTTGCGCTATCGGTATCGTTGGCAACGTTCTTGGCACTGCGAGTAGGCCCGCGCACACTTCGTTTGGAGAGCCAGTAGGCGCCATGCGACACAGAGGCACTACAGTTGCCAAAAACCCCAGAGCTACTTGACAGTAGAAGATGCGTCGGAGTGAAGGCTCTTGCTAGATAATGAAGCACAAGAGCTCGGGCACCTGGAAGCAGCCCTGCTTCCAGATCGCAACGCAGCCTGCAGTAGCCAACTCTGACCTCTGGAGCAACGCTCGGAAACGCTTTCGAATACGTCAGCCGGTTAAGGGCGTCTTGGTCGGTTCAGTTGAACCTCCTACAAGTATACTGGGCGAAGTATGAGCGCTATGGAGCATACGCTGCACCGCGGCTAAGCGGCAGACACACTGTAGAACTCGAGCGCGCCGTTCACTGCATACCACGCAACATCGAACGCTTTTCGCAGCGGCGCCTTCAGGTATTCTGGAACAGCGGTGCTCTTTCACCAGTGAACCAGGGCAGGGTTCGGTACTACAGGTCGCTTCTGAAGGAGTGAGCTGTTCGAGTCTATGGAGAAGGCCTCGCCGCTCGAGTGCTCGTCAGCCGTGAGCCACCAAGAGGCACTTTTTCGGACACAGGAACCGGCGTTTGCGTTCACATGTGGTAACTGGACCCGTACCGGTTCTTCATCAGCAAGCTTTGGTCAAGGCACTGGACGGAATAGCATACGTCTATGGCGTGCGAGTCGGCTTCGTTTCACGGGCACTCGTCAAACGCAGCGTCTGTGTTGGCGGTCTGCAGTAGAGCCCTCTCGACGTGCGTTCCTGCGCACGCTGCTTGCGCTCTCCACTGGTTGCCTTCTCGCGCAAACCGAGACGCTTCGGGACGGACAGCTTCCGATTGCCCACGCGTTTGTGGACTTTGATGTCAACCGGTACGGAGATAAGGAAATCAGAGTTTCAACCCTGAACCGGCTGAAACAGAACTTAAGAAACGTTCTATCCCAGTCGCCGCACTTATTGGAACCTTTCGTACGCTTGGCGCTTGCCGATGCCTTCACCTTCGACGAAAGTACCCAGGTCGGGGGTAGCAACGCCTCTATTCGATACGTTTTGGCGAAGCTGCAAGAGAACGGCCCTAGGAAGACTGCCAGCGCACCTGGTCTATCGGGGTTACAAGAAGCGCTGAAGGCATTGGAGCCTATTCGTCCTTTCATAAAAGAGGTATCCTGGGCCGATACCATAGCCTACGCTGGCGTCGTGGCAATGGAGCTTACTGGAGGTCCGCGATTACGCGTCCAGAACGGCAGAGAGGACGCACCGGCAGAAAGACAACAACTCGTTTGGCAGCGTCTTCAGGATGTTCCGGCTTACTGGCGCTTCCTGCACGGCATCGAGGACAATGCCAGCGACAACGACGCCGCTCTGGGACTAGAAGACATGCGCGTGCTTCTGACGCGATCCGGCCTTGTGTCCAGGAATGATAGGGAGCAGCAAACGCGTGCAGGCCTCCTTATAATCGGAGCGCTTGGCGAACTGAGGCGTCTCGAAGAGTCGCTGGGGTCGTCCGCCCCGTCACGAGGCACTGCCGCCCGAGGTGAGCGTTCCTCGTCAACAGGGCCGATTCTCTCAGAGGACATCGCCACCGTAACGTACGGTCGAGCGCGCAGCGATCCTGCTGCCTCGAGGACAGTGGCCGTGAACACCTCCGTGCGTTCGTTGACGCTCGGCAAGGACCGCTTCAGCACTCGTTTTCTGCGAGAACTTGCAAGCCGCCTGCATCGGCACGAAGCACAGAATGCAACAGAATTCTCAATCGCTGCAGATGCAGACGCAACGAAAGCGGTAGACACTCTGGGCAACTTGGGAGATAAGGGGTTCGGGAATGCTTTTGCGGATCTCTATCAGAAAGCCACACGATTAGGAGCGCGCTATAGCCGTATCGACTTGCAGAAGTAGAGCGGTTCGCGCTGAGGCGTAGAAGCAGCACCCCGGGCACTGGACTCGTCTTTTGGATTGTTTGGAGCTGTGCCAAGTGTATTCCGTCGCTGCTCAGGCACTGGCTACCGATCAGGGCACGTTCTGGGTGCTCGGGATGCGGCGTAGGAACTCGTCGAGTCAAGGTCTTGGTACCGGGGGTGCCATGCAAGCGAAGCTGGTCACCGGGCTGGCGGTTTACGGCGGGTGCCGGAACGCTTCGCATCTTTCATAAATAGGTTGGGTGTTGTTTTAACCAGGTCGTTTTGATCGACAAGTCAACGTGCATACTTCTTAATAGCATGTTTAGCGAGAAAGAGGTAGGCTGCTTGCCCAAATAAAGCAGACAAATTGAAGACTCGTCGTTGATTGGAAGACGATGTCGACGAACCGTCGGTGCGGGCGCTCCGCTGCGTATGTTCCAGTAGTGTGAGCGTTACCGGGGGAAATGCGATTAGGATCATCGGACTCCCATGAAGAAAACCTGGAATTCTTTGCAACTGGGCTCGCACTGTACCTGCGAACGCGCTCCGCTGCCACCGAGGCCGCAGCGCTCACCTTCCAGGCCAAGCGTCTGCTCACCGGTTACCGACAGCAGCCGTGCAACCCAGAGCATCTGGTCATCCAGGCATTTCCAACATTATAGAGAAAGGAAAGCAGTTGCTCAATATAGAGCATTCGGACACCACGCGAATGCAAGAGCGACCAGTACATGAACTTGTAAAACGGGTGCATTTACGATGGAGCTCGCCTTGGATTCATGGATCGTATCTCGATTTGTGATCGCCTTGGGTTTGGAACACCCTTGTTTGTAATCGGCGATCATCTCGGCTTCTATGGTACATCACTTACATCTTTTGCAACGTATACAACACCTCAGAAGAACATCATTCGCGGACGATACCCAATTTTGGATGCGATGGCATCGAGCGTTGACGGTTCCGGCTCTGAGTCCACCCCGAGGAGGACCAGCGCCCGTCCGACTTTGTCATCGCGACCTAGTGTCATGAAGCTGATGTTCACTCCAGCATCACCTAGAATAGAGCCTACGAGACCGATCATGCCCGGTCGATCGATTTGTTCGTACGCGAGTACACGGCCGTTCAGGCAAATGTCAATATCGAAATTGTCGATGCGCGTTACCCGAGGCATCCCCGAAGTTACACGGCCTTCGTAGACATGGCGATTCACTTCCAAACGCAGAAACTCTGCATCGCTGGTTTCGATGCTGGAGAGTAAAACCTCCGTCCAGGTGATGCCTCGACGCTCCGCAACCACATCTGCGTTCACGTAATTGATCGGCACTGCCGAGGTCTGCCCAAGGAGGCCTTGAAGCACAGAAGCGCGCAGAAAGCGAGTGGCATTCCGCTTCTCAGCATCACGAAAGGCGTATGTGATGCTCACTTCGTGAATGCGGTCACTAAAGGCAGCCGCCAACTTTCCCAAGTCCTTTGCGAGCTCGGCAACTGGCTTCAAAGTCGAAAGCATCTCCGAAGGAAGCGATGGAGCATTCACTGTTGTTGGCGCAAAGTCACCCCGCAGCGCTGTGATGACCGCCTCGGCTACTTCAAGGGCCACATCGAGTTGTGCCTCGACAGTGCTGGCTCCCAGGTGCGGTGTCGCGACCACCCGGGGATGTTTCGCAACCTTCTCTGATGGACTTCCGGGATATTTGTGTGGAGGCTCCTGAACAAAAACGTCTAACGCGGCTCCTGCGACTTTGCCGGATTCCAGCGCCTCCAACAGAGCGACCTCGTCGACGATGCCGCCGCGGGCGACGTTCAGAATCCGCACTCCATCCTTGCACTTAGAGAGCGCATTCCGATCGATCATATTTTCCGTGGACTCTGTCAGGGGCATGTGCACGGTAACAAAGTCTGAAACACGAAGAAGTTCATCGAGGGAGCTGCAGAGCTCGGCACCGACGGCGCGTGTCACCTCGACAGCACAGTAGGGATCGTAGGCCAATATACGCATTCCCAGCGCCCGACAGCGACGTGCAACCTCTCGACCAATTCTTCCAAAACCACATACACCAAGGGTCTTATCCACAAGGGAAACGCCTACAAATTTATTCCGATTCCACTGATCACCTTTGATTGTAGCGTCCGCGGCGGCAATGTTGCGGGCCAGCGCCAGAAGCAACGCAACCGTATGCTCAGCAGCAGCAATACAGTTGCCCGTAGGTGCGTTCACAACAACGATTCCCCGTTCGGAGGCTGCCGCCAGGTCGATATTATCGACACCAACGCCGGCCCGTCCGATGACACGCAGACGCGTAGCGTTCGCTTTCTCGAGAAGGGAACGCGTCACTTTGGTACCGGATCGAACGATCAGTGCGTCAAAGTCACCAAGAACAGCGCTTAACTCATCTTCTGTCAAGTCGTACTTGCACACTACTTCCAGACCGGCTCTCTCGAGCAGCGCTACGCCGTCGCTGTCGAGCTTCTCGGGAACGAGAACTCTCCCCGTCAGCGCCCCGACAGCGCCGTTCCCCATGACTGAAGTTGAGTTCGTTTTCCTCATCGAATCAGAATGTACCGTTGTTGCTTCGACCTGAGCGCAACAGAACCCCCGCTGTAACCGAGAGCGTCTCAGAGTGCCGGTGTGCGCTGACTTTTCCTTGAGCACACACGGTCTACCAGGTACAAAGCACGTTTTATCTTGCGTAGACACGAAAGCCCGAGCCAAGGCGAACCGACAAGCACAAAGTTGACTCGTTGATCTGCTATTTCTATGACGAAAAATATGCTTTGCCTCTTGAACCGATGTGATCGGCACAAAGACCATAGAAGCGTTCAGGTCCAGAGCGCCCAGTGGACTTAGCCGGCGCTTAACTGACGCTTCTCGAGCGATGCCGTCCATCGCGCCGCAGCGTCGATGCATCGCTGCGACGGGAGTGGATGCGCCGGCGCGCGCGTGCACGCCCTGCTACGCGGCCGCTGAACGCCACTTTCTATCTAGACATAAATGTATATATCTTGAAAAAAAAGACAAGTGGATGTCGATCGACACCGCAATCGGCGATGAGGCAATTTTTTTCTGATGTCAAAAGGTTTCCATTGACCATCGATCCCTGATATCGTGATTGTCATCGGTATCGGACCGAGCGTCCATCAACGCTCAGCACATTCTTACGTTCTTTTTTGTTCTTGACGGAGGTGTTGGACTGTATCGCTTTACCTTTTTGTCCATGATGGAGATGTAGGGCCCTGACGACGATATGGCGCATCGCATGCGTGCAACTGATCCGCCAGCGCTGCGCCGCCACGCATGCGCGTCACGCATGCTGTGCAAGAAATGGCAGCTCTGTTGGAGGCAATGGGCACCCTTGGTTGCAATGAAGGTGCATGCTGCTGCTGCTGCTAATGGTGATGATGATGATGATGATAATTACAATATGGGTGATGATGGTGATGCTCGCGGTGCTTTCGCTGGTGTTGGTAATGATTCACTGCAAACATACGAAAAATCCATTGAACTCTGTTGGTGGCATGCAAGCAAAAGAAGTCATTCGCTTCTCTGGAAGCATCTATTCTATGAAAGAAAGGCGTGGACTATTCAGAAAGCTCACCAGCGTCTAGTTTCTGTGACCACCTTTCATGAAAGATTTTTTCTCCCAGACGCGAGCTGTGGTCCACGCAAGGCGCTAACTGCAGTATTCGTTACCGGCTAGGATCTATGGAGCAAGTCCTCGGGGTTGACTACATGGTACTCGCTGCCACAGGGCACCTGAGATGCGCGCGACGTCCCGTGCACACACGGGATGCAGGGTCGACGCTCTCGCTCGCGTCGTTACGCGCCTTTGCTGTAGACGCTGGCAACCAAAACCGACGCATCCGTTCACGAATCATGGCTCCACGGCACCTGATGATCGGTCTAGCTGGACGTGACGGGAACGGTGCTTCGTTCCGTTGCCGTGTGGCAAAACACCAAACCAGTGTGTACTCCGCCAAAATTTATCTCTTATATCTTACCGCTGTTTAGCGCAGCTTGAATGCCGGATTGATGCTCAAACTTTTCGGCCTCACGCACGACTGCATCCCTGATAGCATCCGCTAGGTACTGTACCTTGTCTGAAGTGAGACCGGCCATTGATATTCTCCCATTCGTCGTCATATATATATGGTACTTTTCCCGGAGATAAAGGCATTGTTCCGCACTCAGCCCCAGGAAACTGAACATGCCGATTTGGGAGAGAATATGCTCCCAATTTCCGGGCGTTTTGTTTTCATGCAGCGCCTCAAAGAGCTCACGACGCATGCGTAGAATACGACTACTCATCACATGCACTTCGGTTTCCCATTCCGCAAAAAGCGCACGATCTTTCAGAATTCTCGCTGCTATCGTCGCACCATGTGCCGGTGGACTCGAATAGAGCCCGCGCGCTATCTGCTTCATTTGGCTGAGCACGGCTTGCGTTACTGCCGGAGCAGCACAGACAATATGAGCTGCGCCGACGCGCTCTCCGTAAAGTCCCATATTTTTCGCAAACGACTGCGTCACCGCCATCTCCATGGGTCGCTCTCTGGCACCATCCGCTTCGGAAGCCGGTACTGTAGCGCGTTCAAACAAGCGAACAGCTGCCGCATCGCGCTCAAAAGAGCCCGAGGCGAAGCCTTGGTAAGCGCAGTCAAATAACGGAAAATGTTGTTTCTTTCGGATGACGTCCAAGATCTCTTGCCACTGTGTCATGGAAGGGTCTGCTCCCGTCGGATTATGTGCACACGCGTGAAGGAGCACGATTGAGCCCGACGGTGCAGCAGTTAGGTCGTCCAGGAGACCGATGATGTCGACCTCATGGGTCTCGTCTGAGTAATACCGGTACTCGCGGCACTTTATGCCCGCCGCTGGGAATATGTTCCAGTGGTTCCCCCAGGTCGGGCGCGGCAGATAACAGACTGCGCCGCGCTGGTAAAACTTGCTGAGGAACTCTGCGACCAGGCGAAGCGAGCCTGTTCCCGACAGGCTTTGTAGCGAGACAACTCGCTGCTCTTTGAGCGCCGGTGAGCGCTCCCCAAATACGAGGCGAGCTGACAGGGAGCGAAATTCAGGTAAGCCTTCGATCGGCAAATACTCGTGCAGGGTATTCGGATTATTTGCTAGTTCTTGTTCGACTCGTTTCACAACACCGAGCACGTATGGCCTGTTCTCTTCCGTGCGGTACGCACCGACGCCCAGATTTACTTTAAGGGGTGAAGGGTCCTCACGGAAAAGCTCATTCAGACCTAAGATGGGGTCCTTTGGTGCCTCAGGCACTCCAGAGAAAGTCGAATAAGACATGCGGCTCCGAAACGTGTCCAACTGGCTTTGTTTCCGGGCGAGTGACTGCAAGGGTCGTAGATTGCGTCTTGTGAGAAGTCCCACAAACATACCCCACGGCAAGGTACGTCTTGAACGGAGTCTACCCAGGATCACGAGTCAGTGATCCCTGTTAGGGCTTAAGCGCAGCAACACAGCCGTTGAACAGAGACTGGCATAAAAGCTTTTGTTGGGAGTTGGAGTGCGTACCCGCGCGGCCTCGCCACGGCGACAATCTTTGTCCAGCGACCTATTAAGGCGACTTTCTTGTCCGGCAGGGTCTTGTTAGCGCTTCGCGCTGCTGTGGAACTCCAGGTATAGAACTAACTGCTTGGTACGTACGCTTAGTGTAGTACAAGGCTTTGAGGACCCGAGCAACAAGAAGACGCTCGCATCAGAGCTTGCTGGCTCGCTCAGGGCATCACCTGTGAGCGGTGCTTTTGCGTTCAAACCCAGACTACACATCGCAATTGTAGCTCTATAAAATACTCTTCTATTTACAATAGACGAAAATTCCGTGCTTAGAAGTTTAAGCATTCCTCGCTTCGCGTCGTGCCCGGACACTCTTCCGTGCAGCGAAGGAAGAGAACGTGGTCGGACCACAGAGCAGCGCTCGTACGGATAGCGCTCGGGATTCTCATTTTGACCGTTCGACTAGAGCAGCTTTGTTCAAAGGCACTATCTATGGCAGCGTCTCAAGTTGCGGAGCGTGTGCAGGAGCTGCACCTCGACGACAACGGCAGAGGACCAGGATCCGAGTCACCAGAACGGGTCCGAAACTTGAACATTGTGTTCATCGGACACGTAGACGCCGGCAAGTCGACACTGTGCGGCCACCTGCTCTACCTGACTGGCAACCTCGACGAGCGCACGTTGGAGAAATACGAAAAGGAGGCGAAGAGCAAAGGTCGCGAGTCATGGAAGTTCGCTTGGGCGCTCGATCTCACCGAACAGGAACGAAGCAAAGGAAAAACCACGGATTATGGCGTAGCTTCATTCCGAACCGCAACGAAACATATCACGATTATTGATGCGCCTGGCCACAAGGCCTATGTGCCGGCGATGATCTCAGGCACCGGACAAGCTGATGTGGCTATACTGGTGATTTCGGCCCGCAAGGGAGAGTTCGAGGCCGGCTTCGAACGAGGCGGACAGACCCGCGAGCACGCTATGCTCGCAAAAACGGCTGGTGTGCGACAACTCATCGTCGTCATCAACAAGATGGATGAACCCACCGTGCAGTGGAGCGAGGAGCGCTTTCGGGAGATATGCGACAAACTGGCACCCTTCCTGAAGCAGATTGGATATCGGCCGCAGGAGGTCAGCTGGGTACCTGTCAGCGGCTTCACAGGTGAGAATTTGCGCGAACCGGTTCATCCAAGCACGTGTGCATGGTACAAAGGCGGATCGCTGCTCCAAGTGCTCGATGCACTGAAACTACCACCGCGGCCGCTGGATATGCCGGTGCGCATGACTGTCGTGGACAGATTTCGAGATATGGGCGTTTGTATCCTAGGCCGAGTCGAAGCCGGTACGATTCGCAGCGGTGATCGGCTACTGCTCATGCCACCGCGACTTGTCGTGCATGTCACGAGCATCACAATGGATGCCGAGGAGGTGCCGCTCGCTGAGCCCGGAGACAACGTCAAGCTGCTTGTGAAAGGCGTCGAGGAAGACGATATTCATTCGGGCCAGGTGCTCTGTGCAGAGAACGATCCCGTTGAAGCGACAACGACCTTCGATGGCCAAGTGATGCTGGTCGAGCACAAGTCCATTCTGACTGCGGGGTACCGCTGTATTGCGCATATTCAAGCAGCGGCCGTTGAGGTTGTTTTCGAGCGTCTCCTCGCTGAGGTTGATCGCCGCACAAACCAGATCGTCAAGAAACATCCCAAGTTTGTGCGACCCGGAAGTACCTTTATTGCGCGGTTAAGCGTCGCGCAGCCCGTCTGCGTTACCGCGTTCAAAGAGTTTGCGCCTCTGGGTCGTTTCATGCTGCGGGATGAGGGCACCACCATAGGAGCCGGGGTGGTGGTACGCATTCCGACTGCCAAGCAACGCTCAGAGGAGCTTCAGTCAACGACGGAAAGTGGAGCGAAAATCGCCTCGTCATCAGTTTAGAGCACAGAGACGCGCACAGTGAGCGTTTCCTACAGAGAACAGCATTTGGATTCGCCCACTTTAGAAGCAGCAGCGGCAACGTACGGAACAGCACTGTAGTACATAAGCAAAACCGATCATCGAAACGCGCGCAGTGGGTGTTTCCAACGCAGAAAAGCATTAGAATTCGCAAAGTTCAGCAGCAGCAGCAGCAGCAGCAGCAGCAGCAGCAACTCCTTTGGAGACTTGCATCGCTTCATGCAAAAACACTTCCATGACACCCAAATCTTCTTCTTCACGCACTGGTCAGTAGTACAATAGCCGCGCGCTACATAGAATGCAGAGGCAGAAACTTTATCGGGCCGCAATATCCCGATTTGGATAGAGGCAGCCCAGATCCGTTTTCCCTAGACAAACATGCGGATACGCTCTGCGATTTTAGAGGGTACCTCTTCCCACTCCAACAGACCTGCGGATATCGCAAGCTGCGCCCGCGAAGCGTCGTGAATGAGCATCCAGAGGGCGTCGGTGAGTTCAGACGCCTCCTGGACACCAGCTGGTCGTGCAAAACCGAGCAGACAGGCACTCTGCAGCACTCGATCGGCGCACGACCGGACAGATTGACGCCCTGCATCACATCGACTCTCAAGAACGGCGTAATTATACAACACTGCGGCGAAAGCCCGCCAGAGCTTCTCAGGTGTATCGCTATGCACGATGATCGTAAACGTATCTAAAATAAGATCCGCACATCGTAGCAAGGCCTCACGCACCGGGGCTCGCTGCCAATGGACGAAACTGTTGCATATGAAGCGACAGGAAGAAACGTGTATTCCAAAAGAAGCTTCTGCACTGGATGCATGACGTAGGACACTGTCGAGTACTGTCGGCTGACCATTTCCAAAAAGTATCTGTATCGCATCATTTTCTAGGACGACGAGTCTCGCCAGATCTATAACAGCTACCGCCTGCGCGGGCGGTGTCCGCTCGAGGAGCGCACTGAGCATGCGCACCTTCTCTGCTGTAAGCGGTTTCAAAGTCTGGAATAACGACCGACACCGATCGTTTTCCGGCAAATGTTCCAAGATGCGTTCATACGAATCCGTCCCAGGAAACAGTATCCAGTCCGGCAGATTCCCCGCCGAATGACCTTGCGGTAGAGAAGACGCAGCGGGTGGCACATAGCGATCAGCGCCGGTGAGCGGATCCGTCAGCGCGCCCGCATCGGCACGCATGTCGCTGGCGGGAACATGCGTGATAAGAAACTGTACAATCTGTTCCAGATATGTACGCGGCAAATGTTCTTCTTCCAGAAAACGCTCGGCAGCGACGTACGGATTCTCTCCACGTCGATACCCTAGCTGACGATATCGATGCGCACTGCCGTCGACATCAACATCAACATCGAAGACGTAGTCAAAACCTGTCTTGAGAGGCCGCTCGGGCGATCCAGGAGGATCCGTCACGTCACCTATCTTCATCCAGCGACCTGCTGACATCGACCACATGTATACTTCGATGCCGTCCAGGGTTCCGGACTTGCGCACGAGCCGCGTTTGTCCGTCCCGAAAGCCCGGCTGCGCTAGCGCCGTTTCTGCATCAGGCACTTGGGAAGGATCTATCTGATGCTGATGGTGCATGCTCGTTTTTTGCGCTGCCAGCGCCATCTCGTATTCCGCAACGTGCTCTGCCGGCGCGGACCTCTCCGGAATGCGGGTCCAAACGCGCGCACAACTGTCAGCACAGCCGGTTAGAAAATCGCCGTCAGCATTAGGAATCATGGTAACACTCCAGACGGTATTGGGATGTGGTATCGTTTGAACGACATCCTGCTGCTGGAGGTCCAGGATGCGCACGGTTCGATCTTCGCTAGCCGAGATGAGCATATCTTGAAAAGCAGCAAGGGCATAAATGAAGCTGCCATGTACATTCGGATAGCGACGAATTTGCTCACCATGCATGGACCAAAGAATAACTGAGCCATCGTTCCCAGCAGATGCGAAACTGCCTCTAGAATGCGCGCTCAACTCGAGTCGGCAGAGGGCCCGTACGGCTTCGTCGTGGCCGTACAGCACCTGGGCGCACTCTCCTTTGCGAACATCCCAGAGACGAATGCTGCAGTCCGCCGAAGCGCTGAGGACTTCGGTATCGCTTAGAAATAAAAGAGCCCAAACCGCTGCGTCGTGTCCAGTGAGGCTCATGAGACTCTCGCCGTCCCGCCACAGGCGCACCGTTCGGTCCCAGGAGCCAGAGGCCACCAGTGTCGACGTTGGGGCTACCGCCAGCGCGCTCACGACGTCTCCGTGCCCTTTGCCTAAATGCGTCATCTGCTCTGTATTGACGTCAATCCAGGCAACAGTTTTGTCCGAGGAACCGCTTACTATCATTTCGTTGCTCAAAACCGCGAGCGCCTGAACATAATGGGGAGCGTGTACCCGAATACCATAGCTGTTCAGTTCGTTACCGCGCCAAAGTCGCACGCAGCCGTCCCGTGAACCTGTTATCAATAGTTCTCGCGACATGGCAGCAACGGCTCGAACGTCAGCCGCATGCCCGGCAAGCGTTCGGGACAAACGGTACGTAGCCGCGTGCGGAGAACTGTCGCCGACGCCTGAACGTTGTTCAGCATCCATGACGTGCTCTCTAGTCTTTCAACCCACTGGTGGATCTCAGCATAAACTAGACGCTATCCAAAGTGAGAGGATCCAGTACGTTAGCGCTCGTATGCCCTAGTTTCGATCAGACTGGTCAATCCGAATCCAAACAACATCTGACCTGCCACTGTCTGCCGTAGTTCAGAAACGCCGTGTCAAGTGCCGACAGCGAATTTGCCGGATCTACCACGAGCCATCGACTCTGAAAAGCGCTTACTCTGGATGCATAAACGGAGACAATAAGCAAGTAAGATACCTCTGCTCCTTTATAGAGGTCGTCACGTTCCACGAGACCCGATCCTGCATCCTGATTAGGAATAGCGGCTCAATCTAAAGAACGACACATTTTCCTGCGACGCGGAACATCGAGCATCCGGTTTCTCGGGCGTTTCAGGCGCCTCAGCAGTACTCGAGCGGGAAGAGGGCCGCTTTTGCGATGCAACCTGCCGGTGTATTGAAGCTGTATGCGTCCGACCAGCTCAGAAAGAGGCGCGCTGCTTCTTCCGCTACGGACGGGGACGTTCTCGTGGACGAGCGCCGCTTGCGCTCGCCGGCGAACCTCATTCGCAGCTCAAACTTACATGCGGCAATTGTGAGATGTATCGCTCGGAGACGTCCATCATCTATTCATTGTTTCGTGGCATGTTGAATATATATACGACAGTTATCAGATGCCTCGCTTGGGGGCGTTCATCGCTGGGCTCGCGCTCCGAAGTACGTCAGGGCTGCTTCAGAATGGCGCTGCTCTGCAAATATCCTGCGCCGAAAGCGCAAGGGCCCCAAAAGGCACATGCTGAGCCTCTCGTACAAATGTACACGCTCCGACTGGACGTCGGCAAGCACCGCGATCTTCGACCATAATATGTTCTGGTGACGCGCTCCATTTGAAGAGGCGACTAAGCGAGCAGAGAGGCCCAAGTGACGAGGCAGGTTGCTCATCCAGTTCTCTTTTGTTGAAGGATGACCTTTAATAATAATTTAATCGCCCGCAGTCTTTCTAAGCAAAACGCACGGCCGCAGGATATGGCGCATATACTCATGCCTGAATAAAATGGAACGAGTCCACTTGTCTATCGCGAGTGTATGCATTAAAGTTTTGGGCTTTCCAATTGTCATCATTAGTAGCATTTCTGCTAATGTGTTCTTCGATTTTTTCCGTTTTTCGTGCCACTCATCTCCAGCATGAAATATGCTCGTGTCTCGCTTCCCTCCAGCTCCGTTGTCTGTAGTCGAAAGATGTTGATGGCACCATTAAAATCCCTATCTCTCGGTTTCTTGCTGCTATCGGAGCATGTGATACACACGTGGCATTTGCAATCTACGCCTCGCTTGGCATTCGCATTTTTTGTGAAGCCTAGGTGGGCGTTTCGCGGCGGTGACTGTTTGCTGTAGTCAGATATTCCCACAGAATACCCAACCTTTCCCTGGATAACTGCACTATGGCGCGTGACAGCTTGCTCCAGAATTCGGTTCGTGCCCTCGACGGAGACGGAAGAGAGCTCTCGATGCTCGCTTCCGTTTCCGCGCTCGGAGCCGTCCCATAAGAGCATGGGCATCCTCCTGGCGATCCCCTTGGCAAGTACTGTGTCCGCTGTACAAGCAGGCGCACGCTGTTCTGTTCAATACAGGATTTGTGGAACGCGATATTATCCATGATGAAACAAGTACCCGTACGATTATTCAGGTCAAGAACAAGTCGAGAAGTTTCAAACTGTCGGCGCTCCGTTGTTGGAAAACGATGAGGCAGTGTTTCCTCGAGACGATTGCGGTAATAGCTAAAGCCCGAGGCCATGATGCTTCTCTAAGAAAACAGAAGAGACAGGAGCCTGTGTGAGCAAGTCCTGTGAGAGGTATCTAGCTGCTGTAGAACGCCGTTTCGCCGATTTCGATGAAAAGAGTGCGACTTGGCTCTCGAACGGCATCGATTATTTTGCGTACTAAGTTCAGTGAGCTTTCGGCTTGAGGTTGTGAAAAAGTCTTGAAGGGATGACATCGAAGTTTGTTTTCAATGTCAATCCAGCTGCAATTCTTGCTGCACCAGCAAATTGCCTTGAAACAGAAAGATCGGAACTGGGCATGATTCGAGCGTCCGGAATGAAAAAAAGGAGCGGAGTGGAGAATTGTTTGCATAGATTTTGTAATGACTTCTGCTTTTTATGAATTCTTGCTCGATTGCGTGGCAACTCAATTTCATTCCGGTGACCTGGCGAATTCCAACTGAAAAACATCAAAGGAGTCACGCTGAAGAGACAATCGAGAATCGTTAAATTAGGTGTGGATTCGTAACTCTTTGTTGTCGCACTTCGAAGGTCGAGTTCGTCGACCTGAAAAAATTTCGGAAAGGATTGTAGAGCAGGAACAGCATAAAATGTTCACTGTTCCATTTTATAGTCTTTCAACTCAATTTTGTTTGACCACCGCTGAAAGCATTCGAATGCTGTTTTTGTAGCTTAAAGCAGAAGATCGAAATCAGGATGCAATTTATCGTATTGAGCACAGATGAGTTGCTTGCAGGATGTATATTCTTCACTGAACAGTGCAAGGTGGACTCCATTCCCCCTTCAGGTCTGTCATATCCCAGTACTCAGATGCGAGAGGAACACAGAAAAGTAAATGCGATCCAAGCCAAAAACCGAATCCTCAAAACTGCTTGCATTCAATGGTTGAAAACGACACGTTGAGCATCTCACGGAAGGCAAAAGCGAGGATCGCAGCCATCACGGGCGTCTCTGTTGCTCAACACCTTGTCTGTGTGGTCCTGCAAATACCCGGATACAGTCACAAAAAACAGAGCCCTAGTTCACACACGGCCATCATGAACCGAAACGCACGTACAGCGTTCATGGAACGTTGCAATCGGTAAGAAGCACAGGGATATCCGTTTGATTTCTCAGTCGATGAGACTTGCTTTGGACGAAACGGTCGGAGCGTACATGGCCACTCGCCGGGTAGAGAGCCCATTGTACGTGCGATCGATTTGGAAAAGAAAGACGACATCATCTGTTCTACCTGCAGTGGATTCATGTAGCGGCCTCGGGTTCGCCCGCATTGAAGCCTAATACAACAGCACCTTTTTGTAGAATCACTGAAGATGTTGCTCCTGACGTCTGGCGACTTCGTTCTGTTGCACTACATAGCACTTGAACATTCCCCTTGCTTTCGAGCATTGTGCTGATTCCACCGGGGTAGAGCTGCTTTTCATTCCTGCGTACACTCCATGGTTCATTTCCATCGAACGGATGTTTTCTATCATGAAACGTAAGGATCGCTGCTCTGGGCGATTCGCTGAAGCGCTCAGCACACGGTGACACACTGGGGCACATTTCGTCGTTCTTCAGCAAGTCCTTCTCCCCTGCGAAGGTCCTCACCTGAGGCTATAAAGAAGTGCATTCACTTTAAAAAATCCGAGGGATATCCTAGGGCGCACACTTCAGAAGGTCCAGACGGACAAAACGCAGCGGAGCGCTTCCGTGATATATGAGTACGGAGAGCTGACAGAGCACCAGATGGCAAAGACGGCACGAATTCAAGGAATCTTTGTAGAGCCGAGTCCCATCAGACGCAACAAACGCATGGGGTCCATGAGCCGGTACTTTGACGCCGCCATCAATATCAGACGATATGCGTTGCTTTATATGACACTCGTGGAGCTGGCGCGAGCCAGCTTTGTGGGGAACCTCTCAGGATCGAAGTATACGAGGTAAGGCTGAAACCGGCGGCAGGGGTCCGGTTGAAAAGGCTGGCAGACCTCTGCATGTGGTAATAATTTAAACTTCATGGTCGTAGGATATTGGTTACCATGTTCAGCATCAAAATCGGCAGCGCACCCGTGGGTGTTTTGTCCTTTTTATACATTATCGTACAGGCAGCGCAGCTGAGGGTATTTTTGTCCCGTTTAGCCACGTCCGGATTTTCGCCGTCCTGCGAAGCAGCCACGACTCTCGGCTGTACATCCGTCGCGTACCCCGTTTTTTCGCAAGTCAGCTTCTCCACTGCTCGGGTGGTTCATAGGGTGGTTCCTGTGAAAGTTATTTGGCGATTCGCGGCATTATCAAGATTTACAACGAAAAATGAGGGCCATCCTTGCGAGCGAAACCTTGAAGGTGCCTGAAGGCGTGACGGTACGCGTTAAGAAGCGGGAGGTTTTCGTTAAAGGGCCCCGGGGCGAACTCCGGAAGAGCCTTAAACATATACCTGCTGACTTTACGCTTTTGGAAAAGGGGCGCAAAGTGCGCATCCAGGTGTGGCAAGGACGCCGAAAGGATCTGGCAACTATTATGACGGCGGCCTCCGTTTTTAAGAACATGTTTACCGGCGTCATCAAGGGTTACTGTTACGAGCTTAGAGCCGTATACGCGCACTTCCCGCTGAACATGACGATATCCGAGAACGATACAGTTCTAGAAGTGCGCAACTTTCTGGGAGAGAAGCGAGTCCGTCGAGTGCGAATGCTCGGTGGCGCGAAGGTCTACCGTTCGAACACTGTGAAGGATTGCTTGCTCGTCGTTGGAAACGATATCAACGAAGTTTCACAGTCTGCTGCTCTCATCCACGAAACATGCCTTGTGAAAAACAAAGATATTCGTAAGTTTTTGGATGGGATTTATGTGAGTGCACGGACGAATGCCGTAGATGACGACGGCGTGGCGGTCACTGCAACGCACAAATGCTGAGATGCACAGCGAGGATCGCATTCTAGCATTCTTTCCTGAGTCAGTGGCTTGTGCGCCTAGTTTAGGTCAAGTTCTGCGTCGTTGTTTGAGGTTTGTAACGGCATTCGGCGCATCTCCTTCGAGAGCGGATCCAGCGAGCGAAAAATCGACCTACGCGGCCGCACCCTGCCCAGAGCGCAGTACCGGGTAAAGTGCAGCGCTCCCAGTTGATGAGACGACAAAGCCTCGCTGCAGAACTTTTGCAGCGTTGGGAACGACGTTGCGTCCAGATTTGAGAGCGTTGGATTCCAGGCGTGGCTGCTCCCTCGTGGCAGATACCTGCCCTGCAGATAAACGATTCCGCTGTGGTCTTTTCCGAACACCCATGATCAGACGTTCAAAAGTTACTTCATGTATGCGACTTTGTAGCATCTCATTCCAGAGATGGCCGCGACCGTTAGGCCGGCGAATTCCCGGGCACTTGCTGCACTTGCTATGCTCTAGCGGCACGAAATCGCGACTCGCTCCTGATGTTCGGCATCACGCTCCAGAGGGCGTGTGGGTAATTACCACAGTGCCACTCCTGCTTCATGGCACCCGCACCCTGCATGACTTACAGTAATGTCCAGTCTCAGAAATAGCTGCTGGTGCACTAAACGGAACTTGCCCGAGCTTCTGATCTCTAGGCCACCTCGGCGAACGAATCCGCTGCCCAGCCTCGCGGCGAATGCGCCATAATGAACTCTTCCAAAGTACTCAACAAGGCAATGTCGGTGATTTGTCAGTTATTTAAAGGTGAGTCAAGAGCTTCCACTGCATAGAGGGAGCGCTCCTGTGAGTGTCTTGCTCGGTGCGCTACGTCTCAGCAGTGTAGATAGATGTGTCTCTCGACTGGTACCTACTCTGGAATCGGTGGTCGATCCTCTGGTGCATCCATGAGAATTTCCGCGCCCAGTTCGCGCCCAAGAACTTGCCGCAGTTCCTCGTACCCTAGGCCTTCTCGTAAGACACGCCAGCCTCGCGTTACATCCACAACGGTGGATTTCAATCCGATCGTTCGAGCGCCTGCGTTGATCATAAAGTCCACTTCGTGTTCCCAGTGCTCCAGCATTCGCAAATAATCCCTATCTACACCGTCCTCCTCTACTTCATCGTCTGGAACAGAGCTTGCTAGGAGCGCGACACCATCGAGAGCATCCATGGCAGCCTGGCAATATGGATCACGGGGCCATCGAACACCTATCTCCCGCCGTTTCCACATTTTCCTATGGACCCGGTTTTCGATCATGACGCGAGGTACCTCATGAGTCGCCGGTAAAATAAACGTGTACGGACCAGGAAGCAGCGCCTTGAGAACTTTGAAGGTACGCTTGTCGAGCACAAGCGCGTATCGCTGAATAGCTGCGTGATTTCGACAGAGCAAAGACAGTGGCTTGCGAACGCTCGGAGGCGTCTTCTTCAGCGAGTAAATTCTCTCCACGCCAGTTCTCGAGTGCAAGTTACAAACAAACGCATACGATGTGTCGGTTGGTAAAATGCCTACTACTCCTCTGGAAGGATCTCTCAGCAGTTCGAAAACATTCTGTAGTCGCCAAACGTCGTCGCCGTCGCCACTTACCTCTACGTACAGAAAAGGGTCTCGCTTGCTGTCAGCCCTATGACGACCTGATGTTAGGCTACAGTATGTCTCATGAAGCGTATACGTTCCCTTCCTACGCAACCAAACTACAGGATTCGGAGCCAGAAACATATTCACTGTTCGTAGCGGAAAACGAAAACACTCAGCGTCGAGCTCCGCTTCGAAACGAATCTGCAAAGCGACGGGGACGGCGACTGTGCGTTCCAGAGTCGGCAATAGGTCGCATTGTTGTGCTGTGCAGCATGTGTTGTCATTCGGAATATGAGCTCGATAAAGAGTCGTCTATGGGGCTGCGAGACTGCCAGGGTTTAGTGCCCAGTGTGCTGCTGTGCGAAAAGAATTCCCAGTTCTTCGTAGATGGGCAACGGCAGCGATAGAGGCTGTTCGGAGACGAACTCTGGTTGCCTTGTACGGAGGCAAACCTTTAGCGACGCGCCGCTACCGACTTGTAACCGCTGATCGTGTTCGAAGAGGCGCTCTCGTAGTCGATACAGACACTATTGTTTCTTTGCGTCGCCTTAGTTCCGGGTTGCTGTATTTTTCGGAGAAGCTCAGGGAGAACACCAGACGGCATTCTCGACGACCTGGTAGAGCCATGAAACACTTATGTTTTGAAAGATATAGCGTGCAAAACCTGCAAGTGCGCAGTGATGATGGTCTGTGTTCGTGTCACTCAGTGCGCTTGCGCAGGCAACGTGTGTTTACCCTCCGGGTGCTACAGGGCGCGCTGGCATGATTCACTCGAAAGCCCACCGTTGCGCTAGTCGCGCTCTCTGAGCTCGCACCGGAGACCCGATTAAGTTCCCCGTACATCTAAAATAACTTGCCTGAATCAGAAGAAGGGGGCGGTGGACAAATGTTTGGTGCGTGCCACAGGTTCATTTCAGTGCACGGTCAGATCAAGCAACTGGTCCGCAGGCCTGTATCCACTGTGCTTGAACAGCGCCCAGCGATCCCGCTTTCGACAGGCGCCCAGATCGATCCATATAAGCTCTCATGGAAAGCTTGTCTAGAAGAGTCTCGTAGCTGAGCATATGGCTGCAACGCTTTCTAGGTTCTCACACATGCTCACACGGAAGCGCCGCTTGGTTGCAATGCCTGTAGTCCAGGGCTGGTCGCGCATGCAGTGCAGACGCGTACGGAAGCCGCTCTCCAGAGCGTTCTGCAGTCGGTGTCCACTTCCATTCCGAAAATTTCATTTCTAAACTGTTATCATAATGGCTGGAACAGGGACTAAGGATCATGGACAAGCACGGTCTTGTTCGGGCGTAGACTCTGGGAAGCATGCTTGCTGGATTCCCAACAGCTCATTCCTGGTGCCGCATAGGCTCAGCATGGGCTGGGCATCTGTGCAATGCCCTCGTGCGCTTCAGCGTGTTTAGCGCGCCGTGGTGGATTGTATCGTTCTCAACTCGAAGCCTGGCATAACTACTTCATGTAGTGCTACATGGTGGTTCAGATAGCTCCCAATGCAAGGCCTTGGATATCCTGTACGTACCGGTGATGAATGACAGATCGAGGTTGCCTGCCGAAGAGATTTTCATAACCGCCTTTCACGAAATCTCTTAGCACCACTGAATCGTGAAGAAACTGCTTCCTTTGTATCAACTTGAGAGAGCAGCTTTGCGTGATTCAGAGAGTTTAGTCACGCACTACGTTAGAAACCTGGATCATTTTATCAGAGTCACAGACCTCGAGACAAATGGGCTCGGTTCCTGTTGGCATCCGCGTCTCTTTCTGGTGTTGCTCAAGGATGTGCAGCATGAGCATGCATGCCCAGAAACAAGGTCCTCCGCATTTCTTCGCACCTACGGTGGCATTCCAGGTGCGCCCCTGGAAAGGCAGTGCCGGTATCGATGTGCTCCGCAAAAACCGTTAGATTCAGAATAAACGCCAAAGGCTCGATGCTCTGTAAGCTTACAAATTAGCAGAACACGTGCGCTCGCAGGGCTGGTGGTGCGGCCGCCCCTGCAGTGGCGGACGCCACAACGGGGTCCACGCACTTTCACTATGACATAGCCCCTTTTTGGCTGCTAAGGAGGCGGCCAGCCCGTTGACTTGTTGCTGGATGCCAGGACTGTTCAGCGCGCCGCTCCATGCCACATCACTCATGCCGTGAGTCAAAATTTGCATATAGACATTCAACAAATGCTAGAAATGATTATCAAATGTAGTCGGCCTGGAACCGGAAGGATCGCTGGATCCAGCCGTATTTCCATAGAGGAACACCGGACAGTAATTCATGTACCTAAAACATTCTAATGAAGAGCTGAATATCTCTATCCGCATCTGTTCAGAGCCGCACTGGATTGAGGTTCCCACTTGCGGAAGCGTTAGCAGATCAGCTGGAATATCTTCCACGATTACTGCCCGTCTCCGTGCATCCGGAAAAACGCAACCAGGCGCATCTGTTTTCCATTAAAAGCGACAATATTTTTGATAGAGAACGGTCGATGTATCTAAGCAGGGAGCCCTCAAAAAAAGCGCTTGCTCCATGCGGCGCGATGCGACGCTGATGGACAAATGTGTAGATCAAAAAATGCAATTTTTATTCGATAATGTACATATGTGTATAAAAAGACATTGGCGGTTGCGACACGCAGCGTTCGATTTCCCTCCAACTTTGAATCCCCGCTGCCCCCGGTGGTATCTCAAGGTGCCCTCTGATCAACCAGCTTAACGGTGGAAGAATGTCAGTCTGAACAACGATAAGATTCTTGTGATGTATTCACTCTTCAACCATCGACTCGTTTTCGGCGAAGCGTGCAGCTTGAACACACCGGAAAAGCAGCAGTTCTTCGTGGCACAGGCGCCGGGCCAACCGTTAGTGGGTCACGCTCGTATGTGCGATACGCCTCAAGGCAAAGACGAGCCGAGAACAGAAACTCTTGAGCGAACTTTGAAGATTCGTGTTGCAGCAGCTGACCCTCTCGAGGCAGAGTTTATCGATCGAGTACTGCAAGCTTGGAAAAGAGAGAGTGAGTCTGTGCTCGCGCGTTGCGACGAGCTCAACCGTCAAGGCTGGTCTGCTTTACAGATTTTCCAGGAGATTCGAGATACTCATAATTTTGGCTTCACTGGGGCCCTTGGGCGGCACCGAGACAAGTATCGGTCGCAGCTGCCAGCTCCGGGTATTCGAGCTGTCCGTGAAGGCGCCTTTTTAGATTGGATGGAAGGTCTCGACTATGGCACGAAGAGACATGATGCGAAGAACGCACTCTCTGCTGCGCTCCAAGTCCCGGCACTTTCCCCTCAAGAGAAAGCGAGGACCCATCTTGAACAGAGGGAACGCTCAAAGCGAGCTCAATTCCGAGTCGCGCCTTCGACGCGGGCTGTCATCGCTCCGGACAACTCGGAGATATCGCTCATAATCAACGAGGACACGAGCGACTGTTTGGACAGCACCGCGCAATCGGACTCTATCGCTCTTAGATTCCACGTTTTCAGTATGGGACGAAAATCCATCCGACGCCTGATGCGAGACGCCTCAGGCCGTCGATCCAGCGTCAAACATCTTAGTATCGCTTTTGTGAATGATCCTGTGTCATCAGACCCCGCGAACCCCAAAATCGGAATGACACTAAGGTCGAACCCACAGGAGTACTTTTTCTACCTGTGCTACGATGGTTGTGAGAAACGCAAGCAACTCGAAACGCAAACACGAAACGAAGAGAGCGCTGGGATCGGCATCGAGCAATGCGATGCTCTGCAGCCCTGAAGCATCGGTTACATTTGATGCTATCTGATCGCATCCGCTGTCGCCTAGCTCTGGTGGTCAGACTCCGAGCCAGAGCATTGTCCAGATTAGTTAAAGATGGTTCGCTTCACGTTTGAACGTTCGAACGTCCGATGCCCCGATCATATAAAACGTCCGATTCAGATAGAGTCTGTCTTAGAAAACACTGCTCCATTATCGACACGATAACGATCTTCAAGGAGGTAAGGATGATGGCTATCGTAAGCGAAGGCGGACGCGTCGGGTCCAGTCTGCAATTTGCGCAAAAACGGCATTCGCACAGCGCCTACTCTTCAAAAAATCCATGCTGTGGCGGCCTTGCAATGGGTACGTGTTCATGAGGATCCTCGAGCCGACGCCTGCACAGCTATAGCAGAGTTGTGTTGTACCAATGCGGCGTTCGCATCGGAGTGCTTTCGCTTACGCAGTGGACGCGCACACGGCAGACTCGGTACCCAAAGGATCGCTTGAAGGAATCTTGCTTCCCGAGGGAAATTCCGGTTTGTGGTTCACGGACCTGTGAGCGTCTAAGGCGAAGCGATGGTGGCTCCCTGGATGCCGGCTCTTGGCACTTGCGCATCCATGAGGATTCTCGTTTGATTCATGCAAACTGCACCGTGGATAATGTACAGCGGTCCCGTGCGGAGGACGCAATGGCGACGCGAACGTCCTACGTAGAGGCGTTCCGAAGGGTACACATTCTCTGAACACTTGTCTCCGCTCTGATCCCAAGAGTCTAGGCAACTGTCTATATGTCTAGGAGTATGCGGAGCAAATCTAGGACAAGCGAGTTTTCGCAATAGACTACAGATCTTTGGGACGGTGAATTGTCGAGACCTCGCGTCACCTGCACTCGTACGCCTGGGCCCTGCTGGAGAAGTCATTCCCACCTATACCTGGCAGCTGGAAGTTGCCCCTAGTTCCTAGGGCGCGCTACTCGCCATCCAACATACCGCCGCAGGCTCCTGTGCTCGGCACGGTTGATGACGCGGTTTCTCGGAGCGCTGCACTCACATAAAAGCGCAGTTCTCCTAGAAAGCTGATATTCGCACGCTTTTCGACGATATTCCAAAATATACATTCGCAACGTGCTAGAGCTCGTGACAATAAGCCCGTGTAAACTGAGTGTATCCGTACCATTCTGTGACCTTATTCTGTATCATTCCACCAGCATAGCTAGGCATGGCAGGTTTCCAAACCCACCGGATCTACGGCACTTGGTACTCTGCCTCAGGGAAAAGTGCTGCAAGTTCGTCCCGTTCCTCTCGCATCTCGTCCCGACTTCGATCCGGGCGTTCGGTTTCGTCAGCATGAAAACCCCGCTTCTCGAGAGCGCCGTAAATGGCGTCGTTCGGGGTAAAGTCCCCTGGAGTACGCGGCACGATGTGAACGTGAACGTGGGGTACCGTCTGGCCGGAACCAACGCCATCCTGTATCACAAACTGCAAGCCGCTGACGCCCCTCTTACGCCCATGAGCCTCAATTCTGGAACCTATTCGTTGAGCACTGAGCCACAGGTCTGCAACTTCGGCTTCTACAAGGTCCGCAAACCTCGCCACAGGACGTCTTGGAAAGACGAGAACATGGTGGTGAGCCACTGGACGCAGGTTCACGACTGCAAGTGTGAGCTTCGTTGAATAAAACACTTCCACAGCTCTTGAAATGTAATACGGGCCAAAAGGGTACAGCATAGATACAGGGATCAGAACGTTTCGCCACTACAACCGCAGAAGAAACAGCCGCCTGTTCCTTAGCAACTGCTTTGATGGCGACCAGAGACCGCTTGTGTCATTAGCGAAGGCTTCTGGTTTCTTTATTGGTGCCCGTTTCAGGATCGCCGGAGTTTCAATTGCCAAACAGAACACTTTCTTGAGTTGTTTGGAAGACCTGAACCATTGTAGACTGGCAACCTGGACCGGAGGGGAGTTCAAGCGGGGACTAGTCCAGAAATCGGACGTATCCTGTGTTAAAGGCCGTACGAAGGCACCTCAGACCGATGTCTATGGGTGACGCTGCGCATGAAACACAGCTGATCCAGCTTTGTGATCAGCAGCGAACCGAGATTGCAGGGCTTCTAGCACAGCTTCGAAGGGCGCCTGTTGCATCACTGGAAACGGCAGCGGTGGAGCGTAAAGCACGTACACTTCTCGCAACATGGCAGCAAAAAGTCGAGGAAGGTGAGGCTCTCGGCTTGCCCGGGCTTGATGCTCAACGGAATCTTCTATTCCAGATGCAACGAGCCCTCTCTGCGGTATCAACGCAACTGCGTCGACGGCGTTTGGCCACCACTGCCGGAGCGCAACCTAGTGCCGCTCCCGTCTCAGGAGAGGAGCGTCTAGCTCTAGAACGGGAACTCCTAATCGAACCCCAATCGATAACAACCCATGACGTGCGACCATCGAAGCCTGCCTATGGGGAAGCGGCAACCACTCGCTCCGCTGCATCCGACCAAACGGCTCTTGGCACGACAGAACTCTCTGCGGTGGCGAGCCAGATTACTCGCCGCATCCACCGTACAACTTTATTAGCAAATCAGGAATTGGAGCGATCGAAAGCAATCTCCGATAGCATTACCGAGTCATCGGCAAATATTCGACGAATGGATCAGAAGTATGATGAGTACCAGGGCCAAATGGCACTCGGGAACCGACGCATCGAGCAACTTCGCCGTGCAGAGCGCCGAAGGCGGCGGTATGTTGCACTGGCGTTTCTTGCTCTCCTAGCCAGCGTGTGCTTTATTGTTCTTCGTCGCCTTGGAACCGCGAAAACCTTGGGCTTGCTCTCCGTTGCTATGAGATTCGCGCTGTGGACCATGCTCAAGGTTACGAACTTTCTGATTGGTGCTGCCGGAAGACTATGGCGCTTAATCCAGAAACTAATGCAGAAGCAAATTCCACCGATCGATGCGGATACTCGTTTCGTTGCTGACGATCACGTGGACTTAGGATTTCATCGGAGTACCCCGGACACGCATTGGGATCCTCAAACTCGTCATCCACATCGACAGATGCAAATTCAGCAGCTGAAACATCCATTTGAAAACAGCGGTCCGGAAGAGAACCACACATGGCCACTTGATTGTATCCAGGACTCGACAGAACAGTCATTGCACTCTGGCAGCCAGGATGTTGAACTAGGAACCTCCAACGAGAGCCCGGAAGCTGCTCAAGAGAAATCAGTCGAGGCCGGCAGTTCTGATGCACCACCTGAGGGGATTGCTAGCCCGGAAACAACACCTAGTGTCGACCGGGAAGCGTATGAGGCTTCGCGAGCTTGCAGTTCCGTGGTTGTGAACACTACAGAATACGCTCAGAACAGCACTCGGGTTGCCGTCACACATGAGGCAATGCCTCCACATGATCCGGCGCACGTGAAGAAAGAATTTACTCTTTTGCAATCATATACTACGCAAAAGGACGACTCTAACGGACGCAATCCAGCGACGTCCATGGAATCTACGGCGACTCTCCGCGTCGGTCCGAGAGCCTCTGCAAAAACGACAACTCTGTCTGTGTTAGAACGAAAAGATCCTGGATCGGAGCTGGAGACGCAGCACTCATCCGATGCGACCCAAGCGATTGAGACGCCAGCGGTACCATTACCAGTCGAGAATACGGTGATGATGACCCGTCCGAGCTATAGAATGGGCAAATCAGCTACCTCTGTGAAGCATCAGATTTCGCCAGAATCCCTGGAGGGCGACGAAATGGTCAGAATGACGCCAAGCAATGAATCGTTGCTGGGGCAGCATCCAAGCTTCACGTCCGAAGTACAGCTCAACACTATCGCAAGTGACCAGGACACAGAGCTTCGAACGTCCTCGTCGATAGCATCCCAATACATGGACGAAGACAAGGATGGCTTAGGCATACAAACAAGCGAACGTGTATATTTAAGCAATGATACACAGAAGAATTTCACGGACACGCACAGTGGTGGTATCCAAGACCCGAATCATCCAACAAAGCAAGCGTTAGACACTGGGGAGTAAGTCGATTATTCGAGCTATAGCACGCTGGCTTGGATCGTTGCATTCGAAGCGTCTTCTTATCGTCTAGCGGAGCTGGTGAGAAACATTGGGTGCATCGTCTAAGTGAAGGCGCATTATCGTCACTGATGCATTGTGTTGATGATCGAATACATCTTGCTGCAATAGCCGGTATCAGGGCGAAAATTCACGCTGTGATATCCAATCCTCGTGTATGCTCTCCGGGAGGAATTTCATGCTTCCACAGTTAAAAATTTCCAATATGTTTTCTCGTACCAGCTGAGGGCGTCTAGAGTCATGCAGTATCGCGGTCGCTTGCGCCTGCAGGCACGCTGCAGAGCCGTGCCAAGCGCATATGCACCGATTTATGGATGGTGCGAGAGCACTGCATGGAACCTGAAGCTCCCAGAAGCGCAAATATTGCCGGACGCCAGATGGGAGACCCCAGCCCCTCATCAGATCCAAACTGAACATTGAACTGTTCACTCACATCCTTTCTACCAGGATTTCCGAGTATTTTACGTGGACAGCCCCGCCGTGCAACGAGCACCAACAACAGCTTACACATTCATGCACAGCTCAAGGATCCCCGATCGCCTCTTCAACGATAATTACCCGACGTCATCGCTCGGCGGCATCCTCTCAAGCTTATGCCGAAATTCCACTGATCTTGTCACGCCAAAGAATAACCCACTCCGTTCTAGAGACAAACCCTCATCCGCTCTTCGCTGCCGTCAGCGATGCACCGTTCCACACCAGAATGATGCGCCCCACGGGGTGCGCGTGCTCCAGCGCTCCCCTCTCGTCTGTCTGCATCGGCATGCGCCCTCAGCTGCGACTCTAGTCATCGCAGCGTTCGCTCCGAGCCGAGCATGCGTTACCGCTCGGCACGAAGGGAGCGCACACAGACCGAAACAGTCCGACATGGCGTCCGCCCCGGATGCCACATCACGGGTGCTTGTTTCGTGAGGCGCAGCACCGCCTTGCGCGGATCCCCCGGAAGGAATCGAAGAGCGTGTGCCTGCACGCCCAGTGTACAGCGTACTCGCCGAGCTGATGGCCCAGGAGAAGCTCGTGATTGTCGGGGACCGCGGCGGGGGCAGCACTCGCGGACGGCATCGAGGTGAGGCTTCCGTGCCCGCCGACGGCATGCACGATACACTGGCGTGAGCGTGGAGGCGCCACAGCCGCTCCGCGGATGATGTGCTCGGAGCGGGTGGCGTACAGGGACACCTGACCTGAGCCATGTGCCACTGGTGCGAAGAGCGCATCGGGGATGTTGACGGAGAAGAGGCAGCGGCGAGCGCGTTGCCGTTTCCGACTGCCATCCGTGTATGGGATGCATCGAGCACGATTCGAACCGTTTAAAGGTCGACGCTAAAGCAGCCACGAGCATCCTTCGACTGCTGCCAGGGTGCCGGAGGGACGCAAGAGCCCAGCTCATAGAAAGCCGGATTTGGGGGCAGGAACGAGGATGATGAAGAGAAGCTGGAAGAGACCGGAAGAGGTGGTATTGCTTCCCGTATCTACGCGAGAGTCAGAGGGCCAAATCCATTTTATTCCGATACGATGAGGCCCTTTTCAAAATTGCACCAGGGCACCTGAAATCGCTAGGCAGTTTCACTCGGAGAGCTAGACGCTGGATAGATTAAAAGCGCGCCTGGTTGCAGAGCGTAATCTTAATGCCTGCTGCAATGCCGGATGTGCCGCTCCGGTCTTTGCACGAAAGCAGAACTGTCATGCAGTACCAATACAAGTGTCGTGTTAAGATGGGATCTGATGTCCGCATCATATACATTGGCGAAGACGCCTCCAATGGTAACAGCTTGTCATGAAGATGCCTGCAATGTTGAGAGCATGCGAACGCTGACTCATGAAAACAGTTCCATCGTGTTGCGGAGGCGTTTGCGAGGATCAACACTCGTCGTTCTCTACTCTCTAGAGTTACTTTGTTCGAAAGCTTTCCAAAGCGAAGAACCTTCGATGATCCCACAACATGCGTGGCGCATGTTGAAGAATGTGTAGCTCGGGCTTGCACAACCTGCACTCCTTTCATAAACGAGTGCCTCATCACATTGCGTCACACCGAAGCCCGCACGAACGATATGCCTGCTCGACAGTCTTTCCGTTGCAAGCTCTGTCACGCGAATGCGATTTAATGGGGCCACTTGATGTAGAGCTGCATGTCTCGGGTGATTTGGAGAAGTTTACGCAATCTCTATAGCAGCCGTTCTCCCTATGAACCTGAGTTTCTCAATGAGCACTCACTCTCCACGATAGTGTACCGGATGCTGGAGGCTAGTATATAGACTGCCATAGCGGCACTCATCTGCGATATGCGTTGCTGTGTGAACCAGTCGTAGTCGATTGACGGCAGAACGGCAAATCGTATAAGTGTAACGGTGCACGATCGACACCAAATGGTGTGTATCTGATGATCCGAATCCGAGGTTATAAACTGACCATCGTCCGGAGCACATCTTACCGTGCACAGTGGACTACGCTTCGTGCTCGCTCGGCGCCGGAGAGCACGTAAGGTACCTGTCTGTGCATTGTATGGGAGTGTATTTGAACGGAGCGAGACTGGAAACAACCCGCAAACAGCCTTTGGCGGAAAGCCAATCCAGGTTTTCGATCGCTGCGTTTGTCAAGCTTGAGAAAGTCGCGCGACTCCGTGAACGGAGCATCACTCGTTGTTGGAGCGTGCGAGTGGACCCCAGGTTACCATTTTGCTAGCAAGTCGTTGAACCTCAATTTTATACGAGACGACTGGCGTTTCTATGAGATCCTGAGAAACGCAAGCTTCTTGCTGTGGATATGGAGAAAGCTGAGCGGCAGTCGCAGCAACCAGACATCTCAGAGCCTGAAAAGGACACGGAGAGCTTCCCGCTATCGCGGATAGCCTTCGACCTTGAAGCATATGCTTTGAGATATATATGGTGGCAGGGTAGCGACGGGCGGTGCTTGAAACGTGGAGCTTTGACACGGCTCCTCCACATTGCCACAAACGCACCCAGAGAGGAACTGCGAAAGGAGGCTGCGCGTCTAGGCCTGCAGATTCTTACGAACAACTTTTCCGAAGCAGCTGGTCTTGCCTTGATGGCACCTTGTGCAACAAAGCCATGCGCGAGTGGCTCGGCACTTGAGGTTCGTAGATGGGGTGATTCCCCTCCGCTACTCTCGCCGGGTCGTAGTGGTCGTTCATGCGCTGTGCGGGGCGAATCATCGTTGTTGGATATGGTCCGTCAGGAGCCCGTTGATCTGGGGCTCTACGCAGAATTCAAAAGAATTCTAGACGAACCCATCGACGTAGCGTTCACATGTGAATGCAAAGATGCCTTCGCCAAGTATCGGAATTCGCTACTGCGAGGGCTGGAGATCAGCCAGCAAAAGGGAATCGATCAGGCCGTTCGCTCTTCATACAACGAACTGGCCCACTTCTACTATGAACATGGATACCTGGATGAGTCCCTGAGATATTTACAGATGATGGAAGCTCGCGGTATGCAGAAACATGAACTTCTCTGTTGGATCCTAGATATATTGCGTATTCATCTGGAGAAATTGTCCTCCAGGGTTCATGCCCAGGAAAATCGAGGTCCGCGGCACGATTTCGCTGCACAATATCCACAATTCGATCTCGATGCATGTCATGGTCACGAAAGCACGGCTCTAGCGCGTATTCCATTGCAGATCGATCTCAGAGGGGATACTTCACGTATAGAGCAGCTGGCACATATAGCCGAAACATCGCTGGAAGAGAAAGACATCGCTGAAGCCACAGCGTTGCAAGCTGGTCTTGCTTTGGTCGCACTTCATAATGGTCAATACCGTCGAGCAGTGAAGCACTTTCTTGCCGTAACCACAGCCTTTCGTGATAGTGGGTTCACGGATATGATATCGAGTGACGACATCGCGTTGCACGCGGTCCTGTGTGCAATCGCCACCTTGAATCGGGAGGAAATTCTGGAGTGGATCCTGCAGAACAGATCGTTCTTGCCCATACTTGATCAAAACCCGATTTCCAAAGAATTGCTGAATAGCTTTTTCAATAGAAAATTCCCTGATCTGTTACGAAGTTTGCGGGCTTTGCAACACGATCTGAGCATGGACTTGTATATGCATTCGCACACCGAAGGTTTGACGCGCCTGATTCGCCATAGATGCTACGTTGCATATGTCCGGCCCTTTCGCAGAATCCGACTCTCCCGGATGAAGTTTGAACTTCTCGGATCGGATTCATTCGATGCAAGTAGCGATGATAGCTTTGAGCGTGATCTCGAGTGGCTCCTGCGGCAGGGATGCATCCAAGGCCAGCTTCATCTCGAGGAAGATCTGCTCGAAGTCAACAGCTACGATGGACACGCGCTCATGATTGCCTCTGTTTTAGATGAGGCAAGCAGTTCTTGGGCGTTCTGCGAGAAAGAAACTTTGCGATTTGCGTACTCGACCTGCCGAATGGGGTTCCCACCCTAGTGTATTGCCGTTTGTCTCAAGAAGTGCCGATTTACGCTGTGGCTAAACTTGTGACACAACAGCACTTGAAGTCCTGACTTAAGTGAACGCGCCCGCCGCTCTAAAAGAGGCCAGGACAGCCTTGCTGTTCATCCGGCTGAAATTTCCAGCTGTATTTCAAGAAAGCTGTCTCTGACTATTGGTCATCCTGGAGCACATAGTCCCACAAATGAGAGTAGGATATCCTCTGAAAAGAATATCATGGCAGCGATCACATCCCATCATTCCAGTTGGTCCACTCTGCTGCCTGATTACAATTCGTTTCGGAGAAATGCAGGTAATGCTGCATCCGAAGCGATGCTCTTGAATCTCGTGCGTGTTCTACGCAGTTTCCGTAATGTAGAGCGAATGTATCAAACCTGCCGATCGCTCGAAACGACGCGGATATAGCCTGCTTCGCTACCTTGCATCTGTCCCGATATATAGCGGTTGTGTTTATCCCGGCACCTGCCAAAAATAGAGCCGTGCCAGGGAGCGTATCGGATATACGAGTTTCATCCCGAGAAAGAGCAAAACCCTCTGAGGATTATTCGCTGAAAGAGCTTGTGCTTACCGACTCTGTCGCAGATGGAGGCTCGTAATCGTTTCTGTCTGTCTGTGCTCCAGTGGGCGGAAGTCTAACTTCGCGACTTCAGCAACACAGTCGGCGATTTTGAGATTCATACACTGGATCTAGTGGGCTACTGTGCCAGCAGGCTGCATGTAGATTATCGTCACCGGCATGTATTTTCGGATAGACACTGGTGTTTTTCCGGGACAATGCACTACATCTAGTCCGTATTGAGGAATTCAGGCGCACATGTATTACCGTAATGAATATTGACCGAAAGAACAGGATTTGTCGCAGGGGTACATCAGAGTCGTCCTCTCCACGCATTGCTCCCGTGGTAGCGCAGCCCGCGCCAGAAGAACGGCCCGCCGCATGCTCGACACCGCTGCGTCGCTGAAATATTCAGATGTGCTTTGCTACCGGACCAATGGACACAAGTTGAGGATGTTTGAAAGATTCGGTAGAGGCGCCGAAGTTCTTGCCCTCGCCATCATATGCGTCCATGCAATCGATAAATATGAGCCAGTGTCTTTTAACCCGCACATGAAGAAACAAAGCTATGTTCAGAGCGACGCTCCTTGGGCAGGTCAGCGAGGCAGCGATTCTGGCCTGCGGGTGCATCGTGCTCCATTGCGTGACGCGCAAGATCGCTGCATCGGGCCAGCATTGCGTGACCTGCTGCTGGCCGCGTGACAGATGCTCGCACGCACGCAGCTGCTGCGATAGTATGTGTTCCTGTGACTGCGTGCACGCGCGGATTGCTTTCGAGGCAGCCTCGAACGCGGGACGTTGATCCTAAACAGGTTTTGGGACTCCCATGACTCGGTATATTTGTGGTGAGTGTGGACAGATTTTTGAACTCGACGTGAACGAAACCGTCCGGTGCAACTTCTGTTCGTGTCGCTACGTCTACAAGCTGCGAACGAAGAAACCCATCCAGCTGGAGGCGCGCTGAGCACACGCCTTGGGAACTGCTTCCCGCAAGCGCTGCACGCCCCTCGTAAGAGATGCAGGTTCCTAGGATTGTCGGCGTACTGGGCGCTGCGGGTCAGATGGGCTCCGGTATTGCTGAAGTCCTCGGCCAGAGGTCTGGTTGCACCGTCCTACGGTACGATCCCGTAAAAGAACCCGAAAAGGACATTAACGTCCTTCGAGGTGCCGAATTCCTTATCGAGGCCGTACCAGAAGTGTTCGAGACAAAAGTTGCTGTTTACAAAGCTCTCGAAGAAGCCCGAGTCTGGACGGAACATGTCGTCTTGGCGAGTAACACGTCGTCGTTATCGATTACGAGACTCGCGGCTACTTCGAAGTTTCCGGAAAACTTCATTGGCATGCATTTCTTTTACCCCGTACAACGAATGAATATCGTAGAGATCGTCTGTGGGTTACGAACGTCGGAAAATACTGTTGAAGTCACGGAGTCACTTGCTCGTAAAATGGGAAAAGAGTGCGCGCGGTGTGTGTCTGATAGCCCAGGTTTCGTCTCGAATCGAATACTCATGCCTTACATCAACGAAGCGATTGAAACGCTACGTGAAGGGACCGCAGATGCGAAGGATATCGATCGAATTATGAAGCTCGGAACGAACGTGCCCATGGGTCCGTTGGCACTAGCCGACTTTATCGGCCTCGATACTTGCCTCAATATTTTGCGTGTGCTTGAACAAGGGCTCCCCGGGGGTTCTGTAAAGTATAGAGCATCCCCACTGCTGGTCAAATATGTTGATGCTGGTTGGCTCGGGCGCAAGACTAAAAGAGGTTTTTACACCTATGACTAGGGTGGATAAAAATGGGACACTGAACTGCTTGTTCTGTTCCTGGCTTTCGGGTTTTTGAGAATAAATTTCGACGTATAATCTTGACATTCGAAAGGCAGCAATAAGGGTTTAAAGATTCATACGTAGCTTTAGGATTCTCGATCGCCTTTTCGGTGTGCCTCCTCAGATGCTGTTTCGCTGGAATTCGTTCCTCTGACGTTAACAAGATGATACGGGAAGTTCTCGAACAAGAATTCGTAGAATAAACGACAGTATCATCAAGTTCATGAATGGAAGCCTCCAAGATTCTCCGTTAATAACGTGTCGCATGCTCAAATCTTGCATTCTTTGTGTATTCGATCTTTCTGATTCAAGGTAACTCACTAGCAGAGCAATTAGCGCTGCTGAGTTAACGAGCATGAAAATTCAGCGAAGCCCAGAGGCGACTTCTTTATTGACTTATAGCTCAACTTCGCTGAATATTTCTTTCTCAAATCATCGATTCCGTTCTGAAGACACTTCCTGCCCTCTTGGTGGTCCTCGGCGGAAAGAGATGCGAGAACGAGATGATGCGTCTCACTGGACATGCTCACAGGGGCCTCCATGTACTGTTTACATTGAAAAGAATCATAGACTCTGACTTAAGTCACCAAAGAGATGTTCTCGTTTGGAGTGCACTTTATCGCCTTGCGCGAAAGTGGCATGGTCACATTAAAATGTGTCGACATATGCTGCATCAGTAGAATTAACCTTCCAAATCAATATTCATCATAGAGAGCATCGCGTTACACTACTTGTCAATAGGATGGTTCCAATTCACGATTCATCATGGACAGCATAGCGTTACACTAATTGTCAATAGAATGGAAAACTGCGGACTCGCGCCTCCAGCAGAATCGGTACTCATGGAGGAGATCACCTGTAAGAGGCACGTGATCGTAGGGCACAGCACCGCAGCTGGAATCGGTGGAGGATATCGAAAGTAGCCATCTGTATCCGTCAAGTGTATGTGCCGAGCGCTAAACCAAGCGTTCACGGAGCACGAGGCGGTCCACGGATGAGAGGCTGTGGGTGATATTTAGGAACACCTGAGGACAACCAAGTGTCACCGCTGCGAGAGGGCGCAAAGAGGCTGCATACAAAAAAGATGAAAATGGCAAGCCGTGCGTCGATGGCAACTACTGTTTTTGCATCAAATGCGTCGCCAGCGGCTGGAAACTCAGAAATCGGGAATTCAATGCTGCCATCAACATCTTTCGACCACTGACAGCGGGACTAAGAGGAAACGAGAGACCGTCGTATTCCAAGTCAAAGATAACAAAGAATAATAGGAGCGGTCGCAGATAAGGCCGCAAAGGCTAATTCTGATGACATTGGGAACAGACTCGAACTTGAGAATGTAATCCCTTCAAAGAGGCATTCTAACATTTATTCTCAAATGAGTGTATGATTCGAATTGTGAATTTAACCAAGAGAACCAAATGAGAAACATCGCATTCCGTGAGCGAGCGTACAGCCAGATCTTGTAAAGAATGTTATATCGAGACAGACTTTGAAAAATATTCGTTCGTGGCATCCTCATCGACCAGGAACTCACCGACGTGCGCTTCATCATGGTTGTTTGGATGCGCAGCATGTTTGTTCAGAGCAGGAAAACAAGCTTCACTCCTGCTGACGAAAATGCTCTGCTTCGAAAAAGACTTTTCGCAATCACTGGACCCAAATAGGGGTCTCTTTGGAGCCGGAACCCGGACCGCTCGAGTGTTGAACATCAGCTTACAGAGGTGCGCTACCCGCCAGGTTCGATGCATTTAGAAGATAAGGACATAGCCACTTCAGCATCCGCTCCTAGCTTATAATGCAGATATTTTAGCGGCATCACAAAGCTCCATTCACATTTGCTCATCATTTCGGTCTGAGAGTTATTCACGAGCTCTGCAGCGGCCTCGGTATAGAACGTGATGAATTCGATTCTATTTACATCATCACAACTGGACACAAGCGGCCCGAGACGCTTTCCAGCAAGCCGTACAAAACCAGGAAACAACATGCAACGATCATGAGCTCTCCACTTCGAGGCTTGCTATCGTCTTTGGAGAGAAAGCTTTTCCAATGTGTCGGGCAAGCTCGAAAATTGCATCGCGGGCGGGACAATCGTAATTTAGGATCGCCTCCCCGAGGTCAGAGGCTCGCATCAGTGCCGGATCCAAAGGAATCCTACCTAGGAAGCGAACGCCACTGTCGTTGCAAAGGGCTTGCACTCCACCAGTTGTTGGCGTAAAAATTTCCTCCTGATGACCGCAATGGCGGCACGTATAGTACGACATATTCTCGACGATACCCACAATGGGAACGCCGGCACGCTCGCAAAAGCGTACCTGCTTACGTACATCCAAGAGGGCGACCTCTTGAGGAGTAGCAACAATGAGCGCTGCAGTGTTCGCAATCCCTGCTAAGGCTTGCGTTAGCGTAATGTGCTCGTCCGATGTCCCCGGCGGCATATCGATAATGAGCCAGTCGAGATAATCGCCCCAGTCGACATCTCTCAGGAACTGTTTTAAAAGACCCGTTTTCCGCGCTCCTCGCCAAGCAACCGCGTCATCCTTTGACGGAAGCATAAAACCAATTGACATGGCAGCTAGATTGCCCCGGACGTACACAGGCTGCCAGCCAGTGGCCGATTGGTGCACTTCTTCCTCTGCGATAGAAAGTAAGTGCGGAATCGACGGTCCCGTCACATCAGCATCGAGAAGTCCAACTTCAAGCTCCCTGTCAACCGCTTCACAGGCAACGCCGGAAGCAAAAGCAAACGCTAGCTGCGCAGCAACAGAAGACTTACCGCAACCCCCTTTGTTCGCTACGACAAAGAGGACTCTCTGAACACCAGCCAGTCGGTTCGCTATAGCCACGCGATCTGGGTCCACAGTTGTGTTCTTCCCAGCGGCACAAGCCGTTTGGTTTGGGCAGCCATAGCAAGCCGCGGCTCTGCCGGCCTGTTCCGACTCTGTTCCAGGGCAGCTCACTGGAACTGAAGTTTCCGTCATGACGCAAAGAGTACTGACAACGTTGACCCAAAATTTCCAGGGAAGAGCTCGAGCGACGCTGAACGCTCGAGCGCCGGATGGACGTACAATTATGTACGTATTTATCCAGATAATTTTTGTTCCGCGAGGAGGCGTTTCCGCCGAACCGATGCGGTTTTGTGATCATTCACGTGAGGGCATTTGCAGGTTATCAATCGCAAAGACTACAGCGTTGCGTGGCCCGGATGCCACTAAGTACAAGTGCGTTCATACCTACAGCTTTAGTTAAAGCTAAAAAGCCGCTGGCAACAGGCTCTTTGGCCAAGGCGACGCACCCGCTGCTTCGTGGTCAGCAGGCAAGGAGGGCGCAAGCACCACGACGTGGCCTCCGAGATGTTTCACAGCACGCAGTCGCAACGCTCCGGGCAGTGCAAGTCCACAGCAAGGATTCGCGTTCTGATAGAGGACTATCGCTCGCCGCTGACCTTTGTCGAGAGGTTGAGACCTATGAGGTGAAGTCTGTCTACACACAAGAGCCTGTGCGTATTCGTGTTTACCGAGACTTTAACGCCGAGCTGCTCGAACCACTTGGTATCACGTCCTGGGACGCCGTCACTGAAGAAGCCGCTGAAGACTATCCGGTGACATATGAAAATTATGAGGTTGTGTACTATGAAAGCGGCTGTATGAAACTCCAGTGTGTCGGCCGAGACGAGCCACTCATTCTCCAAGCGGGAGACTTGGCAGAGTTCTCCGATGGTGTTCACGGAGACGGCCGCGTAACAGAGAACTTACGCCGCCGCTTTGTTTTTTGCTCCCCAGATGAGTGGGAAGCGTCTCTTAGGCGAGCCATCACCGAAACGCTTGAAGGGCGTCCCGCACAAGCTGCTGATGCAGACGTCTTGCCAGGCCGATCGAAATATGGGACCAAACCAGGTGCCACATCTTCCGAAACCACAAGACCGACAATTGAACCCCTCGCTCATCAGGCTGGAGGGGAGTTTGCAAATAAGATCACCAATTCTTCTTCGAAGAAAGCGACTCGCCGGAACAGAGGCGCGAAGTCCTCGCTCAAAAATGCTGATAGAGAGCCTGGCAATGCTGCACGAGCGAAAATGGATGCCGAGCTAGCATTTCCAAACTGGGTGGCCTATGCGTTAGCTGATATTATCCAGCTTGGAGCAGCCACCACGCTTATTTTATTCTGGGACTCTGGTCCTGGGGCGTTTATTCCATCAAAAGAGATTAACTTTCTGCTCCATTACATTTTTGTACCCATTGGAACGGCTGGGGCATTCCTATCGGCGGTGGCACGGTTTGCGCTTGAAGTGGCGCCGTCTCTCAAGGAGCACCCTCTTGTGCGTCTTGTGCCGCGATATGAAGACATAGATGATCCTAGACAAAAATATTTGCAGAAAAGAGACTAAGAATGGCCTACAGAGCGAAACTCGGCCATGGTGCCCGCTTGGCTTGCGGATGCACTCTAAAGGCCTGCTCCTCGAGAGAAGGTCGCACCTCCAGGTGAAAGTTTAGGTGGCTATGTGCAGCAGACTTTGCACTGGAAATCCACAGCGAAAATCTAAAGCGTTCGTGAGGGCTACTGCATTCGCGTCCTTGACGCCAGATCGTTATGGTCTTTCACCTCGATTATATTTCACCTGCGCTGCTGTGCATGGCAGGATATCGAACCTACTATGCAATTTACCGCATAGATCGTACACAAGTTGCCTATTGCACATATATTTTTTATGAACAGTGCATAGAGGACTGCATGGCTCCTGCAGGAAAGTCATAACGCAGTACTCAGATAACTGAGGGCCACTGAACGAAACAAGTATACGAGCTGCGCTCAAAAACTATTATTCTCAAGGACTGGTTTCTGTAAATAGTAGAAAACGGATCATTGATCATCTTTTGCTGAAAGTAAAACCCTCAATCGAAGCCACCTGGGGCATCTCTGTTTCTTAACAGCAAATTCGTCTGATCCTGAAAACGATGGGTACAATCGCAGAAAAGTTCCAACGTCAGTCACGGCCATCTTGCACCAAAATCGCATCTACAGTGTTCCTAGAACGTCTCAATCGGTATGATCCTTAGGGACGTCGGTTCATTTTTCCAGCCAATGAGACTTGTTCCAGAAGAATCGGTCGGAATGTACATGGGTATTCGCGGGGCAGGGAGCCCCATGTATCCACGATCGAACCCGAAGAGAGCGCGGACCAATCTCTTCTCGCTAGAGTGGATTCATTTGGATGCCTCGGTTTTCGCTCGTAGAGAAGGCTCATACAGCAGCACCAACCACTTCGTCAAATCACAAAAGACTTTTCCCCTGGCGTCTGGCGATATTCTTCTCTTGGACAGCGTGACATTTCATTATTACCCTTGCGGTCGAGCTTTTGCTGATTCTCTCGGGGCAAAGCTGCTTTTCATTCCTCCGTGCGCTCCGTGTTCCAACTGCATCGGCGGAATGTTTTCTATCGTGAAACCTAATGACCGTTCCACCGGGCGAATCGCTGAAGCATTCAGCGCACGGTGACACATCGGGGCGCATTTTGTCTTTCTTCCGCATGTGCTGCTCGGTGCGGGAAGGTCCTCACCTAACGGCATAGACCAGTGTCTTCAGTTGAAGAAACGAAAATTCCAAGGGAACGGTATCGATACGCAACTCGTGGGCCCCGGAATGCGGTTATCTTCGGTAGTCGGGGATGGACGAAAAATCCTCTTCTCGCCGGCAATCGAGCGAAGAAGAGCAAGTGACGAAGAAGAAGGGTAAGAAAAGGGGAGATAGGTGGGGAAATGTGTTCGCGCAATGAGAGCATGACGAAGCCGCAGTGGCACAGAGTGCACGAGGTCTACCTATCCTTGCAATTGCGAGTTCCACCAGAGGCAATAAACGTGTGGAGTTCGAGAGCCGAGACTTCATTGCGTCCATCCATATCAGACGACGTGTGGTGCAGAATACGAGCCCCGAGGAGCTGGGGCGGTCAAATTTTGTAGGGCAGCCTCTCACGCTCGATTTGCTCAAGGGAAAGCTCAAGCAGGTAGCCGGGGGCCGTCAAACGAGGCTCGGAGTCGCCTATGAATAGATATATGAATACATTATATCCTCTTGAAACGTTTATCGTTTCTTTATGATCATCTACGACAGCGCTATTCAGTGCTGTAAAATATAGTCATATGCCATGCAATGAAATAGGACCTCGATTCTCGATATGCGCCGCAGTTAAAGCAGTGAATTGCAGCACACTTGGAAGAGCAAACACTTTTTGTTTTTGGTTAGCTTCTTTCGCAGGTATCGAACGAGAAGAATTTTTTCTGTAAGATGAAGAAAGGCCGCAGAAATATAGTACGCTATAGCAGATTGCTCGCCAAAACACCTTATTTGTTCATGTCTGTCATTCTATGTTCTGCAGGCGGATGAACCACCTTCCCTGTCGTCCTTTTCATGAGCGTCCTGCACGCGAAAAAGGACTTATTCTGCTCCGTGTACGGGGCTGTCTCCTTGTCAATCTATTCCACTTCGTACGCTCTCCAGGGGGTACCAACCACGGATCCCCAGGATGTGAAGTTTCCGTATTGTTGAGACAACCGAAGGGGATGAGACTTGGGTGGACAAAGAAAAGAGCACGCTTCCATGGGTCTCTATCGTTCGTTCGACAACACACTGCGGGTTTCCCAATAGGACGCGAACGCTTATAGCTGGACGGACTTGTGTTCGTCTCACTTGATGAACATTGTTCGGGAGATATGGTGGACTTGTACACGGGCATTCGAAGAGTCGACAATACGAATCGCACAGGAGGCACGCACGAGAACTCCGAAAACATCAGCCCTGGCTGCGATTCGATCCTCTAGTCGACCACAAATCGCCCAAAAGACCGAATCGTTCAAAGCCTCATCCATCGTAGAGCTACTGAGTGGCTTCACTGTCGCACATTCTTCTATCATGCCCAACGGCAAAGTCGCTTTCCAGCACTCAAAGACGGTCAAGTATTGCGGGGCTGACTCTGACGTTGGCCTGCTTTTCATTCCACTGTAATCTCCGCTGTGCAGTCCAGTAGAAGGAGTATTCTATGTCGTCAAAACTATTTTTACGCTCACGTATCGATCGTGGATCCGTTCACATCCATGACACCGTTCTCCAGCGTGTCATTTTTCCACAAATCTTGTTCTACATTCACCAGCCCTGAACTGCTTTGTAGCTTTTGTGCTCTTGCCCGGACAGGTGAAGGAATGCTCGCCTCGGCCTGTGGGCATGCTCACCACGGAGAATATGACGAGAAGATACGTAAGGCAGAATAGATGTATACATCGAGAATGCGTATTCGAGCACCACCGTCCACCAAAGCCTTCTCACTGCCGCGGAAGAAAGCACACGCAGAGCCCAGTGAACGTAGACATGGTACTGCACCAAGCAGCAGAGAAGGAGAAGAATCCACAAGACAAAGAAGGTTCAAATCCGCCGGAACAGAGGACAAGAAGGGCGGCGAACGAGAAACTGTTCTGGCAAAAAATTCCATCTCAAAATGTTATCGTCGTTTGGGCACTGAAACACACTGGCAGGGAGAAACTTCCGTACCGTGAGATGCTGAACGTCATTCGGGATCGCGTAGCCTTTCGCTTTGGGATGTTTCGCGTAGCTTTCCTCGACTTGAAGCAATTCGTCGAGCAACTGTTTGTAGGAGTGCCGGGCGCAGGGCTGCCACCTGTCCAAATTCCCATGGTACATTTCGACATGTCACTGTAGACACTTGCGTATAGTATATCATCGCGTGCTCTTTGAACAACTGCTGGTCTCGGCGATCAGGTATGCAGTATGCATACAACTTCGCTGTGAACATTGGCGGCACTGGTTCAAGGATTCTCGTGCGCGCGGCGGAACTGAAGTGATGACTAAACGGACAAGTGAGCACGATGGTATATCAGTCTACATGTATTTCATGAAACGTATGCCTCAGTTGAGCAGCGACAAACATTTCTAACCGTTCAAGGCGGATGAAGAGAAGGAATCCAAGGTGTTCATCGGTCCGAGCTGAAACGCATGATGGCGGTCGCCGCAAGTCCAAAGCAAGAGGACGCAGCCAAAGACCTGAAGGGTAAGCAGCTGGAGTTGATCAAGATTTGCGAGGCTCGGAAGTATTGTATGCCGGACATGACGGACGACAGGAAGCGTACCACCGAGGGGAATTCCGGTTTCAGGACCCATCTGCACGCTCTATGCTCCGATTCGAGGAGACTGCGATGTGCTGCACGCTTCATTCAGAGAGTACGTGCGTGTGAAAATAGCTTATGCAGACGATCCTATGGCGGAGTACACGAGAGCAGGCTGCAGTCACCAACGGTTTCGTTTGTACGGCGACATGATGCTTGCAATCGAAAAGTTCTTCAAAGTTGTTAGAAAAGAAATAGCTTATCAATCTCGTTGATTGACTGTAGGCTATGGCACTAGACTTGCTGCAGCGCGCAGTGCCTGCACATCACTTCGTTCTATGAGACCACACAGCCCAAGCAGGAATTGATTCTGTGCGATTCCCGTCAAGACTTTCAAGACGACAAGCACGCTTCGCGAGCGTGGGTACACGCTGAAACTTTCAGAGAAGAATATTTTGAAACAGAAATGGATGTGCAAGAAAGTGGTTCGTATCTCGCCCAACCTCAGACGGCGAGGCAATCTAAGGTAAACAGCATGCTTTGGTGAGATTCTACCAACAGAAATACGTAAAAGCACTTGCTGTACCGAGAATGGAACGCGTCGATCAACATGCAGAGATGTTACGTGGTTCCAGAGCATATGGCGGCTTCGTTTTGCGCAAACAATCGAGAGAATCGTTTGGTACTCAGTTTAGACATTATTCTGAAACGTTGAAGACTCACGATGAAAAAAACAGTGCCTAAAAAAGAGGAGACGGATACTTGCCTAGAACAAGGCACTAGTATGGTGGAGTACAGCAATCCAGCGTGGCTAGGGCGCTTATTCGCACTACGGCAACGGATTTCCGGGCCATTGGTGAACGATGTTTTTGTTCCATTCTACAAAGTTACTGAGAATGTATGTCGATTCCCTCCCAAAAAATGTAGCCATCATTGCTAGCGCCCGCAGGAGGGTCTTCGGTCGGCTTCATCGTGTCCAAGCGAGACTGCTTCCGTATTCTGTCCAACGCTGCAAAGTATTCATTCGTGGCGCCCACTGAAATGGCCGGCTCCATGGTCGCGATGAATTCGCGAATTGTGACCCATATCACTGTAAGACCCATTTTTGCGAGCTTTCGGCACACGCTTCAGATTCATCGGAATGCTGCGATTATGCAAACAAAATGCACGGAACACTCGGCTTTCGTCCAGAGCCGTATGATGTGGAGTGCCGCAAAATTTCAATCTCTTATGATTATTACTGAAACAACTTTGTTCCAAGAGAGCACTTGATGAAAAGACTACGGGGCGGGCTTCACCTCCGAATGTGATGTGAATACGCATGAGAATGTGTACGAGTCCTCTGTCACACAAGCATTACCGCGTTGATAGTTCCATCGAGCTCTGGCTGATTCGTCACCTGGGCATACTTTCCCCAAACAACTCTCCCAGAAGTTGTAACAAGTCCTAGTTCACTCACATTCACCTCTATAATGGTGCCACGAGTAATGACCCCCAGCTGGCTGTAAAGCGGACTGCTGGGGTTTTTCTTGACCCCAAGAATCTCTAGAGAAAAAGTTACATTGAGTTCGGGATGAGTAACGTTGGCCCTGCGCATACGGAGAGCCATTGGTCGGATGAAACGTTCGTATTTCGGTGGTCGTCTCGTGAACCCATCGCCAACAAAGGTCACTTTGGTCACCATACGCTTCCATTCCTTCTGCTTTGCCTTTTTTCCTGTCTTTATGACCCGGAAGACCTCGTCATCTGGAAGTGGTCGCACCTTCGGCAGAGGTACATCCCACTTTCCACCTTTCTCCTTTCTCTTTTGTTTTATTGTGTTCGTGAGAGCCTTAGCTCGAACGGAATCTTCACGATCGAGCAGGTACGCGGGAATCGCGTTCTTGAGTCGATCTTCTCCTGTGTCGTTCTTCTTCGCTACTGCATCTTTGAGTTTGAGGGCCCGTTCCTCTTTTCGTAGACGTATCTTTTCTTTGAAACGCTCACGATGGAAAATCTTTGCCTTCAATCCCCTTAACTCCTTAGATCTGACAGCAACTTTGTGCGGTTCCCGGGCGCGGCGTTTCCGCTCCTTTTCGCGTTGATCGGGCCGCTCACCAAAACGTCTCCGAAACTCTTCTATATAGTCTCCCTGTGGCATTTTCAAACGTATTTAAAGGCTGTCGGAGCGTAAGATGCTCCTCTCTTATGAGGTCCAGCGGATGCGCACTTGGATTTGTCACGCGAAAGCTCCAGTGGGAAACGCGACCAGAAACTCTTCAGCAAATCAGGCAGTGAGGCTGCCGTCTTGAATAAGCCAGTTCGACCTAGTGTCGCGAACAGCCGCTCACCACCTGGACCAGACAACGCTCCTGGCACCAACGCCCTACGTAAACAGTTATGCTGTGCACAGCCTCGTGTTCGTGCGCACGCCGACGGCCTCGTGCCTCCTGGTATGCACTACGTCGCGCAGCAGCGGCTCGATCTGCAGAGCAATGCAGCAGAGTGCACTGCAGTAATCCACGGTAATGAGCAGCGTGAGCGACGACGACTACGTCGACAACCACAACAACAGATGCCGCAACCGTAGTTTCCAGTAGGGCGTAGTCGTCGACGACCGCCACCCGATCAGACAATAAACGGCACGCTAGGCAGGCGATCCGATTTCCGAGGCACCAAAGACTGCTAAAGGAGAAACTGAACGAGCATGCAGCGGTACGACATAGTACTTCGACGGAGCGATACTTCGCTAGCAGCCGTATCCGGTTCGGGAAGTGTGCCTCGAGCGTCCGTGAGCGGGCGACTCGCGCCTTAAACGCTGCCCGCTCGTAGCGTCCTCTGCGGCTTGCCAGTATCCTTTGTGTGGTGCGTCCGCGGTACTCTGCACAGGGCTCCTTGACAGGGGACCTAACACCGCTCGAATGCACAACGCCTTGTTTAACGCTATGAGCGCATAGGAGATATCGCAGAACCGGTCCAGGTTTTTGATACTCATGAGAGCAACATAAAACCACAACTCGCCCGCTGACGGGACATTTACTACCCAGCTTTGTGCGCTCTGCGTTTCTGGAGAACTACCCTGAAAGCTTGGTTCACGCAGAGTGCGAAGCTACCTCAAACAGAAATCGACGAACACGTTCTACATCTCCGACAATTCGAATATCCGTTCATTAGAGTTGAATGTTTAACACGACTCTCATTTTATGCGAATGAAAAAACCTATCAACTCTCTTGCTCCTGTGGAAACTTCCCATTAAGCGGTGGCCGCAACCTGGAGTAATGTGGTGAAATTCTTGCGACGAGCGCCAGCCCTCTAATAATTCCACAATTAGATGCCAACAGTGGACATCCAATTATCGAGCGCAGCAATACTCGCGGTACGAAGCCGTTCTGCACGATCCGGGTCTTTCATACGAGCTGCATAGTCCATATCCTCGATTGTTTTCAAGAAGTCACGATACGCTTTCTCTATCTTCTTCTTCTCCTGCTTCGTCGCCTCGGCCGCTGCATAAGCGTTTACTTTGCTGCAGACGCTCCGCAAGGTTCCAAGCGCAAGTCTTAGCGCACTTCGCACGTCTTCCCACGATTTCGTCGATATCGCTTCACCCGAGTCTTCGATTCGCTTCTTTGCCTCGCTGATTGCAAGCCGGTATTCCTCGAGGAGCTCGGGGGTGATTCCCTTGAAAAGAGGCTCCTTCTGCGACTCGTTGTAACTAAACGGGCTAGATGGCGCGTCCGCTCCGAAGAAACTCATTTTAGGCTCACTGCCTGAATGAGCTGGCTGCGCCTTCCCTGCGAACACGGCAACCGCCGCGACCAAAAGCCCCTGTAACAACTGCCTTCTGTCCAATGCGGCGTTCTCTAGCTTCGCTACAGTGCCTCCCGAGTTGCCACAATGCGAGAGGCTACTCCGCGAGCCAGCCGAGCGCGCCAGGAACGATCCTTTACCCTTTGGTTGCAGTTGGAAGCTAGTCACAAACATTTCTGTACGAGATTCGGCCTCAAAAGTTATCCTGGAAAAGCTTTCTTTGTCGCGGCTCTCGAAGATGGATTAACCAATACGGAGCTCGCGGTCTGAACTTCGCCGGCGCGGAACCCGAGCTCGCGTAGTCACGGGCCCCGATACGCGCACAGCGGTGATACGAGTTCATTCGACGACGACGCCCATGTCAGATCAACATGGAGCACTGAACTAGATGGAGCTTTTTCCTCTCGATATCTTTCCAAACCTCTGTTAGATGTACAGCCGTGACATTCAAAGTGCAGCCATAAGGATGCACGGATTCATAAGTAGCTCTAGAATTCTCTGTCGTCTTTCCGAAGTGGCTCCATCAACTATTTGCCGCTGGAATTCTTTACCTTGCCGCAATCAAGATGATTCGCAGAGCACTCGAGCAATGGTTCGTAAAAGAACATAAGCAACCTCATTATTCAGTGCAGACGTATAATTCTCCACTCTTCTCATTTCCTCATGCGCAGCATGCTCAAACCAGGCGCTCTTCAAGTTGTTGATCACTCTGTTCCAGGTCATCTCGTGGGTGCAGCAATTCGCGCGGTTGGATTGGTGAGGAAAAGCACGCAACCTAGTCCTTTGACGACTTGCTCACAACATCATGCAGAGCGTTCACCGAACTTGTCACTTCTGATAATCGATCCCGTTCGAGGGACAAATCCCGCCACTCTTTTGCGGTCATCGACGAAACAGCATTCGCCTGCAGCATGACACGCACCACGGAGTATGCCCCAAGGGGCCCTCGTCTCTGCCGTGTGCTTGGAAAAGGGTCTTTGAGATGGACTCCAGTCATCGTGGCAGTCACTTTCACAGGAGAATGCGTCGCCAGGTTGCATAAAGAGAGCGTTCTCGGGTCGAAACTTCCAGACTTGATCTTCGAATTTGATGATTTTCCTTCCGGTACTCGCTTTATCAAGGACGACACCGCTTTCCACAGAGCCCTTACGAAAAATAAGACCATAAACTTGCGTGTGCGCCGGACAGAACACTCGTTGAGGTTGTCGTGCGGAAAAAGCTCCTGATTGCTGGGTACGGTATCGGGCGCGGAATTGGCGGACGGCACCGAGGAGAGCCTTCTGTACCCATCAACGACGTGGACCATACGCTGACGCAAGCATTCAAGCGCCACAGGGCCGCCCACGGATTGCGAGCTGTGGTGGACGCATAGGAACACCTAACCGCAGAATAGTTTCACATCCACGAAGAGCGCAACGAGGCAATGTACAGCGATTATAAAACTGGCGAGCTCAACGCAGATGGCAAATGCCATATGAGCATCAAATGCTGGGACTACAGGCGGAGGCACCGAAACAGGGACCCTAACACTGCCATCAACATCTTTCGGCTGCTACCATCAAAACTGGAGTTGTATGTGAAACAAGCGTATTTAAAGTCGGTACCAGGATCGAGCAAGAAGGAAGCGGATGTAGAGAAAAATACTTCAAAGGCTGGTTTGGACTTCATTGGGAAGCAACCCAAACACGAGAATGTACGCCGGTGTCAGTCTGCGTGGATCTTTTCCATTTAGTGCTGACTTTGATGGATCGAGCAGTTCGCAGCGACTGCTGCTTGCGTGCTCTGCAGGTGTCTGGGGCAGAGACGTCGAATCCGCTCGCCGTGAGAGGTGTATATTTAAGAGAGTTCCTACTTATCAAATCATTCACGATGAAGCATCTTCGCAGAGTTCAAACATCTCTTCCCCGCTATGCGAACGTGACAACATTTCTCGTCGTGGTCTCCTTTCGTTGGCGGACGCGGCCCAGAAGAAAAAACGAAACTTTGTTGCAGGCAGAAGCTTAAATACTCCGATGAGAAAGCGCATGCCAGATGGTATCACGGTCTGCAGAATGTGCTGGCTTGTACAGCGCACAAGGTTATGCGGTGGTGCGTCTCTATCCTCGTCAAATGAGGTATTTCATACGTACACCCACAGAGCTCAAAAGTGCTTACAGATATCATCGCAATTCTCAATTGCTTGCGACCATCTCGCCAATTGGAAGGCATCTCATTTGCCAGCTGCATAGATTTATGAGCTGAATAAATAAAACTGGCAGCCAGATAGGTCAATCGCGAACACACGAGTCTCTGGGATTCTAGAGGTGGCGACGTTAAATAAATTCGAAAGTTCTCTGATCTGAAAGAGAAATGATTCTTCCGCATTCAGCAAGTTGAGACGATCTGGCATGCTCATGGTTTCCATCACTAAGAATACCATTCGACGGATCGCAAACGATCCGTCGAATCCGTGACGCAACGAAACTGCGGAATGACCGCCCGCTGAATGATGCACTCTCAAAAATGAAGGTTGAACTCTTCGACCAATTTTCAAGCAGCGAATGATACAAGAAGTGCATCGGCTTCCTTTATGGACGATCAACATGGCCTAATTTTTGCCTCATAATGCATAGAGCTCTTAGTTTCGATCTTCCCAGATTTCGCATGAGTGATATACGGTTTAGAATACGTGAAAATCCAAACGACAGAATTGTTACGGGAACCCAGGAACCTTCTCCTGGCGAGGATGTTTATCGCAATCAGTCGGCATCCAGAAATGACAACCCAGAGTTGAATATGGATAGGTGTTTAAGATACAGAATCGAGTCATGTGACACAACAATGACTCACATTGGAAAAAGGAAAGATTGATTTGGGGAACCTAAACCTTCCGACCGATGCACCTGATAAGACCCACACAATTCACGCACCGTAAACGGGTCTCCAGCCAGGCTCTCTCGGATATGCCAAGGATGCACAGCTGCGGATTTCAACCGCATTCTGGATGAAATAGCGCAAGCAAGAACTGCACCAGTCAATTTTGTGTTGGGCTTTAACATAACGAGCGAAGGTATCGCTTGATTCCACCAGATATACCTTTTCATTGAGCTCCCTGATGCTCGAGTGGCACTCGCGGCTTCAAGAAATTCACTGATCTGCCATAAGCATCGAATTCTGGATAGCGCAGAAGAAGCCTCGGAGGAGGTCGCGCATGATTCGGAAGCAGGCGAACTCGCCGTTTCACGATGACCGGTCGGGTAGATTGCGATGGAATCGAGCCCAAATCCATCGGCGTGTTGGCGAGAAATTCCGACATGAGCTTCTCATCATCATGGAAAAGCTTTCTTAAAATACGAAAAAAACGCTCGTCGGAAGGCAGCGTGAACCGGTCTGTTTTGCTCTCATCGGTCGAAGTTGCTCCAAAATCAAGCGAGAACTGCTCTTCAATCGGCAGCGGTTCGCCACGAGGCCATAATGCATCATTTTCGAGCACATCGTCATACTCGTAGACAACAATCGCCTGATTTGTGTTTGGATCGATGTTTGCTCCTTGAAAATGCGTCAAATCGCTGCGGAAGACAGTCCAGTGGTCAAATTTTTCGGGTTTCAGTAGTGCCCGTAGTCCAAGTCTATTGTAGTACACCAGTGTTACACTGCCACCGCATTCATGTATCCTTCTGAGAGCAGAAGAACTCACGTCCGTAACTTCGAAATGAAGAGGTGCACTGAACTGCCTAGCACCGCCACCTAGCAGCTTGACTCCATAGTTGAACAGCTTAAACCTCGCTCTGCTGCATCGAAGGATTCCACCCGAATCGTAAAGCGACTTCATGGTAATAGTACCGTCTTTGCTCACGCGGAGGCGACCCTTATCAAGTAGACTTTGGATGAGGCTTAAGTTGAGAGGAAGCGGGTCCCTTTGTGCAACTAGCGGAAACCCGCCACGCTTTGGTATCCGGCGCACTAGCGGCGTCTGACCGCCTTCAAAGAACCTGCTGGGAAGAGAAGATCCAGAACGTGCATGCTGCCCCTTGTGCCCCCGGCCACAGGTCTTTCCGGAGTCAGAGCCTCGACCACGACCGACACGTTTCTTCGGCTTTCGAGCGCCTGGCAGGTCTCTAATGTTGTTCAGGGAGAGCTGCCCGTCCCGACAAAAGCCATCTTCTGTAGAAAACGAACGCATAGATGCTCCGACAATAACGGCAGTTTGCCGGGAAAAACTGCTTGAGTTTCTCCCAAGCAGACACTCTGCCAGGCCACGGGCAGGGCAACTAACTCCTGCGTTGGTAAGTTGCTCTCGCTTAAGCAATGATCGGATCTGTGCCGCTCTTTGCATACTAGAGATTTTCTAAGTCAGTGCAATCATAATAGACTCAGTGTTGCAGAATCAACGTTCGTTGCGAACCACGTTAAGCGAGAACGCGGCCGTAAGGAAACTGCCTCACGGGACACTACATCAATCGGGGTGACGATCCTCCTGGGGAAGAGCGAATTCCGACGCCTGCGTGGATTGGGAATGCACTTAAAAGTGCCAGACTCTCGTACTGGATATGGAGCGCGACTTTTTGGCCAGTACGATTGGCTGGGACAAGACAACGGCGGCGGCTTGTGGATTTCCAAGTTTTTGGTGGAGCCAGTACGAAACCTGCACTGATCAAAGCGTATCTCGGTTACTTGTGACTCTCCTTGAAGACGAGGCGCAGTGTTCGGCAACCCCTTTTGTGGTCAAGGTTTTGCAAGAAGCCACGGGCTTTTCAAACCTTGAAATAGTTGTTGTGGATACGGAAGAAATCGCCAGCTTCTTTACTCGAGATTCAGGAAGGCAACACGGAAGTGCTGCGGTCAAAGTACAGGACTCTAACTCCAGGCCGCTTTCGAGATTGCGTTTCTTCCGCTTTTCCTGCGACTATTCAGGGAGGGATTCCTCCACTGCTCCAGTGTCAACGCCTCGTCTCGTCATTGACAGCTGGCAAAGCCTGCCGGATGGTCCACAGCTGTGCACAGTGAGAACTACAACGGAGGAGGTGCGCAATGCGAAAGAACACTGGAGTAGTATTGAAGAATTCTTGCACTTTGTTGTTGGATATCACCAACAAGAAAGCGTTTCGCGTACGAGTAGTACGCTGCTTGTGATTCACAGTGTAACAGGTGTCCAACGGCTCGTCGATGACGACACGACGTCAGTTATCTCCTTTTTGGACTGGGTCAGAAGGGAATCGAATGAGATTCCTGTTCCCTCGCTTGCGATCCTTTTGGCGGTTCATAAAGATATGGAAAAGAGGGCTAATCTCGTGCAACTACGAAGTCGAGCGGATCGGATATTCTGCGTTGAGAGATTTGCATCCGGCCATTCTCGTCATGCCACAGGGATTTTAAAAATATTGAAACCAACAGATGAAGCAGAAGGTGACCGGAAGTATCTATTTAAGCACGAAAAGCATGATATAGTCTTCCATGAAATCTAGAGACCGCGCGGTAGAGGCGTGCCAAACATTTCCTGAAGTAAATTATCCGTCGGGAATAATATCGATGCGAACGTAAAGCATTTTACAATAAAAATGACTCTTTCTCCGAACAATATTCTAGTAAATTTCTGTGAATACCAGCGGGCAATGCGCAAACTTTCGGAAATGGTTTCGGCCATCGAATTTAATTTGTCGGCAAAGCGCAAAATCGCAACGCCAATTTCAATTTGATCCCAGCACGTGATCCGGTCTTCTCGTCAGGGGAGAATAGGACCCCTCCAGCGTTCCGAATGGTGCCCTTACGAAAAATAAGACCATAAACTTGCGTGTGCGCCGGACAGAACACTCGTTGAGGTTGTCGTGCGGAAAAAGCTCCTGATTGCTGGGTACGGTATCGGGCGCGGAATTGGCGGACGGCACCGAGGAGAGCCTTCTGTACCCATCAACGACGTGGACCATACGCTGACGCAAGCATTCAAGCGCCACAGGGCCGCCCACGGATTGCGAGCTGTGGTGGACGCATAGGAACACCTAACCGCAGAATAGTTTCACATCCACGAAGAGCGCAACGAGGCAATGTACAGCGATTATAAAACTGGCGAGCTCAACGCAGATGGCAAATGCCATATGAGCATCAAATGCTGGGACTACAGGCGGAGGCACCGAAACAGGGACCCTAACACTGCCATCAACATCTTTCGGCTGCTACCATCAAAACTGGAGTTGTATGTGAAACAAGCGTATTTAAAGTCGGTACCAGGATCGAGCAAGAAGGAAGCGGATGTAGAGAAAAATACTTCAAAGGCTGGTTTGGACTTCATTGGGAAGCAACCCAAACACGAGAATGTACGCCGGTGTCAGTCTGCGTAGATCTTTTCCATTTAGTGCTGACTTCGGTACCCTAGCGCGTGAGCAAATGGTACCCACAGGGTCCTGCCCCTACACTGTTACCCTTGCAGATTTCATGCCATTTCCTCCCTCTGTTCTGTTTGCTTTAAAAGGGAATATCTGTAGGGACAGCTGATTTCTGCGTTTCCCGCCATTGCACTTATGCGCATCGTTATACGCCAATGTTGGTCGCCTTGAAGATGGATGCGGCAATTTTTTCACGCATTTTTTTTGATTTGTATGCTCACTTGGCGCAACATACTCGCTGAACAGTGAAAAATATTTAGGTGTACGAGTCCTCCACTTTGCAAATGTACATCTTTGCGTTTGATCGAATAAGGGCCTCCATTATCATCAATCCACGAAGTGCGAGTTGCTCATCACGCTCTCTTGGCACTGAGTGATTCTTGATGCAAACCATGAACGCTGCTATCCAGGCTCAGAGGGACACGTTGTTCGCTCGCTTCATGGAAGCTGGTTTAGAAGGAAGAAGATCGCGGTTTCTGTGTATCTCGAATACGTCACAATATCTGGCAAGAAACATATTTGTTTATGAATCGCCCTTCTCTGCGACGAAAACGCACACGCAGCTTTCGGACTTACTTTCTTACTGTCACAGTCAAGCTATAAACCCCACAGTCTGAATGAATGTAACTCAGAGGGGTGCATCCCCTTCACTAACCTTTACGTAATGAAACAGCCAAATTTCCGTGCCCTGCTGCGAACTCGAATTTGGCCTGCGTAAGATCCGATCACGGTGGTCCACTTCTCTTTGCAACCACAAAGCTTGTCTGAAATTTCGCGTGGTCCGTTCTGATTAAGCATTTTAAGCAAAAGATTATCTGCTCTCAGCCTCTTATAATCCGCTATATTCTTCACTGTTTGCAAACAGTTCCGCATAGCTGTGCATAAATCAAATGTAGAGGCACCTTTTGACAAAGATCTGCGGGCGTCCCACACTTAGTCCACAACTACGCCGGACTCTGAAAGAAATCGTAATTTGCTGTCGCCCAGTAGTTCTCCGGTCTTGCGAAGTTGATTCGACCCATTCTTATATATTACATTCATGCTCTTAGATGCGCACATAAGACACTCAATTCCAGATAATGAGAGGAACGACGAAATAAATGATACACGCTCCCTGATTCTCAAACTCGTTTCAGAGCTTTCCACGGCCACCATCTCCCAGAAAGTACAAAACGTCGTCTGCATCATGTTTAAAAAAACGCTCAGGACGAAATTGGCATGCGACCGAGATGGAAACGTAATTCTCGTTTGGTCTACTGCCTCGTATTTGGACAAGCGTCTCCCTCGGCAGGCACTTTTGCTGCTGCGCCTTACGGATGTCCAAACAGCTGAAAATGGCACACGTTATGGCCCAGTTAATGAAGCAGCAATTGTGATTTGTCTCATGAGTCCTTAATGGGAAGCTTCCGTGCCATATGATGCGACATCCCGATGACAGCAATGTCTTGCGTAATTCAGTTCATATCAATCATAGCATGGGCAGCAAACGTTTCCTCTATCACCGTATAGAGCCTCTTATGCTGTTCACTCAGTTGAAGTTGCTCCTCCTCAGAGAGATGTCCAGTCAAACCTCCGGCAGGGATTCGTGATAGCTCACCACGGGCGCGCATTTCCTCGCAGACTAAGGTACACTCAAGCGCCTGCCCCACATGTCTTCCTTGCATATTTTCTGGTACGCTAGGACCTCCGGATTGGCCAGGTGCTGCATTATCTGCAGTCACCACAATTTTCGGTGTAGCGCACGCTATGCGACGCACTGCCCTTATGTGCTCTGGTCTATCTGAAGGATGACCTTGATCATCCGTCTCTATCAATTGCCCATCAAAAACAAGAACTTCCTCGATGACATCTTCTACTCGAAGTAGACGCTTTCTTTGGAATCCACTCATATTTTTCAGGATCAAAATTGTATTTCTTGGACGGATAAAACGTCCTCTAAGACATACGTGACGTCCATCTGTGCGGAGAAAGTTCAAGTGCGGTGTGGCTGTTTTCATTCCCGTTATCCAACCAAAAGTCAGCAACTTGTCCGACTCATCGTTTCCGGTTCCCTTTACTGTCTCAATCTGCAGGATTGCGGGCAACAACACTATAAGCCTTCTCTGCTGTACTCGGGCCGAGCGTACTATGCCCGTACCATCAGCTTGGTAGAGACCGTTGGGAGTACACTGAGAAGTTTCGTTCAAAACTCTACGCAAATCTCCGGGCCTCACGAGCAGGCCTTTCTCATATAAATGATTCAAGTGGTCGTCTCCTCCTGAAGCAGCGCTAAAGTCCATTACCGCTGGAAGAAAAGCTGCCAAGAGGTTTTTGAAAGGCGTCATCCAGTGGCGCGCTTTTGTAATATTATTCGACTCTTCTAGCTCAATTCTTTTCCAAATTACTGCGGTATTTAGCGGGAGATCGAAGTCACTATCGAACGTACCTCATAGATCTTAGATTAATCGCCTGTAGAATAGATTCTTTACATAATAATGCAAGAAAGACTGGTTTCCACATTAAGGTCAGTCACACCACAGAAACCAGATGGTCGAGGGCCACTGAACGAAACAAGTATACGAGCTGCGCTCAAAAACTATCATTCTCAAGGACTGGTTTCTGTAAATGGTAGAAAACGGATCATTGATAATCTTTTGCTGAAAGTAAAACCCTCAATCGAAGCCACCTGGGGCATCTCTGTTTCTTAACAGCAAATTCGTCTGATCCTGAAAACGATGGGTACAATCGCAGAAAAGTTCCAACGTCAGTCACGGCCATCTTGCACCAAAATCGCATCTACAGTGTTCCTAGAACGTCTCAATCGGTATGATCCTTAGGGACGTCGGTTCATTTTTCCAGCCAATGAGACTTGTTCCAGAAGAATCGGTCGGAATGTACATGGGTATTCGCGGGGCAGGGAGCCCCATGTATCCACGATCGAACCCGAAGAGAGCGCGGACCAATCTCTTCTCGCTAGAGTGGATTCATTTGGATGCCTCGGTTTTCGCTCGTAGAGAAGGCTCATACAGCAGCACCAACCACTTCGTCAAATCACAAAAGACTTTTCCCCTGGCGTCTGGCGATATTCTTCTCTTGGACAGCGTGACATTTCATTATTACCCTTGCGGTCGAGCTTTTGCTGATTCTCTCGGGGCAAAGCTGCTTTTCATTCCTCCGTGCGCTCCGTGTTCCAACTGCATCGGCGGAATGTTTTCTATCGTGAGACCTAATGACCGTTCCACCGGGCGAATCGCTGAAGCATTCAGCGCACGGTGACACATCGGGGCGCATTTTGTCTTTCTTCCGCATGTGCTGCTCGGTGCGGGAAGGTCCTCACCTAACGGCATAGAGCAGTGTCTTCAGTTGAAGAAACGAAAATTCCAAGGGAACGGTATCGATACGCAACTCGTGGGCCCCGGAATGCGGTTATCTTCGGTAGTCGGGGATGGACGAAAAATCCTCTTCTCGCCGGCAATCGAGCGAAGAAGAGCAAGTGACGAAGAAGAAGGGTAAGAAAAGGGGAGATAGGTGGGGAAATGTGTTCGCGCAATGAGAGCATGACGAAGCCGCAGTGGCACAGAGTGCACGAGGTCTACCTATCCTTGCAATTGCGAGTTCCACCAGAGGCAATAAACGTGTGGAGTTCGAGAGCCGAGACTTCATTGCGTCCATCCATATCAGACGACGTGTGGTGCAGAATACGAGCCCCGAGGAGCTGGGGCGGTCAAATTTTGTAGGGCAGCCTCTCACGCTCGATTTGCTCAAGGGAAAGCTCAAGCAGGTAGCCGGGGGCCGTCAAACGAGGCTCGGAGGCGTTTGGAAGTGGATGTATTTATGCACTGTATGGTCAGAACATTTTCGTTTCATTGATCATACATGGACAGCTCCTTTCGCGTCCTGACGACAGTCCAAGCATGACCTAATCTTTGCGTCAATAAGCGAAGCGTCTCGGGGGGAATGAAGCTCATCAAGTCCACAAAAACGTCTGCGCGACGCGGTAAGACTCGACACGCCGTTGGGTTCTGTGAGATTTCGTAGACGTTGGAGAGAAGATTTGAGCACCATATTCGGACACAAAAACTTAGATCGGACGAGCTGGATTCGAGATTCCGGTCGTGTATAAGATAGGCAATTGCATGCAGCAAGTTCAAGCAGCTGTGTAGTGCTTGGAGAGCAAGATCATCAACTCCCTTGAGCCACTCACGCAATGATATCTCGTACGATTCAAGCTCGGAGATGTCGTCACTCTGCGGTCTTCGGGGTCTTCGAGTGGGGCCTCGGTCGAACATATAGTCCGTCCACTGCAGGTAGAGATCCTCTGTTTCAAGAAGCGCGCACCAGCACTGCCACTCTGCGTCCTCTTGGAGCCTTATATTTGGATGGCCACTCTCGCGCTCTCTCCGTATCATCGATTTCGTAGCTGAAATTTGATCTTTTGAGTAAAATTCTCTTATAACCTGCATTAAACTGGAAGCGTGGACGCTAGCAAAGTTATCACCAAGTTCCTTGAGCAGATCGAGGCAATACTCTAGCCTGTGGAGGTCCTTTTCATCGACGGATCCCACTCCAGAGCGCAGCTGTTCCCGAACATGCGTCCAAGCAAAGCTCCAAAACTCAAGAACAATATCTGCGAATATTTCGGCCTCTTCATTAGAACGCGAAACTTCATCAACCGCAGAAATTATGTCACGGATTTCAGCGATGGGACTGTTCCATAAGAGACGGATAACTGCCCTAATTCGCAGCTCTTTTGCAGAAATGGCCAAAGTATAACGCGCCAGTAAGTCGAGAAATGATTCACATTTCCCGCTAAACTCTCTTAACCGTTGAATAAAAGCACATAGAAGTAAGTCCCCTAAAAGGTGCGTCTCCGAGCAGCAACCATCCGATTTCGAAGCGGTTAGATACCAATGGAGATGAGTGGCAATGCAGAGCGAAAAATGGGATAGGTCGCTTACAATCCGCTCATCGCTCGAATCATCCGGAAAATCTGACGGTGACTCTGACGTGTCACGGGCATTCTTCAGTAAAGTGCGAAGGATTTCTTCCTGCGAGCGTGTGCTCGGATCGACTATTAGTGGCAAAATGGCGAAAAGCTGCGCGGCCCTTGATGAGTCTGCCCGAGTCCCACTTTCCTTGATAGCCTTAAACAAACTTTCGTTTGGAATGTCCGAAGCAGTTGAAAAAATTGTCTCCTCGGATGATGTAATGCTCGACGGCTTCTGAGATTCCAAGTACGTGCTTTGGTTGGTACTGGCTCGCAACAGGATGGCCAATCGACTTCCGATGAATTCATCTAAAAGGCTCCAAAGTCGAACCCATAACCGATCCTCCATGGATGGTGCGTCAAGCAGAGATACTGGCACCGCTCCTCCCGAGAGCAGGCAGAGTATTGAACGCTCCCAAAAGTTCTGCACATCCAGCTTCGAGATGTCACGAGCCATCTTTCGCCAAAGAATCCAGTGCGAACCATCTGATCCGTCGGCCGCTTCCAGGGCTGCAGAATGGCCTCCCTGGAAAAGCGCCGCCCTCCAGTGCTGACCAGTGCGTCGCAGCAGCTCTAGAGCATGCTCTAGTCGACCGCAGCGGAGAAGGCCAAAGCAAGCCCGGCAGATTCGCTCATCGGCCTCTAAATCCTCATCAGCTAGCCGCAGATCACCACGAAACGGAGCGTCCATGTCAAATGCAGTGCCGTTGGTCAGGGAGAGCCCCCAGCGATATGACGGATCCCACAGACTTCCCAGCTCAGCCAGTGCAGCATAGTGTGCCCCCATGGAGGAGTCGAGGTCCAGTGCAGACGTACGCTCCAGCCACTCCAGCACTCGACGACAGGAAGTGACCATGGGGAGCGTTTCGAGCGGATTTGGTAGGAACCCGCTTCCATCAATCGAGATCTGTCGTGAGAGCTGGTCGATAGCAGCAGGACGCTCTCTCCGAGTGCACATGGGCGACATACGTTTTTGAGAAACTGTTCTACGAGCTTCACAATCAGCGTTGTCCATGATGTGCAATAAGAGCCAGAGATTACGCTGAGACCTCAGGTCTGCAAGTAATTTCCCGAGTTCGCTAGAGTCTCCTGGATCCGAGGCTGTTTCCGCTAGAGCCCGAAAAATCGAAACATACAAGTCGTGAAGGCCCATCGCGATGTTGAAAGGAAACCTATCCGGACACTCCGAGCAGGCCAAAAACAGGTCTTCGTATAAACGGAGAGCTTTCGATCTGATGAGCGGTTCAACATGCTCCGAAACGTCTGAGTACGCTGCTAAGGAAGGAAGCGCACTCCGTCCATCGCAAGTTATCACTTCGTCGTCCGACTCCATTCCGCGAAAGGAACTGTCGGACCTTTGGAAGCTGTTAAATTTACTATTGAAAATGCCTGCTCTCCGGAGACTTCGCAGCCACGATTTTGGCGAAAAAACCGCAGCGAGTCAACTCCTCTCGAAACGAAAAAGTTTCGCAACCATGGAAGCGAAATTAGTATCTAGCTGCAGGCACCTCCCTACCTGTTTCGTCCGCAGCCGTGCTGCCGGCTTCAGCTTCTCCTAATACAAATTGAGCCCCGGAGGCTGCTCCACAAAGTTCGTTCGCGTCAGCTCCGGAGATCTCCCTTCAAGCACCGCACATCTCCTGATATTATAGGTAGTTTCAAGTCTCAATTCACGAATTCCATTCGTTTCCTGCCGCTGCTTGACCTGACTAATGGAAGAGGTTCTCGAACTCGTGCCCCTTGTGCTATTTCCTGCTCTATCAGCGCTCCGCTTGCTTTTCTCTATTTCGCCCCTCTGAATTGTGCATCCCACCTCATGATGCAGGTATGTGGTTCGGAATTTATACACCGGTATCACTTCGAAAGGGAGTGCGCACTCCTTGTGCGCTCTTTTCGATGGAGCTGGTATGCTCCCCTTTTGGGTCACCCAGTGCCCTGCTCCGTATGCTATCACCAAGCTTTGACTCTTGTCCTCCTTGAGGGCGCTCAACTCATTGAAAAAAGTTGGCGAATGCACGCTGCCTCCCTCCGAGCAGATTCAGTCGCTGACGAGCCCATAGCGGCTTTGTATCCTCTTTCCACAGCTCCTCGTCATGAGCATTCTGAAATTTTATGAATTCTCGCAAAACTTCAAAGTCCGCTCCACGACTCGTCACCTGGATGATCGCTTCCAGATGCTCTTTCATTCCTGTGTCCCACGTCTCACTTTTCTTCCTTGCATTCATTATTCCCGATTCTCCGTGTTTTCTCGCTCTCGAGAACTTTAAAAGACGCATGTCTTTCTGGCATAAGTTGCCATCGACGCCATCTTTTCGGCACTTGGATGCCGCGATGGTAACGATATTCGTGTTCCCTGGGTCCACGCTTACAATGAAGTCGTTCTTCTGCACTTCCTGCGTAGTAGAGCCCGCCTCCTTGTTTCCTACATGGCTCTTCATGGGCGACAACGAAGACAAAATACGACGATCCACCTTCAAGCTACTACAGTGAACACGTTTGCATACTCCATCGTGTTCGATTGTCCCGGCAAATAAGTTTTCCTGCTCGTTTCGAGACATTTGAAATCGAAGATATTCTTCCAATAAGGCTCCCTGTTCTCGCCTATAAATTCCTCCCTGCTTACATCGAACTTCGGACAGATTCCATTGTGCCATAAAGGACTCACAAGTCGATTGTCACAAAGTATGACTTGATTGTGAAAAATGGGACGAAGTTAAAGCTTCTCGTGCAGAAAACCCTTCCGCTTCTTCGTCTCTATCTGCTTTCAGGCCGTGCTCCATTCCGGCCTTGCGTTCGAGCTCTCAGTTCAGGATCACGAAAGAGTGCAGGATGAGGGGGTAATATTTTTTCATCTTTTAGCATATCTGATGCCTTTTCTACTGGATTCGCCAGTCCAAGTACCGCACGGTGGTCGTCGAGAGCCACACGGATTACAGAACCTTCATTAGTTCTCCAGAATGGCGTCTTCTTGTCTAGGAATTCGATCTCATCCTCATGATGGGGTCGTTCGTGATGACACCGATGATGGCCCATATTCCTTTGCGAGACAGGTCCCGGTAGAATGCAAAGGTGGAGCGAATCATGAAGCTTTCGAGGTTCATTGTCAAATGGTTCTTGAGGTTCGTGAGGTAATCCATCGCTCCATGGCTGTAAATATCCCGGTAACCCCTGTATCGAGTACCGTCGGAGCGGCATTCGGCGTGATATTCGTAGAAGGCGAGCAAGCGATTGTCTCACGTCGAGGTTCCTCCTGTGCCAAATATTAGGTGACGAATAAAGGTCTTGTCGAAGAACTCGTCCGGAATCTCAACCGCTTCCACATGCGTCACGTCGCGATACATCTCCCTGACCAAATGCATCAGACCTGAAGAAGCGTTGCAAATATTACTGGAGCACGACTCAGAACAGTTCGTGATGGCCTCTTGCAAATTTGGCTCGTGGAGACCCTTGATATGTCCAATAAGACTTGCTTCCACCACCGTCTCGTCGTAATGTCGCCTTTTGTGCAGCCTTTGAAGTCTGACCTCTCTATTTGCTTCTTCGTATTGTCTTGTTCTTCCGGGTTTAAAACTGTTTTTCGTCTTTTTCTAGCAGCGGTCGACGTCAGCCTTCCAGGATCCTCACCTTCCATACCCTTACTTTCCCTTATCCAGATTACATTTGAAAATGAACGAACTTCTTCATATGTTCAGGTGAGGACTTCCCCGGGGCAAGAAGAACTTGCGGGAGAAGACGAAATGTGCTCTAGTGTGCCACCATTCTGAACGCCTGGCCGGTTCGCGCAACGGAGCGATCATTGCGTTTTTGGATACAAAATACTCCTTCGATAGGGTTGTAAAACGAAGTGTAAAGAGAGAAAGAAGGCAGTTCAAAACGGACAGAATCCGCAATAGCTCGAACGCAAGGGTAATGGCCACTTGCCAGGTAGTCTAAAAGATGGACGTCCCCAGAAGTCAAGTACAAGTTTTGAATAATTCGACAACGTGGACGCTGTTGTATAAGCCTTCTCTATGAGCGAAGTTGGGGCCTCTAAAAGAATCCACTGCAGCTAGAACAGATGATGTCGGAGTTCACTTCAAGTTCGATCTTACATACAAAGGCCACATCTCCGAGAAACAACGTATACGCTCGGACTACCTCTGCCGAAGGAACTATCATCGTCTGAGAAAACAAATCGACGTTCCTCTGCTCCATGCGGATCGCGAATATCATGATAATCTGTCTTTGCGATTTCGATGGAAGATGGCCGTGAGTGAAGTGGGACTTTTTTGGGACTTCATCCCGGTGTTTGCAGGACCACGCGGACAGGCTGTTGAGAAAAAGAGACGCCAGTGGCGTCTGCAGTCGTCGCGCTTTGCTTACCATTACGTGATCAACATGTCTTTTCTTACCATTGACCTGCAAGCAGTCTTCGAGAGAATCGGTTTTCTGCCTGAAGCGCATCTACTCGTTTCTTTCAGTGTTCCCTGGCATCTGAGTACTGGGGCATGAATAACCTGAACAAGGAGTGCAGTCCTCATCGCACTGCTCGATAAAGAATACATCCTTTAGGAAATTCGTCTGCGCTCTAATCCATACATTGCATAGTGATTTCGATTTCCTGTTATACTCCGCAGCGGAATTGAAACGAAATTGAGTTGGAACACAATATTCACCAATGGCATCTATTTGGAGCAGCTACGCTAGTCTCAAAATCCGGGTAATGGTCTGCGCAACATTCCTCTAAACGTTCCCGCTGTGCAGGTTCAGCCCAGCTCAAAAGATCTCCGACAGAAGCAGTCATCAGCAAAAGAGGCCCCGTGTGCTGCATAAAAGCTCTAAAGAAGAACGCTTGCTCGACTGATAGGTGCTCCCACTGCAGTCGCTCATGCATGCTCCATTTACAGCATTGCATAAATCGGAATTGTTGCGGTCGAAGGTGACTCGCATACATCAGCCGGCTACTCTGATGCCAGAAGAAAAAGGATCATGTCCACTCACCTATTTTGGGCACACATTCTACAGCTGGGATCGCTTCCCGTTGCCATCCTCACCAGCATTTCCGGTCTCTTTCAGCTTCTGTTCATAATCCTCGTTCCTGCCCCCAAATCCGGCTTTCTATGAGCTGGGCTCTTGCGTCCCTCCGGCACCCTGGCAGCAGTCGAAGGGTGCTCATGGCTGCCTTAGCGTCGACCTTTAAACGGTTCGGGTTGCGCTCGAGGGCGCGGACTCCGTGAGGCGCATCATTCTGGAGTGGAACGGTGTATGGTGGACGGCAGCGAAGAGCGGATGAGGGTTTGTCTCTAGAACGGAATGGGTTATTCTTTGGCGTGACAAGATCAGTGGAGTTTCGGCATAAGCTTGAGAGGATGCCGCCGAGCGATGACGTCGGGTAATTATCGTTGAAGAGGCGATCGGGAATCCTTGAGCTGTGCATGAATGTGTAAGCTGTTGTTGGTGCTCGTTGCACGGCGGGGCTGTCCACGAAAAATACTCGGAAAACCTGGTAGAGAGGATGTGAGTGAACAGTTCAGTGTTCAGTTTGGATCCGGTACAGGTATAGCGTTTCGTTCTGATTCGCATATTTTTCATGGAAGCTTTCGGTTCCAGCCTGCAACTCCGCTAGTTTATCACCTGCTAGTGCAACGCATTGTTCTGTGGAGTGCAAGATTTGAATCTTTATTTGTTCTACTAAGCGGCGACGCCCCCCGGTGCATATCGGCGCTTCGTCGCAGATGCCGAAACGCCCAGCATTACCACAAAGCCTCGAAGCATCCGTGCCGGTAGGTAAGACAAGTCCGCCTTGCTCGCAAAGACGGTGTATATTGATGCTGAACTGCCTGTGTTGGCCTGCAATGCCGCTACAACGACGCAACTGTAGCCGTCTAGCGAGTATATTTGGAGCTGCGTATCGTGATGGAGTACTACACCGATTTAGCTATCCCTTCGAACCAACGATTAGGCTTTGCAGCTCTACGATGTCAAAGCGTACCTCGAGTGCCGTCGCGACAGTACCGCGAACCTTACAGACCTTTATGACCCCTGAAGTGCGACTACCTTGTTCGTATCGAATTGACGCTGTTGAGCTGCTCTAGCACTAAACACGCGCCCATGCACCTAAAAATAAGATGGAAAGGGATAGCTACTGCGCTATTCCTGCGTTCCAAGGCGCGGAGCGGTGAATCGTTCAATTCACCACTATGTATCAGAGGCAGAGTGCCCAACCGTCAGTGGACTAACTCTCGATATGTGTCCAACTCACAGGTTCAGGAAGGGTACCAGTATTTCACAGGCGCGTTTGTGTTTTTTTCATCTTAAGGCGATAATGTTCAAGCACTTGTAGGGGACAAAGGAATGAGTCACGAAGGCTGTGCCATAAATGCTTGTCAGCTGGGACGTGGCTACTCGTATGAGCACTTCGTTCCTAGTGAGTAGCGCAACTTCAACGATTCTGGTTGGGCCAGCTGTGATGATGAGATGCACTGCTTATCGGATAGCAGATGCAACAGACGACATGACACGGCGGAACCTGCAACGAAGAGCTGAAATTTCTCATCTGTCGCAAGGCTGCGACGCAGCACATTCAAACAAATGCTCTGGTTGTAGACCTACTTGTCGAGTCCTGCACACGCAGCTCATAGTATGACGAGAAGTAAGGATAAGCGGGATGTTTACTACCGAAAAGCAAAAGAGGAAGGCTTCCGGGCTCGTTCCGCTTTCAAGCTACTTCAGCTGGACGATGAGTTTGGGATTTTTACCGGTGTTCGCACCGTTGCTGATCTTTGTGCAGCCCCTGGAAGTTGGTCGCAGGTTGTAAGTCAGAAGCTCCGTCTGCCAGAGAGCGCTTCGGAGGGAAACTGTGCCGTTGCTGTTGATCTGCAGGACATAGCTCCCATTCCAGGAGTCTGTACCCTGCAAGGAGACATCACTCAGGAAGATACGCTGGAGCGTGTTCGTTGCGCACTCGGTGGTCGCAGAGCTGATCTGGTACTTAGCGACGGTGCCCCTGACGTTACAGGTCTGCACGATCTTGACGAATACGTGCAGTGCGAACTTGTTCAAGCTGCTCTCCGTTTCTGCGTAGCCATGCTTGCGGAAGGCGGTAAGTTCGTCGCAAAAATATTTCGCGGCTATGAGTCGGCGCTTCTCTATGCTCGTATACGTCCCTATTTTCGGGAACTGTATATCGCAAAACCCCGTTCGAGCCGTAATTCAAGCCTTGAGAGTTTCATCGTGTGTAGAGGTTTCACAGTAGGGCGTTCGTACGCGAGCTCTCGAGAAGAGCTAACTGCGATACCTGCTTTCGTTCCTTGCGGCGACCACGAGTCTGAGGATCCCGACATGGCATATGACCTGACATTGAATCCATCCGTTCACCAGGATATGCACTGACCAGGTCCATTGATGATGACTGCCATAGGCTTCACTTTTTCAGGCCCAGCATCCGAAGTAGAGACGCGAAGCATCCCTCTGTGCTTTCCGCGCCCAAATGAACCCTGAAAGCCCCAGGACCTTCTTCTTTGAAGGAATATCCCTTCTTCCGGAGAAAATTCAGTACTGCCGGCCGAATTTTCGCTCGACCGTCTTCGCTATGGTGTCCGGCACCTGTTATGATCAACAGACTCGATGTACGTTGCGCATTGTTTATATTCCGCAGCTCCTTGAGTCGTTGTTTGGTGAACGAGAGAGCCTCCTCAACATATTGGCCATGTAGGTCTAAAGTATCCGCAGGTTTCCCATGGTTCCTTAGGTGCAAAATTGTTACCGAGGCTTCCTGACGTGCCCTCCGATACTTCTCATCGGTTTGATGAGCAGTTCGAGAGAGCCGCTTTGCCTCTGCTCCCTGTCCTTTTTTGTATGCGGTACTTGCCGCCTCAAAGAGCTGTTGTTTCTTGGAGAATAGCTGCCGCTCGTGAGCGCGAACGCGTGAAATAACCTCGTCCCACTCATTGTCTGTGTAGGCTCTAGGTTGCACCAAGCTCTGCTCCAGTGCCGTGTGTCGCTGCTTGGCTCCAGGCGGAGAGCTGCTGTGCGGTTTGCTTTGGCGGCCTCCCATGAGGCCTGACGCCTCGTTTGTGCGAGCACTCGAAGCAAACGCTGCCTCTCGTGAACTATTCGTGCCTGCAGCAGGCTGCTACGTGGGCACGCTACTGCGCTCGTGTGCAGTTACCCACTAAGTTTATGAAGCTTAAGTTATGCGCTAAGATATCGAGCGCCTAAAATCACAGTGTCTGACGTAGCTCTTTGAAAGCGAGGCCACTCTGTTTACGCGCTGTTTTCGCGCAGCAGCTGCAACTGTGTCAGAAGAAAAATAGATCATGTCCACTCACCTATCTTGGGCACACATTCTACAGCTGGGATCGCTTCCCGTTACCATCCTAACCAGCATTTCCGGTCTCTTTCAGCTTCTGTTCATAATCCTCGTTCCTGCCCCCAAATCCGGCTTTCTATGAGCTGGGCTCTTGCGTCCCTCCGGCACCCTGGCAGCAGTCGAAGGGTGCTCATGGCTGCCTTAGCGTCGACCTTTAAACGGTTCGGGTTGCGCTCGAGGGCGCGGACCCCGTGAGGCGCATCATTCTGGAGTGGAACGGTGTATGGTGGACGGCAGCGAAGAGCGGATGAGGGTTTGTCTCTAGAACGGAATGGGTTATTCTTTGGCGTGACAAGATCAGTGGAATTTCGGCATAAGCTTGAGAGGATGCCGCCGAGCGATGACGTCGGGTAATTATCGTTGAAGAGGCGATCGGGAATCCTTGAGCTGTGCGTGAATGTGTAAGCTGTTGTTGGTGCTCGTTGCACGGCGGGGCTGTCCACGTAAAATACTCGGAAAACCTGGTAGAGAGGATGTGAGTGAACAGTTCAGTGTTCAGCTTGTATCTGATGAGGGTTTAGGTATTATTATGCCAATATTGCTTCAAACGGCTGCATAGTGCGGTAACAGAAGGGCGTGATCATTCGTCGTCATCCATCAGGCTGGGATTTTCGACCCGGAATATCCAGTCCCCACGCTGATCAACATCCACGATGACACGGCCACCGCTGAGCAATTCACCAGAAATATGCATACGGCTCAACTCTGTCACGAGCTCTTGCTCGATGAAGCGTCGAATAGGCCGAGCGCCGTACGCAGGATTCGCCTTCGCCTCATTCAGGATGCGAATTACAGCAGCATCGGTGCACTGCAGCATAATCTGCTCACGCGCAAGGCGCTTGCCCACGTCCGCAAGTTGCAAACGGACAATTGCAGCTAGTTGTACCTCACCGAGAGCGTTATACAACACAATCGCATCCAGCCGATTCAAGAACTCTGGGCGGAAAGTACGGCGAACCTCTTCCATTACAAACGGTTCAGCATCTTTTGCGCTGCCGTTGAGATCGAGGATATACTTGCTGCCGATATTCGATGTCATGATGATGACGCAGTTGCTAAAGTCGACGACCTTCCCGTGCCCATCCGTGAGCCTTCCATCATCTAGAACTTGGAGAAGTATATTCAAGACTTCCGGGTGCGCCTTTTCCACCTCGTCTAGGAGCACCACGGAGTAAGGACGTCTCCGAATCGCCTCCGTGAGCTGGCCGCCCTCTTCGTAGCCGACATAGCCCGGCGGTGATCCAATGAGCCGGGCGACCGCATGTTTCTCCATGTATTCGCTCATATCGATGCGCACAATGTTCTTCTCCGTGTCAAAAAGCTCCACGGCGAGCGCTTTGGCCGTCTCAGTCTTGCCAACACCAGTGGGTCCTAAGAACAGAAAAGAGCCAATAGGCTGTTGCTCACGGCCAAATCCAGCACGGGATCGAAGAATCGCATCCGCTATAGCAGATATGGCTTGCGCCTGGCCAACAATTCGCGACATGAGGCGCTCTCGGAGATGCAGCAGGCGTTCTCGTTCTCCTTGCGTTAGTCTCGACACGGGTATGCCGGTCCAGCGCGAGACTACTTCGGCAATGTGCGCGGGCTCCACTGTTTCTGAAACCAGAACAGCACTTTCTGCCTCTGTGCCTGAAAGTCGCGAACTCGCATGTAATGCTCGCTGGGATCGCTCTTCATCAATTTCTCGCGTAAGTTGACTCAGTCGTGATTGCAACTCCGGAATCGCACCAAATCGTAGGTCAGAGGCGAGCGCAAGGTCCCGACGCCGCTCGGCAAGCTCCGCTTTTCGTTTCAGCTCCTCAATTTTCGACCTGATGTGTCGCACTTCATTCACCTTCTGCATCTCCTTCTCAAACTTCTTCTTCAGGGGTCGAAGTTCTTCATCTATTTTCGCTATTTCTTCCCGAACGCTTTCGAGACGTTGCTTGCTCGCTTTGTCTTTCTCCCGTTGCAGCGCTGTTTCCTCAATCTCGAGCTGCAGCTTCCGCCTTTCGAGGCGATCGATAATTTCTGGTTGCGAGTCTAGCTGTACCCGGATAGCGCTGCATGCCTCATCTAGGAGATCGATTGCTTTGTCTGGTAGAAAGCGGTCGCGAATATACCGATCGCTCAGTTGTGCTGCTGCGATGAGGCTCGCGTCAGTTACTCGAACACCGTGGAAACTCTCGTATACGGGTCGAAGGCCCCGCAGAATTGATATCGTCTCTTCAACGGAGGGTTCAGATACGTAGACTTGTTGAAACCGCCTTTCAAACGCTGCGTCCTTCTCCACGTGCTTCTTATACTCGTCAACAGTAGTTGCACCGATACATCTGAGCTCGCCGCGAGCGAGTGCCGGTTTCAGAATATTCGCTGCATCCATGCTTTCACCACTAGTGGAGCCTGCACCGAGAACAGTATGGATTTCGTCGATGAATAGAATGATTTTTCCCGCGGACTCCTTTACAGCCTTAATTATACCCTTCAGACGCTCCTCGAACTCGCCCCGATACTTTGCTCCAGCAATCAAAGCAGCCATATCCAAAGCGACTACTCGGGTACCTGACAACGCTTCCGGGACGTCACCACGTACGATACGCTGTGCCAGAGCTTCAACAATTGCTGTCTTGCCCACACCGGGCTCGCCGATTAGAACCGGATTGTTTTTGGTCCTCCTTGACAGGATCTGAATCACACGCCGCAGCTCAGCATCGCGACCAATCACCGGATCCAGTCGACCTGCCTCAGCCTCGGCGACCAGATCTCGTCCGTAAACCTTAAGGGGATCTTCTTGTTGCGAGTCCTGGTTTCCTTGCATTTCTCGTAGCGAAGAATGAACATGTCCAACGCAAATTTTGATCCCAAAACCAATTTCGATTCGCGCAATGCGATCTGGTGAGATGCCTGCCGGAATTCTCGCGGCGAATCTCGACGCACCCGGAATGCGCGCGCTCGCAGCTTCTCGGAAAGCGGCAGAGCGGCTGTCAGACTGAATATGGAACATGTCCACTCACCTATCATGGGCATACATTCCACAGCTGGGATCGCTTCCCGTTGCCATCCTCACCAGCATTTCCGGTCTCTTTCAGCTTCTGTTCATAATCCTCGTTCCTGCCCCCAAATCCGGCTTTCTATGAGCTGGGCTCTTGCGTCCCTCCGGCACCCTGGCAGCAGTCGAAGGGTGCTCATGGCTGCCTTAGCGTCGACCTTTAAACGGTTCGGGTTGCGCTCGAGGGCGCGGACTCCGTGAGGCGCATCATTCTGGAGTGGAACGGTGTATGGTGGACGGCAGCGAAGAGCGGATGAGGGTTTGTCTCTAGAACGGAATGGGTTATTCTTTGGCGTGACAAGATCAGTGGAGTTTCGGCATAAGCTTGAGAGGATGCCGCCGAGCGATGACGTCGGGTAATTATCGTTGAAGAGGCGATCGGGAATCCTTGAGCTGTGCATGAATGTGTAAGCTGTTGTTGGTGCTCGTTGCACGGCGGGGCTGTCCACGAAAAATACTCGGAAAACCTGGTAGAAAGGATGTGAGTGAACAGTTCAGTTTTCAGCTTGTATCTGATAAGTTTGTTGCAGTTACAGCGTGTTTGCAGAGCTGGCATACGCGAAAGTCGCACAAACGGCTTCGATAGCTTCATCTTGTCTCGGACCTTCTAAAAACTACATCAAAAGCCACACTGCGAAAGAGTCAAGTGGAATATCCTGGTCCAAGGGCATTCGGCACTCGATGCGCACGTGTACGACTTTTTTCTGCTCGGTCTCTGTGAAGGCGTAAACAGGATGTCGGAGCTCCCTAGCACTCAGTAACGAGATGCAGTTAAAGAAGCCACAAGAATTTGCTGGATATCGGCCAGCTTTTGCCGTGTGCCTTCGAGACTCTGGTTCCTTCTCACTGTTACTTATATGGATGCTCTGTTGTGCAAGATTTAACAAGAGCGGTTGTCATAATGCTACTTGCTACATGGAGGCAACGAAAGGAGCCCATAAGAGCTCCAGTTCCGGGGCTTGTGGCGGCCACTCCCGGCTGCTTCTGCGAGGTTACCACAGCACGTAATAGGTCCATGCCATGAAGATTCCTGAAGGGCGCTGCGCCGACTTGTGTTGTGTCTGCTGAACGCATTATTCAAGACTTGCTCCGCATCCAAAAGATATACTCGTAGCCTGATGAAACCGAGAGTATTCGCATCTGTGGAACTAGATTTACTTTTCTTGGAAAGCAAATTCACATCGCTGCATCTTCAAATGCACCGGATCCGCGACATCCCGGGGTCGTTTATATTGGTTTAAATGTCTATGTCTACTGTTATCTCGCTGGAAAGCATCGAGGTCGCAATCTTCCCGAGTTAAAAATATTCATTCGGATGGGAGCGTCGCGCGTCATGGGTCCCGAAATAAAAAAGTAACCTGTGCACCATACTTCTCACAAAATTTCTTAGCAAGCTCAGTGCTCCATGACAGTGCTGTGCAGAAACAAATATTTAATTCACATTCCGGTTTTGGAGAGATTTTATGCTTTTGGTTCGTTTTCACACAATGCGCTTGCACAGTCAGCGACGAAGAAGGACGTTCAACCTGATTAAACAATACGATTTGTTTCTGATAGAAGCTCTGTCCAAACCATGCACACATCTGCACCCGCAGGGGCAATCAATATTATTCAGCATGAACTGGGCGACATATGACGGGTTGCTGGGCTCTCAGTTACGTTTTGCGACCTACATCAGAGCGGACAGGTTTTCAAGGCCGGTTCCTGGAATTGGACACCAATTTTGCATCTTAGTTTCGCGCTGCTCTACACGTGAGACGGCCCAGTGCGGTCCGCTGCTTCGTATGCATTCATCCGCTGTGCAGTTAGAGCGGCCGTTAGCCTTATGCGAACTGTTAGGAACATCAGGAAGCTGCGAATGGCATGTAGACAAAGGTACATATGCTCTGAGCAACCTCGTGGGTTTTGTGCGCGGCGCATATCGATCGGGAAACGAATAGACAACATCACATAATGAGACGCCCCTGTTGGAGCTTGATTCGAAAAGAATACCATTATACTGCTTTTAACATTCGCTATCCCAGTCTTCTCCTCAGACTGAGCGTGCATGGCTGGAGAGTTATGGATCTGCCCGACTTGGTTCGATCGAAATATCGCTCGTAACGAGCTTAGTGAATGCACCGCATGCGGTCATACCGTCGAAGAAAAAGAAATTCCCGAAATACTGAGTATGATCTATACCAGCAAGCATTTTGATGACTTCCAGAGACCAGATTCCACCGATAACTTTGGCTAGTGGCGGAAAGTTCCAGCCCAACGCATCGACGACGTTTCCACTTGTTGGGATCGAGTCATCATTCTCGGCGAAAAGAGCGCTCCTCGCTGTCGCGCCGATTACCTTATAGAGGGGATGAGGCATCCGCATCCGCCGGAACGTCATCCACCTGAGAAACGGACGCCATGCGTCTTCATTCGCGATATTCAAAGAAGCGTCGTCCTGCGATACGTCGCGTAATTTGGCCAGAATATTCCCATAGGTCGACTTCCATCGCGGATGATTCTGAGAAGGATCCTGTACGGCCGCAGGTTTTGCATGCTGTTCGGCTCTACGAAAACGCATGCCTCCCGGAGACGTTCTCTTGTTTGAGGCCTCTGCCACTTGGATACACGAGTGTTCGTTTTCTTCCGGTTCGCTGACGAAGAAACCGCAACAGTATCCAATGCTCGCAGCAATGAAGCAGGGAATGTTCAGTTCAGCACAGAATTCCGCAAGGCGTGTGCATGGGGTCATGTCATCCGATGTATTCGATGAAGGCGGGTTCGGTTCTTCAAAATCGGGTGAAACGATGCAGACGCAGTTCGCGTTCAAGTTAACCAGGTTTTCCACGCTCTTCAGAAGCGACCCCGCATCTGGTCCAGGCTCCACTGTAACAAAAGGGTTCATTTCCTTGATATCTCTAAAAGCCTGCGTCTCTGAAATAGGTGCCAATCCTTCTCCGCACACAGCACAAGAGTCGCTCTCGGTGGTCCCTTCGTACTTTCCAGGGTTCGAAAGCCAAGCGCTGACAGTCAGGTGTCCAATACCGGCAAGCACAAGGTTTTTAGCGAGTTCGAACCAAAGAAGATCGGATGTGCCCCTCGAAAGAACAACCATCAAGGCACAGCTCTGTGAGAGTCGCCATTGAGCGCCGTGTCCCCAGAGCCTAAGCTGTCGATCGTAAACCTCTGCTTCGTGCCGTGTGAGTGCACTTTCTGGGTCTTCTTTAGGAGCATCCTTGGGGGATGTCTCCCGAACACGCTTGCGCATAGACGCAAGACTAGCTAGATTTCAGTTTTGAACGGTGAGGCTTTAGCCAACACAGATTCCGAATCAGAATCGGAGACTCGGCGCAGACGATACAAAGCTCTGGCTGAGCTTCAGACCAAGATCAAACTAAAATGGAACACGTCCACTCACCTATCTTGGGCACACATTCTACAGCTGGGATCGCTTCCCGTTACCATCCTAACCAGCATTTCCGGTCTCTTTCAGCTTCTGTTCATAATCCTCGTTCCTGCCCCCAAATCCGGCTTTCTATGAGCTGGGCTCTTGCGTCCCTCCGGCACCCTGGCAGCAGTCGAAGGGTGCTCATGGCTGCCTTAGCGTCGACCTTTAAACGGTTCGGGTTGCGCTCGAGGGCGCGGACCCCGTGAGGCGCATCATTCTGGAGTGGAACGGTGTATGGTGGACGGCAGCGAAGAGCGGATGAGGGTTTGTCTCTAGAACGGAATGGGTTATTCTTTGGCGTGACAAGATCAGTGGAATTTCGGCATAAGCTTGAGAGGATGCCGCCGAGCGATGACGTCGGGTAATTATCGTTGAAGAGGCGATCGGGAATCCTTGAGCTGTGCATGAATGTGTAAGCTGTTGTTGGTGCTCGTTGCACGGCGGGGCTGTCCACGTAAAATACTCGGAAAACCTGGTAGAGAGGATGTGAGTGAACAGTTCAGTGTTCAGTTTGGATCTGATACCGGTGTAGTTACTGGAAGCCCCATGAGAAAAGATTCCTCAGCGCTTCTCTGCAACCTGGGAGAATATGAGGAGTACTATCTGAGCTCTGATGTGCTATATGGAGTGCCATTAGAACTGCGGAGGAAGCGAAACGATTAGCAACTTGGGAAATAAATGTTACTGGCGTCTGTGCAAAAAAGCTCAATCGACCGGGAGCTTGCAACGAGCATCCATGAATTTGATATACATTCGGTTATTTCGAAGAGACGGAAGAACAAGACACGAGGTGGATTAGTTTGTACCTACTGCGACGTTTGCAGCTACTTTTCGGGCAATGATCGGCGCAGAGCACAGCATGGAGACAGCACACGCAGTGCGTGCAGTACATGGCGCGTCCGTCTCGAGCGTGGTGCTGCTCAAAGAGCGGGAACGCCCCGCGGAAGACTGGACAATAATTCCATAAACTGTCCATCCCTGTGGCGCAGCGCTGCGAAATGGCGCCAACGCATCTTAACGTTCGTGTGGCCTTTTACTGAGTGGTGGGTGTCTTCTGGAAACGCACAACACAGCTGCGCAAGGATGGCGAGCACAGCACTCAGTCGTGGTGCAGTGAAAAGCATTTATGGCATGAACACCGTGTCGCGGCCTGTGCTTCAGGTACAGGAGGTAAGGAAGCTACAGCCCAGTGTAGCGCAGCAGGCACAGGCTACAACCAGCGGTGATCGTTATCGAGTGGTTCTATCGGATGGCGAGCACTTGCTACACTGCGTGCTCATGGCCCAACTGAACTCGTTCGTTTTGAGTGGGGATCTCGATAAAGGATCAATCGTTCGGTTGGTCGACTATCAACCGAACAAAGTTCAAGACCGAGTTGTTGCCATTATCATCAACCTGGAGATTTTGGAGCGAAATGCGCCCACTGTTGGCAACCCGAAAGCGTTTGATCCCAGGGCGAGCACGGATACCGCATTAAGCTCGCATAGCTTTGATGATGATTCAACGGAAACGGCAAGAAAAAGGCAGGCGGTCTCAGCCGGTGTCGAACATAAGCCTCCACCGCCGCGGGTAACACCCGGCGCGCCTCCAGTGTCCGTACCGCCACCTGTTAAATCTGCAGCTGCTGGCCCCGTAGTGCGGTTTGACCAAGGTCTGGGATCATCAGTGGAAACTCTAGCACCGCCGGGTGGCTACACAAAGATCAGCGCCGCCAACCCGTATCAGAACAACGTGATCATAAGGGGTCGCGTGGTGCAGAAGGGAGAACTGCGTACGTATTCGAACGCCAAAGGCGAAGGGAAACTCTTTTCTTTCGAAATAGCCGACGAAACAGGGAATATGCGCGTTACGGCGTTTCGTGAAAAGGCCCTCGAGGCACATCAACGCATTGAGCTGAACGGGATTTACAGTATTGCAGGTGCGAGCTTGAAACCAGCAAACGCTCAGTTCAATCATACGGGTCATTCTTTTGAGATGATCTTGGACCAGAACTCGGTCATCACCCAGCTTCCGGATGATAATATGATTCAACGCGTCTCGTTCGACTTTGTCAAGATACGTGATCTAATGGATGTTCCTGTCGGGAAAGTGGTTGATGTCATTGGCATCGCTTTGGACATCGGTGAAGTTGGAGAAATCAGCTCCAAGACGACAGGCCTGCCGGTTGCAAAACGGGAAGTCAAACTGATTGATGATACTGGATGCAGTGTTGCGTTAACGATTTGGGGTGAGCGAGCTCGTTCTCTCTTTTCCAATGAAGATGACCGTCCCGTGTTGCTCGTCAAATCCGCAAAACGCGGTGATTTCAATGGCGTCAGCCTCAGTACAACACCCAGCTCTCACGTCGAGGTGAATCCTAACATCCGTGAGGCCTTCGAGCTGCGGGGCTGGTTCGATTCGGAAGGGCATGGCGCTGAGTTTCAGGATCTTGGCGGCACACCGCTTGGTGGAGCACGAACAGAGAGTCGTATCCGAAACAGTGAACGCAAAACCTTCGCCCAAGTGCAGAGCGAGCACATCGGTGAGGATCCTCACTCTGCACCCGGTGCGTCATACTACACGGTTCGCGCTACTATAAGCCACATCAAACAGGATGAAGAACGCCCACCATGGTATCTGAGCTGTCCAGACTGCAAGAAAAAAGTTATTGAAGAGTCTCCAGATATGTATCGATGTGAGCGCTGCGATAAGCTCGTGAAACCTACCCCCCGCTATATATTCAGCATTCAAGCAATGGACGCTACCGGAAGCCACTGGCTTAACTGTTACGACGAAGTAGGTCCTATCATTTTCGGAGGCTACAGCGCAGAGGAACTGAAAAGAATCAAAGAAACAGATTCTGAGGAGTACCAGAGAATCCTGGAACAAGCACATTTTGGTGAGTTTCTGTTTCGTGTTCGCGTCCGCAGCGATACCTACCAAGATGAGATGACGTTCCGTCACATGGTTGTCGGGGCGGAGAAGATCAATTACGAGTCTGAAATGAAAATGCTTGAATCAGAAATACATAATTATGACCAGGCTGGTCAACGGCTCACGAAACCATTCCAAGAAACCATTTCTGCGCTGCACTAGGCAGCGTTCAATGAATCAGTTACGACGACAGTGACGTAAACACACATGCAATCAATAGACGCATCCGTTGCAAGAGCTACAGCGCACACACGCCTTTGCACCGAAAACCGTTTCACCATTGAGGGAAGCGAATACCTCGCGCATCCGACATAGTGTTCGTATGCCAACAGGCTCGCTTACAGACTCTCTACTCAGATTTGTTCCATCCCTGCTGTGGTATATAGCAGGAGATCGACATCACAATGCAATTTACTGTATAGATCGCTGACGCATCGCCTGTAGGATATATTCTTTACTAAAAGAGCAACGAGAACTACATTATGCATTCTGGTCAGTCGTACGACGGTACGCAAGTGGTTGAGGAACACGGAAAGAAACGAATAGATGCGCTCATTGCCGAAAACCGGGATTCTCAAAGACCGCTTGCGGGTGAGTATTAGAAGGCGACTCGTTGATCACATTGCAGGCAGCAAAAGCGAGGTAGTTGCCACCACGGGCGTTTCTGTTTCTGAACAGTATGTTCTTGCGGTCATGCAATCACTAGATACAGTCGAAAAAAGTCCAATCCCATTCAGGGCCATCTTCCACCGATATTTTAACGACGGTGTTCCTGGTACTTCGCGAGGCTAATAAAGCAGAGGAGCGTCAGTTTGTTATTTTAGTGGATGAGACTTGCTTCGAATGAAACAGTCGAGGCGTATATTGGTATTCGTAGAGCAGGCAGCCCGTGGAATGCACGATCGAGCTTGAAGAGAACATGGGTATCATCATCTGTTCAAGCTGGAATGCATTCCTTCGGCGGCCTCAGTTCCGCTCGTAAAGAAGGTTCATACAACAGCACCCAATTTGTCGAATCATTGAAGACTTTTCCTCTTACATCCGGCAACTTTCTACTATTGAACGACATGGCATTTCGCGAGCCCATACGCGTTCGAGTTTATGCGAATTCTGTCGGGGCAAAGCTGCTTTTCATTACTCGGAAGACTCTGTGTTTCATCCCCATAGAAGGAGTCTTTTGTATTCTGAAAAGTAATGATCACTCCACTGGGCGAATCGCTGAAACATTCAGTACACGGTGAGCCTGGGGGCACATGTCGACTTTCTTCCACAAGACCTTCTCGCTTCGGGAAGGTCCCCACCCTAGGCCTCGAAGATGCGCTTCCATGTTCAAAAGTAAAAAATCCAGGGGGTGAGCTTGGGTGTACACTTCAGACGGTCGTGCTGGAGGGCAGCCAGCGGGGCGCTTCGGCGATAGAAAAGTACGGAGAGCTGAAGCAGCACCAAATGGCTCTGAAGGCGCGAGTTCGAGGACAGCTTGCATTGGTGAGTTCAACCAGAGGCTATAAACGCATGGAATTCGCGAACCAGGACTCCAACGCTGCTATCAATATCAGGAAATGTTTGGTGCCGGAGAAGAGACCCGCGGAGTTGACAAGAGCGAACTTTGTGGGCCAGCCTCTGCTGCTCGAAGTGTACAAGGAGAAACTCAAACCTATAGCAGGAGGCCGGTCAAAAAACACTGGGAGGCGTCTGCGCGTGGGTAGATATATTTACCCTCCATGGTCGTGAAAAGATTCTTGTTTCACTGATAGTGAGTGTATGTTCGATATGGGAAGCGACCAGTACGCCAATCTCGAGTGCCACTAGCTGCCGCAAAGGCATCGAGACACGTCGATGCCATCGTCAATGTTCATCGTCGAGTTTTTAGCTGAATAGCATCTGCCAGCACATTGCGATGCGAAGAGGCGTAGGACGACCCACGTCTGGGGGCAGTTCATGACTCCCATCGACAATCTTGAAGTCGAGCAGCACGCGGGCGAATTTTCTGCGAAGAGAACAAAGCTGCAGTGTAGACTGATACTCGACGAGGCGTGTGGGTAACATGCTATCTATGAAAGCCTTAAGGAATCGATGTTCCAGAGAGCCATCGGCACAAAGACGTGGAGCGGGCGAAATATCATCGCATTTCTGACCAGCCCCGGAGCTGGTTCCCTGTTCCGGGGACGGGATCTCCAGCTCAATAAAAAGGCTGGATGCCCGACCCGACTCCCTCGGCCGTTCGTAAGTTAATATCATGCGGATCATGGCAATGAAAAGGTCGCTTCTCTGAAGATGATCACACGATGCGCCCCATGTGCTACGGTGGCATGCTTCTTCAGGGCGCGAGTGACCAACTCTGAACGGCGGATTTCCCTCCCTTGAGAAGAGCGGGCCTAAAGCATCCTTTTCTACCTCTATGCGGTACTCGAAAATGCTGGCGCTCCTCGTCATACGTATCTGCCAGAGATTTTTCTGTGCGTCTCCTGGGCCATGAGGTCGCTGCGGAAGCGAAGCAGTGTACTGTTCCATGAATCCCGGGAAGTTCTCCGCACACTCCAAAACAGCAAGTTCGAAGCTATGCCCCTCACGTTTTGCTGTTTCGGTAGAAGTCGGGATTAGCGAAACTGCATAGTTCCGCTTTGTTCCAAGCGAGGACCGCCGAACCCCGTCCAAGGCGCCTGAAGCGCTGGCGAAGGCATCTATGACGGGATCTGCGAAAACACCACTCGGTTGTACGGATAAAGTGTAAAAGGCCTCAAGAGCAGGCAACTCGCGTTGCACGTCCTTAATATCGCTCTGATGCCGGTAGATTTCGCCGGAACGCGCGTATTTGTGACAACTTACTTCGAAACTTCCGCAGAAACAGGAGCCCCAGACGCTCTCCAGCCGTTGTTCGATCTCTGCAGCTTTACGCTCGACTCTACCCTGAAGAGAAGCCTGGCTGCTCTCACTACTATCGTCTATCTCTACTCGGAAGTAGTAGTTTAAGGGCATTTCTAGGAAGCATGTGTAAACCTTTCACGAGACCGACGAGGCGTTTGCATCTACCAGAATACGCTCAGCAACGGCATGTGCAGTGGACATGCTGCGCTTCTGATTCACGACGCGGAGCTCGGCTTTCCGAAGCGTTGGGTTCGCCCCGAGAGAGCTCCTCGGCTTGTTTGCTCGTCAGAGTTTTCCAGCAAGCACAGCATATGTTCTGCCAAAATATTGCGCTCACTGATCTGCACGCTCGTACCTCAGGATCGTTCCAGGGTGGACGTCGGAAGCATTCGCGGCCCTACGAGGGACGGGCGCCCGCCCTGCTACAACCTCGCCAGCGCGCTCGAACTGCGTTTCTGCGAACTTCACGGGAACGCTACGTACCCACTGACTCTTCTCCGTGTCAGTGCCCGCTCGGATTGCGCAGTGCACTAGACACCGAAACCGAAGAGAAAGCGATCTATCTGGAGCTTCAAAACGGGAGTGATGTGCGAGGCGTTGCGTTGGCCACGGAGGGCTCTCGGACGCTGGTTACACTCACACCGGAAAGAGCTGCGGAGATCGCCGGCGCCTTTGCCCGTTGGTTGAAAGCTTCCACTGACCGACGCGAGCAGCACGACGCAGTACGAGGCGGTGTGTTTCGCGTAGCTGTCGGACGCGATCCGAGGCTCTCTGGTCCTGCGCTCCGCGACGCGGTGATACTCGCGCTCGCCAGCGAGGGCTGCGACGTCTACGACGTCGGTCTCGCCACAACACCGGCAATGTTTATGTCCACTGTGTTAGAGGAGTTCAAGTTTGATGGTGCACTGATGCTTACAGCCTCGCATCTCCCTCCAGATCGGAATGGCCTAAAATTCTTTACAGAACGCGGCGGCACGGATAAGAGGGAGGTTCGCATGTTGCTCGAGAACGCGTTTGAGCACTCGCAGAGTCGAGACGCATATTCCATTGAAAATCGACAACACAGCGGCGCTCTGGCGAAGAAAGCCGACCTGATGGCGGCCTATGCAGCATACTTGCGAAGCTGCATCGAAAAGGGGATTCGAAATGCGAAGAACCCATTGAAGCCGCTAGACGGAGCGCATATTATCGTTGACGCGGGCAACGGATCAGCTGGATTTTTTGCGACCGATGTTCTTGCTCCACTCGGAGCTGACATCCAGGGAAGTCAGTTTCTTGAACCAGACGGAACGTTTCCAAATCACGTGCCGAATCCGGAGGATCAACAGGCGATGAAGATGGCGTCAGAGGCTGTTTTGAAATCCGGAGCAGATCTGGGTATTGTCTTCGATACCGACGGGGATCGGTGTGGATTCGTCAATCGCGACGGCAAGCCCATGAACCGCAATCGATTGATTGCGGTGCTTTCGGCCATTGTTCTCCGTGAGCACCCTGGCGCGACGATTCTCACCGACTCGGTGACGAGCAACGGCCTCGCTGAGTTTATCAGAAAGCGTGGTGGGCACCACTTCCGCTACCGCAAAGGCTACAAGAACATTATCGATAAGGGTATCGAGCTGAACCAGTCAGGAGTTGATTGTCCCTTGGCAATCGAAACCTCCGGGCACGGAGCAATGCGCGAAAACTACATGTTAGATGATGGTGCGTACCTCGCAGTCAAGATTGTGTCTGAACTTATCAACCTGCAGCGTCAGGGGGATCACCGTGGCATCGACAGTTTGCTCGATGGTCTCGCGGAGCCGTTGGAAGAGAAGGAATTCCGCTTGAACTTGCTGACCGAAAATTACAAGGAGACAGGTAAGATGATCGTTGAGGCCTTTCATGATTTCGTGACAAGCGCAGAGGCCCCGCCAAATTGGCGTTTGGAAAAAGAGAATTATGAAGGATGGCGCGTGGCAGTCGATGAAGGCAACGGGAGAGCGGGTTGGTTGCTGCTGCGTCAGTCGCTGCATGATCCACTGCTGCCGCTAAATGTTGAAAGTGAGACACAGGGCGGTGTTAAGCGAATCGCTAGAATACTCTACGACTGGGCAGCGCCACGCTTTGCATCAGTACTTGATTTGAGTCCTCTCGAAAAGGTGCTCTTCTGAACAATTCTCTCCAATAAAAAGGGGCATAGAACTCGCTGTATGGGATGGTCGAGACGAGCTCCTTGCCGGAAGGTTGTGCTTATTTTCCTGGATCGATCCTGGATGTGAGGATTTCGGAGCGAAAAACGATGTTTGGTCGCTCTCTGGAAACGGTATCCTGACTCGCCGGAAGATCGTATGCTGCGGGCCACGATGCGACCTACGATTGCACCAGAAGCGATTGCTGCTCCAGCGATGCTCGCTGAAGCTCTAGCATACTCTAAGCATTTCACGCTTTTAAACAGAGAATGCCTCGCGGTGGAGCACCATATGTTTATAGCCCCATTCGTGCCGATAAAGATGATAATTTGCCGTGATATCATAAAAGAATTTAGCGCTGCCAATGCATTAGTCCCAGCGCGCCGGGCTGACCTTGAATGGTCTGCCTCTCCGTAGCATGGCAGTTGCTCATCAAGTATGTGAGCGCTGTCGTTCCTCGGCACCCGCATCAAGCACATGCGGACCCAGGAGCGATCACTTGCACGTGATGCATCTCGGGCCAATGGACTGCTTCTTCATGGATGCGCAAGCACTGCTGGATTCAAGTATATACACTCGATATCCAAACCGAGCATTTTGGCAGAGAAAAGCCTTCCACAGCATTAACGATATGAAATTTCACTGGCGGCGTCTGCGTCTACCAGCCAGAGCGCGTTCTGTACGAGACCAGCTGGTAGACGCTTTGTGTTACCCTCCTGAAAAATATGTGACAGCGCTTTCGCTTTGCCCTTACCTGTCACCACAAAAATTCGTCTCTTTGCTGCCTGGATAGCTGTCATGCTCAGCGTTATCCGTCGGGGCGGCGGCTTGGGAGAGTTGTCGATTCCAATGTAGAACTTTGCCTCGGGTGCAGATCGTAGGTTTGCTTCGTCGTTGGGAAAGAGAGAGGCCGTGTGCCCGTCCTCACCCATTCCGAGAAGGACCAAATCAATGTTCTCTGGCTTAATACCCTTAGAGCGAAGTAGCTCAGCATACGCGTCAGCAATGGAGCTCGTGTCAAGAGCGATTGAGTCCGGCGGAAAGCCCAGAATCCGTTCAGAACACACTAGTCCCTCTAGAGCGTCCCGGACCGCACGGAAGTTAGAGTCTGGATGGTCGCGGGGCACGACCCGTTCATCTACCAAGATCCACAGTGCACGAGATAATCGAGTCATCGCTTCCGGCTGATCACTGAGGGCTGTTCTGAGGAGGCTCGGCATTGAGCCACCTGACACTGCGACAACAAAAACTTGTTCGTTCTCGGAGGCTTGCAAACCCCTTGAATCCTGTACTAAAGAGAGAATCTCTTTCGACAGGCGAGCAGCCAAAGCATCTTTTGTTTGGTAAATACAGAGCTCGTCGTCAGTGGCCATCGCAAGCTGAAGAACTGCCCCAGAGCACACACGATAGCAACTCGCTCGTTTTCTTTGAGGACGGCGCTCCTGGCCGCTGCACCGATTTTGTAAAAAGGGCACCCTGTTTCCCAAACAAAAGAGGTTCCGGCAGGCACCTATTGAGGTCGTGGAACAGAGAAAGCCCGTGCAGTGAGACAGAGGGATCATGCCTGCTGCGACAGAGAAGCTGAGCGGTGCGAAACTGCATACAATGCAGTCCCGCATGTTGATGCGGCGCGTGAAGAAGCGTTATTGGTTCGGTTTACGTGTTTGTTTTCCATTCCGACCCATGTTGTGACTCGAGCATGAAGGAGCTGCAGCGACTCTGTGAGCAGCTGGGAGAAGATCTTGTGGGGGCAGTGCTTCAGGAAGCTGCTGTTCCCGATGTGAACGCGCTCTCGTTTCTCGAGGAAATCGCAGCGGCGAAAGCTGCGGAGTCGGCTATAACGTGTAGCAGGCCTGCAAAAGAAACGTATAGAGCAGTGCTTTCGCTCGGGCCTGCGCGAAAGATGGTTAAGGAAAAGGACAAAGGTTCTGGAGTCGGCATACTAGAACGTACCGCTCCCCAAACGACAATTTTACAACCGGCAAGAAGCATCGTTTCTGGACGTCTTGAGGTGCCTCCCTGGCGTCCTTCCGGTCACTCCTGCGCGTTCATACCTGAACCGCCAGTTGCGGCTACTGCGAATAGAGAGGGAGGTGAGGAGTCGCGCTTTCCAGGTCAGAATGCGGACTTGATTCCGAGCCAGTTGTGGTTTGAAGTCGGCACTGCGCGGTGCAATGGAGCCAGCCAGACTCGCGCCCTGTCGGGTTTATGGAATCGTAATGCGTTTCGCGCTCATTCTAATTCAGTTTTAGCAGAAAATTCTGACGCCATGCTACATGGAACCACAGGAGCGGCCGCCCGAGCCAACAAACTTCGCGACATGCATGACTGCTTTGCGCTCGCAAGTCGGTGTGCTCGTACAGCTGCTGCCATCGGCGGACCTACAGCAGCTCAGAGAAAATATCTCGAAGCAATGCACGGATTTGTAGAACATGCGAGAGCGATTGAAAACGAACTTGTGGAGCTTACGCTGCTTGAGCCCCTCGATGAGGATTTGGATCTCCACGGTATGACTATGCGGGCTGCAGAAATGATTCTTGAGAGGAGAATTCGAGCCGCTCATCAATGGATTCTGGATCACGGAGGCGAATCACTTCAATTTCGCGTCATCGTTGGCCGTGGTTGCCACAACCGTACTCGGAAGGCTCGACTTGCTCAGGTCGTCAATGAGCGGATGGCAATGCTCGGCATTTGTGGTCGTCGCGAGGCTCACGGTGGTGCATTTTATGTCTCCTTGCCTTGTTGCGAGGCGCATTTTCCCAGTCGATCGTTCTCGCGTGCCCGTACTTGCACGAAGCGATAAAAAGCGAAAGATTGTGCTCTAGTGAGCGCTCGGAGGCGCTTCGAGCACCTGCTATAGCATAGATCTCGACAGGAGATAATGGCTTTGCAGAAGTTATCTGAGTCGTGCCAGCGGTGTCGCAGCCTCGAACAGCGAATTTCCACTGCGAAGTACGGGGGATATGAGGCTCGCCGGTTCTCCTGGCGGCGACCTCTTGCGATGCAGGTTGCGGTCGCTTTTTTTTCTGAAGCTGACAGGATTGAAGCGCGCTAAATTTTAGTAGTTTTTCTGCTTCCGACAGGACCTTTCAATGGGCAAGGCAGCTGCACGCGGCCCTCTGCGTCCAAGCGCCCTGCGGACAGGGCGGGACGCATACTTTGGACAGCAACGCAACAGCAAAACGCATGCGCTTGCGACAACTTCTGCGGATTCGTTCCTTGTCGGCCACAGTCGTGTCTCTCGAGGAATGCGGGGAGTTCTGCATCGACCCTACAACATCGAGAGCCTTACCCTGGGTTCATGTGGGCGGCAGCCAGCCATCTGGGTAACAGACTCTTCCTCAAGTAACCCTGCTATGGGTATGGACGTGAAATTGCATACATAAATGCAGCAACGTGAACATAATGCGTCTAGCGAAGAGACAGTTTCTCCAGTGAACGAATCTGTACCAAATCCGTTTGCGAGTCGCTCAGTCGAGGCTGATCCACCATGCCGGTGATAAAACCATTCAGCTTGTTAGGAAGAAGTCGGTTGGAGTTGTGCAATGAAGTTCAAACGAACTCCAAATGTGTTTCTACATTTCTTGTCGCCTACAGTACCGGATGTGGCTTGCGTACAACAGGCAAATAGCGTATCTGTCTTTCTCGACAAAAGCATTACCCATACTCAAGTCCGGGCATGCTCCTGCACAACTAGCACTGCACTTTTTTTTCAATTTGTGTGTTTCCCACACAGACGCTGAGAAACCGCAGGACTTGATAGTCATAGCAGCGCATTTTAGAACATCTTAACGAGCACGCTCTTTATGCTTTTGTTTTTTCTCTCGCTTGTAACCAGTAAAAAAAGATGCGTCCCAAAGATTAAAGAAATATCGTAGAAGCACTTTAAGACGTCAGTCATACTTCGCGAAAAACGGATTTCCGTACTCAAATCAGTCATCCTACCGTTAGATGGTGAATGAGCTCAAGTTCTCGAAGACCTTATCCTATGCTACATACGCACAAAGCAGAACTAATTGGACTCTTGTTGTAAGACTTTCTCATCGTCAATACCTTTCATTGCAGGCGTACTCTACGGAAGACTACCGAGGTGGCCACAGGATGCCATATTTGCGTTCGGTTAATAAGAACAGTACTGAACAGACACCGATGGATAACGCAGTAAAAACGGTTCTGTACTGGACAGTGGTGCGTCCAAGAGTACTTGATTGGTCTTATGCGGAAACGCGAACGCTTATAGCTGGACGGACTTGTGTTCGTCTCACTTGATGACACATTGTTCGGGAGATATGGTGGACTTGTACACGGGCATTCGAAGAGCCGACAATACGAATCGCACAGGAGGCACGCACGAGAACTCCGAAAACATCAGCCCTGGCTGCGATTCGATCCTCTAGTCGACCACAAATCGCCCAAAAGACCGAATCGTTCAAAGCCTCATCCATCGTAGAGCTACTGAGTGGCTTCACTGTCGCACATTCTTCTATCATGCCCAACGGCAAAGTCGCTTTCCAGCACTCAAAGACGGTCAAGTATTGCGGGGCTGACTCTGACGTTGGCCTGCTTTTCATTCCACTGTAATCTCCGCTGTGCAGTCCAGTAGAAGGAGTATTCTATGTCGTCAAAACTATTTTTACGCTCACGTATCGATCGTGGATCCGTTCACATCCATGACACCGTTCTCCAGCGTGTCATTTTCCACAAATCTTGTTCTACATTCACCAGCCCTGAACTGCTTTGTAGCTTGTGTGCTCTTGCCCGGACAGGTGAAGGAATGCTCGCCTCGGCCTGTGGGCATGCTCACCACGGAGAATATGACGAGAAGATACGTAAGGCAGAATAGATGTATACATCGAGAATGCGTATTTGAGCACCACCGTCCACCAGAGCCTTCTCACTGCCGCGGAAGAAAGCACACGCAGAGTCCAGTGAACGTAGACATGGTACTGCACCAAGTAGCAGAGAAGGAGAAGAATCCACAAGACAAAGAAGGTTCAAATCCGCCGGAACAGAGGACAAGAAGGGCGGCGAACGAGAAACTGTTCTGGCAAAAAATTCCATCTCAAAATGTTATCGTCGTTTGGGCACTGAAACACACTGGCAGGGAGAAACTTCCGTACCGTGAGATGCTGAACGTCATTCGGGATCGCGTAGCCTTTCGCTTTGGGATGTTTCGCGTAGCTTTCCTCGACTTGAAGCAATTCGTCGAGCAACTGTTTGTAGGAGTGCCGGGCGCAGGGCTGCCACCTGTCCAAATTCCCATGGTACATTTCGACATGTCACTGTAGACACTTGCGTACTGTATATCATCACGTGCTCTTTGAACAACTGCTGGTCTCGGCGATCAGGTATGCAGTATGCGTACAACTTCGCTGTGAACATTGGCGGCACTGGTTCAAGGATTCTCGTGCGCGCGGCGGAACTGAAGTGATGACTAAACGGACAAGTGAGCACGATGGTATATCAGTCTACATGTATTTCATGAAACGTATGCCTCAGTTGAGCAGCGACAAACATTTCGAACCGTTCAAGGCGGATGAAGAGAAGGAATCCAAGGTGTTCATCGGTCCGAGCTGAAAGGCATGATGGCGGTCGCCGCAAGTCCAAAGCAAGAGGACGCAGCATAAAAACGCTGATCAAAAATGACAATTGAATGGTACCGTCAGCGATCCAGAAACGCTGGATAACCATACACACGTATACACACAATGAAAATGATGCTTCTTTGCGATTGATGAACGGTATCGTTGTTCCACGATTCTATATTACTGTGTTCCCAGCAAATACGAACCGGATGCGGTGTTGTAACAGAGCATCTCAAACGTTTCCCGGCTCGTTGCGCTGAATCAGCTACAGATAATATAAAAACGGCAGCCGTATTGACCTTCGAAGTAATGGGAAACGATGATTTGCTCACCCTCCAGGTACATGATCAGAAATAAAACTTGCTAGATACGTTCGAGCATCGGCACTGGGACAACGTCGGCACGCCCGCCACACGGCATCATCGATCGCACGAGGCAAGGCGCGTCCACCCGCAAGGCATCGGTGACAAGGTACGCAGCAGGCTCGTTCAAGCAGTCTTGTGTCGCGTGCGACAGCATACCGTCTTTGCTCATGGCCCTTCTCAGGTAGAGATGCTTCGTCAGTGTTTGTTCGGGGTGGGTCGGCTCCTCTCTGGTGAGCAAGGCCTCAAAAATGCCTCTCGTTTCCTCGCTCGAGGTATACACGCACGAGCAGCACACGCACTGCCTGTTACGCGAGCTAGCACTCCCGGTGCTACGTTGGTACAGCGAGACCCTTTTCGCAGACTGGACTGCATAGATCTCGGAAAACTGCAGGTTCGAAGGCTCCAAAGTGAGTCATCGAGGGCAGTTGGACGCGCCGAAAGCGCCACCGCAGTGCTCGGTGCGGAAAGTCCGAAGTCGACTGGGCCTGGTACAACCACTGTCGACTCGGAGGCCACAGCGAAAATTGCTGATGATCTCCGGGCCTCTTCAAATGCTGCGTCGACGGACCTTGCATCTGAAGCAGCGGAAGCCGCACTCTCAGCTGAAAGGAACTGGTACGATCCAGTCGTTCAAGGCATCATAATGTTCCAGGAGTACACCGATCTTCCCTGGTGGGCCACAGTAGCTGCCGTGACCGTCCTCGCTCGCATACTCGTGCTACCTCTAACGCTGAATACGTTCCGAAACGCTGCTCGAATGCAGAGTATCAAACCAGATGTTGATGCAATCAAAGAGCGGATGCAGGCTGCCATGCACAGTGGTGACCAGCAGCGAATCCGTGCCCTTCAACAACAAGTCTTTAGGCTCTTGCGGGAGAACCAGATATCTCCTCTACGTAGCCTGGTGAATCCTCTGGTGCAGATGCCGCTTTTTATCTCATTCTTTCTGGGACTTCGGAAAATAGCTAAGATCTACCCAGATGAGCTACGGAATGGCGGTCTGGGATGGTTCCGAGACCTCTCCCTGCCGGATCCCTTCTATGGACTGCCGGCGCTGACCAGTGCCACCATGCTATTCATGATTCAAATGGGCACGGAGACTGGCGGAGCCCAGCTGCCTCCTTTTGCGCTGAATTTGATGCGAATCTTCGCTCTGATCCTACTACCGCTGACTGCACAGTTTCCTGCCATTCTTTTTTGCTACTGGTTACCGAACAACCTCTTCTCCATGCTCCAGGCGTTTGCGCTTCGACACCAGAGAGTTCGTAGATGGCTCGGATGTCCGCCACTTGGAGCGAGGTCCGCAGCCGCGACAGCCGGCGCGCACACCAATAGGGATGCCATGCCCGACGCCAAAACTGCTGCTATACGCTCCTATCTCAGGTCTAGCGACGCCAACGCGCCCGTGGATGCCACCCGGATGAAGATATTGGAGAGCCCTCCGCAGCGTTCAGCCAAGGCGCGTTGAGCCGCGTCCCCAAAAGTGTCCCGTAGTGCTCTGATATTCGCGATCACCACCCAGCTGGTACAAGAAGCAGGCACTGCAGCGCATTCCTAGATACATAAGGCTCTATGCATCCGAGATATAGGGTGCTCCTGGCGTCCATAAGTCACTAGAATCTGTTTGAAACGCTTTCTGCGATACAAACAAACGCTATTGCTGTTGAATGATTGCCACGAGGAGAGATGTCGCATGAAGCGCGTTTATGACGCCGCAACATAGCCGCACACAGCAGCTGCCTCAGGGCGAGTCAAGTGTGCGCGTGCAATGGAACAAAGTGACTCTCGGATGAGAGGCTAGCGCACGGTGTTGTTTGACAGAGCATTTCAACAGGCCAGGGATCCCAGACTGTGCGATGGATATCTTCGTCCGGGAAAGCATGGGTTCACTGAGACGTGGATGCGCGGCTCGTTGCGTTGAAGAGACATGGATTCTTGAATGCCACAGCACACGAAAAATGTCAAAAATTAGTAGATACGTACGCGTTCTAATGCTGGAAGAGAAGCTTGTATGCATTCCTCGTTTGTCACTGGTTGAGTGGAAGCGTTCGTTCCTGAATCCGTCGACGGACATGTATGGCTCTTTCGCGCATTGCTGTCTGGTTTCATCGTTCGGCTTCCAAGTTTCGCGAAGAGTGCCTTGGATCGCGCGCGTTGAGCTTTCTGAAGTTCTACGATCTGCATGCGTAGGTTGCTGAGTTCTTGGAGTGCCAATGGTATGGCTCTATCAGCAGGCGCTAGGCTGAGGGCGTCCCTTAGGTCTGTCTCGCTTGCGCTGCACCATTGCAGTGTCCGATCATCATCCCAGTACTCGCGTCGTGCGGCCTTTTCAAGCTCCACTCGTACCATCTCCATTAGGGTGAGGGCTCTGCGATAAAGCGCTTTCGGGTGACCCACACCGCCGTGGACGCAGCGCGCTTTCGCATAGCGCTGGGCCTCGTCGAAGTCCCACTTGGCGCCGTCGAAGTCTCGCAACTTCAGCTTGCACAACCCACGGTTTAGGTGCAGCGTTAGCAGAAAGTCTTGGTAAATTTCCTTTTCTGTTTGAGTCAACTCGTACTCGTATTCTTCTTGGGAGTAGAACATGTATACGAACGCTTCGTCGTAGGCACGCTTTGCTTCGTTGTAACTCTTTTCGTGGACGAGCGCGTTCCCACGTTCCTTCGCCTCCCTGCTCAGGGAGAGCCTCCTTTCGAAAGAAAGCTTTTCACGAGCAGTTGCTGACTCCGCGGCTGGGCCTTCCATTACTGCAAATAGACACTTTCTCCACACGAGAAGGTGACAACGGGCGCGGCGCTGAAGACCAAGAGTAGCACCAGAGGGTCAGAGTGCTCGTCAGTCATACGAGCGTATTAGAATATTCTGGAGTAGGTCAACTTAACGAACTCGGTTGGATAGACAAAAAGTTTGGGTCTCTTCCAATTGTCAACGACACCAGCCTTTGCTGGCTTCCTCTGCGACTGCTTCCCTACTCTGTCTCTCTCTCTCTTATCTTCGGCTTTACATACAATGGTTCATGTTTTTCCTCCAGCTCTCTTGGAAGCCGTCCAACGGTGGTGCTGGCACCATTCAAGCCACGAGTTCACCGATTGCAGCAAAGAGCGACGCATTTCATGTGCAGGCGCTGGTTGTGTCCTACGCATCGCTTTCCACTCTCACGTTCGTTGTACACTGCGTCGACGCACCTTCTTCCAGATATGCGACTGGTCCCTGGTTGCGTTGTCCTATATGTCGACCAAACCTCCTCCGCGGAGAACCGCCCTGAGGCTCCGGAGGGTACGCTTCATCGCATAGGTATATGCACTCGACGGGCGAGGAAAGCATCCCTCGCATGCCCTCACACGTTTCAGCGCCTGTTGGCGTACCCTGCGACTAGGGGCGTCTTCTGCGCTGTCCGCTCAGCGAGTACTCTGCGCGCTGGACACGCAGGCGAACGACGTTCCAATCGATCGAGGGTTTCTGGAATGCAATGCTATCCGCGATGCAAAATACACCGGAGCGAGTCCCCTGGCTGGAGGACAAGTCGCAGGACTTCGACCGCCCGACGCCTTCCCACTGAAAAGCGTGTACGCGCTCTCCTATGAAATCCATCGCAGCGACGACCAACGTCCGACTCCGTGACGCCCTTCGATGCACCCGAAGAGACGGGAGCGCTTCTGTGAGCATATTCCGTGCGGGATATGCAGCTGCTGCGGAATGACGCCTCGTCGATGGCGGGTACGAGGTGCGAGTTTGTCTATCGAACGAAATCGATGATCATCTGAAGATGACAGGTCCGGTGAGTGTTCGGCACGAGTTTGCGAACAGCCCGTCAAGAGATGGCGTTGAGCACTTCGCCGAGCCGCATACGCAGTAGGTATTGGTGCGCGCACGAGCAGCCCTGAAACAGAGCGGTCGAAAACTGGAAGCATGCGTGAATCGAGCGTGCTGCACGGAAGGGTACGCACATGCAAAAGGCTTGTATGTATGCATTGAATCGTGCTAACGCTTGTTTTACCAGCCCTAGCTCGATTTCGTTGCAAATCGTCTTGGCTCCCGAGCCTCCCTGCGTTTCGACGGCAGAGCGTCGAACAAGCATGTCAGAAAAGACGGCCGAGAATCCCTAAATTACGTAAGAATACGAAATGTGCTGCAATGCATGTCGCCCACATGTCTCCTTCCAACTACTTTATTCTCGAAATACCCGAGTACTGTGGAGTTCAATGCATGTATAGCAGGATCAAGAATTGCGTCTTTGTGGCAGGTAACGCGCTCTGCCTGTGGAAATGACGTGTCCATTTGTGGCATGGCATTGCTGATGGGGCGAAGGACAAGCGACTTCATCTTTTCGTCGAGTACGCAAGCGACGTGGCGTTCCAACGCATGCTCTCGAGGCGATGCTTTGTGCCGACGCCCAAGACTGAATCGTTCTGTGAGCTCGGGCAATGCTGCGTGATAGGCTAGATCAGACAAGAATACGTGCTTTGCGAGCCGAGCAAATACTTGTCAACGAAGAGAAACCAACGATTCCCCCCTTTTGCGCCAAATAAGTTCGAAAATTCGACCTGAAAGTGCCGGGCCAATCCGTCGCACTCGCCCGGCGCCGATGCTCCTCTGGACAGGAATCTTCGCAAGCAACGCCCGCCTGGTTTGGTCATCGGGACACGATTCATAGGCCCTGTAGAGCGCACCCAGCGAAGGATACGCTGTTGAAATGGCGTTTGCAGTGTCCTCAGAGACGAATGGAATCGAAGACAAGAAGAGCTGCAGTAATATGCGCTTGTCAATGTTCGGCATGCATTCCAGTTCCGTTTCAGAGGGCTGTCTCTCCCTGAGGACACTCTTCTTACGCCGCAACGAGTCAGAGCGTGCGGCCGCTTGCAAGTCCAGATCTTCAGGAGCGTACTGGATCCGGAAGGCACCATTGGGTTGAGGCTCCAGCTCAAGGGGCAACTCTAAAAGCGCCTCCGAGAGCGCCGAGATATACTCGAGTTCATGGTCGATGCTTGTCACACAGGTAAGATCAATGCCGCACTCTTCAACGAAATAGGTTGAAAGTTTCACAAACTGCATCTCGACCAACTGGCGTGTCATGCCGCAACCCCGACTGGGAGCGGCGCTCGTCCCCTGACGGTGTGCATGCCGTCCTCTCCTCGGGGGTTGTACACTTCGGGCGAGACTCTCACTCGGATTCGTATATCTGATGAGTATCTCTGTTTTGGTGCCCTCGACGCACATGTGCGTAACGGCCTTCACCAGGGTCCGTACGTGCGTTCGATCAGCGCCACGCGCCAAGAACCCAGTGCCTTCTACGCAGATCACCACGAAAGGAAGCAAGGTTTCCACGATCGCGTGTTTTGTGCTCCCATGCGCGGAAGATGAAGCACTTTTCAGAGCATTCGCTTGCCATTGAATTACTGCAACCACGCTGGAATCCATCTCGACTGGCAGCGGTTCCATGAAGAGGCGCGATCCGGTCGGAGGCACGAGTTCCTTATAAAGCTTCTGGGTCGGCTCGGTGCAGCGGATGATCATGGTCATGTGTGAAGTTTTCCATCTGATTGCCGTATGCGGCATGACGATGCTCCCCGACCGACACATCGTGGAAAGGCTGGTGTCGGAAACAGGCGTCCTGGTACCAATTTTGCGGACACCAGCGAGGCACTCTTGTACGCAACCTTTCGCATAATGTTCTCGTGCATACTTTCGCTTCGCAACTGATTCTTGTGAGGCATGCTCACACATTCCCAGTTGAAAGGCAACAGAGGTATCAGTGTATTGCGAATGCTCCAAGCGTGTGGGCGACGAAAAGCTTCGATCTCGCAACGCGGTGTTGATCTCGTAGCGATCGGTTTCCCACTCATACGTCTTTTGCGTCTTACTGGCAGATTGTGTACGTGACTGAGCTAGTTCCAAAGCGAGTTGGTCCGTTTGACTTTTTTCCGGGCGCACATCGAGCGAAAGAGCCGAAAACTCACCTTCGAGGTCGCTGGAAGGCAGCTCGTCTTCTTCGACGCGTCGCTGAAAGTCCAGGTTCAAGTAGAGTTCAAGGCGTTTCGACAATTCTGTCAACCACCGAGGATGATCTTCCCTCAAATGCTCCTGGTCTGCCGAGGACTCGCCGCGAAGCGCTGCGGAGCACCGCGCAACTTGCGCCTCGTGGCACACCGGTGAGGGTCGCTCGCGGCGAAACCCGACCGACTCGTTGTCTGCGCCAATTGTAGAAGCTACATCATCGCCAGAGACCCATTCAGGCACATCCGAAGCCGGCTCTGAGTCAGATAAGACAATAATCGACGCGTCCATACAGAGATGAACACGCGCTTTCGAAACGCGTTCCTCTGCTCGCGCAAGTACCACCTGCACTGTGTAGGTCGCACTGCGGTGTTATGCGCACGAGGCAATTCGGATTTCGGTTTCCAGCCACGGTTTCAGCTGGGGGCGTGCAGGAGTTGTGGCAAGCGGCCCTGCGAAATGGCTACTTCGGCTGGATCTTCTGGTCTACGTTTGTATTATCAGACAAAAATCGACGAGTTTGAGTCTTTAATCCAAGAAAAGGCGGAAACAGTGCGGCGTTTGGAGGCGCAAAGAAATGAACTCAATGGGAGAGTTCGCGGTTTGCGTGAAGAACTCCAACTACTTCAAGAGCCCGGCTCCTACGTGGGTGAAGTTGTCAAGCCAGTCGGTAAGAACAAAGCGCTTGTGAAAGTCCATCCCGAAGGAAAGTATATCGTTGATGTGGAGAAGCAGGTGGCTGCGTCGAGTGTGAAGCCCGGTGCTCGCGTTGCGCTTCGAAACGACTCGTACGCTCTGCACCTCGTCTTGCCGTCAAAGTTTGATCCTCTGGTCTCTCTGATGAAGGTGGAGAAAGTTCCAGACTCCACTTATGACATGATTGGAGGGCTCGATGAGCAGATCAAACAGATTAAAGAAGTGATCGAGCTGCCAATCAAGCATCCAGAGCTATTCGATGCGTTGGGGATTGCGCAGCCCAAGGGCGTCCTGCTGTACGGACCGCCTGGCACAGGAAAGACTTTGTTAGCTCGAGCGGTTGCGCACCATACCGACTGTACCTTCATCCGTGTGTCTGGTGGTGAGCTGGTGCAAAAATACATCGGCGAGGGCAGCAAGCTCATTCGATCTGTGTTCGCGTTGGCACGTGAACACGCTCCTAGCATCATTTTCATGGACGAAGTCGATTCCATCGGCTCCGCACGCATCGACAACAGTCGTGGCGGCGGTGACTCTGAAGTACAACGCACGATGTTGGAGCTACTGAACCAGCTGGATGGCTTTGAGCCAACGACAAACATCAAAGTGTTGATGGCAACAAACCGGATCGACATTTTGGACGAGGCGCTTTTGCGGCCTGGCCGGATTGATCGGAAAATAGAATTCCCCCATCCAAATGAAGACGCACGTTTGGACATTCTGCGTATCCACTCTAGACGAATGAACCTAGTGCGGAGCATCGACCTTCGAGCGATCGCTGCGAAAATGAACGGGGCTAGCGGTGCAGATCTGAAGGCGGTCTGCACAGAGGCAGGGATGTTTGCGCTGCGCGAGCGCCGAACGCATGTTACTCAGGAGGATTTCGAGATGGCAGTCGCAAAAGTAATGCGCCAGGACTCAGAGAAAAATCTCTCTATTGAAAAGATGTGGAAGTAAGAAACAGAGGCAGAGCTCTGGACGATGCTGGGCCTCTATGGCTGTCCATTTTGCCTGGACACGGTGGCTTGTTTTGCGACTTTGATGTGCAATGTGCGCGCTGGGGTATCTCATCATGTTGGTGCAGATTGAACCAGCTGAAGCGCTGGACTTGGAATATGCATTCCCGAGACATTTTTCTGAAACTGTGGTGACGGAGAATATGCGATGCCGCCCCTGGTTGCACTTATGCACAAGTCGACGGAGTGCACCGTACATCGCAGGGTTCATCCCCGAATTTGGACGAGATGTTGTCCAGTTCGTGATCAACGGGGTAACCTCATTGATGCGCTCACCGAGGAGAAACGGTTTCACTGGAGCAGTGAGAATTGCTTCCATAATGTGACCACGTATGCTTCTAGACAAGGTGGTGATGCGGTAGGTTCATGGAAATGACACCAAATACATCTTATCACTCCCGGGAAGCGTGACGGTTTTTAACCTAAAGCTATGTACGATTCTGCTTCACTTTTTGCAGCAAGCGAATGGATATGTACGAATATCCATGCGGGCAGCTTCGAAAGGCTGCTAATACGGGCCGCATCGGCAAAAGAAATCCTGTACCTCCGAGTGCGTATCAAAACCAGTGTTTCTCGCGATGTCTCCTGTATGTTCATCGCCAAACTGAGTCCGTTTCGAAAGGGCGCAGTGAACTTCAAAGAAGCGCGCAGGGAATGTGAACAGCCTTTCGAAGCATTGAAACCTGCCCGCGGCCGCCGATATGCACACAATGTGAACACAAGGCTTTTTCTTTCAACTCCCGGCGCTCTGTCCAACTGCGGTCACAAAACAGGGGCGGTGCGACGCGTGTGACGTTCGCGCGTCCTTTTCGCGACCCGGGGCTTTGCGGTATCGAAATCAGCGTCGTCAAGCCCCCCGCGAAACAGAATCCGTCAAGAAAAGAAATCGAAACATCGTTCGTGGGGGATCCTTGTGAAACTTTCCTCCCAAGAGCCCGCCCAGGTTCAGTTTGATCCATCTGAGAAAATATTGACGTGAAGATATCCTCAAGTGCGGCGTCGCTTTGCACCCGGGCGCCTCTCTCTATCGCCAGCGGTCATGGTAGCTTTTGCCTGGGTCCGGATATGGGTCCTACTGCAGTTATTACCGAGAAAGATTCGCGCTCGAGCCAACTCTGCAGCTCCTCGAAGTCGCGCGGATAGCCTGCTGGCTGTGTCGGGAAATTTTTCGCCCAAGTCGTTGCATCTCTTGACTAGGAATTGGAACGCACCACGGGCACCTGTCCGAGCGAGGCCGTTCATAATCCGAGCTAGTCGTTTTGGCGTAGTACGACCTCTGAGCATGGCAAGCTCCATCAAAGTTACGGTGCCATCGGGCTGTGCTTCATCAAAGAGAGCGAGCACGAGATTTCTCACCATCACCAGCTCGTCGCGCTCACTGGTCGCAGACAATTGCCGAAAAGACTGGGATCCTTCTGCGGGAGCATTGAAGAAAATTTCGCTATCTAGCACGAGAGCGCCACGGACAAGAAACGTCTGATCTGCTAAAATGTCGACAAGCTCAGTCTCTTCGCAAGGGAAGCGCGCATTCACAACTGAATACAGGCGTTCAAACGGTACAACTTGAGCGTGACGGAGCAGCTTCACTATGTAATCGCTGATGGCGTGCAATCGATCCGCTTTTCGAAGTTGAGGTGATGACGGGCCCAGATGCTCAAGACCACCAGTCCATCGATCCATTGCCAGCACAATGCCCCGTCCGAGAGTCTCGGAATCAATCTGGTATTTCTCCGACACGAAACAGCGCTGCGCTGCTGTTGGTGCAAAGCGATCTCGGAGCTCAGCCCGCTGTAGGAAACGCGCTTGTGGTGCATTAGAGAGAGCATCCAGTTGCTCGGGCCTTATTCCTTCAATATTCACTTCATTTGCTGTCGATTCGTAACGCACGAGCACCCACGGATCTGCGCCTGCGAGTAAACGTCGCTGTGACGTCAGAAGGTCGCTAGCGTTGGTCGTCTTGCTCTGCTCGCTCCTTCGGAAGACGATATCTACTTCGACCGGTACATCGCGGTGATCACTTAGGGGCTCACCTCCCTGCAAGCTCCCAGATGTCGAGGGATCAACCAGACCGGAAGGAAGCATATGCAAGACAGCGTGCACGGGCACCAAAACAAAAGCAGTTCCTTGGCCCGGTATGACAACTCTTCGCAGCAGAACGGTGTTGTACTCGCCACGCTCACGCTTGGCCGCTAAATAGTGGATTCGTGGGGCGCTGGAACTCGCTGCTGCATCAGACAGCGGACTGGGTTGGTGCCTGCTAGTGCTGTGATCGCCTTCCGGTCGGTGCACGCGTTTTGCTGCATCACCTGCCAGTGGAGAGGTTGCAAGTGGGCGCTCCGCTTGAGCTGTCAACTGTGCTGGTGCGGCGGGGTATCGAAGCGAGTCTAGTGCAGGGTGGGCGTAGTGCGCAGTTCGTGGACGGTGCCATATTTCTAGCTCTTGCTGCGAAACCTTCCAGCGCACACCTGCGATGCTTGAGTCTTTCGCTTTCAACGGAAAAAGTTGACTCGCAACGGTTGCGTTGCCACCTTGCAAAAAGTCGAATTCTAGAAGTAGGTCTTCTGTGTAGCTCTCATTAGGTTCCAGGCTTTCTATGTGACGCAGCTGTCTACCGATCTGAAAAGGCTCGACAAGGTTTTGTGAAGTGTCGCTGCCTTCTTCGAGAAATTCGTCGATATTTGTGTTGATCAGATACAGCGGCCATGAAGCAACAACTTCGGTTTTCATGACTTATGTCGCAGGCGCGATAAGGTCACGCTTGAGAGGGGCGGTTCGAGACCAGGTATGCGCCCATGAAGAAGACCTTCACCAGTTCGACCTAGTGTCGCGAACAGCCGCTCACCACCTGGACGAGACAACGCTCCTGGCACCAACGCCCTACGTAAACAGTTATGCTGTGCACAGCCTCGTGTTCGTGCGCACGCCGACGGCCTCGTGCCTCCTGGTATGCACTACGTCGCGCAGCAGCGGCTCGATCTGCAGTGCAATGCAGCAGAGTGCACTGCAGTAATCCACGGTAATGAGCAGCGTGAGCGACGACGACTACGTCGACAACCACAACAACAGATGCCGCAACCGTAGTTTCCAGTAGGGCGTAGTCGTCGACGACCGCCACCCGATCAGACAATAAACGGCACGCTAGGCAGGCGATCCGATTTCCGAGGCACCAAAGACTGGTAAAGGAGAAACTGAACGAGCGTGCAGCAGTACGACATAGTACTTCGACGGAGCGATACTTCGCTAGCAGCCGTATCCGGTTCGGGAAGTGTGCCTCGAGCGTCCGTGAGCGGGCGACTCGCGCCTTAAACGCTGCCCGCTCGTAGCGTCCTCTGCGGCTTGCCAGTATCCTTTGTGTGGTGCGTCCGCGGTACTCTGCACAGGGCTCCTTGACAGGGGACCTAACACCGCTCGAATGCACAACGCCTTGTTTAACGCTATGAGCGCATAGGAGATATCGCAGAGTTGTCGTGCTTGCTGAAGGATTACCAAGATAGCTTCAGCCATCAGATGGATACAGCAACTCAAGTTTCGAAGCTGATGCTTTCAATAGACTGTTTTCCGCTCCACAATTTTGTGACGTGAGACGGCCGTACCATGGAGTCGCTGTATCAGTCTGGGGATCCTATGCATCCGTAAAAACCTCCGAGGTATTTGTTGCGCCCCTTCGACTGAGCCGCAAGTCGGTGTGGAATCGTGGACTCGCGTCCTGAAACCCGATGCCCGCTCAGTGGGTGGGTGATTCCGAGAACGTTTGCCATCCGTGGTACCGTTGTGTGGTTCGTTTCACACCCAGAGTAGGAAGCATGAACTTGCAAGCACTGTGGACGTCCGCATGAAATCTATGCCGCGGTACGCATGCATATGACGGAACAAGTACGGATAAACTCTCGGCGACACACGGCTTGCATCAAAATATTTTTAAACAACCAGAACTCCTACGGCCTCCCTGCTACACCCACGGGGGAATAGAACGGAACGGATCCGCATACCTGACTGGGGCGCACGTTCTAAAGTTTGGGTCTCTTCCAATTGTCAACGACACCAGCCTTTGCTGGCTTCCTCTGCGACTGCTTCCCTACTCTGTCTCTCTCTCTCTTATCTTCGGCTTTACATACAATGGTTCATGTTTTTCCTCCAGCTCTCTTGGAAGCCGTCCAACGGTGGTGCTGGCACCATTCAAGCCACGAGTTCACCGATTGCAGCAAAGAGCGACGCATTTCATGTGCAGGCGCTGGTTGTGTCCTACGCATCGCTTTCCACTCTCACGTTCGTTGTACACTGCGTCGACGCACCTTCTTCCAGATATGCGACTGGTGCCTGGTTGCGTTGTCCTATATGTCGACCAAACCTCCTCCGCGGAGAACCGCCCTGAGGCTCCGGAGGGTACGCTTCATCGCATAGGTATATGCACTCGACGGGCGAGGAAAGCTTCCCTCGCATGCCATCACACGTTTCAGCGCCTGTTGGCGTACCCTGCGACTAGGGGCGTCTTCTGCGCTGTCCGCTCAGCGAGTACTCTGCGCGCTGGACACGCAGGCGAACGACGTTCCAATCGATCGAGGGTTTCTGGAATGCAATGCTATCCGCGATGCAAAATACACCGGAGCGAGTCCCCTGGCTGGAGGACAAGTCGCAGGACTTCGACCGCCCGACGCCTTCCCACTGAAAAGCGTGTACGCGCTCTCCTATGAAATCCATCGCAGCGACGACCAACGTCCGACTCCGTGACGCCCTTCGATGCACCCGAAGAGACGGGAGCGCTTCTGTGAGCATATTCCGTGCGGGATATGCAGCTGCTGCGGAATGACGCCTCGTCGATGGCGGGTACGAGGTGCGAGTTTGTCTATCGAACGAAATCGATGATCATCTGAAGATGACAGGTCCGGTGAGTGTTCGGCACGAGTTTGCGAACAGCCCGTCAAGAGATGGCGTTGAGCACTTCGCCGAGCCGCATACGCAGTAGGTATTGGTGCGCGCACGAGCAGCCCTGAAACAGAGCGGTCGAAAACTGGAAGCATGCGTGAATCGAGCGTGCTGCACGGAAGGGTACGCACATGCAAAAGGCTTGTATGTATGCATTAAATCGTGCTAACGCTTGTTTTACCAGCCCTAGCTCGATTTCGTTGCAAATCGTCTTGGCTCCCGAGCCTCCCTGCGTTTCGACGGCAGAGCGTCGAACAAGCATGTCAGAAAAGACGGCCGAGAATCCCTTAATTACATATGAAACCTCATGCCCTTCCTGTTACAATGGTAGAATACATATTCCACAAACCAAAAAGCTTTCAGACAAAATCGATATCCAGGAACACCGAGCACTTTAGTATGCTCCTTTCACCTGACACGGGTGTAGGGTAGCGTCGCAGCGCGTGCTTTGCAGTCGATACTCAAACTCAAACACACACACACATACACTCAGGGAGAGATACACATTGTGCTGCAACTCGTGCGCAATGCCCAGTACGCAGATCACCAGCGGTGGCGGTGCCCTGGTACCGACGTCGGCGCTGGGCGATCGCAGCGCTCCGGTACTCGACCTCGAACGCGTGCTACTGGAGCGCCTTGGAAAGGAACGCAAGCTGCTTCTCCTTTCCAGGCTATTGAGTGGCCGAGCGGAGGAGGCTATGAAATGTGGCTCTACTGTGCTTTAGCTTCGCGAAAGCAGGTATCATGCCCCAAAGCAACGGTGGTAGGTGCTTGGCATACGAGGCACGTCTCAATACGAAGAGGCTTTGTGCATCGCCTGTGTCGGGGAGCGTTTTCACGGACAGGCTCGCCGGCACTATGGAAGCGCTTGAGCGTTCAGTCGGCGTTGGTGGTACCCTCGATTCATCCGAGTCAACCAGAGGAAAGCGACCCTGAGGAAGGAAAGCTTCGAGCAGTCCCGCTCGGAGACATATTTCCGAATGACTACGTTGTGCACAACACGTACGGCGTGGGGAAGTATCTCGGTTTGGAGTTCTTACGAAGACGAATTCTCAATAACAGCACAGGAAACGCCACGGAGTTGCAGGAGTTCATTGTGTTGCAGTACGCCGACGGGATCCTTCGCGTACCCGTGGACCAAGTAGAACTGTTGTCTCGGCTTCAGTCCGGTGTTTTGGACGTCGACGAGGACACTGATGAAGATAGTGAACTGCCATACGAAGAGGTAGAGACATCAAGGTCGGTGCGGGGTCGAAAGCCAGGCTCAGGCAAAGCCTCGAGAGTGAAAAAACGAGCGCTTGGCGGCAAACCTCGGCTAGACGCCATCAGCCGGACGCGTAACTGGGAGCAGCGACGGAACCGTGCCTTCAAGGCCGTCCAAAAGGCAGCAATAGATATCCTGCAAATTGAGGCGCTTCGAAAGTCGGTGAAGCGTCCGCGTTATCGATTTGATCCGAAAGATCCGTTATACGTAGATTTTGATAGCGCTTTCGAGTACAACAGGGCGGGCGGTCTCACAGAGGATCAGCAAAGGTGCGTTGCTGACGTTTTCTCCGATCTTTGTGAGAGGGATCTGCCGATGGACCGCTTGATTTGTGGAGATGTGGGTGTGGGCAAGACCGAGGTCGCGATGCGTGCGATATTTTTAGCAATCTTGAACAACCGGCAGGTAGCAGTCTTGGCACCAACCACAACGCTCGCCGCCCAGCACCTGCGGACGCTGCGGCGACGTATGCCCGAATACGTGCGTATTGGGGCCCTGTATCGCGATGTCTCCACAAGGGAGGCACGCCAAGTGCTTGAAGACGTTGCTTCAGGCAAGATAGATATTCTGGTGGGGACGCATGCCCTGCTCAATGAGCGCGTGCGCTTCCATTTGCGCCGACGGCATGTGAACGATGCGCAGACAGCGGCAGACGCAACTGCAGCTGCGGCCGCTCGGAGTCGGAGTGGGTCACCAACACTGACCCCTGCATCGGGCAATGCTCCGCGGATTGCTCGCGATGGCCTGCTGCTCGTCATCGATGAAGAGCAGCGATTCGGCGTAACGCACAAGGAAAAGATCAAAATTCTCGATCAAACGAGGTCGTTTTATGCCGACGATATTGCCGTTGATGTGCTGACTCTGAGTGCAACACCCATTCCGCGGACACTCTACATGGCGCTTTCCGGCATCCGGGATGTTAGCATGATTCATCGAGCACCGGCGTCTCGCTTACCAGTCCGCACGTTCATTCTTGCGCAAGGTCCGGAGAGCGAATTGCTAGTAGCCAAGGCAATCGCTCATGAATTGAGACGAGGAGGTCAAGTCTTTTACGTCGTGCCGCGCATCGCGGACATTCCAGCCGCCTACGAGCGCATCAAGGCATCGCTCGCGTCCAAGAAACTGGAGGTGGTACACTACCCGATCCTGGTCGGGCACAGTCGAACGAGTCGCTTGGAAGATGTCATGGTTTCGTTCGCTTCTGGTCGTGGTAGAATACTTTTGTCGACAACGATTGTCGAGAACGGCATCGACATTCCATCGGCTGGAACGATGATCGTGGAGAGCGCGCACAAGTTCGGCCTCGCCCAGCTGTACCAGCTGCGAGGACGTGTAGGTCGCTGCGCTAATCTCCAGGCATACTGCCTCTACTTATTTGATTCGAGGGTGATCGAGGACAACCAGGACGCACAGATGCGGTTGCAGGCTTTGCGGGAACTTACGCAAGAGCGATCCGCACAAAAGCGCAACCCGCGTTCTGTCGGACTGCGGATCGCCCAAAGAGACCTGGAGATTCGCGGAGCAGGCGACTTGCTCGGAGCAAGCCAGTCTGGAACACAATGGAATCTGGGGCCAGAGCTCTTCACGAAAATGTTACGAGAAGCGATCAAGCATCTGCAGTACAAACAGAAGAGGGAGAGGACGTTCGCCGACTCGTCGGCGCCATCGCCATCCCTTCGAGAGTACATGTGTGTCTGCGAATTTGCGCTGCAGGGACTCTCACCAGCTATACCGCGTTATCTCATTCCGGACTCGCAACAGAGGGCCCAGGTCTACCGTGACCTCACTTCCGTGGGCAGTGAATCTGAGCTTGATGAAGAATTTGCCGACGTTTTGCGCGGACGGCCCATGCCCAAACCTCTTCAACACCTTGTATTAATGATGAAGACAAGGTTGTATGCGCGGCAGCTGGGCGTTTTGCGGATTAGCTCCGAAGGATCGGACACCGTCCTACAGAGTCCAGCACCAGTCCACATCTGGAAGCAGATTCTGGACGAGCTGAGGCAGATGAGTACAAGGTCGCGAGCGCTCTCAGCTCTGAACATCGAACATATCTCCTGTCGATCGAGTATCCAGGGAACGCAAATCCTACTGCGCGGCACAGGAAAACTCCCCGCAGAAAAGCAACTGTCCCAAGTGCTCGCGTTACTTCGGGCGTGCAATGTCGTATGTACCGAATCCGGGTTCTGTTGACAAATGCTCGATGCCTCTCATTCTCATCCTCATCCTCATCATCGTTGTTCAGTGCAGCGCGCGATCGATCACCAGTTCATGGCTTTTGGAGCGTTCTGCGCACAGCTGCTGGCGTCGTACGCCGCTGTGCGCTTCACCCGGGCACCTGGTCTCCCAGCGGATGCTGTCCAAGTCGCTTCTTGACTAGGTCGCTATTTGACTCGAACGCACCGGCTTTCGGCATTATGAAGGGCGATATTGTCGACTGAGGATCTGCAAAGCGAGACTGATGTCAAAGCCCGGCGGTTGAGCGACCTCTGCTGAGGCGCCTCCCGCGTCGACATTCATTCCGGAGCGCAGCGGTGCCTCGAGCGCGTCTCGACGAACGACACAAGCGAGAAGCGCTCCGTCCGGATTGCAGACCTCGTCTACATAGGCTGCGGTGTCGTCCGTGACTGGCAACAAGTACAACTCCAGCACATCATTTCGCATCAACAAGGAAGCACGATCTCGCTTCCGAAATTCGTTCACGGCTTTGAGGCAACGAGCCGCGGCATCGGTATCCATCGCATTCAAGCCAACGTGAAACAAAAGCAACCGCCGGGAGCTGGAACGCTCCCGAACGTCGCGAATGAAGGCAAGTGCGTCTCGCTGACGTATTCGTGCCATCTCGTTGAGTTGCACGGTGTGGCCACCCAGAAGCTCTGCGAGCCGGGTGAGCTCGCTCATGGACGCAGGATAGTTTCGACCCACGTAAAGAACAGGTTTAAATGCTGGGGCAGCACCGGTGGCGATCTTGCCGTGCCACTGGAAGACCTGCAAGGATGACGGCAATGCAGGCGTTTCGCTTTCGAGCTTTGCATATGATGGTGCTGGCTGGGTTACGGGCATGTATGGATCAGATTCGGGCGTCGACGTGTCGTCCGGTGTGTGTGCAGCTTCCAGCGGCTCCGCCTCGTAGACCGTAAAAGCGTTCTCCTGAAAGCATCGAACGGGTTCCAAATCTGCGGGGAGTCGCGGCGGGAGATGCGTCTGCTCCGCCTGCAAAGTCGTTGCTGACGTTGTTTCGTGAACAGTGGTCGTGTCGGTCTGTGTAGAGGGGCAATCGGCAGCGCTCAGCGGTTCAGTGGTATCCTTGGCGTGCGCGATCATGTCGTTCTGTGCAGGTGAAAGCGGCGCATCGGGAGACAATGTCCGGGTCGCGCTGCCTTGCTCTGCAGTTTCCGCGGATGGTAGCACTTTGGGCGCTTCACTCGAATTTTCTCGAGTATCTATGTTTGCATCAAGAGCGTGAATCGTTTCGGGGTCATCTGAATCACGTGCATTCGCTGGCGGAACCTCTTTGAAAATGAGACCAACTTGTTCAGCGCTCTCAATGACGCGGAGCTTTTCTGCACGTGTTAGCTGTTCTTGGCGCTTGATGCGAAGCTCCTTGCAAGCCAGCTCCTCTGAGTTCATCTGGCATAGTGTGGACGGAGATATCGAGCCACTGATCACGGCTTCGCGAAGTTCGTCGTTTCGCTGGTCGCGCAGGTTGGCCACGAGGTTCCGTAAACGAGCACGGTAGTCATCGTGAACCTTGTGATCCATGAGCTCAAATAAGGCCGATTCTATTTCATAGGCAACTGGGGAACGTAGCGCTTCATACAGCATTTGGCGTGCCTTTTGCCGTATGGGCTCTACAGGTTTTCCATCCCCGCTCACCCGCTTCTTCTTCGGGGATACGGGCGTCGACTCCTGCTCGGGAGCCGGCCCCGGCTCAGAAGCAGGAGATGCTTCGTTTGCGCTCGGACGGCGGCGCTTCTTCGGAGCCGACGCTGTCTCCGAAACAACGCGCTCGGGCGGTACTGAGACCCCACATCTGGAGACGAGCGGGTCCTCTGCAAGTCCGCTACTACTGCTCGAGCTGCTCTGGTGCGTTTGCAGAGCAGCAGCAGCTGCTGCCTCAACGGATTGCCGGTGCTCGTACCGACGTTGACGCTTCTGCTGCACGTAGCGCAGGTGTGCTTCGCGAAACTTGTTCGCAAGCTTGCGTTTCTCTGCAGATGCTGTGGCAGCAGCCGCTTCCTCCAAACACCCTGGACACACGAACACCGGTAACGCTTCAGCTTCCTCGTGCGAAAGAGCGACACAAGTCGGATGGAACCACTCCGTGCAGGCGTCGCAGCAGACGACCAGCTCTCCGTCTACGTACGGACGCTGGCAGGTACAGTTGAGCGTTTCCTCTTCCTCAGCGCTTTCCCTGCTGTGTTTGTTATCCCTGTTTATCCTTTGATTTGTTTTACTTTGATTTTTACGGGCTCGTCGCTGGTTCGCCATTCTCAGAGGCAAGCGCAATTCGAGTTTCAACAGAGCTCGAGAACATGGGTATCTCGTGCAGGGCGGTGCCCCAAGCGATTTTTCACGTTCATTGACAAAACGTTTACTTAGGCCAGCGTTCTCAGATGATGCGCTCTTTCTTTTCTTTTCTTTTCCAGTGCACGGTGAGGTATCCATCAAACCCTCTTCGTCCAAGTTACATGAATTAAACCTCTTCTCGGATAGTCTGATCGTTTGATACGTCCTATCTTTTGCCTAGTGCCTGCCGAACGCGACCGCAATGGCGTCTATAGCGCCGGTGCGGTTGCTGCACCAGGGCAGAACTGCTTTTCTATAATACAGAGGGCGTCGGCTCGAGGACGCGCGTGCCGAGGCAGTGCACCACGACGCCGCCAGGCTTGTTTGCACAAGTCGGTACAGGTACGCTGTGCATCTCGCAAGCGATCTCGCTACGTCATATTCGTTATGGATGTGTTTCAGCTTTTGGCTTTGGTGGTGCTTCAGACTCGTGGCAGTGGAACGCGGAGCAAACGTGTACGCCCAGGAGTCCGGAGGCGTTCGCGCAGGATGCCAAGAGGCGAGCGTTCCCGTACGCAAAGGGGCAAGGGTGCAAAAACGCCTTCTGTGCAGAGTCGATTTGCGATACGCACCGCTTGGAGGAGCGATTGCTGGGATGCAGCAGTAAAGTCGCGAGAGGCACGTGACTTCAGGTCCATCTCGGGGGCGAATCAGGTATCGAAAAGCGACTTGAAAGCTCCTGTTTTGAATCGGGGCCTCGCGCGCCGAACATGAGTACATTCATAAGCGCATTGCATGGAAGAGGTCCGCTCGGCGAGTTCGGGCGTCGATTGTGAACGCTGGTGGTTGTACTATTATCATGAGAAAAAGCCTGTGTCGGTTTTTTCTGCAACTGAATCCTTTTGCTCTCTCTCTCTAGTATCGTGCCTAACATAAGTCGGTCACTCCGGTGACGCCAGCTCCACTGTCGGCAATCGAATGTATCGTTTGCCCTGTGCAAGTCTTGATTTCGCAGCATCCTGCTGTTGTCGATTCGTTGCATGCACAGGTGGAGGTTAGGACCCGTGCTTGGTATTTTCAATTTGTTCGCGTGCAGCCTCGTTGCGCCCTTCGTAATTGTTACAAGTAACTGTGGTCAGGTGTTCCTGAATGCCCATCACAATGCCTTCCTACAGCACCGCCCGTGCCATGCTTCCAGGATTGTTTCATCGCTCGACGCATACGTGTAGCTAGTTGCGAAGGCTAACCTCGCTTCTCTCCATCGCTATTGCGCCGGATGCTTCATCCTCGGATCCCCTGCTTTTTCTGTGCAACCGCGCCTCGTGCATACCGAATCCGTCGTTTACGCTAGCATTTGTTGTGCCGCCCGACAGAGGATTCATCGAACGCGCTGTTATCCATAATGAAGTGCGTACCAGGACGAAATTCCGGGCGGGACAGCAAGTCAGGGAATGTCGAATCGTCTACGCTCTCTTCATGCAAAGCGGTTGCGCCCTGTCGATTGGAAGCGATAGCTGCGATGACCGCGGTCCGGAAAAAGTCCACTGCCCCACGTAAACAGAAGAGACGGGAGCCTCTTGAAGCATACCTCTAGCGCATTACCGTGCTGCTGCCGAGTGCCGTCTCAGGGATGATCTCGAAGAGAGGAAAATTTGGCTTTCGAATGGAATCGGTTATTTGACGTAACGAGTTCGGTGACCGTTCGGCATGAGCTTGTGAGCAAGTCATCAACGAACGACACTACGCGTTTTCCTCGCCAATACGGCGGGGTGCACTGCTGCGCCCACGACTTGCTCGAGCCAGAGAGATAGAAATGCTGAAGCATTCGTGATTTGGACGTGCTCTACACGAGTCAAGCAGAAGAGTCCGCAATCGTACTCATGGACTGCATCATGATATCGGTTATGTATCCAGATCCTTGTTCGAGGACGTAACGATTCATCTCGGTTCCGGTAACGTAAGGAATCCCTCCAGCCAAGGGCAGCAGAGCGACTCCGAGAAAATAAACGACCGAGAATCCCAAACAATGAATGAATCCGTAAGCCAGAAGAGCAGCGCGTTCAACGTCGACGCTGTGCATCTGTGGCAAAGAGCGGAAAAAGTCGAAAAGCAGAAACCATCTGAGCGGTACAATATTCCATGCCTACCGAATACAGACAGCGTATTCGTGCGCTGCTGCAGCTTCGGAGCGCTGCATCCAGCAGCGGGTGTCGCGCTCGGCGAGCTCGTCCGCCGCGAGGCCCCGCTCGAGTCCTTTTTGATGCCTAGCGCCGGGCGGTACCCCGATTGGTGCATGCCTGCCATACGCGTTTCATCCGCTGATTTGTTTTGTACAAGAAGGGCAGATACACGTATCGAATAAAAACAATGATGCGCGGACGACAGGATTCGAACCTGTGCGGGCAGAGCCCAAACGATATCTAGGCGCTTTCTAATCGTTCTCCTTAACCACTCGGACACGTCCGCAATGCCACCGAAAATTCGTCAAATCTGATATATATAGCCGTTTGATCAAAACGGACATGAGATGCGCGCGTCGTGATCGCGCTTCATTCGCGGGCGAGCCGCGGATGCACAGCATCGATCCCACGCACGATAGGACGTATGAAACGTCCAGAATATCCGAGACGAAGTATAGGTAATGGAACATGGAGGTAGGGTGTTTGATAGATACTTCACAGTGCACTGAAAAAATAACACAAAAAAGTAAGAAAAGGAAAATGCGCATAATCGGAGAACGCTGGCCAATGGAAACGTTTTGTCAATGAAAAAAAAATCGATTCCAGGCGTCGCGGACCTGGTGCACGCGCAAGTGCCGTATCGGTTTCGGGCAGAGCGACAGCCTGGCGATTTGTGAACGCTATCCGACATTCTGGTGCAGTGGCGACTGCGCTGGCTGCGCTCACTTCCATGTCGGTCGTTGCTGCCTTGAGTAGAGCGAATCCGTGGTCTCCATCACGGAGCATCAAGGGTTCAGCGTTGATTGGGGAGTTTCAAAGAGATTTTAAGTTGAACAGGAGTTGAACATGAACATGGAAAATTCAGGACAATGGTGTGAAAGCAGCGGCCTGGGATGAACGCGTCCACCATCACAGGATTGTTGCACTGGACACGAAAGTCTTCCGCTTTCGAGGATTTGCAACCGCTCCGCCCAATCCATCGTATCGGACGCGAGTTTTTTCTGCAGTTCTAGAAGCCTACTGAAAAGATAGGGATATTGCTCTTGCATTCAATGGCTTCGGGTCTCAAGCGACGCACGTGCGATGCCTCAAGGACGAATCCGTATTCGTAGCAAGAGAGACATGCCGACAGATAGACCTAGAGCAGACCATTGGGACAGCATATTCACGACAGGGCAATGCGTCACGTCCTTTTAAATGTTTAGGGAACGCGACAGACCATGACCGCGACCTGCACGATCATTCGAGTCGCGCTTCGTTGAACGCGTGAGCAAGCAGCGCCGTCGAACCATGTCAAGTCGCGCGTGAACGGCAGCTTGCGGAGGCAGAAGTGCTCAACTCCCAAAGCCGTATCCATCCCGAGCCTCGATTCAGGACGGAGCCATCGCCCTGCATTCGTTACGTTCGCCGCTTGAGTCAAGGGGGTTGACTCCTACTGCCTGCGGATTCGGCCCAATGCGGCGACGCAAACGGGGAGTTGCAACGCCTACCTCCGATGCAACTGGTGGATCCATCAGGTGACGATACAACGACCACGAGCGGTCTCTAATTTTGTTTCGCGTCATCTGTTCTGAACGATCACTGTCATTGTCAGTGCCGGCAACTGAGTCCGCTCCAGTGCTCAGGTCTTCCATGAGACTTGACGTTCCGGACAAGGCGCTCAACTCTGGTGCTTGAAAAGTGCACGCGTTCTCGAGTTCCGCAGCATCAGGCTGCAGCACGGGCGTAACGCTGGCAAGAGCAGCCTCCGTTTGATTCGTAAGACCAATACGCAGTCCTTCTACACTGTTCGTTGCACTCGATAACGTGCCCTCAGTACTAGTGCTCAGCAAAGCAGACAAGATCGCTCCCTGTCCGGTTCTGTGGTTCGCTGGTTCAGGTGACGCTCGCGTCCTGTGCCCTCTTTCGGGCGCTTGTCGAGTCGATCTTATACTTTCGCGACCATCAGGCTCATACTTCGAAGCCGATGTTTGGTAAATAGCAAAAGAAGCACAACCCAACACGAGTAGACTCCGTATCGTGTACCGCGGCATTCGAGTCGCGGCGCTACAAGCGAAACGTTGTGCGCGGGAACTGCCACCCGGAAAACGGGTATACGAACGCACATACGTCACGCCGATAGCGTGGAAGCCTTTAGGGCGACGTGCAGACGCCTTGTCGGTTTTTCTCGACCGGCCACCTACTACTGGTTTCAACTTTCCTCATCTAATTCCATCGTAGAAGGTTGTCCATAAAATTCTCTCTTGTCAACTCCGGAGGTCTTCTTTCCATCACCGCACATCTCCTGGTATTGATTGCTGCGTTAAAGTCGCGATTCACAAACTCCATACGTTGCTTGCCGTTGGTTGTACTTACTAATGCATGGAGTCCACGAACTTTCGCCGTTCTTTACGTTTGCTGCTCTGTCAGCTCTCCGCACTTCTCTGTATCCCAAGGTCTTCTCTGACACTTTTCCATCTCCACTCTCTGAAGTGTGCATCCCAGTTCATGGTGCGTATACGATGCTCGAAACTCATCTACAGGTATCGTAATGAAACGCGTTGCGCACTACTTGTACACCATCGTCGTTGGAGCTGGTCCACTCGCTTTTTTGGGTCTTCCAGCGCCCTGCTCCGCATGCTATTACGAGCCTCTGTCTCTCGTCCTCCTTCAGGGCACTCAACTCATTGAAAAAATTCGCGAATGCATGCTACTTGTTACGGTACAGGTTCATACGTAGACGAGCCCACTGGGGCTTTGTATTCTCTTTCCACAGCGCCTCCCAGTGAGCCACGCGAACTTCCATGAATTTCATAAAAGCTTCAAAGCCCGCTTCTCGGCTCGTCACCTCCCTCATAGCTTCCAGGCGATCCTTCATTCCTGCATTCCACTTCTCAATTTTTTTCCTCGCATTCATTATACCGCATTCTCGGTAACCTCTAGCTCTTGAGAGCCTCAACAGACGCATGTGTTTCTGAAGTTGCCGTTGATACCATCTTCCGCATGTTTGGGTACAGCGACGGTAACAATATTCGTGTTCGTAGGGTCCGCGCCAACAACAAAGTCTTTATCCTGCACCGCATGCGTCGCAGGATCCGCCTCCTCTTTTTCTTTATGCCTCGCCGACGGCGAAGCATGAAGATGCAATGGGACGATCCACTTTCAAGCGCCGATCGTGTACACACACGGCTGCTCCATCGGCTTCGATCACCTCAGTAAATAACTTTTGTTTGCTCGTTTTCAGACGTTTGAAATCGAACATATTCACCCAGTACGTCTCCCGGTTTTCGCCCGTAAACTCGTTGCTGCTTACATCGAAGTCCGGATAGATCTCCTTCATTTTGCTGTAAAGTACGTAGCGGGCCAACTGTCACAACATTTGACTCGATGTTGCATAGCGGAACGACATTGAAGCGCTTACCCATTAGGGCAGCGTTCCGTTTCGCTGACTCTTCATTTTTCTCCTCACACTCTGCTCGATCTCCGCCTTGCGTTCGAGGTCTCTGTTCAGAAACACGGAATACTACAGTACGAGGGTATACCGTTTCTCTTCATTTTCTTTTCATATCTGATACCGTTTAAGCTGGATTTGACAAGCCCCAAGACCGCACGATGCTCTTGAATAGCCGCACGAATTACAGAAGCATTATTCATGCTCCTGTGTGATGTCTTTTTGTCGACGAATTCGATCTCCTGTCCATTCTGGCGAGCGTTCTTGATGCCATTGATGATGGCCCGTATCCACTGGCGAGAAAGGCCGGGGTTCAGCGCAAACATGGTGCGTATCATGAAACGTTCGAGGTTCACGATCATATGGTTCTTCAGGTTCGTGAGGCCCTCCATTGCTCCGTACGTGTAAATATTCGAGTCAGGCATGTGTCGAGTACCGTCGAAGCGGAATTCGGAGTGATTTTCATGGAAGGCATACACTCGCTCATTTTTCGTCGACGTTTCCCCGGTGCCAAGCATCAGGTGAGGAATAAAGGCCTGGTCGCAAAATTCTTCTGCAATCTCGACTTTTTTGATGTCCGTCACGTCTTCGTACATATCCTTCACCAAATGCATTAGCCCTGACGAAGACTTTATAATCCTCCTGGAGAACGACTCGGTCCGGTTTCTGATGGCCTCTCGCAACTTTTCCTAGTATGGATCATTAATATGTCCAAGAAGACAGGCTTCCAGCACCATTCCGTCGCAGTGTCGTCTTTCTTGCAGCCTTTGGCGTAGGGCCTCCTTCTCTTGCTTCTTCGTCTTTTCCTGTTGCTCTTTGCTCCGCCATGCTTTTTATTCTTCTGGCAGCCGGCGGCACAAGCCCTTCGGGATCCTCAACTTGCTTTTCGCTAACTTCCCTTTTTTATTTTTTGAAAATGAACACACGTTGAACGCTTCAGCTATAAACCGCGAGAAATCACTTGAATATACTTGCTTGAGGGTTGAAAAACAACTGAATTGAAATCTATGGTTCGGTACGACTGCAACGCAAAGACACCTTGTACTTTAGAGCAACATGATAACGATGAGGATCGCGTTTCTCTTCCACTGCGAAACGCGCGCCGCATCTCATGCCTGCCAGACATGGAGGTGCGCGTATCGAATATGCTATACAGAACCATGAACAGAAACGAACCATTAAATAACAACGATAGGACAGGTTCTTCTCCTCTATATGGTAAACGTTGCATGGGGGAGCGCTATCCGCATTTCGAAAATTTTACCATACAGGCGGAAGGTCCCGCAAGCCGGACGAGTCTGCGTGGCTCATGCTCCGTGTGCCTCTAAAGTGGAGGATGTTGTAATGAGATCTGAGCAGCTCGTCCGCAACACACTTCATTCTGGGACTAGCGGCGGTTCGGCTGCTTCTGAGCATCGCGCTGGTCGCAGTAGACTCCTAGCATATCGCTTCGAGCTTCTGCAGGCAGTCGTTCTGTCTGCGCAGCTTGCAAGCGCCCAGAATGACCATGTACTCCGGCTCCGTATCAGGTGAAGCGTTCCTCGATCCGACGCCCTCACTGGTACGGCAAAGCCGTCTTGTCTCCATGATGCATCTGTTCCAGCGGTCTAGGCGCTAAGGCGGCTGCTCACAGCAGGCACTCGGCGCGCGATAGAACATACGAAACGACCAGCACATTCGAAAGCAAGTATGAATAATAGAACTTGGTGCAGTAGCATGATGTGCACTTTTTTTCGATTACCAATACCCATCCATCCCGCATTCTGGGGTCTACGGTTCATGGAAACGTTTCGTGATTGTGTGAGAAATCGCCAAACCAATCCGGTCTGCCGTCGACGTTCAGCACTACGTTTGCCTAGAAACAACGCTCTTCTTGCCTTTCTGTGGCTGTACACATGGACGTGACTTTCATCGAGAAATCCCAGAGCACGTATCCCTGGGGCAGCCGCTACGACCCACAACGCCTCGAGGAGCTGGAAGCCCGGGTACGGTTAGACGCGGCCGGTGGCCTCGCAGTGCACGACGTTGCAACACACCTGCTTACTTTAAAACTGTATCAGCTGTACCCCGATAGAGCCAAGGACGACATAAAAGGCATCATCCTCGCCAAGTCGTTAATGGTGCTGCCTTCAGAGGCTACCACTTGCTGTCGTTTCCTGCTGAAACCGCTTGACACCCGAACCACCGAGCAGACGACCGAGCAGTCAGAGCTGGTTCGGAAACTTGTGGAACTAGCGGATCTCCTTGAGACTGGTCAGTTCCATCAGTTTTGGAGGTTGAGAAGCCAAGAAGCTGCCCATGGAACGCCACTGGGCCAACTGCTCGATTCCATTGTAGACTTTGACCTCGGCGTCCGAAACTTTATCTGCAGTATCGTTGAAATGGCTTTTCAAAAAATAAGAAAAGCAGAGCTTGCAAAACTACTCAACTCAACGGATGTTCCCTCTGAATGGAAAGTGGTCAACCAAGATGATGGCGACGATATTGTACTGGTGAAGCCGGTGCCTCGAGACATGTTAAGATCACAGTCCATCGGCGCGGAGCGGAGCGTTCCCACAGAGCGCCTCATGCTCATGTTCTCGCGTCTCGCTCGAGAGACAGAGCGCCCTCGGGCACGTCGACGCCACCAGCATGCTCCGAGAAAAAATGCTGACCAACGATCATGATAAGCAGATGGAAGCAAGCATGTGGATGTTGATGTTCAACTGTGAACGTGCACCAGTGTAAACACGGGCACAGATATACATCCCTGGATGCACCGATGCATCCATGTATCCATGCATAGCGTCCAACAGCATTCGAAGCAGCATGAAGTTATAGGTACATGTCCAAGATAGGCAGCGCTCAAGTCATAAAACATTCATGCAGCCAGTTATGGAATCCCCGGAGGACAGACATTCTACTGCAGAGGAAAGCATCGTACCGTAGCATCGTCGCTCCCGGTAACGATCAGCTCCGTTCCGATATCCATGGTCAGAATCGCGTCGCAGTGACCACGCCAACATCGCACTGGCTCGGCACCAGAACGTAAATCCCAAAGGCACACTGTCTGATCGACGGACGCAGAAACAAAGCACTGGGACCATCGTTTCGTTTCCCGAACCACAACGACGACATCGCGATGCTGAAAGCTCATTCTGTATCGTGCATCTGGTGTATACACATGAAGAAATCCATCTGATCCGCCCGTAACCAGAAACTCGGAACTAGCGACGACACTCTCCACGCTCCCCTGGTGCTGCTGGCTCAACGGACACAAGACACGTCCAGTTCGCCAGTTCGCTAGAAACGATCGACCTGCCTCATCGCCGCTGAGCACCACGTCCCGAAAACTTGCCAACGAAAGTACAGGAGCGTCGTGAAATACCCCATCCATTGCGTATAGGCACGGGACGGTGCCGTGCGACGGAGGTCCCCATAAACGCACGGTGCCATCCGTCGAGGCCGTCACCAATAGGCTCGTCGTAGACACATTCGTATCATCTTGGACGAAAGCGAGCGAATTAATGGCGCCTTGGTGATTGTAAGCAACCCCAAGGCAGTCTCCAGAGAGCGCATCGAGGACCCAGAGTGCTCCATCCGCTGTTCCGGCAGCGAAGAATTCGCTGTTTCCTCGAAGGCACTCGATGCCAACATCAGTTTCCACCTGAGCCAGCGGCGGTGCGAGTTGTTCTCCTTCGGTGCGCTCGGTCAGCTGCTGGGTGCAGTGTACTTGTAGTTCGCCCGCCAGTGTGCCGAGCGCTAAGCGCGATCCTGTAAGCGCCACAGCGCTGACGCTGTCATGAAAGTCGCCGAGGAGCCGCGGTGCCTCTGAAAAGGGCTGCACCCAGACCAGCGCTCGATCATCGCCTCCTCCAGAAATCACCACCTCATCCTGACCTGTGATCGCTACAGCGTATACTGCACTGGAGTGCCCTCGTAGCACCGCGACAGCGTCGTCAGCGTTGGCGTCAGGTGCTGGCAAGTTCCAGCCCTCTTCTTCACTGGACGCTTCCGGGCTACTCACAATGTAAACATGTTCAACGTCATCATCGTCATCGCTGGTATTTTGGGGGTGTGAGTCCATCCTCCGTAGAAGTGTCGGGGCATCAGCTACAAATTCGCGTTCGATGGGAGTCTCTGGTACGCGTCCTATACCCACAGAGCCAGCAGCTTGGCTCGTGTTGTACCGCAGATAATCTTGCGGTTTCCCGTTCAAATGTTCGGGGGGCCAGCTGTCATGGGCGCAACGTTGCTGTTTGTATGCTTCGGCTTCGTTTCGGAGAGTATGGTAGGGGACGCTTTGTCGATGAGCCCTCTGTGGACTTGCGCTCAAAAGCGACAACACAGGCTTCGGTGGTGCAGAAGAGCAGCTCCCACCGAAGGGTTATGTCGAAGAGTTCGCGTGCTCGGGAAGCGGCTTTGAGGGGTTTGCTCACCTGCCGTGAGCACTCCGAGCACAAGTGGTTCCGTTCTGCACGGTATAGGCTGTGCCCGCGTCGTCTTACTGGTATTATTATGCTAGGTTTAGTGCTTTGGGGTTGCCTTTGGATAACTATGCCGCGACAACGACAAAAACTAGCGGAGCGAAACGCTCTCCTATCTCTGGATGGCAAGGAGTCACCCAAGGAGACCACGGAAAACTTCCTCGAACAAGCCAGGACGCGGAATAGGACCAGTGTAGGCGACGAGCATGCGCAGGAGGCACAGCTCCTGCCGCAACTCGTCATCTTCACCACCATGAGGCCGGATGCGCAAGTTTCGGAGATATCGCGTCAGGCACAGGCCATTGCATCCTGGATGGACCTGGAACCAACACCCAAAATCGTCTTTCAGGGCTGCGATCCAGGTCTGGAGCAGCTTGCACACCATTGGAATGCGACAGTCGATTGCAACATTGACGTGAACTTCCGGGGTGTTCCGCTTTTCAACGCAATGGTACATCGTGCATTCGCGCTGCAACCGCGACTGGCACTACGAGGTCTCGGTGCATCGGCAAGGCTGGTAGTTGGGCTTCTGGTGAACGCCGACGTGCACCTGCCGCGGAATCTGCCGCAAATATTCGCAAAACTCTTGGCTTTGTCACCGGAATTTTTCGCTGTTGCCGCACGATGGGACGTCGACGTCCTGCACCCGGGCAACAGCCGAGAGGCCTTCGCACAGGAACACGGCACACTGCACAGCTACGGAGGCATTGATCTGTTCGCATGGTCGCTGCGCTCGTATCAGGACTTGCTGGATAGCGACGCTTCAAGCTCCGGAAATCGGTCTGTGATCGGAGTGCGGATTCCGAGCTTCGTTTTCGGCCGAGGTAAGTACGATAATTGGCTCTTTCATGAAATCTTGCAGACGCGTCGCTGGAACCTCACTGTGGACATCACGGAGGCCGCCACACTGGTTCACGTTCGCCACGCATATCCACATCTTCAAGTTGAGGATGCGTCGACGAGTGGGAATTTTTGGACGAACAACAAACGTCACTCGTGGGAGGCTTTTCTGAATGTTCATTTGGCGCTGGCATACGGATCCTATGAAAGCCAACTGGGCACACCGCTGCACGCGCCCTTCAAACTGGTTCCGTGCCTGGAACACGAGTACTGTGTGATACAGCGTCGTTTCCCAGCGCGTTGCCTCTGCGAGTACAGCAATACTGCACCTCGAACACAAACGGATCCAGTGCTCCGCGAGAACAAATGGTGGCAGTGTGGCTCGCGCAGCCTCGAAGAGGCTGGCGATTACCGCCTGCCGCTTCAGGGCAAGCTTGCTCATCAGCTGGATGCATTGCTGAAGGAGGTCGTGGATCCGATGACCAATCTTGTGATCATGACTGCCGCAACCTACGAGTATCGCTTCCTGCTCATGAACTTTGTCTGTAATTTGCGTCGTTTACGCATTCACAAATTGCTTGTCGCTGCGCTAGACGAAGACCTCTATCGATACGCATATGCACGAGGCTTGGCTGTGTACCTGGAACCAGCCCTAATCGATTCGCAATATCGACATTCGCTACAGTGCGCTTTCGGTAGCGCCTGTTTTCGGCACCGCTCGAAGCTCAAGTCCCGACACGTGTATGAGATATTACGACGGGGGCATGACGTCCTCTGGAGTGATGTCGATATTACCTGGTTTCGTGACGTTCGTCCAGAGCTGCTGCGGGCACGCGACGCTGCGCCACCGAACATCAGCGGTCGGAGCGTGTGGTTCCAGAGTAATGAGCCGGATCCGGACCAGGCGTGGAACGGTATACGTCGCCTGAATTCTGGTTTCTATTACGCGGTAAGCTCTGCGTCAACGGTGACAGGTTTGAGTCGCATCCTGGAGCATGCCGCTTCTTCGCAGCTCTCAGAGCAGCCATCATTCTACGATGTGCTCTGCGGAGAACACGGTGAATATCGGCTTGACAACAAAACATGTTTCAATGGAGATCTCTATACGCATTTTCTGGATCCGCGAGTCTTTCGCAATGGAGCAAACTGGACGTATTGGGTGCAGAACAGGGCGGACCAGGGCGCCCCTGCGGCTGCGATCCTGCACAACAACTGGATCAAGGGGCTTGCTGCGAAGCAAGAACGCCTGGAGGCAGCTGGGCTCGCTTATTTTGACCCTGAGCTCGAAATCTGTCGCTATGATGATGCATAGCATCGATCGGTACCGTTTTCTTCAAGACCTGTCGCAGACGTTGCCTGAACGCGTCGCTGTGTTCGCTGCTTGCTGGGAAGTGTTCACTGCCGGGCATGCGCTGACCTCGAACCGTTACGCTTTCGTTTCCAGCTTGTTCCTTCCGTAGCTTGAGAAAACGAGGTATCGATGAACTTATGTAAGCCCGTCTTCATGGTCAGTGATAGAGTTTGATGGTGGACGCTCTGGACGAAACCTGCCGCAATGCTGGCTCGTGAGGAACGCGCCTCACGGGGCTCTCGACGAATCAGTGTATGCAGCGGCGCCTATCGAGTTTGTGTCAAGTTCGTCCGTTGGAACCGGCTCAAAGGTATTTGCAATATAAAACACGATGATCGTCAGCCTCGGCGTAACAGAAGACTCTGGTCATCGTGTGGCCTCTGCACTGGTACGCAATAGACTGCAAGTTGGATCTTCGGCGCCAGAACTTTCTTAGGAGTAGCCCCTGCATGTCTATAGCTACTGATGCATAGCGCCTGCTAGCTAACGGTGACTTTGCATGTCAGTGAAACAAAAAATGTCCCACGAGCATGGAAGGTAAATTGATACCGGCCCGCAGACGCCTCCCGGTTTTGATTGACCCGCCGTCTGCTATCTGTTTCAGTTTCTCCTTGCAAATTTCGAGCCTGAGACGCCATCCCACAGGGGTAGATCGCGTCAGCTCCTCGGGTATCGTCTTCAGCACCAAGCATCGTCTGACGTTGACGGTGGCATCGAAGTTTCGCTTCATAACCTCCATGCGTTTGATGCGTCTTGTTGTTCTCACCAGTGCAGGGATTCCTCGAACTCGCGTCCTCATTGGAACTTGGTGCTCTGCCAGCTCTCCGTATTAGTCTATCGCAGAAGCCCTGCGCATCCCTCTCTCTACAACTCGACGTCCTAGAGTATATATCCAAGCTCATCTCTTAGTGGTTTTCGAAAATGAACGCACTTGTTTATAGCCAGAGATAAGGACCTTCCCGCATCGAGCAGCAATTGAGGCAGAAAGAAAAAAAGCCCCGGTATGTCACCGTGTGCTGAATGCTTCATCAATTCGCTCAGTGAAACGATCATTACGTCTCACGATGGAAAACGCTCCTTCGACGGAATTGAACGACGCAGAGTACGGAGGAATGAAACCAGCTCTAACCAATACAGTCTGCAACAGCTCGACCGTAACGCGAATAGTGAAATAACATGTCCTTTAATAGGAGGACGTCGCCAGACACCAGGGGAACAGTCTTCGATGACTCGACAAAAAGAGGGTGCTGTTGTATGAGCCTTCTCTACGAGAGAAAAGAACTGAGGCCGCAAATGGAATCCACTGCAGCTAGATCAGATGATGATGTCATAGATCTCTTCGAGCTCGATAGTGCACACTACGGGACATTTCTGCGAACACACATATACGCTCTGACCGTTTCTTCCGTAACATGTCTCATCGAGTGGAAAAACGAACCGACGTCTTTTTGGATCATACCGATCGCGACGTTCCAGGAAGAAGGCTGTCGTTGCGACTTCAATGGAAGATGGCCGTGAATGAACTAGGACTCTGTTTTTGCGACGGTATCCGAGCGATTTCAGGACGGCACCAACTAGCTGTTGACACACAGACATGCCGATGTGTCTGCTAGAGTCGCTTTTGCTTTCCGTAACGTGATCAACGGGTCGTTATCTACCATCGACTGCAGGCAGTCTTTGTCAATACCAGTTTTGGGGCGGATCCTCTAAGCTTATTTCTGTCGTCGCTCGCCAACTATCTGAGAACTACGGTATGACCGACTGGAAGCAGGAATGCATTCCTCCTTGAACTGTTCAATGAAGAATACATATCCTACAGGCAGTTCGTCCACGATCTCTCCAGTGCTTTGCATCGGGATTTCGATCGCCTGCCATACACCACAGCAGGGGTGAAACAATACTGAGTTGAAAGACCAGAGGCGGGCATGAGGGCCAAATCATGTGCATCACCGGGAGAGCTTGCATAACTCTACAAACACATTCCATTTCGACGGTGAACCGACAGGCGTTGAGTGCGCCTCGGGAGACATGCAATACATCAGTCAGAATATGAGAGAGCGCTTGAACACTTGCTCCTTTCCTGGTTTTTTGGCGATATCCGAACTTTCTCTGTATGCAATCTCGATTCTCGACGTGCTGCTAAAAGAGCCTACGGATTTGCACGTTGGTTCAGGATTCGCGTTGGAGTTTTTAGAGAAGCCATATCGAAGTCCTGCCTCTAGGATTAATGATGAAACCGGAATGAAGACGATTCGTGACATCCTCGAACAAGAGTTCTCCAAATGACCCAAATCATGATCGAATCCATACATACAAGCACCCAGTACTCTTCTTTACTAACTTGTAGATCGCTCAAATCACGCATTCTTCAAGTTACCTTTTTTTCAAGGCATTGTTCGAATGGCGTATCCACCTCTACATTTTTGGCTATCCACAACATGGCTTTCGACAGCACCAGCATGATGCTTCTCGCGGGACATGTCCCAGATGCTGTCGTCTAGTCCGTTAATGTCGAAAAGCATCCTGGACTCGGACTTGTGTCATCACAGCGATCTCACCCAGTGCAGGGTGCAGTATCGCGTTGCAAGAACAGAGCGTATACCGTTCGACAGTGCTCGACTTGTTCTCCTACCTGGATATTCCCTACGGTACTGGTGCCATTATGGACAAAATCGAGGTCCGAAAACCCATCATAAATGGAACAGCGTGCGCTTGCGCGTGCAGCGGACAGTGAGCTCGCCGGATGGAGATCCCGGTGAAAGCCTAGGATCACGGGGTGCCAAGCCAAGTGCCCAAACGCAGGACTGCATCCAAGGGAGCCTTCTGGAGCCGTACCACGCAACAGGGCGTGCTTCAGAGAAGAACATGCGGTCGAGAGTCACGAACGCATGACCACGGCCAAGTGTCACTGGTGCGAAGGGCGCACAGATGCCGTATATACACAAAGGATCCGTACATTGCAACCTCCGCCTCTCCAAGGTATGCTCGGACAACAACCTAAGGCGGCGAAATTGGGCCTCGTACGCTTTCACCTACATCCCTTGACTGCTTGCAACAGCACTGTCGACATGGAAGACCGGCATATGCAAGGCCAGAGACAAGAGCGTGGATGAGGGAGCAGGCGCCGAAAATGCTTCCAAAGCTGGGTATTCATGACAATTGGGAGAGATCTGAACATGGGCGCGTACGCCCGAGATAGGGGACCTGTTCCAATTTATTCTGACATGGAGTAGATGAGGCACCAGCGCATTCAACGCACGTACCATGAGCCGCCTCCCGCCAAGGCAATAGCTCGTCGAACGGTTTCCAACCGGCAATGACGGGGGCGATGATTGCGCATCCAGTGTCGTAACAAGCACCTGCGCTGGGTACCCGCACCCAGACAGGATCGTGGATCTCAATCCAACCTCTATCACTGATGGAACTTCTGTACATGAAGTGATCTGTGTTGCCGGATGCATAAGATCGTTGGCTTATTTTCCAGGTAAGTGAAAGCAACGACGCATCGGTGAGAATCCTGTTAGAGAAATCGATCTGCCGCCAGAAGGGATATCCAGACACGTGTCTCAGGCGGGAATCGCGCTGCGTGCAGGCGTCATGCATCGTGCTGCAAATATCAGATATGCGACATAAATGGAATAATCTGTCCGGTGACGTGTCCCGTCGCGCTGTTTCCGTGGTGCGCTCGCAACGCGCTCGCTTCTCTTCAGAATCTCGCGATGCGGGCATCAAGCCCCGATATCGTACGACAGATATTAGAGGGTTCGTTCGAATATGATTCCTGGAAAGTAATACGAAGGATGTGATCGGCATACTTTTGTGTAGTTTGCCGTATGGCAGGAGTTCTTCGATGGACGTCGCGCAGCGCCAGACGTTTGTTTGGAGATGCTCTTGATCCTCTGAGGATGCATGAGACGCATTTACTCCGTTATTCGTGGTTCAGAAAGACCTCCATGAAGTGCTTCGTTGTTGTCTGTAGGATGTCGGGGATGCTACACCATGCTGACCCGGATTTTCTACGACTGCACTAGGAGTTTCAGAGGCACAAGCATATTTATGCAGGATGCAGCATTACCCGGGCGAACGAGAAGAAGTCCATGAAAACGGAGACGCCGTGGGAGCGCATTGTGTCTGCGCCGACGAAGCGTACGGATACGGCAATCGAAGTTCGACGCGTACCCCAACCAGATGCTTCCTAAACATCACGTATCAGTTGCTTTGGAAGCTGGGACGCCGTGCGACGTTTGGCATGCAACAGAAGATGTAGCTATACTACGCGCATCCGAACGCGAACATGCCCATAGCGCAGCCACGCTCGACGCTCGCGAGAGCAGGGGCAGCGCCCGCGGTCGCTGCTGTACTATGCAAACTCGATTGCGAAGAAGCTGAAGCAGAAGTAGCGGTGGAAGCAAGCGACAGCCAACGCAGCACTGCTGGTAACTAGTGCAGTATGTCCTAGTGAACGCAACGGTGATTAAGCAGTATTCATGGCGAACGCGAGCAACGTTAGGGCTAGCTCTGGCGGTTGCTCCAGCATGACGCGCATATGAACGGGCAGTTAGTGAACAAGCATTCATGGTAGACGTGACCAACGACAGCGCAGGCAGAACCAGCTGTTGGCGTTGTACCAGAAGCAGTCACGGCTGCAGGGAATACCGCATAACTGGCAGTCGCACGACACGCAAACGCCTGAGCGGTATCAGCGGGTATTCACCCAAAGGACGCTCGCATGTCGTTGACGAGGTCCCGCCTTCACGCATCACGTGATAGCTTCAGACCAGTGGCACATGTGGAAAATTTCACAGGACCTGCAATGCCAATTGTCGGAAAGGGAATGTGCTCGGGTCATTCGAATGCTCACTCCATTTGTTCTCCGTTCACGAACCAGTCATTACAGCGCCGAAGACATAGCTAGAATCCCAGGAGCAACAGCAACAGCAACACCAAAACAGGATGCACGAGCTACTAAAAAGCCCCGATTCCACCGGATTCAAAGAAGCAGAATCGTGATGCAATAGCATGATGAGCGGTGCTTTTCATTGAGAGTTACGTAAATTTCGACGAGCGAGACAACTTTGCAGCCACATACACACCGTGTGCGCCAACTCATCCTCCATGCCAACCCAAAAATGATCTGCCTCAGGGAAAAACACACGATCTTTGGGTTCTTGAACCTGCGCAAACAACCACTCAAACGTTCCGGAGGAGCAAAACTGATCCCTACCACCGTGAATGAAGAGTTTGGGCACAGTGACATATTTTGTGGGCTCCAGGTGACAACCCAAAACGAGTCGGGAGAGAAAGCCTGCCGGATACGAGATCACCACCAGTGCAGCTAGCCAGGGCGGTACGCCGCCAGCATTCTTGCACAGCTGCCCTATGGCGGAACTACAGACCGCTGCACCAAACGAGTAGCCGATGATGATGATCGCCGACGAGTCACCAAGACGCGCGTGAAGCCAACGTGCCGCGCCGAGAACATCCTCCCGCTCCGCTTCACCTCGCCAGGTTGCGGTACCTGTTGATCCGCCATGCCCGCGTGAGTTGAAAGAAAGCACAGTAAGGGCATAGTTTTTCGAGCTGGCCAGGCTCGTACACAGCACACTCATGACGTTGTTCGAACGAGCGTCACCGCCGAGTTTCGGATGGGGATGCATCAGTACGACTCCTCGTTCGGAAGCACCAGCGCTTCTGCTCTGGAACAACCATGCCTGCAAAGTGACACTTGGACTGACAGGTATGTGTACCACACGCTCCACGTGGTCGTCGGTAGCTTCTTCCATAGGGCAACGGTAAAGCAATCGCTGACCTACGTACCGCAAAAGCGAAACCCGTCCAAACGCTTCAGCGTTGAGCACGCCGTTCTAACGAGTGCGAGCAAGATTCAACAATCTTACTTAAGGAAACTGTACACAACGAGACTCGAACGTCAGCGGTTAGCGGGCGGTTCCCCACAGCTGGGTGCGAACAACCGACCTCGTGTCGGGTACCAGGAACCCGGAACGTTCAGCCGAGCCGCTGTCCAGCGTTGCTAATGAGCGGCACTGTGCGCTGCTTCACGCACGTGACGAGTAACCACCTCTATATAGGTAGTAAAAGCAGATGAACTATCAGATCGAAGGATCGCTACAGGCAAGGCACGCTGCTTGGTATAGCGCCCGAAACGCTGCTCCGGCGTGCCTGCCCGGCCGAGCCGGAACGTAACGACTCGTTTGCACGCTTTGGTTCAGGTGAGGACGTTATCGAGCACCGGCTCGAGCGTCAACGGAGCAACTTGGTTCCAAACGGTGAACTGTTGTCCGACACCTTCCGTGAGAGCACCGGAACGACACCGCTGGAAGTCAGAAAGTCACGCTGGAGGCGGTCTCGTTGAGCACAAGCCGGTACGAGCGTCGCTCCGGGTGCCGGCTGCGGGCGGTTCGCTTGCGCTGAGCAACGTTGACGAGACGCTGACTGCGATGCAGTCAAGTCAGGAGTTGCCAGAAACCTCACGATCACTGCCTGACGCTTGGGAGACCGCAGTGCACCATCTCCAGGAAGCACTGCTGGAGCGAAGACACCCAACGCAGCACTCGACTGTGGAGAGGCAGCAGCTCAAGGATGCACTCCGGTGGCTCGTGTCTACATCGCAACGCGCCTCAGTTCCTTTTTGTCGCTATGCGGTATTATTTTTGAAGGAATTCGTGCGAGAACAAGTTTGGGAAGCGCTTCTGGAGCCGGTGCTTGGGTGCACCCATAGCACCTGCGCTCCCTGGAACGACTCGAGGAAGCGTCTAACCGGGACTGCGGACTGCGACACCCCGACGAGCTTCGACCCAGCGGCTACGAGAGCGTGTATCGCGGAGGCTGCAGAACTGCTCGAACAAGCACTTCAAGTCATGGACGTCGTGGCTGAGCGTCTAGATCCATCTAGGCGGCTCTACTGGCGGGGTGCGCTCTCCGTCGATGCACAGGCCGTCATCCTACAGCAAGTGACGCAAACGGCGATGCGACGCCTTGTACGCAGTATGTTTGTTTGGGCGCTCCAGGACGCTGAAGAACAAGTGGTTACAGGAAACTCGGACGAACTCGGGCATGTACCCAGCCAGTATGACTCGCTGAGAGCACAGCAGCGCCACCTACGCTCTGAAGGAGATTGCGCCCAAGCAGTTCCACTACTGCTAGCGGACCTCGAGAGGCAGCTTGCTGTGCTGGGGCTCCTAGATCAATGGAGAGACCTCGTTGTAGTTCAGATCTACGAGTCTATTGAAGAGCGAGCTTACCGGCTTGCGCGGGATGAGCTTCACGAAGGCGTTCTCGACGACCTGCTCGCATGGGTCCAGAAGCTTCTACAACCATGGGTAGCTGTGATGCCGCTCGATCCTCCAGATGCTGAAATATCTATGAGAGAAGGCGTGCAGTCCACCAGTGGTTCAGCGTTTGAGCGCAAGGTAGGTTATTTCACCCATGAGACGCTGCTCCATGCGCGCTTATCGCAGCTTTTTGATCTTATCGTTGAATATCCAGCCTCAAAAGCACCGCTTTTGGATATACGGCGGTGCCTTGAGAGCACAGATGCACTCCAGGAAACAACCCAGAGTTTGTGTAGCCAACTGGAACGACGACTCCTGCATCCTGGTGCCTCTACGAGTGATATCTTGCACCATTTTGTGAATACGATACAGTCTTTGCTCCTGGTTGATCCTCATGGATATCTGCTTGCGCGAGCTACGACCCTGGTGCGACAGTATTTGCGTAGACAGTGCCCCGAAGCCATGACGCGCCTGGTGGAGCTGTTCACGAGTCCCGAGTACGCGGAACTTTTCGCCCTGAATGGGCAGCAACAGCAACAGCAACAGCAAATAGATCATTGTCCGGGCCCAAGGTTCCATGCATATACCCACCTCGAGGATGCCTCCTCCGACGATACCGACGATAGCAGGTCAGAGACGGACGCCGACCCAGCTTCGTCCGATGGCATGTTCTCCGTCTCTGGTCTGGAGACCCGCGGACAGATTGCGCATCGTTTTGCCCAACACGATATCCTGCACATCCTCATGGGTGTGTGTGGAGGACGGGAGCGTTTCATAGCTGAGTTTCAGTTTTACCTTGCACGAAAACTGACCACCGTCATGGATTATGAGTTTGAGCTTCTCGTACGTAACCTGGAGGTGCTCAAGGTCCGCCTCGGAGAGACCAGCCTGAACGATGCAGACATTATGCTCAAGGATATCTCGGATTCCCGACGTTTCATGAATTTTATTCGCCAAGAAAAACACATGGAACTAGACTCCAAGCAGCAAACAGAACTAGTGTTCATCTCATACCTCTATTGGCCTTTGCTGTGCCCCGAGGCGGGGACTCACTTTGGGCCACCTGAACGCACTCAGTCGCTGCTTGCTCCGAATCTGACCGGATCGGAGTACTTTGCAACCCTCAAAAGTTATGCCCATCACTTGAATGCGGATCTCGAGCAGTTCATCCGCTTATGCCAGGAGAGTTTCGCGCGCCAGCGAGCGCCCCGAGTCCTGCACTGGATTCCAGTAGCAGGAGTTTGCGATCTGGAGCTCGAATTTGCTGATGGCCGCCATGTGGAGTTTACGAACGTCCCGCTTCTGAATGCAATGCTCTTGGAGCTTTTCGCTGAACAACCACGCTGGAGTCGGAATGCGCTCAGGCAGAAGCTTTTCCTGCTTGAACCCGGCGGAGATGCTACGCCTGATGCGGCATCTTCGTTGCCGCCGTATGACGCGCTTCTCCAAGGCGCGCTCCGTTTCTGGTCTCGCCATGGAATCCTGCGTCTCGTCGACGAAGGTGATTTCTATGAAATCGTTGAGCACGGAGGAACCGAGCCAAATACGCGGGAATGGCAAGCGTCTCCTATCGATGCTACCCAGATAGATCCCATTGCAGACGCGCTGAGCGCTGTACCTGGCCCTGCGACCGAAAAGATCCAAGACAAGGACGATAATACCGAGGAGGTGATTGGCAACTATATTCTCGGCATGCTTGCCAACTTCGAATCTCTGACATTGGAGCGCATGCACCAAATGCTGACCATGTTCTGTACGGATCCACCGTTTCGTGGGACGCTCGGCGATGTTGCGGCATGTTTGAATAGATTGCTGGACGCTGGTTGCGTTCGTTACGAACGCGGACTCTACGCTCGCACTGGTTAACTTGATCGTCTCGATTCCGGGCAAACTACTTTGCGGTTATCGACTGAGAGGCAGATACGCACGTGCGAATGCGAGCACAGGGACTCGACGGCACTTGTCGTGGCATCTGGCAACCGACTCAAGATCAGAAGTTTTATTTGCCGTCGTCACATCAGATACCAGGTGGTGAAGACGTCTCAGGACGCATTTGAACAAGGAATCGGAGTGTGACGTGCGACGGAGGCGTCTGAAGACGCGTTTCAGCCGAAAAACGGGGCATGATTTGGTTGCCGATGGCAGCGGGCGTTCATTGTCTTTCAGGGCTCGCTTTCCCGAGGATGCCCTGGTGGCGACTCGGCGAGGTCGCAAGTAGTTCAATCCGTCGGGCGTGTACTGCGGGCGACCGCAGTGCTGGTGGAGCACCAGGCACCAGCTGGAACCCTGCTCGGGCTGAGACCAAACATCCAAAGTGTGCACGATGTTCCGTGATCGAATTGCCTTCGCTAGCGTCAAGTCCTTGCGTCCGGCTGTCGCGCATGTTGTCGTGGGTTCTCATGGTGCCCAGTTTGGATCCGTCGGAGTGTGATGCAGTAGCTAGATACCGTGGACATCTGCGTGGACGTGAGTCCTTCGACGCGTGTCCACGCACGAGGTGCTGCTGCTGCTGCTGCTGCTGCTGCTGGTACGAGGATTACCGAACGTCGGCAGGCGCGCTCGTCAGTGTGACCGCATAGAAAGCCTGAAAGACGATTTGCAAGGATGCACGGCGAAAAGAGCCTATCAAAGAGCGGAAGCGTAGACGACAAGGCGGGAACCGATCGCACCTTCCCGGTGGTTGTGCGGACGTCAATGGCCAACGGAATGTGCCCTAGTATCTCGTGGTAGCCCGGCAGGGTGACGCAGACCGGGACAGGTTGGTGAGCATCCCCGAAATTGCAGAGAAAAACATTGGGAAACGAGGTCCAACGTGCAGGTGGAGACACGACGACGAGTTGCGTTTCGGAGGAGCACGGCCTTGCCATTTGCGCGTCATAAGCGGGAACAGACCGACGCACAGTTACCAGAGTCTGCGCGGTGGTTGCAGTGTTTCGTAACTGGGAGCGCTTTCTGCATCACCAAAACTTTCGCAGAGTGATGGCTGGCGAGCGAGAGCCCCTCGACTGCGTGAACGTGTCCGACGGAGGAATGTGTTTGCGAGGTTCACCGCCGCGGGTCGGCAATTGCACCCGTGTCAGGAGAATACACCGGAACGGGTGCACTTGCCTGACTCGGGCGTATCTAGAGAAACGCTGGTCGCTTTTCGCAGTCATCAGTACCGGGCTTTGCGGAATTTTTCTGTGACTGCTTCCCCTGCTTATCTCTTGTTTCCAGCCTTAAATGCGCGGCTCTCTACTTTTTCCGTCGCCTCTGGTTTCAGCAGTTGTAGGATGCTCGTGGGAGCGTTCACGTCATGATTTGCTATCTTGCTTTTCTTGGCAGCGTCGTTCATGCACGGATAGCAGTTGCGATATACGGTTCGCTTGCCACATTGATCTACTTTGTATGTACATCCGCAGTGCGCTGTTCGCAGCGGAGACTATCAATTGTGGTCAAATATCTCGTGAGGTCCACAGCACCTCATCCTACTCCGAACGCCGGTCTGCTGCGTGTGCACGCTTTCTGCAGAACAACGCAGACGCTCTTGACAGGTACAGAAAGCTCACCTCGATGCTCTCCTATGTTTCCGTGTCCAGCACCATGCCCTGTGATCATGGGCCTGGCCCGAGCGATCCGCCGGGAGTGTACTTCGTCAGCTGCACACGCGAGTGCTCGCTTTCGCATGCGATGGATAATTTGCGGCACGTGATGTTGTCCATGATGAAGCATCTATGGGAAGCTAAATCCAGACTGGAAAGCAAAGTCGGGGACTTTCGATCCATGTACGTTCGCTTCGTGCACAGCGGTGACAAGCGTTCCTTTGGAAGCGATCGATGCGATGACGCAGATTCGAGTCCAAGTAGCTTTCCCAGGCAAACACAAGAGATAGGTCTCTCTGGGAGCATTACCTGGTAGAGGTATCGTGCTGCTGCAGAATGATGGTCCTGGGATGACGTAAAGGCATCGAGGGTTTGTCTTTGGAACAGAATTGATTATTTGAGATAACGAGTTCAACAAAGTTTTGGCATGAGCTTGTGAACAGGTCGTCAAGGGACAACACGGAGTAGTTTTGGTCCTCAATCCAGGCGCTCGCACGGCTACGCACCCGAGATATCTTGAGAAACAAGGATTGGAAACTTGAGGCATGCGCGATTTTGCTGCAGTACATGTAAGGAAAGGACGAGTATGGATGCATGGGCATGCGCATTGCATCATGAGAGCGGTTATCTTGCGAAACCGCCTTTCGAGATCGTCGGAAATCATCCTGATACCGGTGACGTGAAGAATTCCAGCGAGAGAGATGGAGAGAGAGAGAGAGACAGTCGAGCAACGTCGACAACACGACCGAGAATCGTAACACCGGATATGAATCCATCATTTCCTGTTGTTCAACTTCGAATGTCGAGTCTGCACTTCTGAACAAAAAGTCCGGCAAACGCTCAAACCAGGAACAGGGCGCGATGTCCAGTCTCTCATTTTAATTGGAAACGAGCACAGCGCACGTGCATGGCTGATTGGTTTGCGAAAAGTCCATGGAAAGACAATTGACATCCACGGCAAAAGCGATACGTATTTGAAAGGAGTGTGCTCCGTCGCTCGCTGAGGCGCCTCGTGCCCTGCGGACCATCTGGCATGAATCGACGTGTTTCCTTCCTCTGCATCTACGCAGTTCACTAGTACCGAACATGTTCCGCAACGCGGGAGTGTAACTAGATACCCAGGCACAGACGCCTACCAGTCTTTTTTGACCGATCGACTGCTATCGGCTTTGGTTTCTCGCTACACACGTCAAGCCCGAAAGATTGCCCCACAGATTTCGCTGGCCACAGCTCCTCGGGTCTTGTCTTCAACGCCATACATCTCCTGCTATTGATGACGACGTTAAAGTGTCGGATCACGAGCTCCACACGTTCGTTGTCGCTGGTTGAACGCACCTGTTCCTCGCGTTCGTCTGCGTCAGGTGCCCTTCTTCGCTCGATGATCACGGAGAAGAGGATTCTTTCGTTTTTTGTTTATACCAGGGATGGCAAACTCCAAGAATCCCCTTGTTCCATCTCTATCCTGTTCCTGTGGATTCTCTATTCCTTCGAATGAGCACAGGTATCGAACACAGCAGCAATAAACCGCGAAAAAGCATATGATGCCACGCATCTGCGTATGGAACATGGTTCACGTGAAACATGATGTTATGGCTCACGCATGCACACGGATGCTTTTACGTTCACTGAATAATCGTTTACTTTGTCCAGCGTTATCCGATTGTGCGCTTTTTCTCTTCTTACTTTTTTTTTCAGTGCGCGGTAAACGATCCATCAAACCTCCGACTTCCAAGTTCATGCACACGGATGCTTTTACTTTCACTGAATAAACGTTTACTTTGTCCAGCGTTATCCGACTGTGCGCTTTTTCTCTTCTTACTTTTTTTCAGTGCGCGGTAAACGATCCATCAAACCTCCGACTTCCAAGTTCATGTGCTCGGATGCTTTTACGTTCACTGAATAATCGTTTACTTTGTCCAGCGTTATCCGATTGTGCGCTTTTTCTCTTCTTACTTTTTTTTTCAGTGCGCGGTAAACGATCCATCAAACCTCCGACTTCCAAGTTCATGTGCTCGGATGCTTTTACGTTCACTGAATAATCGTTTACTTTGTCCAGCGTTATCCGATTGTGCGCTTTTTCTCTTCTTACTTTTTTTTCAGTGCGCGGTAAACGATCCATCAAACCTCCGACTTCCAAGTTCATGCGCACGGATGCTTTTACGTTCACTGAATAAACGTTTACTTTGTCCAGCGTTATCCGATTGTGCGCTTTTTCTCTTCTTACTTTTTTTTTCAGTGCGCGGTAAACGATCCATCAAACCTCCGACTTCCAAGTTCATGTGCTCGGATGCGTGCCAGCGAGACGGCACGCATCGCCGCTGCCGTTCCATCACACAACTGCGTCGCGGGTGCGCGGGAAACGCCGTAGAAGTGCTTCGACGAGGTAACGTCTCGTTAGCGTTGCAGTTGTTTGCACCCCGTTACTGGTTTCCATGACGGGGAGACACGTCGAATCCGTCGATACCGATCCGAAACCTGTTGATGAGGCTTTCTGCATCGCGAATAAGGTTCCTTTGGAGTGGCGCGACGGGTGCGCGCACCTTCTCGTGCCACTGAACCGCTGTCGCCGCGAACACTTTTATCTTCCTTGGCACTGCACCGAACTGAGGCACGCTTACGAAGTTTGCCAGCAGAAGGACTACATCCGCAGGAAACGGGAAGCGCAGCAAATGTCGGAGAGACTCGAGGGCTCTTCCGCCCACTGACTTGCGCGTGTTCGGACGAGCGTCGCGTTTCGCCACTAGGGTGTGCTGGAGCTGAGACGGCCGGCTGCTGCTGTTGCTGCTGCTGGTGCATCATTCTAAATATCGGTGGCAAGATGCAACATTGGGCTTGTAGCGTCGCTTCACAGTGTTTTCCAACTTGCGCACGAGTCTATCTGTCGATGCCAATTGCTTATTGACAGGTGCCTTCGCGCTTGATACGTATCTCGGAACGCTCCAATAAGAGGCGTTTTCTGAATCATCAGTCCTGGGACCAGTCACAGACCGAAGACAGTAGCTTGTATGGTTTCAGAAGGTGCATCTTGTGCCTCGGATCCGTCGAAGGTTCCCTAGTCGGTCAAGCGAAGAGCGAGCGCTCAAGGAGCAGACAATTGGTTCTGGCTGCAACTGCTGCCGCATTAGACTTGTGGATGCAGCCAACGACAAGGCATTCTTCGTTTCCGATAGGAGCGCCCAACAGGATGAAATGCGTATTCATCAAAAAGCTTTGAATCAGCGGTTTATAAACCATCTGTAGGTCACGCAAGGTCGGATTCGCATACGCCTCCAGGCAGACGGTGCCAGCGACTCGTACGCTTCCAGATGAGCGTTTTTTCGCATCGCTGCACAGGATTCGTGTGCTGGTACCAGCGTGTGTCCAAAGCGTATCGCCGCGTATTCGCCATTCCCGACGAATCGTCATTCCGCGGTCTAATTATTGAAGCTGCCGGCTCAAGGACTTCCACTTTTCCAGTGTCTCCCACGCCGCGCCACTCATCAGCGCGTTCGCTGCCATGTCACAGGCATCCTGTAGCGTCTCCGCGAGACCGTACACGACAAGCCCTGCTCCGGCATTCATAATGATCGCATTGCTAATGGGGCCTGGTGCGCCTTGCAAAATACTCGTGATCGTCGCCGCATTGGCTGCACAATCGTCACCAACGAGATCCTCTACGGTACACAGAGGCATGCCTAGTGTTTCGGGCTCGACTCGGAACCGGCATGGAGGCACGTCTTTTCGTACTTCGATGACCTCTGTCGCACCGATCGGCGCCATTTCATCCAGACCTGCACAGTGCACAATCCAGGAGCGCTCGGTTCCGAGGCGAGCCACAGCCTCAGCCATGGGCTCCATGAGCTCCGGTGCTGCAACCCCAATGACTTGATAGCGGCTTCGGGCCGGGTTTAGCAGTGGCCCTAGGTTGTTGAAAACTGTGCGCACTCGCAGCGATCGCCGTAGTGGTGCCACTGTTGCCAACTGTGGATGAAAACGCGGCGCCATCAGAAAGCTAATACCAGTCTCGGCGATGCAGCGAGCAACTTGCTCAGGTCCCAGATCGATTGCAACGCCAAGCGCTTCGAGTACGTCAGCTGAACCGCATTTTGAAGAGGCAGAGCGATTACCGTGCTTGGCAACACGTGCTCCGCAAGCAGCCGCAACGATCGCTGCTGCAGTCGATATATTCACAGTATTGGACCCGTCACCACCGGTGCCGACGATGTCCAAAGTGGCTAGATCGCCCGTCGACACGAGGACCGCTCTTTCCAGAAGCGCTGCCGCCATACCGGCGAGTACTTGGCCAGTTTCAGCACCATTTCGTCGTAGTAGCACCAGAAACGCAGCGACGCGAGCTGGATGTTCACCAACCGTTTCCAGCATGCAGTGCATCGCATCCGCTGCTTCATCGAAAGAGAGTTCATGCTCGGCAGCTATCAAGCGCTCGACCAGACGCAGAAGACGATCGCCCGCTGCAGGAAGTTCCTGCAGGGTGCCTGTGAGCAGCGGAAAGCTATAGCGTTCGCCAACGTAGCGATAGAGCCAGGTCGAAGCGAGTCCTGCAGCGACAACTGCAGCACTGAACCCCCAGACCGGAAAACCGTCTCGACCTCTAGACCCTGGACTGATCTCGACCGGTCCAGTAGCCGTCTGCAGCGCAAACTTAGCGCTATGAGTTGTAACACCAAGTGTGCCGTTTCCGCGAGGAACCTGAACACGTACGGTTTCGTTCAGAGCGCACTGCAAACGCAGCCGCCGCCGAGCCGACAGGAAAGGTCGGTGCAGAAAAGCGAGCTTATCACTGTCCCATGGCTCTAATGACCGTGTGCCCTGCATCGTAGCCTTCTACAGTCCAGCACACCTATGCGTATGCGCAGCACCAAGCCGCTGTGCACGAAAGCAGCCTGCCTAGAAGACAGCCTGCGGAGAAGCGGTGCGCTGCGACCGTCGGCCGGGGTCCGGTATTGAAGCAGGGGCATCATCGGCTGTTTCTCGTTGTGCCCCACAGGCTCTATTTCGTTGAAACGGAGAAGTATGGGGATGAAGAAGAGATCGAGAACTATGATGAGTGGGGAAACTCTGGAGGTTGCCACTTCACGCGCGAATTGTAGTTGCTGACGAGTCTCCATGCAGCACAGGTTTTGAGGCACGAGGGTCTTCGTCAGTTCGTGACAGCTCATTCGGAAGAAAGCAGGTGGTGCACGAGCAGGTGAACAGATAACGCTGTGTATCGGGGGCGCAGCGTTGACACTCGAGTGCCTCCTCAAGTCGGGGTCTCGCCAGGTGCCTTGTGGCTGCGGGGCTATGCGGTCGAAAACGGGCACAGGTGTCTCTGCTTCAAGCTGGAGGCAGACGATTTGACGCGGAGCTCGGCATACTATTGACGAACTAAAGCAGTTTGGAGGCTCTGATCCGGTATCAATAGCGTATAGAAACTGATTAACCTATTGTTACGCTTTGGATTCAAGCGGAAGAGAGCACATGAGTCCAGCGGGCGCTCTCCAAGCAGCAGTCAAGCGCTGGGGAGCAGCGGAGGTTCGCGAGCCTCTCACGTAGCCCCGTCTACTATGCTTTCAGCGAGCGTCGGCGTGTACGTTGCACTGCGCTTGCAGCTACGATTGAGCGACGTTTTCGTTGCTGAACTGGCTCGACAGGTAGCGACTGGCGTTGTATTGCCGGTTGGAAAGGCAGAAGCGCTTCCGCGTACTGGACAACGCTTGCCCTGGTGCGGACAGGCGCTGCGTCTTGACTGCGGCTGGAGCTAGCTTCTGCGGCATACGGTGAAACGATGAGCAGGCTCCCTGTGCACCGCTCAGTGGCAAACTGGAACGATGTTCTATGGTAGGTGACAAGGCATTCCAAAAGCTTCGCAGTGTATGGGATCGTATCGTTCTCGAAGGAGTCTCGAAAGCAGCGCATACCTAAACACCACTGGGCGGTAGCGGTATATTCGATTCCCGGAGCAGACCATGTCGTCTTTCGAAAAAGAACAAGAATCTGGAGGCCGATGGTGCATCGTCTCTATGTGGTGCACAGAGCCGTTCGGAACTGCAAGTGGTCTGGTTCTGGAAAGCCCGACTAGGAGCGCTCTGTGCGTCCGTGGCCATAAGCGGGCCTTCAAAGAGGAATCGATGCCTGCGAAAATGTATAACATAGTTCAGAGCTCCAGCATCCCGTAACGAGTCTGCGTGCGCTTCGAAGTTTTGGACGTTGCAACGACACCTCTATACACCCATACCATCTAGGTCTGCAGAGCAGGTACGATCCACAGCACCAATACATTTATAGTGTCGCTCATGTTAACATGTCGCCCGCAATGATCGACATTGTTGATGCAACCATTTTGTTGCTAACGGGTCATCCGCAACAAGCGGCGCCACAGCTTTCCATACGCTCTGATGATAAGAATCGATCCAAGCGATCTCTTGTTCTGTCAAAAGTTTGGTATCCAGCAACTTGCGCTCTACTGGAACCAGCGTGATGTTTTCAAACCCCAGGAATGCTTTCCGGTCCATGCAGTGATCGGGATGAAGCTTCGGGACAACCAGCAGAACATTCTCGAATCGCATGCCAAACCGTCCGTTCTCATAGTAGCCTGGTTCATTCGTTACAGTCATGCCGGGTTCCAGGGGCGTCTCACCGGCAGAAGACCGTGGACTTATCATTTGCGGGCCCTCGTGCACATTCAGGAAGCATCCGACGCCGTGTCCAGTACCGTGCCGATAGTCGCGGCCGATGAGCCAGAGCGGCAACCTCGCCAGAACGTCCAACTGTTGACCAGTAGTACCCGGAGGAAAGCATGCCTGCTCCAGCTGGATGTAGCCTTTGAGCACGCGCGTAAAGCACTCGCGCTCCAATGCGGTAGGCGTGCCAAAGTGCAGCGTTCGTGTCACATCGGTAGTGCCGTCCAGATACTGACCTCCTGAATCGACCAGATAGATCGCATCCCTCGTGATCGGTCGAGCGCTCTCCGCACACGGCCTGTAATGAATAACCGCAGCGTTCGGACCAGCACTCGAAATCGTTGGAAAGCTCGGTGAAACAAAATGCTCCTGTTGCGATCGAAACTCGTCCAGGAGCTGGGCAGCCTCCATCTCATTTATTGTGGTGCCCTGTTCGACGAGCTTGTGCTCGAGCAACGCCAGGAAGCGACAGAGCGCCACGGCGTCCCGCAGGTGTGCAGCGCGCATACCAGCCAGCTCCGTCTCGTTCTTGCGAGCTTTGAACAGGCCGATAGGGGTTGCCTTTGCCAAAATTGAATGCCTTGCATGCTTGGCGGATGCAGGGTTGCTGTCCAGGGTTGCTTCGCTGAACTCCGCGAGATGGAGCTTTTGTCCAATAAGACAGTTCGTATGACTCGGATCATACCAGACACAATCCCCCAGAGCGATGAGCTGTTCCAGGTCGGTGGCGATAGCCTCATACGGCCTTAGATGAGCTTTCAGGGCCTTGAGGGCCTCGCGTGCCTCAGCGTTGAGGCGCTCCTGCTCGGTATACAGGTACAAGTCACCAGCGGGCTCGTTTTCGGCCTCAGAGACAGCGCGTCGATGTAAGAGCACATACGCCAGAAAAACCGGATTGTATTCGATGTCATTTCCGCGCAAGTTCAAGAGCCAGGTGATTTCATCAAGTGCGCAAACAACAAGCCAGTCCACCCGGTTTTTCGCCATGTCGTTGAGGACCCTGCTCACCTTGCTCGCTGCCGTCTCACCAGCAAAACAGAGCGCATGCGGAAAAACGACGGAGCGAGGTTCCGCTGGTCGGGCGGCTCCCCATACAAGGTCCACTAAATTGCAGCGCGTGCTAGCGCTCTCCGTGCCGTCCTGTTCGTTCGTAACAGGAACCAGGTGAATGCCGTGCTGCTGCAGCGCTTTGCGCAGCCTGTTGAAGGCACTGATGGAAAGCGTCTCGGGATCAAACCCCAAGCGCGATCCGGAAGCCAGCACAGTGCCCAAAAACTCTTCCATCGGTGGATCTATGAGATGTTTCTTCAGTTCCCACACGTTGGGGTCGAGCTCCCGTTCCGCCTGCACAAAGTAGCGCCCGTCAGTATAGAGAAAAGCTCGGTCGCGCGTAACGACTGCAGTACCAGCGGAGCCCGTGAATCCGGTCAGAAATGCCCGCCGCTGGAAACAAGCTGCAACGTACTCAGAGGCATGCGCGTCCTCCGAAGGGACCAGGTATGCATCGAGTCCGCGAGCGGCTAGGAGTTTGCGCAAAGCATCAACCCGTTGTGCGCTAGAGCGTTCCAAAGACATAACAGTTTCGACGAGTGTGTGTGCTTCTCAACCGTTCAACCTGTGCAATACGACTGAATCCCAGCAGACAACTGCAGTGTCAAGCGTCCACAGCAAACTTGGGCACTGGGAGCGCGCGTTCACACCAAGGTCGCGCGGGCAGCAACGCCTGGACCAATATGACGTTGATGCTGCCGCTGCACCGGATTCAGCTCAATGCGCTAGTCTGTAATTTCGAGGCGCTGGCATTTTGTGGTCCATACGCCGAGTTTTGCGAGTCGTCCTGGTATCGAATGCTTCTAGAAGGGCGTCCACGCGACCAGGATCGTGTCTCAGGTGCGCCACAGAGAGTTCCGTAGTAGTCGGTAAGGTACGTTGATAGGGGCGGCGGTGGTGCAAAAGTTCGTGCAGTTCGAGTGTCCCAGGCGCTGCTGCAGCTGCTGCCGGGGTTTCGTGCAACGCTTGCAACAGGCACCGCTGACGGACTAGTGATCCTTGCTCTAGGCCGGTTGCAGTAGGATTCTATTCTTGCAATAATGAGAAGGATTGTGCGCGGAAAAGCAGGTTGATCTTCACAGTGATCACATCCGTGGCGCTGCTGCATTCGACTCCACAGGAGATGTCATGGCAATACACAAGAACACCGAACAATGGAGCACAGAACTCGTTCAGGAATTGTCCAGAGGCTGGTGTCCGATGCGTAGAATCGGTGCTCTGGTCTTGCGAGAATGCCGAGCTATGGCACGCCGGGGCGTTGCTCCAGGCGGGAATCACATGCCCTCGATGCTCGCCAGTGAATATTTTTACTGGAAGCCGTCAGCGTTCGCGTTCATCCTCACATGGTGTCCTATTCGATTCCCATGGAAATTCGCTCGACGAAACTGGTTGGCGCTGTGCAAGACCGAGATATTCCCAAGTGCTGATCGAGATGTTCTCGTCTCTGTGCTGAAAGTGCTTCTGCGCATTTCTGCTGATAATATGAATCCATGGCAACACGCGTGCCTTCGATCGACGCCCCGTCAGACGTTTGATGAGCGTACCGTACAATAATACGTGCATGGGGCTCTGCTTCAGGATCTCTTTCTGAGCCAGCTTCAAGATGTACTTGTGCACGTGTTCCGTGAACGTCATCCGGACTTCATCGACGAGAATCCTGCAGAACCGCTTCCTGCGCTCGGTGCTCGATTTCGTCGAAGGAGCAGGGGTTCAGGGTTTGCGCGACCTAGCCCGTTCAACGCCCTAGGGCATCATTAAACGACCCGAATATTCAGCTGTATCTTCTTTAGAAATCGTTAAGAAACCTGGCGAAAGCGCGATTGTCGTCTTGGTATAGTCGAAACAGTTGGCGACCGAAGAGCGAGCGCATGTACTCCCGCCAAACATTGTGTGTATGAGCCACTTGAGCACCCGTGCACGCTCTGAATGACGAGTACGAAGCATCCGTCTCTGTGCGATATGATACTCTGGGCTTCGAGATGGGTCCTGGTGCCATTGCTCCACTTGCTGGAAAGTCTCGTGGCTTCCACCGTGCTCGATTTCGAATGATAACGAGCTTCAGAATCTTTGAACTGCTTCATGTGCTTTCCATTCAGGCCTTGGTCACCCGAGCCTTGATTTAGCTGGACGACGTCGGCCATGATGTTTGTCGGCACGAGAGCCATGCTCACCACAAAATCCTTCTTCTCATTTGCTTTGAACGATTGCAAATTAGTCCATTCCGCGCAACTCATGCCTAGGTCTCGCAAAGTACACATAGATGCATATGCTGTAGGCGTGCATGCTCTATGCAGATTTCTATCCGTTTTCTCCTTGTAAACGAGAAATCTTTACCGGCCTCGGACAATGCGCTTCGTGAAGCCGTTCGAGTACTTCGGATTTGCCTTCAGCGATCAGCCGTCGCTCACTGAACAGGCCATACATTCCAGTACACCAATGTATTCGTTTACACCATAGGACTTGTTACGATACGTGGGAAGCACATCGAATCAGCGTTTGAGCAGACTTGGACGCCCGGGTTTGGGGAAATCATATGCATCGTTCTGCAGACCTCTGTTCAGGGAAACAGAGAGGCGCAAGATGCGAGGAATTCAGGCACTACGTTTCAAATATCCCATGTGTACGACACGCGTCGATGCCAAGCCCACAGCAACACCACGAGCCTAGACGATACGAGGTGAATGCCGCTCTCGTTGCAATATCTCATCGGGACTCGCTAGCACGTCGAGCGCTTCCATCACCAGCCCGCCGCTCGCCTTCAGCGACTCACCAGAAATTCCTTTTTATTGACGCACAAGCCTCTTGGTCGATGCGTTGAGGCCACTACGGATACAGTGCCCATGCAGCGCCCTTGTTTGACGCATAGATGCTTTTTGAGGATGGTTTGGTACTCGTAGGCGTTGGGGATGTAGATGTTACCATCGCCGACGGGTCGCAGCGATCCATCAGGAAACTCGGGTTGTCGTTTGCGCAAATCCAGGATCCTTCAATCAGGCAGTGTTGGATTTCCTCTCCAGATCATCAGTTGCCTCACGTGGATTTGGTCGAAAATTTTAGAGGGATGTACCCAGCTTGCAACCGTGCGCCCGTAATTTAAACGAATAATTGCTGGGCAAGATGCGTCAAGGCGAAAGAAGCTGAGCGAGCCTTATTCGAAGAAGAAGCAACGCGACTTTTAATGTCGTCCTGTAGCTTCCGGTTTCACGCATGCAAACGACTCGTTCACTGTTAGGTGCGGGTGAAAAATGCGCTCGACAATAGAGGAGACGCATTTGACTGGGTTGACATAAGCAGAACAGGCTAGACCGGTGAGCAGCTTAGCACCAGTCTCAGTCGGGCACGCTTTGATCGGTTTTAGGCGATGGAAAGCGATGTTGCCAATCAGCAGGTCCGAGAAATCGGTGACGATAGAGCCACGATGCGTACTTTGTCGACAAAGGCTGTGGTGCTGAACGATTCACCTCTTCTGGCGAATCATGGGAGAGCACACGAAAAACTCGCTCCAAACGCTGATGTTTTCGGAACACTTCCTCGTCCCTCTGTTGCAAAACGGCGGTTTGGCCCTCTTCGACAACCCATACACTGTTCTACCGTTTCCACTGGATGCATGTTCTTGCGATGAGATCATCAGCTGTCGCTTCTGTCGTTAGGGTTCACAATGAAGTACGCACTCGACGGTGTACGGTTCCGAGCGTGACGGACTCACACTGAAGCATCTGGTTTCCTGTGCCCAGCCTTGTCTCTTCAATTCAGTTCGTACTGTTGGTACGGAGGCTTCACATCCTGTGGCCTCTTTGCTGATAGTTCTTCAAGAACGTATGGAGTGGAATCAATGGACGAGGCGACATTCGTGACAATAGAACTCGATATGTTCTGGCTTTGGTGGACGAAATTCTCCACGGGTCACGACAAGTTGGGTATTCCACCTATCTACTGACCGCAGAATAACTGCCTTGTACAAGTAATGCGGCAACGGCCAACTTCCAATGATATCGTTAAATTTTTACGGAACTTTTTGCCGGTTCGTGGCGTACAATCTGTTCGCGGTGTACCTGCGAACACCAACAAACAGAAACAGAAAAGAGCGTGCTAATACTAGTGTTCCGGGAAACACCGCTCGGCGTAGAACGCTCGTCGGCTGTCGGACTGCATGCTAGCACGCCAAAAGCGATAGGTTCTGGTGAAGCACCGGTGTGCCGTACTCACCAGCGTACACGTAGGTTGCAGGGTGCGGGTTCGTTGCGCTGCAGCCGCTGCCTCGAGAGTACCGCGAGAGGCATAGGAAACCGCGAGGCGTGCCGCTGTAAGCAGCTTGGTTCTTTTTTCGGGGAACGGTTGCGCTCTTTGCCCGCTGGGACCGAAACACATGACTCAGCAGTCGGGCCGGCGGCAGCATCAGCATCAGCAGCTGCTACCGCAGCGAGTGGCGCTTGCGAGCAGCCTCGGTAAGAGCGGACTCCACGGGTACGTCTATGCGCTCGACGCTGCAGTTGGCAGTGTTTTGCGATCTCGTTTGCAAGATGAAGGTGTATCGGAGCTCGTGTGGACTCCACAGGAACCGCCCGCGGAGCTGCGGTCCGCAGCACCTATGCACCTGCAATTTTCCGCGGTCTGTTCTGCTAGGCCTCTGTTGCATACAGCAGACCCGAGCCTGCAGATCAGTGCCTCCAATGAAAATCCGCGTAATCATCATGTGGTTGCCCACAGCGCCGGTGTCGTCTTGCGTCCCGAAGATTTAGATGCCCCAAAGCTTGTGATCGTATGTCGAAACGACATACCCATGAGTGCAGGCAAGTTGGCTGCGCAGGCTGCACACGCCGCTGTTGGTGCCTATCGCCGGCACTGCGTCGAATCGACGGGCGATACTGAGCAAGCTCTCGTATGCAATCGTTGGAAGCGTGAAGGTGAGAAAATTGTTGTGTTGTCGACGTTCAAGCGCCCTGCTTCGGACCGCGCATCAACTGCTGCACCATCTGTTGCCGAGAGCGGCAGCGGCGCTCGGATGCTAGAGGCGCTCGCGCGTGAGGCGCGCGCTTTGGGTCTCCCGCTCTTTCAAGTGGTGGACGCAGGTCACACTGAAGTACCACCACGTACATGCACCTGTATCGCGATCGGGCCAGCCGCAACGGGTCGCATCGACGCGGTAACCGGGGATCTACAGCTCTTCACAACAGGGCGCCAACCTGAGAAGCTAGCTCGGACCGGGTCACGAAACGAGCGCCGTAACCGACAGCGTCGTCGCGGCAGCCGCTGAATAGCGTTTGTAGCGCATACCCTAGCACACGTGTCGGAATGTTTCCTGGGCGCGGGTGCGCCAGCGAGGTGCATTCCCTGGCTGGTGGCGCTTTCTGCGAGCTGCGCGAGGTTTTTTGACCACTCTGGGGTACCGCGTGTGGACGCGCTCGCGATCGCATCTAGCGCTATAGCTTTCGTTCCTCAGCGAGTGCCGGTCGCGGAACGGAGTCCGCATTCATGCGCCTCCACGCGAATGCTCGCTCTGATGTCCGGCACGGTCACGCTTATTCGGTGCGCATATGTTCACAACAGCTCGTTTCGCTCAAGTCCCAAAGAACGCCGTACCAGGGCCCTGCATACACCATCGAACGAACCCGGAATAAAGACAGTGGAGCGCCCTGGGGATAACCGGGGGGCGGGGTTAGGGGCGGGGGCACCAGGCCTGCATGCATCCGCTTTAGATCAAAGAAACTCAATACGCCGTCTGGAATGATCTCGTCATTACGACTGTCGAGTTTGTGTCCAAAAAGTCTATAAATATCCAATTTGGTACCTCTCTCGCTCCCCGTATATCTAGTTCCTATCCAAAAAGTACATAAACATGCAGTGTTATACCATTAATTACAATTTTTCTTTTCCAAAGGCGTCCGCACACGTCTCTCCCGATGTGCTGACGCGATGCAGCGCTTGCCCGATCGCAGCGCGACTGTTGCAGACAACTGCGACGCGCTCGCCGCCAGCCGCGAGGACTGGCGATGGACGTGCCCTGCACTTGCGGGGCACGGTACAAAAACCATTTTTGGCTTCAACGCGAGCCGCCTCCTCAACGTCGTTCGGGGCCCTAGTGTTGTTCCTCGGAAACTTGTGCAGTGTATATTCATAATGTCTCGCTGTACTCGATATGTTTGGACCCTTACCTGTGTCTGCCTCGTGTTCGTTATCGTTGCTATGGTACTCGGGATACAACTCGCAGCCGTTCCTGCAGAAGCGCTAACGTTCGACTACGTGCCGGTTCCGCGGGTAGGTCTTAGAGACGCCCGTGACCACAACCGTAATCCGAACTGCTTCTTTACGACTGGAGCAAAAGGGGATCTCATAAGCGGTCACTACTTGGTGGTAGAGCCACCAAAAGGTGCAGCGGTAGAAATGATTGTCTCGAAGCTGCCGCGTGACGCTATCGACGACGAGTCGCGCTCCGTGCCGGTGCTCGCGTTACCCGCACACGCCGGAGAGTCTTTCTCTTTTGAGGTGACGGAAGACGGGTTTCCCCTATATCGAATCTGCTTTGCTGGTGCGTATGGGCCACCACGGAAGATCCTCTTCGAGTGGCAGGGTGGTGTCGTTGACGAGGTCGTATCGGGCGTGCACGCTGACAAGAAGGAGCCCATCAAAGTCGGCCACATACAGGACCTGGAAGCGGCGGTCGATCATCTTCAAGATAGGGTTGCGCAAGTAGGTGGCGCAGCCTACTACTTCAACCATCGCCTTGGGCTCATGCTCGAGGCACTTTATGGATCATCCACGGCGCTCGCGTGGACAGCTCTGTTGAAAACGCTCGCTTTTATGGCGATCAGCTGGTGGAAAGTGAGTCGTGTCAAGAGGATGCTGGATCCGAGTGCTGCTGCGCCGACAGGTTGGAGCTTTCCTGGCGTATCAAAGCTTCTGGGGCAACACCAGAAACCAACCAAGCCATTACTCGAGCGACGGATTTCACCCGGTGGCTGGCCACGAGTCTAGCGGTCGTCGCACGAGCGCTTTTGTCTGATACAGCTGAATGTGAAACGACGAGAGGGCTTCGCGTAAGCGCTCTGATGGGAATGTTGATTGCCGGGGACGCTCTACGCCTGTGTCAGATGAAAATGGGACCCTGAAGTGCTCGCTCCGTTACCGCCTTTGGATTATTTTTCTGAACTTGTTAGATAAGCAGACTCAACATTCGAAGCGCAGCAAGTAGGGATCACGGATTCATGTGTAGTTCTAGGATTCTCGGTCGTTTTTCCTGATTGGTGCCTTCCACGGTGTGCCGATGGCATTCGGTACGCCACCGGAATCAAGATGAATCGCGACGCCGGCGAACAAGGGTTTCTAAAATAACCGATGACATTATCCAATGCCTGTGTACAAGTGTTTTGTGTTCTCGTTTTCTTTCGTGCAGTATGCTCAAATCAAGCAACCTCCAAGTTTTCGATCGTTCTACTTCGAGGCAACTCATGCGAACAGCCATTCGAGCTGTTGTCTTGTCGAGGAAAAATACACGACTTGGTCCGTTGACGAAATGTTCACAGGCCGAGCCCCAAAAGCTGACTGAAATCCTCACTCCAAATAATCGAATCCGTTCGAATGAAAAATCCTCCTGTGGTTGTGGCCGTTGACGAAACGGCATGCGCTACCAGCATAACAGCGCTCATGGAGCACGCTCACAGGGGCCCCCGTATCTTCTGTTCACATCGAAAGGAGTAACGGAATCGGACTAGATTCATCCCAGCAATCGCTTCCAATCGAGCGTGCATCACTCCTTTGCACGACGGGAGCGTTGACGAATCGAAATTCCAAGACCTGATCTCCAGCCTAGATTCTGCTTCGGGGCATTGCTTCCGCGTGAAGAACACCGCATTCCACAAATGCGCTATCGAATGGAACAGCGTGCGTTTGCGTTTGCAGCGTACAGCGTATTCAACGCGGGTATTTGTCAGAGGAAGCCAGTGATCTTACGAAACGGTGCGGTACTGCAGCGGACTCGAAAACGGAACGGGGTATTGAGGCGGGGCCCCACTGTACCCCTGAACGGGTATGTATGCAGCGATCAAGCAGGCCCGAGCGAAGTCCACGGATGAAGAATTTTGGCTGGGCATGGGGAAACACTTTAGCCACGTCAAGTGCCACTGATGCCAAGAGCGCTCCAAGTCTGAGCACAACTAAAATGAAAATGCCATGCAATGCCTCTATCGCAACTCCAGCCTGTGCATGAAATGCGTGAACAGCAGCAGAAGGCTGCGACATCGAGACACGAACACTGCCATCAACATCTGTCGACTGCTGGCGACGATTTTACAGGAACCGAAGACGTCGGCGTATTCCAAGCCGGCGACTAGAGGAAGGAGAGGGAAGCAGAATGAGAAAAAGAACCCGCAAATGCTGGTGTTGATGAGCGTAGCCAGAAACCGAAACTTGATGGTGTACGCCCGCGTAACGCAATTACGAGCGTTCCATATGGCCCTGGCACGGGGGTGCAGCAGGCGTCTCTATACCCAAGAAGGCGCGCAGCGTAAGGCAAGATGACGTAGCGAACAAGTCGACGAACCGCTGATCAGATGCTTGCCTGCTGGAACGAAAGCGGCCCCAGCGGAACCGTTGCCTTGGTGCGCTCTCACCGGCCTCAAGTCGCGTGCAGTGACAGAGTAACCTATGAATATCGTCGTGTTGGCTTCTATTGATTCTTCAACTGCACCTACTTGCACCAGGTACATAGACGATTTTATGAAGCGTTGCGGTTGATGTGATCCGCACCCGAACGGAGAGCGCTCGGCGATGGACTAGTGTACTGCTTCGGTGCTGGAGACTTGTTCTCCGGACGTACCATGGTGCGCAGTGCGTACAGCTATCACGAAACTACACAAGACACGCAAGTTGCGGGTTCGCTAGAAACATGGTTCACGCGTATTCTGCACAAGCGCACAGCGAGCGCTTGAACTGTCTCTTCGCCGTAACAGCGACAGTCACAGGCTTCGTATCCATCATGCACTTTGGTTATCTGTGAGCGTACAAACGTGCGAGTTTCGCTGGGTGACCTCGACGGTGGTACCGGAGTGTGTTCGTGACGGGGTCTTGGTGCGAAGCAATCAAGGCACCGCATCACTGAAGCTGCTTCGCGATGAGCATCCACGAGCAGCAGTAGCATGTACCCAGAGGTTGTAAAGCGTCCAGCTAGTACAAGCATGAAGATGGTTATCCTCAGTGCCGATCAATGCACCATCTACCACAGAAGAATCATATTCGATTGTTGCGCTTGACACTTGTCAAGTAGAACATTTATGTCGATAGCAAAGCTGTTACGTGTCTCGCGAGTCCAAGTCAGTCCCTGAAGACTAAAGAGTATCTGCGTAGCAATTTGCCGAAACTCATCGATGTGCTTCGGGTTCTAGCTCCGAGCCGCTGTGGGGAACGAGGCAACGTCTTTGAACGTCGTTTGCGTGCGGGGCGCGAGTTTGTCCTGGAGCGGGGGAGGGGCTGGAGTTCAGGTTCCACACTAGCCCCGAAGCGAGCTTGCGTCGAGTTAGGAACGGCGAGAGAACAACGCTCTCGCCGTACGCCCGCTGGGACGTTGGTGCGGTCCACGGCGGGCGGTGCGCCCCCTCTCCTGGGCGCTGACGAGCTGCTGTTCAGAAGAAGCGAAGTGCTACCCACTCGCTCAGTTTTTCAGCGCTATCCGGATTCTGGTACACGTTTGCAAAGCCGAAGCTGCGTCCCCACACTGAGCCACAAACGAGAGACTGACGGCTGTTTCGCAGGGTACACGCATCAAGCGAACCGCTTGCTCTGAACCCGGTTGAGTGGTGGCAAAACCCCAGGTTTGGCGCACTAGACCCACACTGCGGGCACTTTGGCTCGCTTGAAGGTACCCGCTTCCTACGCTGGCAGCGCGGACTGGTATCGTATTGTTCCGCATGGACGCGTTTGAGCACGAAAACCGATACGTGCATGCCGTTTACGAGGCTATCGGAGACCATTTCAGTGCCACTCGATATCGCACATGGCCAAGAGTTCAAGCGTTTCTGGAACAACTCGCACATGAGGCGCTCGTCCTGGACAGTGGTGCCGGCAATGGCAAGTATGCGCTGCCTGTTCTGCGCCAACACGGTTACTACATCGCTGCGGATCGTTGCCGTAGACTCCTGCTCCGCGCTCGTTGGCAGTCTGATGCTTTGGAGGCTCAAGAGACGGCGCTGCTACCCGTTGAATGCGTACAAGCGGATTGCCTATTTTTGCCGTTCCGCTCTGGGGTGTTCGATGTTGCCCTGAGCATTGCGGTGATCCACCATGTGGCAACGGCACGACGCCGCGTTGGTGCTGTGGTGGAGCTGGGGCGAGTACTTCGCCCTACTGGGCATGCCCTGGTGTACGTCTGGGCTTTGAGAGCGATACCGCTGAAGCTACGATCACGTGCACAATCAACCATGGACGGGTACCTGCTACCGTGGCATCACAAGCGGTCAACAGGCGCCGACGCTTTACCACAGAAAAAATCGGACAGTCCATCTCAAACATACTTCCGGTTCTATCATCTATTCGAGGAAGATGAGCTGCGCATGCTCGTTGAAGAGGCCAACGCAGTCTCCAAGGAGGGCGCAGCGACCACATGGACGCTGCGGATCACAGGGGAAACCTTTGATCATCAGAACTATGTCGTTGAATTTCAGAGACAGAACATTCACGCGTTATTGGAAGATGCCGCGGATAACATCCTGCATCCCAGCATCTGAGCGAGCGCTCAATGCATACGCTACAAGCGTCAATAAACCGTGGAAAGGGGCGGAGCGGATGCGCAGGTCACGTCCCAGCGTCCACGTCTTCTGATCCGTATGGGTCCAAGAGTTGAGCGGATGCGGATATGGCGCGAACAGCGTCCAGTCCACGGGAGCCGTGGGATTCCAAGGTTCATAATCTCCGAAGAAAGCGGCGCGTAAAAGAATTTCATTGGTCGCCCTAGGTTCTCCAGAGATACGGTGCTCCGCGTGTACGGAGAGCGTCATGCTCGCCTACGAAAGCGACTTGTGGGTGAAGGAATCTCGTTGGCCGTCACTGCCGCTCCGCAGGTACGACCTCTTCTGGGTGAGGCATGAGCACTCGTTTCAGATCTGCGCAGGCCAGCACATCGTTCGGGATTCGTAAATACAAGAGTATGCTTCTATGGGCATATTCTACTGCAATTCAAGTACCTAGCGAGGGATTCTGGAGGCGAGAAACCGATCGACGCGTCTCTCGGCTTCGGCTCGTTCACAAAGGCACTACGCTGGATTGATAGCATGCTTTCAGTGAAAGCGAACACGAATAGTGCACTTTCGGCGACTGCTCTCACCGGCGTTCAGCAAGATATGTGAGGGTTTCAGCGTCGACTCCTCTGGGCTGATCGATGCCGAGGTCACGAAACGTTCGATAACCCGTATGGACGACATTGTCCCGCTGTAATAGCGCGATCTGATCGCGAGTCAGCATGGGTGGTATACTGGGTACCATCCGGTGCAGCAGCTCCGATGCTTGTGCCTGAATGTTGGCGACGCTCAAAGGAATCGGAACCAGCAAACGGCGCATTTGCATCACAGAGAGCATCCGAGCCATAAGCTCCCGAAACGTCAGAATATCTCGTCCACCGAGTTCAAAAATCTGTTCGTGTTCGGAATCCATTGAAGATTCCGCGCTAGATTCCATGGCCACATATTTCTTTCGCTCCGCGGGAAGGATACTGCGAGCTAGAGCCAGCGCCAGGTCCTCCACATAGACCGGCTGAAAACGGGTGTCTCCGGTTCCGATCAGCGGCAATGCGGGAGAAAAGCGTGCCATGTCCCGAAAGCGCGTGAAGAATTGATCACCTGGACCGAACACAATCGAAGGCCTGATAATCAAGACCTGTTTTCCAAGATGGCTCAGCAAAGCCTGCTCTGCGAGTCCTTTTGAACGTGCGTACGCGGAATGAACAGCCGTGAAATCCGCACCTATCGCCGAGACTTGCGTCATGATCGGTCGCTCTAGTTCACTGCTTGCCGTATGTTCAGCCTGCTCGTTCAGTTTAAAAGCCTTTGAAATATTCTCAGCGGCTTTGACGTGCACTTTTTCAAACGTTCGCTCTGGCGGGGTCTCGTACAGCAGACCCACCAGGTTCGCAACGCTCTGCGGCAGCGGGCGCAGTGCCTGCAGAACCTGCTCCTCCTGTGTAACATCAGCGGTAACAAACGTTATTTGGGACGATCTTACCGCCTGCTGTAGACGCTGATCCGAGTCAACTGCCAGTTGGACGCGCACCTTGACAGCATTCCTACAGATAACGCGAATCCGAAGCGCTTCTGGTGAGGTCTCTGGTGCGAGTCGCAAGAGCGCTCGCAGCAGGTGCCTTCCGATGAAGCCGCCTCCCCCAAATACGGCAATATCAGTCAGACGACTTGCCATGACAACCTCTGGATACTCGTTCAACCGGAGTTTGCACAGTGAACTGCCTTCGTCGAAGCGAGCAGCCGTATCCGCACCGCATGACGCGCTGTGGAGAGACGCTATCACCGCGGATTTGGCTGGCGATGTGGCCCGCATCGAACACGCGCAGTGCATCGCTGGAACGGCTTCTGTCCGTTTCTTCATATACGAGAATGCACTGACTATCATTGTCGTATTTTATACAGAATCCAGTCCGTGAGCGCGTATCCCAGGTGGTTATCGTCGCCTTGGCCGTAGGCGTCAGCAGGCTGATAAATCATCGCGTACCATGGGACGCATCTTGAGCGTATACTCTGGATCAATGCAACGCTGGTGCACTAGTCTAGAGTCCGCGCACGAGAGCCATGGTAACACGTGCAAAGTGCGGTATGTTTTCTTTTTGCGAGTGCGCGGAAACATCATCGCATTCGTTTCGAGAAACGGACACTGTCCATTTTGATTGCGAATACATGCACAAGAGTTCGCTGCTGGTCAGTTGCGTTGCAGCTACAGTGCTTGCCCGCGTGAAGACGTGTTCAGTTCCTATAACGATTACTAGGCAGCAGTCAGACGCGATTGCGCAGCTATAGCGTAAATGGCACAGAAAACTCTGTGTTGCACGGGCGGAGCAGTGCGCGCTCCAAAAGTGTTGCAGCCGACGACACCGCCGCATAGACTCAGGTAACGCCACCAGAGCCGCAGCGTTCGGCACAAAAGCGCCCTCGCTGTTTTATGTATCGAAATAGGTTTCCAATGGAGCAAGTGCGTATAGCGTGTCGTCATAGACGCCAGCGTTTGTATGGCACTGCGCACCTATGCAAAGGAGAAACTTGCCACCTGGCGCATTGTCCACGGGTTTTCGTCTATGCATATCCGACGAACTGCACGCAGGTCTGCGAGCTATTTGGCATGTGCTGACAAAATGCGGCTCATGGTGCTTTGGGCGTCACGTTCGGCTCTGCGAACGATGCCGTGGGCCACGGTGCACAACGCCGGGGTGGTTGCGTGCTACCCGGACCGCTGACAATCGAACAAGCAGGCTGACTTCCATGTTAGCTGCCTGTTTGGCTGGCACGCTGACGGATAGCGGAACTCTGCCCAATGCGTAACCGCTCGTCACTGGCCACGAAACGCACAGTAACGTATGCAGTCCCTTGTGATCACGCGACAATCGCGCGGCGCGCCCAAACAAGTTCGCCCACGAAGCAGCGTACTCGCTCCACTATCCCTTGAAGCCCGCTGACCCCGAGGTCTCCTCTTCAAATAGCTTGTAAATAGTTAGAACAGGAATATTCAGCGCAATCTCACGTTCAATCGTTTTCACATCCACATCCAGCGGCTGAAGCGTCAGCGTTCTCCCGTCAAGGAAGCTGATGACGAGCTCGGCGCCTCCAGAGCCACCGCCGTCTCGAACAGTAGCCTCAACCACGAGACGCGGGTTCGCTCGTCGAACGCGCGGACTATTCACACGCCGCAAGAACTCGCGTGCGCTCACGGAACGATAATCGTAGGGATCGAAAGCCACCTGGCACTTGGCTATAGCCCGGAAGAGGTTCACGTTGGAACGGAGCGTACGCAATGCGACACCAAGTTGTCCCATTGTCTGTGTTGGAGCATCAAGCGCTGTGATCTAACCTCCACGCGTCCAGCGCTACCGCCACACGAATGACGGGCTCAGTCAGTTGTTCCAGCTGACGAGAGCGCGCACCAGCGCTGTGTACGAAACGACCTGAACAGCCGAAACTGGCGCACGTCGGCCAGAACGCAGCCCGTGGTTATCCAGCCGCTGGACAAGATTTATCTATGACTGATAGTATTTGATCCACAAAGTCACGCTTGGATCCGAATGGTATCCGTCATCAGAGGGGATTCATCGCTGGTTGTTCAGACAGCCCGCAGATTCCAGCGACGCTAGTTTGGGCCTATCGGACAGAAAAAAAAGTCTCATCGATCTCGATGGAAATCGAAGACGGCACTGGTTACGCTGTTCCCGTCTTTGGATTCTCCGGAGTTTATTATAGATTCCCAGCCTCGATATTCAAAGTGCAGCAACAAAGGCTCGGATATTCGCGAGTTTTTACAGGATTCTTGGTCATCTTTTCTGAGTGGCCACTTCAACGCTCCGTGGCTGGGAATCGTCGAGTCACTGAAATCCAGAGCATTCGCCACGCCGTCGAAGAAGCGTTCGTAAAAAAGCCCCTGTCATTATCCAATTCATGCGTACAAGCAGCCATACTTCCCCATCCCTTATATGGAGCACGCTCAAATCATGCCTTTTTCAATGCCTCGATCTTGTGTGTTCCAAGGCGACTCGTGGTCGCAGCGATTCGCACGGCTGGATGGATGGATGGATGACGAAAAATAGTCGACGTCAGCCGTTGGTGACTTGATCGTAAGCTCATGCCGAGGCCTCTCTGCACCAGTCACAACGAAACGATCGTTTCCGTTTGAAAGGCGAATCCAACGCCCATTGTGGCCGCCTGCGAATCCAACCTGGTCACCGGCATGAGGGCTCTCACGAGATATGTCCGCAGAAGCTCACGTCTCTTCTGTTTGCATGGCAAAGGCTGTTGCATTCGGAAATCAGCCGTCGCAGCGATCGCTTCCAGTGGTGAATGCGTTACCGCTTTCGACGAAGAAAGCGTAGAGGAATGGAAAATTCACAACTTGATCTCCGTTCTGGATCGTAGTTCCAGAACTTGTTTCATCACGGACAGCATCTCGTTCCAAGAATCCTCAAACGAGTGGAGTAACGCCCGCTTGCGTGCATACCAAACAGAGTTCTCGTAAACGGGATCGCCTAGACAAAAAATGACCCTAGGGTACGGCACCAGAAACGGAAACGAAAATAGAAAACGAATGGAACCTCCTGTGCCCGTCAAGAGCAAGGAACGAATCATGAAGCAGGCGTTCACGTACCACAATGCGATTCTCGGAGAAGCATACCTGCTGGTCGTAAAGCAAGACCCCGCTAGACATCTGAGTCACGGTCGCTCAGCGTTCTCTGATACCGTATGCAAACAAGATGAGCATGTCACGCGAAGCGTTGATCGCAACGACCATCTCGACATCATAGGTTTCGAGAAATGCCCCAAGCAGCGAAATCGAGACTTTAACGCAGCCATCAATATCCAGCGACTGTTGAAGATAGCGGTAGAGGGATGCGATAAACTGGCGAATGCCGAGCCTCAGATGAGAGATAGGAAAAGGACACTGTCGTAAAGAGGCCACAACGGCTCATGTCCAAAACAGTGAGAAGACATCCAAAATATAGCGTGTGCGTCCATGTTGAAAACGACACATTCCGGTGCGTAGGATGCCTGAAATACCATCGACACCCGTACAGGTCCCGCGACTAGTCGGGATGCGCAGCAGCAGCAGCAGCAGCAGCAGCAGCCACAAGCGCCAGCGCCCTGTTTGCTGTAGAAGTGCTGAGAGCGACCACAGGTCCGCAGGGAGAGCACGTTGGTACCCGCGTCTACTCAGCTGCGGCTGGAGGCAGCTTCCAGAGCACTCCAATTGAGTGGAACGTTCCCATACACCGTGGAACGGGGCAAGCGGTCACTTTGGCGGTGACCCTTGTCCAGAGACGAAGTCGTTACCGGGGAACGGTGCTGGACGCGCGCCTTGCCAGCATGCCACTACCGCTGCTTACCTGCAGCGGGGCTAAGTACCTGTTGTGGGTGTGCTGGGCGTCCAAGCTTCAGCGCACGCCGGATGATGAGTTAGCGCAAGCGGCTTCATGGTTGGAGGCGGTTCCGCGTCCGCTTCTATTCGTTTTGGCGCTGAGTTGCATCTTGCTGGGTGCACTCATGGCGGGCCTTACTCTGGGCCTCATGTCTCTTGACTTGTTTCAATTGGAACTCCTGGCGGTTTCTGGGGCGAATCCGGAGGAAAAATCCGCAGCTCGGGCTATTGCCCCGTTGCGGGCGAAGGGAAACCAACTGTTGGTAACGTTGCTGCTGACCAACACGCTTGCGAATGAGCTACTGCCTCTCGTGCTCGATACCCTATTTCCTGGCGGATACGCCGCCCTGGTGCTCTCTGTAGTGAGCGTGGTTGTTTTCGGAGAAGTCCTGCCACAGGCAGTCTGCAGTCGATATGGACTGAAGGTGGGCGCTGCCACCGCTGGCTTCACAAGAACCCTGATGACGATTTTTTGGCCAGTGGCTGCCCCAGCTGCTTGGATGCTTGACAAAATGCTGGGCAAGGAGCTGCGTACGGGTTACGATCGCGATCGACTCAAGGCTCTGATCCAGATGCACGGACCAGCGGGCGTCACCAGAGCCGCAACACCAGCACCAGGAGCAGCAGCAGCAGCAGGTTCAGGCACAGTGGCATCTCCGGATGCTCCGGACCTGGAGTGGGCTCCTGTCGTTGCAGCTGGAGCTGAACGCACCGAGCTGCGGATCCAGGAGCCTTCGCCTGGCTACGCGTCAACGTCATCGACGATGCCCAGAGCGTCTTCGACACAGGCAGTTCGAAGAGACAGTCCGAACGTGGGTTCAAATGCCGTTGCCGACAAGTCGTTCGGTACCAGCTGGGAGCGTGCTGCGTCTACTGGTACCGAGCGAGCACCGGCTGTTGCCTCAGACGGAGGACGCCCTTCTGGATTTAGCGTGCTTTCCGCCGATGAGGCATCCATGCTGGTCGGTATTCTAGAATTATCATCGAAGACTGTGTTTCAGATCATGACCAAGGCCGATGACGTGTTCTGTCTCTCGGTTGATGATTGTCTCGATCGTCGATTACTGAAACGCATCCTGCGGCTGGGTCATTCACGAATCCCCATCTATGACGGCTGTCGCGATAACATCATTGCTATCCTGTTGGTGAAACAGTTGCTTCTCGTCGATCCGAACAAAGCACTGCCTATTCGAGCGATTATTCGTCGAAAAAAACGCAGCCACAAGAAAAAGGTTGTGAGCCCCGTATACGTATCCAAGCAGTGCAATTTGCTGGATCTTTTGAACGAGTTTCAGGTTGGGCGATCTCACATGGCGATTGTGGTGGAGAGTCTGGAACCTCCAGCGGATCACGGCACCAGGCGATTTCTGGGCATTGTCACCTTGGAAGATATCGTTGAAGAGATGATCAAAGAGGAGGTTTTGGATGAGACAGATGTGTTTGTGGATAACGAGCACCGCCAACCGCTGCTCATACGTGGCCAGGACAAGAAGTGGCACTACTCGATCCCGCCGGAACTGCTCGCGAGCCGCAAACGGAATCCCCATCTCATCCAGTACCGCGACATTGACGAGTCTGCGTATGCCGATGCAGTCGTCTTCACCGGTGGAGCGATAACCAAATCTGCGTCCGTCGCTGCTTCTGGTCAGCAGCGTGCAGCGAACGTGACCGGTACCTCCAAAGTAGACGAGGCACGCTCCGCGACTAGCCCCAGACCGTCCTCGTGGTGCACGGAGCAGGCAGTCACGAACGCGACGCCCCCAGGTTCGCCGCATGCGCTGCCAGAAACGGAGACACTGCAGTTGCGCACAGGGGCGGCCGAGGCAACGATGGCCTCCTCCTCCTCCTCCTCCTTCTCAGAAACATTACCAGAGCGAGACGTCAGACGAGACGCATCCGCACACGCTGAACACGGAAATGCTTCGGTGCAGACACGGGAACAGGACGAAACTCGTGCCGATTCTGAGGGGAACACTCGAGCTCCACATGGGCAGCTTCGTGTTCAGGATCCGGACCAACTGCAAGGAACCGAACCACCGTTAGTGCCTGGGGCAACCTCTTCATCCTCCGAGTCCGACAGCTCCCAGCAGCCTCGTCCTGAAACATCCAGTCAGCCAACGACAGGTGTCCCGCCAGCAGAACCTGCATGTGACAGCGACTCAGAGGCCGAGACGGATTTGGAGTACGATTTTGAAGCTGGTACGTACGTAGAACCGAAGAACCTGGCATGGAGAAACAAACCAGACCGGAGCAAGCGCGCCTCTCCGGGGAGCCCCGCGGCACCAGGTGCAACGCCAATGGCACAGAAACAATGAACTCGAACGCAAGGTATGGAGTGCTTTCCGCAAGCACTGTTTTTGTTTACCATGTACAAATGATCGAAACGCGACATGCGAATCAGAGAGGTTTCCGATAACGCGAAAGCAGGCTGACTGAGGCCGCTTGCGCAAGACCGTTTCTCGCATGCCTAGGTCACGTCCACAGGCGATTCCTTGCGTACCTTAAAGTATCGCAGGAGCGTTGCGAGACGGTCGCTCCACGAGCTCGATCCGCAATGTATTCAGCATTCACGTCGTATTCCTCGTAAAGGGATGCACGTGTATGTTGTTCCGTTCATGCAGGTTGTGGATTTGTTCTGGACAATGGCTTTCGCTCTACATATTGCTCCGCACATTGACCATACGCAACGGGGATGCGTACGAATATATGACCTGTGCGATGTGTGCAGGACGATGCACCTCCCAATACAGGTACCCTGGGCATCATACAATCGCTTTCCCGAACGCAGAGCACGCGACAAACCCGAGCTGTTACGCAGCGGCTTCTGGAAACATGCGCTTTGTATGGAGGTGTCCACCACCGAGGCCTTTCGCTACACAGGTTTCCGACAAGCGATGCGTGGTTCGGCGGGGGATTCTCGTTTCCGTTTGATGTCCATTGGCCTTGGTCATGGTACCTTTGACGCCCTGGAGCGCTCCCGTGTAGACTGACTGGGACAAGCGCGCCAGCATGGCTTGCCAGCGGCATTGTAGCGTAGACGAGCACGTCATGGCCGCAAAACATAACGAGGGCGCGCTCCAGCGACTATTTCCATATTGCACAGTGTCCATGGTGCAGGGAAAAAGGCACGCTCCTGGGTCACCTGCGACTACCTCATAGCTTCACGCTGAGCACTTCACGTTCGAGGCCGTCGACGATTCGAGATCCAGATAGGAGGTTCCTGCGTCGACGTCGCCTCGACGCTTGTTTTACCTGAACTAGCTTGCTCCCGGGATGAAACTCCGTCCACGCCGCCGTCACTCGTAACCGGCTTTTCCGCGTACGCACTCGTCCATTCACGGTAAACAGTGCCCGTCGCCAGTAGCGCCTCTGCACTCACTGGGGTGACCTGCGCCCGCCCGTAACTCTTCCGCGAATTTTTCGACAGCACTGCCACCCGCTCGTGAACACTCAGCACGTTCAGCTGCTCTGTTTCCAAAGCACTACGTTCTTTCTCGGCCAGAGCTGCAACTCGTTCACGTACCTGTGCCTGCTGGCGCTCGAGGTGTACCAACTCCTCCGCGCTTGGCGGCTGCGTGCGCGCACCAATCAACCATTGCCACCAGAGGATGTTCACAGAGTCTGCACCCTCACCAGCATAGTCTGTACCTGAAGCTGCCGAAAACCAGTTGCTGCGACTAGGCCGCTCGCGGTAGCGTCGCAGCGGCAAACCGGCACCTCGGTATGCTTCATAGTAGCGATTCCCGGCTTCGTCCGTGCCGACCAGACGCCGAGACAGGAGCCAGTCTCCGATGCGTTGTAGCAGCTCGCGTGCCTGCGAACGAGGCATGAGACATCTCAATCAGTCAGTGTCGACAGGGAACTAGGCAAAACACCTTGAAACAACGTTGAACGATACCAGGGGAAACTCAGCAGCAGCAGCAGCAGCAGCAGCAACGCACGGGATGGATCGCGTGGCAGGTTCGCAATGCTCGACGTCCAGTGTTGCTCGCGCTGCCCTCTTGTTCCATGATCCACTTGATGGCTTTGGCATACATACATACATACATACATACATATATCGATATGCACAGACTAGCATACAATGTGTATGTGTGCAAATACAATTATCGAGTGCGCAGTGTGGCTGCAGTGCGCAAGCAGCAAGGTACTGTGATCACCAGAGATAAATGGTTCCATGGTAGCCGTCTTGACACGATTTCCGGGGAGCACTATGAAAACGGCCATATTACGCAAGGCTGGCGGTGTGTCCCCGATGCAGACTCCAAGCGTGCGTTGTCAAGCAATGGCAAGCGCTCTCACTACTGATGGTGACGCTAACGAGACTCCTGAGGACTGGCTCCCCACTGGTCCACCGCGCTGCGCTTTTCCAAAGAAACGCACCTGAGCATTGTTTCCTGTGAGCGCAGGTACCGCTGGGTTTGTCGCTCGACATCGGTACCCGTGCGATTCTCTTTGTCTGAGAGAATTCTTACACCAAGCTGGCACGTTTTTGTTCGGACGTCACTTGCACAGAGCGGTCAGATAGTCTCCCTGAACGGGCGTGAACGCCGTAGTCGACGCAGAGCACTGTGAACGTTTCACGTCATCTGCGGATGTACGCAAGCTAGATAGTGAGCTGGAAACCCAGTAAGCGTCCTGGTGTACGGATGACATCGTCCTTTGAAACTAAATGATGTAGAGAAGACCCTTGACCTAATACGTTCAAGTGCTTGTGTGTGATTTGCGAGGACGCATGGAGTAATGTTTGGGGCGCTCCTAGCTCTGGTCACCCGACGTGGAAAGCAGTGCTTTCCATGGATGACGCTTTGCATGTGCTTGCTGCGCTTCGCCAGACACTGGTGGTCGTCAAGTTGTCAGGAAACCGCGTTCAGCGTGAGATGCCGTTCATGCTTATGTTTACAGTTTAAACCTAGCTTTCGCGGAGAAATATTGCCGAAATATTCTTGCAGTTTTTACCATGAACCATCGCAAGAGCGCCATGATGACTAGGGAATCTAGGACTTGGCCGTACGAGCAAGGCTTGCCGCTGAGATGGTCGCTGCACAGTGCCCGGTTCGTGAGCGCGACTCTAGAGCACGAGAACAAAATCTCTAGAACCTAAACCTTCAGATGCAGCGACAACAGAGGGTACGACAGCCACTGCCGAACATGAGCGTTCGCGAACAGGTCCAGAGCGCCGACTCGCACAGCGTCGTCAGGGGTACCACCAGGCAGCACTAGGTCGCTTTAGGCATTGGCGTCTTCCAACGCCTGTGCCTTCCATGTCCGGACGAATGCTGTACTATGCTCTGTGGGAGCGAGTGACCCGACACATCCTGAATACGTGATCGTTTGTTTAGAAGGCGTATGGATGGGCATGCTCCAATGCCGCCCACTTTTCTCCGTGGAAGAAGCGACCCATTCATGGACAAAGGTCATGGTGACGCCCGTCCTCGAGACTTTACCTGTTTCTGGATCTCTTTTGCTGTACCATGGTTCCAATAATGCGCTCGTTCATCACTTGCCTTCTCCCTCCTCTTCCGGGGTCAACGTCTCCAAAGAATCAACAGCGTGAATGAGACCTGCGTCCATCTCCTTCCAGATGGCACGGTACACCAGCTGGTGCCGAGCTACAGGTCGCTTGCCTCGAAAACAGTCCCCAACAACCCGGATGCTCACGTGCGTGCCGTTCGGGTCACCGTAGGTCGGTTCCACGCGAATGCTCTGCGGTTTAAGCGCGTCTCTGATTCGCTGTTCAACCACGTCCACGACGGAGCCTCGTGCCCAGCCACTCATGGATAGACTTGCCCTCCCGGTGCGAAACAGAAAAACACGTTCAGCGTTGCTCGTTGCCCTGTAGACTCGTTGAAAGTTCGAAAAGGGGCAGGTTCGGTGACTAGGAGCGAACGGCCCCAGCAGGAAACCCAAGCGTAGCATTTTCGTTCCCGAAACTCGTGCCGACGCGCTGTTGCACCAGCTGAAGCGAACGCAGCAGCACTCGCCAGTAGCACGAAACGGAACCGAAAGGAGTCTTGTTCGCGAAGCGCGAAACTGTAAGACGCCCCGCAAAGCGCTACGTATACTCAAAGGTGGAGACGGTGTCGCCAAGGCCAACGCAGTACCGCCTGAGCCGCTTCTACCAGCGGAATCGAACGTCACTCAGGTCCGAAGGAGCGGATCTCTGCCTCTATCCTCAGAGAGAGACACGTTCGAATGGGGTCGGCTCGGCATACAAGTTACCCAACTGGTGGAGCTCATTTATCCTGGAACTTGTCTTTAAACGCTTCTGTTCGCTTCAGTGTAGTTTAGCATCAAAGACGCTGTGCGATGACGAACATCATGCGACACACGTTTCAACACATTGGATACTATTTCTGTATCCATGAACGACCGGTTTCTTCGCAGAGCGAGAACGGTATGGCTACCTCGCACCAGTGTGGGGATCATATCGCGACCCAAAGCTCTCGGTTATCCTTGGAATGGAGAAATACAACTCATCTGAGAGAGGTGTTAAGGTTGGGTGTTTTTCAAAGCACTGGTTCATGCCCCCGCATCGCATTGCTGTTACTCTGAAGCATTACGCGTCCTTCCATGTCGATGTGGCTCTGAGTGCTGTGCTTCCAATCATGCATGGCGACGATCAGGATAAATATGACTGGAGAGTCGTGTAAAGGGATTTTTCGGAAATGCGCGTTCAGCACCTCTTGGAAAAGGTACACCAGGATAAACATACCTGCATAGCCATGTAAAGCGATTTGTCCGCAATGCTGCCTCAGCATCTATTGGAACGACTTGAACTCAGGAACACGGGGCGTAGCGGGGTTTCCAGAGCAATGACCACGGTGTCAGAGACTAGAACTTGGCGACTTTTGATGCATGTGTCAGCGGCTGTGCAAGGTATGCACTTTACGAGGGCACGATTCTCTCTTTGAGACAGCAGGACTGATGCGACTGATCCAGGCGTTTTGGATGCGCAAATACCATTCGGTAACTATAAAAAACCCTAGTTTACCCACGGGACCTTGTCACATTCCATCAGGTCATGTCGATGTATCCCTCTTTCTTGATAACGAAGCTCTGGCTGATTTCAAGACGCTCTTTCAGGTAACCTCATGGTTCACGTATGACATGGAGCTCGAATAATGCAGCCACATGCTGGTGAGCGTCGGTTAATGGCGAGAAAACGTTCAAGGGGCGCTGGTGATCACCGCCAGACGATGACACCTCGACGGAACGGGAGCTCTCCGGTGCCACTGGAGAACCCAGGACACACACCAGAAAGCCATCCGGACTCTAGAGATGATTCTCGGGTTGGAAGACATGATCGCTCGTGGACTCACTAGAACGGCTCACCGCAATACGCCTGCGAAACATATGCGAAGGTTCTGCTTCTCTTATCTGTTTCCGAAATCAGGTCTTTTTGCCAACGCTGATACATCATCGGCCTGCGAAACATATGCGAAGGTTCTGCTTCTCTTATCTGTTTCCGAAATCAGGTCTTTTTGCCAACGCTGATACATCATCGGCCTGCGAAACATATGCGAAGGTTCTGCTTCTCTTATCTGTTTCCGAAATCAGGTCTTTTTGCCAACGCTGATACATCATCGGCCTGCGAAACATATGCGAAGGTTCTGCTTCTCTTATCTGTTTCCGAAATCAGGTCTTTTTGCCAACGCTGATACATCATCGGCCTGCGAAACATATGCGAAGGTTCTGCTTCTCTTATCTGTTTCCGAAATCAGGTCTTTTTGCCAACGCTGATACATCATCGGCCTGCGAAACATATGCGAAGGTTCTGCTTCTCTTATCTGTTTCCGAAATCAGGTCTTTTTGCCAACGCTGATACATCATCGGCCTGCGAAACATATGCGAAGGTTCTGCTTCTCTTATCTGTTTCCGAAATCAGGTCTTTTCCAACGCTGACGTATTGTCGAAGCGCTTTCAGAGCACCCAGGGTCTCTTTGGGAGGCGCCTCCAGTGCTCACTCTGTTGCAAGACAATGATTCGTTGCATACTGAACTTATTTCATGCATACATAAAGTGCGCTGTCTTCCATTAGATTGCGATTCCTGATAATGAAACGCAACCTTCGAAATCTACTCCCGAGCGGTCTCGTGCCGTATCCACGAAGCTCTGTGCCACGCGCTTCCCTAGAAGCTAACGTGCGCTGATCAGTATGGGCTCCCAAGGATTCCTATAAACAATCTTTCCGTCAAAAAGAACAAAAGAAATCCTCGTTATTCCTACCAACGAATCAGCTGACTCCTCCTCGAAAAGCGCCCACTGCTGCTTGAATCCCGATCGTAGCATCGACGCTGCGGCGCGTCGAAAAACTCGCTAGCTCTTGGCTTCCATACCACAACCGGTGACGTTCTCAGCTGGGCTTTGCAGCTGAGATCATTCATGGTGCCCAGTACTGATGACACGTCACGCGACCACTGGTCGTTGCGTCTACCGGCTAACGGAGAGCTGCACGCTGCAAGCCTTATCGTCGCTTATGTTGAAAACGCGCAATTAGCGTGGCCTGTGGACATAACGGTGTCGTTGTCCAGAGACGTGTCGCTGCCGGAGCTTCAAAACGCAAACTTTATTACCGGTGACTATGAGGTGTCTCTGGAATTGGCCAGGATCCTTCACATGGACGGGTCAATGCGCGCACTGCTTGGCTGGACACCGGTCATCGAGTCACTGGTAAAAGCGTGCATGGATGAAACACGCAGTACGATCAAGGAACTCGCTCGCACAGGCTCGTTGGCTGGCGCTGCGCTAGAGGCGTATCTAGCAGCACTCGATGAAAGGTTCGTGTTGCGCAGTTTTCTCGTAGACTACGAGCCAACGGTTGCTGATCTCTACCTGTTCGCACGGCTTCGAAATCGCCGAGGGCTCACCGCTGGGCAGCGCGCAAAGCTCGAGCAGCAAGCGGGGAACCCCAAAGGTCACCTGATGGATCTGGTAGAGGCGGAACTCTGTGTTCTGCCTGCCGACACTCTCGGGAAAGCGCGCACCAAGTTTGTTCACCTGGCCCGATGGATGAACTTCATGGAGAATCAGCCATTTATAGCATCTGCGCTGGAACGAGCGGCAGATGCACTCTCCCAGACGGTAGGCGGGTGGGATCAGGTGATGCGTTTGGTTGGAGCAGCTGCCTCTTTTGATATCCAGTTGCCGGACGCTCAGTTTGGCCGTGTGGTGACGCGCTTTCCGCCAGAGCCATCTGGTTACCTGCACATCGGCCATGCCAAAGCGCTGCTCCTGAACGACTATTTTGCACGGATCTACGGTGGTGAGCTCATCCTGCGATTCGATGATACCAATCCCTCGAAAGAGAAAATGGAGTACGAGGAGAGCATCCTGGCTGATTGCGCAGCACTCGACGTTCGGCCTGATCGCATCGAATGGACGAGTGACTACTTCGATGTGCTCCTGGAGTGGTGCGAAAAGTTTATTCGAGACGGCAACGCCTACGTAGACCGTACAGAGGTTGCTGTCATGCGCGAACAGCGTCTGCATTGCATTGAGAGCGCCTATCGCAATCAGAGCGTTGAGGAAAACCTCCGTTTGTGGAAGGCTATGAAAGAGGGTCTGCCAGAGGCATCCGGTTGTTGTGTCCGGGCTAAGATTGATATGCAATCAAAGAACGCTTCACTCCGTGACCCGGTCATCTATCGTATTGCCGGAGCGCCTGCCGACGCTCAAACCGGTGCTGGAACAGCAGTTTCACACCACCGGACCGGCACCCGGTACCGGGTATATCCGTCATACGACTTTGCATGTCCGATTGTGGACTCTCTCGAGGGTGTCACACATGCCTTGCGTACCAGCGAATACCAGGATCGTGAGGCCCAATATATCTGGATGTGCCAAGCGGCAGGTCTACGCTGCCCTCGAGTCTGGACCTATTCACGTCTCAGCTTCGTGTATACGGTATTGAGCAAACGCAAGTTAACCTGGCTAGTCGATCACGGCTATGTGGACGGTTGGGATGATCCACGTATGCCAACGGTGCGCGGCATCCTGAGGCGTGGCATGCACGTCAATGCGCTCCGTGCATTCATCCTTTCGCAGGGCCCCAGCCGCAACATCACCTTCCAGCAGTGGGACAAGATATGGACAACAAATAAGCGGGTAATCGATCCGATAGCCCCTCGGCATACAGCGATTGCACGTCACGAGCACTGGGCTGCGACGCTCACGGGACTGGAGTCGTTGCCGGACTGGCACCAGCGCGCTGATTCGGAGCCACTCCTGCGGAGTGTTCCACGTCACAAGAAGAACCCCGAGCTGGGCACCAAGGTGCTGGTACTTGGAACTAGCATCATTCTGGAACCCGACGATGCTGAATCGCTCACCATCGGTGAGATCGTGACGCTCATGGATCTTGGCAACGCTCGCGTTGAGGAAGTGGATCGCCCAGCTAGGCGGCTATCGCTACGTTTCATGCCCGAAGATAGGGATTTCAAGAAGACCAAGAAACTGACATGGTTAACGATGGATCCGGAGCTCGTTCTCGCAGAGCTCGTTCGTTACGGGTACGTATTGAACAAGGAAAAACTCGAAGAAGGCGACGAACTTGCCACGTACGCCGTTCCCAACGAGGTTTCCAAACGAATCACTCCCGTCTGGGCCGATATCAATACTCGTTTGCTCTCGGTGGGTTCGGTGATTCAGTTTGAACGCCGCGGCTACTACCGCTGTGACCAAATGTGGCTGCGTGAAGGCGATGTGATGCAGTTTATCGAGATTCCAGATGGACGAACGGAGCAGCCACAAGTTCAGCAACGCAACGGCCTCGGCAATTAGACACAGCGTGTTGTTCAAGTCGTGCAAGTTTCGCGGAATGCAGCTGCGGTAACGAACCGCATCCAAGACAGGTCTGTCGACTGCGAAAGGGCGCTGGGATGCCCAATGCAGTGTTCGCTATATGGATAGATAGATGGATAGATAGATGGATGTGTTTCTCTGCGTTTGTGTGTGTGTGTGTGCATGAACAAGCCAAAGTATCCGAGCAAAGCGCATCGTTGCGGTAAGCGGTGACCTTTCGCGATCCTTCGTTGACATATGCTCTGGGTAGACGTACCCACGTGGAGCGCTTTCCTAGAAGCTACTTGTGTGCGCACTGGACGTATTCCCGTAGACCGCTGCTGCGCTTTCCCGCATACGTCGAATCGCGAAATCGATCTGTACCTGGGCATTTCCGTACCAGGAATACTCTTTCGTGGATGAAATCACCAGTACGGCCTTGAAAGCCAGGCAGCGGATGCTTGCTCACGCGCAAGCTCGCCTTTGGTGATTCCTTGTGCGCAGCTGACGCTTTCAATGAACCAGGTTATCGCAAGAGGCGCCGCTGTGTTTCCGTCCGGGGGGCCGGTACTTTCTCGACCTGCACCAAGACCAGCAGACACACCATCGTAGTCGAACGATGTTACCTATGATGCCTTGGCGACGAAGCCTGTGTGCATACAACGGCTGCGCCCGCTGGTGGACTGCTCTCTCTGTTCGGAAGCTGTCTCGTCATGATGATGATGATGGGTCATGGCACCCAGCATCGAACGCGATGACGCTTTCCTGCTCTGGAATGTAAACAAGTGTCGCGGAAAGCGTTGCTAGCGATACCGTACGACGGTGACCAGTGCGCAGTGAAACGTGTTGGCCTGGTCATGCCGTGTGATCTTCGCTACTCCTGCAACACGAGGATTCTTACGGTGCGCTTTACCTCACTTTACCTCATGAGAGCAGCCGTGCACGTGGTACCTTGGATCGATCCGGAACACGCCGACTGGCTCGCCCCGGCTCTCGAATACGCTTCCGCTGGGTGCTGGGCTTTTTGCTCCTGCTTGCAACAGAGGCGCCTCGAGGCCCGTTGCGTGTAGTCGGTACAACGCCCAGCGCTCGCGTGCCTTGAGCAGCAGCATGCGGTGACGTGCGCTGCGGACGCGTTGCAGCGGCACGCCTTGGTGGTATCGCTGACTCGGACTCGGACTCGGACTCGGAAGATGACAGTTCGTCGTCGTCATCGTCGTCGTCATCGTCGTCGTCATCCGAAAGCAGCATACCCTGTTTGGCGAGTGAATCCTCCATCGCTGCCCATATGGCTTGCTCTTCTTCATCTTCACTGCTATGCGCTAAGGAGGACTCGTCGGCGCTTGTGCTTCGATGACTCGCCTCGAGGCTATCGATACGGAGATGATGTGCGACCTCTTGAGGAGCTCCTTGCATCCCATTCGCCATTATGGACGTTCGCCCGCGAGGCGACCGTTCAGCTGCGGGCACAGAGAGCGCATGCAAGTTAGGTGCTTTGTCCATGCTGGGAATGACCTCGGCGTCGGCAGTGTGCAAGTGCCGCACCTCAGCGCCTTCACGCGATGTGCTCGCTGGTGCTGCACTTGTGCGTCCCGTCGCCACATCCAAGACAGAAGGCGTTCCCGGCAATGAACGAGGCTCCGCGAAAGCGCTATGCATTCTGGCAATCGGTGGCGATGATTTGGGTTTTTTGCGTACCAAGCGATCAAGAAACGCAGCATGTGCGTGATCTTCGAGCGGGTCCCCTTTGTAGTGAATCGCTTGACCCTGAATGAGTGCTTCCGCGAAAGCGGCTACCGTGGGCTGGTAGTGGCATCGCAGGAGCGCAAGCTCGCACCATGCAGCTGCCTCCGCTCCCGCGAACTTGGGCTCACGCTTGCTCATATCGTAGGTTGTTGTTGTCGTTGTCGTCGTCGTCGTCCAGTTCGATGCGCTTTCTTGTCGAGCTGCTGTCCGTACAACAGACGCTCGTGCATCCACGGTTTGCGCAACTACCAGCGACGTCGACGGCACTTGGTCTGGTGTTGCTTCGAACGTCCTCGGCGCTGTGCGCTGATGCGGTGCTACCACGCGCTCTTCAGACGAGCCCTCGCCTAATGCTTGTCGTATCCGCAAAAGTTGCTTCTGCGCGTCCAAACGGAATGCTTCCTGTCCTGAGCGAAAAATCAGCTCGCTGAGCATCAGCAAGATGCCTGCTGCCGTCGCTGCCGGTGCCTGCAGGGCCAAACTCAACAGACGTTTCACCAGTGCGAGCAGACGTGAGACACATGTGTCCGCTTTCATGCTCCAATAACAGATATTACACAGCGCTGTAATCCGAGACCCAGCAGCATACCATAACCTGGGTGATGCAAGCGTCTCGTATAGTGCCCGATAAAACCGATCCGTTGCACCGAGACGATAAAGCACCATCAGTGAGCGTATCGAGGTCTCGAGGTTCCCGCGGTGCACCAGCAGGTACAGCCCATCGATCTGGTTCTTGAGTGTCTCTTGCTGTTGCGCAAAATCGGAGTTATCCCTGTTGTTGTTGTTGGAGATGCCTTCAGAGATGAAGGGAAGCACCCGTTGGAGACCTTCCAGCACCGCTGTGCAGAGACGGCTGTCAAAGCGCTGCCGTTCCAGGAGGATTCGAAAGGTGCCCAGGTAAAAGGAGAGCAGCGTTGCAGCAAACGCTCGATCACCAGGCCGGTCTCGATGGAGCATCACATGAGCCAGGAAGCGAACGCAGAGGTAGAGCAGACGATTGGAACGGTCCGTGGTCAAGTTCGGAAGCGACTCGATACCGAGCTGCAAAATATGCCGAGCAACAACCAAACGCATTGCTGGATGGTGCTTTTGGATCAAGAGTTCCAAAGAATGGTACGCTTTGCTGGAAAGCGCACGATGGGGTGAACCCAGCTTGGTAACCAGCAGATCGAGCAGGGCTTGCTCTTGCTCGGGACAAGCTACCAGCAAGTCCAACGCGGCACCGAGTGCACGCGTCGCCAGGAACTCTATCGGGTCCTGAGCGCTATCCGTGAGTGCCTCGACAAGAAAGCGCGCATACTGGGCCTTCACAGCGGACTCGAAGGCACTGAACATGAGGACTCGGAACGCGCTGCAGACCTGAGCACGTTCCGTTGCCGTCATTGATGGTGGCGCCTGTGACGTCCTCTCATTCGTTACCGCTACCGCCACCACCTGTGCGCCTTGCTCAGCATACCAGGTTGCCCAGTCACGTTGCTGGAAAGCGCACAGCTTCCGACTCGGAGGAAGCAGCTGCTCGATGAAGAGCTCCTTCAGAGCTTCGATTGCCGTCCATCGCTCCTTACGCCGTTTCTTGCACGTCGTCGTCGCCACGTCAATGAGTTGCGTCAGCTCATCCAGGTAATACAGCGGTGCTCGTCGGATATCCATAGCCAATGTTGCAATGCGATCCATGAGGGTCAGCTGTTTAGCACCCAGAGCCGGCAAGGATGCAAGCTCAGGTCCACTGAGCGGCGTCCGTGACGGTACATGGCGTTGTTTCCGCTCATGATAGAGTTGGCTCACTGCACGCAATGTTTCCAGGCCGGTTTCTTCCAGACGACGAATGATGTCTGCTGCGACTTCCTCAGATGCCTTGGGTTGACACGAGGACTTGAGCGGCGGCACAGCAGCCGGGATAGCTTCATACCAGTGCTCGGCTTGAAGGTCTTCGTCCCGGAGCAGTGCTTTCACCGGGACGGGTAGCTCTGGCAGACGCGGCGTCGCGATGAACGGTTTCGATGGTATTCGCGTTTCGAATGTAGCGTGTTCCACGGTTGTTCCGGCGGGTTCATGGTGCCTGCGCTGCATGCCCTCGGTGCTCTGGGGCCCGGCAGCGACCTCCGCTGCGAGACGTTGGCGCTTCCTTCGCTGAGAGCCAGCAGCAGAGCTCGTGGGCGAGACTTCTGGTACTGAAGGCGTTTGGATGTCCTGCACCGGATTTTCGAGGCCAATTTCTTGCATCACGGCCAAAATGTCCTGCTGTAGTGCGTTGTCCTGAACGACGACGGACGGTGCCGAGCTGCTGTGCCCGGTGGATTTGGTCCGACGCTTTGCCATGGTAGCTTGAGACGAATGCGCTTGATTCAGTTTCATAAAAGCTGCTTCTTGGTGTTCGCTCGCTCGATGAAAAGGCGACGCACGGTTTATGGAAGCGAGCACTCGCTAAATGAGGTAGCCGGTGAAAGCGATCCTTCCCGTGGTGTCCAAATCGGAAGCAGCTCTCTGAAAGCTCCGTCTTTTCTAGATCAACGTTGTGTGTACACTTTAAGACAGCAGTAAGCCCCAAGAAACGACTTGATGATGATCATGAACTGCTTGCTCGCCTGTGTTGGTGCCCTTGTGCCTGCAACAACGCAAAAGCCGGTGTAACAGCGTCGACGGTATGCCGCACGACGTCCTTCGGGGTTGCGCTGGATCGGCAGCGCTGCATTCCAATGAGACGTCGATGCTTCATATTCTAGTTAGACAGAGAGGATAGAGTTTCTAGATAGATACCTCGGATGCACATACGAAATTCTGCGTATGTTCCCAGTGTTGTCAACATGAGCGTTATCGGGATTTTTGGACGACTGCCTCCTTTCTTCTCTGTCGTATCTCCGGCTTTCACGATGCTGGCCTCTGGTGTCCCTCGAGCTCCATGATCAGGAGTCGAAGGATGATGATGATGATGATCGTGATGATGGCAGCGTTCAAGTCAAGATTTCGTTCGTTTCGATTGTTGTCGACGCTCTTGGAGCAGATATGGACGTCGTGGTTGACGCCTCGCTCGCCATGTTCATCTTCAATGTGTCGTGCATCGGTGCAGATGTCGCAGCCATTATTCATGAAGGCAGTCAGGTATTCTAATATATGACTACTAGTCCGATTCCTTTTTCTCTGTGCGCTGCCCCGTGGCACTCGAAAGCTTGCTTCATCGCTCTGTACATGCGCTTGACGGGTACAGGAAGCTCGCTTCAACACCTGCATCCGTTCCTGCGTCGAGTACCGTGCTGTACGATCACGGGCATCTTCCGAACCGATCTTTGGGAAAGTATTCATTCTGCCGCATGCGCAAGCGCATGCTGTTCTAATGGATAGAGGATATGTGGAATTCGACATCGTATATAATGAAACAGATACGGGAACGAAGATCCAGGCTCGAGAACAAGTCGTACCATTCCGATTCGTCTACGCTGCGTTCGTGCAAAGCTTTGACGCAATTGACTCTGAGGGCGATCGCTGCCGGTGGCTATATATTTCGAGTCCATGACCCTTTTCCTTGGGAAGAGAAGGAATGTATGCGTCTAAGGTCCCCTGTCCTAAGAGGTACCTTGCAGTTATCGTATGCGGGTGCATCGACGGCCAGAAACAGAGGAGGCATTGTCATCCTAGAGTAGTCGATGATTTGACCGGACAAGTGCGGTAATCATGAGGCATGAGGCCGTGAAAAGTCATCACAGTACGACGTTGCCTATTTTTCTCTATCGATCCGTTGGCACAATTGGACGCCCCAGTGGGTTGCGTTGCAACACAGATGTATAAAACTTGAAGAATGTATGACGCGAACGTGCCAAACGCGAGCAAAGGAGAAGACAGGGGGCTCATGCAACTGAGCTGGATAGTGATGTCGGTTACGTAAACAAGTCCTTGTCGAGAGCGTTGCGCATCGTCGTGATGCCGGCGATATATCGAAATCCACCGGCAAGGCGTCGCGGGAGCCATTTTGAAAGAAAACGACCTCTCGCTCTAAAACGGGGTATGTATCCCTAATGCCGCAGTACTGGAACCAGGATACCAAGACTTTACGTCTAAAACAAGTTTGGTGAACAATCGAAAGCTAAGAACAGAGCGCACTGTTCAGTATTGCATTTTCATCCGGTACGGATATGACATACACGTTTGTATCAAGAGAACACCCATATAAACGAGGGATGCAGAGCTTCGCAACGACACATGTCGATAACAGGACAAAGTCTGTATCTGAAATGAGTGCAGCCAGTTCTTTCTTACCTATTATTTCCCTGAAATGGACTCTGGGAAACGATATCGAGAGCACCTGGAGTGACGAAATCGATGCGAATCCCGTCATGAACGTTCGCGCCTCGTCGTCCATCAGGTAGACAGGTTGCTGCGGGCAACTCGGGCACGCGCTTCATGCGTATGCGTTCAGTCGCAACTGTGGCAGCAGGCCCGAGGCCACTCACAAATGCTGTCGCGTAGGCATAAAAGGATATGCAAACGCCTCGACGATGCGTTTCAAAACGTCAAGGTGAAGCGCATATAGCAAGCTCTGTTCCACAAAAGGAGGTCTAGGCATGTTTGCTCAGAGCGGCGACTGGTGCTGAACAGCGCCTGTTCCGTCCGACTCTTCCTGGAATCCATGGACGCTCCGAGATACCATGCCGATACCGTCCATTGTGCCAGTGCGGGGTTCCGGACCACTCACTGATCACATTCGTTCGTGATTGCGGGATGCGAAATGTCGCGATCCGAGTATTCCGTACATCTCCCTGAATAGCGATATGTTCATTGCTTGCGTTGCACGATTCCACGCTGCCAGTCAAAACTGGAGACATCTGGCTCCACTTCAATATACTGGGAACATGTCCCTGCTTCGCACTGTGCCTGACCAGCGATGGCAGATGCCCCAGAGCGACCACGTTCTCCAGACAACGGGTCCAGTTCAACGAGCAAACAGCCCTGTTGACTCAGACCTATGATTCGCCCGCGCTGGTTCGTCTCCGCGAGCAGCACGAGCTGTCGCTGATGTAACCACCTGGCAGTATAGCGAGCCCCAAGACCCGATGCCACCCAGCCCTTATCAAGAAATATAGTCAGGAAGCGTTCAAACCTTACCAGAAAACGCGCAAGCAACCGCTCTCGCGTCAAAGCACTTGCCCATGAAAACTGCGCCAACGCAGCAGTTGGAGCAGCATTGGCAACGTTCACGCCAATACCAACGTAGACGGTGAAGCGATCACGAAACACGCTCGACTCACACAGGATACCGGCGACTTTCAGACCGTCCACAAGGAGATCATTCGGCCACTTGATATGCAACGCTCGCGCTGCCTCCTGCTCGGCCTCGGGACTTTCATTGGGAATGCTTTCCGCTAACGCAAGTCCAGCGATATACTGAATGAACTGCACGGGTTGATCGCACCCATTCTGCAGCTCCAGTTGCAACGAAAACGCGAGACTTCCACCGGGCGAGTCCCAGGTCGCACCACGCCGCCCTCGACCCGAAACTTGACGATCTGCCACGACAACCGTGCCGTCGGGAAACGCAAAAGATCGTATCAGGTCTTGCGTCGACTCGAGCAGAGGTGCGTGGACGAGCGTATGTCCGACCCAGGCAGCACCTGGTTGCTGTTGATGTCGATAGCGTTCCAGCTCGACGAAGAAGGAGTGCACTGCGAAAGCGGTGACGTTTCCGCTCGCAACGCCCGAGGTCGAGTCAGCGGTGGTTTCCGGTTTCCAGCCTTGCGGCAACTGCACCAGATAGCCCGCATCCCGTAAACGCACCAGTGTCGCTGAATGCGTCTCCAGGAGTCGCTGCCGTCGGGCCAATGAGTCACAGTAGACCAGAAGACGTCGGGGCAAAGCGAACTTGTCGCTCGTCATGCATCCCAGCTGCGCTAGCACCGGACGTGACAGTGCTCCCTACGTTTCTCGCGTACGTATACGCAACGGCTTCAAAGTGAGTTTCGCGCAGAGGAAACAACGTTTTCAGGTCGCAAAACAGGCCCCTAGTATCGACGAGTTGGACCAGGCCTTGTGAACGCCCACTGACCTGCGTTGCTTCGTGGGCAAGTGCCCGGTTCGGCGAGCGGTCCAGTTCGACGCCTCTGCGCTGCCGCTGGTACAGCACTACTGCCCAGCGCCGGACGTGGTGCTTGAAGTGAGCGAACGGGGTGTTCCCTCGACGGGAGGTGCATGACGAATGACGCCAATCATCTAGAGTCCAATTGTGTAGAGGAGCAGGTGCAACAGAGCCTCCGGGAACCATGGTGGTGGTTGCGCTGGCGCGACACACCACGCCAGCAGCTGCGCGGTACGCTGTTCGTGTACACCGCAACTTGTCCCGACGAGAAGATACAACGAGAACGAGGTTTTGCTGCTGATCACGAACAAGTATATGCTTTTGTTTCTTTCGGTCCTGAGGTAGAGACTGATCCTCGAGAACACGTCGTCGAGATCGTGAAGGCTTTGACTTCGATGCGGAGTTTTGTGGAGACGCTCGAGCGCACTCTGTTCGAAGACGAAGATTCTGAGCCTGCAGCTCGTACCTACACACACGATGAACCTTGCAGTGTAGCGCATCATAGTGCGGACGCGGATCAGCAGTTTCTCGTGGAAACTGTCCGGCACGATAGGATAGCTGCCGCATATTCATCGATGTCCCAGGAAATGCACACGGCTCCTGAAGGGGCTCGCCCCGATTGCTTCTCCAAGGGAACCAGTCAAGATCATGAGACTGACACCTCGCAGCCGATACTGCGGAAAAAGGATGAAACGGACACCTGGGTAGTTGCCTTGGGGCCTGACCACTTGGTTGCTTCGCATACGCTTGCGGCCTGCGGCTGTGCACTCTTCCTTGGTCTCGAGTGGGACTTTCGAGCATGTCGCAGTCGTTCAGATGATGATTTTCGAATCATGGAGCTCTTTCAGGAGGATCTGAAATCTCGAGTTACCTGGCTTGCGCCTCGCCTGGGCCTGCAGCACAAGCACGCGTGCTCTGCCCAGTGTAAGGATCAGGCGAGGAACAGGGACTCGTCTTGGGATGTGTTGCTGCGAGAGTGGTTGCCACAAGCGATACCTGGCGGGCCACGGCATCCACAAGCAATGTAGGCGACGTTTTCTTTGTGAGGCGCATCCACGCTCACGCTGTATCTGGATTGCATCAGGAGCAGGTCGCGCTGGTGCAGGCCTTGATGCAGCACGTTGCCCAGGACTGCGAATGCACCACGAGCACTGCGACCTGCGACAACACGTCCAATGCGGTGATGTTTGAACACGTCAGGTATAAAATCCGAGAAGCACTCTGCAGAAACAGCAGATACGTATACGTGGATACCACCGGAATCGTGTCACTGAAGCAGCCGGGCGGAGGCTGCGGAAAAACGAAACGCACCTGCGGTTTGTGGCGATACGCTGCAAGCATGGTCCCAGACTCGAAACGAACAAGTTCGAAAGCCTTCAAGCTGACCTCAAACGCGTCGTGTTGCGTTCCACGGGCGTTTTCCGTTTCGAGTGTTTTGTGCCTCCGTAGCGCTGTCATATGCAGAGAGCAAAACAGATTGAGGTTCAAGCGTGGAGTCCACCTCGTCCTTTTTTGATGAGAAAGTTCACACACGGTCTATGCATGCCAACAAGACTCCGGACGGCCCGCTGTATGCCATTGACCGGGGAACTCGAGAGCGTCGCTCCGGCGTTTGCCGTACTCAAGCGCCTGTTGTGCTGGAGCACTGCAAACAAAGTCATGCGCTTTGATGCAGGTAACGTGCAAGATCAGGCTAGCTGCTATGGCGCTTTATAACATCGTTCATTGCTTAGCAACTGGCGAGTAGGTATCGGGTCCTTTGGCAGCAGCGGCAGTAGCAGTCGCAGTTTGGTGCATTGTTAGGTATCCGTTGCATTGTTAGGTATCCGAGTATTCAAGCAGAAGGGAACGAGCCTTGCCAACAATTTCTTGGACGTTCTTCTCAATGCTACCGTGCAAGTGCATGCTTTCCATCACAAGGCCTGATCCGCGATGTTTTCGTTCCTTCCTCGAACGAGAATCTTCAGATGGGAGACCTATCGGTCGTGCGGTTTCGTTGCAGGGCAAAAGTGCGGACATGTTGCTGCATCGAAATGTAGTATGCTCAAAGTATCGAATACTGGATCATCTTTACTGCTCACCAATGACACAGGAACACTGGTCCCGGTACCTATATAGACATAGGGCGCTTCAGTCACTTTGCCTTGCGAAATGTACCATACAAGTGCCTTGCTTCAGGCGAGAATCCAATGCCAGCTACCCTTGCCACATTTTTTCTCACCCAAAGGCTTCATTGTTTCGAGACGTTCCCTCGTCCGAGTTCGAAACAGTTACTTGAACGTTCGCTCGACATCAACCCGGTAGACATTCTGGAAGCGCAAGACATTTCCGTAGGTTCATCGATGCATTAGAGTCTCGGTGCAGCATGTGCTTGAGCGTCTCCCTACGACGGCTGCTGGATGTACGCTACAGCAACGACTCTGATCATCGAGTGCCTCGGTATGTGAAGTTCGCTCAGCGTACTGGACACCATGAAGTGCATTCAGCCGTGTTTCAGCGTTTTCCTCTCTACCAGTTTCACAGTGCACGCCCACTCTCGGTGTTCGTATGTCGTTCTGAACGATTCGATAGATACCGTGCAGCATAGATTCCTGCACTCGGTGTACGCTCTTGTCGAGTGAACAGGGGTGCGCTTTTCGCGTCCTACAGCACGCTCAGCCCAATACGCTACGATCAAACAACGCGACGTTCAAGTCCATTCCTTGTCTTGCAACGCATTCAACACGTTGCCGAATGCAAGTTTCCTGCCTCTTTACGATAGACACCGTTGTGAACCCCGGCGCGCTCCCATGTACTCTTGCCAAAGACGGTTCACATGCGCCGCCTGGAAACTCGTAGCGTATCTGTTACGCAGATTCATTTGAACTAGTCGCCACGAGTCTGGGCCCGTGAGCTGAGGCGCGAATACGCACATACAGCGCCTCATGAAGCGCCCGACACGAGCCTGCCTATGATTTCGGCTTTCGGGGATTCACGTTGATACGTATTGGCACCGACGCTGTAGGTCTTCGAAGCGACGACAGGCGCACCGAAACTTCGAGGTCCTCTGTGAAATGTGTATACACATCACTGATCCTACAATCAGGACGGTTCGCATCGTCTGCCCTGAGTGTCCGTTACGTTGTCGCACGACGGTTTGATCGAAACCTTCAAGACGCTTTGGAACAGCTGACAGCGCTGCACCGGTGATGCCGACGCGCCGTACCCTGACAGGGTACGTCAAAGCGAAGGAAGCTGAGCGAGCCCTGCTCGAGTCAGAAGCTACGCATCCCCTTAGGGCGCCCTGTATCTTCCTTTTTGGGTGATTCTCCCGGTTGATGTGTGTTTCGGTAGCGAGGCTATGATGACCGTTCCAGACTGAGCAATAGCTGCACCGATATTTTTCCTTCCAGGCGCTGCTCGTCCCCGTATTCGGGAGCATTCTTGCTTCTTTGCCTGCCTGGTGGTTTCCAGTGCGAGTCCTCCATTTGGCAGGTTGGCATGTGTATCATCACGATGCGCCATATCGGTTAGTTTTCATCAGGACTCGGGCGCACGGGGTGCACGACGGGACCGGAGCGTGCCTTTCCTAAAGATATATGTATCCACTGCTGCCTACTTGGCGCTTGCTCCTCTTTTCCACGGTGTGCGCGCTCATGGACCGAAGTGCGGCCTTCCGTTCGCCCCGGTTCTCGAACACAGAACCAACAGAGCAGATTAGCGGTTGAGGAGAGCGAGCACGGCTGTCGAAATAACGGTTTATGAACGAACCGCATCGTGCACGCGAATGACCCGTCTATGGATCCGAGAGCGCAGACGTTGCCTCTGCGAACAGAGCGGAGGCATTCGACTGCACTGAACGAGGGAACAGTGGTTGTCACGAAGGGCAGCTCGTCGCCAGTCTCAGCAGCGCACTTGTTGACCGCTTGTGAGTGGCGGAAAGCGAAGTTGCCGTGCAGCAGCTGGACAGAGGAATGCGGGACGGAGAAGCCACGAAGCGTGGTTCAACGAAGGATGCTGTGTTGAACGAGCGTATCGATTCTGTGATTTATGTGGGAAAGCGCTCCACTGAACTGCCCCGAGAGCTCGCGTTGACGTCACGCTCGGTTTCCGTTTATTCATACACAACAGTTTGCTCCACATTGAGTACGCACACATCGTTTGACCATTTGTCCTGAATAACGTCTCGTCGACTGAGACGAGCATCCGCCGCTCCACCTCAAGGCTTTCGCGTTTCAGTTCGAAATCGATCGTGTGTCCTTCAACGCTTGACGATATCCTCCAGGAGCGTGCTTTCTCCTTCGTGCACTCGTGTGTGCTCGTCATTGTTTGTGCCGAATGCGCGAAACTTCACACGCTGTGTCTCCTCTGATATCTTTGCTCAGAGGAGGTATGTAGTGGGACGGATCGACGAGTAGACAGTCGTGCAGATCGCAGTCGATGGGTTCTGGTCTGGATGCACGACGTAATGGGTAACGACGACGACGAGAAGGGTGGTTTATCCACCCGCTAACCGTCGAATGGCTGACTTGTATGAGGCTTTTATGTCTCAAGCGAGCCATGAACACATAAAACCCTACCATGATCGTTCTCGAATCAAAATGTTCCAATTCTGTATTTTAAATATCTTCGAGAAAAACCAAAAAGGTTGTGCTGCCCTCTGCATTCCAGGACTCACTATTCTGTGTATCATAGACGATTTCCTGGATATTGAGGAATAGGAATTCATCGTCGCACTCATGTCTGAAAGACAGGTGCTCAGTGTTCCTCGCTTCACTTGAGGCGCAAGTGCGCGACCTCCTGACACCAGATGCGTACGGTGCACATCGCCTTGGCTTTCGACCCGGAGCGCCTTCGCACCGGCTCGATACAAGGCCCAGACACAATGCCGATGCACTGCGTAAAACGGCAGATGTAGTGCATTTAACAGGAGTCACGTTTCAGGAGACTCTGGTGCCTCCGAGCCGTCCCCGGCAGGTCGCGGAATCGTTCGAGTGTTGACGCCAACGGGATCATCGATTTGTGCATCGCACCAGCGTCAACAGTGGAGCACGGAGGCGCCCGTCCAGAGGCTGGTATCGGTATCCAGGTAAACGGTAGCGTTTGCACAATACGAAGCATTTGGTTGGAAGCGTTCATTCTGGCCAGTGAGCGAACTGATCGTCGTGTCTGGTGCAGCGGACCCGCTCTGCGCAGTTCATTGGACGCCGTCCCGCTATGATCAGTCAACTGGACCTGAATAGTGCCAAGTGAACTCGGACGTCCTTGAGGCATCATCATGGCTGACAATGTAATGGCATTCATGAGCACGTGCGCCCAGAGGGAACACAACTCAGAGTGCGCGTCGCCCAATAGACTTCAGTCTGCAGCTGCTGCCGCGCAGCGGGAGTGTTTCTATATCTTTCCGAGAAACCCGCAAATGGGCGTTCCATAGACCGCTCGCCTCGACTCCGAACGGGTGCCAGGTTCCTCCACCAGATCAAGGACTGAACTTGCGGTGCGGACGAGCTCGTTTACGGGTGTGCTGTTCTTTCAATGGGGACACGGATTCCCGCCTCCTCGACAGTCAGTCAGTCTATTGACGACATACGCACCAGCCGTCGTTACGCAGGGTATCGACCGCGGATCCTCTACAAGGGCATCCACACTTCCATAAACCAGCACCAGAACAATGTATCCATTGCTCATTCTTGATGGAGGAGGATCTTTAACTCTCGCCCTATGCCACAGCTTATATAAACAGATCATCTCGGTACGTTGGGCGTCAGCAGCAGTTCCTCTGCGACAGTATCGCATCCTCGGCTTTGAGAGAGGATACGTGTTTGGTTGGTGCTTCGCGTCCTCCAACGCATACGTTCTCTCCAAAGGTCGGTTATACACGAACACACAAGTTCACTCGCTTTCAGGCTCTGATCTATGCCAGATCAAGCACATCAGCGTGCAGTGCTACACCGGTGGAGAAAGCGGCTTCGAGTTGAGGTAGCTTCGTGGGACCGCTCCAGGCTTTTGACGCTGGTGTTCTACTTGCGTTTGCTCTGTGCGCTAGGTTTTGCGCTACTCTTCGGTCTGGTTCCTTTGACGGGCGTTGGGGCACTATCAGCGTACATTCTGGTCACGTGCTTTCTACCGACCACTGTGCTACGCAAGTTCATCGGCGTGCAGTTGGAAACCTACGGAGAGAACACTGCTTGGCTGTGCTTCACAGAAAACCTGTGGCCTGCTTTCCTGTTATTTGTTTTGGTTTGGACGCTCGTTTACACGTGGCGAACGTCTCTACTAGACTCAGGTGCGCCGCCGCTGTAGGCAACAGGGCGTCCTGCCTGGTAAAAGGCTGTGCGAGACGGCAAGGCGACTTGTTGCTCCCGAGCGAATCCGTGAACGTACGCGTTCAGCTGCTTTTTTTAGACTGAAGCCCATGAGAACCTGCGACTGAGCGTCTCGAATAGAGAGGTGTCATCAGACATGTAACCGGGATGACCAGGGTATGAATAGAGCTCATGCGTCTGGCTTCAGCACACGAGCTATATCAGTCGCCTCGCTAGTATGGAGAACGCGTCGGTGCGGCTCGTGTGATCGGCCTCAGCACAACATGTTCGTCAGGTATATCGCGGATGTATCCGATGACCACAAGTATTTTCTCGATCAAGCACAGCCCTCATTACATGAAAGCACAGGAAATGATGCGGGAAGCGTAGCTACGCGCCAAAACACCGCGAAACAGCAGTTTTGCCTGGAATGGCACGTTTGAGACGCAACGGATAATCGCTCCTCCTGCTCACATTTGCCATGCTACACTCACAACACACTGAATGCTCTGTCCGATGCACATCAACGATGCAGAGGCACAACTTGCTCCGGAAACGCTACGTTCGCGACGTTAACACAATGGCTCACGGATCCAGGGCGCATCTCAGTGTTCAACACGCTGGAGACCAGAAAGCCCTGCACGACCTCCGTGCAGCTCATCACCATGGTCCAGAATGGAAGTATTGCGACAATCGTGTGTGACCTGGCGAAAATGGAGGGCATTCTCCTGAACGCTCCGGATCAAGAACCCGGGTGATCCTTCTTCGCAGTGACCCGCTGCAGTGATGCAGGCGCAAGTACCCAGACTGCAACTGGTTCGAACACGATCATAATGAGCACACTTATCAGGATACCAGCGTATGCAACAAGCCGAAAGCCTGCGAGAGCCCGGATATCCGAGGCTGAAGCCGATGCAGGTGCCTGCAGGCGTCGTCGTTGCGTATCCAGGAGAATCAGAACATATGCTATGAGTCGCCACAGATTATTGACAGCAGTGGAGCTGTAGTTAACGAGCAATTGCTTTCGCTTTCGAAATAAACCTTCCAATCGAATATTTACTGCAGTCATGACCATATTCGGGAGAAAGTACAGGGCAGCGAGGCTCAGTGTCGACCCGAGCGGGGGTACGCTCGCACCGCCGCTGAGCTGTGCGAACGCCGTCGCAAGCAACGGAGCCAAGTAGACGACGAAGAGTTCCATGAAAGCAAGGATGCGGAAGATTTGCCGCACTTTTGGTTCAGACAGCATATCGGGTACGTTTCCTCGTCTCTGGAGACGGCCGAGAGCGATCCAGTAGGTTACGTAGAGAAGCAGCGCACTGGAGGTCCCCAGGCCGACGCACAGTGCCTGCCGCTTTGAAACAAGTAGCGGTGCTGCTGCTGCAGCTGCTGCCGCTGATGCATCATACCACGGATTCTGCAACGAAAACATCCGCGTTGGATACCTCGGAGCTCGGAAACGACTAGTGACGCGTCGCTGAAAGCGCGGCGGTGTTGTCGTTCTTCGCAGGCTTACGTGGAACGCTTGTCCTGGTACGAAGGTCTCGTTCGTATCTGGCTCTACTGGCGTTCGCCGTGCGTACACGCTTTGGCTAAAGGCAAGCTCAGCGTGGATGAAAAGGCGCTTCCGAGCCATTGATGCGTTCTCCCCGCACCAGCGACAGTACCCGGCTTCGTCGGGCGCACAGGAAAGTCGCAGCACAACAACCTGCGAGCAGAGCGGCGACTTTTATAGAGACGGTGTTGCTCCCGCCGTGGCTCTTCACCTGTGCTGGAGCGACACCTGTTCCGCTCAAGGTATTCCGCGACGATATTAACTGTCTTGGAGGTGATGGACCGCTGGGTGCTGTTTGTGGAAACAAGGCTCGCAAACTCGCGGCCTTTGCGGAAGCCGCTAGCAACACGTCGATGAAGGTCGAGCGCCTCGTTAGCCACGGTGGGGCCCAGAGCAACGCAATGCTCGCACTTGCAGGTTTCTCTAGTGCTTTAGGGGTCCGGTTCCAGTACGTAACCCGTCCGCTGCCGCGCTGGCTTCGAGAGCGGCCGTGCGGGAACCTCAAGCGGGCACTTTCCCTTGGTATGGAGCTCTGGGAGTGCCGAACCTTTACCGAATATCAAAGCACCGTTTCCGAGCTCGAGCAGGAGTACCAGCGGCAAAGCGAGCAGATCGGCTACCCGCAGAAGTTATTCGTGCCGCAAGGCGTTGCTTGTCCGGAGGCAGCGGTTGGTTTGCGCAGACTGGCGGAGTCTATTGCCGCAGAGGACCTGCGTGATATCCGAATGGTGTGTGTCCCAGCAGGCACTGGCACGACCGCGTGGTACCTGCAACAGTACCTGCCAGCGAATGTGCAAGTACTGGCAGTCGCTTGTGTAGGTGATTCCCAATACCTGAAGGCCCAGTTTCGGCGACTGGAAGCACGTACCCATGCAGCTTCTCGAGGCACAGCGGTGTCGCTACGACGGAGCGTACAAGTGTTGCCGAACGAGTCCGGTGGTTTCGGGACGCTGAAATCGGAACTCTACAGGTTGTGGCGGGCATTACCGTCTTATTTTGATTTGATTTACGCACCGCCGACGCTCCTCGCGCTCAGTGCATACTTTGCAGATGCCCCGGAACGGTTGAGAGATGTGCTGTACGTCGCTACTGGCGGTTCTGAAGGCAATGCCACTCAGCTGAGGCGCTATCAGAGAAAGTTCGGTCAGCAACTTGAGTCCATATGCCTGGACGCTTCATCTATGATGCCGGTACGTGGAACAGCGAGACGCTCGCTCATCCGATGAGAGAGTGCTATCCCGAAGGCAATGCCACCCAGCTGAGGCGCTATCAGAGAAAGTTCGGTCAGCAACTTGAGTCCATATGCCTGGACGCTTCATCTATGATGCAGGCACGTGGAACAGCGAGACGCTCGCTCATCCGATGAGAGAGTGCTCTCTGCAGGTGTTTCGCGTGCAGCGTGCTTGAGTGCGCTATCTACTGGCACCTGGCGTGCGATGCAGACCCCGAAGGATTTCCACGAAGCGCTATAGCTGTCGTGAATGCCATAGAAGATGCACGGCGGGCGCTGGCGATGAGCAGGAATGGAGCAGGTGATGCGAAACCCTCAGGGACGAAATCGTGCCGCGAGGCCGCCTCTCCGGTATCACCGCGGCGTTGCCGGCATCCGAAGCCGCAGCAACCTGTAGACGGCGCTCAAGCATTTTTCAGTGACGCGAGACCTTTGTTTCAAAATCAGTCCATGTGCATGTTGCGAAAAACGGCCACGAACGGTAATCAACGCATCGTTGTTGTGCATTCGGACTTGCCACGCAAGCGACTGCCCACTGAGGCTGCTCACGACGATCCCTAACGCCTGTGCTGGACGCAAAAGCATGCCCATTACAAAAGTGGCATGTGCCAATCCTCGAGCTGCGCATTGCATCTTTCGCAGAAGCCGACACTCATTTCGGCGCGAGCACGTCGAAAGCTCGCCAAAGTGGCCCCATATGAGCAGCAAGGATGCTTGAACTAGACGCGAGCGCCAATCGCCCATGCAACGTCATCAATGGATCGTTGCGTGTCGAACCGCGCTCGTAGATTAAACAAGTACCAGTCGCGATTGGGTGCGCAGTGTGATCTTAAGAGCGGAGCACTGTTCGCAAAGGCGCTGGGATAAACCATATTAGGATAGTGCACACAACAAGCGCAGTGCGAAAGCATTCATGCTCAAGTAAAAGCAAAGCATGCTTGCCCCGTGGCGGTGTCGTTGCAATACCCTTTGGCGGTCTAGGATCAATACATCGACCAGGATTTTTCTTCGGATGTGTGCTTGCTGTTACCGACAAGAGAAGCGATTACCGCGGCGCTTTGGATACCGATGGCTACCGCCTGCTCCATCGATCTACGAAACTTCCAGATGCCGTGCTTGTCTCACACGCTCGCGGTGGCGATGGATGCTCCGTCACCATCGTCGCTTCACCGAGACCGAATGACTCCAAATTCCGTCGACGAACCTCGACTCGCTGCCGCTGCGGAGCGTGCTGATCGGCTCTGCAGGTGTACCTCCGCGCGGTGAGCGCACCTAGACCCCGAGCAGACTTCACTCCCGAGCGCGTCTGCAAATGCTTACTGATTTTCTGCCTTTGAACGGACGAGAGGACGACGAGCCGCGCTTGGATACATGGTGAGGTGCTGGATAGCAACCTCGTGTCCCGGTTGGTACACATGAATCACGGCTATGTCGAATGGTCGTGCACGGGAAAGTGCCCAGCAGCAGCAGCAGCACCTAGCGACAATCATGAATGCCCATGGATGGGGTACTATTGTTCAATATTGAACCTAAATGAATCATATAAACAAGCTTCCAGCGTTGCAACTGCTGCAGCGCTAACCGTATCCTTGCATCTGAGACTCGCGGAGCGGCTTTGTTATCGCCCAGTTCGAAAGTTCCGTATCGACGCGCTGGCGGACGCGGATAACAAACTTGTGAGCAAGCGCGGATACCGGGCGTAAACATCCTGTTAATCAAGCAGTCCGAGTGTACTGAAGAGCGCGTCTGGTTCGGTGCGGCACTTTCGACCTATGCGTCACGGGTCGTGGACGAATATCCACGGGGTTGCTTTGCTGCTGATCTCGTCGGACTCGGAGCGAATGCTGCAGCGTGCACGTCCTTAGAGGCTGTCGGTCAGGAGCTGCGAACCCAACGCCTTGTTCGACGTGCAACTGCCCAGATTTGTGTCCAGCGATCTCTTTAAAAGTTATAGAGAATATGTTGCTTCTTCAAGCCCTGCTTCAAGAGGTACGCTTCTACTGCTGACGTCATTCCCGGGAGACCGCACAAAAACACGAGTGTTTGCTCAGGAGGCGTCTGCACACCGTCCCGTTCTAACGCGTGCTGAACGTAACCGCGTTCGCCTGTCCAGGAGGTGTCCGGTTGACTCAAGACGGGAACCACCTGGACACCGCGCTCCTGTTGCCATTGTGCAAAGCGTTCCTGGTAGGCCATTCGGTGCAGGTTGCGGCATCCATAGTAAAGCTTGACGGAATCCATATGAGCCAAAAAGCGATCATCCTCCAATACCGCTCGGATTGGCGCAATACCGCTTCCAGTCGCGAAGAGCAGCACATGTCGGATAGCGTCACGGGTATCAGACCGGAGCGCGAAGCCCGAGCCCTGCGCCACTGTGACCTCCACCGATGATCCAGGCGTTAAAGCGCATAGCCAACGCGTTCGATCTACCTGTTTCACCAGCAGTTCGATACAGTCTGCGGCGTCAGGATGATGATGCGGTGGTGAGGTTATCGAGAAGAAACCCGGTTTCGCTTGCATCGAATCGCGTCGAAGCATCACATACTGACCAGGTACGTGATAACTCGTGACGATTTCCTGGGGAACAACGCACTCCAGAAGGAAGAGATCTTCAGCCTCTGGACGATTCCTCCGAATAACACCTGTATACCACAGCGGTTGGGTCTCTTTCTGCTCGGTCGGAGCGGTGGCCTTGAGTAGCACCACCCCGACAGTGGTAAGCTTTCTGAAAGGCGTCCTGGGACCCAAAAACATGATTTTGGCGTTCCTCTGCATTGACCATCCAGCTGCAACAGTCAACAGCGGTGCGGAGCGGTCGCAGTTCCGCTGTATCATGTTTTTGCGTTTCGAGCCGAACGACGACGATGCCGTACATGCAGCCGCCCGAACGCTCAACCAGCATATCGCCTTTGTCCTGCATGTTTCTAGAGTACGCGGGAAACTGGTCTCCGATATCGAGCTCGGCTGCAAGACAGGTGCCGCGAACGACAGAATGCTGGCAACCTGAGTCCGTACACCCAGCAGCCTCATAACCGGGCCAGATAGTCGGTTATCCCGCTGGAGCGCGTCTCTCCATAGTTCAGAAACTTGACCTGTCGCACCCCAAGAACGCACCACTGGTGCCCTTGCCATACTCATTGCAGTTCTGGAGAGCACGATTCGCTGCTGCTGCTGCTGCTGCTGCCCGCGCTTGACGTGCTGCATCGCGTCAGTTGCAACGGTTTTGCCTGGCTGTGACGCCGCCTTCACGCCCGGTCACCGGAAGCGGGAGAGTCGTACCGCCGCGAGCCCTATCCAGCGCTGCACGAAAACAGCACAAACCCGAATCAGTGCTTCTTCGAGTGTGCGTAGAGCGTTTCGAGTTCGGTTGCAGCTGCTGTTGCTCCGGCTGCGCGCTCGTGTGCTTTCCAGAGCCCAAGCGTGCTGCCCTAGCGTCTATGCACCCTACAGAGTCCGCTTCTAACGCAGAGCCTCTTATTCTCGGATTTTCAAACAGCGTCTCCAAAAACACCCGAGTCCTGTGCTTTAGCTAAACGCGTCGCTTTCCGCAAAGCGTTCGTTTGCAGAGACGAAGCGCGGCTACGTTGATGCAGGTGCTGGTGCTTCGTCCCGAAGAGCAACCCAGGTACAGACTCCTTGTCTCCTACACAGACGGCAAGTGTCAACAGTCTACCAGATAGACAACTGACCGCTATACGACGATGGAAGCTGCGAACCTCGAGACTCGTTCGCGTCCACGCTGAGCTCAGCTCTAGTGTCGCTTGAAGCGAAACACCGACGCCTCGTCGTCCAGCGCACTAGTCACCTGGGTTGCGGGCAGAGCGTTTTTCGCTGCTGCACCCGCTAGGAGCGACGTGCTTCCGAGTCGAACTACTTTCTTGTCAAAGAGGCACTAAGTGGAAAGCCTAGCGAATGCACAAGGCCTGTAGCTGCTCTACGCTCGAGTAGAGAAGTCAGCTACGCATCGGGAGCTACGCGCTCTACCCGGGTGCCATTTCCACCGGGAAAGCGCGTTATACTTGGCGGGTAGGTACCACCAGGGAAGCGCTTCATCCAGAAAACCAGGCGTTTTCTTCCTTGTGCACTTGCAAAATCCGGGCAGCCTACCATAAAATCACTGAATGGACGTACCGAGCGCAGTGCAGGGTCACCAGTTGGCGCTACAGTGGAGACGCGCCTTTTTTCGAGCGGATGCAACGCATCTGGAGAACGCTGCGCTCCGGAAGTTTTATGAGCGTCAGAATGAACTGCTCGATCAGTACGTGTCTTTGCCGACAGCCCCGGCGGATGCGAGCTGCTGGCCAGCGGCATCAACGCCAAACCTCTCGACAGAAGCGCCTGAGGAAGCGAAGCACCTGCTGACTGCGGAGCCAACGCCCAGCGTCTCCTACACGAGCTGCACGTCGACCGAGGAGCGTCCAGGGACCGCGGTGATGCCTCCGAACAAGTCGCAGCACCAAGGAGTCGACACCGAAGACTACGCTCGACGCGCGATCCTTGCATCCAACGGAGCGAACCTGCTGCTTCTCCTTGGGCAGGCGTATGCCTACGTGTCCATGCAAAGTCTCGCGCTGTTGGCCAATACCGTGGATGCCGTCCTCGACTTTTTCTCTGGTGTCATTATCGGTCTGACGTGGTATGTGCGCCACCACCGACACGATCGCACCACTCGCTATCGATACCCGGTCGGTAGGACGCGGCTCGAGTCGGTGGGTGTGATCCTCATGGCCGTTCTCATGACCGCACTGACCTTGAATGTACTGACGCAGTCCATAGAGTCGCTGGTGCTGTACGTGAGCGGCTCGGAACGGTCATCAACAGTGCACCCATTTACCCGCCCAGTGCTCATCTGGATCGGTGTGGCCCTGTTGAGCAAGGCAGCGCTCTTCCTCTACTGTCGTGTATCTGTGCAGGACTCGGTTGCAGCGTTGGCTATGGACCACTGGAATGACTGTCTGTCGAATATGGGTGCCCTGAGCGCTGCTGCTCTGGCGCAGTGGTGGCCGCCCGCAGACCCTCTCGGTGGCATGCTCATCTCTGCTTTTATCCTACGCAACTGGTGGCGGCTGACCTCACGACATCTGGATCAGTTTTTGTCGCGCTCGGCATCCTGTAGGCTGCACTCTGTGGTAACTTTTGCAGCGCTTTGGCATGATTCGCGGATTCGAGCGATCGATCGTGTTTGTCTGTACCACGTGGGTCCAGCATGCTTTGCCGAAATCGATATTGTGCTGGATCCGCAGATGCCGCTGGTTGTTTCTCATGACATTGGGGAGTCGCTCCAGGCCCGCATTGAGTGTTTGCCTTACGTGGAGCGTTGCTTTGTGCACTTGGATTTTGAGACAGCCCATCGGACGGAGATAGAACACCAATGGCCCGTGTGAGCTTTGCATGCGTTTGGAGCTTTCATCGGAGCGAGAGCACGGCAACCTCGACAGATTTCAAACGCTGGGGAGCGTTGCACGATGTTCTCTGCAGGTACTGGTTGTGCTGCCCGCGGCCTGTGCGTCAGGGGCTTTGCGTGGAAGCGAGAATGTTGTCTGAAAGACAGATATCGCCCGAATGCCACGGCAGTGCGGCAGCTATTCGCGGGTGAGTATATCTGGATACAGAATACGCGGATGCCGCACTCTAGGTTTTCTGATACAGAAGAACGAACCCTAAATCTATCTGTTGGGCAGCAACAAGTTTCGATATCAGATACTGGCCTTGATTTCCTTCTCGATTAGGCTCATCGTCAGTGAGACAAAAAGGAATGCCTCAAAACCATGGAGCGTAGATGAAAATCCACTCGAAGACGCCTTCCAGTCTGTTTAGACCGGCTGTCTGCGATCGGTTTCATTTTCTCGTTGTTTATTTTATGCCTAAGAGGCTGCTCCACAAAGTTAGATCGCGTCTGCCAATCGGGTATCGTCTTTAGCATCGCACACCGTCTTGTACTGATCGCAGCGTTAAAGTCTCGGTTCGTGAACTCCATGTGTTTGTTGCCACTGGTTGAACTAATCGATACAAGGAGACCACGAAGCCGTGTACGCTGTGCCATTGGGTGCTCTGTTAGCTCTTCGTGCTGATCTGTCGACGAAACGCTCCACTGGCCTCGCTCCAACTCAACATCCTAGGGTGTATATTCCAGCTCATCCCTTAGATTTTTCGAAAATGAACGCATTTGTTTATAGCCTGAGATGACGACCTTCCCGCATCGAGCAGCACATGCGGAATAAAGACCAAATGTGCCCCGGTTGGTCACCATGTGCTGAACGCTTCATCAATTCGCCCGGTGGAGCGATCGTGACGATTCAGGACGCAAAACTCTTCTTCTATGGGGATGAACCATGGTTGAGAAGAAGGAATGAAACCAGCTCTACCCCTCGAAAGAATCTAAAAATGCTCGAACTGAAGCAGAACGGCTAAATACCACTATGTCCAATAGAAGGACTTCACCAGACGTCTGGGACAAGTCTTCAATGACTCTACAAAAAGAGGGCGCTGCTGCATGAGTGTTCTCTTCAGCGGAACTGAGGCAGCCAAATGAATCCACCGCAGCTAGAACAGATGATGATGTCGACGTTCTCTACGATTTCGAGCGTACGAGCAACGGGCTCCCGCTCAGCAAGTATTCATCTACGCTGCGATTGTCTCGTTTGAAGCAAGTCTCATCGAGTGAGAAAACAAACTGATGTTCCTGTGCTTCATACCGATCGCGACGTTCCAGGAACACCGTGCCTGCGATTTCGGTAGAAGCTGGCTGTGAATGAACTAGCACTTTATTGCGATTGGATCCCGGTGTTTTCAGGATCACGCGAATAAGCTGTTGCGAAACAGAGACGCCCGTGGTGGCTACTATGGACGCATTTGCTTCCCGTAAATTGATCAACTGGTCGTTTTCTATCACTGATTGCAGGCAGGCTTTGAGAATATCAGGTTTCGGCCCGGAGCGCATATACTTGTTTCTTTCAGTGCTCGTTCAGCATCTGCGTATAGTGGTATGATTGACATCGAGGTGCAATGCAATCATCATTGCATTGTTCAGTGAAGAATACATATGCCGTATGCAATTCCTCCACAATCTATACAGAACATTACCTAGTGATTTCGTCCTCCTCCTATATACCGTAGCCGCGATGAAACAAAATTGAGTTGAAAGACTATCAACCGAAGCGCCTTTACGTCGTAACAGCGTCGGGTACTCGAAATTCTAACGCAGCCGCGTACCAGCAGCGGATCGAGACGGTGAACGGACGCACCAGCGCATACCTCTATGTACGGTATTCGCCTCTACCAGATACGCAGCATACCAGCGATCGATGCGAACAGGCATCGAAGTGCCCTTGGTACCCAAGTTTTGCCGTCCGAGCATGCCTTCCTCGAAGACGCACCTTGCATCGATCCTCAGATCGTCGAAAACGACACCAAACATGCTTCTGCACAGCGTCCTGTCGTACAAGCGCGCCAAGTAGGCGTTTGTTGTCAGCACGGTGCTGTCTGACGCTTGGACCGCACGACTGCAGATGCTACCGATCCCGACCAGGTCCACGGCACCTGATAGCTGACGAGCAGGTTCCCCTGCGACTCCAAGCCCGGTCATTGGCAAGCACACGAGTCGCGCTCAACGTGCAGAGCGCTGTGTCGATCGCCGATGCTGCCCTTGGTCTAACGATTCAGAGTGGCAATGTTTACAGCAGGCACGCGCCGCTGACGCACAGCTCGAGGATCGCTTCCATTCGAGACCACGGCGACAATACGTGACCATTTCAGCGCACCGAATGCGACTTCTCCGTCACTGGCGTGCAGCTCAACTAGGCGTCGTGCAACGCGCATCTTAGCTTCCAGGACCTCGAGAGAAGCGTCCGTCGGGTCGCAGAGCCATTCCACAAAGCCCGCCATACTAGCCAACGCGACAACTCCGATTCTCGACAGACTTAGCGCAGCGAATACCGCCGCAGCAGCCAGCCGCTCTTCTTCCGAAGGATGCCGTGCACAGTCCAGGACAATGGGCAGTGCATTCGTGAACGCCTTGACGGGATCCGCATCCCTGATCGCATCAGTGAACAGATGCAGCACCCTTTGCTGCCGAAATTCGAGGTCGGATTCGGCGGCTCCGTACCCTGAGACGGCTGCTGATGAAAGCGGCTCGTCGAGACCTGCCAGGAACACACTCAAAGCGCGCAAGGAGGCCACTCGAATATCGCACACGCTCGCCGTTTGAATGAAACGAAGCGTTAGTTTCAAGGTGTCAACGTCCGCAAGCAGCACGTCCATCCCGCGTTCACAGAGCCCCAGAGCGCCTACCGCGGAGATCAGATGCACCAGCAGCGTCGTCCGACGAACTTGATCAAGTTGTACGGACCAGTGTGCTGTCTCAGTCTCGCCATCTACCACGTGAACCAAGAGAAAGCGCCCAAGAATCTCTACGAGACTGGCGTTCATCCAAGCGTGGAAGGCGCAACGGCTGGAGCCGGCACTGGTGCGCACGAACCTCAGAATCCCACACATCCAAATAAACCAGCGTTCCGCCAAGTCGCTCGAGGCAGGCTCGTCTGGCGCCAACAAATAGGCAAGGTGTTGGCGTAGCAGCACATCGAATACCGAAATTTGGTCGAGCAACTCGGCTGCTATTGCACTGCGTTGCATAAAAGCCCCAAGCACATCCAGCAAGTTCAAGCGGAGTAGCAAGTCCTCATCCAAACGAACAGGAGCTGCGATTTTGGCTACAAGCACGGTTGGCAACAGCCGACGTGCGGCAATCTCTGCAACAGACGAGTAGTCGCAGATCTCAAGCAGCAAGTTCAAGGCTCGGATATGCGCAACCGCACCCGCTGCACCCGAGAGCATCTCCTGTACGAGGATTTGCGCGCCTCGTGCTTCGCTGAAGAGCACAACTGCGCCGCGGAACGGCTTCAGCTGTACCAGGTTCTTCAGGATTTTTTCACAAATTCCCGCAGCTTCGGTGGATGGATCATCACGGAAGCTCAGCAGCACCAGTGACAGGATATCGCTGGCGTGCTGTGCAGTTGTGCTGGGAGCGTTCACTTCTGGACCTGGCGCTTGTGCGGCCTCTATCTCCGGACGAAGCTCGTTCGTACTTTCAAAACGTTCGATAATAGTGTCTGCAACTTGCTGACAAAACGCTTCAGGCAAGTCATTCCGTTCAAGAAGGAGACAAAGCAGACGGAGCGCAGCTGTGCGTACCAGCGGGTACCGGCTGCTCAGACCGAGGTGGATGAGCTGGAGCACCTGCTCTATAGGTACGACGTGACGCACTCGGGCACTTGTTGCAGAGAGCTTGACCAGTTTCTCCATTGTTTTCGTTAATACCTGCATGGAATCAAATATGTTGTCAGAAGGTACCGCGTCGCTGTCTGAAGCCTCGAGCGACGCCCGCACCGCGTACTCCTCCAGTGTCCAGCCCAGCAGCGGTAACGGCAAACGCTCCAGCAAGTCCAGTGCCGCACACTCCGACAGTGCTCCAGCGTCTACATATTCCCTCACTGTATCCAATACTTTATCGGGAGTCCAGTCATTGTGGTGAGCGTTCATTCAGCAACAGGTTATCACGCTTTGAGATAGACATATCCAGAAGCAATCTCCTGATCGGCGGCGGGGCGCATGTCAGCCGCTGCGCGTGCACGCGCACCTGGCAGATCCGGCGGGCACGAGACACGACGCTCTGGTCGCTCCTGAGGGGAACAGTGATCCTGATCACTGGCGTGCTATTCTACTGTAAAAGTTGTATTCGCGTTGAGGTCGTAGCAAAGTATAGGTTTTTTGTTCCATCCTATTCCGACCCTCAATTGAGTATATTCAAGTGTTTTTTCGAAGTATATAACAGAAGCGTTCAAAGAGCGTTCGTTTTCAAAAAAAATAAAAAAAGGAAAGTCATGGAAATGGAAGTGGAGGATCCCGGAGGGCCGATATCGCCGGCCGTCGGAAAAGAAGGATAAACATGGCGGAGCGAAAAGGAACAGGAAGTGATGAGGAATCAAAAGGGGGCGAGGTTCTACGTCGAAGGCGGCAAGAAAGGCAACTGTACAACGAGATAGTGGTGAAAGCCTGTGTTCTTAAATATATCAAGGATCCGTAGAAGGAAAAGTTGCGGGACGCCATCAAAAACCGTCTCGAGTCGTACTCCATGAGTATGATAAAGGCTTCTTCAGGACCGACGCATTTGGTGAGGGAGATGTATCGCTACGTGACGAACATGGAAACGGTCGAGCTTCCGGACGAGTTTTTCGACAACACATTTTTTCGTCACTTGATGCTTGGCATAGAGGAAGCGCGGAGGGAAAATAAGCGGGTGAAAGTCCTCCACGAAAACTTCGCGGAATTCCTCCTCGAGGGTACCCGATACAGTGGTGACGCGGATATCTACACATATGGGGCGATGAAGTACCTGACGAATCTGAAGAACCATTTCAGAATGAACCTCGAACATTTCATGATACGCGCCGTGTTTGCACTGTACCCGGGCATCTCTCGTAACGGAAAATGGGCGATTATCAACGGCATCACGAACGATCGCAAGCATGAAGATGAGATCGAATTCGTCGGAGAGAAGGCGTCACGCAGGGGCACAAATGAAGCTTCTGTAATCCGTGCGGCTATACAAGAGCACCGCGCAGTCTTGGAGTTAGCGAATCCAACAGACAAGATATCAGAGTTGAGAGAAGATAAGGAAAGATACTATCGCCTCGTCCTGCGGTATTTCGTGTTTTTGGACCGTGAACTCGAACGCAAGGCAGAGGTGAAGCTGAGTGGGGAAAAATGAAGCGTGGGAGAGATGGAAGGCTGCCCTAGTGGGGAAGCGCTTCAACGTGGTTCCAATGTGCAACATCAAGTCACATTTTGTGAGTATGGACTCCAGAATCCTTTACGGCATCATGAGGGAGATCAGTCCGGTGTTCAATGCTAACAAGGAGGAGTTCTCCGGCGAAAATCGTGAGACGTACTGGAAGAATATCTTCGATTTCAAACATCTGAAGTGAGCAAACAAAAGGTATTCACTGGGATGATCGAAACCGATGGAGTAGCCACGTGTGTACAATATCGGCGCTTGAAGAAAAATCGTCCAGTTCCGCCCTCGGCTTCGCCCGTTACGAAGCATGAAGATGAGAAGGAGTCGGATCCAGCGATGCAGGAGGTAGAGGATAACGATCTTGTCGTTCACGCGGCGAAGCATGAAGAAAACAAAGAGGAGGATGCTGCGACGCAGGAGGTGCATGATAACGACCTTGTCTTTGGCGTGACGAACGATGAAGATGAGAAGGAGGCGGGTGCTGCGACGCAGGAGGTGCAAGCTAACGACTTTGTCGTTGGCGTGGCGATGCATGAAGATGAGAAGGAGGAGGATTTTGCCACGCAGAAAGTGCAGGATAACGACTTTGTCGTCGGCGCGGACCCTGGGAATACGAATATCATAACCATCGCAGCACCGAAGCGTACGGAAGATAGTGCTGATGGTAACTTACGTCAGAAAGACATGCGTCTTTTTTGAGGTTCTCGAGAGCAATATACTATCGAGAACCGGGAACAATGAATGCAAGGAAGGAAATTGCTGCATGGAATGTAGGAATGAAGGATCACCTGGAAGCTTTGAGCGAGGTGACGAGCCGAGGAGCGGACTTTGCAGCTTTTCGAAAATTCATGGAAGTTCGCGTTCCTCATTGAGATACGCTGTGCGAGGAGTATGCAAAGCCCCGGTGGGCTCGTTTGCGAATGAATTTGTATTGTGGAAAGCAGCGGGCGCTCGCGAATTTTTTCAATCAGTTGAGTGCCCTGAAGGAGGATGAAAATCAGAGGCTGGTAGTGGCATACGGAGCAGGGCGATGGAAGACCCAAAAAGGGTGTACACCAGCTCCAACGACAAGAACGTGCAAGGAGTGTGCACGGCGTTTTGTTATAATACCGATAGATGAGTTCCGAACGTCCTATACACACCACGAGCTGGGGTGTACACTTCAGAGGGTGGAGATGGAAAAGTGCCAGAGGAGCCATGAGGATATAGCAAAGTACGGACCGCTGACGGAGGAGCAAATGGAAAGGAGGGCAAAAGTGCAGGGGCTATTTGCATTAGTGAGTACAACTTCCAATCGCAAGAAACGGATGGAGGTTTTTAACCGAGACTTTAACGCCGCAATCAATATACGGAGATGATTGGTAATGGAGAAAAGACCTCCAGAGTCCACAGGAGGGAACGTTGTTGGACAACCTTCCCAAGTCGAACTATATGAGAAAAACTTGGAATCAGTAGAAGATGGCCCGCCGAGAAAGACGAGGGGGCGTCTGCACATCACTTGGAGACGTTTCCTCGAAAGCGGGTTTCTCGCCGCTTCTGTACACCGGTGGCATCGTTCGACTGTGCGCCCGCTCTACCGGTGGTATACCGACACAAACGCACCCTCGCACGCAAACAATCACACAACGGGCAGTGCTCGCATCTCAGACGTTACTCAAGGCCTGGATCCGAGCGCTCGTGGCAAGAATGTCGTCGGTTTCGCGTAGACTGTGTACTCTGGTTTGGTGTTTGCTCGTGCTGGGCGTATTAGCTCGGGTTCCGGTGACGGGCGCGCTTCAGTTTTTCCTGAAAAGTGGCCAAAAGAAGTGTTTCAGCGAGGACGTGACCGCGGGGACCCGCGTTCTAGGCGAGTACCTCGTCACTGCCGGCCCAGGTAAACTTGATGTCGAGCTGGTGGTCACTGGACCTGACGGTAAGGTAATCTTTCAAAAAGACAACATCGATCAGGGAAAGTTCACGTTCGAGAGTCCAGCGGGACCGCAGCGCGGTCAGCACCCGCACGGTAACGTTGGAGAGGCGGACAAAGAGCACCAAGAGTTCGACGAAAACTACGGAGACGTATGGCCTACCTACAACTACCAGTTTTGCCTTTCGGGAAAAAACGGTGACGGGCCCGAGACGAAACGCAAAATTACGCTCCACGTCAGTACGGGAGCCGCGGCGAAGGACTACTCAACAGTAGCCAAGGTAGAGCACCTTGATAACCTGGAAATCGCCCTGCGGCGCATGGAAGATGAAGTGAAGTCCATTCTGGAAGAACTGGAGCATATGCGGGCTCGTGAAGAGGCTATGCGCTCAATCAACGAGTCGGTGTCGCGGCGCGTGCTCTGGTACAGCATCATCTCTTGCTTGGTTATGATCGGAGCAGGTATCTGGCAGGCACGCTACCTCAACGCTTTCTTCAGGGCAAAGAAACTGATTTAAACGAAGAGTGTACGCGTTGAAAATGCACGTCCCGTGACGTGCCTCGTCAACCGGGGCGCGCGAAGCGGCTTTCTGGAGACCGCTGCAGCCTCTGCGGCTGCATAGGCACTGCGTCATGGCCTGGAATGCGAGCGACGAAAACCCTGGCGAGAGGGCGAACAGGCCTCTGCTCGCCGCTACACCCTATGCGACGTCAGAACAACGGCTGCACCCAGGTTTGAGACGCTCAACAGCGAGTCCGTTTCCGAGCAGCATATCAGCAGCTGTTGCTCTGCGCAAGCCGTGCCTTCAGTGGCAGCAATGACTGCACTGAGTGTGTCAGGTCAGGGCTTTGTCCCAGGCATGGGACTCGTCAACGATGCTCCGAGAGGATCCGCAAGAGCACCCTTGAGCGCTTTCATACCGATCGATTTGGTGACGTGCATCGCTCACCTTCGCCTGGACGACAGCAGCAGCTGCAGTAGAGTTCAGACAGCAAGGCTCGATGAGGTCATCCTCAAAATCGAATACGCGCATGGTGAAGCACAATGATTGTCGTATGCTGGATACGTATCGCGCAAAGTGCCTCAAGCGGGTGGTAGATCGGGACGAGGCGCTTCTGTAGCGCTCACGACGCGGTGATCGGATTCGATCTGCACTCGACTTTCGACGCAGCGCACGTACGAAGTACTCTCAATGGTAAATGGAAACGACAGGAAATCACTTGAATGCTCAGGAGACCAGATTGCGTCCTGTCCGCTTGGTCTAAACTCCCCAGGCTGGTCGTTGCACGTTCCAGCGGAGCGCTGCGTGCGAGTCCTCTCACTGCCCGCAAGACACTCGAGTTCGAGGCTCGGACGTTCATCGGAAAGAGGCTCTCCCCGGATCCCGTCATCGTTCTTAGGTAACGAGGCAACGGGTTCTGTGCGCTGCCGGTTCATCATACTGTACCTGGCAACCGTAAACACGTGGCTGCAGGACGCTTCTTATGTAAGCGCTCGCTGAAAGACGTGTGGCAAGGCAGTCATCGCCAGCAGCTGGAAGCATCCAGACAGCGCTGCATACCGAGGCTGAACGATGTAACCAACGCGAAGCGACGTGGAGTCCGCCAAGTGGTTCGCCAGAAAAACCTGCAGTTCAAAACCGTGCATGCCTGATATTGAAGCTTCACGACGTCGTGTTCGTTGGAAACGCAAGGCATGCGGCTGTGGTTTGAGCGGTCGTTTTCCTCGTGATCCTATCTATTTTCCGCAAATATCAAATCGTTTACACGAATCGTAAAGTACCTTGTCTTTCTATGAGGGTGGATGATCGTTTCCAGCTACCACGGAATGCCCTTGACGAATACAAGAAGAAACTGTCCATGATACGCATCACCGCAGTCGTATGCGTCAGCCAGGAGAATGTGTTCAGCGACTCGAGCTGCAGCGAAACTGGCGACTTTGCAGCGTTCGCGGACCGAAAAAGAGCAGAAACGCTTGTTTGATGGAAGCGTCGAAAAGCGATCACGAAGCTTCTGGAAACGGTGAAGACAAGGCAGCTGCGGTTACCGATGAAGAGCCTTGCATAGGGACGCACACGGAGCGCCAGGTCGGCACTGCTGGGACGCAGCCTGAGCAAACTGACCAGAACGGCGCCTCTTCAGGTGGTTCACCGGACACGGGTACCCCGCTTTCTGCGTACGGTCTGCATGTGCCGGACATTGCAGAGCGGTTGGCGAAGGCTTTAAGTCTACGGAGCACCGCTGCAGGCACCGACGCTTCAACCGCGCTCAGTGAACAGCAGCTGAGACTCGAGCACCAGGCGCCCGAAGCGCCGCCTCAACAGCAGCGACACCAGCATCGTTTTTGGTCCTCACAACCGGTACCTCAGTACAACGAGACCTGTGTGACGTGTGATGGACCCATTGACGAGCGTCCCCGCTTGGACCCGGCGTCAGTGCCGGAGGCGCCGTACCCGTTGCTTGCCGGGTTCTCTTGGTGTGAACTCGATATCAGTGCCGAAAGCGATATCCAGGAACTGTATGAACTGCTTCGTTCAAACTACGTCGAAGACGACGATGCCCAGTTTCGTTTCGACTATTCGCCTGCGTTTCTGCGTTGGGCGCTATCACCACCAGGTTGGAAACGTGTCTGGCATGTTGGCGTTCGCGTGAGCACGAGCTCCAAACTGGTAGCCTTCATTGCCGCAGTGCCGGTAACCATGCGACTTCGAGATGTCAAAGCTCTTGCTGTCGTCGAGGTGAACTTTCTCTGCATCCATAAGAGGCTTCGGCACAAACGACTGGCCCCTGTGCTGATCCGCGAAATCACCCGACGAGCGCACCGCCAAGGCATCTACCAAGCGGTATACACGGCGGGTACGCTGCTTCCCAGGCCGCTGGTTACCTGTCGCTATTGGCATCGCTCGCTGGATGCCCGAAAACTGATTGAGTGCGGTTTTAGTAGATTACGACCTCGCATGACCATGAAACTCACTGAAAGACTCTATGCGCTTCCGGAGAAACCGCTACACCCGGACGTGATGCCCTTGGAACGAAGGCATTGCGCATCGGCTCGGGCACTGCTCTCTCAGTACTTGGAAACGCACACCAAATTCCATCCATGCTTCTCAGAAACCGAGTTTGAACACTGGTTTTTGCCACGCGATGACGTCATTTACAGTTTCGTGCGCGTGCAGCGAAACACCAGCGCCACCGGTACCTCAAACGAACGCGTCACCGACCTCATTAGTTTCTACTCACTCCCATCGAGCGTGATTCACAGTAGCAAACACCGCACCCTGCGAGCAGCGTATTCCTTCTACAACGTAGCGACGAGTTGCTCGTTTCAGGACCTCATGCAAGATGCCCTTATTCTCGCGAAAAATGCAGGATTCGATGTTTTTAATGCACTGCACTTGATGGAAAATCGAGAGGTTTTCGATCAGCTCAAATTTGCACCGGGTGATGGCGAACTCCACTATTATGTGTATAACTGGCGGACGAGTGTTTTGCGGTGTGAAGAAAACGGATTGGTCATGCTGTGAACGAAACGTCATGAGCAGAGACGCACAGGCAAAGTGTCGACCGCTTTGCGTCGCTTCGACGCTATCCGCATCGTACTTGTATTTCCGAGATTATTCCGGTTGTATATCGCAGTTGTCAATGCACCAGCGCCTCTTTCCGCGGTTTGGTATGCAGCTTCGCGTCTCAAGCTGGGACACTGGTATCGGGCACCAAGTGCGTACACCTTGGACTGCGCGCTCTACTCCCGGCGCGGAAGAACGTAGGTATCGTGGTGCCCTCATGCCGTCGATTCGTGCCGCACACTCAAGCCAGTGCATCTGCGGGCTGGTACATCGTGAGCGGGCGCTGTGCAGCAATAACACGAGGCATTGTAGTGCGCTGATATCAGGTGCGAGAAGACGCACTTGCGCTGAGGAGCACGCTCTCGTCACGAATGACAGAACATGCGTCTAGATGCACTGCAATTCACAACCGTCATAGTCGATGCGGAGTCGTCTGCTGAACCACTGAGCACATGCTGGGGCGGTGCGTATCATCGGCTGCGGCTGCGGTCGTGCTGCTGCCACAGGGGCGATGCCTGCATTCCGCATCCAGGGACACCGAGCCCGTCAGGCGAAGCTCGCACCTACGAGCCTCAACGCTGAGGCGAACCCAAACCCCGCACGAGACCATCGTACCAACGAACTGCCGCTTCTTGGCTTCCAAACGCAGATATTCTGGCACTGACCATACGTTCATCACAGGGAGGTAACCTTGGACGCTGCGGTGCCGTGCGTCGCGAGCAACGCTCTATCTCGCTACCAGGCGCAGCTCCGGAAGCGGGTGCAGGTGTCGACGTTGGTGTCGAGTTGTCTGCTGGCTCCTTTTCAAGCGCCTTCTCTGGCAGGTATTCGTGCGCAAACCAGTTGGACAGCTCCGGGTCAGAGGTTTTCGTTTGGGAAACAAGCTGCTCTACACAATTCCTAAGAGAGGCAGTCAGCCCTGCATACGAGATGCCCGCCGACGCCTTATCGTATATACTGGTGATCGCAGACGCTGCATCGCGCCAGGAACTTTCTCGTATGCATTCTGCGGCGATACCGGTGAGCATCAGCGCTAGAATCGTCACTCGATACGTTTGTTGGGCTCGCGTGTATGCGTTTTCCAGCTGGTTCAGAGTTTCGTTGTCTGCGCACTCGAGACGGGTAGCAAGTTCGCGAATGTCGTCGGAGAATGGCCCGGACGCTGCGGACTTCATCGCTCCGAGAAACGTGGACGCTGACGCCTTGGTTGGCGGCAACACTGGCTCGTTGGCCTCGGTGTTCCCTGCTGTTTCGTCGTTTGTATGTGTCCGTAGTGCACGGTGTTTTCGCAGCGCCGTGAACAGATCTACGCCCTGGGTCTGGTCGCTGTACACATGACATGTTGCCAAGAGGACAGCGTCTGCGACCTGACCTTGATGAAGACAAAGCCATTCAGGGCGCTCCAGGAATGTCTCGTCCTTTTCCGGTTGTCGAAGGCGTTCGGAGATGCTCTCAACTACTGGACGCAATTTCTCGCGTTCTACCTCCTCCCGAAGCACTGCGTTGTTCGCAGCGATTTCCGCTACGAGCGACGCCGGTAGCAGACGCTTGGCCTCTTCGATGGAGGGAAGCTGGCTCGCCTCCCCGTGTTCTTCCCGTCTGTAGAGCAACGCGTAGGCAGAGGCTGTGCCGGGCCCACCGCGCCCCACCGAGTGGACATGCTCCCACGAGACGCGACGTACTCGTTGGTCATTGAATTCGTACCAGTCGCCCGCTCGAGTCGATCGAATGAAAACAAAATAATGACCTGCCTCGGGGGCGCCCTCGTGTACAAGCACTGCCTGCAACCGATACGCTTCATTCGACAGGCTGGCAAAGTTTTGCACCATTTCCTCCGCGAGACACGCCATTCGTGTCTCAAGCCGTTCGCGTTGTTGTTTCTCTGTCACGTAGACGTAGGACAAGCTCTCAAGGGCCTGTTCCCGATGTGCAGTCTCGCTCTGGTCGACAACGACAGGCGGATGTGAGGAATTTCCGGGATCCAGGGCGCGTAGTCGCTCAAGCACCGCCTCGTAGACGACATCCGATGGCTCTTGCAACCCTGGTAAGTGAAGCAGTCGTTGGAGCTCCTGCTCTAACTGAGCGTATTCACGGCAATACTGCGCATCTTGTAGTCGTGCTAAGAGCGCTGCTTCACGGTTACGCTCAAGGTACCGATCTAGATAGATTGTCTCTGCGAAATCGAAGAAATCGTTCACCTTCTCCGGCATGTGAGTCTCTTGGTTGAAGCGCAATCGCTGAAGATAGATAAAAAGCACTGGAGCCAGAGTTTGAAACCATACAGACTTGGTTGCGGTGCGGGTATTCGTCGTTGGTGCTGTTGTTATCCCGCTCGTCGACGCCTGCGTATCGCTCGGATTAGAATCTGCGTGTATAGGAGTCCCCGGCGTCAGCTTTTCTGGCTGATACTCCACATCGGCGAGCACATACTCATCCAATGCAGCGTACAAGTCCCGGCAGTTACCCGAAGCAACATCGAGAATGAGCGCACTGGTGGTTCCCTCAACTCGGTCGGCAAGCCGCCACGTTGCGGACTGCAGTCCGCTGAGCCGCTCCAGCATCGCGTCGAGCGCTGGTGTATCGCTTGCTCCTGGGGACTGGGGCGCCCCGTGGGTGCCCGATCCATCGGATGAGCATTGTGGATTCATTTCAACCGCCATTGCGACTTGATGCGCTCCCTCCATGACTCGACAATGCAATTCCTGAACAAAGGAGTGCGTAAATGTGCGCTGCAATGGCTCCGTGTTGTCTACCGTCTGCAGAGCAGCCTCTATGGAGCGCAGGAACGTCTCATTGAACTCACTGAGGTCGTGTTGAGCTCCCAGATCCAGGGCAGCTGAATTCAAGGTCTCCGCAAGCGCGTACAGGAAACCGGTAGGGTCCGCGTAACGGCGCTCGGAGAGAAGCAGGTACGCGAAGAGGCGTTGGAGCTCGCGAACGACATCAATGGCTTTCGGAGGTGTCTTTTCTGTGTCGACTCGATCCTCGCGCCACGAAAATACACGCCTAACAAAAGAAGGGGTATGGTAGTATACTTGGAGTAAGGAATTGAGGTAGCAGGTGTTGCCGACATTACAGAGACCAATTGGCTCCATCGGTGACACTCGGACGACAGTATTCGGATCAAGCGATGCCTCCGACGGCCTAAAGAGAGAGAGTTCAAAGCGCTGTCGGGCTTTTCGTTCTTCTTCAAGGGACGCTTCGATAGCGCGCTGTAGTTCAGTATCCGAGGCGAGAGCGAGCGGACTCTCCGCGGTCGGCGCTTGGGAACCAACGGGTTTGGAAACTGCGTTCTCCGTACTGGACGCCAATGCATCTCTAGGCCGAAGGTACTCGCGGCGTGAGAGTTCGATTGCTCTTTGCAACTCTGCCTGCTCTGTGTTGTTCGGGTCGTTCGTGCCTTCTTTCTGGTCGCGGTGTCGGTCGGCAGGTGGAGGCAAGCCCGAGTTAGGCTCCGGTGACGTTCTCTGAGCTCCAGCCGCAGGGCCGGCGCTCGAGCCATCCGGGCGAATCTTGTGCGTCAGAATGTAGTCTAAAATTTGTTCTGTCGAGTGGCAACCGTGTTTCAGGGCAACCGCCACCTGGGCATCAGTGAAACCCAGCTCGGCGGCAAGCTTCCACACCTCCATGCGTTTTGTCTGCGAACTACCCGTTTCCCGAACGGCTGTTGGTCGATCTCTCACATTCGCGCTAGAGTTGCGCTGAGAGCTATTCTCGGATCGAGTCTTGGCGAAGATGTTTCGCATCTGCGGGAAAAGTCCAAAACATCCAGTCGCTCGGGCAACAACTAAACGGAAAACCTGAGTGTTCTGGATGCGGTCGACGCCGCAGTGTTCGCGGCACCTTCGTAGCAACAAGGCTCTCGTCTTGACGTTCTTGAATGGGAGACTCGCATGGAACTGACAAGGTATTGCAGGTGCGGGAAAGGAGGTATTTGGCATATAAGACTGGAGCCGGGTCTCGTTTTGCTTTGTATGGGATGTGTAGAGATGAGCAGTACAAGCTTGATATGCTGTGCAGGCTACACAATCCCTAATATCTACATATGAAAGGTTCGTATTTCTCTGCAGTTTCTCATCTCTCTGCACGTGAACATTTACTGTCATGCTAGGTCTACAGTTCTTGGAGTCTCAGCAACATGAATACGGCAGATGAATGCCTGGAGAGCTGAGAGCGCGGCTCAACGTCTAGTGGCAGTGACGGACGCAGCGGTTGAGCGCGTAGTCCCGGTATCGACGGTATGGTGTACGCTTTTCGCAGGCGTTGATGTGCGTCGCAAAGCAATGCGCAGAACTTGTTGAAAAACATATGCCCTGATACACACGAACACACATAGACGGACGCAGATACTGGTGGAGTCGCACCGAGCGTTGCACGAACGCGTTCACGAGTCAACTACAATGACCTCACAACAGTGATCCATTTTTCTATGGTATACACTCGAAAAGTCTAACCGGGGTTCCCCGGAAACATCGAAATGGAGTATGCTCAAAGTATCGAATACTGGATCATCTTTACTGCTCACCAATGACACAGGAACACTGGTACCGGTACCTATATAGACATAGGGCGCTTCAGTCACTTTGCATTGCGAAATGTACCATACCAGTGCCTTGCTTCAGGCGAGAATCCAATGCCAGCTACCCTTGCCACATTTTTTCACACCCAAAGGCTTCATTGTTTCGAGACGTTCCCTCGTCCGAGTTCGAAACAGTTACTTGAACGTTCGCTCGACATCAACCCGGTAGACATTCTGGAAGCGCAAGACATTTCCGTAGGTTCATCGATGCATTAGAGTCTCGGTGCAGCATGTGCTTGAGCGTCTCCCTACGACGGCTGCTGGATGTACGCTACAGCAACGACTCTGATCATCGAGTGCTTCGGTATGTGAAGTTCGCTCAGCGTACTGGACACCATGAAGTGCATTCGGCCGTGTTTCAGCGTTTTCCTCTCTACCAGTTTCACAGTGCACGCCCACTCTCGGTGTTCGTATGTCGTTCTGAACGATTCGATAGATACCGTGCAGCACAGATTCCTGCACTCGGTGTACGCTCTTGTCGAGTGAACAGGGGTGCGCTTTTCGCGTCCTACAGCACGCTCAGCCCAATACGCTACGATCAAACAACGCGACGTTCAAGTCCATTCCTTTTCTTGCAACGCATTCAACACGTTGCCGAATGCAAGTTTCCTGCCTCTTTACGATAGACACCGTTGTGAACCCCGGCGCGCTCCCATGTACTCTTGCCAAAGACGGTTCACATGCGCCGCCTGGAAACTCGTAGCGTATCTGTTACGCAGATTCATTTGAACTAGTCGCCACGAGTCTGGGCCCGTGAGCTGAGGCGCGAATACGCACATACAGCGCCTCATGAAGCGCCCGACACGAGCCTGCCTATGATTTCGGCTTTCGGGGATTCACGTTGGTACGTATTGGCACCGACGCTGTAGGTCTTCGAAGCGACGACAGGCGCACCGAAACTTCGAGGTCCTCTGTGAAACGTGTATACACATCACTGATCCTACAATCAGGACGGTTCGCATCGTCTGCCCTGAGTGTCCGTTACGTTGTCGCACGACGATTTGATCGAAACCTTCAAGACGCTTTGGAACAGCTGACAGCGCTGCACCGGTGATGCCGACGCGCCGTACCCTGACAGGGTACGTCAAAGCGAAGGAAGCGGAGCGAGCCCTGCTCGAGTCAGAAGCTACGCATCCCCTTAGGGCGCCCTGTATCTTCCTTTTTGGGTGATTCTCCCGGTTGATGTGTGTTTCGGTAGCGAGGCTATGATGACCGTTCCAGACTGAGCAATAGCTGCACCGATATTTTTCCTTCCAGGCGCTGCTCGTCCCCGTATTCCGGAGCATTCTTGCTTCTTTGCCTGCCTGGTGGTTTCCAGTGCGAGTCCTCCATTTGGCAGGTTGGCATGTGTATCATCACGATGCGCCATATCGGTTAGTTTTCATCAGGACTCGGGCGCACGGGGTGCACGACGGGACCGGAGCGTACCTTTCCTAAAGATATATGTATCCACTGCTGCCTACTTGGCGCTTGCTCCTCTTTTCCACGGTGTGCGCGCTCATGGACCGAAGCGCGGCCTTCCGTTCGCCCCGGTTCTCGAACACAGAACCAACAGAGCAGATTAGCGATTGAGGAGAGCGAGCACGGCTGTCGAAATAACGGTTTATGAACGAACCGCAACGTGCACGCGAATGACCCGTCTATGGATCCGAGAGCGCAGACGTTGCCTCTGCGAACAGAGCGGAGGCATTCGACTGCACTGAACGAGGGAACAGAGGTTGTCACGAAGGGCAGCTCGTCGCCAGTCTCAGCAGCGCACTTGTTGACCGCTTGTGAGTGGCGGAAAGCGAAGTTGCCGTGCAGCAGCTGGACAGAGGAATGCGGGACGGAGAAGCCACGAAGCGTGGTTCAACGAAGGATGCTGTGTTGAACGAGCGTATCGATTCTGTGATTTATGTGGGAAAGCGCTCCACTGAACTGCCCCGAGAGCTCGCGTTGACGTCACGCTCGGTTTCCGTTTATTCATACACAACAGTTTGCTCCACATTGAGTACGCACACATCGTTTGACCATTTGTCCTGAATAACGTCTCGTCGACTGAGACGAGCATCCGCCGCTCCACTTCAAGGCTTTCGCGTTTCAGTTCGAAATCGATCGTGTGTCCTTCAACGCCTGACGATATCCTCCAGGAGCGTGCTTTCTCCTTCGTGCACTCGTGTCTGCTCGCCATTGTTTGTGCCAAATGCGCGAAACTTCACACGCTGTGTCTCCTCTGATATCTTTGCTCACAGGAGGTATGTAGTGGGACGGATCGACGAGTAGACAGTCGTGCAGATCGCAGTCGATGGGTTCTGGTCTGGATGCACGACGTAATGGGTAACGACGACGACGAGAAGGGTGGTTTATCCACCCGCTAACCGTCGAATGGCTGACTTGTATGAGGCTTTTATGTCTCAAGCGAGCCATGAACACATAAAACCCTACCATGATCGTTCTCGAATCAAAATGTTCCAATTCTGTATTTTAAATATCTTCGAGAAAAACCAAAAAGGTTGTGCTGCCTTCTGCATTCCATCATTTAAAGCTATGCATATAGCTCTGTCGCGAAGTTGTGGAGCGCGCTGGACGCCCGCTGAGCGCCCTGTGCTCCACAGCATGGTGTTCGCTGTAGAAACTGGACGCATCGACAAGCTGTTTCAGCGCTCGGCAACAAGTAGCTTCAAGGCGCTATCAGGAATCGCCAACTGGAGTCTCGTTGCTGTGGAGAGTATTTGCTAAGCGGGCCCACACCAGCGTCTCCAGGTAGTCTCCTAATGCTCGCCATTTGGATGCGAGGGCGTCGTGCTCGACGTTCGCGTCACAAAGACAGGGAAGGCAAACAGCATTTCGAGGAGATTGCTTGGAATAAAAACAATACCCGGTTGAAGCTCTTCTATCCTGAATTGGTTCCGGTTCTTAATCGTGCAGGAATGTAGCGAGTGTCCTGCTCCTCATGATACGCAATCATAAAATAAATTGTACGGACCTGCAGGTTCCATCACAGATTGCATTCCCCTCTATCGACGCAAAAGGCTCGCTTCAATACCCGGATTCGTTTCTGCGTCCGACGACGTAGTCTACGATCACAGGCCTCTTGTGGGCGATAGCTTTGCCGAGGACTCCTTCCGCTGCACCAGCAAGCAGATGCTACTCCATTTGATGGAGGATATGTGGAACGCGATGTTGTCCATGATGAAACAAGCACTGGAAGCAGCATCTACGATCGAGACCAAGTCGAGAAACTTCGGCCCGTTCACGGTCCTTAAGCTGCATGCGCTGACGCATTCTCGACTGGAAGCGATAGCGTCGATGGCCAAGTCCGAGTCTATAACGCCTTTCCATGCAACGCGAGGAACCGAGAGCAACTGCGAGCATATCGGGTACGGGGCATCATGCTGTTGTCGAATGCTCTTGCGCCGACCACTATACAGCGAGGCCGATCTTTATTTGGAACGAACTCAATGCTTCACCCACGTAACCAGTTCAATGACACGTCGGCAGGAGTCTCTGAAGAATTCGACAGGAAATGGCGTCGAGAATTCACACTCGTCAATCCAGAGTGGCGCGAATCGCAGCGCTCACGAGCTGCCTCGAGACAGAAAGATCAAAAACTTGAACAATTCGCGCATTCATCACGGTAAGCGTCAGAAAAGGGCGAAGCGCGGAGATCTGTCCGTCTGAACTGGACCACAATCTCGATGATTTTGCAAAAACCGTCTTCGAGCGCGTCGCGAATCATCTTGATTCCGGTGACATATCGAATTCCAGGTGCAACGCGTCAACGTGGCCCTCGGAAAACACGAGCGAGCATTCCTAGACGACATATGCATCCAGAAGCCTTTCCTGTTGCGCTTCGAATATCGAGGCAGTATATCTGAAAATTTCGGAAACATCGAAAGGTAAAAAGTGAGGGAGCACCTCAGTCTCCCGTTTTAATCTGTCACGAGTGTAGATGTGGGACCTACGCCAAGGCCCTGCCGCTCGATGCAGCAGCGCCTGATTTCGTTTACCACCCAGTTGCCAGGCGACAGCACTGGTTACCTTTACACCGACCCCACGAGCAGCGTTTATAGGGACGCTGCCATCTATCGGTACGTGTTAATCGCTCACGTTAGGAAACAAAGGCGAGCGCTTTTTGCGACATGCGCTCGCCTACGTCGATGGACCCAAAACATCAATGTCCCTTCGTCAACTCTATTTGATCAGCGTCTTCGAGCATCCGCATGACCGTGTGGATCTGAACACTCAGTCCGCGGTGCTCGAGCGCGTTCCGCAGTTCGTTCCCCAGAATTGTGCAGCGTTCCTCATCACTCGGGACCAAAGCGCGCAGCGCACCCACGAGTTTCTCCAGTTTCTGGACCTGTGACCCATCAATGTCGCAAAAAATTTCGTCGCTTGGCAAGCAAGGGCGCCAAGAGTCTAGCGACCGTGCGATACTGCCTCCGGATGCGTCAAAAGAGCCCAGTCGCGGTGTATCCATCAACTGCGCGTGGATGCCCTCGTCGCTGACCAAGCGTGGTATAACTTCCAGGCTACCGATACGCGTGGAGGGCCCCATGTCGGCCCCTGCCGCGTGTTCGTGGCTATACTCATGTGTTCGTCGATGTGGCGGGCGTGCGCCCTTCTGACCTGGCACCGAGAACGAGTCGTGTTCCTTGCAGGTCGGCCCCAGGCCAAAAAGGCTCGACGGCAAACCCGGGTCTAGAGGTGCGTGCTCCGGAATGAGCTCAGTCTGTAACCCCGAGAGTGTCGGCGACATAGGTCCACTGCTTTGGCTCGAACGAGAAGATAAACTTTCAAAGTCGCCCAGACTACGACGTTGTTCCGTGCTGTGACGACGGCCTTCCTCGGCCTTTCCCTGTAATCGGGTAGCAGGTGGTGACGCTGGACAGCTCCGTCCAGGAGTCGGTGACCTTTGCCGCGATTCATCTTGATCCGGACTTGATCTTGGCAAGCCCAGTGCGTTCCGCTGACGTTGTCGCAGCGAGGTGCCGCCCCAGGAGGCACCGTGCAGCGCAGGCGACCCATAGGCTCCTGCGGTTGCGTCTGCCTCGGGTGTGTTCTTTGAGACGTCCTGCGCACTACCACGCCTTGAGGTGGATACCTTTTCACCAACCATTTCGCACACACACTTCCAGTGTTCCTGGAAAACTCAAGTTGCTCCAAAGTCTTGTACCGTGTGCCTGCGTAGCGTTACACGTCCAGCCGTTCAACCTCAAATCTTGCTCGAATTTCAGATTAGGCGCGAGAAATGCCAGCCGCCGCCTCCGCCGGCCGTGTCACGCAGCTGCGAAAAATATCTCGCGTCCTGCCAGCGCGGCGCGTTAGGCATTTTGTCTGTTGTTTTGCTCATGCAAGCAGCGCTGGATATCTCCAACAACATCGATTCTCCACAGAGAAAGATCTTGGCGTAGGCTGCACATGCTTTGGGGGACAAGCGGGTCGTAAGTGCGCAACTCCGGCCGTTTGGTGCACAACATGAGCGGATGCATGCATCTTGTACAGCATTGATGCTGTGCAGAGACGATGTCCAATGCGTGCGCGGTCGCACACCGCAAGACGGTATTCCTTGGTCGGTATCCGTGCCAGCATGAATTCAAACTCACTCGCTGTGGTTGAACGCCCAGCTAGACAAGCATCCGAGCGGGCAGTTGTGATGCGCTCATCATGAATCCCTGGGAACGCGACGGTTCCCCGCTGCTCTAGACCCAGGAGTCCATATTCGAGGTACGATCCGCGTGCTCGTACGTTGGATTTCGTTCGGTGCTGCACTGCTGATGCTAAACCTAGAGTTCGAGGAAAACCCGAGTCTCTGATTGCCGAGTCCAGTCGAGCTGACTTCCCTGAACGATGCTTCGATGCCATGTTTGGTCGTCTGCCGGGCGGCACTCAGGGCAAAACTCTATAATACGCTCCACTTCCACGAATGAGGCGTGCACTCGATGAGTCTGGAAGGAACGGCTGACGGAGGAGCACGGCACGACAGTGAACGCCAACGCGATGCTCGCATCATGCTATGGAGCAGCGTCCAGCGTGCTCAAGCATAGAAAGCAGAGCGGGATGCATCCTGCCGGGGCTTGACCGCGCGACGCTCAGTCGAAAAAAGAGACAGCGGTATTCACCTGCGGCACGTGCACACGCATAACCTAACTCCGCCACACCAAGCACTTCAACTTAGCAGCTAGCAATCGTCGGCCCGACACACCAAACGCGATGAGCTCATGGCGACAGCAGAACAGGCTCCTTGACCCGCCCTGGACGCAGAGCAACATGGACGCGCTCGTCCACGGAATCGCGCATCATCACCAGTGAAACGTAACCGAGGGTCCACTTGGTTGTTTCTCCGGTATCAGGCAATCTCCATCCATAACATTTGATTCGGCGGAATGCGTCCCTATGATGCGTAGAAGAAGCCCCACGACGCGCGTGCCTGCACCTCGCCTACAGTCATGGCGTTACCGTCGCGAGAATCATGCAACCAGGCCAGTATCGTGTCGCGCACGCGTGCCGTGCATCGATGATACCGGCCCGGGAGCTGACACGCTCCGTGGTACGGCAAAGCTGTTCCGTTTTCGTCATGCGTCAGCAACTGCGCTCCAAGTGCTATCGCTGACGCTCACAACAGGCTCGGTACACTTTCGAACGTACGAAAGAACTGGTACCTCCGAGGAAAATTATGCATCGTGCAATTTAGATGTAGGTAAATCAATCGATAGAACTTTTCGCGACTGCTGCTATCAACCGCACATGAGGGAATCACACGTCCGTGTAAACGCTTTGTCAAAAGAAAGCGAGATGTCGACGTTACACCAGAAGCAGGTCCGCCGTAGCTTTCGCGCAAATCCCGCGGGCGATTCGCGTACCTGGGCAGCAACGAGACACGTGTCCACTGGCAAGCGTCTCTTTCCAGGCCATTGCCGCGTGTGCTTCTCCACTATTCACTGGCCTCTACCTGCAAGTGGATGGTGTCTCCGAGCACGCTGGACGAAAGCTTACTGGACTCTATTCTTCGAGACTTGCGGGTCGTTCTTAAACGCGCACGCTTGGTCGCGCTACCGTGTCGTTGTGCGAGTGACCGGGGCCTATCGCTTCCCGAAGCTCGACGTCGTGCAGCCGAGTTACAGACAGAGTTGCACGACTGGGACCTGTGGGGCCCACTGCTTGTCTGTCTGGCACTGTCGGTGACGCTGTCCGCTGTTTCAAAGAGCGCTCCGTCGACAGTGTTCAGTCTGGTGTTTGTGATAATCTGGGTTGGAGGCGCCATCGTAACGCTGAACGCTTCGCTGTTAGGGTGCAAGCTACCGCTATTTCAGAGCATCTGCTTGCTCGGGTATGCAGTGACGCCTTTATTCGTTGGAGCAGTGCTTTGTCTGATATGGCACGCAGCCGTCGCTAGTCAGGTTATCGAGAGTTTGCTGCGCGTTGTGACGATCCTCGTCGCGCTGGGATGGTCCGTGTTCGCGAGCTCGACACTGCTAGCGGATGTGGGCGTCCAAGCTGGTCGGAAACCTCTTGCGCAGTTTCCCATCGCGCTATTGTTCTGCGGTCTGGCATGGGTTATCCTCCTGGCTTTCGAGTAACCTTTTGCAGGCACTGCAGGGATTTTTTGGAACAAGATCTATGGGTCGAGCCAAACCCGTCTGGACGCGTGATGGCAGCAAATAACGGCGCGTGAAACCACCGAACCATAACAGATGTCTCTATGCATCAGCAAGTCTCGAAATGTTTCTGTTTGGGGAATAGACGCTAGATCAGACCAGCGTTCCTGGAGGAGCAGTGGCAACTGGGGCCGGGCGCTGCGGCACGATTCGTCTAGAAACTGAATGGCCTTTCGTTGGATCGGCGGGCTTTGATGTTCGGAGGTTTTTGGTGCTGACCTTCTTTTTGATGGTTCATGATCGATGAGTCTAGCGCCAGGATTTTATCACTTTTCGCGCACGTACCGGAATATCGCCCGAGTAGATCAGAGCGCACAGGTGCTCGAGGAACCTGGCCGCCGAGCGGCGCGCTGCAACGTTCCCAATGCATTGTAAAAACCACAGGGGCTTTTTATTTACCATTGTGACGACTGCAATTGGCGATGAAAGCATGTTGCTATTCCAACGGCCAGCGTTTCCAGGAAACGATACCCGCTGAACTGCATCGAAACGTGGCGTCTCTCTCGACCACATTTATCGAGCTAGGTAGCGAGGCATACTGAAGGACCGCCCTCTTCCACTGTACCACAAACAGATGTGGACAAGTGATGGTGCAAAACATCTTCCATAAAACGAGACATTTCCGGTAGAGTGCACCAATCAACGCATAGTATTTCGAAGCGTCGAGCGAGCGAGCGAGCGAGCGAGATGTGGAATACAGAGAGCGCCCGTATTCACGAGTACATAGCGTCTGTCGAATGGTATGTTATGGCGGAATAGACTTGGACACCGCGGCTTCTATTCCTATTTTCTTTTGCAAGGCCAGCACTCGTGGCAATTCTTGCATCGCCCTACTACATCCATGTCGGTATGAAATAGAGCAGATCCACTGATTGGCCCCTATACGCTGAGGTTTCCCTTTTCTTTCCAATACCATCTATACCAGCATATGCGAGACATTCTGCGACTGCTCCCTTATCCGTCCTCTGATCACAGACTTGAACGACGCCGGTCTCTCGCTTCTTTACAGTTCCGTCACCAGCGGTCGAAGGATAATCAAGGCAGCGTCAAAGGCAAAATTTCGCTGCTTCCAGATGTTGTTCACCCAATTTATGCACAGGCGGAAATAGGAATTTACGTTTCACGTACTATCTTCATCCAATTTAGATCAAGCCTCTGTGCACCCCTGGCAAGGGTTACATTTGGCAGTCGTCAGGAGTTCTCAAACCTGAATCACACCTCATTCTGCTCTTAGCGCCGTTCTCTGGCCTGCGAACGCTTGCACCACCATTCGATAAACGCCCTTGACAGTTGCAGGGGCTCGCCTCGATGCACTCCTCCGTTTCCGCGTCCGGTGCTGCACTCCGCCATCAGTGGCTTCATCATTGCGTCTTTTTGCGGCGATTACGCCGTCCGCTGCGCATGCAAGCGCACACTTCCCCAATAGATGGAGCATACGTGGAACGCGATGTTGTCCATGATGAAACAAGCACCAAAAGACAAATCCAGCCTTGAGAACACGTCGAGACATTTCGATCTGTTTGCGCTCCATTCCTGCAAAGCGGTGATGCGAACTCCACTGGAAGCAATCACTGCCACAAATGAAATCCAATCCGAAGGCTCCTTTCCATGCGAACATAAGACATCGGGGCGTCTGGGAGCATATTCCATGAAAGGTATCATTATGCAGAGGTATGCCATTTCATCAATGGCAACAAAGAAAAGTGGATTTGTCTTACGAACAGAATCGATTATTGAACACGATAAGCTCTGTGAAAATTCGGCATCAGCTTGTTGACATGTCATCACGGACGTCGACGAGTTGCCTAGCGACAAAATGCTTGGAAAAACTTAAAGCATGGGGGATTTAAGCATGCTACACCTAACAACAAGTAAATAATCGATGTTCACACATATGCTTTGGAAGAGGTACTCGATTCATTTACAAGTCCTTGTTCGAGCGCATTGCAAATTATCCTGAATCCGGTAACAGAGCAAACTGCATCTGCAACGCGGCGAGGATTCCACATCAAAATTGCGTCCGAGATTCATACAACGACTTGTGTGTCTGCGCACGCTTACTGCTGCACTTCATACACCAAAACTGGACATCGAATAAAAACCTCGCAAATACTGAAAATCAGGGAAACAGCATGCAGTGCAGTGTTCCATGTTCATCGGCACGAGCGTACCCGCAAATGCTTCGACAGGTCCGGGTGCGATGGCGATCCCGCCCCGGTGATGCGGCGGCGGCGGGCGGCCTCCCGGCGTACGTGGGCGCGAGGCCGCACGCTGGCGCGTGCCCGTCGCCTTCGCGAGGGGACGCTTGATTCCTAACAGCCGGCAAGTTCAGGTACTTGCAGCTGAGCGGGTGCACAGTTCGGACGCTTCGAGCGACTGGAGATGCAAACAGCCTTTCAGGTTCACGTTTGTTGGTCAAGAACCTCCCGCAATAGGCAGCTGCGAGCTGTTTGCCCCGGAAGAAACAGCCGCGGGTTCGGGCCCCAGGCGAGCACGGGATGCTCTTTCCGTCACAAGTCAGCGTGGCTAGGAAGCTACGACAGGGCGGGTATTGCAACAGCAAGAGTGCTGCACCTGGAGAGGGAGCAGGTTGCTTTCCGCAGGTTTCACGCTCTGCGGGGTTCTCCTCATGGCTTTGCAGGTACCCGAATGCTTTTTGAAGCCCTTACCGAAAACTTTCAACGCTCATTGGCCGCACTGCGAGGTCTGGACAAAATCACGGAGACCAATATCGAGCCGACCCTTAAAGAAGTGAGGCGCGCCTTGATTGACGCTGATGTAAACGTCAAAGTGGTCGACATCCTCCTTGCCGCGATTAAAGAGCAAGCGCTGAACATGAAGGTTGTGAAAGGCGTAACACCAGGCCAGCAGTTCGTGAAAATCGTCTACGACGAGCTGATTCGCCTGCTAGGCGGTGACCCGGCGACCAGTTCCAGCAAGGCGGGTGCATCTCCTCTGCCGGCACTAGCAGAGAGTCCCACGAAACCTACCGTGATTCTCATGGCCGGCCTGCAGGGCGCTGGCAAGACGACACAATCAGCGAAACTTGCACGTTTACTCCAAACCGAAAAGCGATCGCGGAAAAAGGTTCTGCTCGTTGCGGCTGATGTGCAGCGACCAGCCGCAGTCGAGCAACTCCAAACGCTAGGTCAACAAATTGAAACGGAAGTTTTCATCCCAGCTATGGTTGGGACCGGCTCCGTTACCGCACTGGAGGTGGCCACCAGAGCCCTCGACTACGCCAAACAGAAAGCGTTCGATTTTATGATCGTGGACACAGCCGGCCGCCAAGTCATCGATGAGCGACTCATGGAGGAGCTTCAACAGATCAAGCGGGTGCTCTCTCCAGCGGAAATCCTGCTCGTTGTCGATGGGATGATCGGTCAGGAGGCAGCCAATATCACGCGAGCATTCCATGAGCGGATTGGGATCACGGGTGCGATCCTCACGAAAATGGATGGCGACACGCGCGGCGGCGCAGCGTTGTCGATCAAGCAGATCTCGGGGGCGCCGATTAAATTCATCGGGGTTGGTGAGAAACTGGACAAACTGGAGAAATTCTATCCAGATCGAATGGCGTCACGCATCCTCGGCATGGGTGATATCATCACGCTGGTTGAGCGTGCGCAGGAGGCGGTCGACGAAAAGGAGGCTGAACAGCTGGCTCGCAAGATGCTGGAGGCGCGCTTTGATTTCAATGACTTTTTACGCCAGACTCGGTTCGTGCGTTCGATGGGTTCCTTCGCCGGCGTTCTAAAGTTGTTGCCTGGCGTCTCCGGTATGCTGAAGGAGGACCAGTTGCGCGCTGGCGAAAAGCGTCTGCGCCTAGCTGAGTCTGTCATTAATTCGATGACGCCGCGGGAGCGCGCGAATCCCGATCTACTCACCGTTGATAAAACGGCGGCGAGTCGCATGCGACGGATTGCCCGGGGATCGGGTCGATCGCTGGAGCAAGTGGAGAGCCTCATGCGCGATTTCGTGAACATGAGGAACGTGATGGCCCAGATGTCGAGAAGGATGATGGGCGGTGGCAGTGGCGCTGGACCGGTTCCTTCGAATGCGTCACAGAATCCGGGAGACTTGGCGACGAACCTGGCATCTGGGGATCTGGCAAGCAATATCGGGAACCGAGCTGCTCGTCGAAAACTTAATAAGAAGAAGAGTGATGCCTCGTCATCCAAGAAGAGCGGTTTTGGGTTTAAGCAATGAAACTGAGTCGCTGCACGGGGAACACCACATCTGGTCTCCCTTCATCTGATGTCGTTCGGGTACATCCGGGGCACCATAGGGTGTGTCGCACCCTGACATTCTAAACTGCTCTCTGGTCGTTTACGGGGATTCTATTAGAGCATGCAACATCGTACATGAACGGATTCGGCTCTGCGCAGCATGGTCCGATCATACGACGCTGTATCCGCCAGGTCTCTGGCGAAGCGTATGATAGGATGCACGCGATCGCCTCATGCGGACGAGGCTGCACATTTTGTTTTCGTGCACGTACCCAGGGGGCACGCTTCCGTTGACTGCCCTTTTCTCTGCTGCAATCGAGTCTTAATTGCGGTGCGGATTGACAACCGCGTTTCTCTACATGCAGCGCCTGTATGAAGCGGTGCACGAGGCTTGAGCCGATGTTGTCGCGCTCATCTGCGAACCACAGATGCCTCGTTTGCCTCCCTACTGGTCGCTGACGAACTCTGCTTTCGCGGACGCATGTCCAGAGGACGGATACGACGTGTTCGTTTTATGGTACCAGGCTTCGGGTTTCTGATGAATAATATACCGAGATATTGAAATCTGCCAGAATACGATACATATTTCAAAGCTGTCTCGTTGCGTGTGCCGGAGCAGCCTGTCAGCTCGCGTACCTGTGTTGCGCATGGAGCATCCGGTGCACGGGGTAACTCCGTCAAGGCGAATCCAGTTCTTGGACCAATGCAGTCTCTCATCGCGCAGGTCTTTGTTGCACATGGAGGATCCGGTGAACGAGGCAACCCTGTGAACGTGAATCCAGCGCCTGCGTTGAAAAAGGTTTGCATCGCGCTTTTCCGCGTTCCTCGCGTGGCATCCGATTCAAAGAGCTTTATCGGAGAGCCGAATCGCTTCATTTGTTGTCCGCGGTGCACAGCAGGCAACAGCACCGTTGAGATGTCCTAAAGAATCGTCATCAAGCACCTCAAACGCAGATATGCAATGTGCGAAAACATCAGATGGCGGCGCAGGGTCTCGTGGAACATCGCGGGTCTCTGAACACGCCCTTAACGTACGTTTTCTCGCCATTTCCGCAGACGCTGGAACTCGAGCATGATATCGGCGGCGCTTAGCGCGCTCATTTGATGCCTGCGAAACATCTCCATGAGAATTCTTGCATGATCTGGACTTGTTTGCGGCAGTGTGGCATAGAAGGTCTCGAAGTCTCGCTCGACAACGGCATGGTTCGGCGGCAAGGTCTCGTATACAGACATCAGATTTCCCGATGCTGTCAATGAGGAGCACAACATCGCATCACGGACCGTTTTCCCTTGCAGCGCATCATTCTCATGAAAGTACATGCCCATCCAGAGGCGCATATCACCGGTATCGATGCACTGGGTCTCATTCCAGATCGCCTCTGCGTATGGCGCGAGGTCGCGGACCAACGCCCGACTGAGAAGGACGCCGACCGGTCCAGAAGCGAAAATTCCCGCAGGGCCTTGGTTCGGAAGCTCGCGCGGTGCTCTGCCCTTTTCGAGGCAGGAGGTGCCGGCGTTATTCGCACCCCAGGGCGGGCCCATATAAACTCCGAACCCACTGTAGACGTAGTCATTGTAGGGCGATCTACCACTGGAAACCTCTGGGATCGCATACGAGCACAGATTATCGGGCAAAACGAATGTGTCAGGGTCAATAATCATGATAAAACGGACTTGCTGCCTCTGCTGCAGCACATTCCATGCGAGACCCAGCACCAACGGGTCATGGACGGGGAAACGTCCATAGAGCGGGTCCGCTCCAATACGCGGTTCGACAATCACCTGCGCCCCGAACTTGTCTCGAACAGGATCCCCAGACACAAAGAAGAGATCTTCCGGTGGGAAGAGCTGGCCCCAGGTGCTGAGGACGCTCTGCACGCGCTCGGGAAAATCGCTGCTCCGACTGCGAATAAAGAAGACGACTTCACCAGCGCAAGATGAGCGCATGGACAGGCCGTTGCCCGTCTGCGAAACGCTGTCCTGAGGTTGTTCAAAAGCATCAGAGGCATCTACGCCTCGGGCTTGCGACTCCTGGCGGCTTGCAGCCGGTGACGCGAACCTAGCGCCACGCTGCAACCACATCAAGACGCCAAAAAGCACAAGAGTCAGCGCCGAAGTGACAACAGCACAAGGCCTTGAACGGAAAGAGCGCGTCCTGTTTTTCACCATAGACCCGGCATCCTTCCGTAGGAACAAAGGAAGCGCTGCATTTGAAAAAACCTTCATTCCTGCCCGCAAACGTTCAAGCTGCAAGTTGAACAGAAAACAGTTGCATGCGACGTGACGCATGCGTGCCGAATTCCCGCCATCGGATGCGTGCGTCGCGCCAACGCACGCGTAAGCCGCGCGGCCGCGTCGCAGCGCGTTCTATGATCGATTTGTTGCGCGCATTGCCCAGACACGCATGCAAATGCGAAATCTATGGACTTATTGGACGTCAAGGTGCACGGAACGATGATGCTCGGACGTTGGAGTGCGGCTCGATGAACCGGTGCGATCAGCGAAATCAGGTTTCGCATGGAGAGAATCTGCGTGAAAACTCAAGCATATAGAATCGAGGAGCCGGTGCGAGCATCTTTGGGGGTGCTGTCTTTCGTTCCGACCGCAAACATCAAATCTGTTCGATTCATCGTGCATGACCTCTTCGAAAAAGCCTTGTCTGCTGATATCCGAACGCCACCGACGGATAGCGGTGGCTTCCTTGACGGTCGCGTGCCAAACAGTGGAGCGCTGGCTCCCGAGAAGCAACCATAGGCGTTGCATGGACGGATTGGGTCTGACAGACGTCTGGTGACACTCGTTTCGCAATGGAGATATCGGGTCTCTGTCGCCGATTACTCACCACATTCGATGCAGGCACCGTGGCATAGCGCTTTCGATGAACGACCGCGCCTATGCTTCTGTGAACAAGCCCCGTATGGGCGCGCATGCCATGCACGGTGCCTCTAGAGCTACACAGCCCAGCTAACGAAGCATCGCGTGCTCCACAGCGCGTTTCGTAGCCTGTTTCCAGAGCAACTCCGGACACAGACCTATTGTAGGGCAACTACATGACATCGCTATCGCGGAAGCCTGCCTGCTGGGGAACGCGACGGAAACTGCCCCGTGCCCTGCCCGAGTCCAAACGTCGTGCAACAAAACTCTTTTATATTTCACTACTTCGCCGGTAATATTCTTCATCAAAGTGATGCAAACGGACGTATCCATCTTCACCACCGGAGGCAAAGCCACGTCCATCCGGTGTAAAAGAGAGACAATTGATGGGGCCAAAGTGGCCCTTCACCGAGAAAATCTCTTCCCCATAAATCAAATGAAGGAACGTTGCTGCAAATTTGCCAGCTTTGCCAGCAGTAGTCGTTACTTGGCTCGCTTCCTGGCCACCGCCGACGACTGCGTGGGGCATGAGCGGCGACAAGTCCACCGCATTGAGCGGCCGGTCCAGAACGAATGACCTGATCTCCTGCATGGCGTGGGTATCCCAGAGAACCGCTGTCCCGTCTGCAGATCCCGTCAAAAACATCTGATGATCCTTGCTGAACTTGATATCGGTGATTGCTTTCTTGTGACGCTTGGCACGATCGACTTCCTTGCCGGTTTCGACATCCCATTTGCGGACTGTGCCGTCCTCCGAGACCGAGAGCATATACTCGGCCGTGTTGTACCAAACGACTCCAGTTATGGTCGCCGTATGCCCACGAAGCACCAGGAACGGTTCCGTCTCTTGTTCCTGCCAGTTACCGTCTGACTTTAGACGAAAGAGGTGGATGCAGGACTCCTGGCCCAGGAGCTTGGAGTTCGCGAGGTGCATCAAACGGCAGCCGGGCGCCACACCCACCGATCTCACCGAAGATCGTAGCGACCAACGAAAAAGCTCTCGTCCCGTCTGGACGTCCCAGAGGCGCGCAGTGTTATCGGCAGAGCCGGTTAGAAGACGCGTCGAGTCCCAGAAAACGTCGCACGACCAAACAGCACCCGTGTGGCCGTCGTACGTGCCGAGACGCTCGCCGGTGGAGGCCCACCATACCGTTGGGCGCGTATCTTTCGCGGTTGTAAAGAGCAGGTCCCCTTCAGGATTGAACTTGAGCTGGGTCAGCGGGCGCTCATGCCCTTTCAAAAGCAGCGGCCGCATAGCACGTGGCAAGCTTCACAAGCGGTAACCGCTTTCCTTGTTAATCGTACACCAGCCGCACGTACAACCCCCAAAGGATCTGTTGCGGATATGTCTTCCCTAGTGTTTCGCCAGCACAAGCGCTGAATACCCCGTAACACTGGTGTGCAAGCAACGTCAGTTTGCAACAACTCCAATAGCTCGTCGACACTTCTCCACAGCCGTCGCTGGGGTGTGTGTTCCGCAGCGTCGCGGCGGGCGTCCGGCCTGCCCGCCGTACCGTCAAACATCGGACGGCGGTGTCAGGTGTTCGAGTATATTCTCGGTGTTGTAGAACTTACGGGTGTAATGAAGCGTCGACGAACAGAGGTATCCACTGAGGACTACATAGGCAGTGGGAAAGTCTACGTAGTGCTTGAAGGGGCCTGTCTTGAAGCCGCTCGGGTCGATAAAGGAAAGCGGCGCCAAGGTGCCGCGGAGCCGCTTGTGCTGCTCTCGGGCGAGGAGCACGCCACCTTCATTACCCGATCATTGGGGAGCGATCCCGCGAAATATCGCCCAGACATCACACATCATTGTCTGCTGAATCTGCTGGACTCTCCTCTGAACAAAGCGGGTCGGTTGCGTGTGTTCATACACACGGAAAAGAACGTTCTCATCGAAGTGCACCCTAGAGTGCGGTTACCGCGCACGTTTCGTCGCTTTAGTGGACTTGTTGCGCAGCTGCTAGAGAAACGTCGAATTTTGGCGACGAACTCAAATGAAATACTGATGAGAGTGGTGCCGAATCCCATTGCGAAACATCTCCCCGTGGGATGCCGTAAAATCCTCCTCACGGATACGAGCGAAAAACTTCGAGATATTCGTGAACTTGCTGTTCATGATATAGCCAATGATGAGGATGTGGCTTTTGCTATTGGTGCGATCAGCCACGGGGATATTGCTCCCGACTGGACCGAGGAGCACATGGCCATTAGCGCATATGCATGTTCTGCCGCAACCATTTGCAGTCGCGTTTGCCATGCGTTTGAAGGAAGGTACGGAATCCTCTGATCCCTACGACCGTTGCACGGTCTTGTGGGTGCTCGAGCGCCGGGCCTTGCTGCGGGCTGCCCGGTGGAAACGCGGCGTCTTGGCGGTTCACTGAGCAGTGCTCGCGCCTGCGCTAGCAACCGCGGCTCACATGTTGCATGGTGCCGGATCAATCCATTGTATCGGGCATCCCGGATGCACGACGGGTATCGGTATTCAGGGGAGCGAGCTCTGCTTCGCCCGCGGATCTCGCATGCTACCATCCACGAATGAGACGCCCATCCGGTGCTGCTGGTTCGTTGAAAGGCTGCCTCTAGTGTTGCCTGCAATTACTGAAAAAGTCGTGCGCGGCGTGACTCGCGAAACAGGCCGACCTGGTCACCAGACTGGACAGGATTGCCGTTAGCGTCCGTGCGCTTTACATTACATGAAGCATCACTGGCATACATTTGCGCGGATTCAATAGACGTAGCAACACTGCCGAGTTCCTCCACGGTGTTTTCGGCATGCGGGTTGCGCGGTCGCCGAAGCAGTCTCAGACTTATTAGGGATCAGACGCGAAGCAGCTTCATCCTAGGGACAAAGTCAGGGAATCTACGCAGATGCCGTTGGATGCTCGAGTAATGCAACAAGCCGGACACCGCACCGCATGACGATTGTTGACGCTTCTAGGTTCCATGGACCTCGAGTGCATGTTCCCGTGAAGCTTAGATGGCTGATCGATCTGAAACGGTGCTGGTGTTTTACCTAGTGCGGACGCTTGCCACAATGCCGAGCCAACATGCACGATCACCACAAGGAGACAGAACGGCTCTGCGTTATCTTCTTGACGATATGCTCGAAGCAAAGCAGGTGATCTTGTCAATGAGATTGTCGTCGCTACGACAATGGCACCGCATGCCGTGAAACAGAATCCTCAGGCGTATGAGATGTGATGAGCACCTGCTCCGCTCGTAGTTGATAGCGTTAACTTTTCTGCTTTAGAAAGTCGCATTAGAGTGCTAGACGACTGTTTTGGTGGCTTCCATGGGTCTCGTGCGACGGTTCCGTCGCAGAACCCGAGCTATTGGCTGTACTCCAGCAATCCTGATTGTGTCAGTCAGTTGCATCTGCGTGTCCCGAAGTAAATTTCAATGACCAATTGGGACTTTTGCATTCGCAAACAATTTCATTCTACAGTTTCACGATCCCCAAGTTGTGTCATCGACTGATCTGCATGGAAGGCCTGCGAGGAGCAGCCGATTTGCAGCGTCGGCTGCTTCTCGCAAACCTGTTGCTGCTTCGGGTACTGCTTCTGCACTGCCAATCTGCGAGTCTATTGTTACAGTGGCTTCTACTGACACTGCTCCTGCAGTTCGACTCCGCTCGACACCCCGGTACTGGTACTGGCGCTTCTGGTGCTGCGGCTGAACGCCACAAAGCGACCCCTGGGCTATCGGGCACGTCATGAGTGCCGCAGCCTCGTACAAGGTTCTCGTTGCTGGTGCCACTGGAGCCTGTGGCCAAGCTATCGTTCGTGAGCTGGTGGCAACTCCGCGGTGCGAAGAAGTCATTGCCCTTTGCCGTCGCGCAAATGTTCGCCTCCCGTTCGCAGACGCTGGTAAAGTGCGCGTGATCGTTCTGGAGGACTTTGGGGAACTAACATTAACGCCTGCGGAACGGCGCTCGAAGGACTGTCCGCTATGGAGTCTTTCCGGCGTTGGCGCTGCCGTGTGTGCGCTGGGAACCACAATGAAAGACGCTGGGGGGTCAAAAGAGGTTTTCCAACGGGTCGATCACGACTATATTTGTGGTTTCGTAAGAACAGCTTTAGCTTGCGGAGCTCGGAAAATTGCACTAATATCCGCATCTGGTGCTTCAGAGCGATCTCTCTTCTTCTACATGCGGGTCAAAGGCGAGACGGAGAAACATGTCCATGCGCTGTGTGCAGAATACGGAGCGGCCCTGCATATCCTTAGGCCTGGCATGCTGCTGACGCCGCCTCGAACGAGCGGTGCGAGCAGACCAGCAGAACGCGCTGCCCAGCAGCTTGTGAAAACACTTCGTTTGTCCATGGGGGGCATACTCGCAGTCTCCGTCGAGCACGTTGCCAAGACGGTGCGCATGGCACTGGAAACAGCACCCGAGGAGCTCCTCCAGCGATTCTCATCGCTGGAGGAGCAGGCGAGTCAGACGTGGGTTTATCCATCGCGAACGATTTTCCGTATCGGTGTCGAGGCCGGGTAAGCGCTGCGGCAGGGCATGTTAATGTTTCTCGGGGTTGGGGGGCGGGGGCGGGGTGGGGGATCACTACCGCCTGCCTTGCAGGTATGCAGAGATGTTATTTCACAAAAAGACCACTGTTCATGCCCTCTGCCTCCTTTGAAAGTCTATGGATGTATACATGGACGTACGTGCGTATATTCAGGCGTGCATGTTTATGCTCGGACGAATGAGCGCGCCTGCGCATATAGATATACTCGTACATGTGCTTGCAAGGGTGCGTCTGCTATAACGAAGGATTTGCCTTTCGATATCTGCATCTGGAGTCGCGGCGATTGTTCGTGCACGTACCTGGATGTAGCTAGTATCACCCATGGACACCAGATCGGGTAAAATCATTCCGCGGATCCCAGGATGGAATCTGCGTTCCAAAGTTTCAAGCGCGATCACGAGCTGGTGTACCGGGCACTGGAGCATTGATCGAGCGCCGACTTGATCCGGGTACGCTGCACTGGGGTTGGTCGGGTCCTGCATCCTGGGCTAATGCCCGAGGTCTACTTCCTGGTCATCACCAGAGGCTGTGCATCTGGGAGAATCTAGTTCGCTACATCGATACGCTGTTGCTCAAGAACAGCGATCGAGAGAAGGCACTTGCTGGCGTCCACACGAGACGCCCTATTATAGGAGCAGCGATTTTTGGAGCACATATATTTGCATGCCCTTTTGTTTATGATTGTTTTTCTCTTAGTTGTTCGACAGCAGGAATGTATCCTGCAGATTGGAGAAAGGTGGTGGAAACATGTTACACTGTCACTATGAGCGTGTAAAAAACGTCCCTACTTGTAGATGTCCGTAAGTCTGCTTTCATCACGCGGATCGACCATATTTCTCGTCGTCCATATCCTTCTCATCGTGCATCCGAAACAGAGTTCATTGAACTCTTTCTACGGGACTGTTTCCTCTTGTCTATTCATTTCACTACAAGCGACCTCTGAGAAATCCTACCAAAGGAACCATAGGATCTGAATTGTCCGCCCCGCTGATACGAAAGGTGATAACCGGACACCGATGGACAAAGAAACCGGTATGCTTCAATGTGAGACTATCGCGCGCAGACCCACTTACTCTCTATATTGTATTGAAATGCGAACACTGTTACAGTTTGAACGGGTCGTAGTCTCAAACGGTGAGACTTGTTTCGGGACAAATAACAGACCTGCGTATAGGAACTCATAGAGGGCAAAAATGCTGTTCGGAAAGACGAGACAAACAAATATCGCAACAGTACCTGCCCAGACGACGAGTCCGTTGCGTGGTCGCCTGAACGCCGCCAAAGCGACGAGTGCGTTAAGCACCCTAACCTCCGTCGAAACACTCTTCGTGGCTCCTCATTTCCAAACAAACATGTCCTGTGTTTAGACACCGCCGTTTTCCACCACTCAAAAACCGTCGAGGAGAACGCAGCTGTGACTAGCGCGGAGCTTCTCTTCGTGCCGTTCTGTTCTGTCCGGTGCAATCCAGTCGAAGTCGTCATTTCTGTTGTGAAACGTTTTCACTGCGATCACGGTTCAATAGCAGAGTCGCTCGCATCCGCGGTACCGAAACGTACAGAATACCGTGGTGGATCACGTAGCTTCTTATTAGAGGGATCCTGGTTTCGCCTCTCTCTCTCTCTATGACGCACCTCGTCAAGCAAGTTTAAGCAGGAATGCTGGCGACAGGGCAGCCAGCTGTCCACATTGCTCCGGAATTTGTCGACGAAACCCATATGCAACCACACAACGGATACACGGTACAGAAGATGCAATACTTCCGTATCGTTGCACCTGTCATTTGCACACGCATGTGTTAGAATCCTGTGACGAGTCGCAGTGGCATCTCGGCGACCTGGGCTCTACAGCGCATACGTTAAGGAAACTTCAAACCAAAATCAGAAACCATACACACGTTAATCTCGAGCGCTTCACGAGAGGTACCCTCAGGGACGTTATACGCCAAAAAAAAAGCCTCACTGTTCTGGCTCAGAAAAAAAATACGAGTGACGGATGGGATTCTTCGCGAGTCAATGCAGCCAATTCATGAGCTCCTAGCAGCAGAAAAGAAACCGCTTGGTGGCGAGTTCGGAAGCGGGTTAGCAACGCGTGCGAGCGTCGCTCCGGATCGCCCAGGCTCATGTCGTTGCTCTGAGCCTCGCACTGGCGGACGCGTTTCCAGGAGGATAGTTGGAATACGATGCCTGCCTGCCTTGCACCTTTTTCAGCGACGTATTGTGCTGAACAGAGCACGCCACTGCTAAAGCGGATTCCCTGCTCGTGTGCGAGCGCGCTAGCCTCTCCAAACGATTATTCGATTTGCGTCCTGTATACTAGATAAATGCCCATGGACGTGCATGTAAAGAAAACAAAAAATTTTTCGATTATTTGGTAAATTAATCTCCGCCCGCAGACGCCTCCCAGTGTATTTATATCCGGCCGCCTGCTATCAGCTTCAGCGTCTCCTTGTACACTTCGAGCCTGAGATGCTGCCCTGCAAAATTACATTGCGTAAGCACCTCGGGTATCGTCTTCAGCGTCGCAGATCTCCTAATATTGAAAGTAGCGTTCATGTCTCGGATGGAAAGCTCTTTGCATTTCTTGCCGCTGGTTGGATTCGCCAATGCAAGGATTCCAGGAACTCGCGCCTTCTGTACCATTTGGTGCTCTGTTGGCTCTCCGTGATTTTCGATCGCCGAAGCGGTCCGCTGCCTTCCCTCTATATCGGCCTCCGGACGTGTACATCTCAGTTCATCCCTTATATTTTTTGAAAATGAATGCACCTGTCTCTGCACCCAGGTGAGGACGCTCTCTGCGGTGGATGGACTCGCGGAAGAACAACGGCATATGGCCTGGTGTGTCACCGCGTGCTGAACACTCCAGCGATTCGCCCAATGAAGCGATCATACCGTATCAAGATGGAGAACGCTCTTTCACTGGGCCTGGATTACGGAGCGTACAGTGGAATGAAAAGCTGCTCTATTCCCGTTTGAATCGGCAAAAGCGTGAACGCAAGAAGAATGGTCAAACGCCAGGTTGTAACATAGAAGGACGTCATCGAACGTCCGGAAAAGTCTTCAAGAATTCGACAAAGCTGTTCGTGTCGTTGTACGAGCTTTCTCCTCGAGCGAATCTGAGGCCGCAGAGTGAATCCACTGCAACTCGAACTGATCGTGATATCCTCGTTCTCATCTAAATCGAATTTACATACAATGGGCGCCCTGTTCCGCGAATGCCGGCATACGCTCCGACCATATCTTCGAAAGGAAGTCTCACCCACAGAAAAAAAAACAAATCAAAGTCACTGTGCTTCATACCTATAGCGACGCTCCAGGAAGGCTGTCGTTGCGATTTCGGTGCAAGATGGCCATGCATAATCTAGGACTTTTTCGCGACTGTATCCCGGTGTCTTCACGACCACACGAACATGCTGTTGAGGAACAGGGACGTCCGTGGCGACTACATTTGACGGTTTTGCTTTCCCTAGGGTGATCAACCGGTCATTCTCTACTGTTGACCGCAACCACTCTTTGAATATACCTGTTTTTGGCACGGAACACATCTACTTGTTCCTTTTGATGTTCCGCAACCATCAGAGTACTTCATTATGACTGAAGTGAAGGAGGATTGCAGTCCACCTCGCACTGTCCAGGACAAGACGTATCCTACAGGCAATTCGTCGACGATCTATACAGCGCATTGCATCGAGATTTCGATCTCCTGCTATACATCGCATCAGGGGCGAAACAAAACTGAGCTGAAAGCTCACGATGTCGCCGTAGGCACATGGGTATTGTGCTGGATAGCCTTCTCAGAACGCTTCGACTTGTCTCTACTAGCAGTCCTACTTCACTCCAACGTCGCGGAGTAGAGAATCGACGGAGCTCGCCCAACGTCTCTCGTCTGTAAGGATGAAAACGAAAGAAATTCACAGCGTCGATAGCGACCGAGTGAACATCCGTGTGGAAGCACTCCACGGAAACCTGGCGCGAGTCGAGTAACGAAGCTCACGGTCGATCGCTCAAGATAGGTGAAGAGCTAGACGATCTAGTGTGCGTGGTTTCCGTATTCAAACACATCACCGCCGTCAGTGCGCTTCTAAATTAAGAGGGCGGAGCCGACGGCCTTAATGGAAAGCGGATGGAGGTACCCACGTTTTCTAGGCATCGGTATGATCGAGAGTCGGGCATGCTGGACGCCAGGATGCATGCAAACGTTTAGAATGGTGGCGTCCGCGCGCTTCTCTGCACTCGGAGTACCCAATCCACTGAAGAGGATGCTTTCTACGCTTCATGTAGAGAGTACACAAACGTCCTAATGGATCGAGCAAACAATCTCGATTACGAGTACTCGAGACCGCGCTGGGATCACCGACGGTTTCGTTTGTATAAAGACGGGATGCCTGCATTCGCCAACTTGTTCAAGGATTTTCAAGAACAAACACCTGACCAGTCTCGTCGTTCGCGAGTACCCCACGATGCTGAGCGTTTCATGGCGCGTCAGGGCTGCGGTCTTGCCTCGTCGACGAGCGCGGACAACGCAAGCAGGAATCGATTCTGCACGATTCCCATCAATGCACTCAGGACGGCAGGTACGTATCATACGCATAGCTGGACGACGAAACCAATCGAGAAGAACAGTGTGAAACAGAGTCGTATACACAAGGTCAAGTACGGTGCGCTGATCGAACATCACATGATTAGGTCATCGAATCTGAGACACTTGGTTTGGTGAAGCTCAACCAGCAACCATACGCCCAAGCGCTCTCTCAAGCGAGACTCGAATGCCCCTATCAGCGTCGGGAAAAATGTCTCGAGCTTCCCGTGCGTACGTCGTCTTTGAATCAAGTGAACTTTCGAAGGAATCGTTTCATACTCAGTGTGGCTATTTCGCTGAAGCACGGCATAATACGGATGCAAAACCATCAGTTCCCATGGAACGGGACATGGGATCCTCGCCAGGAGCGAGGCGCTCGCATGGGGTGTTTCAGCCATCCAGCAGGGCTGGAACGGATTCTCTATGCACACCGCGAACGATTTCCCTTCGAAAAGCGTAGACGATACTAGTGCTCCACGATTCAATATTTCAGAGTCTATTGCCGTGATCCAAGCGATCAAGGCTGCTCCAAAATATCCATACATCAGATGCATTCCCTAAGCATCCGCCAGGTCGACAGCGATCGTATCTCCGCACGCTGGCCTTGGCAATCGTCAGAGTCGGACGTCGCGGATGTCAGCAGCGCAAACGGATGCACCAGCATCGAGGTAAAGTTGATGTGCCATTGCAACGCTGCAGAATCGATATTCTGGAGATCAAAACGCCCGGGTCTCAGTCTGATACTTCGTACAAGAAACGCAGCGGATCCAGGACGGCGAGTCTCAGAAAGGATCAGCTGAGGTTTGCTTCATCGAACCCCAGTGCTATCGAGATGCATCCGACGCTTCCGAGCGTGCACTCTATCGAGGACGTATGACGAGGACGTCACTATCCAAACCATTTTGGGTTGCCCAAGTTACCGCAGCCGTCACGAGCCGTACGTGCCCCTGAAACCCTGAGTACATCCGCTTCGAATTCGATTCAGAGATGACGATGAGCATCTTGGGGATCGTTCCATTCCTGGATGCTGTGCCTTCAACATCCAATCATCCAATGGGTTCCAGTGCATGCACACGTTGTATTGACCCGAATTCGAAAAGGAGGAAATCCATCTCCATGCTCCAGAGGAAAACGTGACGCCCCCGATATGTTCTTCGCGCTTACGCGTCTCTAGTCGTTAAGCAGGTGCGAGCAAGTGCTGCACGAGAGCATCCTCCAGTGCAGCTGGTGAAACGCCGCGGCATCGTGAACGTTGCGCTTGGAACGCCCTTCGCAGAATGCAAGGCATCATCAGGCACGAACGCGATGTACCGAGAGCGATTCACTGTCCGAGGATTCGTGCATTCGCATGCACAGCGCAATATTCGTCTCCACTAAGAGCTCTACAAGTATGATGCGGGGAAAGACGGCGCCATGTACGAGACGACGGAGTCGCGTACAGTGCTGGTTTTCTGTTCCTCGCTCCATACAATGCCGGTGCTGCGAGAGAACGATTCATCCGTAGATGCATCGGAGTCGCGTACAGTGCTGGTTTTCTGTTCCCCGCTCCATACAATGCCGGTGCTGCGAGAGAACGATTCATCCGTAGATGCATCAGAGTCGGGTACACTTCGAGTATCGACAGCACTCGCCCGTCTGGCATCCAGACGCTGGGGTTCCGTCACGGCGGCGGCACGCCGTTCGACTCAGCTTGAACACCATCACAGGATGAAATGCCGGTGCTCTTTCCATCTCGTTCTGCTTGCGAGTCTGTTACTCGCCGACGTTTCCCTGATGCTGAGTGATCAGCCACGGGCTCTGCATGAATTCGTGGCTCCCCGAAGGCCCGTTTCTCCTGGACTGCGAGGCGCGGGATACACGCGTGAATGTTGAGGCGCGGCGACGAGAGATGGTGCAGCTCCCGAGGCACTGCACCGCAGCAGCACAGCTTTCCCAGAATATGCACGTAAATAATGACATCCGGTTCGGTGAGATCCACTCGAGCGAGGCCCCGCTCAATCAGTGGCACCGCATGACGGCAGATAACGTCGATAAAGTCGTGCGCTTGCACTCGATCATTATTCCTGGACCTGAAGCGTACCGCAAAGCGACACGGCTTCGTATGCGTACCGCTCATCGGTGCCTGCAACCATGCGCTTACATGATCCGCCAAAGCGAGTGCCGCGTGACGAGTATAGGCTTTGCAAACAACATCTATGGGGAAAAAGCTCTCACAGGACGGTACAGCTACATAACCCTGCTTTCGCGTTTGTTCAAAGAGCAGTTTCACCAGTTCCACTGGTCTGGGTGCCTGCTCCAACTCTATGCGTACAAAAAACGTATTCCGCACGCCGGTGTCGTGGACTTTGACCCACGATGCAGCCTGCGGCGTCGCTTGCTTGGGACTCAGAGTCGATGCGGTGTCAGCGGTGCCGCTGTCGTTCGCAGTCTGGACGCCCAGCAGTCGGCTATCGTCGTGAACGCCCTGAGCACCAGCAAATTCACATACAGTGTTCTCAGAGCAGAGTTCAGCAAAGCTCTCGAGTGCTTCACGACAAGCCCTGGAAACGCGTCCCGTTGCTGTGGTAACCAGAACGCCAGTGAACCCCGGTTCCACCGGCGAAACCATGCAAACGGTACGACGTCGTCCGTCCGTTCGTCTGTTCGAAACCTTTTCAGCGAACACTGATTCGGCAACCGAAGCTTTTCACTTGTCCGCAGAAAAACCTTCCGATGTTCGAGAGGAGAGAACAAGTATCGTCGACACGCATGGTAGATTTGCATAGAACAGGAAACTAGAGGCCTCTGTTTCTGGCTTTAGATTTTTCTCGTGCTACTTTGAGATGTACCGCATCGACATTCAAAGTGCAGTCATAGGGGATTCAGGATTCATAAGTAGTTCTAGGATCATCAGTGGTTCATTCGGAATGGCTTGTTCGGCGCTTTGCTGTTCGAGTTGTTTGCGACACCCAAGACTCCAGTACCGTAAAATAACCGATATCATGAACCAGTTCATACGTACAAGCCGATATTCTTATCCTTTCTTGTGCATCGTTCGCTGAATGCATTCATTCTTCAAGATTTCGATCTTTCTACTTCAGGGTTACTCGTGGGCACTGCAAATCGTCCAAGTGGATTGACGAGCAAACGTACTCGACGTCGTCGGTTGACGACTTTTTCACGAGCCCAAACCGAAGGTCACGGATCTTCTCACGCAATCGAACACTCGATTCCGATCGAAATTTCAATCCTACGCCCTCTCTGACTATCGACGGAGCAACACTCGACAGCAGCATGATAACTCACATGGGATATGCTCGCGAAGGCTCCCGTCTCTTATTTTTTTTGCATGGAGAAGGGTATTGCACGCGACCTTCCTTCATACAAGTGATCGCTCGCAGTAGGGCGTGCGTCACAGCTTGGTACAAAGGGAGCGTAGACGCATCAGAAGCTCCCGACTCGTTCTCCAACCTGGATTTCGCTTCAAGTGCTTGATTCATCATGGGACGCTCTGCATTCCACCGATACACGATCCCATCGAACAGCGTACGCTTGCACGTTTATTGAGTAGAGTGCTCGCCAGCCTGATCGCAGAGAAGAAGCTGTTGATCGTGGCGCCCGAGACTGGGCGCGAAAACCGCACAACGCATCGCTGGGCGACTTGTGTGTACCGTCGAGAACATGTACCGAGCAATCGTGCAAGCGTTGACGCGCCACAGGCCAGCATTCGGGGAGACGGGTGCGCTCGACATACGCGAACCGCTGTGCAGAGCCAAGAGGCACAGCTGCCAGGCGTGTACCGAGGCAGTACGCAAAGAACAGGAACATGGCAAGCGAATCATAGATCGCAACTTCCGCCTGAGCATGGAATGCGTCGATTACTTCCGAAAGCGCCCAAACCAGGACTCTATCGCTGTCATCAGTAACTGCCGATTGCCGACAACAGAGCTGGGAGTATAGGCGGCATCGGCATACGTAAGGCAGAGCATAAGAGATAGGCAAAGGACGCGATCGCAGAACAAACCCCAAAGGCAGGTATCGAGCACAATGGTACGCGTCCCAAACATTGAGGTGCACGCCCGAGACAGAGCACCTACGTCATATCACAGGTTTGCCTGGTATCTCAGTTTCTCTCTCTATCTGTCTGTGTGTGTGTGTGGTGGATTCATACCCACCGCTCATACGAATACAGTCAAAGGCGCCGTCATTTTGAATCACGTTTGCCCAAGCAGACGCGCCATAAAAGTCATCGAAGCCAAGTGCTATTTCGTCCACGGGTCTGGCACGCATTTCGGCTCCAGAAATGACCGCCAGGCCTTAGTACAGCGGGCCAGGTTCATCGCAAGTCCTCATCTACGAGGAAAATGCGTCTCATTTACGCGTCGCTCGCGAGGATGCCGCCTTGGAACGGCGCTTCCGCGCTCGCCACAGCAGTCGAATCGGTGTACCGGTAAATCCAAGCGCTTCACGGAACTTGCGCTCTAGATATCGCTTGTAAGTGTCCGGGAAGAGTTCAGGATCGTTCACAAAGAGGGCCAGGGTCGGTGGCTGCACCGCAACCTGTGTGCAGTAGTATATTTTGCCACCCTGGCCTCGACGATTCGTCGGCGGTGCTTGCCATTGCACCGCTTCCAAGAGAACCTCGTTGAGCACCGCCGTTGACACGCGTCGCGCGTGCTGTGCCGCTGCAGCGTCCACCAGAGCCAAGATACGTGGAATACGTTGTCCGGTCTTTGCGCTCACGAAAATCATATCCGCCCAGTGGATCACTGGCAATCGCTCCCGCACCCGCAGTTGTGCCTCGTTATGGAGACGATTATCCTTGCGACCGAGAGCGTCCCACTTGTTCCCAACGATGACGCAGGCCTTGCCCTCGTCTACGATACGCTCCGCCAGCTCCGCGTCCTGATCCGTGATACCCTCTTCCATATCAAGGACCAAAAGAACCACGTCTGCACGACGAATCGCTTTGAATGCTCGATTGATCATAAAAAACTCCGTGCCGTACTCCACGTTCTTCTTCCGTCGAATGCCTGCCGTATCGATGAGCAGGTAGCAGGTCTCTCTTCCGGTGCGAGGGTCGCGTTGGATGAGGAGCTCATCGATCGCGTCTCGCGTGGTGCCGGGTACGGCGCTCACAATGACCCGCTCTTCCCCGAGGAGCGCGTTGAGCAGACTCGATTTCCCGACGTTTGGTCGACCAATGATGGCGACACGCCGCATACCAGACTCTTGTGACAATAGCGCCTCCTCCTGATCATCGCCATGATTGGGTAAATAGTAACAGACTTCATCGAGCAATTCTGCGACACCGCTGCCGTGAATACTGCTGATAGCCAGCGGCTGGCCCAGTCCCAGCTCCCAAAACTCAGCAGCTTGGGCCTCGCCCATCGTTTGGCTCTCACACTTATTGACCGCAACAACGATTGGAATACGTCGACCAAGGATGCCCCGCGCATCGCAAGTCTTGCGAAGGAAAACAGCGATATCCTGGTCGAGGGTGGTAACGCCCTGCTGGCCGTCGACGACAAGAACGACAACATCCGCCTCACGTAGAGCTATGAGCGCTTGCTGGCGAATTTGCGGAATAAAAACGTCTCCAGGAGTGTCTTCGAAAACGAGACCGCCGGTATCGACGACACGAAAGTGTCTTCCGCTCCAGTTCGCTAACTGGTACGTGCGGTCTCGGGTAACACCCGGTGTATCCTCTACGACAGCACCAGTGCGAAAGGTACCGCTGATGCGGTTCACGAGCATAGACTTGCCTACGTTTGGGCGTCCAATGACAGCAACCAGCGGTAAAGAGCTTTTTCGGTAAACTCCAGAGGTTGCTGCGGAGCGCTCGGCAGCTGCAGGGCTCGTTTCATCACGAAGGCCAGTTTCTGCGCTTGTAACAGCCTCGCCTCGAATCGACAAGTCCTCAGTAACACCGTCAGAGGCAGTCCGATTTTCGGAGAGACCAGCATCACTGGAAGGTTCCGTATCCGTCTCAGGTGAGGTGGCTTGTGCATCGTTCCTCAGTGCAGAGGCAGCCGCCGGATCGTCAGAGCTTTTCGGCACAAGCTCTTGTCGACTGGAAGGCAAGTTTGACTCCTTGTGTGTGCTGCTAGCCTTCAGACGCGCGGTTGCAACTCTGGAAGGAACCCCGTCGGGTTCCAGACGCAGCGAGGCGACGCCATAGTGATGGCGTGCTTGTGGAGAGCCTCTGGGCTTGCGCGAAAAGCGTTCAAAGCGCAGGGGTGCCACCAGCCTCACACCGTCACCACTACAAACAAAAGACGATGAGCCTGCAGCGCTTTGGTTAGAGTCATGTCGCAGCATCGGCAAAGATGGAAGACGCGTGTACCTATCAGAAACGAACTTGTGCGTCCAAAACATCCAGTCGCTCGGGCAACAACTAAACGGAAAACCTGATTGTTCTGGATGCGGTCGACGCCGCAGTGTTCGCGGCACCTTCGTAGCAACAAGGCTCTCGTCTTGACGTTCTTGAATGGGAGACTCGCATGGAACTGACAAGGTATTGCAGGTGCGGGAAAGGAGGTATTTGGCATATAAGACTGGAGCCGGGTCTCGTTTTGCTTTGTATGGGATGTGTAGAGATGAGCAGTACAAGCTTGATATGCTGTGCAGGCTACACAATCCCTAATATCTACATATGAAAGGTTCGTATTTCTCTGCAGTTTCTCATCTCTCTGCACGTGAACATTTACTGTCATGCTAGGTCTACAGTTCTTGGAGTCTCAGCAACATGAATACGGCAGATGAATGCCTGGAGAGCTGAGAGCGCGGCTCAACGTCTAGTGTCAGTGACGGACGCAGCGGTTGAGCGCGTTGTCCCGGTATCGACGGTATGGTGTACGCTTTTCGCAGGCGTTGATGTGCGTCGTAAAGCAGTGCGCAGAACTTGTTGAAAAACATATGCCCTGATACACACGAACACACATAGACGGACGCAGATACTGGTGGAGTCGCACCGAGCGTTGCACGAACGCGTTCACGCGTCAACTACAATGACCTCACAACAGTGATCCATTTTTCTATGGTATACACTCGAAAAGTCTAACCGGGGTTCTTCGCATACGCAGTTGTAATGAAACCCGCACGCAAGGCAATGGCTGCCACTCTGCTCCGGTCCAAACGCTTCAGCGCCACGACCAGATAACCGGACTTGCGCTTTGGGCAACAGGCTCGCTGAAGCGATCCTCCATGTGGCAAGCCTACCATAAACCATTATTGCGATGTTGTATGCACCCTGTTGCCGACACCGGACGCATAAAAGCCAACTTGGTCACACTGTAGCAGGCGTCTGCTCGAGGTCTATATCCCGTTGCTCCCGGGAATCCAGAGTAGATCGCCTTTCGATGCACGCTAGCGGAAGCGCTGGATTGATCTCTTTTCTACGGCTCTCAAGATTGCAGCACAAAATTGATTCAAGTACAGCATACGTGCTCTCAGCGACTTCGTTTACCATCGAAAGTACGCCGTAACAAAACTTGGCGTGACAGGCGAATCGAAATGATGCAACAGGTACTCCACAGCAGCGGCTTTGATCTCGCATTTGTTCTGCAGCACAATCGATGCAGCGCTTTCGGCGTCCGCAGGTATGCCGAAGAACTCTCGCGCATAGATACCACCGGCAACCAGTACCGTGTCCATGCCAGCGTTGTGTCCGCCCAAGATGTCGTGCAAGAGCGAATCTCCTATCGCCAAGAGTCGTGTACTAGCTCCGGTCTTGTCCTCCGTCACGCTTTTCGCTCTTGTCGCAGTGGATTGGTGAACCATGGTTGGCGGTTTGCGCCAGACTGGCTCCAGTCCGAGAATACGATGCACTGTCTCATAGACTGGCAGCTCGGGTTTCCCGAATCGAAGGACGAGCTGCCGAATGGTCTCAGCGTCGACGTCTTCATCAGCGAGCATTTTCTCATACGCCTGGGCCAGTGATCCAGGCATCACGTAGTTCACGCCTCCAACCACGGTTACGAGGTCCGGATTACTACACCACAGCGGGAGCTGGCGCCTTGCGCACTCGCGGAGGAGGCTAACCAGTGTCGCATAGGGCAGCGGTGCAACTGTCTGGCCGTCTTCTTGCGTAACGCCCTCGGTCCCGTGGGTCACCACCAGCTCCGCGTCCTCCACCCGCATACCGACTGGTTTGTAGTCGTATGTAAGATTATCCGGCTTTCGGGAGGGCAAAGTTGCGCGGCCGCGATCCGTCCAGTTCGTGTGGAAGACTCGGGTAGCTGGCGGCTCTTCGCGCTGGCGGTTCCGGAGCGCTTGTCGCAACTCCAGCAAAGCGTCTTGTGTCAGTTGACCTGAGGTCACGGCACCTGCAAACCACTCACGACGGAAACCGAGCGACTCCAGCTGTTCTAGGCAGTCCTCACGGAGACGAGAAGAGTTCGATGCAACCACGCAGGGCACGTGGCGGCGGTGCAGCTCCCGCACACAGTCTATGGCAAATGGGTAGGCACGTTTTCCGTCGTGCAGCACACCAAACTGATCAAGGACCACTGCATCATATTTCCTTCTGGCTAGAACGTCAGCAATGCCGGGTAAAATTGCGTACGCCAATACGAACATAGTGCAAAGAGGATGTACCGCTAGAGCCCGCACCCTCAACGCTGACATGTCGATGCGGAGATGTAGCTGGCGCGCAGAGACGAGGAGTCCAGCCGCTCTGTGTAGACGCCGAGTAACATGTAAGTTGTGCCAGAAGAAGCGTGTTTTAAAGAGGATCATTTCTGATACGCCCACAAGATACCTGTGTATGTGTATGTGTGTGCGTTCAGGCTAATGAAAACCGTTTTTACAGTGGTCGAAATTGAAAGCACGACGGGGCGGCTTCGAGGGCCTGGCGCCTCCGACTTGCTTTCCAGCAAAAAGCCTCCACAGCAGCTTAACGACAAGTGGACAAGGTCGGTAGCCAGCAGTTGCCGCTTCAATGTTTTGCCACCGAGCGGGTGAAACTGGCCGGTGACGCACGCTTCCAGCTCGCTCGCAAAAGTTCAAGTCGCCTCTGTTCGGTCGTGGCGTACCCAGCGGCCGGCTCCAGGGTTGCATCGTATTGCACACCGCGACAGCGACTGAGCGTCAGCACCGGTGCAGGGAATACCACGCGCTAATGTCGGGCACTCTTTTTCGAGTGCCAGCGAGTGTCGGCGGGGACGCACTGCCCTGCGCAGAGCGCAAACCGCTCGTCTCATTGCCGCTGCAGGGAGGAAAGCGGGTACGCAAACGGGGCCAGAACTAGAGCCTCTGCTCCGTGTGCTGGAAACGCGCCTCCGATACATACGTGGTACGCAGTCGGCTCGGGTGCACTCCCAGGTACACTACAAACACGTCACGGACTTTTACGAATGTTGCGGCACGAAAAGACCGTCAGTGGGCATCGTCGATTCTGTCACGATCGCGCCCTCCGTAGACGAGGGGTCATTTCGCAGCTTCGACCGAGACCTCGTTGGCAACGACGCACTTGGATTGGAGATATCCCTTGCCGGCCGCGGCTCCGTACACATCCTCCTCCCGAAACCGAATCGCATGCCACTGCTTGGGATCTTTGTGTGTCCCGAAGACACGATCCCAGAATGTAAAGTACTGTCCATAGTTGGAACGAAACGTTGTATGGTGGATGCGATGATGGGCAGCGCCATTCACCCCGGGGATGCTGAGACTCACCCGATCGTGAATATTGATCGTCCAGAGCCCGACCACAGCGAGGGATATCAGATGTAGGAGACTGTGAAACGGGAAAATCAACACGAATAACTGATACGGAAAGCCCTGGGCGAAACCGTCGAGGGGATGGAATGCAAACGCCGAGAACGGCGTCGTATCAATGAATGAATGATGCGGTTTGTGGAGGAATCGATACACGCGGCGGTGGTGCAGGCCCCGGTGAATAAAATAGATCAAGGTATCGCTAAACACCAAGAATAGCACGGGGGAGAGAATAAAGTACAAGATCCCGTGCTTCCTTGGATCGTCATAGACGCGGGTATACCCCAGCTGCACCAGAAGCTCTATTGGTGTTGTGAGAAGCGACATCACAGCGAGTGACCAGGTCGACATGCGCACCTCTCTCCAGATTTCTCGCCAGTTTGCACGGTATTTCGTGCCTACGGTAGCCTTACGAAACGCCACGAACACCAAAAAGTAGTCAATACTCGCAAATAGGTAATAAAGTACAAGAGATCCAAGGTAAAGGAAGACCCACGTCGCCAACAAGCGCCGGTAGAGCGGCATCGACACCGGCTGCGCGCTCCTGCTGACCACTCCGAACTGACCCTGCAGAAGCGCGTCCACCCAGCGCACAAGCACGTCCTCTGAGAGTGTATTCAGTCGACCCACGGCTCCGATAACGTCCATGAAGGTACTGCGAAACACACACCAACCAACGTACAACGATGCTTGCGGTCCGGAGCTCGCCAGCATACCCCCCCGAATCGTGAAACGGATCGCGCACGCACGCGCGATTCTCGAAGCGATCGAGGCGCGCTGGCGCAAAACCCGACGGCTGCAGTCGCCGTTGCACGCAGGGCGTGCGGCATGCACCAGCACCACGGGGGTGCATCGCGGACGGTGCAGGCACCGTGCGCAGCGCTGCGCGCATGGATCATTTCGAGGCTAGTGCGTTTCTTCCATTCTAATACCATTTAATATTATTTAGTTCAGGTTCATACAGTTCGATACCAACTCGACAGGTACAGGCGTGTAGGAAGCGGTGTCGTCGGCACTGTGTTGCCGTCACCGAACGTGTGTGTCTCCGTTGCGACAGAGGCTTGGCTGCGGGTGCACTGGTCAACGCAGTCTGCTCGGTAGGCTTGGTACTTTGCTAGCTGCGTAGCAGGGCGACTAGCTAGCCGATATCAGTGAGGACGCTCAATTGTTTCATCGGTGTGCGTTCGATGGTGAAGAGGTTGGCACATGAGCATCGATCAGGTACACCGACCATGTTGTTCAGCGCAGCTGCGCTTCAGGTTCGGGCGTGTGTGCGCACTGTTTGGCGAGGCACGGGACACGGCGTGCGCTGGTCGCCTTGCGGGCGTGTTGCCAGTCAGCGGCTGAGCTGGTCGGTTCCACGACGTCGCCATTCAGGCCCTCTTTGCACACATTCGGCGAGTGCAACGCCGCCTTCGTCCGGAGAAACGCTCAGGGCGCCCGGTTCAACAGAGAACGTTCGCGCGAGCGACGGTATGGCCGCAGAGTCAGCAGCGCCTGCGGGCACCGGTACGCGCACCACTGCAAAGACAAACGTAGAGACGCGTCCGCGTGGAGCTGTTGGAGCAAACGGCACCGGGGCACTGACTTTTCAAGAGGCTATTCTGCGACTTCAGATCTACTGGGCCGAACGTGGCTGCTTACTCTGGCGACCCTATAACGCCGAAGTTGGGGCCGGCACCATGAATCCAGCAACGTTCCTCCGTGCGCTGGGACCAGAGCCCTGGAACGTGGCCTACGAGGAACCCTCGGTGCGCCCTGACGACTCGCGCTATGGCGAGAACCCGAACCGTATCCAGCAACATACGCAGTTCCAAGTTATCCTGAAACCAGCGCCACCGAATAGTCAGGAGCTACTGCTTGGCTCGTACGCTGCCTTGGGCATCGACATTGACGCCCATGATATTCGTTTCGTGGAAGATAACTGGGAATCACCAGCACTCGGCGCCTGGGGGCTCGGCTACGAGGTGTGGATGGACGGCTGCGAGATCACCCAGTACACGTACTTTCAACAGGTTGGCGGCTTCTCCCTGGATCCCATTGCACTGGAGATTACCTATGGGATGGAGCGTATCTTGATGACCGTTCAAGGAAAGAGCCACTTCAAGGATATTCTGTATGCGCCGGGCATTACCTACGGCGAGGTGTTCCTCCAGAACGAAATCGAAATGAGTCGCTACAATCTCGAAGAGGCTGATGTCGAGCGACAGCGCCACCTGTTCGACCTCTCTGAGGCCGAAGCACGTGAGCTGCTCCAAAAGCGATTACCGATTCCAGCGTATCATTACGTTTTGCGAACAAGTCACACCTTTAACATCCTGGATGCTCGTGGCGCCGTTGGTGTTGCCGAGCGTGCGGCCTACTTTCGTCGTATGCGTTCGCTGGCGCGCGAGGTAGCCGCCTTGTGGCTGGAACGCCGAGCGGAGCTGTGCTTTCCACTCGGACAGCAGCCAGCGATTGTTGCGGCTAGCGCTGCACCCACGAGCCACGCCAATGAAGCTGTGCACACTGAGCAGGTGCAGCGCGATGCTGCGGATACCGTCGCCGCTCCAGGACGACAGACATCCGGTGAGGGCGCCACGTTGCTAATCGAGATAGGGACCGAGGAATTGCCGCCAGCAGATCTTGATGCTGCCGTGGAGCAGCTACGTGAACACCTGTTGCAACTTCTACACTCAAGTCGCTTGCTCCCAGACGCTGGTCGAGTGAAAGTGCACGTGCGAGCGACACCACGACGCCATGCGATTCTCGTCGAGGGTGTTGCTCACAAGCAGCCAGACCAGTGGACCCAGATCCGTGGCCCACCGTCTCGAGTTGCGATAGATGCTCAGACCGGGAAACTGACGGCTGTGGGTCAGGCCTTCGCCCAGCGTCATCAAATCCGGAACTGGGAGGCTGAGACTGAACGAAAAGCGACCAAACAGGGTGAGTATATCTTTCTGAATCGCACCATTCAAGGCCAGCGTGCCTTACCTCTGCTCCATGAGCGCCTGGTCGACTCGGTTCTAGCAAAGATTCAGTTCCGTCGGAGTATGCGCTGGAACGAGTCGGGTGTCTTGTATTCACGTCCGGTGCGCTGGTTGCTGGCCATGCTCGATGACCAAGTGATTCCAGTGGCCTTTGGTGGTGTGGTGTCGGCCCCGGTGACCTGGGGATTGCGGGCATCCGGGATTGCACCCCAGCTGCCTGTATCGCATGCGCAGCTCTACGACCGGGTCCTGGAGCGAGCGAACATTGTCGCTGAGGTGTCGGCTCGCGAGCAGTCCATCCTGCGGCAGGCAAACGCGCTGGCGCTCCAACAAGACGGTGTCATCTACGACCCAGAACGGACAATGCTCCATGAGGTCGCGCGGCTCATTGAGTCTCCGCAAGTGCTTCTTGGATCGTTTGATGAGGCGTACCTGGCGCTTCCATCTCCAGTACTGATCACGGTGATGCAGAAGCACCAGCGTTACTTCCCCATTGAGGCGTCTGGCTCGATGTCGACATCGACCGAGCAAGACTCGAATGATTTGCGACTACGGAATGCGTTTGTGATTGTTGCCAATGGACGCTTACGAAACGCTGACCTAGTGCGTCGCGGGAACGAAGCCGTGATCCAGGCACGTTTCGCGGATGCCAAGTTCTTCTACGAAGCGGATCTGAAACGGCCGTTAGCTTCCTTTGTGCCCAAGCTCGAGGGATTGATCTTCGAGGAGCGCCTCGGCTCCATGCTGGACAAGACGAGACGCATCGAAGCGCTGGTACCGTTCGTCGTGGATGCGCTTGCACAGCGGCACTACAGGCATCACGAGGACGCAGGCGTACCGGCACCGGTACCTTCGCCATGCGATTCTCCAGTGGACACTGCTTCACCGCGGATGCGCGCACAAAGTCCAACGCCAGACTGGGAGCAGGTACGCCAGGTTGCTACAGAAGCCGCTGCGCTCTGCAAAGCCGATCTAGCAACCCAGCTTGTTGTGGAGTTTACCTCACTGGCGGGCATCATGGGTGAGCACTACGCACGGAAGCAGGGCTATCGCGACGATGTCGCGCGGGCACTCTTTGAGATTGTGCTACCCCGCAGTGCGGGTGACCAGGTACCGCGCACCCCAGCCGGGGTCGCGCTCGCCCTGAGTGATCGCATGGACTCGCTGGTGGGCCTTTTTGGTATTGGTCTCGCACCCAAGGCCAACTCGGATCCTTTTGGGCTCCGTCGAGCGGCGCTTGGCGTCGTCCAAATCCTCTGCCGTGGCGCCTTTGACGGCGTTGAGCTCAGTGCGCTCGCTGAGGCAGCGGCCGCGGTGTATGCCAAGCAGCACATGTCGATTCGCGAGGAAACGCTCGCCGATTTGCTTGACTTTATGGACAAGCGCTTTGAACAGTGGCTCCTGGATCCGGATTCCAGTCTACCTGCACTCGATGTTGCTCGGGGCGCGGACCAGTCCCAGGCGTCGGCGACAGGTCTCCATGTGAGCGCTGTGCGTGCTGTGCTTCAGTGCCATCGACGGAGACCCGCTCGAGCGTATCGTGTCCTGCAGCAACTCTATCCACTCATGGCAGAAGAGCGCTTTCGTGATGCAGTTACCTGCTACCTGCGACCCGCGCGCCTGGTTCGAGGCCAACCGGACCTGGACGGTAGCGTCGATCCCGCGCTTTTCCAGGATCAAGTGGAAGTAGCGTTGTGGGAGGCGCTTCGTCGGGGCGGCTTCGATGCCGATCAGCCACCGTTCACCAACGACGACGTGCTGGGCATGGTACAGGCGTTACGTACGCTTCGACCGAGCGTAGATGCGTTTCTGGACGGCGTCATGGTCATGGTGGATGAGCCAGCGCTTCGACGGAATCGTCTGAACTTGTGTGCTCGCATCGCCCGCATACCAGCCAGTGTCCTCGATATGGAACAATTACAGGGTTGGTTCTAGAACCGATCAGCGTCTGATGCTGGCAACGTTGACGATGCATCCTAGGCTTGTGGTGGTGGAAACGGGGAACTCGCCAGGACAATGCGCGGAACTGGCAAACTGGCGTAAAGCGATGGCGTTATGCAAATGCTTTAATGGTCTGGTTAGTGTCCAGCTCGGAGATGGGTTCGTTCGAGGAGCAAGGACGCGTTGCCTTGCAGGCGATATCGCGTGGTACCGGTGAGGGTGATTTCATGCTGGACGCGAAGTGACGTGTCCTGTGCTTTTGCCGCAGCTAGAGATGATGCCCGGTTGCCGGCCTCGATGTTTGAGTGCTCATCGCGCAAGTCGAGCGAAGCGAGATCATCGTTGGTCGCGTTTGCACGACTTGGCAGTGGCACACCATAATGGAGCGAATGCGGTGTGTACGGCGCTTCGGTTGCCGCCTCCATGGTCGTGCAGGTGTAGCGCGTGTACCTTTAGCAAGGCTGTTCACCAGACGTTGCGTGCGGTTGGTAAAAGAGCACGTTCTCGACACACACACACACACACACATACAGAGAGAGAGAGACATGCAGGCAGGCATCGTTGTGGACGGTAACGCGCTCGCACCTCGTCACGTATCGATGCGGTCAGGTCAGTGGACGAACTAGTCTGAGAACATGCGAGGATCACGCAGTACCGGCAAGATCGCAAAACGCCGTTTTCACTGGTTCCGTAGACCACTTATTCTGATTGCATGAGAGAATCACGCGGTACGGGCAAGATCGCAAAACGCCGTTTTGGAAAGTTCTGCTCGCGCTTCTGTTGACGGAGGGTCTTGCGTGCGGCGTCCGTCTTCGACAACTTCCGCCGCATCGCTCGCGTAAGCTTCGGCCGCAGATCCAACGGCTTAAACTTCTTATTCATGTATTCTTCTCGCAACGCTTTTCTCCTCGCCTGAGACATAACCGTCAATACCCTAGCAATAGACTTGCGCACCTCCTTACTACAAGTGGTTAGTTCTGGTTCCCGAGCCGCGCCCCATCAGAAAGAGCAAGTTTCAAAGAGCGCCCGCAAGAATCCCTTGCTGCACCCTCAAATGTCCCTATCAAAGCTCTAGTGTTCATCACGAACATCTACATAAACACACGCACAGCAGGCGAACAACAACTTACATCTTCCCGAGCTTGCCAGCGCCGCCACCGCTTACCTGCAGCACACGCAGCTGCTGAAGTTCCGTCTTCAGCGCTTGTAACTGCTGCTCCAACTCTTGTCTGGACTTTCCTCGAAGTTCATGTGCTTTCAAAACCATATTTATGGTGCTGCTCGTGAATACTTGCTGCGCTGCGCTTCACACCACGGCCGTATAGCACACACGATAGCCTAAGAGAACGAGGCAGCGTTCCAGTTTGTGGAGCGTGGTTCGCGGCCGCGTCCATGGTATCGGCGACGATTGCATGTCACGTGTGACACCACCAGGCGCAGCATCCGAAGATCTGTCCTCTGATATAATACTATGTACTAGGATGTACTATAATGTGTCAAAGATATGCAAGCGTATCGACCGCTGCTGCAGCGCCCCTTTTCCACTGCAGAGGCTGGGCGCTGAGGCTGACGCTGAGGCTGGGCGCCCATGCATGCAGCCGCAACAAACGCGACATGCATGTCGCGCTGCCGCCGCTGGTAACAGCGTGCAGCAGTCGCAACATGACCTCTACAAGTTTTGGTGCGTCTGAACTGGATCAGTTCTTAGCCGATGCCGAGCTACGTGTTCGCTTGATGGAAAGAAGATTGCGGAAGCTGGCTGCTTGGCAAAAGCGGTTGCAGCAACGAAACGATGGCGATTCGGTTCGGCGGTTGCGGCAGGCTGCTGGTCAGCGTCTCGCTGCCGCTTACGTCATGCAGGCGCTATTTTCGCTTCTCTTGATGTTAGAGGGTGAAGATCCGGAAGTTCACGTCGTCAAAAGAGGTATGAAGCGTTGCTGCGACTGGGCAAACGTCCTCGAGCTCGACGCTTCCCCGGATGACTCGCAGCCGGTACCCACCGCCGACGCTAGCGCCTCGGAGGCAGCTGTCTCCTAGAGACTGCGAACGCTCTTTATGTATATATAACAAGGGTTTTTTGGGGAAGAGATTTGACGTACTTGTGCTCGGCGTGACTCTGTTGTCTTCTGGTGACTGTCAGCGCACGCGCTAAGGACGAGCACTCGCGGCTCGCGCTTTGTGGTGCGCCCGACGTCAGAGCCGACGCTCGCGGTGCTGGTGATGATCGCTTCACGACTCGGACGAAGACGAGTTTTGTACCGAATCAAAGCGCAAATGTCTTTTGGCACGAATATGGCTTCAGAAACAATGACATCTTCTCGTTTTGTTTGCAATAAGCGTACAGAAGACTGCTCAGTTCACTGTGCTGCAATGACGAGCGCTACGCTTGACCTCAACACAATCGTGCAGTGGTTACGGAACCAAGAAATGAACACCACACGCAAGGACAACTACCAAACGTGCGGAGCATTTCGACCTGCGAATATGGAACCGCTCATGGACGCGTCCATACAGTAGGTCAGCGCCAGGCCCTGATCCAAAAAGCACCCATAGACAATGCATGCGAAATGCAGGTCAATGTGACCAAGAAGCAATAGAGCGCCTACACTCGACTGCGAGTCGGCAAGCTGCGTATTGCCCGATGCGTATCGAGTATAGACATTGGCCGGCTCGTGAAGCGGGCCTAGCGGATGATGGGCACGCGAGCGACAACGACGGCCTCATGACGACCCTAGCGAAACTTCAAGTCGACGCGCTTCACAGAACCCCTCGACGCTCCCGAGTAATGCTTCGGATCGTTCGAGAAGACGGGAACAGCGCTCTCGCACGCGGTTTCTTTCCTGAATGAGCGCCTGCATATCCTCAATGGCTCGATGCACCCGCCCGGCCAAATCTGCAGCTGCGGCCAGCTCGCGATCCCTCTCCGCCCGCAGACTTTTGAGATCTTCGACCGCCTTGATGAGTTCGTGGCGCGCACTGGAAGCCACGCTCCCTAGGAGATCTTCCGCGCGTCGAATGAGGGCCCCATAACGCCGTTCGATGATTCGCTCGATAATTTCGGTTGCGCTTGCGTGGAAATCATCATCCGGCAGCGGATCTTCGAGCAGGGTGCACCCAAAGTCGTCCGAAAAGCGCTGCTGTTCTAGTTCGCGCGCGACCGCGTCCCTGCGTGTCTCCATGTCAACCAGTCGCGCTGCAGCATGGTGCAACTGCACAGCCACTGGGTGCTCAGTGGTGATTACCCGCGACCGATGGTCGAAAATGGACCCACACTGAGCCGGGGCACTGGTGGTGATGGTTGCAGTACTAGTGGCGGCACTGGTGGTCTCCCCGTTGGATCCGTTTTGTTCCAAAATGGACAAGGCGTCGCGAACACTCGACTCCTGACAATGTTGGGCTCGCGTGCTCACACTGCGCCTCGCGGCTGTGCAAGCTTGCAGCTCAATTTGGATAAGATGCAGTTCGGCGTGGTATGACTGTTGGGCTTCCGCGGATTCCGGCCGATGCGCACGGCCTCGGAGTTTAGCGCGCCACTCCGCGTCTTCCGCTGCCTCTGCGCTCAGAAGGATTTCCGCCCGCCGCACTTTCTCCTTGGCTTGGCGGATCAGCTCTGAAGCGAGTCGGTCGGAACCTTCTTCCGCGTTGAGATCTGCGTGCAACTCCTTGAATCGCACAACCGTTCCACGGTTAAGTTCTTCCGGTGTCTCGGTCTCGCGCAGGTCAGAGAATTTTCTCGGAATACTCGCGAGGATCGCTTCGAGATTCAGCTCTCTTCGCAGGCTGCCTGAAACGCGATTCGCTTCCCGCAGCCGCTCTACTGCTCGCTCGACCAGAGCGCGGACCCGTTTGTCGTAATCATTTCGCATTGGGATGAATTCGAGTGGCACCAGATTCTGTAGGGCCAAGAGCGGTGAACTCGGCGGAAGAAACGCAGCGGGACTCAGGGCGGCCATGCGTTCCGCTGCCTGGCCATCGCCCAGCGACGCCGCCAGTTCTCGTAGATCAGGTGTCGTTGCCAGGATGCGTCTACGCAGTTGCGACGGCGCTGAGTGACGATTTCTGTCATCCGCGCGTCTTTTGCTGAAATCGACTTGAAAAACAACCGCATTTTCACGTTCACAGCGCTCGCGGGCGGAACGACATCGATCGCGAAGAGCTTCGATGCGTCGTTGCAACGGTGTATCGCGCCGGACGAGCTCACTCTTGAGTAGCCTTTCCGCGATGACGACCGCTTCGGAATACCGCCGCGCTCTTTCTACTAAATCCTCCTCCTGCATCGCCATGAGCCGTTGGATATCCCCGGTGCCGTCTGCATCAAGTTCCATTGCAGCGTACTGCATGGCAACCGCCTCAGCGTAATCTCGGAGCAGCTCTAATTCAACGATAAAGTCGGCGGGGAAGTAACGAGTCCCGGCATTCGCTACTGCCCGCCCGTACAGCTCGACAGCACCACCTGCCAGGCAGCTCACCGTCGAACTCGATCGATTCTCGGCAATCGCGAAATCGACGGTGCAAAGTTGTGCATTGCCAAGCATGACTAGTTTCAGCGTATCCAGCGACGTTTGGTGCAGATCCTGAGTGAGGTCCGCTCCAATACTGTCCAGCGACATGTGCTGAATGAGTGCGAAAAGACCAGCAGCACACTGAAAACCTTGTAACGCTTCTCTGAGTGCGGCCTCGGTCAGCGGCTCCGGCAGTACCAGGTCATGGGCCCGCGTGCAATAGCACACCGCCAGATTGAATAGCAGACCGGCTTTCTCCAGCTGTGTGCTAGAGCTCGAACAGCGCTGTCTAGTTTGAAACGCATCCATCCAAGTGAAAGTTAGCGTTACATTAGGAGCGTCTACGTGTCCTGCGCCCGTCTTCTGTTGCCCCGTACTCGTACCGTTCTGGCGCTGTAGTAGACCTCGCCGCACTGACGCAGGTGCAACCGCACGCCTGAAAACAAAGCGCGTCTCCAGAAAACGCAACGCCCGGTAGTAGTCTCGAATGACTTGGACGGCATCACCAGCTCGTTCAACGTCCGGAGCAGAGCTGATGACCGACACTCGTTCGCGCAACGCTTTCAGGTGCTTGCACGCGTGCTCGTAGCGCTGCGTGACCCCCTCGCGCCGAGCTGGCGTTACAGCTCCTCGAAACTCGAACAGCGATCTCAAAACAACCGATTCAAGTACTGGAATACGCTCTGTCGACTTTTTCGGTACCCTAACTGTCCGCATTATGTGGCCTGTCAACGGGTCCCGAGGTCGCGCACAGCGCAGGTCACAGCAACGTATCCATATACGCGTGCGAAAGCGTCTGTGTGCGGTATCTGCGCAGGTCTGCGGAGGTTCGCAAGGCGCGCGTGTCCAACGCCTCTCGATGTGTCGCTGCTGGCTGTCGATTTTTCTTAAATAGACAAATCGATCTCACATAGGCCGGCGCTCTTCGGCTGTCCGCTTTTTCTCTACTTTCTTCTCGTTTCTTTTTTGGTTGTTTTCAGCGCGCAGTAAAGCATCCATCGATCCACGCCCTACTTTTCAGTTCCATTACCCATACGTAGACCCGGGCATACTGGTTGAATTGTACGTTCTATCGTGGGTCGTGCGCACGGCATGATCGTCCGCGATTGCGCCTTTACCGTTGGTTCAGATGCATCACGAAGACAGAACTGTGTTGGCAGTCCCACTGAAGGCATCGGCTTGAGGAACGCTACATCTGATACGCGAACACGGCTAGTTATCGTTCTGGGAGCCAGCAAGCTGCGCAGACAGGCGTACTGTTTGCGAAAGCGCGAAGGGATCTACTAGTAGTCCACTGCGACCAGGACGATGCCCTGACGCAGCATCCTGCTCCTAGTTCCAGCGTAAACTGCGTTGTGGACGAGTTGCTCAGGCCTCTCACCAGAGCACCCGTCACTGGGAGCGCAGAGAGCTCGAGCCTGGAGGACTCGTTTGGATAACGGGACGTTGCTCCCATAAGGTACATTTTTGGCAATGCGGAACAAGTTTTGCCTCTTGTAACGTTAATCGTAGAGGGCGAAAGAAATTCTTATCTCGTTGCTAGTTCGTGGATAGTCTCTGGTCTGTTTTCTATATAGTACGGTCGAAAACTGGCACCGCCTTGTCTGGCAGGCATGAGACTCGACGTGTATCTCGCCAATGAAGGGAAGCGCGAGCCTGGCCATTCGTTGACTTGTTGCTCTAACCTACAAGTTGTACTGGCGCAGAAGACGTCTAAAAATACAGTTTTTCATTTCAATTACTTTTCAAATTTCACGTTTGTATATTCAAGTTATTTTTCGCGGTTTATACCAGAAACGTTTAAAGTGTGTTCGTTTTCAAAAAAAGGAAAGTCATGGAAGTGGAAGTAAAGGAACCCGGAAGCCTGATGTCGCCGGCTGATGGAGAAAACCGAAAAACAGTACTGAGAAAAGAAGAATTGGAAAAGACGAAGAAACAACGGGGGAGTCGCAACGTCAATTCCCGCATGAAAGACTGCACTACGACGACATGGTAGTGAAAGCCTGCCTTCTTGGATATATCAAGGATCCGTAGAACCAAAAGTTCCAAGAGGCCATCAGAAACCGTGTCGATTCGTGCTCCATGAGTATTATAGAGGCCTCGTCTGGGCTAATGCATTCGGTGGAGGAGGTGTACGACGAAGTGACGCACACGGGAACAGTCGAGGTATGAAGGAATTTTTCATTATGACATTCATTCGCCACCTGATGCTTGGTACAGGGCAAAACGTCGACGAAAAATGAGTGAGTGCATGCCGTCCACGAAAATCACGACGAATACCGCTTCGAAGGTACTCGGTACAATGATGATGGGTATATTTACGAATACGAGGCGAGAATGTACCTCACGAACATGAAGAACCTCATGACTACGAACCTCAAAAGCTTCATGAAACACTCCATCATTGCACCCTACCCGGACTTCGTCCGCCAGGGAATATGGGCCATCATCAATGGCGTCAGGAACGATCGTAAGAATGAAGAAGATATCGAATTCGTCGACGAGAAGACGTCACGAAAGCGAACGAATGAAGCTTCTGTAATCCATGCGACTATGAAAGAGCATCGTTCAGTCTTGGGGCTCGTCAACACAAAAGAAAAGGTATCAGACATGAAAAAAGATAACGATAGGTGCTATCGCCTCATCCTGCAATATTTCGTGTTTTTGGACCGAGAGCTCGAACGCAAGGCCGAAAAGGAGCTGAGCAGCGGGAAAATGAAGAATGGGTGAGACGGAAGGCTGCCCTGATGGGAAAGCGCTTCAAGGTCGTCCCGTTGTGCAACATCAAGTCACATTTTGGGACTATCGACTCCGGTGTCCTTTACGGCATCATGAGGGAGATCAGTCCGGAGTTCAATGTTAGCAGGGAGGACTTCACCCGTGAGAACCGGGAGACGTACAGTAAGAAGAATATCTTCAATTTCAAACGTCTCAAAGTGAGCAAACAAAAGGTATTCACTGGGATGATCGAAACTGATGGAGTAACCTTGTGTCTACACTATCGGCGGTTGAAGAAAAGAAGGAGGCGGATCCAGCGACGAAGTAAGTGGAGGATAACGACCTTGTCGTTGGCGTGGCGAAGCATGAAGAAAAGAAGGAGGCGGACCTTGCGACGCAGAGAGTGCATGAGAACGATTTGGTCGTTGGCGCGGACCCTTGGAACACGAATATCATAACCATTGCAGTACCCAAGCGTGCGGAAGATGGCATTGACGCTAACTTTCGTCAGAAAAACGTGCGTCTGTTAACGCTCTCAAGTGCTAGATAGAACCGAGAATCGGGAAAAATGAATGCGAGGAAGAAAACTGAGAAATGGAATGCAGGAGTGAGAGAGCAACTGAAAGCGATCAGCCAGGTGACTACCCGCGGGGCGGACTTTCAAGCTGTTCTGAAATTCACGAAATTTCGCGCTGCTCATTGGGAGGCGCGCTGTGGAAAGAGTATACAAAGCCCCAGTGGGCTCGTCTGCGTTCGAACTTGGAATGTGGGAAGCAGCGTGCATTCGCCAACTTTTCAATCAGTTGAGCGCCTTGCAGGAGGACGAGAGTCAAATACTCATAATGGCGTACGGAGCAGGGCGCTGGATGACCCAGAAAAGGATATACGCCAGCTCCAACGACGAGAACGTACACGGCGTGCGCACGGCGTTTTGTCACAATATCGATATATGAGTTCCGAGCGTCATACATTCACCAAGAACCGGTGTGTAGACTCCAGAGGGTCGAGATACAAAAGTGCCATCGGAGCCCTGAGGATACAGCAAAGTATGGAGCGCTGACGGAAGAGCAAATAGAAAGAAGGGCGAAAGTTCGGGCTACTTGCATTAGTAAGTAAAACCAACGACAAGAAACGTGTGGAATTCGTGAACCAGGACTTGAACGCAGCAATCAACATAACGAGATGCGCGGTGATGGAGAAGAGACTTTCGGAGTTGACGAGACAGATTTTTGTGCGGCAACCTTTTACAGTGGATTTGTACAAGAGAATTTGAAACCAGTAGTGGATAGCCGGTCCAAATGATCTGGATGGCGCCTGCACGTCAGGTGGAGACGTTCTGTCCAGGGCGGGTCACTCGCCACTTCTGTAAACTGCTGGCGACTGCTTTCAACTTTTGAAAGGCATTCGCGATACTCCAGGAAAATCGGTTGAAATGCCCCTGGGAGTGATTCGTGCTTGCGGAGAAACCTTTTCGATGTTACGCATGCTACACTGGGGGCAAAGTTTGCGACGCTGTTGGACGTCAGTGCCACTTTCCGAAAGTCAGTTCGGCGTCATTGATGCGAGACCATGAGCAACCCTCGATGTGCATCGATTCGAGCCCAGCTCAAAACATCGAGCCGGTTTCTTCGTGACCGTCGCACGGATTTGCTCATGGCCAATACTCTCCTATTGAAGACAGGCATCCGGTGCGTTACAACGACCTGGGAAACATTCCTCGCATATCGGAGGATCTTCATGGCGAGCGCAACCCGGCTCTAGCTCGTCCTCCGACTGCTTTCGCATCACATGGCATCGCGTCGTTACGCTTGACCGCCCGCGACGCACAGCAGCGCATCGTTCGGTGACTTTTGTTTGAAACGCACGACCGGACCCGAGGGATGTCTGCGAACTGCGTCGGCTCACTGGGCATCGGTGAGTCGCGAGCATGGAGAACGCACTGGTTGAGCTGCCCAGCGAGTTAGGTGTCCCGCTGGTTGACGGCACCTGCACCACATCGATACATGCCTCGTCGTTAGAGAATATTGCCAAAGACGAATACACCACGGTGCAGTCGAGCGCGTACTGCAGGTTTACGGAGCGTTGCCGCCTGGGCACCGACACGATCGCTGCCGTCGATACCGCATACGATATCGCGAGGCTGCGGTGGAGCTGTCGCGCGCCTGTGGAGCAGATACCAACGTATAGTCCTTCTGGAGGCTGAGGAGCGTTTACACGCACCAGAAAACACCGGTAGCACGATTACTAGCGACACCTGGCACAGCACTCGTCGTTGATGCGAGCGCTCGCGAACAGCAACGCACAAGCGAAGCCCCATTGACCCGCAGCAGCAGCAGCAGCAGCACGCTTGCGGTTTCTGGTATGAACGGTTCGCGAGCTCGTGCTGTTTATCGCCCATATGATGGCAGCGCTGAGAGCCAGCGTGGTCTGCTCGTGATCGGCGGTAGCGGTGAACTCGGCTCCGCTCTTGTGCGGGCGGCAGCCGAAGCTGCGGAAACGCCAACTGTAAGTGGCGTTCGTGCCGTCTGGGCGACCTACCGCACTCGAAGACCGTCAGTGTGCACACCGGTTGGATCAAAAGCTCCTTCCGTACGATGGTTTTACCTAGACACCGCTGATAGACGTGCTACTTCAGACCTGATTCAGCGAGCAAGCACGGAAATCGGACCGTTGCTCACGGTGGTTTTTTGCGCTGTTCCGAAACACGGTGGTGCCGCAGGCCCAGGCGGAGACGACATTCGCTCTGGAATCGTTGACCATGTTCTCTACGCAGCAGAGGCAACCAAGCTCGCAGGCATGGTAGAGGGTGCGGAGCGCAGTTCGTGCCGCTTTGTCGCGATATCGACGGACCAGGTGTTCGATGGCGTGCCGCCGCACCCGCCGTATACCACGGATGCCCCACGCCGACCGCTCAATCCGTATGGTCACTACAAAGTAGAAATGGAGGATACCTTGCAAAACATACACCACCCTGATCTTGTTATTGCCCGTACATCACTTATTCTAACGCTCGGTATGCAACCGCATGAAGATGGAAAAGCGATCGCGTTTCTGCGCTCGGCTCTCATCGAAACGCACGAAAAGCCGTTGGTTCTCTTCACCGATGAGATTCGAAATATGTCATGGTCGAATGACTTGGCCGAGGCACTTGTCGAGGTCGCCACTGCTATTCGATGCGAGCGCGTCACGATGGATGGTGATACAGCCACCGTCATTCATCTGGCGTGCCCGGAAACAACGAATCGCTTTGCGCTCGCCCAGCGTCTCTTATCGACACGATGGAGCGAGTACCGTCATCGGGCAGCCGGGCGAATCACGCCCGGCCTTTCAGCGGAGAGCGGTCTGCGGCGGCCTTTAGATCTGACCATGGACGTCACTTCGATGGCTGAGACCGGATTGGTGACGCGTACGCGGCTACGCAGTATCTTCGAGTACCTCCAGTGACAGGGTGTACGTGCAGCGGACGCGCAGATCAATTTCAACCCAGGTGCAGGTATTGGCGCTATCGTTGATCGCTGCAGTATTCAGTCATCGGACGCTTTAGCAGACAAAGAGCGTCGTGCATCGCGCCAGCATCATCGAGTCGTACCGGTGTTCGGCAGTGGCGTAGCTGGAACGCTCGCGGATCTGGTATCATGGGGTACTTTGCGAGTTCTGTCACCTGAAGTTGCAATTCTTCCAACACTAAAAGTCCAGCAGTAGCTGGGGAATAACGCGCAACACGTGCTCGGGCTGAACCCGGACTACCCTCGAGCTTTCCACCGCCGACACGTGCCTGCTGCCGACGTCCTCGGGTGTCTCGGTTGTTGCAAGGTTCACCAGCGACTCCTCTGCTCGATCACCGACACCAGCTTCTATCTCCGCTTCCAAAATAGAGCGCTGCAGGCACTCTAAAGTGAACAAACGAACGTAATAGGTTAAAGCACGCGAAGCAGTCGGCGTGAGCTTCGGGAATCGTCCGTCTCTTCCAGCGACGGTGTCTGTTCCAGCTCGCAGCTCTGCTTCCAGTCGTTGAAGAGCGCAGCGCACGAGCGTGCTCACCCGCTTCCGCTCTAGCGTCTCTTGGGCGAGGTCGAGCTCCATCACGCGCTGCAAACGCACGACTGCAGCAGCATCCAAGGCAACGTACGCGATGCGTGCATCATCGCGTGTGGTTGCGTGCGTTCGCGCCAAGGACACCGGCGGTGTTCCGGCCGTTGCGGATTCGCGCCGATCTGCGCACTGGATGTGCGGTACGGATCGATCGATCGATACGAGGGGAATGGGTTCGCTCTCGGGGGCGTCTCGCTGGTATCTTCGTGGGAAAACTGACGAATCGAACGTGACGGACGTTTGAGATTGATCTCATGGTCCATGATACTAGACCCTGTTGCTCGATTTTCTGGTACAGAAGCGGACTACGGTCTCCATGACGAGTTCAGCAGTTGCACGTTTGCTGACGACGATTCAGGCGAGGGCGGTACGCAAGTCGAGGCGTCGAGCACGGAGCGATACTGCTGCTACCTGCTTGTTTCTGAGTCAACGGATAAAAGGGCGCGTAACAGGACGTACATTGGTTTCACGACCGACCCGTCGCGACGTTTACGTCAACACAACGGAGAACTGAAGGGGGCTGGTGCGCATCGGACTCGGGCGTTTAGGCCCTGGCGATTACTGATTTTCGTCGAGGGTTTCCGCTCGCAGGTACAGGCACTGCAGTTCGAGTGGCAGTGGCAGCACCCTCGGAACAGTCGAACGCAGCGACAACACCAAGCTGGGCTTGGTTCAGAAACAAGCATCAAGCAGCCGTATGGTATAGCCGGCCGGTTGCAGGTGCTAGCGCGGTTGTTGGCCATGCGCCCGTGGTGTTGCATCGCTTTGCGTGTCGTGGTGCCAGACCGACACCGAACGAGTGATCAACAAAAGCCACGTATCGTGAGTGAGCGGTGGCTTGCTGCACTGCCCCTTTCGGTACGGATCCTCCGCGATGTGTCCGTGGTGGAGGCCGTGGCGAAGCAGCCGGACGGCATCGGCAGTCTTCATCGCCGCCGAGACTTGTCAACGCTTTGTTGCGTCTGCTTTACTCGTGAGCAGTTTGTTGAAAAAGGCCGTCGTAAGCGGTATCCGCAGGCGACCGGCTACTGCCTCCACTGTACCGCATCGTTTCATTTGCAGTGCATTGTACAGTATGCATGTGCAGAGCGCTTGCTCCCAGAGTCGGTGCATTGTGCAAGGTGCCAGCAGCTGATCGCCTGGGCGGATGTGCTCCGTTCGGTCGACTTGGCGACAGCACCATCGACCCACCTTGGCGCCGAGCTCGGAGAACGTCCCTCTCCCTCGACATCGGCGTCCGTATTCAGCGTCGACTAGGAGGTGCCGTACCTGGGAGGTTCAGCGAGGACGCCTTCCGCTGCCGTTATTATTATTATTGATGCTGATGATGATCGGATCCCTGAATTCGCTGGGATTGCGTGCATCCCTGGTCTATGGGCGCGCCCTCGCAGCATGGAACGAAGATCAGAGCGTGTTCTGAATCGTCTTGGTTTCCTGGCAGAAGCTGCCGAATCGATCGTCGAAACCCACAAGTGACTGATTACCGGACTCGTTTGCAGCGAAGCTTTTCAAACCGCTCTGTTCGGACGCTTTGGTGCGCGAAAACGGACACGAGCCCCGGGGCATCGACCGCAAAAGCCGCGATGCACTGAAGCCACGACGTAGAGGTCGAGCAAGTTCATTAGCGGCTGCACCAACGACATACTCGCTGTCTCTGTGCTTTGGATGCTACGCGATTTGTAGGAGAGGAACGGGACCACGGCCGGTTATCGCCATGGCGAGCACGGGCCAGCGTATCCACATATGCAAGCACGCAAGTATGCATGTCTTGACAGATACATGATGCGTTAGCGTTACGGAGAAGTCATCCCGGTACTACGTGGAGTGAATCCTTACCTATAGTTTACAGGAGCCTGGAATATGCGTAAGAGCATCCCCGGTTAGAGATATCGATCGTCGCGGGCTGGAGAAACCTCTTTGGCGATGTTTGTGGCTTTTAGCGAACGTTCCTCAAACCCGCGCAGCATGAAGGCGCTGCTGCTGCTGCTGCTGCTGCTCCATAGAGACGGTCACGTTCGCCTAGACGACTGGATGCCGTCCGTCCAGCGTGCTGGCACAAACTGATCTTTTCCCCCAATGCACATATTTCACGTGCTGCTGCGCCAGCTACCGTAGAGAGAGAGAGACTGAGAGCAGCAACTGCGTGTTCGTCCCCGTTTCAACTGACTGATGTGTAACGTTTCGTAGGAGGTCGTATTCTTCAGAATGCAGAGCCCAGCGCTGCTTGCTCAATGCTCGATACCTCGCGGTTCGGTTTGCAGCCATCAAGATATTCCAGGTCAACGAGAAGTATCGAGATTGGGTCACGCTTCGAGGCTACGCAGTCTGACTCCCGGCCGGATGTGTGAGTCACAAGCGCCGTGCCGTTGCCGTCACCTACGCGCTTCTCGGCATGCAGCAGACAATGTGCTGCGGTTGTTGACCTCCAGGCAACACCGCTCCCTCCGAGCCGAGCCGAGCCTAGATTCCAGCCGACTGTGAATCTACCAGAAAAGGCGATCGTAAAAGAGTCATAGAAAGAAACAACGAATGGAGGGACACGCGTTCCACGAACGACGCCGAGAGCGCCCTGGAATCTTACCACTGCCAAAGGTCGCTGTATAGTCCCGCTTGCGCCTGATGTGCGCGATACCTCTCCATTTGTGCTGCTAGAGATGATGAAATCTCATCCATAATCAACACTTGGACTGAATCGAGTCTCGCACGCTGCCGATTTCAGTAGCGTCCACAGGCAGGAGCGTGGCGGCCAATACAGAACCTGGTGCTCTTTTGCTTCCGGAGTTTCGACCTCCTTGAGTGCCGTGCCGCCTGCAAGCAGACGTTTCGCTAAAGCAGGAGCGTGTTTTACGGGGCGCTGCCTGTTCCATTGTCTCTGATGACGATGGCAGCCGGGAACCCCTGGTCACTACAAGTCCAAGAGGACCAGGTTCGGCTTCGAGTGAGTGTACCTCGGCGAACGCCCGAGCAACGACTCGAGATCCAGGCCACACGAACGCGAGTGAGCGTCAGCGTTGCTGGGAATAAGGATCGTCCACCGACAGATATTATCTTACCCAATCATGTACGCATCGAGCCGCAAAGTGCCGATGTGTTTTACAAGTCGCGCACGGGAACTTTGTGGCTCCACTTCCGCCGTGCTGCGTCGGTGGGCCCGGCAAAGCGCGCGGCACCGAACGAGACCTCTCAGGAAACAGCCGGGCGCTGTGAACGCTCGGCACCAGCGAGTCAGCAAAGCTTAGCGAACACAGTCGAGCAAACGCCTGAGTCGAGGAAAGCGAACCCCAAGACGCTTTCTGAGTCACTGGTGACGTTGCACACCGCAGCAGAGGACACTGGACCCGAGTCGCAGTCCGCCGGTTCTACCAAAGACGAGACTTGCCACTCCAGTTGCGAGGTGCCGGAACCGAAGCGAACGCGTTTAGGTTCCTCGACACCGAAACCAGCTGTAGAGGGTGCTCAGGCGGGGTCCGCAGCATCCCCATGGCCAGCAACGCCGGCTCATGAGCCCAGCAACCAACAGGATTTTGCGGAACTTGCAGCCAACTTTCCACCATTGACGAAAAACACATCCGAACTGGCCTCTTCCGGGGACACATCATCGGATGTGGCCAGCCACGGTTCCAGCGAGCTGGTTCCGGGTCTCGCTGATTTTCTCGAACACGCTTCGCACCCGCAAATCCTACGGGCACTCAGACAAGTGCGTCGGCTCTATCTAAGTCGTACAGCAGATCCCGGCGCTCTCTGGCGTAGAATAGCGACGGCGAGAAACAACGCTACATACGCTCGCACACTGTTACGGGAAATGATGCACGCAGTCGTTCTGCAGGGTACGGGCCAAGAAATTAGACGCAAACAGCGGCTTGCTGCCCTGATCAAACGAGCAAAGAGTGGCGTCGTGAAAGATGAAAGTCATCAGCGCGCTGATCGCAAATGGGTCGACAAGCACACCGAGCAAACAGTTGCACATCGCGTGGCGAGCATGCTCGAGCAGAGCATCAGCGATGCTCGCGAGAAGGAGTTCGCGCACGCCGCCGCGTTGGCTGCAAAAGCGCAAGAGCGGAAAACAAGGAAGCTGCAAAAGCTGGCATGGCAAACGGCACTTGCTCGGCGTAGTTTGGAATCCAGGCGTCGTTCGGAAGCCCATGAGAATACTGGGCGGTGCCCGGCACCAATAACGCAGCGCGCGGGAAAGTCGCGAGCTCGCGTGAGCTTCCTGCTCGATGGCAAGCAAGTGCACTTTCCCGCGTAAACGAAGGGTTCCTACTTGATGTACAAAAAATGGAGGCCAAACGAAGCATTTTACACCAACTAGCTAGCGATGGTCAGCAAGCTGCAGAGCAAGGTGCGCGCTTCGTGCCCACGCGCGGGCAACTCGGCGCACGGGCACTTGTGCACATACACGCAACGAGGCTGCTTTCCACGGCGTCCTGGCTGGTACACCGCACATCCCACGTCCACCGACACGAATTTTTTGAACACTGAGTGTCTCTACTTGATCTTCTTCTTTGGCCGCAGGTTGCTCGAGTGCCCACACTTTCGCTTCCGGCAGTTGTGCGCGCGCGCCGGCAGCCGTGCGTAACACCTCCGACATATCATCTTCTCACAGTTATACTGTCTAGCGAGTGCCGCTAAACTAGGTTCGATGAGCCCACCTCGCAGGCGCAATACCAGGTGCAGCGTGCTCTCCTTCTGGATGTTGTAGTCGCTGAGTGTGCGTCCGTCTTCAAGCTGCTTTCCCGCAAAAATAAGCCGTTGCTGGTCGGGCGGAATTCCCTCCTTGTCCTGAATCTTGCTCTTCACATTCTCAATAGTGTCAGAGGGCTCAACCTCCAACGTTATAGTCTTGCCTGTGAGGGTTTTCACGAAAATCTGCATGGTACCGTTCGAACACACCGTGTTACCGAAACAGAGATCCAAGCACCGATCAGAGCGCTTGCGCTGTGGAATGTCGGTGCGCTGACGACGTCGCGAGCGGAACACCAGCAGAACAATCCTGTCTATTCATAAATATTTTGGTATATTTACGGACTAAACGAACTGGCCGCGCGGCGTGGACTGCGCGCACACCGGCCTTCGCTTCTGCCCACACTAGGCAGTCGGCTTGTTTGCTCTCGAGGTGTAACCGGTACCCTGGACGTCGCGTTCGACTCGACAACGCGCTGAGCCCGCCCCCGTGCAGCACTCTGTGTACGACATCAAACCGACATGGTCATATGTCCCAAGTCGCGGCGGACTTTCTGTCCAGGTGCTTGTAAGAAGCACACCCTGCACAAGCAGGTCCAGTACAAGAAGGGAAAGGACTCATTGTACGCACAGGGGAAACGGCGGTATGATCGAAAGCAGAGCGGTTACGGCGGGCAGACAAAACCTGTTTTCCGCAAAAAGGCAAAGACGACGAAGAAGATTGTTGTGAAAATGCAGTGCGTCGAGTGCAAACGCATCGTTCAGCGCGTTCTGAAACGCTGCAAGCACTTTGAGCTCAGCGACGTCCAGAAGACGAAAGGTGGACCTGCTTTCTAGTTGCATTCCCGTCTCGATTTCGTTTTCGATGCCGTTATCGAACGTGCGTCTGTTCAAAACATTATTGTGTTGTAGCGTTCGCGAAATGGCTCTAGACGCTTACCTAAACATACGTATGGACATGCTGGTCCTGGTTCTAGAAGAGCTGTTTCGGACGGCTCGCACCGCATAGCTCAGCTTTTCCCGATCGTAAACCACTCCTCGGGTCGCACGGTGTTGCAAGAAAGGCTCCAGATTGGAACACCGCCCCGCCGAAGGCAGGGTTCCAGAGACTCGTACGGGCCACCGCCCGCCGTTGCATGCGTATGCGCTCGTCGGGGTCCAGTGGGTGTGTGGCGGCCGCTCGTGGCCAGCCTGCACTCCCCGAAGAACGCTTGTCGTTATGCGTTCGTCTCAGCGGCTTGTGAGAACAGCGGAAGTCTCCTTTGCGACACTTCCATCGATCAGTTACTTCAAAGCAAGTTGTTCTGCTTACCTGTCGGAGGCGATCGGACGAACCTACAAGCACAGGGGAAAGTTTTGCGGTGCGCAGCTGTGCTCGTTCAGCGCTCATCGAAACGTTCGCAACCACGTTGGAGACGACCTGCGCTTAGGCTTCGGGTCGAAGGTTAAGAGAGCGCTTGCGATGCATTATCAACCGGATACCAGCTTCGACTTTGATCTGTTTGTGATCGGCGGGGGTTCTGGGGGCGTTCGCGCCGCGCGAGTCTCCGCGAATCACGGCGCTCGCGTAGCACTAGCTGAGAGCAGTCGGCTGGGAGGCACCTGTGTGAACGTAGGCTGCATTCCGAAGAAGCTTTTCTCGTACGGGTCCCATTATTTGCACGAGTTTGAAGACGCACGTGCGTATGGCTGGGATCTTCCGACCAAAAGCGAGCTAGATCCTGTCGACTGGGAGCGACTCATTCACAACAAGGACGCAGAAATAGAGCGATTGAATGGCGTGTATCAACGCATCCTGGAAAAGGCAAATGTGCGCATCTTTCACGAACGAGCCGAGTTCGTCGACGCACACAAGATTCGCCTTGCGAGTGGCGAAACGTTTTCCGCCAAGTACATCCTCGTTGCCGTGGGCGGCCGCTCCAACCTCATAGCAGATCTGCCGGGTGCTGCGCTCTGCATCCATTCCGATGACTGCTTTTACCTGAAACATCTTCCTCGATCTATCTTGGTCCTGGGCGGAGGCTACATCGGCACAGAATTTGCATGCATATTCCATGGATACGGATCTAAGGTGACGCAGGTCCACCGGGGGAAGCTTTTCTTGCGCGGGTTTGATGATGATGTTCGCCACTTTCTCGCCGAGCAGATGCGCAAAGACGGTATCGATTTGCGCTTTGGGTGTAACCTGAAAGCAGTGGAGGCTATTCCGGATGCGAGCGCACCTGAAGGGCGCGTTTTGAAAGCGCATCTCACAGACGGCTCTACACTGATCGTTGACCAGGTGCTGCTCGCTGTTGGACGGCACCCGAACACCGAGGGCCTCGGATTGGAGCGAGCAGGTATTAAAACCGATCAACACCGGGGGCATATTCTCGTGGATGAATACTCTCGAACCAATGTGGAGACGATCTATGCGGTCGGCGATGTCACGAATCGAATGAACTTGACGCCAGTAGCCATCGCCGAAGGTCACTGTTTTGCGGATACGGTTTTTGGCGGCAAAGCACGGGCACCGGGCTACGACATGGTGCCGACGGCGGTGTTCAGCGTGCCCCCTATTGGAATGGTAGGCCTGACGGAAGCGCGCGCCCGGGAGCTGGACGCTGAACAAGGCGGCACGGGTATCGATATCTATCGATCGATGTTCCGCCCGTTGAAGCATACGCTCACGAAGCGAGATCGCCAGACGCTCATGAAACTTGTGGTTGATCGTCGGACGCAACGCGTGCTTGGCTGCCACCTGGTCGATGACGCCGCTCCGGAAATCATCCAGTCGGTAGCGATTGCGCTCAAGATGGGCGCCACCAAAGCAGATTTCGATAATGTGATTGGTGTGCATCCGACGAGCGCCGAGGAACTCGTAACGATGCGGGAGAAAGTCTCAGACGGAAAGTGAGGTTCTTTCTGGAACGGAAATGGGCACTGATAGCGCTACGAGTGCATGCATTTTCCTGTTTGCGGAACGAGCTAGAGCAGTGCTCGGACGGAGCGAGGAAGCTCGACTGGTTTGCAGCGTTACATTCCAACGCGCTTGCATCTTCGAGTCTTTGCTTCGCGCGCGTGTGCTTCACTCCATCGCGAGGTGTTCGCTCTTTACGCCTGATGAATGCCAAGTTTCCCAGACAATAAATTCACGAGCATCGACTGGATGGTCAGCCAGTAACCAAATCGCGGTAAATCGAAACGTCAACGAGGCGCGTGTGGATCTTTTTGGACAATGCGAGGAGCGCGAACACCACTTGAGAAACCAGACACCTGGGGCCGCCTGCCAGCACTTGGATACTGGATGAAGAGGGTAACCATGCCTCGTTGCATTCGAGTGCTCGATGACGTTCTCGTTGTTCTACGCATCCGTCAGCTCTATGAACATCGTGCGCAACTAGGACGAACAATCGTCTCAAACAAGCGACACATGTATGCCTGTTCGTTTGACCAGCGCGCAGCTGTCAATGTCGCATGACCTCAAGGCTGTATCGTCGTTGTCGCCACAACCAAGCAGTCATGAGGTGCGCCTCTCAAGCACATCGCCCATCGAGCAGCGTTACCGACCGCGCAGCGTCAAAGCCTACAGCGGTGCATGACCGCGTCCGGCTCCACGTGCTGGTCGATATAGGATGAGGGTGTCCTTAAGGTACACCGATCATGGAGCGCTCCAGCATTTCTAGTTTTCCGTGGAGCTGCATCAAGGGGCTTCACCTGCGACGGGAGCGCTCTGCGTTCGGAGGTCGCGCTCAACGCCGGATTCCTCTAACGCTTTGGTCGACGCTGGTGGCAGGCCTTCGTGTACCAGCTGGGGGTGCATAGGGCCAGGACGGGCCCCCGGGAGACACACTAGGTTACACAAGCGCGATCTGAAATCGTTGAGGGCAACTCACTATAATCCGAACTGTGCTCACTCGATGTCTGGCGAGTCAGCGGATCCGTGGACGCTCGGGTTTTGGGCTGAACAGCAGTGGTATCGAGGTGCTAGGAGTACGAAGCATCCGTGACAGCGTTGACGTCGCTTATCACGTACACTCAGTCATATCGAGTTATGGAACTGCATGATCGTTGCTGAATAGCCGAACGGGGGAGTCGCTCCCATTGAATGGTTAAACATGGTGCACCAGGCTTTGTGGACTGCTGAACTGTATCAAACCAGTGCCTTGGTGCGGGCGAGCATACCCTGCCGTCTCTCCTGGCTACTGGTTTTTCTTCATCGAAATCCTCAGCGTCGCAGCACAATACATAAGCTGACTGGCCTAGAATTCCCTCGAATCTCCGTTCGAAACATAGGCCTTGGACCCGGCGGAAGCACGACAAACGTTGCTGACCTGGAGCGAGGTTTTGATGGTTCAGTTCAGAAAGTGCACGTTCTCATGGATGCTGGTAGCCTCTCACGACGAAATGCTTCGGACCTTGAACTGTCTCGATATCTGACACTCGAAGTGTATATTGCACACCGTCTTGTGCACGCGCTTCTTCATTACGAGTTCCAGCGGACAACGCGTTTCTCTTTGGTGTATGTTGTCTTTAGAGCATCAACGGGCGTCAGACAAAGTCGATTCCTGTTTCATGGAAAGCTCTGTTTGAATAAGCAGGAGTGCAGCTAGTGCGCGCTCCAGCACGTCTATCGCCCGAGAGAATCCCCAAACGACACGATGCTTTGCACAGTTCATTTTGAGACTCATTGAACGCGTTAGCGCAGGAACGATTCTTGCCTACGTACAACGGAGGTCGTTGGCGATTCCGACAAAAGTCTGCCACGCACTCTTGCCAAAGATTGACTCCATGCGACCGGGGGACGCTCGTGAGCTTTCGCTGAAACCGAGCTTTTGCGAGGTATCCTGGGCTCATCGATACGGTTCTCAGTGCACCGCCATGGATTCTGATGCTGTCGTTGAGCGCACTGGCATGCCTGTTGGCGTCTGATATACCCGAATGTCGGTGATAACGGGTGCTGGAAAACTTGAGCAGCTTCGCGCGCTTTCCTTACCGCTCAATGGCTGCATCCGCTTGATTTGCAGGTGTCGCGATATCCATGACGTCCGGCAACCGGGGATCGACACACACACACACACACAGACACAGACACCATCAAGTCTTTCTCTTGATCTAGCGCGAATGTTTGAAAATGAGTGTCGCTGCTCGAAGCAGGTCTGGGTTTCACAAAAAGCACGCAGAAGCGTATGCCGTCGATCTGTACTGATTCTGAAACTGATGATCCACTCTCGCCCGGAAAAACAGCGGCTTGGGATGAGGTGCCCCATTGCTCCTCGTCGCGTTGTTCAAATGCTTTGGAGCTTCTCACCGCCACAAGCGCCATCTCTGCCTTTACCTTTCCAGCGTGGGCTGGCAAATATGTCGTCACTATACTCCATTCTCGATTTCTCCGCGGGACTCCTATGCACTGGTTACTACTTGTGACTGAAGCTCGCCCTCTGCATTTATGGATGCACTATTCCTTTACTGCATTCTCATTATCTCTACGATTGTGAGCGTGTCTATGAACCAGGTGTGCCTTTTCGGAATCAACGGCACACGAGGACTGGTGCGACAGAGCAGTCCAGCGTCGGTAAAGATCGAGCACGATTCGTATATAGATTCGTGAGCCTATATTTCATGGCTGACTACTGAGCAGACGCCTTCGACTGGACTGAACCAGGGAGCCTAGTTTCGCACGAAGATTTGCATCCCGCCAGTCTCAGCCGCACACTCCTGGACCGCCCTTGCCTCATGGCAAGCGACGTAGTCAACCAGCATGCGAGAGAATTTGGGGGAAGGAGAAGTCACAACTTGTTTCTCTCAAGGATACCGTACGAACCTACCCTGTCCACCTGGCGGTATCCCGGCGACGGCACGATCGTATTGCTGCTAGGGCTTGTGTTGTCGGCATGCCAGCTTGTCAAGTATCTACGAACAGCAAATGAGCTCTGTTTGAGTAGCCACAGCCGGGTGGACCAATACTCCCGAATACGGTCTGATCTATTGAGAGGAATATCTTTGCATCCTGGAATGAGCGTTTACGTTCGAGTGCGCAACCGGGAGTATGCTGTTAAACACTCGACGTTCTCCCGTAGGGGCGTTTTTTTCTTGTTGTCCATTCGCGTCGCTCCATCACGATTTATATGAGCGGTGCGAAGATTCCACAGATTCCCTGTCTTTTTGTGAGCTTTGCCCCAGAACGTGTGGAGCTGCATGGATTCACGACAAGGCAATGTTGAAGATGAATCCCGACAAGCTCTGGATCAAGTGCATGATATTCAGCACAAGGACGAGGTGTAGGACGGTTCATCCACTTGCTGAACGTACAATGGCCAACTTGGCGTTTCGCTCATGACAAATCAGGGACAGGGTAAAGCCCCTACCTCGATGTTTCCCCAACCCATGGGCCATATTCGTTCTGTTGAATACCAGTGGGAAAAACAACTAGAAACAACAACGGCGTGCTGGTACGGGTGTTCGAGCACGCACTGCTCTGCGTACAAGCCATATTTTGCAAAACCGATGCTTCCGTCATCATCTTCGTGTACTTTTTAGGTTCAAGTAAGCAGTTCTCTGTACCAGAGAATAGCGCAAGGAATAGAAGCGACTCCCTCGCCGCCTCTTTCTACGTCTCATCCACGATGACACGTCAAAATGCGCAGCCGCGATGCGCTCAATAAAAAGGCCTTCCACGTTTCAACGACAGCTTTTCTGCATGATGCGGTCTGGTCCAGGACCCAATGGCTCGAGCAGCGTAATCAATGCTCCCAAAAAGTTCCCGCAGCCCGTACATGAAGGTCGAGAAGTGCACAAAGTCATCGATGGGGACGCCCGCAATCGGCAGCGTCGCAGTGCTGGCGGACGCATCCGCACTGCGCAGCAGTTTTGTCTCGACGACCTGCCGAAAGTTGAGAATGATCAACTCTTTCTCCAGTTCATGGTCCACTGTTTGCGCGAATTCTGCGTCCGGTGCGCAGCTGCGTGCCTCCTCCGCTGCCACGGATTCACTTGCATGGGCGAAAGACGCTCTGGATGGCGACGTGCTCCCTCGCGGCGAGGTGCTGCGGCGGTCATCCTCTTGTAGCGAGCTCCGTAAAAGCTCTTCACTCGCGGATTGTGCCTCCCTCGCAATCGACAGCCTCGGTTCCCGAGTGCGCACGTGGCGGTGATAGTGCGGATTCCGTAACTGCATGAGGCGGCGAAGGAGCGGAAACACAGCGGCAAGCTGCGGACCCCGGTCCAAGTCCTCGTTTTCGAGGAGTTGTTCGTAGATCTCAGCGAACGATGCGCTGCTACTCTCGTCTAGCGCCATTTTTGCAATATGAGCTGCCAGTCGACTTTCGAGCTCGGGATAACGATCACGAATGTAGTGCACAATCTGGAGCGCCCGACGCCGCATTCGGAACCAGAGCTCTGCGCGTCGTCGACGAAAGTTGAGCAGTGCCAAACCCACACTGGGCTCCATGATGCAGAAGCCCTGACCTCCGTCGGCAACTTCGACGCCATTCCCTTCGTAAGCGTTCAGCTTGGATTGCATTTGAGCGGCTCGTTTTCGCGAAAGGCACAGCTGCAAAAGCCATTTCCGGTTCTCGAAACGGCGCATTGCATCACTATGCAGCGCTTCGGCGGATCCGAAGAGATCCTCCAGAATACCGCGAGATTCGAGGCATCCTCGCAGGGCGTCTGTGAGCTCAATCAACGAGCGGAAAATTGCACTGAATTCAGGCTCGAGTGCCAGCAGGAAAAGGCGATACATCGCCCCAGAGAAGCGCACACCGTAAATGGGTGGACGGTTCACTATACTATTGAGCACCTCCAGTCGTAGCAGCACAACACAAAGCGCAACGTTCCCGTCAACGATAAACTGTGGTGGTCGAAAGAAGCCTCTTTTCCACAAGGCGAACTGATTCACGCCGCCGAAACTCGGTGACAGGGCGTTGCTCAATATCGCTACACTTGTCGCCAGCGCCTCAATGTGCTTGTTGATAGCCATGGTCTCTTGCCACGGGTGTGCGTGTACACGCACGTTTTGCACCTCCTCCGCCTCCTTGTCTCGTTCTTCGGTGGTCGTTTCAACGGCCGGATTGGCTGGCGCTGCCTCGATATTATGGAGCGCCTGATGAAAGCGATCCAGAAACTCGTCGCAGTTGTGGCGACGGAGGTTCTCCTCCCAGCATGCAATCGCACCGTCGACGCTGGCAGCAAATCCGCGGAGAAGGGTGCGGCGTGATTCACGACTCGCCATACGAGGTGACAGGGCCGTTGTGAACAGGATGATCACGCCAACCCCTATCGCAGTGCATACCATTGCGCCTACAGCGGCTTGCCAGACAGCGTGATCGACCGGCGCACTGTACTGGCACATGCAGACCACGGTGAAGATGAAAATAGCAATGCCAGCTGTGTACTGTAGCCATTTCATGGAATCGACAAGGTTGCAGTAAAACATGACGAAAACAATCGCAACCGTAATACCATCCACAAAAAAAGCGTTCACAGCTAGGGCGGGTTTCACCAGCACCAGGTAGCCGAGAGCCGCACCAACGATGCCCCCGGCTGCTCGGGAGAGCGCCACACTCACAGCCGATTCCGTTGTCGGTCGAGCGGACACCACCACCGACAGGTACCCGAGAATCGGCTCCCATTGTTGTCGAATATTCGACGACGCCGGAATACAAACCACAGTAATGATCGCAGCAGTGCTGATAATATAGTACTTGATGAGAAATATGAGTTGCCATTGATTATTTTTCCAGAACCGTCGATAGTCCGCAGCGCGGTACTGCAGCACATTACGGAGGACGTCGCTCCAGAAACTATACATCGCACGAGTCGAGAACGTGACCGCCATAAACACATTCCAACTGGCATCTCGGAGACGGTTCAGCGCCCAGTGCCACCAGGGCGACGATTGCCGGCTCATCGGCGCCTGTCGTTCCAATAACTGATACACGGATTCGCGCAACTCGTAGACAGAGTCGAGAACCCGATGCACTAGCACGGTGCTGAACCAGGCAACACGTACCGACTCGACGGGCACAATCGCCGAGACGCGGACGAGCTTGGTCACATCGACTTCGCGGTTAAAGTCCTCGACGTGTGTTGCAATCGCCATATCACGCCAAAACTCCTGATAGCCACTGAGGCCACTCTCTGTGACGCGCCGCCAGAGCGCCTCGATTTCTTTCTCGTCAATGACCTCATCGAGGTACTTTCGAATCTTCTCGTTGCGAAATATCGTAAGGGCATGGGGTGAGTTTTCCGGCCAGTGGAACCAACGCACCTCCTTCTCTCGAACGAGCAAGCCGAGCAAATTGCATGCACTCGCAAGCCTTGCCCATAATCTGGTTACATCTGCAAGGGCACTTCGATACAGTCTGTGCATCGCTACCGCGCGGTACTCGGTACCACGGCGATGCAGAATAACGCTCTCGAGTCCGCCGATACGTGCGACCAGGTCTCGTGACTTGTAGATGATTTTCGACCAGTCCGTTATCGGCGCATGATAAAAGAGTGCCGGGTACGTGAGCTCGTTGGCGCCTAGCGGTAACAATCGCTGCAACGCCACTAGGCTCCCATGGAGATAGAGCGAGCCTCCTTGTAGTAACGCGGACTCTTCCGCGAAGCCAAAAATCGTCGCCTCCGCACTGAATGACGACTCACTGCGGCCCAGCGTCTCCATACGAGCATACGAAGACAAGCGCTGCTCCATTATTATTTCCACTGAGGTTCGTGGCGAGGCTGAATGGTATCCATCGAAGGTGTTGGCGATCTGTTCCTTCTGCCGCTCCTGCAACTCATTCTCGATCTGAGTCGCCTGGAACACATCAGCCAGGAGAAGCGACGCCAAACGACTCAGGCGCTTAGCACTCTCGCGTAGCACGTTTTCGACGCTGTCATGAAAAAGGCTACGTACGGACACAGGAAACACAAGCAAAGCAACAAAAAATCCCACAAAGGCTGCAAAGCAGGTTGAAAGGATGTAGTGCGAGTACATGAAGGCGTGGTGTCCGGGTCCTGAGTCCAGGCTCAGCTGCAAATAGTTTTCCACAACGCCAAACGCAATCAGTGAAAGGCTCACAGAGCCTACGGCGGGAGGACAGAGCCGAGGCGCCACCAGTATTGCCATAAACACCACATTGAGTATGATGCGAAGCCAAAGCAAGTGCCCTGCAGCAAGCTGAATAATGAGTGCCAGCGTCGCCCCGAACGAGGGACCAACGATAGCCGCGCTTGCCGCCTGCTGCAGTGATCCCACATATTCAAACTCACTGACAACACCGGCCAATAGTGCGAATTGAATTGGCGCCCAGCACGCCATGTAGACCCGGGTTGGGTTGATCACGACCATCAGCGTCGTCAGAAAGTAGCCAAGCGCAAGCTGCACCGCCACAAACGAACGCCTCACATATGTCCGCATTCCAATACAAGACAGTACCCAATGAATAGCCGGGCCAGAATCAAGATTACGTCAAGAGGTCAGCTGACGACGAAAGCAAGCAGGATTTGCGTACGCTTCGCTGAACGGAACGATGGACGAGGCGACATGCTGCAGTGGGCGCTGCGCAGTTGGTAGGTATAAACATACCTAAAAGGGACACACGGGTGTGTTCGCGATCGACCCCGAGCGATGCGGCGCGTGCCTTGTGTGGTGCGGCGCGAGGCACCTTGTGAACGCCACGGAGCCTGCAGTCCAGCGACCAGTTTGTGTGGTGTTGCGAGCACGTTGGCGCTCGTTGCGTGTACGTCTTTGGTGTGTGTGTACCCGAGCACTTGTGTCGTGTGTTCCAGATAGTACTTTCTGCGCTACAAAATTGGTTGCGCAAACGACGCGCACCGCTCTGTTACCGGAAAGCAGCCAGAACACCCCACGTACTTGTGTAGCGTTGTACACACCGAGTTCCAGTGTGGAGCACGAGTTTGTGTAGCAGTGCGCTTTACCACTTGAATAAAAACACCCAAGTCACGGGGTCGTGGTTCGTAGCACTCAAAACGAAAGAAGCAAAGTCCTCTAAACGCTTGGCATGTGGCTTTTTGTGGTACCTGCGCACCAGGGAACGTCGTACCAGCGTAGCAGCTCGAGGCGCTCGGCTGTGAGACGCGAAGGATTTGCGATCGGGTTCCGATGCCGTAGTCGCCAGGGCAAGCATTATGCACCTTTGTTTCGTCAGACGGTTGTCGGGGGTCGCCATACGCGCCACCAGCATGCAGGCATTCGAAACCTGCGTGCACAAGGGGAACCCTCGTCGACGCCGCCGCCGCAGGTCCCGTTTGAGCTTCGCGGCTTCTCGCTAGCCAAGGTCGTGACCGGGATCGGTGCACTGCTCACCGTCTATTCACTCTATGTGTATTTCAAGAGTGCAGGCTCGGCATCAGAAACATCTCTGACGCTCATTTACGGGATGCCTATCTTGCTTCTCGGTCTGGCACTGTGGTACGCAGAACTCGAACCTGTGCCGATCTCGACAACGGACGATCTGGTAGTCCTTCGGGAACGAAAGGCGACAACGACGCTCAAGCAGATCATTCGTGATGTCACGCGCCATAGGTATGGCGACGAGGCGCATTTATCGGGCGCGCTTCGGGTGCTGGGCGTCATTAAGAGAGGCGACCCGGCACCAGTGCTGCTTCGCCTGCGAGAGTCTCGCGAGCCGGGTGAAGAATACGGGCTTGCACTCGTTTTCGAATGCCGCGAGACGCCGTTTGAGGCCTTTCAAGCTGTAGAGGATCGAATCGATAGATTCTTTGGTTCGGGTATTCGACACGAACTGCGAAAAATAAGTGAGGATCCGTTGATTGTGGAACTGAAACTCATCACTTGTCGTCGGGAGACGGCAACTGTACTCCCGGATACGCTGAAGCAAGCCGTTGGCCAGAGCAACCTGAACCCCGAACGGGGCGCGACACGAACACCTACACCAGACACACCAGACAACGACAGCGCAAATGGTGCTTCAACTGCCGCTGCTGATGATGGTGCTAGCGCTGGTGATGCTGCAAAGCGCGACCGCCTCAATGCGCTGTCTTCCCAAGCGGATAGCAGCAGCACAGGGCACGCTGCGATCGGACGTGAGCCTCACCAGAACCCCACCGAGTCACTCGCTCCGTTCGCGCTATTCGGGTTTCGACCGACGCCGCTGCCGGGACCTCCACGTCAGAGAAATTAGATAGACAAGCCGGCACACTGATCGCTGATGACTGCACTTTGGTGTCCATCAAGTTGCGCGACGATCGGGCGCAGAAACAAGCATCTGTCGCGTTCACGCCGCGCTCATCGACTCGCGAACGGCGATCACCCGCGTGCGTTTGGCTGTGGATGCCACCAAGAACGTGGCAACTGAGTGGTCGGGCATCGCCATGCAACGTCACAGGGACGGTGCTTTCCTTTTAGGTTCCCCGGGAACGGCGGAAGGTCACAATGGTGCGCTTTCCGAAGCGTAGCGAATCCCGATGCAATACGTCCACAGGCGCCGACGCACACGCCCTAGAAAACTGGAATTCCTGCAACCCGCCATGCATAAACGTTCCTGCAAGCACAGAGCCATCAGCTGTCGCCGAACATCGGTACCTGTCTTGGTCTGAATAGAGGCGCACTGGTCGCCATCGTCGGATTCTATCATATCCCTTGACGTATCGTCCGTATCGATGCATTGGATGCCCGACGCGTTACGATGGACTCGTAGAGCCGTACCGCAGGTACGACTTTTTCGATGGCAGATCTACAACTTCAAGTCCATCGGCAAAGTGCTTCTGCACCAGCGCATCGGGAACGTTTGATGGAACTATAACCCTAGACCCGGGCTTCCAGTCCACGGGCGTCGCACAGTGCAAACGATCGCTGGTCTGCAGTGCGTCCACGACGCGCAAAAGCTCATCAAAGTTGCGGCCGATCGGCGCTGGATACGTCACCATAGCCCGTATGCGCCTCGAACTGTCAATGATGAACACCGAACGAACGGTAAACGGCATGTTGTCGCGACCCGGATCCGCTGCCGGTAACATGTTGTAGAGTTTGGCGATTTTGCGCTCTGGGTCTGCAATGATCGGGTACTTAACCTCAGTTTTCCCATATGCACCAACATCTTGCACCCAGGAGTTGTGAGACTCGACATCATCACAGCTAAGCGCTAGCATTTTCACACCGCGACGCGCAAACTCTTCCTGGAGCTGCGCAGCGCGCGCCAGCTCCGTCGTGCACACCGGTGTAAAGTCGCGCGGGTGTGAGAAGAGGATCACCCAGCTATCTTTGGCGTATTCGCTGAACTTTATCGGCCCAAGCTGAGTTTCTGCCTCAAAGTCGGGTGCAACATCGTTGATTAAGAGAGCACGCGACATTTGCTCCGTGGGTACGAAGGCGTTTCGCGAAGCGCAGAGCAACAGCGAAGCGCCCAAAAGCTGGAGATGCAGCGCTGCCCTGTATCGAGGCGCTGCGTCATCGCAGTGCGAATGGGCAGCGTCCTCATTGGTATGGTGGTACCTGCCGGATACGCTGGCTACTGTTAGCATTTTGTCATGAGGATACTGTATGATAACGACTGCGGGATACGCTGGCTACTGTTAGCATTTTGTCATGAGGATACTGTATGATAACGACTGCGGGATACGCTGGCTACTGTTAGCATTTTGTAATTAGGATATTGTATGATAACGACTGCCGGATACGCTGGCTACTGTTAGCATTTTGTCATTAGGATATTGTATGGTGGTACCTGCCGGATACGCTGGCTACTGTTAGCATTTTGTCATTAGGATATTGTATGATAACGACTGCCGGATACGCTGGCTACTGTTAGCATTTTGTCACTAGGAATTTGTATAGTGATACCCGCCGGATACGCTGGCTACTGTCCAGAGGCATAGGCTGGCGGGATGCGCGGAACGCGGAACATTGTTTCCGCGCGAGTCTCTAGGCGGTGCTGTGAGGGAGACTTGACGAATCGACTCGGTGGCATATGCAAGTATCTGCCGACGCGTTGAGATTTCTCTCGTTGTTACTGGAACTGTTCGTGTTCATTGGAGACGCTAACTTGACTCGCTATTTATCCATGATCAAATGAAGATCGAGTGCTTCCAGAATCCAGTATTTCGCCATACCGCTTTCTCGTTTCGGAGCTGTGGGCTATGCCTGGTGGCGTGCGCAATCAGCTACTGATGCGCTGAGGTCGCTTCCTCTGCTGGTGACAGCACTGGGGCGTCTGGGGGACTCTGGAAAACGACTTCTCTGTTCGTGATAGGGATGGTGTGCGCTTCGCCCGTAGCAAAAAAAAGGAGCGGAACTCCTTGTCGTTCTCAGTCTGCCATACGTCCAGGCGGCCTGTTATCCACCGCTCGAGCTGAATCGCTTATCGTAGACGCGCACGAACGAGACCCTGGGTTGCATCGAGGCTTCCATGGGGTTCTCCCATGTCATCGAATGAAACACCTGGTTCTTGGGACCGGCATGGCAACAGCAGGTAGCTTACCGCTTGGCTTGGGGCGCACCTGGATTTTCCGTAACATTGAGGGTCCTCTTTGCAACACTCTGAACTACGTCAGCAGGAACCGCTCAGCGGATACGTCATACCCCGACGGCAAAACCGCGTGCCGCCCTGAGCGATGAGGGTAGCGTTCTGGCAGCGTGCATGGTGCGCATCAGCGTTGTCCGGGCCCTGTGATGATCCACAACATGTCGACGGAGCGCCAAGAATTGCGACCCTCTAACCGAAACACGTTCTTTGCCTCGACACCCGTGCAGGTGTCGCGCGAATCCCGGGTGTCTCGCAATACAAAACAAGTAACCGAGACTAGTGGCTGCGTTTTACTGTCGCAGCATCGTCGTAGTCGGAGGCCTCGCCATTTCTGGTCAGCGTCTCTGGCAAAAAAAATAAGGAGAGCATTCTCGTCAAGCGATTTTCCATACCAACAACTTGTGATCGCCATCGAGAATATCTGCACGAGGGAGGTTCCGATTCAAGGACACGTGCACGACGGCACGTGTCGTGCAGCGCGACGCCTCGGATTCGTTTCGTTCCGAAACGCCTCGTCTAACGCGTATACCTCGCTACGCTGCAAGGTTCAAGTGAGCTGCGCTCAGTCGAAGAGCATTCATGAATAGGCTGTACACATGTGGTATCGAACGTCGTTCATGATAGGAACGAACGCGGTGCGATTCGTGCGTGACACAGACAGGAGGTGGCGAAACGGACGCTCGCATGCACGTCGCTGCACTCATGTCGGCATGTCATGGACGAGGCACACGCACCTATTTTGGGTGTTCACCCAACACAACTAGGGCTGGTTATCTCGGCCGCCAATGCAAGCCATTCAGGGCTTGTCTAGGGCAGGTTTTGTTTCCTCTCTCGTGTCTCCCGTTTTCAAGACACCGGTTGCACATGTACCTCGAGCTCCGTTTGAACCAGCAGGCGAGGTTGACGGCAGCGTTCACGTCCCTATTTCGCAGCTTCTGGCTAGTATTGTACCGTTTGATGCTTAGCAGGCAAGTCGTGATCCGCCCCTCTTTTGCCTTTTCATCTGCTTTGTATACAGGGTCAGTGCGCCCTTCGTAAGAGTGGCACATGGAGGTGGTCAGGTGTTTGCGAGTATGCATCGTAACGAAACCTACTCCTTCTGCGAGGGTCATCCATGGACGCTTTGTGCTTCGTATATCGCTTGGCATATGCCCTTGACGGGTATAGAGGGCTCTCTTCGATGTCCGCGTCGGTTTCGACGCCCGGTACCGAGCCCAACGATCACGAGCATCTTTCTGGTGATCCGCTCAGCGAGCACGCTGTCTGCTGCATGCGCAAGAGCTCGCTCTTCCATCGGAGAGGGGTTTTGTGGGACACGATATTACCCGTGATGAAAAAAGTACCGAAATGAGATTCCAGGCTTGAGAGAAAATCGACAAACGTCAATCCGAGTTGCCCCTTTCCTGTGTAGCGGTCAGGCAATGCGCACTGGAAGCGATCGTTGCGATGAATCAAGCCCTGAGTCCAAGACTCTATTCCACGCAAACAAAAGCGACGGAAGCCGTTGGCAGCGCATCCCCCGAAAGGCTTCGTGTCACTGTCGAATGTCGTTGTGCCGTTGGCGACCCAGAGAGGAGCGTTTGCCTTTCGCGCAGATTCGATTATCTGGCTTGACGTGTCGAGTGAACGTTCTGCATGAGCGTGGAATCGTAAAGAGATCTGGTCGAGGTTTTCCCTCGTCAACCCAGATGTACGTACGGGATGCAGAAGCATGAAGGCTGGTGCGCTTGTGTTCGATCATGACATTGGGTATTTTACAAACCCTCGCTTGAGGTTGTCGCCAATCATCTTGATTTCCGAGGCGGAAAGCATACCAGTCGCAAGCGTGGAAGACGCTACCCCGTCAAGACCGATATGAATCCTCAAACTTCGCATGAATGCATACGCCGTTACTGCTGCACTTCGAACGTCGACCCCGTGCATCTAAGAAAACGTGCGCGGAGAAAGATAGCAAGGTAGGAACAGCGAGAGCAGGACAGCGTGCCGTGTGAATCGAACCTGGGTGCAGTGGCTGCCACCTCCAGCGGATGCAGCTGCTGGTGAAGCGAGCTTCCGCAGGGACGTGTAACGCGCGTGCAACGCCTGACATGCGTCGTCGAGACACCCGCAGCGTCCGACCGAACCAATATTTGGTGCTTTTCGGCTGTACGGTGCTTGCCGACGCCTAGCAATCGCATCATTCGCGCTTGTTGCGGCCTCTTTCTCTGGCATGGCATGGAACGGAAGCAGGTCAAACTCCGATCTACGCTGCTGCTTTTAACAGGATTCAAAAAAATGGTCATCCAAACGACGGACGCGCACCCGATTCAAGGTCACCGACCCGTTCGCTATCCCCTCGGCACCGTAAAAGCTTCCATGAGCGCTCACCGTGGCCTGTGGTAGGCGCACGCTCCGCACAGAAGCCGCCAGCTGACCCAGTGGCGTGCAAGCCGTGACCGCCACGCCTCCGGGCCGTGCGCTTACCCCGGGCATCGCTGCCTGGTTGCGCGCCTCATCCCAGACCTCCCGAGCGATGAGCGTCGGCGCCTACGCAGCAGCAACGATTCGCTCCTGCGACGCTTCGATGCTAGCCCAGAGCACACTCGGAAAGCGAAAGACTCAAGCCGATTGCGTAGGTTTCTCGCAAACCGTGCCATCCTCGACAGCACTCGTACTCTGTTGACCGGTGAACGGTTTCAGGCTCGGATCCGTGGAGACCAGCTCCGTCCAGCTCCGCTCTCCAGTGACCAGCTCGACAAGCACGCGCACCACATCCCCAACGGAGCCGCGTACCTGCTCCATGGAATCCCGTTCACGCAGCGTGACGCTGTGATCCACCAGCGAATCAAAATCGATGGTGACGCAGAAGGGCACCCCGATTTCATCGGCGCGTGCGTATCGCCTCCCGATGGACACGTTGCTTTCGTCGAGGCGCACCGTCAGACGGCATTTTGCGAGCGCATGCAAGACGGCCTGTATCACGGGTTCGAATACCTCATTTTTGCTCAACGGCAGGACGACGGATTTCACCGGTGCAATTGCCGGTTTCAAGGCTAACACGGTGCGCAATTCATCGCCACCGGTTCGATTGTAGAACGCATGCTCCAGAACACAGTACAACAGTCGCCCGATGCCGAACGAGGGCTCAATGACGCTGGGACAGTAACTGCGGCCGTGAATCTTGCGATTCACCCGTTCGATCGTCACCATTTCCCGTGTGATGACGTAGGGTCCCAGCTGAACTTGGTCCTGGTCAGTGAGCTGTTGCTGAAGCTGTGCACGCTCGGTTTCGCCCAGTTTCTCGATGGCTTCCAAAACCTGCGGTGTTTCACCGCGAAACTTCGTTCCAATAACCCGTTTGAGCGGTGTGATTTGGAGGAACGTCTCGTCACGTGGCTCGTCGAACTTTTCATAGGCGACCAGATCCACCTTGGAAGCCGCGGAATGCGCCTGCAGGTCATAGCAGGCACGATCCGCGAGGCCAACGCACTCCACCCAGCCGTACGAGGTCTCCACTTCGAGATCCCAGCAATCCCGGGCATAGTGGGCCATTTCACTCTCCAGATGTTGTCGAAAACGCATATGATTGGGCAGAATCCCAATCATTTGGGCATATTGTTGCGTTCGCGCGATGAAGTAGGCCAGCGTCTCGTTGTCGACAATGCCTTGGCGAACTGCTTCCGCCGCACGAAGAAGCACGGTTGTCATCTGTTCTCGAGAGCGAGCGGCGTGCTGCTCCTTCCGTGGGAGCAGAATCAGCTCCAGGTCAGCGATAAGGTTGAACTTTGGATGGTCCTTCCGATCCGGATGAACGAAATGTTCGATTTCAGCCTGAGCGAACTCTCGCACGCGCAGAATACCTGCTCGCGGAGATATCTCGTTCCGGAAGGAGAGACCGATCTGCGCACACGCGAACGGCATGCGTCCGTTGTTGTAGTCCAGGAGGCGACGAAAGTTCACAAAGATGCCTTGGGCTGTTTCTGGCCGTAAATATGCTGGTATCGTTCCCGTCGGTCCTATCTGTGTTTGAAACATGAGATTAAATGGATATGGAGCAGAAAGTGGTGCATCTGACTCTGGTGCACGGATATCGAACTGCTGGTATGCAGCAGCGATTTGCTCCTGATTCATTTCGTCTATCCTCTGCAAGCAGGTCTCCATTGCTGATCGCAGCCTGTCTTCCTGTACATCGGTGCGCTTCCGATCCATCGCGGCTATGCGGTTCTCCAGGGTCTCCCGCAGCAGGTGGTCAGCTCGGTAACAGGCGCCCGTGTCGAGATCGCGAACCATGTAGTCCTGGAAACGATCAACGTGACCAGAGGCTCGCAAAACCGGATCAGGTGTCAGCGTCGGTCCGTCGATCTCCAGCATGCCCTCCTCCACAACAAAATGATCCCGCCATAACTGGATGAGATGGTTCTTCATGGCGCACCCCGGGGGCCCGTAGTCAAACAAACCCGCAACACCGCCATAGATTTCAAACGCGGGCGCAAGAAAAAACCGGCGTCGCAGCACCGTCTCAAAAGCGTCCCTATCAAAAGACTTACGATCGAAGCGGCGCTGCATCGCAAGTCCACGCGCTGTTTATGGACTCAGGAGGTAAGCCGGAACGTCTCGTGTGCGTTGCTTTGTCGCCGCTGGACGCGATCTAGGGCAGAATGCTCCGTTTGTCACTTAATGCCGCCCACGTCAGCAACTGGCTCAATAAAGCTATAACGGTCTACCAGGACGCCTAGCGAGCACAAACGCACACACCGCTTTGCTGAACAGAGACACACGGAACGCTCTTCACGAGTCGCGTACTAGGAAAGGCGACGTATCGCATGCGTTGACCGGTACTGTGTCCCGGCGGCTGCGCTGATCGCACCGCTGCTTCTGCTGCTGCTCGATGATGATGATGACGATGATTACGATGATGATGCTGCTCGATGATGATGATGATGATGATGCTTCTGCTGCTGCTCGATGATGACGACGACGATGATGATGCTTCTGCTGCTGCTCGATGATGATGATGATGATGATGCTTCTGCTGCTGCTCGATGATGATGATGATGATGATTACGATGATTACGATGCTTCTGCTGCTGCTCGATGATGACGACGACGATGATGATGCTTCTGCTGCTGCTCGATGATGACGATGATGATGATGATGCTTCTGCTCGATGACGATGATGATGATGATGATGCTTCTGCTGCTGCTCGATGACGATGATGACGATGATGATGCTTCTGCTGCTGCTCGATGACGATGATGACGCTCGATGACATGGCATCGCCATCGGGCAGCGTCATCGGACGATGCCGCCTCCTGCACCTCTGTTTTCGCGTCCAGTTCAGCGGGGCGCAGCGTGCGATTCGTGCCGCTCTCGGATATGAGGTTCAGCGGTGGAGTTCTCCAACTGACAGCAACTGGTTGGTACGAGTCTAAGGTTTGTGCACCAAACAGCGGGCGTTGCCAGTTCAGATGGCTCTAGATCAAACGCAGACTTTCGCTGGTTTGGGTCTGTTGCCGTCCTTGTGTGAGGCGTGTCAAGCGCTTCGGTTGCAACGACCTACCCCTATCCAGCAGGCGTGCATTCCAGCAGTACTCAACGAGCGATACCGCGTTGTCATTGGAGCCGCTGAAACAGGCTCTGGGAAAACTGCCGCTTTCGTGTTGCCAATTCTTCAGTTGTTGGTTCGTGATCCCTGCGGGCCATTTGCGGTGATTCTGACGCCAACGCGGGAGCTAGCAGCGCAGATTGCGGAACAAACCCTCGCACTGGGGTCGCGAGTAGGCGTCAGAGTTGAGACGGTTGTAGGCGGCCTCGATGCGGTGCACCAGACCACTGTACTGGAAAGAGAACGCCCACACATTCTCGTGGCAACGCCTGGGCGTCTTGCAGCGTTTATTCGGCAGCAGCAAGCAGCTGATCAGACTTTGCTCCCGCGTAGACGGCCAGAAGGGAGTCAGCGCTGTCGCTACTTTTGCAGATTGCGGTTCCTGGTGCTTGACGAGGCAGATCGTCTCCTGGAAGAGGGTTTTGCGGCAGACCTGGCGACACTGTTGGGTGCGTTACCCGTAACGCGTCGTACGCTCCTATTTTCTGCTACAATGTCGCGACAGATGGAGCGCATTCAGCAACTGGTCGTGGCGGAAACCGACGGATCCCAGGTATTTGCATTTGACGCGAATCGAGGACTCACTGACCAGGGGATCTACGCGACAGTGGCGTCGCTGAAGCATTACTACCTTCTCGTTCCGGCCGCGATCCGAGATGTATATGCCGCATACGTCTTGCTGCACGTTGTCGGTTCAGGAGAGGACGCCGTCCTCAAGATGCTGCGACGCCGTCGGCGCCAGCGCGAGGCCCGCACCGCTGACGAAGACAACGACGACGCTGACAATGACCACGTCGGACGCGACGAAACGAACGGATCAATGGAAGCCACGGCACTTGGAGCGCATACCAGGTTCCCGAATGGCGAAACCGACGGGTCTGAGTCGCGATCATCACCGACGATCGAGTCGAGTAGCGCCTCGATGGTGCTTGCCATGGTGTTCACCGCGTCTTGTGCCCAGTGTGCGATTTTTGCGAGCATTTTGGATCGACTCGGGCTGCCGGTTGGCGCCCTCCATGGTAGACTATCACAGCCTGAAAGGATAGCGGCCCTGCAGGGTTTCAAATCAGGCAGACACCGCATCCTTGTTTGCACGGATCTCGCCGCACGCGGCCTCGACATTCCCAAAGTTCATCTCGTGCTCAATTTCGATGTGCCGCGGGATGTCAGCGTTTACGTACATCGAGTCGGGCGAACAGCGCGAGCCGGCCGACCCGGTAAAGCGCTAAGCATGGTCACGCAGTACGATATTGCACTTGTGCAAGCGATCGAGGCAACCTGTGGTATCCGTCTCGCAGCATGGGATGGCCCCGGTGAGGCCACATCCGATAATCGAGTGATGCGCATCCTCGCACCCGTTCTGAAAGCGCGTCGAATAGCTCGCCTGGAATTGCTCGAACGTGGAACTATCACCCAAGCCGAGCTCAGTGACTTGGGAAATCCCCCGAAATTGGCCCGCCCACGTACAGCTTCCAAAATCATCACCAAATTGAGCCATACCCGATAGGCTCCACAAAGAAGCAAGCCCCAGCTTTTGTGTGTGTGTGTGTGTGACGCGGGCGCACGTCACGGCATCAGGTGGCACACTGGGTGCCAGTGCGTGACAATCTGCCGCCACCAGAACACGCATCACGTTGATCAGTGCGTGCGCGTGTGCGGTGCGTGCGCGTTTATCGCGCGATGGCAATCGTGAGCGGTAGCGACTGTGCACGCATCTGCCCGTGAGGTTGGACTTTTGGCGCGAAAACGTCGACAGAAAGCACAGCTCGAATGCAAGCGCCTCACGTCAGCGCTGTGGATCGCATCAAGGCAGTTGCTGCAGGTGTTCGTTTTGATTTCCTGCTGCAATGGTGCGATCACGCCTGCCAGTGCTGCATTCTATCCAGCGAGTGAGCGAGCGTAGGGCGCTGCGCATGTGTTCCAGGGTGCAGCCAGGTGTGAACCATCGGTCTTGTGTGATCCGTTGTTGCGCCGGCTCTGAGGCGTCGCCACGATGCACTCGGTTTGCGTTGGCGTCTCGCAGGTAGAGACTGGGTTGAATAACGTTACACATGTCGTACGTGGGCTGGGGAAAGTTTGGCAGCGGTGCGGATCCGTTAGCAGGTGCACGTAATCTGTGTCGCAGTCGTGCGAGTCTGGTGCGTAAGCGGGCGACTTTGCAGTGCGAAGGTTTCGATTCGTCGCTGTTTCGCAACGCCTGACGGTCGATGCAGCTGCGTCCAAAGAGCGTCATCAACGTTGGTGTTCATCCAGTAGAGCGTTTTGCGGAAACGTGTCTCTGACATGGGCCTTGCTTGATGGCATCGATGTGTGTGTGTGTGTGTGCGCGCGCGCGCCTGGCGCGACCTGCACTCGCCTGCTTTTTCAGTTTGGAACGCGCGCTGCGACCTGAACAAGCCAACGCATGGTGAAACAGGCGAATCTTCATACCATTGCACAGGAGGTGCTTTCGACCGGTGTTTCGTGCGTGAAGCGGTCTCTTTTCGGGAGCAAATCACGACCAGAGAGCGCTATCTATCTGTGTCATTGTTGACATATCCCAGGACGGCGAGACTTGTCGGTTCCATTCGAACGCTTACCGCAGTGAAGCTTCTCTCAGTGTCTGTGGAAGCAGTTGCTCGCAACCCTTGTATACGCCCGGTTCATTTTCGTCACGCAGCGTGGCGCCCGGCATATTCCATAGAGCAACGAATACTGGCACCCCGACGCGACGATTGGTGACCCAGCACTTCAATGGGGCATCCTTTCCCTGGTTTCACGCTTCTGCATCCGCTGTAGCAGATGCCGATCCGCCGATGCAGGTTGATCTGCGCTCCAGCATTCAACCAAGTGCTATCGACTGCACCGCACGGGTAATCCAAGGCAGGACAAGGAACTGCAGGGTACCAGCGACTCGCAACGCCTCAGCGAGCAGCGCCACGATAAACTGCAACATCAGGGCCCGCGGTGCTGGCGTCGATGTTTGCGCGTATCCGGAGGATCCTCCCAGCGCTGCTGCAGAAATCGCACCGACTCAACCTGAAAGCGATCCTGGCATAAACGCACGTACGGGCTAGCCAGACGAGCGAGCCAATGCGACGCTGCCGATACGGAGCATATGCAGTACACCAGGCGCTTGGTATGCTTATCCCGCATTACAGAGAAACTCTCCTCGCCATCCAGAAAATGGAAACCTCGAACTGTTCGCCAGGTAATGCTGTGTCCACTGCAGCGCGCTCGCTCAAGTACCATGTGCGTCCAGAGGAGCCCGCCCAGGTGACGCGCACTCACCACTAATACCGTAGGTTCGCGCTTGTCGGCGCTGACAAGCGTAACACCCCTGTCGCTCTTAACTTTTCGAAACGCGTACGTAAACACCCACCGGGGTGCCTGCAAAGTCCTCGCGTCTCGTATGTCGCGACAAACGAGAAGCTCAGAAACAGACGCTGAGAGTTCCGTTCTGCGGAGTTGGATCTTGTACGCTGGCGACCGCGGCTGGCAACGGCGTTGCACGTCCGTCCAGTTGGTCGTCCCGAGTGTGCACCCTATCGGATACGGCTCTCGACGCCCTTGATTCCGCGTTCGGTCGTTTTCCAACCGTTCAAGAGCCCGGCAAGCGAAAGTAGCGGCCTCGTCAGCAGACAGCGGGCTAAAGAGACGCAGCATCACAGAGCACAAGAACACCAACGAGAACGACTCCGTTTACGGGTGCGCACATGACGATCCCGGTACGCATTGTCAGCAGTTTTCCGCACGCTACAACGCCGGTCTCATCAAGTATCGCAGATGCACTTCATCTGTTATCGAATGCGCTGTACGAGGCTCAACACACGGCATGACAGACGCTGTTGTACTGTGCATGGCGTTGGTGCTGCGCTTCGATTCTAGTCGTCGGTGGTGCACTGATCACCAGCGTCTCTATGGGCATCCAAGTGATCGCGTCCGGCTTCATGATCACCGCGTTCCGGAGTCGTCATCTCTGCTACAAACAGCGTATCCGGGAACCAGGAAACACGTGCCACCTGCAACGTAGAACGCAACACCGGATTCTAATACGATGCTGATGGTCGTCTTCTTTGCAGGGACATCTTGTCTTCCGCAGAAGAGGCAGCGCGCTCGCTACGCTGCCATTGCCACGACCACGCGCCTTCAGGCCATATCGTTCGCAGGCCTGCATCCGGAATTCTCGTGATCCAATCCATGAACCTTGGTGTCATCCGAGCTTCATGTCGATTCCCATCCCTTGTATGCTATCGCTGCCGATACCTAGGCGGCACGCAGATGTCGGTCGCAAAAGTTCGCAATGCGACTGAACGCTTCCGATAGCTTGTCGATCGGTGCACAGAATGTCACACGAAAGTAGCCCGGTGGTGCACCGAAGCACTCACCGGGAAGCACCAGAACACTCTCCTCGGCCATGAGGCGCTGGACAAATTCCAATCCACTCATATGGTTGTTTCGCAGACAAACCAACACATACATGGCTCCGTGCGGTGGCGACGGTACGTGCAGGCCGCGAATACTTGACAGCTTCTCATAGGCAAATTGCGCTTGTCGAGCGAGCGTTGTCCGCACGTGTTCATACCATTCGCGACTCGTCTTGGACAAAATAACCGGTAGAGCAGCCTGTACAAGGGAGTTCGGCCCCAAAATCTTCATCGACAGGCCCTCGAGCGCCCGCCGAATGACAGAGAACTGTTGATCCGGCGTAGGGTCATGGATGAGAATCCACCCCATTCGCCATCCCGGCACGAGAAAGCGCTTCGCTAGGCCATCAACCGTGAGGACCGGAACATTCCTCGCAAGGCACCCGATGGGTGGTGCATCAAGTGGCCCCACTGGGCCACTCCCGTCCGCATGCCGACGATGGAAGACCATGCCGCCGTATATCTCGTCCGCGAGAATAACCAGGCGATGCCGCTCAGCGAATTCGACAATATCTTGCAGATGTTTTCGCTCGTAGACGCTTCCTGTTGGATTCATGGGATTATTCACAACAATACAGACGGTACGCTCGTCGACGAGTCGGTCGGTGGCTCCGCCGGGCTCGAGTCCCGTCGCCTGCCAGCCCCGCTCTGGATCCAGCGGGTAACGCCGAACCTCCGCGCCCAAGTACGCACATATCGTCTCATAGAGCGGAAAGCTGAGACTCGGAAGCAGTACATTGTCCTCGGGGTCCAAAAGCGCAGAGAAGCACAGGTCCAGCGCATGACTTGCACCGCTAGCCAGGATCACGTCGCGCTTCTCGTAGTGCGCTGCTGATGTGAACGCTGTCTGCGCCCAGTCGCGGTGGGTACCATTTCGGGGTTTATCAGGAGTAGGCCCGCCACTGGTATGACGCGAACTCAAGCGACGAGCCACACGTGCTGCTTCCTCTATGGCGGTATTGGCAGCCTTGGCAACGGCCTCCCGGGCAACTTCCGTGCCGACAGCCGGCGGGTAGCCGTTCGCCCGACCCGAACGAACAGCGTCTACCACTGCTTCATTGACAACGTCAGCTGCTCGAAGGTTTCCGAAGATGGTCGGGTCTCCGATGGATAGAGGAATCACCTGCTTGTTTGGATGGGAGCGCAAGTCCAGGCCTTCGATGAGTTCGCGGATCGGGTTCCGTGTTCGCAGCGCTGCCGCCGACGCCTTAAACGTACCGCGCTTCTCCATACTTCACAACTTCTATTCCAGTTATCTGTACAATACCCCAAATAAAAACGCAACGCAGTTACGAAAGCTCCAGACCCGGTCTCCTTTCGACGAGCAATGAAAAGCCGAGTTCAGACACTCGGATGCGTCTGTTCGAGATACAGGTCTGTGGAGGCCGCGTATGCCGAACGAGCGGAAAGAGCGTCCCGAGGTATCTGCTTGCTGCGACGCTGCTACGCTCGTGTCAGCGTATAAAGTGGAATGGTCGACTTGCAGGACTCGGAGATTCAGGATGAATATTGGATTTGTGTTTCAGCTGGCGTAAAGACGAGCATTTGCGGGTCTTGTATGCGACGGGTTCCTTTTCCTCGATCAGATATCCGACTGTCACCACATACATCCGCAGGGTCCCTCTTCTTCCAGTGTCGATCGTTGCAACACTCTGATGGTCGTGCTCAAGTCCCGATTCCGCGATTTCCGACGCTCATCGACGCATTTTATGCACAGGCGGAGCTTGGCATCTAGACTGCGCTTCCCATTTCCATGATCGTCCTTGGATACAACCGCGGGTCGCCCGTCGATACACTCACAATCGCTTCTCGTTCGATACGCATACACGTACGTCTGCCACAGCGCATGCGTTACCGCGTACTTGTCTGCAGTGACGTGTGATCGCTTGCTCCGTCAGTCCGTAGACGCCGCTTGAAGGTACAGCGGGCTCTCCGGGTTGCCATGCCTGGTGTCCGCACTCGGTGCAGTACCGTGGGATCACGAGCTCCCTCTGAGCGATCGTGTCGGTGAATAGGCTGTCTGCTGCATACACAAGCGCTCGCTGTTCCATTCTATAGACGAGTTCCGGAACGCGATATCGATCGTGGTGAAGCAGGGACCGGAGAGAGCGAGAGAGCCTCCAGGCTGGGGAAGCACTCCGGGGTTGATCCTGGTCCGTCAACGCGCAACGCTGTCCGACGCGGTGACGTACGCGCTACGCGAAGCGACTGCTGCGATGACTCGAGTCTGAGTCGCAGACCGTTATCAGTGCAAACAGAGGATACCCGGGGCGCCTGTGCGCGTATGCCGTGAGAGGCAGCAGGCCGGTCTCGTCGAGTGTCTCTTCGTCGGTGGCAACGAAGAGCGTAGGGTACGGCTTTCGGACGACATGGGTTACCTTTGACGTGACGAGCGCAGTGGGCGCTCACTACAAGCTAGCGAGCAAGTCGGTCAGGGACGACGTTGTGCTCTCTTTCCAGCGTCTCCAGCGACGTGAGTTGCCGTACCTACGCGTTGCCGTGAACACGGTAAGCTGGAGACCTCGAAGAGCGAACTTGTTGATTCTTGTACGTTTACGGAAAGGAGTAGCGGGGATGCATGTAGGTAAGCATATTGGACAGCATCGAGCGTCATCCTGATGCCGATGAGGAGAACGCATCCCATCTGCAAAGCGTCGATGGAGGCACGCTCACATGAATCCCAAAACTATACACGAGTCCACGAACACCTGTTTATGCTTTTCGAATGGCTAGCGTTGGCGTCAAATAAAAACGTTCAGAAAAGAATCACAAAGCAGGAGCGGAACGAGCTGTTCAGCGTTCGCTTTGAGTCCAGTACGCTGTTCTGAGCAGACAGCATCCGCACCTCCATTGCTGATAACCAGCTAGCATTCACTTTGTTTCCATAGTGGACGCTTGCGCCAGCCTTTTTCTTGCTGGTTACTCGTGCAAGGCTTGCGAAAAGGGCCGTTGCACTGGTAAACTTGCTTTGCAGAAGAAGTACCTCGTTCAACTTCAACCTGCAAGGTTATGTTTGTCGCGGTTATAAGACGGCGCTTGCGACCCAAGTCAGCGTCCACGAAAGCGTTTGTCGACCCGCTGAAACGTCGTAAGCCGGGCGTCTTTCATCTCAGAACATGTGAACCGCTAGCAAGCGATGACTCGCCTGACACTGCGAAGCGTGCTGAGCAGGGTCGTTCACGAACAAGCTCTCGAACGCAACGCTCGAGAGCGTCCGCTGATCCCGAAGCCAGTCGTCGTGGCGCTCGTGCTGGTGGCAGCAGTGATGATATGCGAGCAGGTCGTGGATTTGGTCCTCAAAGACAACAAGATCGCACGGAACAAATTCTGGACGCTTTTGGTTTGCAGCGCGAACGAGCGGGGCGTGACTTGGACCAAGCCGCTGCTGTGTCAAAGGAGGAGGGTGAACGCCTGGCGGTAAGGCTGTTTCGCGGCCTGCGAGCTCTATTCGGGGGAAACTACGAAGCTCTTGACTCTGCTGAACAGTGGCTACAGCGTCTCGTTCTCAGCATGCTCGCCTTGGTACTCTGTGCTGGAATCGGCGTTGTATTCGAAGCTAGTGCAGCCTCTGGACGCACCGCGCTGCCAGCCGCAGTGGCAGCCTTTTTGCGGGAGCGCGTAGAGCCTGCGTTCACACCGCTTATGCTGACTTTTTTGGGATTCTCTTCACTGCTCGGCGTTTATAAAGCCATCCAGATCGAGGGCGACGAGCGTACCCGGTACCGCGAATGAGACAGCATCGCGGAACTGGCTTCGAAACTCGCGCCCCTGCTGCTGTGCCTGGGAATCCTCGGTACCTGCCTGAGACGTGCCTATATCGGCACTTGGTTGCGTGTACCGTTGCACCTACGATGTCGCTGATGAGTAGCAGCAGGCGTGCGATATTGATAAGGTATCGCTCGGAACGCTTGGTTCATAATCGGAGACGTCACCAGCTTGATACGCACAGACACAACAGCTGGACGCTAGCGTCTGCACAGGATGGAGCGCTCTTTAGACGCGGGCGCGGCGCCCTGTACAAGCATATTCACGGCGACTGCACCTAATGCTGTCGAGTTCAGGTCATTCGTGCCTTGTTCTGCCACTCGAAATACGACTGCGACAGCTTCAGGTGCACCGTGTTATTTCTGGGCTGCACGCGCGCGTCACGCTTCCTTGGAATACGTATCAGGCATCATACGTGGTTGCAGTGCAAGGTCGCTTCCACGTGAACCTGCAGCCTTGGAATACGTATCAGGCACCATACGTGGTTGCAGTGCAAGGTCGCTTCCACGTGAACCTGCAGCATTGGAATATGTATCAGGCACCATACGTGGTTGCAGTGCAAGGTCGCTTCCACGTGAACCTGCACCATCACCCGAGAGCAATCATTGCACCTCGAACATGGGCTGGCGGACCGGCCGGCGAGCCACCAGCCTCCAGTCATCTACGGATGCAGTCCTAGGCGTGGATCCGCATATTCGTATATTCCTATACCAATGCTTCATGAGTAACACGCTGCACAGCGGGTGAAGGTGTCGCATGCCCTCGGACTATCGTGCGCTTGCAGTCGGCCATTGGCCAACGACTGGGTCAGTGCGTTACCGTGCACACATCGAATCCAAGTGCTGGCTCGTCTGAAGCCTTCAAACGAACCGCTTTCGCTATATCGCTGAAAGCGTCGTGCCGAATCCTCACAATGTGCTTGCCACGTGATTGCTGCATACAACAGTTCTTCCGGGGGCTGCATCCACCCGAGTCACCTAGTCGATGTGCAGATCACGGCCGCTTCCGTAACGCCACGCCTCGAGCTGTCGATGCCATCGGAATCGCTTTTTCGGGTCCTTCAGACGAGCATCGATGAAAGAAGACAGCGCGCTTTCCGAATGGAAGAGGCGACTTGCTTGATCATAGACACCAAGTGCCATCAAATGCCGCAGCCAGCCGAGGAGTGGCACGGGTCCACCAATATGACCCAGGATCCGCGGCACGAGAGCAGGCACGCGCACGGTAGTTCGAGCTAGCGTGCGCACCAGTCCCGGAAACTGGATGACATCCTGGAGAAACGGCCGCAATGCGCTCTCGTCATCCTGCATGGTAAGGAGGCTCCATCCCAGAATCTCGTTCACAACTCGTTCGTCTAGCGTCTGTGAAGCTCGTGAAGGAACTCGATACGAAAGCGCTCGTTGAAACAACCACGTCACCGACAGAGATGGCAAATACGGCTGGATGCAACGCAAATCCTCGGCACTGAGTGCCTCAGCAGCAAGCGCTTCACAAATGGCGTCGACCAGACGCGGTAAGTGGCGAAGCATTGCACCAAAACCCCCGAAAGACAACGGTGATTGAACACCACTTGCATCACCGATTGGAAGGACGTTATCCAATGCAGTCGGCAGTGGCGCATACCTCTCGTAGGCCGGGAAGAAACCGAACAGGGCTCGTTGTGGCTGCAAGCGGTCTAGGAAAGCGCGATCACCACGATGAAACGCATGCCCTCCTTGATAAACCGGCAACAAGCCCAAGTAGTCTCGATAGAGATCCGTCAAAGTGATCGCTCGTCGTGCATCTGCGTCCAAGTACGTGAACAAATAGGTTGTGCGATTGCTCCCCGCGTCCGACGGGAACGCCTCCCACAGATACTGGAGACGGTTCGAGGATAAGGCCGTTGTGAAGGAATAGATCAGGTCACCAGAGGTGTTATCAGGAAAGGGATCGTGCCCGGGATGCGCTCTGCAGCACGAGCCGACCACCATACACACTGCGTCTGGCCGTTTCTGACCATACACGAGCTCGCGCTGTTGCCGCACGATCGGTGAGGCATTACCCATGCAATCCAGTACCAAGGATGCCCGGATTTGCTTACGAATCGGTTCTGAGGAGCGCTCCCTTGATCGACTTTCAGCCGTCATCGACGTCCGAAACAGTGGAGTCGCCAGGATAGCCTGATCGCCACCGGCTCCGAGGGCCACTGCAGGACGCTGCACGGTACCCGGAACGCACTCGAGACGCACAAGTACGTTTCTGCCATTGGTCTCCGCGCCCTGAAACTGACACCATTCCCAAACTTGACCACCTAGCTCCGTGAACTGTGCAAGCGCTTCGTCGATGAGGGCGCGCGGTGATACGCCGATATTCAAAATGTCTTGCACCATGAATGTGGAAAGGTCGGGTAAGCTCCTCGAAGCAGCCGCTTCGACACCCACACGCATGGACCTCCACTCCGAACGGATAACCTTTTCAAGCGTCTCATGCGAGAGCACGCCGGTTGCAACGAGCACTTCCAGCTCTCGCCGACTGGTGTTCCACTCTTGGTCGCGGCCGCGGAGTGCCCCACGCTCGACAACGACGACGCGCAAACGCGAGTTGCGTCGCAGTAAAGCCGTCCCGATTAGGATGCCGAGCGTTCCGCCAAGCACAACGACATCGAAATCACTCGGCTTCGTATGTCGCGCCTCCGGTTGTCGACAACAAGTTACGACCTCTTCTGGTGGACCGACTGCGGCCGACCCGGTTTGTTGGAGGCGTTTCCAGGACGCATCGGCCGCTTGGAGTCCGCGCAGGGCGGGCGCTGCTTGCACTCGACCCAGGAATGACTCGAGGGGGTCCGCGGGGTCACCAGTTCCAGTCCTTGTGCTGCAGCAGCACACAGGCAGCGGTAGGTGCGCTACAGGCGGTCTCCCTGGGAAAGCGGGTGTGGTTCCCCAAAAGCGTCCTTTCCGACTGCTCTGCAGTGTCGGTACTGCAAACATGTCCGCTGAGCGACTCGAGTTTCCAGCGCTTCGTATGCACCAGCTCAGACCAGCGTGTCAGCACCGAACGTCCGGACTATCCAGACTCCGTACTCTACAGGCCCCAGCTACTTCTCTGTTGCAGAATTGCTGTGTCTAGTCGATTGGATAAACCCGAGGAACCCCGAATACACCTCCAAACGCAGCAACAGGAGCGAATGGTTCGTGAAGCGTCATCCCCCGGGGGATCGCTGGCGTCGTCGAAGCCAGCGTTTGTTTCGCTTCCACCACCGTATCGCGTTTCGCTGCACTTGGTAGCGTCGATCGCGAGTTGCTTTCCGAACGGGGTTCTATCGCATATACGACTACGCAAATGAACTTTTCGCCTGATCTTGTGACGGGTGTTCAGCACTGTTGTCGTCGGTTGGCGTTGCAAAACTGTCCTGCGGCAGTACCTAAGGCCGGAAGCGGGGTGCTCCACTTCGCTCCGCCCGTGCCGCTTCTACTCTGGAAGAAGGAGGCTGCCATTGCGGTTGGAGCAGCGTTTATCACGGTTGGTGCTTACCGGATAGTTCAGGCACGGAGACAGACTGAAAAAAGTGGCCCACGGCGGTGCCCTGACTGCCGAGGCGAGGGACGTGTCAAGTGCTTCCAGTGCCAGGGGAAAACCTTTTTCCAAGTAGAAGGCGAACGCGTGCCTCACGCCTGTTTGCGTTGCAGTGCTACCGGGCGTGTGACTTGTGGTCGTTGCAACGGCACGGGTTACATTAATCCATCTGGCGTCGATGCTTCTGCCAGCGCTGGCAGGGAAGGCTCCGGCAAAGGCGGCAGCCAGCGCGGCGACGATCCCTGGAAGCTTCCAGACCAGTTCCGCCAGAGTGCTTTCTTTTTCTGGTTTGACTGGTACCGCAAACGACGTGCAAGCGCATTTGCAGAAACCTGAGTCGTGTCGCTGGTGCCGGCATATCCAGCTATCTGTAGGTACGCGGTTGCTGGGACAGCTTTCGGTGCCCTGACTCCAGCCGAGAGCGATTCCCGCCCGAATATGATGGATTTTATACGCTGTGGTATCAGCGAGGAAGCAAGTAGCAGGGTGCCTGACAAATGCCCGGAACACATCAACTATCGCTTCCACGCAAAGGGTCGCTCTAGAGCGCACCTTCTCCGCAAACATTTTTTCTTGGCTGGCTACGAAACGATATAAGTCTGTGTTCCCGTAGAGTCTTCGTTTGATTTGCAGCTGTCATGCGGGTCCAGGATGCGACATCTTCATCACCGCGCTACCGTCGCTAGCGCAGACATTAGGCCACGCGCAACGCCGTGACCCTGAGAAGTGCGCTCGACACCGAACGATTCGGACCATCGAAAGGCACACTGCATGCACGACGGAGCACTGCCTCATACCATAACCAGCTGCAATTCATTCATCAAAGACAACCGCAAGGATCAGCGACGTCACAAGTGTTGCAGAGACGAGGCTCAGGGGCGATAAAGCTGCCTCCAATGCAGATCGGATAACATTCCCACGAACTCGCGTTCGCTCTCTCCCTGTCAAGCAGCTACGTCTGACGTCAAGCACGACGCTCCCGAGGAACCTGCTCACCAAAGCCGTAGCGCATTACCACGATCGCTATATTAGCCAAGACTCATCGTACTCAGTTCCGATTCTTCGATAACACGCTAGCCTAGGTGGATTCCCCGACGACGCCAACGTTCCAAGCCAGCCGATATCCGTCGTTCCAGCGAAAACACGCAACAGTGTCTCCCGTCGTATTCGTAGCAGGGAACGATCAACTTTGGATACGATGCGCTGCTAGGCACGAACCGACAACCGCTGGGCGAGACTGGCGCGCGAATAACGTCACACCACAAACACACTAGGCGCTTAGGGTGCCTTGGCAACGTCGCGGCTGGGGCACTCCTGACCGAGCGCCGCCGTTAGCCTCGCACCTAGCTGTAAAAGTGTAAACCCTAAGATCGGCGAAAAGTCGATACCCGCCACTGGTGGTAAGATGCCCTGAAAAAAGCGCAAGAACGGGTCACATACCACGTACAGCGGCTGTAATAGACTCAACTGGCTCGCAGCCGGAAACCAGCTCAAAATAATGCGAGCAAATAAGAGGTTTTGGTAGACGTTCAAGAACGTTACGGTTCCGCTGAGAAAAACAAACTCTGCTTGCGAGTCACCGGGGATCACCATAGCAAGCCTCGGGCGACGAGAGGCAGTGACCGCGGTTTTCGCCGCTGGGCACACCGCTGTGCGCCTTTGTCGCGTTGGCAGTTCTATATGCAAAAACGGGCACTTTGGAGCATGACGCTGGATGGAAAACCCCAGGCGAAACATGGGTTCACAATGTCAGCGTTCACGATACCGGTATCCAGCAGGTCCACGGCATGTTCAGAGGGATTCGTGCCATCGGCGGCGCGCGAGCTGCCCTCAGGGTAGCGCTCCAGCGAACTTGAGCGTTTAGCGTTCGTGTCAGCGTATAAAGTGGAATGGTCAACTTGCAGGACTCGGAGATTCAGGATGAATATTGGATTTGTGTTTCAGTTGGCGTAAAGACGAGCATTTGCGGGTCTTGTATGCGACGGGTTCCTTTTCCTCGATCAGATATCCGACTGTCACCACATACATCCGCAGGGTCCCTCTTCTTCCAGTGTCGATCGTTGCAACACTCTGATGGTCGTGCTCAAGTCCCGATTCCGCGATTTCCGACGCTCATCGACGCATTTTATGCACAGGCGGAGCTTGGCATCTAGACTGCGCTTCCCATTTCCATGATCGTCCTTGGATACAACCGCGGGTCGCCCGTCGATACACTCACAATCGCTTCTCGTTCGATACGCATACACGTACGTCTGCCACAGCGCATGCGTTACCGCGTACTTGTCTGCAGTGACGTATGATCGCTTGCTCCGTCAGTCCGTAGACGCCGCTTGAAGGTACAGCGGGCTCTCCGGGTTGCCATGCCTGGTGTCCGCACTCGGTGCAGTACCGTGGGATCACGAGCTCCTTCTGAGCGATCGTGTCGGTGAATAGGCTATCTGCTGCATACACAAGCGCTCGCTGTTCCATTCTATAGACGAGTTCCGGAACGCGATACCGATCGTGGTGAAGCAGGGACCGGAGAGAGCGAGAGAGCCTCCAGGCTGGGGAAGCACTCCGGGGTTGATCCTGGTCCGTCAACGCGCAACGCTGTCCGACGCGGTGACGTACGCGCTACGCGAAGCGACTGCTGCGATGACTCGAGTCTGAGTCGCAGACCGTTATCAGTGCAAACAGAGGATACCCGGGGCGCCTGTGCGCGTATGCCGTGAGAGGCAGCAGGCCGGTCTCGTCGAGTGTCTCTTCGTCGGTGGCAACGAAGAGCGTAGGGTACGGCTTTCGGACGACATGGGTTACCTTTGAGGTGACGAGCGCAGTGGGCGCTCACTACAAGCTAGCGAGCAAGTCGGTCAGGGACGACGTTGTGCTCTCTTTCCAGCGTCTCCAGCGACGTGAGTTGCCGTACCTACGCGTTGCCGTGAACACGGTAAGCTGGAGACCTCGAAGAGCGAACTTGTTGATTCTTGTACGTTTACGGAAAGGAGTAGCGGGGATGCATGTAGGTAAGCATATTGGACAGAATCGAGCGTCATCCTGATGCCGATGAGGAGAACGCATCCCATCTGCAAAGCGTCGATGGAGGCACGCTCACAGGAATCCCAAAACTATACACGAGTCCACGAACACCTGTTTATGCTTTTCGAATGGCTAGCGTTGGCGTCAAATAAAAACGTTCAGAAAAGAATCACAAAGCAGGAGCGGAACGAGCTGTTCAGCGTTCGCTTTGAATCCGACATGGCAGTAGGTCCAACGAGCACCCGCCAGAGATTACCCCATGCATGATCCTCATACTCTATCGAGCGACCTTCTTGAGCTATCGCGCCTATCGTGGATGCTAACCATCGTTAGACTGATAAGCTCCGAAATAGCGTTGCGAGCATCTCACGGCAACGCTGCCTCCAAATGGACGCTCGGAGAACCTCATGCCGTGGTAATGACGCCCGTGCGACGCTGCCTGTACATTCACGCAACGACAACGGTTGCACGCAGCTGTCCACGCCATACCTCCCATGCCCAGAATGGTTGCGTAGAAAGCGACGGCTGTCTACAGCTGCAACATGCGCTCACATCGGCGCAGGAAAGTGTACCAGTGTACCAGTACCAGTGCGTGGATCTGAGCAGGCGTGTTCATGCGCTCGCCGCATTCACACCGCTTCGAATAGCGCGAAAGATGCATCAAATGTCCAAATATTTTCAAATGGAAACTTTAGAAAGCGTCAACGTTGTACCGTGCATCGGTACCTCCTCAAATGCCGAGAAGAACGTACCGCAAGTGGAAACGTCTTTCGAACAGAGACTTAAAAAAGCGTCGAGCCCTGCGGATCAAACACCGGAGGCGTGCTCGCGTCTCGATGCCCTACGGTATCGCGACGTGAAAGCAACTGAATGGCTAGCGTTTCAGCTGCATTGCGGACTGTCGTGCTTGTGTCCGCGTCGTCTCGTCGCTTCGAGGAAGCAGCTGAGCACGGCGCGCAAGTCGAAGCGCTGCACTCTCCAGCGGCAAGCGCCTGCATACAACTCCATATTGTCCAATGGTCACTCGGATGCAGTTCCTGCAATCGCTGCCGCAAGTCCGCTACGAGCGCTTCCATATCGGACGTGGCATCTGCGGCTGCTTGCAGAGCCTTCTCCGAAGTGCGCTCGCGGAGTGAAACCGGTATCTGCGCTCTTTCCGCAGCAATCCGAAGCTCTCTTTCGCCGATGGATTCGCCAGCGCCGCCATTCTTGACATCAGGGCCCCGAAGCGCCTCAGCAGACTTCACAGAAGGCTCGGCGTCAGTCGAAGAGTAGGCACGCGTGAGAGGTTGCGGTGATTCTGCTGGGGCCTCGAAAACGTCACGTCCGGAGAGCTCTGCACCACTGGCTGGAGATCCGTCTGTGGCCCAGACCGTGAGACCCGGGGAGAACACTCGAGACGCTGGTGATGAATCTCGAAACGCTTCTGCATCTGAAACCATTGGCTGCCAAGCGTTGCAAGGTTCAGGAGTAAATCCAGTATGACCAGTGTTCCACTCGACAAAAACGTGCTGCCGAAGCGGGCTATCGTAGAAGTTGAATGGTGACTGCCGAAAAGCGCGCAGCCCTGCCGGGTTTTCCGTATTCGAATCCAGACGAGCGCCAAAGCCAGCCTCCGAGAGCAGCTGGAGAATTGGCCAGGAATCCCTGTTCTCCATTGACTCTTCTTGGAGTGTGCGTCCGCGACTAGAGGCATGCTGCCGAGTATCGTCATTTTGACTCGGATATACGATGAGCTCTGCCGATTCCGCGGCAGATTCTCGCCAGGATGCTTGATTTGAAGTGAGTTGGAGCTTCACGCCAGTCACCACTGTTGCCGCATTACCGGACGATTGGCTGCTTGTTCCCGCTGAGCTGTCCGTGCTGTGGCTCAGAGACGTGCCTGCCGCCATACCTGCATCGAGTCGCTGACCTGCGAGAGCGTACACGGTGACTGGCTCCATATCGTGCTGAGGCGCGGCACCGGACACGCTACCCGTGGTCTCCAGAAGCGACGACGGTGAAACGTCTCGCGAGGACAACGGATGTCGTTCGGACGGCAGTAGCGGTTCCTTTGTCTGCGCGGATTGATCCGATACGCAGCTGGCTCCTGGAAGCGCAGGCGTCGCCTCTGAGCCCCAAGCTGCATCGCTGCTGGTCCATCGCACGGCATCATCCAGCGCTTGCGACCATCGGTCTCGTGACGATTCTCCGTAATATTCAGGGTCAGGACTTGCCTGTTGCGAGCAGGTGGCACCGGAGGCGACGGTCTCCGCAGTGACAGTCGGTTTCAGGGGCTGTCCCGCCCTGGTGAACGGCGAGGCCGCTTCCAACGTGTCCAGTTCATTGGAATCTTGTGCTGCACCTGGTGCTATCTTTTGCGTTCCAGAGTCATTGGGTTTGCGCTTCATACCCGTGGCTCTGCCTAAAGTCATGCTTTGGGGTAGCTGCCGGCGAACACGCTCTCCTGGTTGACGACAACTCGATGGGCCTTGCTCGCTCAGAGGCCACAATGAGTCGTGCGCTTTCATTTTCTGACCATCTTCCAAGATAAACGGGGGTTCGCTCCCAACGTCCTCTAGAGAAGTGTGCCCTGCTGTTCCTGGCACACGCGCGGTGCTGGCGTTCGTGCGCAGTTCCTCGTTGTAGACGTTCGTCGCCAGCTCGCACGGCCAAGCAGTGACTGCGGACGTTACGGTTCAGGTGCGTCTATAAACTAGCTGCGAATAGCTCGCAATCTGGATGCACTTATTATGGTTAACTCGCGGTCCACGGATTCGTATACGTCAAGTCGACCTCGTCACCGAACAAATACAGTACGCACACTCTGTTTTGCGAAGACTCGAGGTAAACGATTTCTAGGATAGCAGCGCCGATCCGATGATCAGGTTTGCATCCCTTGTTTACACACGAACCGGACATCATAGTCATAAATGGTATAATAAGGAATCTAAATGGACAGCTCTATCCAACGGCACGCGAGATGCAGCCCGAGTCCCATTACCGACCGCCGCGCGGCTCGATGGACACCCAGAGCCGGTGGCGACCTGTGGTGCCCGCCGAGCCAGCCGTGCCGCAGATGTTGAACCCCTGGACGTGTTGTCATGTTAGATGCGCATGGGCATGCGATCACGTGTCTGGGCCTTCCACCCTGTGAAACGCGGCACGATACCACGGGGATGAGCATTCCTCGCTCCGCAGGCTCATTGCGTGCACGTCTCCAGGGCTCGAGGCATGGACACTTCACAGGTACAGACGCGTTGCATGATGGAACGTTCATTGGGAGCGATTTTCTTCGTACGGATGTGCCTCCTGCATCTACCAGGCATCGAACGCTGCCCGCTAGGTATGCAGTGTGCGGCAGAGAACTGGCGACGACTGCCTACCATGACATGGACTCGCATTTCGCGTGAGACAATGACACTAGTGCGATGCATTCCACGGTTGCCGTGTAAAAAACCGGAAGCGTGCTTGAGCCTGAACTGCGTCTGTTATGTGCGCTCTCTGTCCGCATGGTCAGCGTCGTGGATTCCATGTCGTCCACAATGCCTACGTCGCCCAGGAGCCGATATCTCGTGCAGACGCTTTCCCGCTGGAAGCGTTGCAACCTGCGGTCGATCGATGCCAAGCGTCCATGCTGCAGAGAAATCCATCCCGTCATTCGGTATGCATTCGGGGCTTTGATAACGACTGTCAAGACGTTTTGCTTCTGTAGAGGATCGGGTTGGTCCATCCGGTACAAGAAGTGCGGGCACCCGGCGTACCAGTGTTGCTGGATAGAACAAACGCCGACCCTGGACCTCCAAATGAGTCTAAAACTGTTGCAGGACTCTAGATACCTCCCGCAAACAGCGAGACTTTCACCCCTTGATGCCGACAGCTATCGTACATCGGGGAATTCTGATTCGCTTAATGAATCCTCCAGCATAACATATCGCGCGATGCATTCCTAAAAACTTATCAATGGCATGTTCGGGGCTTCATGCACAGGAAAACCGCAGCTTTTCCATCATCTGGAGAAGAACACGTTGTTCAGGTGATTTCCTCTCAATAGAGAACACCCCAAGTCCATGGATCGCCTGAGCGAGTCCAGCAGAAGGAAGTTGACTCGCACGTTCTGCACAACGCCAGAGGGCGCAACATCAGCAGCAGCAGCAGCAGCAGCCGATATCGTTCGTTGACTGGGCAACGGTACTCGACTCGGTGAACGCAGCTGCACACAACGGCTACGAAAGAGACCAGATTCTGACGTGAAACGACTCAGACGAAATGTTGTGTTCGTAGAGGTGCGATGGTGTCGTATACGGGTGAGGCTGGTCGGTTATTAAGTGAAACACTGGTGCGACCGTGGTTCGCACTGTACCACCAGCGTGTTCCCCGTGAGCGTCACTGCGAAGACTGCGAAAGCACGACTGACGCTGCTGATAACAAACTCAGCACTGCTCGTGTCGAACAACCGGGTCCAGCGAAGACAAACCTGTCCCCAGTGGAACAACTTCCTGGGGACGTCTTGCGCAGCGTCTTCGAACTTCTCAGTCCCGCTGACTTAGCTTCAGTGAGTCGCGTCTGCCGTACGTTCTTATCGATCGCTTTTGATCCTGCGCTGTGGCGAAGGCACTGTCTTGAAGCCTGGGGTGACAGAGAGTCTCTGACGAGACTCACAGCAGCTGCCTGCGGTTACGGTGGCTGGCGTCGTATGCTCCGCAGTCGAGCGCACCTGCAGTTCCACGGCCTATATATTCAGAAACAGCAGTACCTCCGAATTGGCGGTGATGACGGCACTGGCTCGCGGAGAGTATTCTTCATATCGTTCTACCGGTACCTGCGTTTCTTTCCTGGTGGAAAAGTTGTGGGCATGACGACCCCCGAGGACCCGCTTGTAAGCCGGGCCCGGCTGCAGTCGACGCGCTGGGAGGCGTCGCACCAGAGCTGGCACCACGAAAACAACGCCGGAGCCGGAGCTGGTACCGACCAGGTCGTACCAGCTGTAGGAGACTACCAGTTCGACGAGAAAACGCGCATGGTATCGGTGACACTGCCCATCTATCAGCCGCGTTATGCAGAGATGCAAGGCGCGCTCGCCTGCTACGTCCTGGAGCTCAGTGACGCCGACGGACGTCCACGAGGTGCCAACGACATGCTGCGACTACTCGAGCACTCTACCCTGAGCGCAGATGGATCCGCGCCTTTGTACCACGAGGTGAAACCATCGCAGGCTCTTTTTTATTTCACGCCATTCGGCTCACAATATCGCCGAGTTGCGGAGAAACTATTCGCGGATCCGGAAGACGTGAAAATGTTCAACCGAGTACAACTCATGCAGCGGCCAGCGAGGTTGCAAACACGTAGAACGAACTGCACCCGCACCAATGCCGTGAACTGATGAGGCCATTCGGCGGGGGCTCGTCTACTGCGCCCAGCTTGTATCGAGAAACGCGGAGCATATGCATACGCAAGACGATCTCGCTGTCGAGTGTCATGCTGAAGATAACGCGCGCACAATGCGTTAGCGCGTGCTCATCTCTCGTAAACGAAAGACCAAAGGCGACGCACGCCACGAGACTGCATCGATTCCCGGTTTACAAGCGACGAAAGTTCCCTGCGTCAGCGAAGCTCGTTCAGGTCGCTTGTGGCGATGCCAGCGTTGCACGGGATACCCCCAGAGGGACACTTCGTCGCGTCGGCCTCGGACTTGAAGGCGACTCCACCAGATACCGGTCTGCAGCTTGATACCGTATCCAGCATCATGGTATTCGAGAAAAAGGCATCAGGGTACCGTCCTAAGCGTGCGCTGGTTGCAGGCGAGGCTGTACCACAGCTCGCAAACGAGACCGTTGAGGACATGCCGGATTGTCTGTGGAGCAGCGCGAACGGCCGATGAAAACGTACCAGTCAGCGGCTTCATGTGTGATTGTGTCTAGAGGCTTCTCAAGCGTTTTTGACGCAACGCTTCGAGACGGCAGCGTGGAATCCATCGTATCAGCGACGCATGCATCGTCACATGGTGTATTCGCTTTCCTCTCGCGAACCGCAAGCAGAAGTCTTCAACTAAATTGGGCCCTTCGACTCGGACGATATGCGTTCGTATCGAACTTGCTTCGAAGGCGGGCTCGCTGCTAGAGCCCGCGATATGCGGAAACTGCCTCCAGGGTGGTAGCCTCTGCACGAGGAATGCATGACGCAGACGCGTTCCGCTTCGGGGGCACTCCTCTGTCAGGCGAGCTTCGCGATGTCGACGATGCCCTGCTCCAGCGAGAGCAGACGGTTTATTCTATACCATACCGTCATTGCAGTTGCTATGGTCGTCGTTGTCGTTGTTGTCCCGCTACGCACCGGAGGCGAGCGGCACGACAATCGAGCATTGGTGGTATCGAACGACCGCTGCCTATGAGCCCAGAGTCCATGCAGCTGCTCTACAGCCACTGATTCGCTGGAACGGAACAGGCACCCTGCCTAGCGGAATATGCAACTGCGTCGCTGCTTTGGAAAGAGACGTGCTTGTTGCCTATGGCTTTTTTCTGCACTCGGTAGGGCGGATGCATCCGCACTGCCCAGTGAAACGCGCGTGCTTCCAGCGGCTACGGAAGAGACCTCTACGCCTGTGCAGACACCTCGAGGTCCCAGCGGCTATCGACCAGCATCATCGCGCTCTCAACTGTAGTTCCCGACGCTCCAGTGTTCTGATCGATCCCGCTTTGACGTTGTCGAGCCTGCACCCTTGTACGATTCAAATGGAAATATGCACTGGTCGGTCTGTTCCAGGGTATCGGTTTTTTTATCGATACTTGTTTTGCATGTTCAGCCGCCATATTCTGAAAACGTTCATATCAGGTTTCAGATTCATATGTGCTTTTAGGATTCTCGGTCGCGTTCTCGGAATGGCTCCTTCGACGCTTTGTCGATGGAATTTGTTACGTCACGGGGACCAGGAGGATTCGCTGCGCTCCGCTTGGAAAGCACAGCGATCACATCCATCGAAGCGTGCGTCATCGGGTCGCATAAAGAGAGCGTTGTCGTGTGGAAGTTTTTCGACGTGTTCTCCAGGTTGGATTTTGCTTCTTGTACTTGTTTCGTCACGGAAAATATCACTTTCAACGAGTCCTCTACCAAATGCAACAGCGTGCACTTGCGTGTGTCGCAGACAGCGTACTCGGCTTCGGGATCGCCCAGCTGTAACCGATGATCTTACGGACCGGCACCAGTTGCAAAAACATACCCAGGAATCGAGCATAAGCTTCTGTGCCCGTCGAGGGTATCGCCCGAGCGATGAAGAAAGCGCTCATGCACCACAGAGCGGCATTCGAAGGTGGTCTCATGGACTTATGGGCATACCTGATCGCAGCCGATTTTCGATGCACGGACTGGCGCATTGAAGCTGTACGCAAAGAGGATGAACATGGCAAACGAAGCGTGGATCCAAACTGTCGTCAACGCATGAAATAGATTGCGAAGAGTCGGAAGCAGCAAAGTCGGAACTTGAGCGCTGCACGCAGCAATCCTCGACAGCTGACGACGGATATAGGGGTAAAAAGGGACCTCCGTATTCAAAATCCGGAGATCAGAGACAGGAAAAGGAAGCAGTCTCATTACAAGCCAGTCATGGCTGGCTGGTATTCTTCACAGTTGGGAGAGACCCAAACTCTGGCTCGTTCGCTCGAATTGGATCAGTGGACTAGCTCCATGTCATTCTAATATGGATGGAATGTAGTCACCGTGCAGGGATGCTGGTACCTCGCGTTTGATGAACATGCGTCGACTTGGATCGGATTTTTCAAATGAATATGTATTCGCTAATGAAATCGATGGACTTTAGATCACGCCCTGCGCATGTGTGAGATCCTAACGATTCGAACACACCCGAGGTCAACAACGTATCCACAACGCGCTTTATCGTGTGTCGCGAAACAGCAGCAGCAGCAGCAGCAGCAGCAGCAGCAGCGAGAGTATCGGATCTGATGTATCCCTGAACTATATAAAGTGCTCAGTGCATGACATAAAACGCTGCAGTCTCGTGACCCTCATCGTCGAATGCGTCCTATCGATGATCTGCACCGATCGCCTCGACGATATTCCGGTAACCGTCGCGCTGGAGACACTGCACGAGTTCCCGCTCAAGACGTGGAACAAGGCAGGGTCCCTCGTACATCAACGCCGTATAGAGCTGAACGAGTGATGCTCCAGCCCGGATTTTGGCGTACGCGTCAGCGCCGGAGAAGATGCCGCCCACACCGATCAGAGGCACCTTGCCGAGCGTGTATCGATAGAAACGACCAAGGACGTATGTGCTTAGGTCCCGCAGTGGAGTGCCGCTCAGGCCGCCCTCCTGCTGCACGAGATTCACGGGAGACTGGAGTGTTACTGGTCGTTGCACCGTTGTATTGGTGACCACAATACCATCTACACCTTCGCTCACCACGATCTCCGCAATATCTCGGATTTCCTCATCGCTGAGATCTGGAGCAACCTTGACCAAGAGCGGCAGCCGCTGCCACTGCGGGCCACGATCGTCTCGTTCGCGCTTCAGCTGCCGGATGAGGTCTCGCAGCCGCTCTTTTCGCTGCAGCAGTCGTAAACCAGGCGTGTTCGGTGAGCTGACGTTCACTACCAGGTAGTCCGCAAAAGCTCCAAGAGTTCGGAGCACCTGAATATAGTCGGAGAGGGCGTCATCCTCGCTCGTTTCGCGATTCTTCCCAATATTGATGCCCAGATGCTTCTTACCCGGCATTGTTTGCGTTGGCGTTGTATTCGCAACAGAATTCCGGGCCGTGGCAACTTGTCCAGCCTCGTGCGAGCGATCCCTGAGCCGCTTGAGGTGCGCTCGCACAGCCTCGCATCCTGCTGAGTTGAATCCCATTCGATTGATGATCGCTTCGTCAGGCTCGAGCCGAAACAGGCGTGGTCTGGGGTTTCCGCTCTGGGGTCGCGGCGTGACGCTGCCCACCTCTACGAAGCCAAACCCCAAATCAAACAGCGCGTCGACTGCAACACCATCCTTATCGAAACCGGCAGCGAGACCAAATGGCGATGCGAACGTTTTCCCCCAACAAGTACTCTGAAGCGCGCGCCGAACCTCTTGCTCCGCACAGGTGGCAGCGTGTGCACTTCGTTCGAGTTGGGAGCTCGCTCGGCACCACCAGGCCACTAGACCGTGTGATAGCGCCCAAAGCGCCAGATCGTGAGCGTGTTCTGGCTCGAGTCGAAACAGCAGCGGACGGAGTGTGCGCTTGTACGCGTCAACAGAGGAGCTGGTGCTGCCCCAGGCCGTGGCCAGCGCGCCACCAAGCGCAAAGCCCAGCACCACGCGACCCACCCTGCTCCATGACATTGGCGTTCACGACTTCTGTCCACGTCAACGCAACATGTGTCGCTTATCTTGAACTGATCGACGTTTTCCCACAACAACAGACAACGAGGTGCTCAGGAAACCACACACACACACACACACACTCACTCACTCACTCACCTGCACTCTCCGACACGTTTTCGTCGTTCAAAACGATGTCATGTTGGCTTCGCGTGCGCACGTGGCGGGTCGGCGTCGGCGCTGGACGGCGAGCCTGGGCGCTTCACCAAAACCGTGTGTGATCAACACGGAAACGCTAGCTATCTTCCTACCTATCGCTTTTTACGTTCAATTTTAAATGTACAGGATCGCTGCTCAAAGTGCTGCAACAAGTGATGATGGATTTATGTGTAACTCTAGGACTCGTGGTCGTCTTCTCAGAATGGATCGTTTGGCGCTATGCCGCTGGAATTCGATACGTGATCGTAGTCAGGGTGATTCGCGGCGTCATCGAGCAGGCGTCTCTACAATAACATGAAGCATTATCCAGTTCATGCATGCAGGTCTTCTCTCTGTGCATTTCCTTATAAGTAGGAAGCACAAGTGACGCATCCTTCATGTTTTCGCTCGCTCAGTTTCAATGCAGCTCACTTGCACAGCAGCTCGTGCCGCTGTATTGACGAATAGAGACTTCGAATTCATCCTTCGAAGACTTGTTCATACGCCCATGACGACAGACCACTGAATTCGTCATGCGAAATCATTCATTTGGATCGAGACGCAAATTTTCCGCACTTTGTACCGAATGAAGAAGCAGCATTCCGCAGCAACACGATACCTCTACTGGGATATATTCCCAGAGGTTCTCGTCTCTGCTTTTTGCATGGAAAACGATCTTGGACTCGAATCATCACAGCGATCACATCCATCGAAGCGTGCGTCATCGGGTCGCATAAAGAGAGCGTTGTCGTGTGGAAGTTTTTCGACGTGTTCTCCAGGTTCGAGTTTGCTTCTTGTACTTGTTTCGTCACGGAAATATCACTTTCAACGAGTCCTCTACCAAATGCAACAGCGTGCACTTGCGTGTGTCGCAGACAGCGTACTCGGCTTCGGGATCGCCCAGCAGAAACCGATGATCTTACGGACCGGCACCAGTTGCAAAAACATACCCAGGAATCGAGCATAAGCTTCTGTGCCCGTCTAGCATGCGGCTCGATCAGGGACGCGCACTCATCAGGGTGTCGCTGGTAGTCGGGCATCCACTGGTCCATACCGACAATCCAAGACCGGGAGAAATTCGGGGAATCCCCAGGTCGTCGCATCGATCTGTAAAAACCTATATAACTATAGACGTTCTTTCCATCATCCTAGTCCGTCTCCATAGCACAATTACGATGCTGTGTACGCGCCTGACTCTATGCGCTTTTGTAAAGCACAGGACGCCGCACATGAACCAGTGGAGACTTTTATTCCTGATAAGCCTGAGCGTTTTATCAGGGCTCAGTGCCTGGTATTATGTCGTACACCTGGGGCGGGTGCGGGTCGGGGAGACTCTGTCGGTTCATGCCGTGCGTGCTCTTCGGCAGGCAGTGCTCGACTACAACGCCGATCGGGAGCGTTTTCGTGACTGGTTACGCGAACTCGTGCGCTACCGAACCGTGTCGAGTCAGCTGGGGAACGAAGCTGAGTTTCGGGCTTGTGTCGAACGCCTACGAGGCATCGCTCAGAACGACGTAGGCTGTGAAGTGGTCCACGTGGTCGAGCGGCACGGACGGCGTCCTGCGTTGCTTGCCCAGTGCACCTTTGGACGCGAGCACGCGCTTCACGAAGTGCTGCAGTCGCGGAGCTCTGGAGCGCTGCCAGCACGAGGTGTCCTCTTTTACGGTCACTACGATGTGCAACCGGCCGACGCCCGTGAGGACGGCTGGACGACGACTGCAGACGCTTTCCAGCCCGCGGAGTTAGACGGACGCATCTATGCGCGTGGTGCGAGCGACGACAAGGCGGGTGTGGTGACGCTTCTAACAGCACTTACGATACTGCGCCGGCATCTATCAGGTGAAGATGAAGCACCTCCTCTCGTTGTCAAGTTGTTGTTCGAAGGCGAGGAGGAGACCGGCAGCCCGGGCTTTGAACGCCTCCTCGAAGATCATGCAGATTTCCTCTTTGGCATGCCATGCGGCAACCAATCAGCTGATGCTTGCCCTGGCAAGGTGCTGGACTTCATCGTGTCCGTGGACGGAGGCCAGGTCGATGAACGCACCGGTGCGTTGCTTCTCGGTATGCGAGGTGCTGCGGCGTTTCAGATCGATGTCCACGGGCCGCAAAACGACGTACACTCTGGCCAGTGGGGTGGCGCTGTCGCAAACCCGCTGCAGGGTATCGCAGGGCTCGTGGCATCACTGCACGATTCCGAAACCGGAGCGGCGCGGATCGCTGGTTTCTACAACGGCATTCCGTATTCGAACATGTCCAGCCTGCCGCCGATCTACGCAGCAGCTCTGCAGGGGGCAAAACGCAAGCTACCATCAGAAAAAGCTGCTGCGCAATCTCTGGGTCTCTCGACGCTGGGCGGCGGCGAGCACGCGCTCTTTCCAAGTTATCTCGCGCGCCTATGGTTCCGTCCAACGCTGGAAATCGTCGGTATTGGCGGCGGCTACGTTGGCGAAGGGATTCGTGGCGCGATCCCCGCACGAGCGACAGCCAAAATCCTCATGCGTCTGGTGCCGGGACAGGATGCCCGAGGCATCGCCATCGCGCTCTGCGATCACGTCCAGCGCTACGCGCAGCAGCATCTCGAAGATCGCGGCTTGCGATGCAGGTGCCAGAACCTCTCCTTCTTTGCTGAACCATTTGTATCGGATCCGGAGAGCGCGCTGGTATCCCTGGTGCGAGCAACGCTGCTCGCAGCGTACGGCTCCAGCGTGGTCCCAGTGTACTCAGGAGCCAGCATTCCAGCGTTGAGCTTGTTGCAGACCCACGGGAAACGTTATGTCGCTCGCGTCACGAACCGATCCACAGCGATTCCTATCGGCGTGCTCGCGTTTGCGCTGCCCTCCGATCGCAATCACGGACCAGATGAGAACTTTGCCTGGGCTAGATTCGATCGCGCGGTGCACTGTTATCTGCACCTGCTTCTGAGCGTGCTCGAAGCTCCTCAGTCGACGGCACCTCTGCCCAGCGCACCTGCAATAGTTTCTCGAAATATCTGAAATCTTCTGGAAGCGGTGCCTCGAACACGCACCACTTGCCGGTGCATGGATGTCGAAAGCCGAGACGCCACGCATGCAGCAGCGGACGCCGCGCACGCATCCGATAGCGCTGATTCCAGGCCGGAAATCCATACAGATCATCGCCCAGCACGGGCGCTTGCAGGCCGTAGCGCGCATGCACGCGAATCTGATGCGTGCGCCCGGTTTCAATGAGCACACGTGTCAGCGTCAGCGGCGCTATCGACGGGCGCATCGCCAGCGCTTCGAAGCGACTGCGCGCAGCGCGGCCGCCTTGCGCGACGCTTTGGACGCGTTGCTCGATCCATCGATGGGTGCTGCGTCCAATGGGAAGCTCGACCAGAGAAGGTCCATTTTGTAGGCAACGAGGTGTGCCCGCCAGGACGGCGAGGTACTCTTTGTACACTTGGCGTTGTGCGAAAGCGCGCTGGAGGCGGCGTTCTGCGAAATTGTGTTTCGCGACAACGAGCACCCCGGAGGTGCCCTTATCCAGGCGATGGACGATGCCCGGTCGTAAGGCGCAATCTCGGGAGACCATTTCATCACCATGCACTGTGTCGTTGTCGGCATCGACGGTTGCTCCGATGCTGTCTGGTTTGGTGGACGGCTCGACAGTGGCGGCCGATGCCTCTGCAGCCCCTTTCCCGAAACGATATGCCAAGGCGTTTGCTAGCGTACCGCGCCAGTTCCCCGGGGCCGGATGGATCACCATATCCGCGGCTTTGTTCACGACCAAAATATCCCCATCTTCGTACAACACATCAATCGGCAGATGCTCTGGCACTAGGTCCTGTGCAGCGCTGTTTTCCGGAAGCAGGAAGCGAACATGCACGACATCATCCTGCGTTACGAGCTCCGACTTGCGGTGGACCACGCGACCATTCACTTGAATTGCTCGCTGCGTAATGAGGTACTGAAAGTACGTGCGCGACGGCTCACTGAAGCGATCCGTGAGCACTCGATCGATTCGCGTAGGTTTTGGTGCCATAAACGCATCCACAGTGAAGCTTGACTCTGGAACGCCGCCTTCGTCCGGGTCGGTGTCGGCGCTGGTCTCCGCTGAGCCTCGGAAGAAGTTTTCTGCGGCCTTTGCGGAGGAGGATGGTATTGCTTGGCGCTCGTCACAGTTTCGAAGCACAGTACTGTACCTACAGGCCCGCTGGCGACGTTTTTGTGATCGTCGCTCCCGCATCGGCCAGCTGAAGCCCGTCCCTGCCGCTAGCGGAGTATCGGTGGCCCAGTGTGGTTTGCTTGGGCCAGGGTACCAGCGCCTCGCCTGCATACACGAGCGCGCTGGCAAGTGACCGAGCACTGCGTCGCCCGGGCGTGCAGTGCGTTGCACCAGGGCCCGGAAGGCCTTCAGCGGAACTCGGTGACCCTTCATGACCTCCGGGTCGTTTGCAGTGCGCGACACGGGACCCACACGCACCCACACGGCGGCGCTTCTTGAGCACTGCGCGGCTTGTATCCAAAGTGTTGGATACCTCGGAGCCTGGCTCCAGTGGGAGGCGAGCCTCTTCATGATCTTGGGCGCCTAAGCCTTCGCTTCGGCTACCAGCACTCAAGCGCACGTGCGTGACAGGGTATACGCGTGAAGGCTGGACACACGAAAGAAAACGCGCCGGTCGCAGCCCAGGAAGCAAAAGTGTCTGGGCGTGCAATGCACGCTTTACGTACGCAGCTTCGTGTAGGTGGCAGCGAAAGCCTCTCACCGCGCTTGGCGCTATCCGTTCTGGTTCGTTTCCGACTTGCTCGTTGCTCCGAAACCGGACCTGCCGCTGTGATCGATCTCTAGCTGCTCCATTCCGTGGTTTCTTGCGCTTCACGTTGGCTTTGTCGGGCACGCGTACCCTGGAGGCTCTTGCTATTCGGAGCACTAGAAGCGTTTCAAAGGAGAGCCTTGCTCCGAGATGTGCGTTGCAAGCATGCCAGCGTTTGCGCCACATCTCGACGCATACGAGCAACCGACGATGATGACCCAGCGGAGCGAGCGTCCATCGACGTGATCGCTGAAGAGCGGGTACCTTGGGTATCGTCGCTAACCGCCCGAACGACGCACTGAGCTTTCTACGGCCGAGGAGCTGCCCCAAGGCTAGAGCAGAACCCTCACTGCATCGTTTGGTGAGGTCGTGAACGTCTACGGTCTTCCGTTTTTTACCTAGACGGTGCTCTGGACCTCTTTCGCGAAGTGCTGCACTACATTCGTCACCTGCAAGTGGGTGCTCTTCGAATATGGACAGAAGCGCATCAAACGCGGCATCAACTGGACAGCGAGCACGAATACCGCTCTATTCTTGCTTCATCTTGTATATGTCCTGCGTTCAGATCGTATCCGGTATGCATCTGATTCCATCGCAGACCACATTTCACCCGCACCGAGCGCGTCGAAAACGTTGGTAGCATATAATCCGTCGTTGCGAGGGATACGGTGTCAGGGATGCTGCGACTGATGATGCCGCCTGTGCGCTCCGAGCCTTTTCCATGAAAACGCTTTCACTGATCGATTTTCATGGGAAACGACGCTCATACTTCTTCGTGACGCTCGACGCGAACGAACGCTGCTTGCATCATTTGATGCACCTCATCGAATGTGACGCTAAACCTTCAGCGTACTGAGCGCTCTGCATACCACAAAATATTTTGCATGGTCGCACGAGACATGCATGCAATTTTCGAACAGCGAATCTTCCGGATCTGACATACAATGAATCGCACAGGGTGTCTCCGTTCCGAGAAGAGCGCGCCTGCGCACCTCGGCGGTCGCTATTGGGACGAACGGACGGACGAACTGGCTGACGGATAAGCGGACGCGTTTCTGGCGCTGGCGCTCATGTTGGTCAACGACTCGCTTTCGGCATTGCCGCTAAGCAAGGAGCATGGCTGGCAATCCCTGTGCTAGACTAGGAACGTTCCGAGTCGCCGAGGCATGCGCATCCGTACCGAACATTGATTCTGGCGGCAGTAGTGAGAGGCAGCATTCGCCACCGAGGAGGCCGCAGACCTGCACAAATACACCGCGACACGCCTTCGAGTCGATGCCTGCACAGACACTGCAAAGTTTTTCTATATTCGGATAGCGTTCTCGGTGGTGCCGATGTATCCAGTGTTGCTGGGAGCGCTTCTATGACGCTCGAAACCCAGCGATCAAATGCTGCTAGAGCGATCAACGCTGTATGCGAACAGGGAAACTGGTGTGGGGCCCTGTGCGCTCTAAAGACTTCTGCCATTTACCGGCGCTCTCTTTCGTGGTTGCCAGTAGCAGCCGCGTATTCTTGAAGCTCTGGCTCACGCCCTAGTCTTTTGATCAACAAAAGAACGAGGCACCTGCGCTCGTAAATGAATGCTTCCATATCTATGTATACCTTTTCGACATTCCATCAACAAAGAATGACTCGCCAGTTCTCGTGAGCTTTCTCTTCTATATCTATAGAAACCTTTTCGACATTCCATCAACGAAGGATGACCCGCCAGTGCTCGTGAGCTTTCTCTTCTATATCTATATAAACCTTTTCGACATTCCGTCAACAAAGAATGACTCGCCAGTTCTCGTGAGCTTTCTCTTCTATATCTATAGAAACCTTTTCGACATTCCGTCAACAAAGAATGACTCGCCAGTTCTCGTGAGCTTTCTCTTCTATATCTATATAAACCTTTTCGACATTCCGTCAACAAAGAATGACTCGCCAGTTCTCGTGAGCTTTCTCTTCTATATCTATATAAACCTTTTCCGAAATTCCGTCAACATGGAATGACTCGCCAGTTCTCTTGCACGCCCTGCGCGCATGTTTGGCAGGATGCACTCGGGCGCGTGCGCTTCTGCTTTCGTTCCAGTTGGCAGTACGAGCCACACGGTAAAAGGAACGGTCATTGGCTCGTGATTATTATCAGAGGGCGCAGGTTTCGATCTATAGATTGGTCTGTTTCCATCACTCTAACCAACATACTTGGACTTGGGGTGATAGAAGCGTTCTGGTACGGTTACCGAGCGCACTGCTCCTCTATGCGGCTCCACGCGACGCGTTTGACGGGCACGCTTGCCTGCTTGCTCTGCATCTGCGTCATAATTTCACCGGAAAGCTTTCAGGCTATAGGGAGTGAACATGATCCGGCCTCAACTTACCGTTATTTGTACTCCTTGAAGCGACTGGGACTCGGGACCTCGCCCAGTGATACCAAGTGCACGTACGACTCGTTGACACGGTACAGCTTCCTGCCTGAACGCGAGTCGCTGTGTCATGACCTTACGTGCTTGACTTCGAGCCTCTATTTTCGAATTTTCAAAGTCGATCTTTCCAAGGCGTGTCCTTTTTGGGGCGGCACAGCTGCAACGTGCACCAAACCGGACTGTTCGGTTCTAGTCTGTGATCCGGAGCTGATCCCAGCCGTCTGGCGCCGCGACGAGTCTCAGGTACTCCAAACAGAGCAAACGAGAACCTTCCCCGTCGCTGACTACCCGCGTGGGGAGCAGGAAGCAACCTTAGGGCGTGTAGAGCGCCCGAGGGGATCACAGGCGTTGCCGCCTTTTTTCTCGCCCTATGCACTGGAGGACGAGTCCGCGTGGACAGCGCCCGATAGCGATGAGCTCTCCGAATACGTAGACCTGGCGCTGAATCCTGAAGGCTTCACAGGATACCAGGGCCAGCACATATGGGATGCGGTTTACCGAGAGAACTGTTTTCGGCCGCTTCCATGCCTGAGCGGTGACGCAGCCGGCAGCGTCGCCGAACAACTGCTTCGCCAAGGCTCGGTTTCTACTCTGGCTCCAGTGCGTCCTGCCGGGTGCCGAGAAGAACGCGTGTTTTACCGCTGTATCAGCGGTATCCACGCCTCGATTAATGCCCACATTGCCCGTCGCTACCTGTTCGGACGGAATCGCTGGGGCTACAACACACGCCTGTATCGGGAGCGGCTGCGCTACTATCCGGAACGCATTGAGAACCTGTACTTTGTGTATGCGCTGGCTCTGCGGGCAATGAATCAAGCCGCACCGCTGCTCTTGCAGCGTTCAGATTACTGGACAGGCAATGAAACCGAGGACATGCAAACCAAGGAGCTTTTGGAACGAGTTCTGGAGAATCCACTCATTCGTGGCACGGTTCCCGATTGCGCCGTGCCTTTTGCCGAAAACGAGATGTTTCGCGGCTGTTGTGCAGACTGCCTCGTACAGTTCCGCGCTCACTTTCGGAACATCAGCAAGATCATGGACTGCGTCGGCTGTGAAAAATGTCGTCTCTGGGGGAAGCTTCAGTTCCTCGGACTCGGAACGGCCTTCAAGATTCTCTTCGCTGAGTCCTTATCCAGTGTGTCGACTCGTCGCTTGGAGATGCGCATCACGCGTAACGAAGTAGTAGCCTTGGTTAATTTGCTGAAAAATCTCTGTCTTTCCATCCGAAGTATCCATGAAATGGAGTGGATGATCGTCCAGGAGACCAAGAAACAACGCTTATGGTTGTGCTTCGCTGCGGCGATTCTCTGCGGACTGGGATCCATGTTGTTGCGTCACTTTGCTGGGGAGATCCTTGCTTATCGTGGACTGGTGCATCGGAGTGCCAGCGCTATGCGACGTAAACGAAACTGAACATGTGGACGCTCAGCGTCTTGCAACTCTGGATTCGCGGCCACTGGAGACGCGCTGCACGCGGCACCCGCTTGCAGGGGTGCGCGTCCCGCCTGGTGCGCCGCTTTGGATGGAGCCTGTATGTGCCTCCAGAGAAGGCATCGTCTTCACCGTGCCCTGGAATGCGTCTTGGTGTTGCTGTCGCAGTGCCTCCAGAGAAGGCATCGTCTTCACCGTGCCCTGGAATGCGTCTTGGTGTTGCTGTCGCAGTGCCACCGGAGGCGTCGTCTCCAGGCGGAAAAGCGCTCTACGACGCCTTGCGCTTCGGATGTCGCGCACGGCTTGGTTGCTGCAATGTATGCCTGGACAGCGTGTGTGTCTTTCTTGACGACGCGTCAAACTGGGGAGCCGGCTTGGTAGAAACGTTGACAAAGTGCCCGCTCTGAACGCTAGACTCTTGTGGGGTTCGAATGGAGCGCTGAACTGCTGGCGCTGTTCCTAGATTCCGAAATATTCTCCTAGCTTGATCTAGATGTACAGCCACTGCATTCGATGTGCATCAACAATGGGTTTACAGATTGATGCGTTGTTTTCTTTGTCTTTTGCAGTGGTTTCTTCGAGTCTTTGCAGTTTGGAATCGTTACGTTACCAGAATCGGCATGATTCGTGACATCCTCCAACAGGGGCCGGTAAAAGTACCTATCTCATGATCCTGTTCATTGGTCCAAGCCTCCATTCTTCTCCTTTATTTACGTTTCGTATGCTCAAATGTCGTATATTTCAAGATCACGATCTCCACGTTTCAAGCAAAAACACGGGGAAGAGATTCGCGCCGCTGGATTGGCGAGCGAAGTTTCGACTTTGTACGTTGACGACTCCTTCGTGACCTCATGCCGAAAACTCACTAAAATTCTCACGTCCAGTAAACGAGTCCGTTCGCAGACGAAACCCTTCCTTCTTTGTCGACATGGACGAAATATCTCTCCACACGAACTCGATACCAGTCATGGAATATGCTCCCAGATGCTCCCGTGTTTTCGTTCGGCATCGCAAATAACATCCGACTCGGACGTTAATCATTGCAACGATCCGCACCAGTCGCGCGGGCATAACCACTTTGCTCGAAGGTAGCGTACACGAATCAGTATTTCTGGACTCGTTCTCAAGACTCAATGCCATTCCGATGCTTGCCCATGATACACAGCATCAAGCTCCACAAATTACCTATCGAATGGTGTAGCCTGCGCTTGTGTCTGCAGCAGACATAGGACTCGCCCAAAGGAACAGTATGGGAGAACTCATGATCCTGTGGTGCGGCAGCGAGCGCGAAGACGGAGAATGACATTGACTGGATTTTTCTGTACCAGTTAGGGATGTATTCCGAGTGATGAAGCACGCGTTCGTGCTCCGTGGGACACCGCTCGTAGAATACGCTCTGGCCGAAACATGAGTATACCTGACAGGATCCAAGTGTGCCCGCTGCGAAGAGCACGCCGATGCTTTATAGAACGAAGAAGATGTTCGTTTCAGAAGAAGCGTAGGTCGAAGCTTCCGCTTGGTCATGAAATGCATGGAATACAGTCGGAAACAGCGAAATCAGGAGTTGCACGCTGCCATCAACATCCTTCGACTGCTGACAACGGAGCTTACCGAAGAGGAAAGACCAACGAATATAAAGCCGAATAAAAGAGACGATACCATGAAGCAGTCACAGAGAAAAAAGCGCCGAAAAGCTTGTGTTATTGATGTGATAAGCGAACCAAACGTTATCGCGTACGACCGCGCTCGTCGACCCGTTCCGTTTTTTGGCGGCAGTGGTGCGGGAAGCAGCGCTGCCGTGCGCACGCTGCACCCAGGTACCAAGCGAGCACCGTGCGCATATCGCTTTGCTTGGCTTCCTGGTACTGAGAGACTCAGTGAGAGAGCGCACGCGCCAACATCATGCTCCGTGGAAGCGCAAGATTCCCGCGCCACTCTTTACACCGGCTATGATCGTCAGCGGGTATCCGGGGCCTCTGGAGCATGCGCTCTGTCCCTTTACATTACCACATAGCGGAGCAGATGATGGCCCTGTTCTCGCCAGATACCACGCATGCCACTCTGTACCACCACAACCGTATCACCTTTTCGTAAAAAGTTCTCCGCCAAAACTTCCTCTTTGAAGCGTTGGAACGTTGCTTCAAACGTATCCTGCACTTCAATGGTTACACAGAATACGTTCCACAAGAGCGAGAGTTTCGGTTGGATATCGGAAACTGCAGTCGCAGCAACGATCGGTATTCGTGACCGCAGCTTCGAGAGGCGCTTGGGCATGTTGCCCGTTCGTGTGAAGACGATGATCGCGGCCGCGTCTAACGATTCCGCCAGAGAGACCGCTGCTCGGGCCATGGCATCGGATACACGCTCCACGTCGCGGCAACACTCGGCAAAGCCGGCAATCGGATCCAGCCCCTGACGAGCACGTTCGTCTGCAATGAGCTGCTCGTTTTGTCGCATGATAATATGGCGCATCGTGGCACAGGCTCTGATCGGATACTTTCCCTTGGCGGTCTCGCCGCTGAGCATCAGTGCATCGGCGCCCTGCTCCACGGCATGGGCCACGTCCGAGGCCTCCGCCCGCGTCGGGATGGGCTTCTCGATCATGGACTCGAGCATCTCCGTGGCCGTAATGACCACTTTGCCTGCCGCTCGACAAAGACGCACCATGAAGGACTGGACGATAGGCACCTCTTCCAGGGGCAGCTCGCTACCGAGGTCGCCACGCGCCACCATAACCCCGTCGCTTGCCTCGATGATTGCGGGGAGGTTCAGCACACCCTTCATGCTCTCGATCTTGCTGATGATCGCCGCCCGCGAGCCAAGTTTCGTGACAAATTCTCGCACCATGTGAACGGTTTCAGCGTCATTCACAAACGACAAGGCGATAAAGTCCACGTTGAGTTCCTTCACAGCGAACTCGATATCCTTCCAATCGGATTCGGTAACCGAGGGCAACGACGCCGTCTTTCCGCGAATGTTCAAATGGCGACGGGGCGAGAGCTCGCCACCGTCCAACACGCGGCAGATGAGATCCCGTTTGTCAGCGTCCTTGCGCTCCAGCTGTAACTCCAAGAGACCGCCATCAACAAGAATACAATCGCCTTCGGCTGTGTCCTCGAAGAATCCCGCATAGCTGACACCGACTACTGGCGCAAAAGGTAAAACGGAGCCTTTCACCGCGACACCCTCAAGAGGTTCCGGCTGCTTCTCAAATGCCTCATGCGTACAACGCAGAACGAGCGAGCTTCCTGCCGGCATTAACATGGTGTTTTGGCTCACGAGTTCTGTTACCTGATCGGAGGTCACCAAGCCGTGCTCCACCATTCGCTTCGCAATCTCCTCCGCTCGGTTGATCTCCCCGCTGCGCACTTCCGCACCTTTTGAGTCCATCATTTTCCCAATGCGCACATACAGAGCGCTCTTAGCGTCATTTCTGTACTCGAGGCCCGACACACTATTCAGCGAGTCAGTGGAGCTTGACGTGCTCTCGGTACGCAGGGGACCGGCGTCAGACACCGCCACCGATTTGGCGGAGTCTGTCAACTGCTCACGTGCCTCGTCGTGCGACGTCCACCTTCGACGAGCTTTCTCAAAACGCTCCTCATTGACGCGATCGACGGCGTCCGATACTTTCTTGTGGAACTCGTACGTCCCGTGACTGAAGTTCAAGCGAGCAACGTCCATTCCAGCGTCTGCAAGAGCCTTGATCATCTCATAAGAGGCCGTCGGAGGCCCTATAGTACATACGATTTTCGTTCGACGCAGCTCCCGAAACTTGACACGACGCCCTGCGGCTGCTGACGCCAAAGCGCTGACGCTGTTCCCGGTTTCAGCGCTGCTGCTCGTGCTGACGCCGCCATCGCCAGCCGTCTCTTGAGCTAGTCCAGCGCGGTGCACAATAACCGATCTGTAGTTGAGACGCTGATCCTGTTGCGATCCAAAGAGAAAATAAGGGTATCCAGCAGTCCCCGTTGGTTGACACAGTTCGTACATGGAAGTTGCGTTTGTACGTTGCGAAAACGTTCTGAATAACGGTGGCGTCCTGGGATGCGATCGGCACGCGCAGCGGCTGGTGTTTACGGCTGTGCAGCAGCGTCGGCGGCGGCGTCGGCGTGACACTACGTTCGTGAAATTGGTGGTGGAGCGGCTGCACGCGTGCCCCGTCGACATTAGCGTACAGCAAGTGGAGCGATCGAAGTTGCTGGATTCCCATCGATGCGTTCAGGACGAAATACATGCATCACAAGCACGGGTTGCGCTGAAAACGGTCGGGGAGCGCATGAAACAGAGGCGCATACACGGATATGGTATACGGTAAGCTGTTCGAACCTGAGATGGCGTGGTAGTCGCAGGTCTGAAACCGATCCTGGAGTGATTCCGCCAGCAACCATGCGCGCAAATCTTTTCCGCATCGACACCTGACTGCATCAATCAGAATACGAAAATGTGTCGGGTCTGGTGAGCGTCCAGCGGCTTCGTATCGAGCGATGCTTCGAGTTCAATGTTCGTAATTCACTCCGCGTATCGCTCGGAAACGCGCGAGACTTGCGGAGAAACAAATTCACTGTCCAGGATAAATGGCACTCGAATTACGTGTTGAGCCAGACACTCGCGTGGTATCATTCAGTAATCCAGAAAGGCTGCACGGCGATCTATGTACCCCCGGGGCAACGTTCCCAAGTAAATACTGATCGAGCATGGTATTCTATTCATCGACATTGCTGCGTACAGATGCACCACGTTGCGAACACCAGACAAAGACACATTAGCTTTCCGACACCGATGATGGTATCGTGCACCCACGCTTAACAGTCGCAGTCCGCGACTCCGCTTTCATACTGGTACCAGTGCGCACAACGGACGCACTGCCGAGTAGCCCGGAGCAGAATGTCACGCACGTCACGCAGGCTGTAACCCATTGCCGCTATGCTGGAACGAGCGCATCGCGCCCGAGGAGCCCCGTACAAAACCGATCTTCCCAATACTCGCGAGTCTTGACCGCGTTATCCTCGGTCTAGCGGCGGGTTTGACGCTTCAGCGACTTCACTATCGCTGCACTGGTATCGTGCTACAAAGCAGCGCTCACTGTCTGCCTCACAGCTATCATCCCAGCAGTGGACACCTTTCATCCCATTAATGACAATTTTATACTGTTTTATTTGCCGAATCTCGAATCGAATGTGCGCCCTCAGCTGCGGCGCGCGTTTCGTGAGCTGCTCCCGTACCGCTACGCTTCAGCGACCGATAGGGTTCTGCGCGCTCCATGTTGCTCGAGACAGCGTGGGCATCCTGCAATAGGAGTGCTTGGTTTGGGTGGAGCTATCGGACCTGGGCACATCGTTGGCATGGAGCAGTCGTCGTGGGAGCGCGGCCGCCGCGCGCACGGTCACCCGTACCCACTTGGTACCTGGCCCAGAACAGGCCCGTCGTCGCGCGCAGCAAGAAGCGACGCAGTTCCCCGTCCAATGACAGGGTCAGTGACGGCTCTGACGGGAGTGCTGTTCCCCATTTAAATGAGCAGCACTATCTGGGAGAAATATTCTGTAACCGTTCTCTGAAGATGCGCTCCATAAAGGCTATCGGCTTCGACATGGACTACACGCTCGCGCACTACAAAGCGGACACCTTCGAGACGCTCGCCTATGAGGGAGCCCTGCGCCGCCTTGTTCACGCTGGTTACCCGAGGGAGATTCTGGACGAGTTGCGACCATACGATCCCCAGGCATACATCCGGGGGCTTGTCATCGACAAAAAGCGTGGCAACATTCTCAAGATGGATCGCCACAAGTACGTCAAATTGGCATTTCACGGTTTCCAGCGTCTATCCAAACAAGAGCGGGATGCGCTCTATAACCCGGCGGCGGTCAACTGGGCTGCCTTCAACGAACCGGACTTTGCTGTCGTCGATACGCTCTTCTCGCTGCCAGATGCGTTCCTCTTCAGCAAGCTCGTGGAGTTTAAGGATCAGTATCCGAACCTCATCGAGAAACCATATGAACAAATCTATCGTGATGTGCGTCGGGCAGTCGACCTGTGTCATCGAGACGGCACCATAAAGCGACGCGTCGCTGAGGAGCCCGCCAAATACATCGAGTACGACCCGCATTTGATCCCGACGTTGAAGCGACTGAAACGCTCTGGACGCAAAACCTTTCTCCTAACGAACTCGCTCTGGGAATACACGAATGTGGTGATGAACTTCCTCATGGGGAATCCTCCTGGTTTGCTCGAGCTGGACTGGTTGGATTTGTTCGATGTCGTCATTGTGGGCGCGAACAAACCTGCCTTCCTTACGGACCCGAGGCTTTGGATGTACCGAGTCGATCCCAGATCCAAGGAAGGCTACCTGAGCAACACTGAAGGTGTTATTGATGGCAACGCCGAGGCGTTTCTCCGTGAGGGTAAGGTGCTGCAGGGCGGGAATTACACACACCTCCAGGAAATACTCTCTTTGAACTCCGGAAGCGAGGTTCTGTACGTGGGTGATCACATGTTCAGTGATATTTTACGCTCCAAGCGCCAGCTGGGCTGGCGCACCATGCTCATTATTCCCGAACTAACAGATGAAATCAACGAAATGCTGCGCTCGGAGGTGGACCGCCAACGTCTGCGGGATATGCGTCTACTTCGTGACGAACTCGATGAGATGATTGACCGTGCCGAATGGGAACTTCACTGCGAGTACGAGCGCTCCGAGCACGAAGCGGACCCACACGCGGATCCATCCCGAAGGCAGCGAATTGAAGCGCTTCGACAGAGCGTGGAAACCGCCGAGACAGAACTCCGAGAGGTCAAGGCGGCGCTCGCAGCAGAGACAGAACGCTATCACCGGCGATTTCATCCAGTATGGGGGCAACTCTTCAAAACCGGGTATCAGAATAGTAGGTTTGCAGAGCAGGTCGAGCAATACGCTTGCCTGTACACTAGTCGGGTGAGCAATTTACGCTTTGTTTCACCGGAAATAACCTTTCGTTGCATGTCGGATCAGTGTCCACATGATCGTTTACACGAAAGCCCAATGCGGCGGATACTGGAACGCCGACTCCAGGTCGTTCAGAACGTCAGCGACCTGGATGCGGCGTCGTCGTAGCGCTCCATGAGGTTTGCGCACTTGTCTCGCGTACCAGTGAGATGCTCAGCATGCGATTCTGTATAGCGAGCACGTCCGAGCTTGCGTTACCGATCCAAGTCACCGCCTCGTCGCTTCGCTTTTGCTGGGTGATTATTCGACACATTCTGCGACGATGCAAGACGTCTTTGAATGCGTTCCAGTGCTCGCTGGGAGGCTTGTCGCCGAACATCGTGCGCTCGCAATACGCCTTAGTTTGAACGGTACCAGGCGCTTGGTGGCTGCTTTCGCACCGACGATGGTCAAGAGTGCGCTGGACTCGTCAGGAGTAGACGCGCGCCTGCACTCATGGATATACTTACGTTTGTAATCAAACGTGCTCGTCTCTATGTCTGGTTGCATCCATTCATATGGATGCTTTTGTACGCTTGCCGACGGACGCACTAGACCGTTTACGATGCTCTACGGATGACCAGTGAAACGCCTTACCAGGTCGGTGCGAGAACGCGATTTTTCTGGTCGGTACCGCGCGTCGCTGTTCTCAATATCCAAAATGGCTGTTTCCGAAACGAAATCGTATATCCTATTGCTGCACGTCGCCATCGGCGAGACACCTGAGGATGCAGCACCCGCCAACGAGTGCACGAACGACAACCTACCCGTTTAAAACCAGTGGTTGCACCAGATCTGATACCCGCTTCCGCCTTTTGCAACTGATTGCGTCTTGAAGAGCGGCAGGCAACTACCAAGGCAACCGGCCTGCGCGGTGCCTGCACCTCGCGACACACCAGCACCAGCACCAGCACCAGCTTGGATTGCATCGCGCTGAGGAGACGTTGCATGGCGGCTCGAGACCGCAGAAAGCAGTGAACGTTGCTAGAACCCGTTGAGGACTCGTTTCCCAGCGACGATGCTTGAGTCGCACGCCAGGCGCGTCCCAGACGCTGCGATGCCACGTCAGCGACACCTGGTGCAACGCCCGGCTCCCTATCACACACTGCGTTCTGGATCGCTCTATGACCGACGGCTGAAAAAGCGCGAAAGACTACTTGAACGACGCCTGCGCGGTGCAAAGCCGTCATTCGAGGGATAAGGAGTTGCGGCACTATCAAACGCGGTGGCAGCTTCAGAGGCAAGCCCGGTACCCAGTCGCAGGTTGCCGCTGGTACTCGGCTCGCCCGGTGGTGGCCATACCGCAGGTGTCGAACGTGCACCACGACGCTGCTCTGAAGCACTCACTGGTCGACGTTCTCGTTGCATCTCGCCAGCGTACAGCGTGCGATTCAGGCCTCGCAGTGCCTCAAGCATCCGAGTAGGCGTCAACACATGCGTCGCTCCAAGGTACACATTCAGCGGCAACTCCGCCGATACCTCGTAGCTAACTCGCATCTCAGACGCGCACATGCCACCAGCAATAAAGACGACCACCCGTCGACGAGGTCGTTTGCTATCACTAATCCGCTCGGTTCCATTCAGGGTAGCGGCTTCGTCTTCGCTGGCACTGGAGAGCTCTCGCCCTGAACCGCGCTCCAGGTCATCGGCAGAGTCAGAGCGACGACGCACGACCGATGATGAGCGTCGTCTGCGTACCGAGGCTGCGCGGTTCCGCGTAGGTACCCGACCGGCAACGTCTCGCTCCCGCGAGAGCGAGCGTGAGCGGCCTCGCGTCAACGCGTCGTCTGGGGGCTGGCGACCTGCCGACTCCCGCTCTGCACTGAAGAGGATCGGAAACCGACTCCGCGAGAGACGATCACGCGCAATAGCTTCAAGGATTTCCCGCAGGAACGGAACATAGCGAGATAGATCGTAGGATTCGCCACGACTTGCGCGAAAGTAGCGCAGCGCACGCTCCGCAAGCGCTTGGCACTCACCAGGCTCCTTGGCGAGATGCACACCCAGGCGTGCACGTAGCAACGCCGACACGAGTTCTCGCCCTAGACCCACATCCTCCATGGTCTCCAGGAGATCGTCGACATCACGTGCACTCATATCCATGGTGACCAGCACGATTGCCAACAAGCGCACCTTGTCCTCCAGCGGCACATGCGCATCCTGGAGGATCAACGAAATCCGCTGTGCTGCCTCTGTCGACGAGAGCAGGTTCCCGTGACAATCCACTAGACCACACGCGAGATCCTGTTCACAAAGCGAGGTACGCTGAAGATACCGATCATTGAAACGATGCATCAGACAATCTAGGATATCCATGTGCACCGCGTATTTGCTCAGTTTCTGCATCTGTTCATAGGGCATGGCAGTGCTCTCCGGGGGCGCGTTTCGAGCAGCGGAGGCGCCCTGCAGCGCGGCGCCCAATGAACGCACTGTAGTTCCCTGCAGCTCCTCGCTGATCTCGCTGATAGCGTCCGCGATATGCAGATGACGAAGACGGGCCCAGGTCTGGTCAGCGTACTCGTCCAGAAAGGCTTCCCGGGTGGTGCTGGCGGTGGAGTCGCCTTCACGCACCACGTAGGTATAGCGCGTGGTGCCGCTATCCAGCGCATCCGCTGCTAGCAGATCGTTGCACATCGCCTGGTACGTATATTCGTGGAGAAAGGGAGCCACCATATCCACAGAACGGTCCAGAATCAGCAGCATGGTATTGGTGCTGGTACCAGCAGAGGACTTGTCCTCGCTGGGAGCTGCTGCGGTGCTGGCGTTCTGCTCGACGGCAGCCGCTTCCAGCTGCGCACCACGCATCCCGCCGGGTACATTGGCCTCGTAGTCTCGGATGGCGTCGAGGAGCGCCTCAGCGATGCTCTGCGCAACGCCGCTTTCGCTTCGTTGGTAGCGAATCGTTGGCACCTCGCCCAGAAGGTGGCAGAGCGTCAGCAGGTTCTGGGCAATACGCTGGACCATATCCGAACAGGCGCCTGGGGGCGGCTGCAACGCTGCTGGGCGTGCATCCCAGGCAGATGCCCAGCCTGGAAGCGCAGCACCATCATGATCATCATCGTGACCTGCGGCACTGCCCGGGGCGAATAGCATCTCCAGTGCATTCGGATAGTCCAGGGAGAAGATGCGCTCCTCGATAGCCATAAAGTCCAGGTTGAGCTCCGTAAACGTCAAGAGCCGCTGGACCAGACACGACGACTGCCGCAGAAGGTCCAACAGCGCATCTGGCACGCGAGCCGTGGTGAACACATGTGCCGCTCGATAGCGTGGCCCCGAAGCTGTCGTGGTAGCGCCGGGTGGCCCGGGTGCAGCGCCCGAACCCCAGCGAGCCCGTGGTGTACGCGCGTTCGCGGGACTCGCCGCCAGACGCCCCGCAGCGCCGCTCTCGGGGCCGGACCCAGCGCTCCTTGGCGCCGTGCGGCTGACGCTCGTCCCTGGACCAGCGTCAGCGAGGCGCTGACCGGCCCCGTCTGATGGATGTGCTGCGGTTTGCGTATCCGGGAAGTCGGCAACAAGGCGATCGAATGAAGCTAGCTCCGGCGCTACAAAATACACCGCCGACATGCGCGGCAATGGCTCACGCTCACTCTCGAGCGACTCCACCACGAAGGCACCCTCTTGGATGAGGTCTGTCAAGCGACACGCTGCCGACAATACCGCTAGCGCACGTCGATCTGCAACGATCAAAAATACCAGTTTGCGTTGGTTATCGCTACGAATGAGTGCGGCAGACGCAGCGTTCGACTCCGCCTCGGCAGCTTGCACGATGCGCATCATGCCTTGGAGAATACGCGTTCGAGCGAGCTCCCGCAGCGTCACAACGCCAGCATAGCGAGCACGTGATGCGGCGTCTCCACCAGCGGACTGGTCTTGCGGTAATGTTGGTGGAATCGGTCGACCAGAGCCGCTCGAGAGGCGCTGTGCAGCGGCGGCAGCAGCAGCCATAGCGGACTGTTGCTCGCGATACTTGCGGGCAGCTGCCTCGGCAGCCTCCTTGGTGCGGAGTGCCTCTTGCTTCGCCGCTTGGCGTCGGCACCGTCTCCAAAGCATGAAGGCGAAGATCATCGCCAGCAGGACGCCAGCCACAGAGCCGATCACTGCACCCACAATGGCACCTGTGGACACCGCCCCGCTGTGGACGCTACCGAGCCCGGAGCCCTTGAACGGGTCCTCGGCACCCTCACCGAACGCTGCGGTGCGAGCGACGACCTGCATCGAGGCATTGGTGATATTCGAACTGGTAGCGAGCACCGCCGTCAGGAGCCCCGACGAGGTTCGATTCTCAACCGTGGGTATATCCGCTGGGTCCGCCGCCACCTGCAACGCCACTGCAACATCGGTTCCGTCGCTTGTGCCGGATCCAGCGGTGCTGCTGGCACGTCCAACGACAGACCCAGCGATGTTCTGCACGGGAGGCGAGGTCGAGCGCTTCCCAGTGAGCCATTGCCAGGTTTGAAGCATGCGGCGTCGACGGTTGGTCAGCACCGGTGCCGTTACCGGCCCGTTGCCTCCATTGCCACTGGTATCCGAGGTGTTGTTTCGGGAGCTGTTGGAGTGATTCAGGCGAAAGTAACCAGATGTGTACCTGAACATGGTTAATTGAATAGCTGAAGCGTTCTGACACCGCACGCACTGGCTCTGCAGGTTGGACACGAGCGTTTGTGCGAACGCCTCCTGAAACGTTCTGTTCTCATACAATGATAGACTGACGTTGCCCGAGTTCGCCAGCAGGTTCACCACACCGGTATCTGGTGACGGGCTCGGGAAACTCGGGGTTGCAGCGGGCCCGCTGCTTGCCATGGGCGTCGGGCTCGGCGAGCTCGTCGCCGTTGTGCTAGGCGACGGCAGCGGTGACGGCAGCACCGTACTCGTTGGAGTCGCTGTGGTTGTTGACGGCGATGGCGTTCCCGTCTCCGAAACGCTGGGTCGCACCGAGAGCAGCGTTGCGTTCGGGTTGAGCGACGCGCTCGCCGTCACCGATGCACGCGCACTGGGTACAGCAGTGCTGTTTCCCAGCACTGGCTCCAGTGGTGTGGTCTGACGCAGTGTAAGTAGATTTCGCTCTTCAAGGATCCACGTGCTCTGGGGATAACGCTGCCCCGTGGCTCGGTTCGCGAACGCCAACACCACGACTCCAAGCCAAACGAGCCCCCAGAGCAACCTAGACCAAGCCAAGCCATTACCTCTCATGAAGTTTTCGTTTTATGAATAATAACCTTCAATAAACACAGACGTCCTCGGTAGAAGTGCCCGAATAACGGAAGACCGCGGCGAAGGGAACGTCACTCGAGACGACACCTCTGACGTGTCCTAGTCGACGGGGAAACGATCGATGCCAACGACAGCAGAACGCGCCTGTCCGCTTTCCTCCCTGAACGTGGATTACGGGTGTGCAGTTCATGGAGCGCACTACTGCGGCAAACACCTCCCTTTCAAAAGGGACGAACGCTCTCTCCGTTTCGAATAGTGATGACGCAAACTTGAGCAAGGCACGCAGCAGCGACGACAGTGCTGGACAGACGGAGCGACCAGCCCCCGCACCGCGACGCATCCTCTTCGTCACTGTCGGGAATAGCTCCGTGCGTCTGGTAACCTACCTGGACCGTCGAGCGATCCAGGAGGGTCTCGGTGCGGGAGAGCGCCCAAAGTTCGAGGAAATTGCGGATCGAATTTTGAATAAAACGCCGACTGGGACGGATGTGCGCACCTCGTACGACAGTGGAAACGTCGGGTATCACGTTCAGGTTCATCAGGACCTCATCTACTTGGCAGTGTGTTTGCGTGGGTACCCCAGACAACTGGCTTTTGATTTTCTACAGCAAGTACGTGAACAGTTTGAATCGCGATATGCGCCCGCTGACCTGCGGAGAATGACGAAACCGGACGCCCTGGACGCTGCGTTTCGCCCAACGCTCAAAGCGCTGACCCAGACGTACACAACGAGGCAGGACAAGATCGCCCAGCTCCAGGGCGAGGTTCGTGACATTCACGCTGTGATGCAGCGCAACATCGAAGACGTCTTGGAGCGTGGCGAACGCTTGGATGACCTCGTGGAGCAGGCCGATGCGCTCCGGAATACGGCGGGTACGTTTCAGCGGCAGTCGGGAACCTTGAAGAAACGCATGTGTCAAAAGAATGTGGCCGCGGCGAGCTGTATCATCGTTTTAGTGATCTTGATCATCCTAGCGATCGTTCTCGGTGTCGTCCTGACGCATCGTCACTGAGGTTTTGCGAGGCTGGTACCAGATCAGTTGCTGCTGCTGCTGCTGCTGCTGCCCGTGTCCAGTACGTTCAGCGCGCCAGAACACACGGCCGGGGATCAGGGTCTTGCGGCATGCGCCGGGCCTGGGTATGCCGCCCGATTGCCAATGTCTTGGTTGCTCTGTATTCGCCGGGACGCAGGTTGTGCCGTTTAGCTGGACGCGCCCTATCGAAACGGTGCCTGGTCCAGTGGCTCACCAGATGGAGCAACGAAGCGGCGCGCAGTGCTGTCGCGCTATGCGGGCCTCTTGCGCAGTACCGTTTGTAAAGGCGGACGTGTCCCAGAACACTGCGCAATCGAACAGCAAGACGCGCCTGGTTGTCGAATGGCAGGAGCATGCATGCTGGCAGCTGCTTGGTGCACCAAGAATGCAACGACGACGACGACGACGACGACGACGACGACAGACTGCTTACTCGGCACACATGCAAGCCTCGCAAAGTCACGCACACATCTGCTGAGGCGCAGGTAACTGTCGCCGCCATCTACGTGTGCTCACCTCAGCTGTCGCAGTAGTGACTTTTGTCGTATAGCCACGTCATGGGCGCGATCCTCTCATATATTCACACACAAACATACACACGTACCCACACCGACGCATACATACGTACACAGAGAGAAGTAGAAAGAAAGAGAGAGGCGGCAAACGTCGCACATGTGCTACCCCAATGCGCAAGGTTTCCGCGCAAGTGCGACGCAGTGCACGCATCAGCTGCGCACGCATCTCGACGCCGGGATACACGTGTCCGCGATGCGTGCACAGTTGATGCGTGCGTCACTCAGCCGCATTTGCCGACTTGAATGTACGGATCCATTCTGAGCATTCCTGGCAAAAACTCTGTTCATGTGTTCGCGTCCAGGCATCCAAATCCCAGTGTTGGTTCGGTAAGGCAACGAGATTATCAGTGGAAGATTTCCAAACGTACACGAAAGCTCTGAGTCTCATGCCCAGGGGCAGAATCTGGACCTCTTCCACCAGTTTTTGGTACTGTGGGCCTTCGTAGGCGTCCAGCAGCGCGTGATCGGCTGCAGTAAGCTCGAGAAGCAATACGCCAGGTACGGCCTCGTGCGGCGCATTTTCCGGTGCTGATTTCGCCACTGCTGGGTATGATTCATCTCGCACCCCGTGGACGCGATACCCGTTGAGCACAGCGGCAACCGATCGGGGAATGCGTCCCAAAATGGTTTGTAGTACGCGGGGCGATTGCAGCGTTCCGTACGAGAAAACGCCAACTGGCTCTATACTTTTGGCAAAGGCGGGCACTCGGGCCCGCGCGGTCATCCCCATCAGTACGGGCGCCATACTCGAATCGCAAACCGTCGGCGAGTGCAAGACCGGGCCACGGGCAACCGCTCGAGTCTGGATTCTCGCTGGAATGACGATTCCTAGCAGATCGATATTGTGGGCAACATAGGTCAGCAGCCGTTGCTGCAACTGCTCGCGTCGCTGTTGGTACCAGCGCTCAATGCGTGCCCTCTCTGACGCGGTGCAAGCGCTTGACCAGGCAGCTCCACCGATGAGCTTAAGTATACATTCGAGAAAATAGGCATCAGTGGATGGCAAATAGACGCCGAGCCCAGCAAACGGCTGGACACACCATGTGCTGGGTGCCAAGCCCGTAACCATGGGTCGCATCGCCGCGTGCGGTCCGGCCAGGCGCTGTCCAGCAGCCGTCTGTACGTACGCCCCCGAACGAATTGCGCAGAGCGAGTCGGACGCCAAGGTTTGCTGTGTGCTTCGTGGCACACGCTGGGGAGATACGCCAGCACTCGATAATGCCGGTTCGTCTGCAGAAACTTCTCCCGCTGTGACGTATCCAAAGGTACAATCACATGCTGCAGGCGCAGGTATCGCTGCGTCTTGTATAACATCCAGGAGCGCTTGGCCACAAAAGCCGGTGCAATCGGGGTTCAGCGAGCGATGAAAGGCTGCCAGCACCTGCTGCTCTGCTTCATACGCTGCGCTTGATGGATCAAAATTAGGTAGCCAGTAAGTCATGCCGTCGTAATGTAAAGGGAAATAAAATACGCCATAGGGTTTGAGTGTCGCCAGCAATCGGGGCATTGCGGCGCGCAAACGCGCATACGCCAGGTTCGATGCGCTCCCAGCGGCGGCCTCGTTCAGCAGCAGATCGAAAAAAGATGACGCCCACAGCACCTCTGCAGTGCCGGGATGCTGCGTACAGAAAGTTTCTGCATCGCCTTGATAGCAGTGTACGTTGAGGTAGAAACCAGTCGATGATGCCTTCAGTACCAGCTTCGCTGACCCCAGGCACGACGCATGATGCGTTTGCGGATCCGTTGTTGGAGTTCCGGCGGGCATGTCGCTATCTTCAAAACGTCTTGTTTCTACTGAAGCCGCACCAGGGCCGATTTGTGGCTCGGCGACGTGCCTAGTGTCGTCGCCAGTAGTTTCACCGGCTCGATGCTGGCGCGTATGCTCCAGTGAGGCCGCAGTAGCTGTGGCTTTCTGAGCACCACCACCACCACCACCACCAACGACAACAACTGTTTGTTGAGTTTTTGGACCTGGTTCCAGGGGCGTCTTCATGTCCATTACAGGCGCTGGGCTTTCTGCGCGAGTCGCCTGACCTGTGGCAGCTGCTCGGATCGCTTGCGAGCAGGCCGGTCGCTGATCGCGATCAGCGGCACGGTGGAGGTCAAAACCAGATAGGCACTGGTGCAACTCGTCGTCATTTGAGTGGTCCACCACGTTCGTTTCTAAATGATAGCGCTCCAATTGCCAGGGATTCTCATTGCTGGCTGCGACGCTCTGCAGACGCTGGAGCAGTGCACGCAGGAGCTGCGACTTGAGGTCGACTGCCCAGTATTCCACCCCTCGACGGTACGTTCGTACTTGTTCAAGCGCTTCCGCGTGCTCCCAACTTGCCAGTAAGCGAAAAAGTAGCGAGCCGATACCCGCACCCACGTCAATGATGCGCAGCGGCTCCAGTCGGGTCGCTGCGGCTTGGCCTTGGCTCAGCTGGCTGTGCAGGAACCCCGTAAACCGCTCCCAGAGCTCGCAGTGAATGGCTCGATCATCGATCCGTTCCTTCGCTTCTAAGTACCTTACATAGTCCAGACTCCAATCAAGCGGAGCTCGTTCGTCTTCAGAGGCAGTCATCCCTGAAGCGTGCAGGTCGTGCACCAGAGGTTGCGCACGAGAATCGTCATGTACCTGCGGACCTGTCGGTGCGACCCGGTGCTGGCACAACACGTGCTGGCGGGTGCACTTGGCACTCCCGATGCGAAAGCCTCTGGGGAATGCAAAACACCAGAAGCGCTAGACGTGAGCGTTGAGATCTTTATGCACTGCTTGGAACCCTTCATGGACGTTGAAGTCTCAAAATCTTCTATTATATTGGGTTGCGTCGAGGACGGTGTGTATGAACGGGAGCTGTTCAGGTCGAAACAGTGGACACCGTTCGAGTCGCGAGCGGGCGGCACACCGGCCTGGTTGGTGCCGCTCCCCGCTGGCCTAGCCACGAAAAGATTACGATGCGGCTCGTGCAAACGACAACTTCGTTTCCTTTTGCAAGTGTACGCGCCCCGGGGGCACAATGCGGCGGCGTTTCATCGCGTGTTGTACTTGTTCATCTGTGCGTGGTGCGCTAGTCGATCCGCCGACAATTCAGGCGCTGCTCGAGTATACAGGGTGCAGCTGCCACAGCACAATAGCTGGTACCCAGATCAAGTCGAAGACCTGGAAGCGTTGCGTCGGTACCCTGCGAACTTGTCGGCGGGGTTGTCGGGGCTTGATCCGCCTCCGTCGCCACACCGGGGTGCTGCCGCTGACACCGCCAGTTTTGATGCGCTTCAAGCGGCCGCTGCAGTGGCTCCGCAGCAAACAGCAGAGCAGACGCGTGTAGGCGGAACAAGTTCGCGGCGAGCACACGCAGCATACGACAAATCTGGGGCGGACGCAACCATCTCTGAGGAGCCCTCTCTCGGCTTCCCGGCGGTCGAAATTCTCGTCGACTGGGACAGCGACTCCGAGCACGACAGCGGCGTCATCGACGACCAAGTTGAAGAATCGGAACTCCGTGTGGTGAACGTAGACGCAGAGGATGCTGCACCTACAAAAGAGCATGCATGCTCGGCAGCAGAATGGATATCATTCATAGAAACAATCGAGACAGAGCAAAACTTACGCTGTTCTGATTTGTCGGATGCACTTGCATTCGAGCAGGCGCTTGGGAGCCATCGAAACCAAGTCATTCGATACCTGCCCTTGCATGATCGTCTTGCGATGATCGCTGTGAACAACCCGCAAAAGCTAGCTACGATTTCGAATCAGCAGATCCTGTGGTTCGGATCCAAGTCGAGGCTTGAAGCCGCACAGGTGCCTCCTTGTGGCCTCTGCGGCATGCCACGAGTTTTCGAAGTGCAGGTCATGTCGCAGTTAATTTATTATCTCTGCCGGGAGTCGGAAAACGAACTGGAACCTGCGGAACAGTGCCCTACTCAGACGCCGGCGACACGTGGAGTGCGTTCCGAAGACCCGCGTGCTGTTTTGGATTTCGGAACGATTGCGATCTGGACCTGCCCGCGAGACTGTGTACCGTCGAGCTCGGAAATTTGTCCCGATGTGCAAGACAAAAGTTTGCCGCATCCTTATGTCGAGGAGTTTGTCTACGTGCAGCCAGCGATTGGGGAAGCGTAGAGGACCCTCCCGGACGGCAGAGGATCCGGATTGAACAGTCGCGGATAGCTTGATCCCGTCGAGCATCGACACCTTTACACACATATGCATCCGCATATGCATCGACGCAATGTTCACATTGCGAACGAACGAACCCGGGCGTGCGTTGGCGTCGAGGGTCGTGCGCTATTCGCCACCGCCACCCGGTCGATAGCCGCATCGCCAGAGACAACGTGAACCAGAGGGCCCGCTTTGCGAGCAACCCGTGCGGGATGGTATGCAGCATCTGCACCGAGCACGTCTATGGTGATTCATTTAGAATCATGGGGTGCAATGCCGTGGATGTTGTCGAGTCGGCAGTACAAGTCGACATTCGGTCGCGCGATGTTCATGGACGTGCAGCTGGTGCGAGTGCCTGCTCCAAGCGCCCCGTTGTGCCGCTGAACGTACGAGTCTATCGCGAAATGCATAGCTAGCTGAGACCGTCCCGTATCCGTTGGAGGCCCGAGTGCGCTTGGGTGTCGTTGAGTTTCCGCGGCAACACGACGGGACGAGATCAACGCTCACAGAGCCGATCAAAAAATGGCGACGGGCAGTCCTCCGTATTGTTCATTGCGGTACGTCGTGCCCGATGATTTCCGCAAGACTGCGGGGAACGCAGGCGCCCTGCAGGCAAGGCACACTTTGCGAGCCACTGCAGCGCACCCAGGGCATGGCCGGTGCCCGTATACCTGGTGCCGTGAAGATCGCCCAGTCTCGTGACTGTACAATGACTCTACCGCGGGTTCCTAGGATATCTCTCAGTTTACTCCGGTCGGATGATAACAAGTTCTTTGCCGTATTCGACGGGCGCCCCGTCTTCGACGCAAACTTTGATGACCGTCCCACTTACCTCGGAATTGTAGACAAAGTAGTTCCCCAGCTGCTCAATGATGCACACGGGGCGTTTGACTTCGATCCGGTCTCCCACTTTGACGTAGGGCGGACGTGAGGGCGGCCCCGCTCGAAATATTCCAACCCGATTGCTGATCACTTTAAAGTCGGTGTCAAGAATCTGCGACACATCGTCATATCGAGGACGCGGCTCGGGCGTTTTCCCCGACCGCTGCTCTATTGCAGCTCTCGCAGACGTCGATGCTGTTGATGATGAGACCGTTGCCTGCGCAGCGCTGCTACCCAGTACTGACGACTCAGCGTCTGGGGGCATCGCGGGCGCACTGTATGCCGACGCAGGACTGCTGTCGCCTGGGTGTGTGCTCGGGTGTGGCTCGGCAGTGCGCAACTCGCCATGCTCATCAAATCCGAATCCATCTGGACGGCTCACCTCGATTACAGTGCTGCCGATCTGCAACCGAGCATCGCTGCAATACAGCGTTACTTCTCGCATGACTTCCAGGAACTCTTGCACTTCCGACAGACTCAAACCTGGTTGCCGTTGCTCCGGCGCGCTCACGTCTGCGGTCACCCCTTGGGTGTGCGTGCCAGCAGCCGGTTGACTGGCGGTGTGCGTTAACGCCACGCCATCGGCAGGCTGCCCCGAAGCAGCGTGCAACGACGGCGACTCGCCCGTCCGTGTATGCCCGGAGCCGTCGTTCGCACCCGTAGCGCGAGTACCTCCGTGCGACCGTTCTTCGCGTGCCCCATCAACGCTATCTCGCGTGCTTTCCACTTCATCCAGACTACGACGCCTCGCCTTCATTAGAAGCGAGTGCGCATGCGGGCGTGCACGCGACCGCATCCCCGGAGGCACCAGCAGGCTCGTACGGCCGCGGTAGTCGCCTGCGCACCTGGGGCCGGCCACTCCCGAGACCCTACCACCGAGCCCGCGCTGTGCTTTTTGAAAAAAGACGAGGTACGCCATTCACGACCAGAGTGCAAACTGGTGATAAACACGACAGCACGGCGAGTTTGTGCCACTCGGCTGCGTATGCTTTCGTGTCGCACACGAGGCCTGCGCGTTGCCACCAGCACAGCGGAGGTGCCTTCAGCGTGCCGGCCCCTGCGCTGCTGCCGCGTACACGCGATCGGCGCCTCGACGAAGGCGCGCGCTGACGGTGCATCGATTCGACCAAGTCTCCGAACTGAGAGAACCGAAACTGACCACTAACTAGCAACTCGATAACAGTGCTGTTTGACCTTGATAGGAAGCGTTGAAAAGGGGAAAAGTTTCCGTATTTTCGAAAGCTTACCTTCTAGGCGGAAGGTCCCGCGAGCCGGACGAGTCTGCGGGGCTGGCTAGTGCTTCCTGCTCCCCCAAGTGGCAGGTGCTGTACTGAAAACTGAGCGGATCGTCTGCAACGCAATTCATTCTGGGACTAGGAGCGCGTATGCTGCGTCTTGGCGTCGCCCTGGTTGCAGTGGACGCCTGGTAGATCGGTTTGCGCTGTCGCAGGCTCCCAGAATAATTCTGTACTCCGACGTCGTGTCGGATGAATTACGCCTCGAGCCGACGCCCTCAGTGGAATGGCAATGCCGTTCTGTATCCGTGCAACATCTGCTTCAGCGGTGTATAGAAGCGCAACGGCGGGTGCTCACGGCAGGCAGTCGTCGCACGACAGAACGTGCGAGACGACCAGTATATCCGAGAGGAAGTATGGGTAACGGAACCTGAAGGTAGGTGCTTCAATATGGACGCTTTCCCGAAATCCATTATCTATCACGCAATCTGGAATCTATGGTCAACGTAAAGGTTTTCGCATCGAAAAAAATCGATTGGACAAAACGCCCGTGCTGAAACGTTTGTGCAAGGCTGTGGCGTGTGTGTTCTGAAGCGTAGGCAGCACCTCCACAGATGACTGGTTTGCTCCAGATTCGTACAAGTACTGTCCAAGTGAAGCACGCCAGGATGCTCTATGCAGCGTGCAGGTGCGGAATTTGTGACGTGTGAAGCGCTCTGTACGGGTATCGGCACACGATGCGCACGTTAGCATCAAAAGGGACATATGGGCAGGCCCAAGTCCGGAGAAGACTGAAACGATTGGTCTTCGATGCATTTTCTTGTTCAGCGGCATATACGTGGGCATTTCTGTGCTTGCTTCGTTCACAGCTCTCTAACCTCCGGCTATGGATACGGCGGTTTCTTCTTTTACACCAGTTTCATTGTCAGCAGTGGACGGATGTTGATTGTAGCGTTCAAGTCCCGATGTCGCTGCTTTCCGTTGTTGTCGATGCTTTCTTGGCATAGGCGAACGTTGCGATCTATGAATCGATTCAGATCTTCATCTTCTGGGCAAACAGCGCTGGAGCATCTGTCACAGCAGTGACACTTGAGTGTGGCCGGGTTTTCTTCTTGCTTCGCGAAACTGTCCTCTGCTGCGACGGATGTGCTGTGGCGCTGGAGCGCTGGCTTCATCGAGCGATACATGCGCATGGCGGGTACAAATGCATACCCTCGATACACTACTCCGATTTTCCGAGTCCGGCATCTTACACTACGACCAAGAGGTCCCTGATGGCGATGCCTTCGGCGAGGACGCTGCTCGATGCACGCGCACGTCTACGCTGTTCCATGAGCTAGCGGGTACGCTGATCGCGATGTTGACCATGATGCAGCAAGTATTGGAAGGGAATATCCAGACTGGAGACCAAGTCAAAAATGCGGAGCCGTCTACGCTCTCTTCGTGCAAATCACTGACGCACGCTTCCCGGAAAACAATCGCTGCGATGGCTCATGTCGGAGTCCAAGACCCGTTTTCGATTCGGACAGAGAAGACGGCAGTCGCTGAAGATACATTGCTTCCGAGGCATCCAGCTGGTTTGGAATCCCATTCCGTCGATGACTATAAAGACAGCACAATTTCTCTTTCGAAATGAACCGATTATTTGGCCTGACAAGTTCAGTAAAATCTCGGCTTGAGCTTGTGAACAAGTCTTCAGGGAATGACATCGAGATTTTTTCATGTGTCAGTCGAGCAGCTCTAATCGTCGCCGCCATGCTTTTGTGGTTGGTTAACAGAGAAGACACAAGGAATTTCTGCCTTGATCATGGTACGCATAGGTAAAAGAACAAAAGCGGATGCAAGTGCCTATGAATTCAAAGTTTGTGTCCGTTACGTTAAAAAAGCCTTGTTGTACGGCGTCGCGGATCATCTCGATTCTATTGACGTCACGAATTCCAACGGGAAAGCGTCGAAGTAGCCATTCTGGATAAACAACCGAGCGTCCTAGAGACACGAGTGAATCGGTACGCCCCTATCGCTCCGCCTCGAATGTCGCAGCTGAACTGTTCAGAACAAGATTGAACAACTCGTAAGAGCAGGAACAGAACGAGCAGTTCACGGTTCCATGCTCGCCTGACACGCGTGTAGATCCCTGAGTGATCATTAAAATGATCAACGCCCCGCGCCCATATAGCGTATGTATATACATGCATCCAGCCACAGACGCCTCTCAGCCTTTTGTGACCTGCCGCCTGCTATCGGCTTCAGCTTTTCCGCGCGCACTGCGAGCCGGAGAGGCTTCCCCACAAAGTTGGATCGCTTCAGCTCCACGGGTCTCGTCTACAGCACTACATATCGTCTGATATTGATGGCGGCTTTAAAGTCTCGGTTCACGAACTCCATGCGTGCACTGATACTGGTTGAATGCACCATAGCAAGGATTCCTAGAACTCGTGCCCTCAGAGTCACCAGTGTCTCCACATCGTCTCGTCGGGCAAACTCCTTTTCTCACTCCTATCTCCCGCCTTCTTTATCTTCGTCCTCATCGCTCGATAGCCGGTGAGAAGAGGATTCTTTCGTTTCTTCGTAGAACCTGGCCGCGACGGCCCTCTAGGATGCCCAACTCCCAAATTCATACGTTTTCCTTCTATTTTCTATTTTTGGAATTGAACGCATTCGAAGGCAGCTGCTACAAACCACGAAAAAGCATTCTATTCTACGCACCTACGGGTATCATGCAACTGAGTTGAAAGACTATGGGCGCGCGTGCGCGCGTGAAGAACTCATCCACAGAGTGCTTCCCAGGTTCAGCAGCAGTGCTTGTGCTGCATCACCAGGTGACTGCCGGTGCTCACTGGTCTGCGGCTCTCGACCTTTGACATGGATCGGGCGAACCACTTATTTCTCCCTATTCAAGGTGCAGATGTTGCCGCAGCGGGGGCGGATATCCCACAAAGCGATACCTCGGAGACGGTGTACCTCTCATCGCTGGCGCTGCTGAAAATTCTCAAGCACGCACGTGCGGGTGTTCCCATGGAAGTCATGGGTTTGCTTCTCGGCGAGTTTGTTGATGACTGGACGATAAACGTCGTAGACTACTTCGCTATGCCGCAATCGGGTACTGGCGTGTCTGTCGAGGCCATTGACGCCGTGTATCAGCAGCAGTTTCTGGAAGCGCTGCAGCAGACCGGTCGGCACGAGGTCGTCTGCGGCTGGGGTCACAGCCACCCTGGCTTTGGTTGCTGGCTGTCTGGCGTTGATGTGAATACGGCGCAGTCATTCGAAGCGTTGAACGCTCGAGCGGTATCCCTTGTCGTGGATCCTATCCAGTCTGTGAAAGGCAAGGTAGTCGCGGACACTTTCCGGACCTTGAACCCTCAGCTTGCCATCCTTGGCATGGAGCCGCGACAGACGACCAGTAACGCGGGTAGTTTGAACAAGCCTTCCATCCAGGCACTGATTCACGGGCTTAATCGCCACTACTATTCCCTGAGAATGGAGTACAAACTGAATGATTTGGAAAGAAAGATGCTTCTGAATCTAAATAGACCCAAGTGGACGCGATCGCTTTCGTCGCGGGACCAAGATCGCCAGCGGGAACATAGTGAAACCACGTTGAAGGACATGGTGTCCTTATCCAAACTCTACACAGACATGGTGAAGGAGGAGCTGCGTTCTCGATCGAAGGAGGAGCTCGCGGTGTCGCGCGTTGGCAAACTTGATGCAAAGCGTCGCCTAGCGGACGGCGTGAAGAGGCTCTGTGACGAGAACTGCCATCAGATGCTCACAATGAACCTGCTGAAGGCGCTTGTCTTCCCGAAAGCGGCGGGTCTACAGAGCACTGCATCCAGCAGCTAGCGAATCAGACCCTCTGATTCCAGCGCATGCGTTGTAGTCGTGAGTACTGGACGCGTCCATCGTGATCGATGCCTGCTGATACGCACAAAAGTGGAGCCTCTAAGCGGACGAGGGGAACACGAGGATTACATCGCGAGGCTCCTTTCGCTTTCCGTACAGTTTTCCAAAAGGTCATGTGGAAACGATCGGCACATTCGGATACCTACATATGAAAGGTTTTCGGCGGAGTGGTACATGCGAGTCCACCCAGGGATCCCGAACCCGTGATTGCTGTTGGCGTTTATGAACGGAAGCGTATCTACGCTCATGACACAATCAAATGCAACAGGTCCTCCGACTCGCCTGTGTACACCAAGTCGGGGTCGCCGAACGCTGTCATGAACGACAGCCCCTGCGGGCGATGCCTGCGACTACGTCATTTGCCTCGCTCTTGTTATCGGCTTTAAATACGCTGGTCTCTCCTGCCGCACCAGCCCCGTCGTCCGTAGTCGAAGGATGTTCATGGTAGCGCTCAAGTACTGATGCCGCTGCATCTGACTGTAGTCGACGCAAATCATGCATAGACGGAAGTTGCGATCTACGCTTGGCTTGCCATTTTCATCCGCTTTGCATCCATCCATCCCCGATGCGCCGCTTGCAGCGGTGAGGCATGTTTGGGGTCAGGTGCCCCCATATGTCCACTGCACCTCCTCCTTCGAACGCTGCCCTGTGGCTCGCGAACGCTTCCAACACGGCTCTGAACTAGCCCGTGTTGCGTAGAGAGGGCCTCGCTGGATGTCCTCTTAAGTTTCCGGGCGCGGTTCCGTGCCCTAAGATAACGGGCTCCGTCCGGGCGATTCCCTCAATGAGCACCCTCACTGCTGCACGCGTAAACGCTCGCTGTTCCATCAGAAAGAGCAAAGGTGGAAAGCGATGGTGTCCATGATGAAACAAGTACTGGACGGAATATCCATGCTGGAGAACAAGTCAAACTATTCGGATCCGTCTACGCTTCCTCCGTGCAAATCGCTGACGCGCGCTTCACTGGAAGCGATCGCTTCGATGACTCAAGTCCAGGACCCTGTACTACGCAAAAGGAAGAGACGAGACCCTCTGGAATCACATACCGGGACAGGTATTCTGCTGCTGCGGCTGCTGTAGAATACCGCTTCGTTGATGACCAGAGAGAGAAGTGTTTCTCTTTCGAATGACATCAATTATTCGACGTGACACGCTCAATGACCTTTTAGCACAAGCTTGTGAACAAGTTGCCATACGGCAATCTCGAGTTGCTTTCCTCTTTAATTCAGCGGCACGGATTACTGCATCCACGGCTTGCCTTCAAATAGTACGAGGAAGAACCTGAAGAATGCGTGATAGGGGCATGCAACAGACAAGCCAAGGTGAATTGCGGAGGATTATACGTATGAACTGGATAGTGATACAGTGTATATATCGAGGCTTTGTTAGAGGCTAACCCGAACTATCTTGATTCCTCTTTCGTAACGATTCGCATCGACATGGAGTAGATGGTACCGCTTCGAAAAAGAAAAACCACCTAGAATCCCGGAATGATGAATGAATCCGTGTGCGCTACTGCTGCATTTCGAATGCCGAAGCTGTCTCTCAGAAAAACGTCGAAAAATTAGAAATTCAGGAACGGGACGAGTACCTCCTTGGCCGATTCCCATCTCACACGAGTCCAGCAGATGGCTGCATGCAACACCTGTGCGCGATGCTCTCGAGTTCGATGTCGTTGCCCAAACAGGGTGTCTACTATGGAGGCTGCAGCAGCTGCAACGCCTTGCGTCTCGTACATGTCGCTGCATCGCAGACGCGTAACATACCTGCCGAACGCTGTCTCTCGAGGCGGCTCATGAGGCCACCAGCGCCACCGGCGTCTCGATATGAATGTTCCCTGGCGAGTGGAAGCGCGGTCAGGAGACCCCCGCCCCCCGATGCACGTTCGTTCTCTCAGAGCACCATTCAGGCAATCGTTTATGACTTGTGCCCAACCGCGAAGTGTCCATCATCATGACCACCAGAAACCATGCGGCATTTCGCTTCATGCACTGGCTCCATCCTCATCATCCGTCGACTGGTCTCACGAGGCCCGGGTGGCGGCGTACTGCCACAGGCGCCCTACGCGGCAACTGATTCCCCGTTGATCCCAGTAAGCTGCGGAATATCCTCTGGTTTGATATCTGTAAAGGTCCATCCACCGTGTCCATCGAAACGCAGGAGCTTCTCGTGAAACCGCCACAGACTCGGCCGATGGCTCACAGTGATCAGCGTAATGCCCAGCTCGCGCGCGTGTGTGTAGAGATAGCCCTCTACATCTAGACTCACGGCGGATGTGCATTCATCGAGAACAGCGTACTGCGGTCGGTGGAAAAACAGACGCGCCATGGCCAATCGCTGCTTCTCGCCCCCGCTGAGTACATCGGACCAGTCACAGACGTTATCCCAGCCGTTACGCCGTCGGCTGAGCTCTCCGAGATGTACTTCATCGAGCAGTTTCTGGAGGTCTTCATCGCGAATGTTCCGACTGCGCATCTCCAGGGTGGTCATCGGGTAGATGACTTGCTCCCGGAGGGATCCAATCGCCAGATAGGGTCGTTGCGGAATGTAAAACATTCGGGATCGGGGAGGTCGATACAGCGTGCCCCCGTACAGCGGCCACAGACCGCAAAGCACCCTGAAGAGCGAAGACTTGCCGCATCCATTAGGTCCAGTGATCAAGACGTTCGTGCCCGGCGGTACCTCAAACGTCAGATCCTTCGCAAGCAGGATCCGATCCGGTGAGACGATATTCACATGTTCAAAGCGAACAAAGTCAACGTTGTCTACGAGGCGACCAGGCACCATTGCAGCGCGAAGTTCAACATCCTCGAGACCAAGTTTGGCGATCGCGTCGAGCGATGAATGGGAGTCAGCAGCTTGCGACCGTCGCAGGTCACCCAGCACTGAATCAAGTTCGCCAACTCGGGCTGTGTACCCCGCCAAACGAGTGAGTTCCTTCCCGGAGAGTACGAGTCGACCAATTGCTGCTGAGAGAGAAATCAGTAAACGGCTGTTCCGTGTGTACATTTCCGCCACCAGAGCGGCATCCTCCGCATCCGCCTGCTTGTTCTGGTCAATGAGTTTCTGGCCTCCGAGCGGAGCCAGCAAGGTCCGCACGAACCCCGACGTAAAGAATATCGGCATGCTGACCACACAGTAGCCAACGATGGTCGCCAGATACTTGACCAGAATACTATCAACAAGACCAATGCGGAAACGAGCCATGAAGATGCGTTGCATATGCTGCAGCAGCTTTTCGAAGGTGCCATTAATGAAGAACTTTTCTCGTTGTCCGCCGCCGTAGAAAGCGATCTCCTCAGCGTGCATGATGAGGCGCGAGTGACACAGTCTAAAGTCTCCCTCGAGACGCTGCTCATCTGCGGTGAGCCGACCAAAGGGAGGCTGCAGTTTGCGCAGAATTGCGCTCGTTAGAATAAAGTAGCCGATCATAACAGCAGGTCCCTTTGCACCCAGTGAGCGCGCGAGGCGGCTCGAAAAAAGAACCACATCCAGCAGCGGCTTGCTGACGTTCGAGTAGAGGTTCACCAGCGTCGTGCAGAACTTTTCCACATCTTGCGTCACGAGCTGATCGATATTCTGTATGCGGTTATCCAGATTCGTGGCTTTGTAAAATGTCAGCTGGGACAAGTACAGCTCGTGAAAATAGAGGGTTAATCGTTTCCGCGCCATAACGCGAAGCAGCGAAATCTGCAGTTTCAGGATATTGTTCACGAACGACATGGGAAACATCATGATCGAGATGTCGCGAACGCATTTTCTCATGAATGCCTCGCGATCACGCGCGACAATCGCTTTCACAATGTCGCCTGCGTTGTCCGAAACCCAGATATCCAGACGAGTACGTATTACCAGCGTCACTCCAATACCAAGCACAACCCAAAATTCCCGACTGCGAATCGATGGAACGATGATTCTGATAAAGCGCCAGAGTTGGCTGAAGAACTTGCGATCCACCCGCACGCTGCTGCGGCCGCTGGCGGCATCGCTGGGTATCGACTTCAGAGCCGCCATCGACGGGGCACGAGAAATCGCTATCGCTGCTGACTGACTGGTACCGCTGCGGCTCGTGCCGCTTCTGACACTTGCCCCCGTCGACCGGTGCTCTCGCAGCGAGCGCTCCGGAGACGCCGCGGTGAGGGCAACGCTTCGTTCACGCTGCCGCTCTATCAGCGCTTGCACGTCATTATTAACACTGCTCTCAAGCTGGGTCGAGCTTTCCGCGTCACATTCTGTCTGCTGCGTCCAGTAGTAGGTGGCGCCACCGACTGCAGCAACCCCGGCAACGACTGCGGCGGCAACGCGCGCCGCTCGTCGCTTTCGCGAGGCCGCCTGAAAAGCGCCAGCCCAGCCGCCGGGACCCCGACCCCCGATCGCAAACTCCATACAGGTCTATTGCTTGCGTTTATGGAGGGCGTAGCAGCAGCAGTTCTCACGGGTACGCGGCTACGGAAGCTTCGCTGCCGTAGAACCCCGGTGGCTAGCGCTCAGCACCTGCTCACCACCGGCTTTCCCGAGAAGCTGCTTTCTCAGTCACTCCTGCACCCGTCACAGCGCAGGTTTTCGTTCTCAGAACAGGATGGAGGTTTCCAAGAACCCCGACAGTGCTCAGGAGTTGAGCGGTGAACACACGCTACACGGCGCCCTACAGTGCAAATCTCGTGCACGCTGTGGCTGTCCACGGTGCTGCGCCCCAGCCTCCTCGTTATCAGCTCTGCAGCGCCGATGCCGCGTCTGGAAGTCGAGGCAGCGGCAGCAGCGGCGTCGATTTCGATGACGCAGATGCGGATCGGATGGGCGCATCATTGCTTCACGCCTGCGCTGCGCTGACTTCTGAGCGTAAGCTGGTGTCGCTGGTACCGCGATGCGAAAGCTGCGCTATCATGAATACAAGCTTCTGAAGAAGGATAACCTTTACGAATGGAAGCGAGAGAATCATCACCGAGAGTATCGGGTTGTACGTCGTTACTATCTGCCGAGCCCTGAGGTGTACCATACCTACAACCAGTTCGTGGGAAAGGTAACCGCGCTGGTGTCGAAGCTGAAGGCGCTTGAGGTGAACAATCCGTTTCGAATAGACCGCACTGAGAAGCTACTGAACGAGTTATATGATCTCGGGCTGATTAACGTAAAATCTGGGTTGGATGTGTGTGCGAACGTGACGGTATCGGCGTTGTGTCGGCGGCGGTTGCCCTCGGTGCTCGTTCGCAATCACTTTGTGGAACGCCTGTCGGATGCGGTTGCGCTTATCAAGAGGGGCCACATACGGATTGGGCCGCATGTGGTACGAGATCCAAACTTGTTGGTTACGCGGAGTATGGAGGACCTGATAACCTGGGCAGATGATTCGAAGATTCGCGAGGTCGTCGAGCGGCACCGAGTTGAGTAGCGGCACCTGGTTTCTGAGGGTGACGATTCGCTTACTGGGACCAACTGGATGCACAGCTTTTCGATGAAGTAAGCGGGGATCAAGCCTGGGCCTCAGGTACGGCGAGAAAATATGTTGCAGCTGCAGTTTCGGGATCGGAAGTTCTTTCGAATCGCTTCCGAGCAGGTCTCGGGGTCTGGGGCTGTTTTGCAGGCACCGAGGCCCAAGCCTTCTAGAAGGCACGGTTGCAAGCGTGTTGATATGTGATAGGTGGCCATTGCCGCGTTCATGCCGGGTCGCACTGCATCATCCCGCCAAGCGAATGGTATCTGCGATACGCCGGTGCCGGGACCCCAATGGGATTTTCTAGCAGATCCCAAGATGTCTTTTGACTCCGCGAAGGCTCCGCGAGATGTGCACTTGATGTATAGAGGAACCTAAACTTTATGATTCACACAGTGCGCAACTGCTTCTCGTTTCCTTGATTTTAGTGCACAGAGCGGGGCTCTCGGGCATTCGCCGCGAAGAGCGGCCTCCGCGAGAGCAGAGCGTTTACTACGCGTTGCTGGGCTGCCAGCGCTGTCGCTGCACGTCCGGAAAATGGGAACACAGCGCGTCCAACCTGCTGATAGACCTGTGACTGCACATGCCCGCGCACTGTGTGTCCGCATGACAGCTGGCTGTGCGGGGCACAAAAGAGCTATCGATGGAACGTCGAACTCGTGAAGCATGGAACCGGATTTGCGTCCAGTCGGACCAGTTTCGCGCTAACGGAATCCTCGCGGAATGTCAGCGTCATTCCAGGAGCGTTTGGAGTGACGCAGCTAGCGCAGCGCTTGTGATAGACTATAGAATCCGGTGTGTGCGGTATAGAGGCTGGAATACGTAGCGCCCAAGGGCATGCCTCACACGGCTCGAATAGGTTGCATATGGTGCCTGTACAGGACAGGCGTGCTGTGAGCGCAGCACCCATTCAAAAGTGATCCCGAAAGCACTGTTGGGAATTCGTAGCGCGACATCCACTCTTGGATCGAAGTCGCCGTGCGCAGCACCGTTGTGCTACCCCGGTTTCTAAAGAGACAATCTGCCATTGCAGGTTGCTTGCGTATGATAGAGCTTAGCGAGCTGGAATCGCTCCGAAAGTACAATAATGTCGTTAGCTTGTGGTCGATGTGCAAATCGAGCGTTCCTGCACCATCGGGGGTAGCTCCATACACCAGGGAAGTGCATCAGCGCTCAGCGACGACTTCCGGACTCGGACTCGGCCTCGCTTCGCTGAGCGACGTGCAACCCTTATAAGTATACCTCAAAGCAAGGGTGAATTAGGAATGAGGCTGCTTTCCGGAAAAGCAGGTCGCCCACCGCCAATGTGATACGAATATGACGTTGCGTTTCGGGCGCATGAACCAGAAATCAGAGTTCCCCGTGCACTGGTGTCCATGCATTTCGGATCCGCCAGATCTAGTCGAGGTTTCAAAGCTGTCATGGCTTTGTGGTCCCGAAAGCATCACTGAAGAGCTCCCACAGGACGGCGTCATTCGACCCTGAAGGCGTGTTCGAGCGTCCCGCGCTCGCACCCAAAACACGCATCCGAAACGGCTGTGCAAGTATGCTGCTGCTTGCGCACCGCCTCAGACTTTAGACGGACTTGGCACGCGGAGATGCGTCCACTTGAACGCACTGACGGTAAAACCGGGTCCGCGTCCTAGGAGTGCATTCATGGCTTGTTCACCTGATCGCAAAATCCTAGGAAGAGCAGGTACTGCGGAACGCGGGGAACAGTACTTCACAGACACGGGCGACCCAAATCAGGAATAATCGGCATCTTTCCAGCTTCTAATGCAGGCATGTGGAACTCGGATCCGCAAGTGTACCTGAAGTCCAGCGAACACACCTGAAACCGGTATTTTAACCTGCTGCTGTGCAAAATCTGTTCAGGTGGTTCTCCCAGCAGACTGAGCACAACACAGGCGATAGCAGGCGTTGTCTGCGGGCGGGCATCTCCCGCATACACCCGTATAGCAGAAAACGGCATCTGTCCTTAAACTAGTCCCGACTAGACTCGTACAATGCAGGACAGGTGTCTCGAGCATAGCGAAGAGAAGCGTGCGTCGCATACAGCGTCAGAATTGCGTGTAATTTCACCTCGAGTACGGTTCTATGGGCATTCCGCCGATGCTGAAGCGCCTCTGAGACACACGTCCCGGCACTGCATTTGCCGGACCTGTATGTTCGAGTCCGTGCGATGGCTCTCGACGGTCTGCGATGCGTTACATTGTTATCGATTCTGTAGCAGTTGCTGCACCTCACTCCAAAGTGATCGATGAGCGCTACCACTAGCATCAAAATTCAGCCTTCATATTGCATTTCACCGATTGCTTGTGAGAATACAGACACCTCGTAGTGTAAACGCGGCATGATCAGGCAGCAGTGCGACCGCCGAAAGCGGAAGCGTCCAGTTCAATGCACAGCCTGATCAGCGCCTCCCATGAACGCGCAAAGGCGCACACGAGCGCGCCATGGAAGCAACATGGAAAGAAATGAAGTACAAGCTAGCACCTAGGTAACCGCTTCTTTTCTTCTGCAAGGTAAGCGTTGATATGTGGAAACGGTTCCCGCGTAATCGAACGTGTACCTTTTAGGCGGGAGGTCTCGCGAGCCGGACGATTCTGTCGGTTTTGTGCTCCGTCCGACTCCGCAGTGCCGGATGCTGTCATGAGACCTGAAAAGCTCGCCCACAACACAGTATATTCTGGGGCTAGGAGCGGTTGGGCGGCGTCTGGGCATCGCTCTGGGCGTGGTGGTCTCCTAGTACATCGCTTCGCGCTGCAGCCGGTAGTAGGTAGTCCTGCACAGTTTGCCAGCTCCCAGAATAATAAAGGGTCCCGAATTCCCTGTTGAATGAATGATGCGTCGAGCCGACGCTCCCGGTGGTACGGCAACGCCGTTCTCTCTCTGTGCGGTATCCGCACCGGCGGTGTGGGTGCTATGGCGGGTGCTCTGGGTAGGCATTCGGAGGACGATGGAATACATGAAACGACCAGTACATCCGAGAGGACGTATCGTTCATGGAACTTGGACGTACAGTGCAACTTGATGAACGCCATCCCGAATGCCACTATCTGTCCCGCAATTTGGAATCCCTGGTCTATGGAATCCCTGGTCTATGGAATCCCTGGTCTATGGAATCCCTGGTCTATGGAATCCCTGGTCTATGGAATCCCTGGTCTATGGAATCCCTGGTCTATGGAATCCCTGGTCTATGGAATCCCTGGTCTATGGAATCCCTGGTCTATGGAATCCCTGGTCTATGGAATCCCTGGTCTATGGAATCCCTGGTCTATGGAATCCCTGGTCTATGGAATCCCTGGTCTATGGAATCCCTGGTCTATGGAATCCCTGGTCTATGGAATCCCTGGTCTATGGAATCCCTGGTCTATGGAATCCCTGGTCTATGGAATCCCTGGTCTATGGAATCCCTGGTCTATGGAATCCCTGGTCTATGGAATCCCTGGTCTATGGAATCCCTGGTCTATGGAATCCCTGGTCTATGGAATCCCTGGTCTATGGAATCCCTGGTCTATGGAATCCCTGGTCTATGGAATCCCTGGTCTATGGAATCCCTGGTCTATGGAATCGATTTGTCTAACGGTAAAGAAAAGCGCAACAGTGCGATCGATTGTGGATCACAGGCGCTGCGTCGCTACCTAGTCTGCGGTCCGTAAAAGCTTTTTGAGGCGCCTAGGGCAAGGCTTTTTATCAACTTGTGGCAGAGAACGCCTTGTTTCAGGGACCGGTCGTGCAACGAGAGCGGTCCAGTGTTGAGCTATGCTCTTCACCCTGGCAGCTGGACGGGATCTGGCTTTACGAGCGGGCGCGTGGAGGTTGCGAGCTCAGCGCAGTGTGCACTGCGGCTGTACTCCAGCCGCTGCACCCGAACCTTTTCCGAGGAAACGCAGCGCGCTCGCCATCTCTACGACACGGTCTCTGTGTCAAATGCAAACAATTCGAGGGCAGAGCTCGGAAACGCTTCAGGTGCTGGCGCCGTGTCGGACGGAGATTTTAGAGGCGACTGGATTCGCCGCTGCTGAGCGCCTCTTGGCTGCCGTGCGGGACCCTGAGCATGCTTCGCAGCCTATGGTATACACCGAAGAACCCGGCCGCATTGAAGAGCTTTCGGAAGACCGGGCCCAACTCCTGCGTTCTAGTTCTTGTGCGCTATGGATTCTCAACCGACCTGCTGCGCTGAATGCGTTGAACCTGCCCATGGTGCAAGCGCTGCGACGTCGATACCTGCAGTATGCAATCGCGAAGCGCAGCTCAATGCCGGCAACTGACGGAAAAATGCCACATCCGGCCTGCACTGTCCTCTTTACAGCAAGTGTAGCGTGCGCGTCGCTCTTCCCGCGGTCTTGGCAGCTAGTTCCAGCATCAGATGCCAAATGCTGGCTGGTACAGACCACAGAGCCATCGCCTCGATCATCTAGCCGAGTACCTTTTTTCTGCTCTGGTGGCGATATTCGGGAAATGTATCGGCATGGTTTGCCCGATGGCGATAGACGCATCCAGCGCATCTATTTTCAAGAAGAGTATCGCCTAAATTACCTGCTCGCGGGTGGCCTATGGGAGGAGAAGAATATGGCGATCACTCAAGAACCGCTAGTGCAGATATCGCTCCTGGACGGTATCGTCATGGGAGGGGGCGTCGGGCTCTCGATTCACGGACGTTTCCGAGTGGCGACGGAAAATACCATATTTGCCATGCCCGAATGCGGCATTGGCTTTCATCCGGACGTTGGGGCCTCCTGGGTCTTGCCGCGGCTTCTTGACTGGAAGCGTGAAGGATATCCCGGTTCCCGGTTATCGATGGAGCGAATACCAAGCACTGAATCTGCAGCAGTCGGCACCTGGCTTGCAGTGACTGGCGCTCGTGTACGGGGCATTGACGCAGTCCGCCTGGGTATTGCTACACATTACTGCCCAAGTCATCGGATCCACGAACTGGTATCTCGAGTCGCTGAACTGGCACACCATATGCATTCCCGTGAGGGCGCATCGATCTCCGCTGCCGCTCTAGATGAACTAGATACGGCCCTGCAGAGCTTCCAACCTGATGTTGATACTAGCTGGACAGCCTTCGGGCATGAGCGCGTTGCTACCATAACAGAGCTTTTTGATCCCAAGCACGGCAAGCGCGAGTTGCGAGATTTATGGAGTGCACTGCAAGCAGCGAAGAACGACCCGCGGAAGGCGTCCTTTGCCCAGGATTGCCTCGCGAGCATGGAACGCTGCTCGCCGCTCTCCATGCTGGTCGCCTATGAGTCGGTTGGTGTGCGCGGCTCAACAGCTACGACACTTGCAGACTGCCTTCGTCGCGAGTTTGTAACAACACTTCGCTGCTTGGATCACCCAGACTTTATGGAAGGCGTGCGGGCACAGCTTGTCGACAAGGATCGGAACCCGAGATGGCACTCTGCTCCATCCCTCAACGCCTGGTTCGCTGCTCATGACGATACGTATACGAATAACGTGGTTGAAAAGTTTTTCATGCCTGGTGCTGACGAGCACCCACTTGAACTGGATACCTGGTCGCTGGAGAGGAACCAGTACCAAGGCGACTCGCCCGCGCAGCGGACAACTAGTGCGGTGAGCGAACCAGCGCGCACTCTGAAGGGTAGTGCAGGAGGCAAACTTCCGCATTCATCGCTCTAGACGACGGTGTTAGATGCCCTGATTACGCAACAATTGCATTTGAGGGACCTTGGAGCGTCGTTCGGAGCGCAGCACTTCTTCCACGATCGTATCGTATGCTGGCGAGGTGATCGCAATGTTGGTCGTGAGTCTTGCAGAGGCGAGGTGTATTGCCCGCATGGCGCCAGATGTTCCCAGAAGGGCATGCCTCATTCGATGGAAACGTGTTGGGCTGGAACTAGCTTCGTCGCTCTCTCCCCAGAGTATTCCATTGATCTGGAAGCATAGCTTCTAGTATTGCATTTCGGTGCTTGCAGACAACACATTACCCTCACAGTGCTGAGTGTATCCATGCGGGCGACCCCTGCGGGTGAAAGCTCATGCTCCTGTTCTGCAGATTTACTTGTCCAGACGTGTTCACTGCTGTCGACGCAGCTTTCTAAGAAGGCGTCACAGACTAGTCACCCCGTCAAGGATCAAGTACGCTGTGCGACCACTGTGCTGCTTAGGGAAGGCGCTTCCAGAGAGCTTCCATCTCTACCATGTGTCTCGATTGGCTACCCGCCGACAATAGCGTACTATACGGAATTATTGACAGTTTCGACATGAGCAATACTGAGCATGACTGCGATCATTCGCCACGACGCATTTTTATGCACACAAGAAATCGATTGAGGACGATCCACGGATCCCATCGGAAGCCGAAATCCATCAACGGCTCACACTCTTTTTGAGTGTCTTGCCGCCAGCGGCGGAAAATACAGATGCAGATGCCAGTCGAAATCGACGAGCAGCGGCGCCCCCGCTCTTGAAAATGTCGACTCTAGTCGATACGGACGCTCCGTTCATCTGATCAGAGATTTTTGTACGCTGCCAATGTCGTTAGCTGCTGCACACGAGTCTGGATCTATCCGTAAACTCGAGAAGAGGCTCTCATATAAGGCACGCTTTATGCGCCCGGGTGTGATCGGCAGAGAATCGACCCAGAATGACCAAGATTGCTCGCGATTCCCGCTTGCCTTGGTGTATGCTCGTCATGTGCATTTGTTACTCCTTCATCGTCATCTTGCGTGTCTGAGAGCACTGTATGCCCGGAAGAGCCACTATGGTCATTGCCGCTTGTCTATGCGCTGCACTCGGCGTGACAGGGCCATCTTTCGGGAACGTCTCATTCACGCGTGTAGTCTTTGAGCGTCCCGAGCGGCTGCCACTGCAAGTTGCGGCCGGGTAGCGGCGGAAGCGGAGACGCGTCCTCCCCTGTTGTCGGATTCGCTATCGGCTCCGAGGGCGCTACTCTCAGGAGGTATGTCTCACGAAAGACGCGGCGACGGTCATCGCGGGTGTGATAGGTTATATCGAAGATACGTTGTGGAGGCCCCTGGGGGATCAGCGCCGGTTTTTGGGATCTAGTATTGTAGCGGTTCGGTGCACCAGCCTCAGTGGTTAGTTCTGTGTCCTTTGCCACGACTTGCGCGATAGCGCACTGATCAGCACGACTGTTTCTCGGCACGGCTGCAAGGTTAGCAGCCTCAACTACGATAGGGGCGACACTTGTCCAAGTTGAGACCAAGTTCTCAGCGTAGGTGGTCATCACTTCAGTGCACCATATTCTAACTTACCCCGGAGAAGGATAACGAAAACGCGACTCTCGCCAAGGCTCTCTCCAGTTTTCCGGTTCGAGGTCGGCCCGGAAGATGCGGCCCCGCCTCAGCCGCTCCAGGAACCCGCGCAGGCCGCCGTAGAACGGCCTGTCTGCAGCCCCAGTGGAAGAACCCGCAGTGCTCTTGCTCAAGAAGCGTCTTGCTACAAGCTTGTAAAGACTTGGGCCTGACATTTCAAGTCTTCACTAGCTAGAGGCAACCCGCAAGAACGTTTACCACAGTTGCGCACTGCAAACCTAGAGTCGAGCGACGCCAGCGTTGTACAGAAGTAGCGAGTGACGCGCCCTGGACGAAGCGTTTTCGACGATGTGCGTACGTCTCCTAGCATTTCACGGCGGGCCATGTACTACTGCTTCCAACTTTGTTTCATATAGTTCGACTTTGAGAGGTTGTCCAACAAAGTTCTCTCGTGTCGACTCTGGAGGTCTTTCCTCCAGCACCGCACATTTCCTTATATTGATGGCGGCGGTAAAGTCTCTGTTCACAAGCTCCATATGTTTCTTGCCATTGATTGTACGTACTAATGCAAGCAATCCCCGCACTTGCGCCCTCCTTTCCATTTGCTCGTCCGTCAGCGGTCCGTACTTTGCTGTTTCCTCAGGGCTCCTCTGGCACTTTTCCATCTCCACTCTCTGAAGTGTGCACCCCAGCTCGTGGTGTGTATAAGATGTTCGGAACTCATCTACAGGTATCGTAACGAAACGCCTTGCGCACTCTTTGTACGTTCGCGTCGTTGGAGCTGGTGTACATCCTTTTTGGGTCTTCCATTGCCCTGCCCCATTTGCTACTACGAGCCTCTGATTTTCATTCTCCTTGAGGGCGCTCAACTGATTGAAAAAGTTGACGAACGCACGCTGCTTCCCACCGTATAGATTCATACGCAGACGAGCCCACCGAGGCTTGGTATACTTCTCCCACAGCGCATCCCAATGAGCAACGCGAACTTTCATGAGTTTCCGAAAAGCTTCAAAGTCCGCTCCTCGGTTAGTCACCTCGCTCAAGGCTTCCAGGAGATCCTTTCTTCCGGCATTCCCTGTTTCGATTCTCTTCCTTGCATTCATGGTTCCTGATTCCCGGTAGTATCTCGCTCTCGAGAATCTTAAAAGACGCATGTCTTTCTGACGTAAGTTACCGTCAGTGCCATCTTCAGCACGCTTCGGTGCTGCGATGGTGATGATATTCGTATTTCCAGGGTCCGCGCCAACGACAAAGTCGTTATCCTGCACTTTCTGCGTCTCAAGATCCGCCTCCTTCTCATCTTCATGCTTCGGCACGGGCGCAGCCGAGGGCGGAACTGGACGATCTTTCTTCAACCGCCGATAGTCTATACACAAGGATACTCCATCGGTTTCGATCAACCCAGTAAATACCCTTTGTTTGCTTACTCTGAGGCGTTTGAAATCGAAGATACTCTTCCAGTACGTCTCCCGGTTTTCGCCGGTGAAGTCCTCCCTGCTGACACTGAACTCCAGACTGATCTCTTTCATGATGCCGTAAAAGACCGCGGAGTCGATGGTCACAAAATGTGACTTGATATTGGACATTGGAACCACGTTAAAGCGCTTACCCATTAGGAAAGCCGTCCGTATCTCCTACTCATCATTTGTCTCTTCACTCAGCTTCATCTCCGCTTCGCGTTCGAGCTCTCGGTCCAGAAACACAAAATACCGCAGGACGAGGCGATAGTATCTTTCCTTATCTTTTTTCAACTCTGATATTGTCTGTTGGATTCGCCAGCCCCAAGACTGCACGGTGCTCTCGTATAACCGCACGGATTACAGAGGCTTCATTCGTGCTCTCGTTTGGCACCTACTTGTCGACAAATTCGATCTCATCTTCATACTTTCGATCGTTCGTGACGCCGTTGATCATCGCCCATATTCCTTTCCGAGAGATGCCTGGGTAGAGTGCAAACACGGCGCGTATCATGAAAAGTTCGAGGTTCATTGTCAAATGGTTCTTCAGGTTCGTGAGGTACTTCATCGCCCCATATGTGTAAATATCCGGGTCACCCCTGAATGGGGTACCCTCGAAGCGGAATTCTGCGAAGTTTTCGTGGAGGGCATGCATTAGCTCAATTTCCCTCCGCGCTTCCCCTGTGCCAAGCATCAGGTGACGAATAAATGTCTTATCGAAAAACCCGTCCGGAGTCTCGACCGTTTCCATGTGCGTCACGTCGCGATACATCTCCCTCACCAAATGCATCAGTGCTGACGACGTCTTGACAATACTCATGGAGTACGAGTCGACACGTTTTTTGATAGCGTCTCGCAACTTTTCCCATACGGATATGTCCAAGAAGAAAGGGTTTCACCACCTTCTCGTCGTACAGTCGTCTTTCTTGCCGCCTTCAACGTAGGGCCTCCCCCTTTTGCCTCTTTTTCTCTTCCTTTTCTTCTGGACTCGGCACTGTTTTTTGTATTTTTTCTGGCAGCCGGCGACCCTGGGCCTCCAGGATCGTGGACTTGCTTTTCCATAGCTTTCCTTTTTTTGTTTTTTTTGCGAACGAACGCGGTACGAACGCGTCTACTATAAACCACGAAAAACACTTGACTAGACTTGTTTGAAGTTTCAAACAGAAACGAACTGAAAGACTGTACTTGGCTACGACCTGAACGGAAATCCAACTTTTTCCGGTAGAACAACATGCTATTGATCCCAACCGCGTTTCCCTTCAACGGAGCCATGCGCGTCGCGTCAGTTGACTGCTCGATCTCCGAGGTGCGCTCACTGACCGCGATGCGTGCGCCTCGCGGGACACTACGCCGATCGATGAAGGACACGTGCCCCACGCCGATAATGAAGCAAACCAGAGCTCGCTCGGGGACACGTCTGCGCAATCGCTTTTGGCGCGAAACGCGAAATCGAAACCGCGCCTGCAGGGATCGTCTCGAACCGTTTCTCCTTCGCCGTGATCATCGATTGCCGCGGCTTCGAGGCATGTTGCGCGTTTTAAATTTTTTCACAGGCGCTATCGCCGCTGCGTTGGTGTTCTTCACACAGCGCTCGGTAGCCGACTGGGCTGTTTCGTAGCCAGAGAGATAGCGAAACTCGCGGTGCGACAAAACATCTCAGCAACCGGTGCAGCTGTAAGAAATAAGTATTCACAAAAACCTAGTGTCGACAAGAAGTTCTTAGCTCTAGAAGCATGAGACCAGGAGCAGGAAAATATCGCAACTTCGGCGAACTGTGTAAACAGTTGTTCGTCTTGGTCGCAGCTCTGTCGCTTGCTGTTGGGTGTGCCACGCTAGGGGCCGAAGCACAATCGACAATGACAGCGACTGCAACATTGTCACCAACAAGTTCGGTGGCTCCATCGGTGTCAGCGACGATGACACCGACGCCGACGATGACACCGACGCCGACGCCTACGATGACACCGACTACAACAACGTCACCAACAATCGTGCCGACGACGATTTCCACCTCGATTGCGATATCCGTTCAGAATCTTTCTCTTTGTTTGGCCGTGGCGACGGATTTGCAGAACGATCTCGAGGCTCGCTTCATAGGCCTGGAAGTGAATGTTAGCGTGACTGATAACTGCGACACGGTCTTCGGTTCGGGTACATCAAGGCGCCTCGCCACCACATTAGACAAGAGCAATCCTCGTCTGGAACGAGCATTGGTGCGCACTTCGGGCGGCAGTGTTGTGACCTATGTGATTAAGATCTCAGGAGACACATCCCTCGCCAGTGAACTGCAAATTGTGCTTCAAACTTTCACCGACCTGCTTTCTACAATTCTACCCTCTGGTGCGACACTTGCTATTATAACCCCGACACCGAGTGCAACGCCAACACCAGTTTGCACGAGTGAAATCTGCGGTTCTCCGGGCCAGTACACAAACCAGGACGCTTGCGAGCAAGTCGGATGCTGCTTCAACGCCCAGACGAACGCGTGCACCCTGAAGAGCGTCTCAGCGGCCTGCAGCGCTGTTCCAGTGACACAGCGCGTCCCCTGCGGCTGGAGCTATATCTACCCCGACGAGTGCACTGCGATACCGGGATGCTGCTGGCAGCCCACAGCGAACGGCATCCTGGCACCCTGGTGCTACTACGACATCAACCATGCACCGCAGGCCTCTGTAGCGCTGCAGGAGGTGCAGGCACCGGTTCCCCTCTGCCCGTCACCGGGAGCGCAGCGCCAGCCGTGCGGCAACGCGGGCATCAACCAGTTTACGTGCTATGCCCAGGGCTGCTGCTACGACTCGCAGGCGCAGAACCAGTGGGTGCAGAACGGCAAGCAGCAGAGCGACTTTGAGTCGAACCCGTACTGCTTCCAGCCCGTGAAGACGTGCGCGGTGGGCGAGTTTGAGCGCCAGCCGTGCACGAACGCGGTGAATCAGAACCAGCAGCTGAACAATAACATCAACAATAACCAGTTTGTGCGTCTGCTGAACACGCTTCTGTACGGGGAGCAGCACGGGACGCAGCGCACGAGCTACTCGCCGCAGCAGTGTCTGGAGGCTGGTTGCTGCCTGGGGCTCAGCAACGAGTGCTTCCAGCCGATGACCGAGTACGTGTGCCAGACCTACGGGTATGTGTCGAACTCGCTGAGCGGCACGACCGGCAACGTATCGAACTCGAGCTATATTCCGTGTGGCCCGGAGTGCTGCAACGCCGAGACGCAGAACTGCACGTACAACCCGTTCAGCAACAACAACAACCAGCAGCAGCAGCAGCAATTGCAACAACAGCAGCAACAACAGGTGCTGCTGCCGTCGTTCTGTGTGTGCAAGGACCCTACGAAGCAGTGCGGGACGTACCTGATCCCTTCGGATAACCTTGTGAACAAGGTTCGTTGCTGCCGCGCTGACGAGGAGTGCATCAACAACCAATGTGTGGTCATTAGTCCAACACCGACTCCGAGTCCCGTGGCTGTGACAGCGACACCCTCTGCGACGGTGTCTGCAACAGTCTCTGCGACGGCCTCTGCGACAGCTTCTGTGAGTGTATCCGCGAGTGCTTCAGTTTCAGCTTCTGTGTCGACGTCTGCGAGCGCCTTCTCCACAGTGTAATGAGCTTTTTTATTTCTATGAACAGTCGATCGACTCGCGTATTGAGCGTGGAGCGGATCGATGGCTATCAGTGAGCAGCAAAGTCCTTCTGCTGTATGCAACAGTGCATGCGTCTCGTAGGGGGCTCTACAAATTTCGATGGTTACAGTGGTATATGTGTATGGTCGGGATCGGTTGGAAAGATAGACAGTATCATTCTTTGGATTGAGATTTAAAGGACAGATTGTATTGGGCAGTTCGCGCACATGCGTGCCGCTTGCGTACTCCAGCTTTGCGCTGTGTGCGGTAAGACATATTGTTTGATTGGTGTGCTGTAGAGCAGCTATCTGCATCATTCCTCCTGGATGCATGGAACGGGTATGCGGGGCAGTCGTGAGCACTTCTTCGTCATATAGATGGCGGTGCTTGACGCGCTCTCGTGCTGCTTACCTCAGAACTCTCTCTGGAGAACAGTAGTGGTAGGGATAGAGGCAGCAGTTACAGCAGTTGGGGCTCCTCTGTTCCAACAGATCCTAAGCAACTCTTTTCTCTGAATAGCGCTTTCTTTTCTCATGCAGAACGCCTTCCATGTTTCAAATCCGAATACGAGATTTTTCTGCAGTGAGACACCTAGTTGTAATCTTGGTTGTGTCTTATATGCACACAGTTCAAGGGGATTTTTCGGCCGTGAATACTTTTTTATGGACCTGGATCGGCATTAGTAACTCTACCGGTAGCGCGGTTAGCTACGATGTTCAGGGTGTACCAAACAGCAGCAACGTGCCTCCGGCGCAGCACGGTGCGGCTTCCTGGACCGGCGTTGACGTAGTGCTCTGGTTGGTTGGTGGTCGCGTCCCGAGTGGCGTCGTTGATAATCTCTGGTACTACAATCTGAGCGCGTAGACTTGGACCTGGGTTGGAGGCTCTGTATCCCCCAACCTTGCAGGGGTATAAGGTTTCCTCGGAGTTCCCAAAGAGAGCAACGCTCCGCCCTCGAGGAGGCAACTCGCTGCATGGAGCGACAGCTACGGAAACCTTTGGTTATATGGAGGCCGGAATTTGAACTCGGGGTATTGTGATATGTGGATGTATAATGTATCGTCGAGCGAGTGGACATGGGTGCAGGGCTTCGACAAGACCATTATTTCCCCTACATATGGCACTCTTGGGAAGTCGTCTTCGAACAATACGCCCGGCACTCGTTTCTTACCCGCCACCTGGGTTGGTTTGGCTGGCCAGTTTTATCTCTTTGGTGGATCTAGTCCTAATGGTGCATATTACGGTGACTAGTGGTAGTGCAGCATAGTGACCAACGAATGGGGATGGATTGAAGGGACTGAATAGCAGATTGCCTCTGGAAGTTATGGTGCGTTTCGGCAGACATCACCGAGCAACTATCCCGCTGGACGTTCCGGAGCCGCATCATGGCAAGACCTTGCTGGCAACTTTTGGCTCTTTGGTGGTCTAGGACTGAGTATCGGAATTCGCAGCTTTCTGAATGATTTGTGGCTCTTCAATATCAGCTCTAGAGCATGGGCCTGGATATCTGGAGATGGTAGCGTTGGCTCGAATGAGTCAGTTTTCGGCGACAAAAGAGTGCTCTCATCGTATAACAGTCCCGGGTACAGAGCTGGTTCCTCTAGATTCGTAGACTCGACAAACACCCTGTATCTTTTCGGTGGTTATTCACCTGGTCTCTGCAACGACCTGTGGACGTTCAATATTACGAGTCTCGAATGGGCGTGGGTAGACGGTGACAATACAACAGATGGAGCCTATAGTTACGGCGAGCTTAACAAGACAAGCAATACAACGCTTCCACCTCCGCGAGCTGATGCAGTTCTTTGGGATACCGATCAAAACGACCCGGTCCTGTTCGGAGGCCAAGGAAGCTCAGGTATCTATAACGACCTCTTCACATTATACATCGCAACACCGACGCCTACGCCGACCGCAACACCGACTCCGACGGCATCACCGACACGCTCCGTTACTGCAGCACCGGCGGCAACGACAAATGTGACGCAGACCGCTGTAGGCGAAGGCTCTGCGGTCTGCTTCCCCGCGGATGCCTCGGTACTGATCGATGGTCTGGGCAACAGTCTGCAGATAAGCGAGCTTCGATCAGGTATGGCCGCGATCGGGGTCAATGGACGTGGGCAACTGGTCGATGATAGTGTACTAGGATGGTTGCATAACGAGCCCGGCGCTACTGCGGAGATTCTGGTGATCAAGACGCTCTCCGGAAAGCAGCTGTGTTTGACGAGGCAGCATCTCGTATATCGGATGCTTGGACACTCTAGAGACTTTTACAGTGTTACGACCACAGCTTCTTCTCTTTCAGGGAAGCATCAGCCACAGCAGCAGAGGCAAATACGTCAGAGGCTTGAGCTGGGTACCTCTGCCATTGAGGTAGATCTCGCGGAAGATATACGCATTGGCGACACTCTAGTGGATGTTGCGGCGCACCTGCCAGACCCCTTGGTGGCAATCGAGACTTTCGTTACGCACAATGGTCTCTATGCGCCATTGACTCGCTCAGGGCGCCTTGTCGTCGACGGTATTCTGGTGAGCTGCTACGGGATGTCCGCATCGCATGCCGTGGCATATGCTGCGTTGTGGCCTGCGCCGGTCGATGCTCTGCGCAAGTTATAGGGACCAGGGCTCGGCACAGAGGGTATTATGGGTATCATGCAGTACGCAGAAAGGCTATATCATAACTGGACGAGTGCAGCACGTGTTTTAACGGAGGCTTACGTAAGTGTTGTAGTTGCAGCTTGCTGAACTGGCAATCTGCTCTGAAGCACGGGGGCGAACAGCACCGATGGTACTACTCTAGGTTCCGCTTTTTCTGTCTTAGGATAATGATCAAGCGATGATGATCATACGAGTTACATTTCGAAAAAGGTTCGCACTGCGTTTTGTCAGGGATTTTGATAAGGGGCACAACCATAGCAACTTATACGAACGAGCAAAGTTGCATACAGTTATTATTGTGCGCAATCGAGGCAAGCCGCGGAATACAGTTTTATATACAGAGAAGTACGGTAGCGCCAAGACTTGCGAAGAGGAATAGCAGCAGATGTCGGTCACATGAGACTGAGTGAGCAGAGCTTCGCATGCATCTATGCATCGAAATAGTATGCTGGCTAGAGGTTTGCGGGGCGTTCCGATGGAGTCTACTTTCAGATACAAAAATTCGTGCTTCTCCTCGTTGCGTGTCACTTGGAGTAGTATTGTGAAAGCATTACGGAGTTGACAGTTGCGAAGATATCAGATAAACCTTTGAAACAGAATTTCTCCAAAAACCAAAAAGGCTGTTCTGAGTGAAATACGATCAAGAATAGCACCAGGCGGCAGAAAGACAGAAGTGCTTTAGAATCGCACAATTCTAGCGCTCGTGCTGTGGAAAGCATGAAGTCAGAAAGTTATAGGGCCAAGAGGGTAAACTTCTCACGGCTATTCGGTCGACGCACTGCAGATGAAAAGGTGTGCCTGGAAAAAAATAGGCAGTGAAATGACCCGGGCTGTCAGAAGACCGTACTAGAAGAATCGTAACCACAGCCTTATCCATATATCGATAAAGGCAAAGCAAAAAGTACCAGATGCTCTGCAGACTGCTCCAAAACGCCGTTCTAACTCGAACGACGTCGGGCGTTTACTGCAGTGCGACCGGCGCCCACATGAAAAGTGTCCAACTGACATGCAGACGCCTCCCGGCTTTTTTTTTCGGCCGGCTGCCTACTACTGCTTCCCATTTTTCTCATATAGTTCGTCTTTGAGAGGTTGTCCAACAAAGTTCTCTCGTGTCAGCTCTGGAGTTCTCGTCTGCAGCACCGCACATCTCCTGACATTGATAGCGGCATGAAAGTCTCGGTTCACAAACTCCATACGTTTCTTGCCATCACTGGTTGTACATGCTGATGCAAGTAGTCCCCGAACTTTCGCATCCTTTTCGTTTGTTCCTCCGTCAGAGGTCCATACTTTACTATATCTTCAGGGCTCCTCTAGCACTTTTCCATCTCCACTCTCTGAAGTGTACAACCCAGCTCGTGGTGTGTATACGATGTTCGGAACTCATCTACAGGTATCGTAACGAAACGCCTTGCGCACTCTTTGTACGTTCGCGTCGTTGGAGCTGGTGTACAGCCTTTTTGGGTCTTCCATCGCCCTGCCCCATTTGCTACTACGAGCCTTTGAGTCTTGTCCTATTTGAGGGCACTCAACTGATTGAAAAAGTTGGCAAACGCCCGCTGCTTCCCACCGTATAGATTCATACGCAGACGAGCCCACCGAGGCTTGGTATACTTCTCCCACAGCGCATCCCAATGAGCAACGCGAACTTTCATGAGTTTCCGAAAAGCTTCAAAGTCCGCTCCTCGGTTAGTCACCTCGCTCAAGGCTTCCAGGAGATCCTTTCTTCCGGCATTCCATGTTTCGATTCTCTTCCTTGCATTCATGGTTCCTGATTCCCGGTAGTATCTCGCTCTCGAGAATCTTAAAAGACGCATGTCTTTCTGACGTAAGTTACCGTCAGTGCCATCTTCAGCACGCTTCGGTGCTGCGATGGTGATGATATTCGTATTTCCAGGGTCCGCGCCAACGACAAAGTCGTTATCCTGCACTTTCTGCGTCTCAAGATCCGCCTCCTTCTTTTCTTCATCCTTCACCGTGCCAATGACAAGGTCGTTATCCTGCACCTCCTGCATCGCAGGAACCGCCTCCTTCTTTTCTTCATCCTTCACCGCGCCAACCGCAAAGTCGTCATCCTCCATCTCCTCCGTCTCAGGAACCGCCTCCTTTTCATCGTCATCCTTCGCCGCGTCAACAATAAAGTCGTTATCCTGCACTCTGTGCGTCGCAGCATCCGCCTCTTTGTTTTCTGCATCCTTCGTCACGGGCGCAGCCAAGGGAGGGACTGGCCGATCTTTCTTCAACCGCCGGTAGTGTACGCACAAGGCTACTCCATCGGTTTCGATCAACCCAGTGAATACCTTCTGTTTGCTGACTTTTACAGGTTTGAAATCGAAGATACTCTTCCAGTACGTCACCCGGTTCTCGCCGGTGAAGTCCTCCCTGCTAACTTTGAACTCCGGACTGAACCCCACCATGATGCCATAAAGGACGCCGGAGTCGGTACTCACAAAATGTGACTTGATGTTGCACAACGGAACCCCGTTGAAGCGCTTCCCCGTTAGGAACGCCTTCCGTCTCTCCCATTCTTCATTTTTTCCTCACTCAGCTTCATCTCCGCTTTGCGTTCGAGCTCTCGGTCCAGAAATACGAAATCGAGCAGAATGAGGCGACAGCATTTTATCTTTTTTTCAACTCTGATATCTTGCCTGCTGGATTCGCCAGCCTCGAGATTGCCCGGTGCGCTTGTATAACCGCACGGATGACGGAATCCTCATTTGTGCTCCTGCGTGAGGCCTTCTTGTCGACAAATTCGACCTCATTGTCACGCTTGCGATCTTTCGTGATGCCATTGATAATCGCCCATATCCCCTTGCGAGAGATGCCCGGGTAAAGTGCAAACACGGCGCGTATCATAAAACGTTCGAGGTCCGCTGTCAAATGGTTCTGCAGATTCGTGAGATACTTCATCGCTTCGTAAGTGTAAATATCCCGTTCACCCTTGTATCGAGTACCCTCGAAACTGTAAAAGGGATGTTTCTCGCGGAAGGCATTTACTAGCTCATTTTCCTTCCGCGTTTCCTCTGTACCAAGCATCAGGTGATGAGTAAAGTCTTATCGAAAAACCCGTCAGGGTACCTCGACCGTTTCCATGTGCGTAACTTCGTGGTACATCTCCCTCACCAAATGCATTAGTCCTGACGACGCATTGACAATGCTCTTGGAGTACGAGCCGACACGTTTTTCGATAATGTCTCGCAACTTTTCCATGTAGGGATCCTTGATATGTCCAAGAAGACAGGTTTTCACCACAACCTCGTAGTGCGGTCGTCTTTCTTGCCGCCTTCTACGTAGGGCCTCCCATTTTTGCTTCTTTTTCTCTTCCTTTTCTTATGAACTCGGCACCGTCTTTTGTTTTTTTTCTAGCAGCCGCCGACCCTGGACCTCCAGGATCGTGGACTTGCTTTTTCATAGCTTTCCTTTTTAGTTTTTTTTTGAGAAAGAACCCTCTTTGAAGGTTCCTGTTGTATACTGCGAAAAAAACACTCCAGTATTTTTACTTGAGGGCTGCAACATGACTGAGATGAAACCATATATTTTGTTACGATTGCAATACAAATACAAGTTTTATGTTAGAACAACACGCCAACGAATCCTGAGGATCACATTTCCCTTCAACGGCGACAAGTGCGTCGCGTCCGTTGACTACCCGACCTCCCAGGGACGCTCACCGAGCGCGATGCGCGCACCGCGCGAGACGCTACTCAGATCGATGAAGCACACGTGTCCGACGCCACGATGGCGCCTCGACGCTCTTTACACAAATGTCGCCACTGTTTCGTATTGCCAACACCGCCGCTGCCCGGAATGCGCGCATTTGCGCTCGCGCATCGGGGCAGCTGCAGGCTGCCCCAAGGGGCGTGCTGCTGCGACTCTTTGGAACCGAACTTTGGCATTATGATGCATCGTATTCGTTTTTACACAATAATAGGACATGATTGTTCCATTTCAAGTCCAAGGCCTTTAGTGCATCTTGGTTGGTGTCCCATGTGTACCGTTTAGTACAGGATCCCACCAGTAGCAGATCGAAACAAACTTTTGGATGATTGGTCCATGTGCATAAATGTCCATTACATTCTATATTGGTCCACATAGTTCAGGTTCAAGTGCTCGCATGCATCTCGAGATCAGAACCGGCTGCATGCGTTGCGCAACGTGCGTTTCCAACGTTGCGCGCGCAACGCACGTGGCTGCAGTCATTGAAAACGTCTAGTCTTGCGATCGTTCGTTGCGTGTTCTGAAGCCGGCGATTTCCTTCTTTGGACACGCTTTTGGGCGAGCTTCCCGAGCTGTACGAAGACAAGATTCACCTATGAAAGGAGGCTTGAGGCGGAGTAGTCTCAGGCGGGTACTCTGGCTGCGTGTTTTGGTCGTTTGTTTGTGGTTCTCGGCCCGTATTTGGGTTTTGGTAGGCGCAGGGGCACCGGCTTATCCCGTGCGGTGGACCTGGATAGGTGGAGAAACTAGTGTCAACAATTATGGGAAGTATGGTACGCTGAACGTGGCGTCCTCGAATAACGTCCCAGGCGGTCGCCACTACTCCTCGACCTGGGTTGGAAGCCCCGGCGTTTTGTACCTTTTTGGTGGCTTTGGATACGCGAACTCCTCTGGAGGTTATCTTAACGATCTGTGGAGACTGAACGTTACCTCGCTCGAGTGGGCATGGATCGGCGGATCTATGGACATTTATGTGCCTGGAAACTATGGTACACTTGGAGTCGGAAGCGCCCTCAATATTCCGGGCGCAAGGGAGGCCAGTGCATTCTGGCGTGCAGACGAGGAGCATTTCTGGTTGTTTGGAGGCTACGGATTGGATGGAAATGGTAATATCGGTTGCCTTAACGACATGTGGCAGTACGACACAGTTAGTGGAAACTGGACCTGGGTAGACGGCAACGATACAATCAATGCCTTACCCACGTACGGGCCAATGGGTTCCTACGATCCCTCTTACAACCCTGGGGCTCGCTTAAAGGCAGCGTTCTGGCTGGGCGCAGATGGAAACTTCTGGTTGTTTGGAGGTGAGAATTGCTATTCGTACCTGTTTTCAGACCTTTGGTGCTTCAACAGATCCTTATCACTGTGGGCATATATGGGTGGGTCACAATCGGTAAACCAGCCTGGCAATTACAGTGAACCTGATATTGCCAATAGATCGAATGCTCCCGGAGCTCGCCAGGGTGCAATTACATGGACGGATTCAAAAGCCAATCTGTGGATGTTTGGTGGGTTTGGTTATGGAAATGGTTCGGAATCTTATCCAGGATTTTTGAATGATCTTTGGTTTTATAACATTAGTACGTCCATATGGACGTTTGTCGCAGGCAATACCACGATCTCGATCCCTGGATCGTATATCATATTTGGCAATACCGATGCTGCAAGCTATCCTGGATCCCGCGAGTATGGAGTTGGCTTCATTGACGCTTCAGGAAATCTACAGCTTTTTGGTGGTGAAGGGTACGGGAACAGTAGTAGCGAAAGCGGCGATCTGAACGATCTTTGGTTGTTTAACGTGGAGCAGCGCCAGTGGGCTTGGATCAATGGTAGCGCAGTCATTAATGCCCCCGCTGATTACGGAATGTTTAGGACTTTCAGTCCCAGCGTCGTTCCCGGTGCTCGGTATGGATCTGCTCTCTGGAATACAACTGAAAGCGGCATGATACTGTTCGGAGGATTCGGATACTCGAACACAAGTGAAGGAAAGGGAGAGCTCAATGATATATTCATGCTCAGCGAATCAATGATTACCCCTTCCCCGACACCGACGCCGACACCGACGCCGACACCGACGCCGACACCGACGCCGACACCAACCTCAACCTCAACGCCTACAGCGACACCGACTGCGTCGGCGACTCCATCACTCTCAGCGACACCGTCCACAGCAGCGAATGTCACGAAAATTCCTATCAATGGCGGCACCACGATCTGCTTCCCGGAGGATGCCACTGTGCTGATCGATCGTCTGGGCAGTATTCGGCCGATGAGTGAGTTGCGCTCGGGTATGAGTGTGATTGGGGCCGATAGAAGTGGACAGCTGCTAGAGGATACTATACTTGGATGGTTGCACAAAGAGCCTGGCGCAACCGCGGAGGTCCTACTTATTAAGACGTTATCAGGGAAGCAGTTGCGCTTGACGAGTCAGCATTTAGTGTACCGTATGCACGCAAGCATGAGAGTCCGGGATTTTGGGATGACCCCTTTTTCAGATCTTTTACGTCACCAGCAGACAATACATCAGAGGCCCGAGCTGGAGAGCCTCGCCCTCGAGGCAGTTTTTGCAGAACATATACGCATAGGCGACGCCCTTCTCGATGCCGCTGCCCATAGAGCGGACCCTGTCGTCGCGATCGACACTTATGTAACGCGTGAGGGAGTCTATGCGCCACTAACGCGTTCCGGACGCCTCGTGGTTGATGGTCTACTCGTAAGCTGCTACGGCACGTACGCCTCGCAAGAGGTCGCCCACGCTGTGCTATGGCCTGCGCGGGTAGATGTGCTGCGCACCATGTGCGGTTCAGCGCTCGGTTCAGACAGTACTGCGTCTATCATGCCGTACGCGGAAAGGCTCTACCGCATATACGCAAGTGCAGCGCAAATATTGGAGAAGGCTCGCGTGATTGTTATAGGTGCTGCCTGCTGAGCATCCAGTTTGACGTAGAGTACAGGCGCAACTAGCATATGGGATACAACATAAGCTGCGAGGCCTACCTGCTGAGGTTCTTATCAAAGCAATGGTAATAATGTATGGTTCACTGCGTAAAAGCCTTCGACAACATACTGCTAAGCACGTGGATCACGGAGGCGGCATGAGTCCTGCACCTGAATATGCGAAGCCGGATCTATATATGAGCGCATTCGAAAAAACCGGTGAAGAAAATAATCTGAGAACAAGATTGGGTTGTGCATATATTGGTTGATGATCATAGCAGCACATGCAGGGCACATGAGAATTCGCGATCCGTGAGTCAAGTACATTGAAGCTTGGAGATGTGGTTGATTGTGCCAGGGCGCAAACGACTCCTCTAGACCGTTTCCGCAGTCGTGGATGTTAGCGGTCAGCTCTGTTGCTTGACACTTGGAGCTGTGGCGTAAACGCATTCAGGAACTGATTCATGGAAAGAGATGAACCTTAGCAGTAAACCACACTTTCTCAAAACGCAAAATATCATCCACAGTGATACATGATCCAGAATTGGCGCAGACGGCAGAGAAGCAGAAATGGATTACAGTGGCACAATTTTACTCCTTCTGCACTGGAAAGCATGACGTCGAAAAGTTGCACCCACAGCCAAACGCCGTTCTAAAGCGGAACGACGTCGGCATAGTGCAGTAGCGGCGACCGGTCCGCCCTAGACGAAACGTCTCCAACTGAAGTGCAGACGCCTCCCAGTCTTTTTGGACCGGACACCTATTACTGCTTCCAATTGTTTCTCATATAGTTCGACTTTGAGAGGTTCTCTTAGAAAGTTCTCTTTTGTCCATTCTGGAGGACTTTTCTCTAGTACCGCACATCTACTTTTATTGATAGCGGCGTTAAAGTCTCGGTTCAAAAACTCTTTCCGGTTCTTGCCGTTGGTGGTACTTATGCAAGTAGCCCTCGAACTATCGCTTTCCTTTCCGTTTGCTCTTCTGTCAGCGGTCCGTAGTTTTCACATCCTCAGGGCTCCACTGGCACTTTTCAATCTCCATTCTCTGAAGTGTACAACCCAGTTCATGGTGTGTATACGATGTTCGGAACTCATCTACAGGTATCGTAACGAAACGCCTTGCGCACCCCTTGTACACCCTAGTCGTTGGAGCTGGTGTACACCCTTTTTGGGTCTTCCAGCGCCATGCTCCGTATGCTAATACGAGCCACTGACGTTCATTCTCCTTCAAGGCGCTCAACTGATTGAAGAAATTCGCAAATGCATGCTGCCTCCCACCGCGTAGATTCATTTGCAAACGAGTCTACCGTGGCTTTGAGTATTCCTTGCACAGCGCATCCCAGTGTGCAACGCGAACTTCTTTGAATATCCAAAAAACTAGAGAGTCCGCTCTTGGGCATGTCACCTCGCTCAAAGTTTCCGGGTTATCCTTAACTGTTGCACTCCACGGGTCGATGTCCATCCTCGCACTCAATCTCCCGGATTCCCGATACCATCTCGCTCTCGAGAACACCAACAAAAACAGGTCTTTCTGAGGCATGTTGCCGTCAGTACCACCTTCCGCACGCCTGGGAGCAGCGATGCTGATGATATTCGTATTCAAGGGGTTAAGGCCGCAGAGAAAGACGATTTCGTGGGCATTATACGTTCCATCGCCCGTCTTCTTGTGTACGCGCTTCGGCAAGTGAGATAACGAAGACGGGATAGGACGACGTGCCTTCAACCCCTGAGAGTGTAGGTTTATGTATACCACATCGTAATCGATGGCCCCCGTGAGTACCTTTCTTTGGCCGGTTTGGGACGCTTGAAATCGAAGATATTCTACCAGGGTGTCCCGGTCTTCGCCGGTGATCTCTTTGTAGTTTACATCGAGCTCTGGACCGATCTATTTCGTGAAGGCGTAAAGGACTCTAGAGTCGATATTCACAGAATATGAATTGAACTCGCATAACTGAACCACAATGAATCGCATCTGGAGAAGGCCTTCAATGTCGGTACTCCCACCCGTCATTTTTTCTGCACTCTGCTCCATGTCGGCCTTGCGTGCGTGTTCTCTGTCCGAAAAAATGAGGTGTGGCAAGATGAGGGAGTAAATTCTCTCTTCGTCTTCTTTGATCATATCTGACAGTTTTCACTTGGGATGACATGACCCAAGACCGAACGATGTTTTAGAATAGTGGCGCGGATAACGAAAGCAAGATTCTTTCTCCTGTTTGATGTCCTCTTGTCGACGATTCTGATCTCCTGTTCATGCTGGCGATCGCTCTTCTTGCAATCGATGATTGCCAGCATCCCTTTGCGAAACGGGCCCGGGTACAGCGCAAAGACGACGCGTTTCATGAAACAATCGAGGTTTACGATCTTATGGTTCCTCACTTTCGTAAGGCACCTCATTGCCCTGTATTCGAAAAATGTCGGCGTCACCCCCTCGTTCAGCATCGCTGACGAGGTATTTGGCGTAATTTTTGAGGAAGGCATGCACTCGCTCATTTATCCCCGATGTTTTCCCATTAAAAACAATCAGGTGGTTGATGTAAGTCTATTGTGAAAAATCTTCCGGAAACATCACCTTCGCGGTGTGCGTCACGTCCCGATGCAGCTCGCTCTCCAAACGCCGCAGTCTTCAAGAAAAGTTAAAAATATACATGGCGTACGAACCGACACTGTTTCTGATAACGTCTCGCAACATTGAGTGGTAAGGATCATTGATATGTAGGAAAAGATAGGATTCCACCACCATCTCGTCGTACAGACGTCACTATTGAAGCCTTCAATGTAAGACCTCCCCATGTTGCATCTTCTTTTTTTCCTGATCCTCTTCGATCGGCACTAAGTCACGTTTCATTCTGAAATACACAATACCGGCCACCCCAAACCCACTCCCCCAATTACATTAGTCTAATTTTTTAGGAGAAAAACTCATTGAAGACCTCTACTTTGAGCAGCGAAAATCAGCTGAGAACATTTACTTGAAGATTGAAACGCCATTGAAGCCAAAACTATATTTTGCTACGACCCGATCGCAAAATAAAAGTGGCCGCGATGGATAAAACAGTCGCTCCAGAAGAGGTCATTAGCAGGTTTCTCTTGATCGGCGAGAAGCACGTGGTGTGATGTGACGGCCAAATTTCAGGATAAGTCATTAACAGGTGCGCGACGAAGAGAATGCAAAAAAATTACCCACAAAGGGGATAGCAAGCACTATCGCAAACTACAGTAAACTTCAATAGGAAGAGGTTTTTACGTTTGCTCCAACAGTCATCTATTAGGCGGAAGGTCTCCGAGCCGCGAGATTCTACCAGATAGTGCCCCGTCTAGAACTTCAGTGGCAGGTGATGTGTCGCTCCTTTCCATCTCGTCCGAAACGAATTTTTTGGGACTAGGAGGGGCTATGCTGCGTCTGGGCCCCAACTTGGATGCAGTAAACACGTACTACAACGCTTCGCACTCCCACAGGCAGAGGGTCTGCAACAACAGCTTGGAGGCTCGCAACAAAATAAATCTCTGTCATTCCATGTTGTATGAACCAAGCCACTTCCAACGAGCACAGTGGTATGCAAAAGCTGCTCTGTAACCAGAGGATATCCGCAACGGAGATACAAACGATAGAGCGGGTGCTTACGGCAGGCATTGGCGCCGAATAAAAAGCCTGACTAGATCAATAAAGCCGAGATTAAGTAAATACAACGGAAGCTGAAGAAACTATTCAGCGGAACGGTTGATTTCCTGAAACGATTATCGATCCGGAGGTCACGGCCGTCTGGGCAGTGTAGAGGTTCTGTCAAAACCAAAAACAAAAAAGCTGGAGGTAAAACAGTAATGATCATGGAATGCCAGATGGAGATATAACAGATGCGTACGCGCTCAGATCGTACCGCCGAAGACGGATCAGTAATGAATTTTGAGAGATAGAAGTCATAATCACATATGCATTGGCACTGGGATCATCGCGTTAATGGGGAAGTGCGTGAAGTGCGTGGGTTGGAGGTAAATGGGGGGAATGGGGGG